TGGAGTCCCCCATACAGCCAGACGTCGAGTTCCCTGAATCTACTCCAGCCTTCAATTTCAACCCTGATTGGGCTTCCATTGACACTGTGCCCCCGCGAGACTCGCCGTCAAAACCAGAAGGTGATCATGAGGATAAGTCAGGCGGCGCTGATGATTCATTGAAGTCCGAGAAAGCGCCTTTACAGGACGAGACCATAGATCCGTTAGATCAGCTTGTTCAGCACGTCGAGCCTACGCAGAACACGGATGCCCCTATCGACGAGGCGAATAAGCTGGAAGCCCAAAATACTAATGTTCCTGCAATACTCGAAGATGCCGAAGTGAACGAGCCCAAAGATCAGCTTTCAGCGGAAACTTCGCCCAATGAAGGCACTGGTAATGACCAGCAACCGTCAGATGGTGTGCTACCGACCGAAGAGCAGAGCATAGATAAAGAACACCCTTTGGAGACGACCGTCGTGCAGGAACCTACGGTACATGACGAATCACCAGTTGAGATAATTCGATCGGATAAAGATGTTCTTCCCGCAGAAGCTAATCCCTCAGAAGTCACGCAGCCGCAAGCCGAGACTGAGCAGTCTGTAGAAACTCGGACAGAAGCTGACGCTGTGGTAATGCCGCAAGTTGACGAGCCAACTCCTACTGCTATCGGCGTTGAAGATGACCAGTTGAGAGAACAAAAACAGGTTGACAGCCAGCCCAATGCCGAAGAGGCATCGAAAACCACTATGGATGCTATAGGCCCGGAAGAAACCTTGCCTGAGGTATCTACGCCTAAGAAGAAGTCTAAGAAAAAGAAGAAGCGGGCAAGTCAAGTGGACCCAGAGCTTGAAGCTGGCACCGCAACCCCTTCGGACCCCCAAGAGCAGGAATCTCAAACACAACCTGTGTTGTCCGAAGAGGCTCCCGTGCAGGAGACTACGGAGCAACCCGAAAGTCAGGCAATCGATGAAGAGCCAATACCTGTGAAGGAAGAAGTTCCCGAAGCTCTCCCTGCAGTCTCCCCTAGCAAGAAATCTAAGAAGGAGAGGCGAAAAGCCAAGAAAATAGCCGAAGCCGAAGCGGCCAATGACTCCGAGCCTCAACGTGACTTGCAAGTAGAGAGCGGTTCAACTGAGCCTACGAGTGCTGAAGTAGCGTCAACTCGCACAGATCAGCCCAAGGAATTATCCACGGAGCAAATCTCAGAGCAGCCCGCAGCACAACCTACAGAGCCAATGAACCCTACCACAGAGGTTGATCTTCCTGCAACAGGCGCTATACCGGAAAAGACTAAAGAGGAAATTCCACAACCACCGGTAGTACACGCCGAGTCACCTGCTCATATCGACAAGGACCAAGTTGCAGATACCGTCGAAAGTGTTGAAGAAACAGCCATTCCTATCGATTCAGAGCAAAGCCTGTCTAAGTCTGAAGATCTGAAGATATCTCCTGGATCGGATGATGTGGTAAATGACGTACCCATGGATAAAACCATTGATCAGCCAAGTCAGCTTGTTGGACAGGTTGAGTCCAATCAAGAATCGGTCAATCCTGTAATCGAAGAAGACAAGCCAGATTCTCAAGATACTAACGCTTCTACAATGCTCAAGGGGCCTTCTGCTCGCCTCGATAAAGATCACGTTGTAGACGTCGTTGAGGGTGTTGAAGAGGTCACAACCATGCCTGTTGATTCAGAACAGAGTCTGCCTATGCCCGAACAAGGTTCGGTTATCCCTCTCGAATCAGAAAATATGGCAAAAGACACAACCATGGGCGACACTGCCGATGCTACTGTTACTGAGGATGTGCACGAACCATTTAACGACACAACTGAACTCCCTACAACAGCCCTCGGAAAGGACGAAAAGGAGACCGAATTTCTTCATACTCCTAAATTAGAAAACGAGCAAACCTCCCATCCTGATTCGGTATCTCGAGACATGCCGCATCCCAAGGAAGACGAAATAGCTACTAGTGGGGAACCCTTGGTGGTAGAAGAGCAGCGACTGGAACCTCACGATATTCCGGAGTTTAGTGAGACATTAGAGACAAAAGAGATTAAGCAGCAAGAACAACTCCCAGCGGATCAAAATGCTAAACCCGACGTCACGATAGCAAAAGAGCCAGAATCTCAGCCTTCTTCTCCAGTCTCTCGCAAGAAGTCAAAGAAGGACAAGAAAAAGAAGAGAGCGAGTGCTCAAGCTGAGTCGGAGCCAGTTTCGGGGACTCAAACGCCGTCCAACCAGGAAACAATTTCCAGTGGTGAGCCGAGTTCGACAAATACAGCCGAACCATTAAGTCAGGAACCGGTGGAAAACAAGCCGAACGAGGGTGAGTGGACAGAATCCCCAGCAAAGTCCAAGAAGGACAAGAAACGCCGCAAAGCGACGGGCACTTCCACTCCTATGGAGTCCATGGAAGATGTACCAGCCAACGCGCCTTCGGGTACAATGACAGAAGAGAACTGCCCCGGAAAACTGACTCAAGAAGAAATCTTAGAAGTCGAAGGGCATAGTTCTACAAAGGAGATCCAAGAGGAACCTTCCCCCAACCCGGAAAACCAAGATGAAAATGCTGAGGACTTCAATATCAGTCACCTTGTCAAGGAGACCGTAGCAGATTCGGAAAATAATCAATTAGCACCGCCCACAGGGGATGAGCATCATGCGCAACGCGATGGAGCACCTGCTAACGAACCCGCCCAAGATATTCAAAGCCACGTTGAATTATCCGCCCCGATCTCACCTCCTCGTACCCCATTGACCACGGCGACGCCAATGATTGATGTTGACCTTTCGCCGGCCCAACTAAGTAGTCATGTGGAACACGACCGCCCTTTTGATCAGTCGCCGCAACCAGGCAAGAAGGCTAGAACCCGTTTGTCCAAGGACGAAGCTATGATCCCTGCGCCTCTTTCAGCTCCGGCTGATGTTCCCCAGATTCTTGAGGGCTCAGCTCGCGAAGTCCTCGAACCGTTACACCCTCCGGATCAACACATGACAGGAACAGAAGAAGGCGATGCTCCTCAGGAGGACGTTACTCCTGCCCGGGAGATTGCCGCCTCTTATCTAGAATCTCAGCCAGTCTCAACAGGTGACAAGCACACTACGGTGGAAGAGAACTCATTGATCAAACAAGTTAGCAATGCTGGTCTTCTCCCGGTCATCACGCCGCAACGAGAAATTGCCGCTTCATACTTCGAAGGACGCTCCACAGAAGAACTTCAGCCTGTCGATAACAAACCTGATGACGACGCCGAGAGCGTAGCTGGCGGTGTACAAATCACGCACGAATACACTTCTCCTGCTTCACACCTAGAGCTAGAGCCAGAGCCTACCCAACAAGAGCCGAAGTATGTAGAAGAAAAGACACGGCCAGTTACACCCGGAATAGCCAGGGAACCAAGCCCAACGCACGATGCGGCTCCATCGGCACGCGAAATTGCCGCGACACTCATGGAAGCCCGTCCTAGATCGTCCGAAAAGCAAACAGAGGCGCCGCTAGATCCAGGATCTAGTACCGAGGACGTGTCCTTGACGTTCCCAACCGGGGGTGCTTCGCTTTTAGCGGAAAATCCCGATGATTCCAAAAACAGCAGTGAAAAGGAACCGCAGGAGCATGTAGACAAGAGCGCATCAAACAAGGAAGACATAATCAACGACTCAACATCTCACGGGAGTTCCGAATGTAAAATACCGGAAGAACATACCAAAACCCCGACCTCTAAAGCTATAGAGACAAAGCCACTAGGTGATCTACCGCGACAAGACAGTTTTCCAGAGAATATCGAGAGTCCAGTAGTAGGAAGAGAGGTGCAACGTGACCTACCTGAGCCTCGTGACTCCAGTCAGGAGGAGGTTGCAACACCAAGAGAGCCGCCAACTTCTGAAATCATAAAACGGTTAGATGACCTAGACACGTCGGAAAATGTTGATGAGTCTTCTAAACCGGCAAGGGAGCACAAGATTGACAACGCCTTACTGAAGTCTCTAAGTCCTAGACCGACTCTGGACTATTCGAGTTCCGGTCGTAATTCTCCTCGTGTGAGCCTTCCGCCGGTGGAAGAAGAGACCCGGGAAGACTTAGAGAAAGAGCGACGACAAAACCGAGCGCGCGACGGATCTAAAAGGTCATCAATTACTATAGAGCCGAATAGAGATAGTGGGTTCTCAACGGATTCGCCGCATCCAAAGCGGCGTAGTCTCGCTGACCCAAGTCTACGGGATAGCGGTGTGCATCTGCGCGACTGGACCGAAGGCGAACCCAAAACGGCAGGGGACTTGCCGGAAGAGGAACAGGGCAGCGCAATTCGGACACCTCAACCCAACGAGAAGCGAAGCAAAAAGCTAGGGTTGGGAAATGATACGCCAAAATTAGAGACACCAGTCACGCGCGATCAGGAGGATGATGTGCAAGCCATCACGGATCCCAAGAAATTATCACGCTCTTCATCAAAAACATCGAAAAGTTACGGCGATTTAGGACAGCAAGCGCAGCAGCAAAGAAGCGTATCGGATAATATAAGTCGTTCGACGACGCCTCGAACGGAGGGCTTACCCCAAGCTAGACGATCTGCGTCCAATACGAGCATTTCCCGATTCAGTAGGACACGGACACCAGACCCGCTTCGATTTCGGCCTGATAGTCCAGGCAGCTATACCTTCAGATCAGGCAATAATACCCCACCGCTTCTTAGACGGGTGGATAGGCGAATGAGCGGTGACCTTAGATCGCTCAGCTCCAACCTCCCAAATAACGATGAGTCGAGAGAAAATATCCACTCGAACCAAAACCAAAGCACAACACCCATCGCTAACGAAGGCCGTGTCCGAGCCAAGGACATGACCGACGTATATGTAAGTAATTATGCTAATACCGCATCTTTCATTTCTACGTTCTATCCATTGAAAAACACCAATGACGAGATGGGTACCATTCTATTTGCTAACTCCCCTCTGCAGGATGGATATGGCGAGGGCCGTATTGGATCCCCACGGTCCCCAACGAGGCCACAAAGCATGCGACGTCGCCAGAGCATGCAAGTGTTAGAGCTCGAATCCAGAGTCGAACAGCTAATAGCAGAAAATCGCGCGCTTGCCGATGCAAAATTGCATGCCGAACAAAATCTCAATAACCAAGCCGTCTCCGCTATCACAGAACGCGATGCCGAAATTGAAAGTCTCAAGGCGTCGCTCGAATGGCTACGCAAAGAAGTCACACGATTGACTGAGATCAACGAAGGCCTGCATAGTGCTAACAATGTCCTCGCCCTGAAACATAACGAGAAGTACGGCCAACTCGAGTCACGACACGCGTCCACATCTAAAGAGCTTGATGAATTCCGCTCCGCTCGAGAACAATTCACTAGAACACTAGAACAAAAGGACGCAGAGATACAAGAGCTTCGCGCTCAGCTCGAGGCCACTAAAGAGCAGGTCAGAGAGATGCAGCAACAAATTCTCGCCTCGAAGCCTCCTGATGCCGAGTTCCTCCGCCTTAAAGACGAGGATCATTTCGACCATCGTTGCCAACAGTTGTGTTCTCACGTGCAACAATGGGTCCTTCGCTTCTCAAAATTCTCCGACATGCGTGCTTGTCGATTGACGAGTGAGATCAATGATGAGAAGATCATCGACCGATTGGACAATTCCGTCCTAGACGGTTCCGATGTTGACACATATCTGAGCGACCGTGTAAGACGTCGCGATATCTTCATGTCGATGACCATGAACATGATTTGGGAGTTTGTGTACACGCGTTACCTCTTCGGCATGGACCGGGAGCAAAGGCAGAAGCTCAAGTCTCTTGAGAAGCTCCTGCAAGAAGTCGGACCACCCCAAGCTGTCCGACAATGGCGTGCCGTGACGCTGACGCTGCTGTCTAAGAGGCCAGCGTTCGGTGACCAACGCAATCAAGACACTGAGGCCGTCGTACAGGCAATTTTCCAAACACTGTCCATGATCCTGCCGCCGCCGTCCAACCTCGAGGCCCAGATCCAATCGCAGCTACGGCGCGTCATACGTGAGGCAGTCGATTTATCAATTGAAATGCGTACCCAGCGTGCCGAGTACATGATGCTGCCGCCACTACAACCTGAGTACGATGCCAACGGCGATCTGGCAAGAACCGTTTCTTTTAACGCAGCGCTCATGAATGAGAGGTCTGGTGATAAAAAGTCAAATGAACAGTACGAGGCAGACGGCGCCGTCGTCCGTACCGTACTATTCCCTCTGGTCGTCAAGAAGGGAGATGATAATGGTGTTGGTGACGAAGAGATCGTCATATGTCCCGCGCAGGTGCTTGTCGCGAAGCCCGCGGGTCACGCGCCCGCTCGCATGGTAACACCTTCGAGTGACGCGGGTGGAGTGCCACTTAGTAGAGGCGCTACTCCTTCCATGTCTGTAGCAGGCCAGAGCTCAGTAAGCGTCCAAATGCAGGACGCACCACTACCGATGCCTACACCACCCCATGATAGAGACTACATTTAGAGGATGGCATCATGGAATGACAGGAACAAAGCGGCAAGGGGATGTCGCCGAGGGGGGTAATAAAAAGGAAGGGGATAAGGTGATGAGTGTAGTAAATACGTACGCATTAATGAGGGGGTAAAGGCGGAACCGGCACGGGCCATTTTCTATTTTTTTTCTCTTTTCTTTTCCTTTTTGTTGTTTTGTCCCGGCCTTCAAAAAGTCATTTGGGTCTCACGGGAAGGTTGACGATTTTATTATACCTTGGCCGGCGTTTACTTGCACTGGACTGGACTGATTACACTTAAACTGCATGGGTCGGACGGCGACACCCATTTTCCCACTCTTGATGAACCATACAAATCACGTCTCATCTCCTCTCGTCTTCGTACGAAAAAAAATACCATGGAAACGAATCTCCTAACGTCGGAATTTCGAATCCCCCCTTTCGCCGTCTACGTCACGGGGAAAGGAAACGGGGAAAATGGGAAACGAGGATGTACCAGGACGGGCAAAGACACTGCTTAACGACTTTATGACCTATGAAACGTTTTTCCCCCTTGTTCGCTTCGATAAACGTGTACTTTTATACAGAGACTTCAAATTTACCTAGCACTATTACTATTACATACTTGCTGTCTTGCTTGCGTGCCTGCTCTGATATGAAATACTCTTCATAGCTGCATACATTCAATGGATGTAAGTAAACCGAAAATTTCCGCTTGGGGCGTTTCTAACTATAGTGAGCTAATAGGTAGGAGAAAATGTTCGAGTATTGAAAAATCCGGTGCACCTCATCCTGGCGATATTCACTTTCATACATCCATGGCTGTTGTTCGAACGACATTTCGTATATAAGCTAAGTATGAGCGTTTGGTCACCACGTACGACCATAGGAGCTAGAGAACTCGGGATCCCGTCCGCTCTCCCATCAGATAAGCTAGCTACTGCCGGATCAGTAGTTGGGTCGGTGACGACCAGCGAATCCCCGGTGTTGTACGTTGAATTTCTTTTATTTTTGCTCGTTTATACCAAGCTAGCTAGGTCCCTAGTTGGTTGTCTTTAGATATTTGCTTGATACCGGTAAGGCTGGATAGGTAGGTAGCCTTGAGGGTCTGAAGTTGAATTTTAGATAGTAATACGAACTGAAAAATAAATGAATGCCAAAATTTTACCGTGGTATATATGTTCCTTCATCTCCATATCTCGTAATCCTTCATGTCTTTCTTCCTATCCATTTATAAACCATTATCCTGAAATCTCCATTGCGAATTGCTTCATATCGTCTAATGTTTTGAGTTGAGATAGAGCCGGAATGAACCCCGTGTGATGTCTTATCTCCCTAGCCACACCAACTCGCAATGGTAAAATTGGGATCGTGAAACCCATGTACGCTCAGTCCGCCCGTCTGCGGATCGTTAGGAAAGAGGTTATTGATAGTATCCTGGCTCGTAAGTTAGCACGCAGTTTATGTTATCTCAGAGACATAAAATTCCAAGGGACTCACCCAATCGATAGTATCCATGACACTACCCTGTGCCGTCCCTGCTCCTCCCCTTACGGCCGACATGATGACTCTTGGGCCTCCTTGATCTGCATTCGACGAATCGCTATTTCCCGGGCTCGAGTGGCTCGGCGGCAAGCTCCACAAGGCTTGCCCATCAGAAACGCCAGCAAAAACCATTTGCTGTTGCGGTACTGGAGGTCCATTCGAAAGCGGAGGAGTATACCCTGGCTCAACTTTCGGCACATCCATTCCCACAGGCGGCTGCCGGGTATGGTTCTGTACAGCCGGGGCCGGCTTACCGGTTCCCGCGACTGCATTTTGCCCCGGGGCGGCCCGTGAGAGACTTGTCGGCCCGCGCATTTTGCGCATGCGCATATATACTGCCGTCTTGCCCTGTATTTCGGAAAGAAGTTGTATGGCTTTAGCTTCTGGTGGAAGCCTACGATCCATGCTGAAGACATAATCTAAGCATGTCCATATTCGGTCTGCCTCGCGAGACTGCGGACGAAAGTAGACTTCAGTTGCCAGCAGCAACGCAATCTGATATTGGAAGAAAGCACCTAAATACCATGCCCATTCGTGAAAATTGGGATTAGTCTCGAGTTGAATCGCAAGCTCGACGATCATAATGCCGGAAGTAATGAGGAGCTGGTTTAGTCGTGGAGGCATCGGGTTGGCAGCGTTAGAGTGGTAAGGGTGGAGGACCATGACGTGTAGGCGATAGGTTAATAGATACATCACGCATTTGGCATATCTTTGCATAGGTTGCGTAACATCCAGGAGGTGATCGTATTTTTCCGACATTCTCCTACGGAAATTTTCGATTTTAGTGAGCACGGCAGTTAACGTGGTTCGGTGAGTCTCAAGCCTCCGTCTATCGATCCATATAATGCGCATCATCTCACTAATCTCAAATCGGATCAAGGGAAGTGTGTTAGCAGTCCATTCATCCGATGATTCGGGGGGTACAACTGCGTGCGTAAGTTCATCCTCGTTACAATTTATAGGTAATTTTGTGTCGTAATCGTCTCGCCTGATAACCGGCTTGGGCCCCTGAGCCTCACAAGTCCGAACGTCGAGAAAGCATAGCTGGTGCCAGATCAAACGACGAACGTGAGTTTCGAGAGGTGTGAGCCCGTATGCATCCCCATCACGGTGTAAACCCATACACTCAGCCATTCGTGCCGCAGCACCAACGAGCACCGAATGGGCTCTCGACACCTCACCTCTGCATAGGGGAATCTTTCGTAAGGTTAGTAGTGTACGTTGGTCAGGGGTGACTTAACTCACCATGTACATGATAAACGCCTGCATCGTTTCCACCTTAGTAGTCCGCAGAAAGTTTGCCTTGCTTAAAGCGCTTTCGGTACCTAGCTTAAGGCTGGTAACCCAATACGCTCTCGAGTATCCAGCCGACTCAGGAAACACGGCGTTCTCATCTATGCTAACAGCACCGCTAAACATGGCCCCGAAAATGATAGCTTGCATCGAAGGCCGGGGCTCGAACCCTGCATTTATCTCTTCCCAGAAAGTCGCGTAAGTGGCTTCCAACGATGGGCGATGGGCGCAAGGAGCAATCGGATGAACGGCAATGAAGTATTGCTTCATCAACCAATCTGCGACGGGCCTAGGCGGCAAGAATTGGAGGATGGTCGGTGGCTCCCCTATTTGGCCGAAGAAGAATCCACTGGTTGGCACTATGTATTGATCTCCTGGCTTAAGGAAATCAGGCAAGTCATCAATTCCGGGCGTCTGGCCTCCGTTTGGAGGTTGTAGGCCCGGGGGCTGCGACCCTGATATGCCTGCTGCTATCTGTAGTTCATCTTTGTGAGTAAAGGACTTGTAACCATCATGCATAATTCATACCTCTTCTGATATCCTAGGTCGCGAAAGTCCGCCTATCCTTTCAGTGATACGCATTTTTCCTATTTGGATTCCCAGATCTATCATGTCGCCTGCCCCGTCGATATCGTCCTCGTATGTCACGTCTAGTGCTGCGAGGGGTGTAGCCTCTAAATCGCGTTCCTCATCAAAGTCGCCTGCAATATCGTCTGCTAGGATGCGCTGTTGCAGCGTGTTCTTCGAATTTGTAGACTTTGCGACATCCCGCTCGAGCTCTCGCTCAAGAGTTCCCTGCTTCTCCTTAATTTCGGCCAGGCGCATCTGACTGGCCTCGTCTAACCGTGGACCTATATAAAGACAGTCCCGGCCGGCCTTAACGCAGTTTGTGCATGAAGGGCTTGTCTTGGAACATTTTAATTTTCTTCTTCGACATTCCAAACAACTTTATAAACGGAGCGCAAAGAAACAAAACATCGATTTACCGGAAAGACCTAGACCTAGGTACCGGGAAACCGACTATTGCTTCTAGGGCACTCTCCGTGCTTAGGAGTTAGCTTCCGCACTTTGAATCGACGAGAAGGTAGGAGGACGATATTAGATAGGTTGGAGATGAATGGGTATAGCTATCTTATCATTTTTTCTCTTATTCCCGGCCCAGATACATGGTAGCAGAATATATCTCACCTATTGATCATGCGGTTGCGTCGGCGTATGGGCTTCGCCTGCCAGGCGGACCGTGAATGAGCTTCCGGGTCTAAGCCGGCCACGTGGTCGGTCTGTTCCATGATTATGGAACGGTGCTGAGATAGAGTAGCGGCCGGACTTCTTCGGGGTTGTTCAGGACTTTACGAGGTCTACTAGTGCGCCGACGCCGCCTGGTGGATCGTCGCCTCGATCTCATAGGCCCATCTAGCCCCCCAGATTTCATGTCAGATCTCACCCAAAGCGTCGGGGATACTGGTATTGGCTAATTGAGCGGCTGGACCAATTTATTTTCTTCTTTGGCTCGATGGGTATTCGCAGGATTCTCTTCGATACAATATGGTAAAGATACGGGCGTAAATGAGTCGTTCTTTAGGTGTGGTGAGCTTGCTCTATTATATGGCATCAAAGATCAGAACCCGATCAGCACCGGCATCTGGATATACGTCTCTGCGGTATTGGGACAACCCAGGTGGATTCGGTGGGTTCTGCACGTCGAAGGGGGGTAGTAATATAGCTACCGATCCCGTGGGCTCCCTTGCATGCAATTAACGTCCATGGATGAAAACGGCAGAGTTATATGACCACCTTCGCTGCTGATACTGCTGCTGCATGTCGGGAGCACCCACGAATAATCGCAGGGTATCTAGCGAGTCGGGGGTGGAGGGTGGAGTGAGTAAGTTATGAGAGAGAAAAAAGAACAAGGAGACAAGGCTAAGGCTAGCTATCCCCCCATCGTTGATAACTAGGTACTATTAAGCAGGCGGAACGTCATAGGAAGAAGGAGAAAAAAAACAAGAGAAGGAAAGGAAAGGAAACAATCTGGAGTACATACACCGGGCGGCGCGTAGTGGGGCTATTTCCTCTTATTCTGTCTTGTGCCTGCCATTTACCTTACAAATGGTGGACGGTTTCCGGCTACATCTATACATTCATCCCATCCACCGGGCTGTAGCTACCTAAGCCCTGAGACACTAAGACACAGACCCCATCTACAAAGGAATATTGTACATAGTACCTACATAGGTACCTCTGTACGCCTGTACGAGGTATATATGTACCTTTAATCTTTAGCAATTAACAGTTAACAGTTAACGAGCATTGACTTTTAGTGGATCGAAGGTGATCAGGTAGTGGCCCGACCAGCGCCCCGGGTAAGCTACCCGAGTAAACGGGGAAAGAGCTCAAGGAAGAACCTTATGCACAAAATCAGAGCTAACCATTTGCAGCTACCCAATCAAGAAATCGACAGATTCGATTGCTGACTTCTTTCCCGATTCTGTATATGGCTCGTCACAAATTTACAGTGCGTTGAATACTAAGTTACTTAGCCTCATTCGGCCCTCCCGACTATCCTCTAAGGATATCCAACAAGCGAATAATCTTAAAGTAGAGCCGAATAGGACCACATGCATTTGACATAACCCCCTCTTACCCCCCTTTCATCCCTATCGAATCCTTCGTCATATAGAGTTAATATTGCTAGCCTACCCCAGCACCTGGCACCTAAAGCCCTAAGACGAATACCTAGGGGGCACATAAAGGGGGGCTAACGCCAACCCGTCATATCTGTAGGCATCCTAACTGCCGTGTAACCGATGGCAATGTAATAATAAGCTCAAGTCTTTCCAACAAGAAACTTTAAGCAGTCGTGGGATACCAATCACAGCCTCCCTTCCGATATTTTAAGAAGCGAACCCGGATAGAATCAGTCGAGTATTACGTAGCTTATAGGACTCCGCTTGTGATACCGATGCCCATTTATTACCTATCCAGCCTGGTATGTATCGCTCACGTTCCAATTATGGAGCCAAGGGTGAGCGCATGCAGAATAAGCTTCAGATCTAAAGATTCATCTTCGGTCTGCATCAGTCGGCCCTGCTCTTGCGGATGACCCAGCAGCCGAAACTCTCTTGGGGTTTAAAGTTGTCCTAGCTTCGGCCGGCGCCTCATCCGGCACTCTCGCGGCGACACCGGTTATTGAGCTCTCTCCATCGCCTAATACCCAGCCCTATCCGTATCATCTTGTCGCGGCTGACGTGCTTGTGCAACAACCCCAAAACCCAACGAATTCGGCTAGTTCTGCCTGGCTCCCCACGCGCGAGATCCCTTGTGACAATATGTAATAGAGCCCGCAAGACTGGTGTTGGTATGACAGCCCTGGAAAAACTCTGAAGATAATTTGTACAATGTGTAATTAGGGTCAGGGAGGCCCTAGGTGATATGATTGGCGAAAGGGCAACCGCCCTCGCTGCTTTAGTTGCCTTTAGGATTTGACGCTTCGTCGCGAGCCTGTACCGTATTCGGTTCCTCCTTGCCCGATACTTTATACGCAACGCGCGGAGAATTTCAGTTTGTCTCAGGGATGGAGATCTTGTCAAAAGTTTCAAGACCTTGGTTGAAGACTTAGACTGCCAGAATTTCTTAGAGCCGGTTCTACTCTTCTCGTAGAGACTAAGAATTTCTATAGCGAGTAGAGGCTGGCGTACTCCGATGGTAAGATTCACCAGCGGTCTCACCTCATTCTTCACAAGATTCCGGAAAGCTTTCGCGAGACGCATGATATCTTGATGTCGGCCGAGCTTCTCGAGGAAATTACAAAACGCTTTAACATGGTCGAATTGTTTGGTCCTCCATAATGCCAGGATGAAATAACCATAGAACAGCTCGTCCCTTTCTCCGGGTATTCTTTCCGTGAGGGTATTTGCCACTGTTGGTGCATCCACAACCGTAGATCGATGTCTAGCAAGATACATCTCGCAAATCTCTCTATTCGAGAGAGGTCGGGCATATCTTCCAGATTCAAGAACAAAGCACGCTGCTATCAAGTAGTTGAAATCTATGTTTGGTAGCCTGGCTAAAAGTTGCAGCCAGCTGTAACGTACTCGATCGTAATCGCACGTCTTCCGTGCCATATAATTTGACACATATAGAGTACCGCGTTGCAATATCTGGGGATATTTGGCTAGGTTAAGACTTCTCAAAATTGTGGCCATCTGACCGGCTTGGCGGATCAGTGACGAACGTTCTCTCTCACGCCCAGAAGCCAATAAATAGGTATTTAAATTGGCGCACAAATTTTCCAGTATATTTGTAGGCATGTCGACGAGGTGACGCTCTGGTATATTGGCCATAGTCTCTGCAAGTACGCCAAGGGTATTTATTTGTAGCTTCGACATTCCCCGTAATATATAACCCCAAACCAGGAGGTCGGAATCGTTGTGTTTGTGTACACCGCTATGAGATAGCCCTCGGGTTGTTGCTTTGAGTAGGCTCAGCATAACTGCATCAGCTATGATTCGCTTCAAAGGCTTGATGGTGTCCGACTGTAGCATGGAGAGTTCGTTCTGGATACCATCTAGTATAGAACAGATGGCCTCGCTAGAAAAAATACCACTAGCCAAAGACATTCTCCAATTGTCACAGAATCCTGTGAAGTTCGGTCTTGTCCGGTCCGTCGCATCTGATGATAAATCTCGAAATAAAAGCTCAAGCCCCGTTTTAATCACCAACGGTGGGCTAGTCTGAGCATCCCAGACTATTTTCTGCAGAGGTTGCTCTATAATGTCTGGTGTACGTGTCAACTGATCCCCTATGTCGTCCGAGGCCGTGTCCGGAGCTGGATTAACACGACCAGCGAACCAGCCCAAGACGGATTGTATCATGCTTCTTCCTTCTACCTTTTCAACTCCACTTCGCTGAAGTAGCGCATTTGGTGGTGAAGGTGGCTTCCATTTCCATCGTGTAAGGTCGGGTAGATTTTCTAGCGCCCACAATGGTGAGGCTGGGTGAGACTGGCCAAAGTTAAGCTCTCCCATTTGTCTCTTCCCTATGCGCCTCCTATTCTCCATCGGGCCCGGGACAGAGGAGCCATATCGGGCGACTGTCCTCAAGATGACGTAGTAGCGCTCAAACACGGCGATGAGGAGGGCTTCGGGAAACCGTGTAGCATCGTTATAGGAGCAGAGGTGACGGTGGGTGGCACGGCGCCATCGCAAAGCCAGGGCGAGAGTCATGGATGAATGAGGGAAGAGGGGGATGGTATGGTGGACAAATCCACCTCTCTATCATGAGCAAATTGACAATCCTAGTGAGACCATTCTCACTTATTCTAGACGAATATCTAGATAGTCATTAGGTACCGGGGACGGAGGGGATATCCACCTGTATAAGTAGGTAGGTATGTAAATGTTGTTGAAGTATTGAAGTATAAAATTGAAATTGACGTCAAAAAGTTGAAAATCAATTAAAGCAGTTTCATTGGCCATATTTTGTTTTTTTCTGTCTCCACTGCGCACTTTCCACATTCCGTGACCCCGCTATTGCAGGTGAAGTTCAACCCACCACTAAAGCTACCCCTACCTGCCCTAACCTAAGGTACAGGTACGTACTTCCAGCAGCAGCTTCTTCTACAACCCACCACCCCGCCATCCCATCATCCCGTCTTCACCCAAACCCTCAGTCACCTGTATATATAGATTGACCATGGCTCACAACTTTGAGCCATTGACCAACGATTTGGTCCTGAGAACGGCACGAGGTGTGTGGTATTCTGGTATCATAATCACTTTCAGGCTATAGACTAATTTCAGCGTTCGTGGCATAATATAGGCGAAGATGTAGAGCGTGCCCCAGTATGGATCATGCGTCAAGGTATACACAGTCAATACCACACATGAAGGAATTGACCATTAATTTCACCATTAGCTGGCCGGTACCTACCGGAATACCACGAGGCAAAGGGAAATCGGGACTTTTTCGAAGTCTGTCGCAATCCCGAAATTGCCTCTACCTTGACTTTGCAGCCCATTGAGCGCTTCGCCGGCTTGCTAGACGCCTCTATCATATTCTCTGACATCCTCGTCATACCCCAGGCTTTAGGAATGGTCGTCGAGATGGTAGAGAAGAAGGGTCCGCATTTTCCGGATCCGTTGAAGTCGCCCGACGACGGTCAATACGCCAAGGTGCTCAACAGGAGTGTAGATGTTGCGGCCGAGTTAGGCTACGTCTACGAGGCCGTGACGTTGACGAGGAAGAAGCTGAAAGGCCGCGTGCCATTGATCGGCTTCTGCGGAGCTCCTTGGACTCTCTTCTGCTACATGGTAGAGGGCGGCGGGACAAAGCTCTTCATCGAGAGCAAGAAGTGGATCTACCGCTTTCCTGAAGAGTCCAAGGCCATGCTTCAGAAGATATCAGAGGTCTGCGTTGAGCATTTAGCGCTGCAAGTCAAAGCCGGAGCTCAGATGATCCAAGTCTTCGATTCGTGGGCAGGAGAGTTATCTCCTTCGACTTTCAAGAAGTTCAGCGAACCTTACCTGGCTTATATATCTAAGCACCTACCCAAGAGGTTGACAGAGCTAGGCTTGGAACATGTGCCCATGATTGTCTTTCCTAAAGGGGCTAACTACGCTCTCGACTCCGTTTGCAACCTAGGTTACGATGTCGTGGGATTGGATTGGCAAATCGACCCCGCGGAAGCCGTCAAGATTCGAGGGAATAGACGTATCGTGTTACAAGGAAATGCGGACCCCGGTGTTTTATACGGCACACATGAATCTATAACCGAGACGGTAGAAGAAATGGTAAAGGGTTTTGGAGGTGGCAAGAAGGGTTGGATCGCCAACCTAGGCCATGGCATAACGCCATTTGTGAAGCCGGATGATCTAAAATTTTATCTTGAAGAGATAAAACGGTTAACAAGCAGTTAAAGAGACGTTGTAGATTCTATTATGTTTTTATAAGGGATCGCTAGTAAGCTATCTATCGGGTCGGAAAACTCTTGTCTAGATCTATCGTGCTCCTATTCCTAGTTAGTTACTCGGCGAAAAGAAAAAAAGATATAGAATAACAATGTATGAGTGGTTACACTTACCAAGATACCGTCCAAGCCACTTTTCCGCCTAGACTCTTGCAAACCCTTTGGCTCTGGGGATTGTCCGGAGCGACATCCGCCCAGCAATGCCCATCATCATCGTAATCCTTCAAGCGCTCGCGAAAAATCTTAACAGCCACAGCTTTCGCAAAACCCCTTCCTCGCCACTCTTCCTCGCAATGGAGGCTGCTCAGCGAGGAATCGGGGCCCAGGAAAGCCCACGCGACAGGCGTGCCATCGTCGCGATAGACGGCCATACTAGGCAGTAAACTAACAGTCCGCCTATACAACACAGCTTAGTCAATTATCCCATCCCATAACGCCATACCACCGTCCTCGCGGAAGAACCGAAAAAAAAAAAAAAAAAAAAAAAGAGGGAAACATACTCAGTCCTAGGGATCTTCGTCCTCGACAGCATAAGCGGTATATCCTTGCGCCGGACCGGCTCCCAGCGCATATCTCCCTCCGCCGCTACCAGCGGATCCCGCACCTCGGGCAGGGCCCCGAGGCGGAATATCCACTTGTCGAAGATGCTCACGAAGTCGAACACGATCCCTTGGTTCAGCAGCGCCAGGCGCAGCGTCTCGCCCAGCGCGCCGGCGAACACGCACGGGTCCCCCGCGCGCGCCGCCGAGTACGCTTCCCGCAGGCGCTTGACCTCCCCTAGGACCGCGCGCGCGCACGCGGCTGACGCTTCTTCTTTGCTTTCTTCCGTTCCACCCGCCCCTCCATCAATATCAACAGAAGGAGGAGGAGAAGGAGAAGAAGCCGCGCGGGCTAGCGCGTCAGGTCTCCGCTCCAGCGAAGCGTACAACCATATCTCGGTTTCGGGGCCGCGCGAGAAGTCCAGGTACGCGGCAGCGAAAGGCACGTCGCCGTCTTCTGTGGGTTCCTCCGTCGCGTCTGAGGCCGCCGCGTAAAGGATCCGGGTATGCTCCGTGATGCCGCCCGGGAAGCGCGTGAACCTGAGGCGGCGCAGCAGCGGCAATGCGTGCGGCAGGTGGTGCGACCTCAGGAGCTGCTCGAGGGCGGCCGGGGGCGAGGTATACACTTTTACCTTGGCAGACATAGTGCCTAGTATTGCTTCTCCTTCGTATGCAGCCCTTCCCCCTTGCTTTGAAATTCATACGTATGAGGGGAAGGCGGGGAAAACCGAGAACTAAGGTCTACCTAATACGTACTAATGTCCAGAACCAAAGGGTCGGACAAGACGGAGAGAAGAAAATAAGAATTTTGCATTTCGAGGCGGATCGCCTTCCGAACTTATCGGCGACGGCGTCGCGGCTCCTACGTGACTCATGAGACTTCCGTAGTCGGAACCGGGGTTAGATCTCGGACTTGCGATTCGCATTTTAACGACTCCCCTACTCGTAGTATACCCATAAGCATATAGATCGAACTAATTTGGATTTTTGAGGTTTCCCCTAATATCTACAAAGTACCTACGAAAACGGAAATATGCGATACGATCGTCATAATCGCCATCGTTGTCGTCGCCGCCCGCCGATCTCCGGAACAGCTACAGATTCAATTTCTGCATGGATATAAAAAAACAGGGGACGGAAAGATCCGTAGTAGAACAGCCACGCTTTGACGCGGTCACCAACGCAAAATCCATGAAGCGATTGGGAATGGAAATAATAGGCGAATCTGGACCAGTAAAGATGGACTGAATAGGGTCATAGCGAAATTCTTTCCATGGATATCTTAGCAACATTCACTTGCTCAGGGGTATATCATATTAGATCAGCAAACTTTCGCCTCCCCTTGCTTTTCAAATCTGCAGATGTGCCATGATTCTGCAATGCATTCGGGATTTATTGAACCACGTGTAACTAACAGCAAGTTTGTCGACGTATACCTTATGTGGAAAAGGGCAGTCGCACAACGTCGCTGTCAAGAGATTCATTGGATTAGGATGAGAATGTTACTTAGATGTAGACTATACAACAGGAGAGAGAATGGAATTTACATGGATCGTGGGACGCATCAAATACTAAATAGACCTATCACGAAATACAGTAATGGATGGGCAACTATATATTTTCCATCCCTGAAACATCTATCATGACTAACTTCATTCATCAAGCATGGGTACGTAATATGGGGTTACGTAGGTGGATGCATTTGCTAGATCCCTTCGCAAACGGAGCCCTGGAGCTCTATACTACTATGTAGCTCCTTATAGGGGAATTCTTGGGTAAGAACACATGGCCCCTTTTGATCACACTTCTGCTACTGTCAAGCAGACGACCCTCGACATCTCGACCAAATTCCGTTTTTAATTTTGTATGGAGCCATATTCTCTCTTTTATCCCACGAGTAAAAATGCAAACCATAACTCCATGCTCACCAATGCCGATGGTATATCGGACCCGAATCAAACGTGCAAGAAATCAACACCACCCTAACCCCTTTTGTTTTTCATGAATCCGCACGAACAGCACCAATGATTATCGTGATAGAAGAATCATTTAGGCGGCGCCTTTGACACCTTCATCCTCAGGGCATCCTAAGCCTTCTTGAAGAACTCCTTGGCCTTGGCCGCCAGCCCATTATGTCGAGGAGCCTGGTCGTCGATAGCCGAGTCGTTCTTCGCTATCTCGGCCTCCTCGCTGCCTGGCTTGACAATATTGGCCGCACCTCCACGCCCTACGTGAGTTGCGCCCTGGCTAGGTCGTCTTTCGATGCTGGAATCAATCATGTTAGCTACACATCTATAACCAATTGACAAACATATTATGGTTCTAATTCTTGATGGCGAATATCCTCATTCGATCACCCATCCGCCTTGAAAGCTCCGCAGAAAGAAATTTGGTAACCTACGGCCCGACGTCTTGGCGTGCTCGCGTCTGAGCTGGATCGTTGTTCGGTGCCATGTTACCAGAGCCTCCTCGGCCAGTAGTAACGACAGGCGTCTTCAAAGTCGGTGTCTCGAGGTCGGTTGGCTGGATCTTGGGAGACTTGGTAGAGTCGGCGATGTTGCCAGCGCCACCCCGGCCGGTAGAAGTCATCTGGCCAGTCATCTTCAAAACGTTTTATGAAAGTCAATTGACGTCTTAGAGAGCAATTGAGTTTTGTTCTTGGTAGTCAACGGAAGTTAAGCAATTAAGACAGAGTCAAAGACGAAGACGAAGACGAAGAATTGTGCCCGAGTTCGATAAATGCCCAACGACTGAAGATCTGAGAATTGCGCAATATGTGCCGGATAGCACTTATTAATGCGACTGACTTATAACTGTGACAAAAGTCCAAGCCTCAAAAAAATCTGAGACGTTCATATGACTAAACTACTGGGTCTTGGTAACCACTACATACCACAGTCACAGCCGAGGCGTGCCTGCTTCTAGATCACAGGGCGAATCAGAATTTTCCCGACTAAATCGAAAATGAATTTGGAAGGAAGTTGCCGTCAAAGAGAAACAAGTATATCCAAAAATTTGTTACATCATTCGCGCCATAAGAATGGTAGAGTTCGTCAAGGTTCCACTACCAAAAAAACGGACTGACCGTCTAGGGCCGACGGATGAGGTAACTAAGACGTAATGAAAATACCGGCTTTTTAGTACATGGTGTCATTTGTCATTGCGCTTTCGCCCAAGTTGTTCTTGGCTGTTCTGGCCGTCGTGATACTCTCATCTAGTCCGGAATATCTACTTTTTACAGTATAGGTATACACGCTTGCAAATTGAATCTATTCTGGGTTTTTGTGTGTTGAAAGACGTAGCCTCGTCCCTTAATATCCAGCCTATGCCGACTAGGGAGGTAGGTGTGCGTAGAAGCCGAGCTGAATATAAGGCCAAGGTAGATAGCCTTATCAGATGTAATCTCGTCTGTCGAAGCTGACTGGTTTTAGTCGATTTACTAGTAGCTTACCGAACATACGGTTCTCCTTCCCCAGATCATACCGGATCTGAGCTTTGACGAAAATGAATCTTTTATCCGGTACGCTGGTTGGCTGGTAATTTTCTTCGTTCTAGTGAGGAGATGAAAAATGCAATGCATGACGGAACCGTCTGATCGCAAGCGAAATCTTTCAAAGCCACGCGATTCCCGAGTTGGTACCCGTATGTCTGTGTGTCTGGCGTTTACCTAGATATTCATCTGCATGTGGTCGTCTGAATTCTTGCCAAGCCTCGGTCTCGTCTCAAGGTTTTGTGACAGTGAAACCGGTGCGCATATCCATCTGTCATCCCAAAATTAAGGTAAATATATCTAGGCACACAAACTTTCCATGTCATACCTACCACATCATCGGAGTAATCAATCTGGGTGCAGATTTCATGTTAATATATGTACGCGTGCCCATCGGCTGTCGTGCTATTCTCGCCCGAATCATACCTGGCTGTATACACAAGGTAGAAGGGGATTAGTAGAAATATTCAAAAAAAAATTAGGAATATTAAATCTGGCCTCATCGGCTTCGTACCTAGGTAGTCAAGAAATTCTAGGAAATATCCTTTAGTCACAAATGGCGGAAATTAGGTATTCATCAAGGTAGTTGGACGGAAAGTTACTGCGTGTCCCGAAGACCAATGACGCGCATATCTTTTGAAATTCATCGCTTCCATACATCTCATCTGTGCTTATGGCGGGTATATTGCAGAACCAAACCCTCGGTTTGCAAATGTAACGTATGAACCTAGTCAACCACATGTTAGGTTGAGCAGGGCACTCCCAAGCTTTGCCCTGTCGTCGCCCGACCTCTTTTTCTGTCGGCATCAAGCGGGCTTCTCTATTTCCTGCATGGGATCCAAGCCCCTTTCTGACATATACCTGTCCAAGGGTGTACGAGCGCAAATGCCCTCGACCATGTATCGTGCTGTGATAGGTTGTCCCTATTCCAAGGGAAATGTAGCCGAACCTGGCAGGCGTAACATCCAACGGAGTCAATTTCGTCCCATATCCGGATAACGGTTGTGACAAACCCTAATTGTCGTCTTCATCATCCGATCCTCTACCCTTGCTCCCCTTTCCGTCTTGACCATCCTTCCTGATTGGAATTTTAACTCCCTGCACGGCAAAGCACTTGCTCAGAGCAGTGCTTTCGCAGACACCGGGAAATTTCTTGGCTGAGTAGACCTGGAACTTCTCGCTAAATACCTGCGCAAGCACCGGCGCTCTGCCTCGGTTTAGAAGTTCGGCGTCGCTGCCGCCGTTAGACGTAGCATCTGGTCTTCGTAGATTGATAAACGAAAATCGCAATCTGCACGTTGTGTAAGCGTGACGCGGGTGGCTTGCGCTTGGCAACTTACCTAAACCAGCCTTCGGTTCGGACACTTAGATCCTGCAAAATAAACCATATTCCAATCTTGTCCGTTGGATCGGTGAGACGCGACGCACTGGCAGCAAGGCTACCGATAAGGTTTCTCGTATACATGCCATTTGGTGATTGAGGCCCCATTAAGCGGTGTTGCGTCATCTGATGCCCAGACATATCTTGGGAGAAACGAGGTCCGAACATTGGCTGTGATGGAAGCTGAGGCACACCTGGTACCATTTCGTTTCGATAACCCCCGCCAGGATAGCCGTACGGTTGGGCTTGTGGCGGGTAACCGTACCCTACAAAGAGTGAGAAACAGAACGTTGTGGCACTGGTAACTGGGGCATCACTCACCTTGTCCGTAGGGGTCTGGTTGATAAGGAGGCATTGCGTGAGGGTAACCTGCGTTGGTTTGCTGTGCATATTCGCGGTTTGAAGGCACGATGGATTGATATCCATAACCACTGGTCTGGCTTCCCTCAATCACTTCTCGAAAAGAAGAGGCCTGTGTGGATGAGATGGACGGCGATTGCTGGGAGTGTTTGACTAGGTTGACCTCTTTGTCACCATTCTCAGACCACAGATCAACGTGCAACACATAATGTTGGTGCTCAACCTCACTAACTTGGGATTAGCTATGGTTCACGGGGAGTGACAATGTCGTGTTTCACGCACTTGCAATCTACCTCTTTGCCCGTGGTTTTGTCCATCACAACAAGCCTGATACATGGCGGAGGGGTGATGGGTCGTCGATCCTACTTGCCATTAGCGTTCAATCGGCGGACAGAATGGACAAGCCATGCTTACCTTGTCACCGAAACCACACATTCTCGCCCTTAGAGGTTGTTGGACAACCTCGAGTCTATACCCTTTGTTAACCCCACAGCTAGAAATTGCGGGCTGTACAGCCGAGGATGAATAATACCTATATTTCCTAGTTGCGTCGGTGCCCTCGATAGGTTGCGGAGCTGGCTTGTCCTTTTCTTCGGCGCCAGGTTTAGAGGTAAGCGGATTGGAGCCGGGACCGCCAACGCCGTTCTCTGTTGCGGTGAGCTCTCCAGCGCGGTCTCTAGGGCCGGGCATATTAGGCGGGGCCATATTCGTTCTCGGAGGTGGCATGTTCGTGCGATGAGGGTTCGTTATGGGATCTTGCTGATAATTAAAGGACATAGGTGGAGGAAGCTGGGCGTAACCTGGATGATGCGCAGACGGTCCTGGCATGTCAGGCGGGAATGCCTGCGAATGGTGGACAGGCGGAGCTGGGTAACCTGAACTCATAATGTCTAGATTATTCTTTGCTTCCCCTAACCTTCTGCACAGTTTATTTCTTTTCCTTTTCCTTTCTGGTCCCTACGGAACTGGCGCAGCAGACCTCAGTGCAGTTTCTGTTTTCCTGCACCTAAGATGGGATGGGCGGGGAGGTCTGAAATCGGGCTGACAAAGCGTGGTTGAGAGAGGTCGGTCAAGGTCGAGGGCGAAGGAGACTTAAGGCGTGAAATATGCCGTACTCGAAAAGCGTGTACTGACGGTTGTAGGTGGAGCGTATTGTCCTCTAATAAGGGCTTGAGTATTATATATTTGAATGCAAGTTGAGTTTGGTAAGGTGGTAAGGTTCATGCACTCATGGGGACCTCGGTGGTGGACTAGGCGGGACATCCACAGTTTAGCTTTCCAATAGGGAGATGAGAGCTAGAGATCGGACGGTTTCGCTGGATAACTGTATTCTACTAAAGTTTGTTTACTATGCGGTAGAAATAAGGTGGGATGATTTGACCGTTCGAAGTATGGAGAAACGTGGTTGGAGAAAAATTATAACTTCGAACAAAAAAAAACCTATGTAAGACAACGTCCCCTCAAAGGCTCTTAAGGGACTTTGACTGCACCTGCTGTGATCAACTGGGAGAGGCGCAAACTTTATTAAAGCAGATGGAAGCGCCACCAGCCGATTGGAGGCAAGGGTCAAGAACATACAGTAGCCCTGGAGCTTGTCGAGCTTTCTTTGGGGGAAGACATGAGGTGGGGGGGTGTGGCGCGCCCGTAGATTAGCATGGTATTAACATGGTAAGGTGGATTTAATGGGGGAAAGTGTCTTGGAAGAACACTGTGATACCCGTAGTGGGTTAGTGGATATGGCGGCTAACCCTTGTTAATGGATGTACTACGAACAGTCATGAACTAGCAGACTAGCAGTCCCGGGAAGGCACGCATCGGAACTTTTGCAAGGTTAGGGTAGATATCCAGTAGGCGACTAGCTTGAATAAGTATGAAGTGGTAGCTATTACCCTGATATTACTTGGGATATGCTTGTCGAGGGAGTTTGGTAAGTTTGACTTGAGTCTTGGATGACACTTGCTTGACTTGTTAGCTATCAGAAAGGAAGCTCAAGCTAAGAGTACTAAGGCAACTGCAACTAAGATAGAATATTGATTGTACATATAACACGAACTACACGAACTGCACGAACAAACATTCTCAACTACTACTACTACTACATAAGAAAAGATAAGCACAAGGCTCATCCTATTCGAGACCAAATATGTACGTACATGTATGATCGATGTATCATAGTATGTCAGTTATGTTTAAATGTTGAGGATGTGGCAAAATAGAGGGTGCCAGATGATTGGGTGCCGTATATTCGGGGTCGATGATGTATACTTGGCGGTATATTCCTTTAGTGTAGACATTTTGATTTTGTCAGCCTGACAAACTGCAACGGTTCCGAGGTCAGGACTCGCAAGTAGTAGTAAATGGATGATAAGCAGGTAAGCATGGCCCGAAACGTCTCGAGACAAGAAGACAAAGACCAAGATAAAGACAAAGACTGGCCGATTGGAATGGTTCGAATAGTTGGCTGTCTAAGTGCCGACTAAGAACAAGGTATATCGGGCGTTATAGCGAACGGACCTATAATATGTGTAATAAGTACCTAGTAATCAGGTTGTTTCTAGCCTCCATCGCAAGGCTATCGGATACCTGGCATGCCGATATAAGTCTCCATTGTTAAACCATGAAGTTACAAAAGTCTTTCATGGCAGGTAGTAGTTAGATTAGGCGCCAATTACATCTTGGGCATCTGGTCTGCTGGGTCTGCTGGCGTTTGAGAGCAAAGACCAAAGACCAAAGACCCCTTAGACGCGATCGACTATTTCGATGTTGTGCATGTCACGAACAATTAGACTTGAATAGGTATAATGCTATACTTAGACAAACGACTATTGCTCTGATCCTAGAGTCCTAACTAGGTACTATATATGTACGATGCTGGTCGTGTTTTATTACCACTCGTCACTGAAGAATTCACTCGTACGATGGGTCCGAAAGCAAACCCAGGCGAACCCAGACTGCCAGACGAAGCCAGAGGCCCAGACTTTCTTCAACAGCTCATGGTTTGCGTACTCTAGGGACTTTGTTATGTACTATGTATGGGCTTTATGCCCGCGTAAACGGTACGATATGCAGAACCCAGGGGCCGCGGAAGAAAGTTGTGACGGTACGGTTACATTGGCATCTTTCTTGAAAACTTGGCTTTTTTTTTTTTTTCTTTCTTTCCTCCTTATTTTTATCCATGGGAGTATATACATACGTACATACACACATACACACATCCATACATCCATACATCTATCCATACATAAAAAGCCAGGGAGTCCTACTATGTACTTAATAATAGTAAACTCATCCCTTGTGTCTTGGGTCGCTTGAGGCCCCGCATGCATAGTACATACATAATACGGTACCATCTAGTACCATCATACGTGGGCTCCTTGCCCCCTTTTTCGGATTCGATCGACCATATCTGGACGTATTTGGTCATCTCTGGACCATTAATTGTTGATGACGTTGGCTTATGTTACCCATCGTTGCCTCGTCGCCGCCCGACCTTCTGGTAACCCGTCCGGTGGACTGACGTTAGGAACCTGGAGATTGGATCGATTTCGCCTTTTCTCTCGGGTCAGGAAACGCGGGTGGTTCGAGCGCTGAATATTCTAGGGGGGGGCACGGGACTGGATCGGCTCTTAGAGTATCCCACCGTTGCGTCGATGTCACCATGCTATCTCGGGCCTTGTCTACCGAGTACCACAGTCTGGGGTTCTGTCGTTTGTCAGTTTTCTCGCTTCTCGCAAATCTCCCCGTCAGTGAATAAGGTTTTCTGTCACTTCCGTCGCGCAACCGCTATCACATGCAGGTCTGGGCAAGAATGTGTAATAATTCCTGCTTCGAGGACCCTGGCCCTTCTTTTCTGGCTTCTCCCTTCGTTACCCGAGTGCATGTAGGAGCTCGCCTTGCTCAGCTCGAAAGCGTACGATCAGTCATATATCATCTAAAATACCCTCGTCTGCGTATTCATCTCTCCGACCACCTTGGCATGTTCCTACATTTCTATACCTAATATGTCTGATATGTCTAATATGTCTAATATACCTTCAACATCGCATTGCATCCCGAACCAGCACCGAATCTTGAAGGGTCACGATCCGTGATTGGCAAACGGGTGGAGATCAGGACCCAATAACATCCTTGCTGTTAGCACACTGACCACACTGACCTACAACTCGCTTGATCTCTCCCCTCTTCTACCTCAGTACCTAGTAAGAGAGAAAGCCTAGGCTGCTTAGGGTACATGTCTGTCGTCTCTATTTTCCCTTTTCCTCACGCCGTTACTCCACTGTTTCCCGCTCTACCTAAGTTATGTACATATCATATAGGACGTGCACCAACACCAAAGGGCTTCAGAGGGGGCTCCATTGCCCAGACGCCCAGATATCTTTTACTCTAGCGTCGAAACGTCCCGCTGCTACGACGCAAGATTCAACAAGACAGAAGCGGGCGGTCAGTCGATCCACCCAAGGATCCACGGCGCAACACTTTTGCCCTGCCCTGGCCTCGTCGTCTTGCCTTGCCTTACCTTTGCCTTACCCGGCTCGCGCTGCTGCATCAGTGCATCTCTTCCACATCCAAGCCGCGGAGAGGGACCCTTCTACGAACGTGCCAGAGGCCCAGAGGTGCCAAATGAATTGTATCGTGGTATGTGCAAAACCCCCTTGCTCCTACCCACACACCATTAGCACTCGGTGCTCTCACTCGACGAAAGATTCGTCATACTTTGGAACAATATGCGATAGGATCACCTGTATTGCGTCCTCTCTTTTTCTTCTTCTTCGATATCGAACATCGCCCGCGGAGAAGGCATTCCCAATTTTATCCTCACACGAGTCACGCACGTCGCAAGATGTTACCATGACTTACTCGGAATTTGTTAACTCGGAACTTGCGTTACATTCGAAGGACGTATATATTCCTCTAGATATAATTCGGATGCCCAGTGGTGTCCTTATTGAACCATCGAGCTGCGAAATATTCGGCCGTGCCGTGCCGTGCCGTTGGATTTAATCCTTGAGGGTTTAGATACGCTTGTATGTACCATGTATGTGCGTTGCAAGCTTTAGTACGTTACGGCAGCTGTACGAGCTTAACGCCCTTCTCCTCTTCTCTTATAGCGTAGGTCCCACGGGTATCGCCAGCAAAGTGCTTACCGCCTATCTACTGTATTCCCACCCGTTTGGATGTTGGGTTACACCGGTAAGGCCGAGCGAACTAGTCTCCTATGTTATATGAACTGTCCAACAGCAGCAGTAAGACCGATCCCAATTGCGGCAATTCGTTTACTCCAAGTTTCCAACGAAGCCTTACACCAATAGGCCGGTTCGCTGCCCTCTAGTGCCTTTACCATTTCTCTCTTCTCCCATTACCTACCTAGCATCCTAAGTTGAAAGGGATGAGTGCGAACGCCATCGTCTCATGGCCAACTTTACCTGACACTGGCTAAATTGAGGTAAAACTTGACAACACACCCCCTAGAATAAGAAAACATCCGCATGGCCGCTCAAACGTCCTAGCGTACCGTCAGACCGTATACCAGGCCAACCTACCTGGCCTATATACACGTAACGTACACTAACTTCATGTGTTTTAGGCCAAGACTGCCGCACAAACGTCGATCCATGATTCCATCGCCCGTCTGCAAGGGGAAAGATTTCGGTCCTTGGCGCGCGAAGTACCGACCTCTATTAAGCCCAACTCAGACGTGGAGCTGGAAGCAGTAAGAGAAATGCCGACAAATCGTAAGCTCTGGGCTGCGGGCTAGGATATATATATATATAACGTATAATAGTAAGACGACGACAAGGAACGAATCGGCAGTCCGACTTCCAGCGTCAGTCTCAGCCCTCCGCCGAGCATTGACGTATAAATTATATATTGACCCTCGTATCCTCGTATGATTGAGATCTAGAATCTAGATATACGTATGAGCCGGACCCTATGCCGAATGATATCCCTGGTTGCGGGCCAGGGAAAAAAAAACATTTTGTACAAAACGGGTCTGGGATATTAAGCAGCTAAGATGCCCCCATGGCCACCGGATGGACAGTGCCCTGCGCCCGAGAGGTCGGGTAGGAGGGACTTCCATCTGTTCGGGTACGTCAGGCACATGGACGTCGCAGCACGGAGTCGCAGCAGAAACTGGAACTGTTGTACGACGCGCAACGCTTATTTTTTTTTTCTTCTTTTTTTCCCCTTCCTCCCCTTCCCCTTCCAATTCCCAACTCTGTGGAACCTCTCGGCAAAAGGGGCGGTCCCATTGGGTTGGATGAGAGATAGCGTCGTATGTGGATTGCGGTAGCTGCGTAGTAGCGCGGCGCGGTATAAGCCAGAGCAAACAAAAAAAGGCTGGCAAGTCTTTCTGCATTACATTAGTAGGTACATATCTACATATCTGGCATGTCAGAACGACGCAAACAGGCCAGCCAACAGAAGAACGAAACGAGGGAGTAAGACGAGGTCTGACGGGGTCCCGACGGCTCCGTGCTCTCGTCCCAAACTCCAGAGGGTATTAATCTTCATTCAGCCTCATCGCTGCGCGTCCCAACATGCCGCCTTCTCCTTGTCATGGTTCACGTGGGTGGAGTATAGTTGGTACTTAATATAATACTACTTCCCGTCCATCCCAACGAAACATCGTGCCGTAGTGATGTGCATGAAGCAGTCAGATTGTTGGAAACGGGTGGATAACTGAAGATGAAATTCGCGGTGAGTTGGTTGATCAATGTGCCCTTCCGAGATCTAAGCACATGTCTGACTGTACTTGGGTTGCAATATTACCATGGATATCGAACCAACCGCTTGGCAGCCGGTTTTGCTGAGTAGATCTTGCAAAGTAGAAACGGCCTCGAGTAAAACAGCCATTTAGATTATTCGTCTTGGACCTACCCATCCGTCGAGAATGTAGATGATCATTAGACAAAATCCTAGAGCAATGACCTCGATGCCGATGGCTGCATTGGTGAATACATGCTCTGCTATTGATATCACACTCAACTATCGCGATGGCTCAGCAATGCCATCTTCATAGACGGCAGATTATGGTTTGTTATAAGATTTATTATAACTTCCACGCATCGCGGATTAAAAAAACAAGTTTTGATATCATCCGTCATCCGCGCTCGAACCGCCAAAATGTCCCCAATCCCATCCACCGCCGGAGTCCTGGTTCTAAATAACAAAAATACAAGAGGCCCATATGGGATACCTCCGAAGTAGCCGCCATGGATCGAGTCTATGCTATTGCAGACCCTAAAGCCTACCTAAGCAAGCTCCATGATTGCATGGCTTGGGAGAAAAGACGCGATATTTTTTTCTGTTGCTTTCATTGCTGAGATCCCATTCTTCGACCTTGCCTATACTTCGAATAATATCGTGTCCCATCGCGTCGTACATAGATAATACCCAACCAAAATGAGAAAACGCCGCGCTCGCCCACGCCTCGCCAGTAGCGTGGTAGTAGAAAGCTCTTGCTGGGGAGGCTTTTTTTTTTTACAGATAAAAGAGATTCGGAAAGCCTGGTCTGCTGGGCTTGTCTACCATTATTTCTAATAAGAACCAAAAATGGCTGGATAATTAGTGTGAGCACTCGATGCTCATGATATCGCAAGAGCAATGATTGGAATCAAGTTAAGATTCGTGGAAACTTGAAAGTAGGTTTGAGTCAGGCGGCTTAATCGTCTGCCAACTTGGCAAAATGCTTCGACCATAGCCATCCAACTAGGTTCTTAGGGTCGTCCTGATTTTTAGCAAGCCACAATTCGCCTTTCTCAGCTATGACATCGAAAATCTATAATTAAAACCGTCAGCTACAACTTTTCCTCTCGAGTGGGATCAAAATACCTCTCCTGCCTGGTACGTTAGGTAAGGGTACCCAGCTTCATGTTTAGTAGTTTCGATGTTAAATTCGAACAAAGAGGCGGCAAGCCACAGGACATTATATCCATTGATGGGTTGTCGTTCCCGAGAAGAAGCACGAGAAGATGCTTGAGATGGCCGTGGAAGCCGCTCTTGACTATCAGATGGAGGAAGTGCAGACTGGAATATGCCAGAGAAGCGTTGGTTGTCGGTTGACTGATGTGGAGAAGGGTACATCGAATTGGAGTAACGTCTTGAGTGCGCGCCGGACTCCGTGCTTTGTCTCGGGACACCGGTTGAATCATAGCTCTGTCCGGTTCCAGGTCGCACGGGTGCAGGCCCCACCGGTCGAAAGGCGCTCGACGACTCAGGGGTGTGAAGCGAGCCTGAGCCCGGACGTCCTTGTGCGTTGACCCCGCCGTAGTAATCACGATAGTAGTACTGCTGAGGGCTCGGGATGGAGGCAGCAGTGGGCGAAATGGTGAATTGGCCGCTGTGGCGCTTCATGAAGTCAGGCGTAGGCAAACTTGGAGCTGCATCGCTGCTCAAGGATAGTCCTCTGCCGCGAGGTGAAAATTCAGCCCTAGAACGAAGTCCTAAGAAGGATCCGTCAGTGCTGGTTGACTGAGACGGGCGACCTTTAGAGCCTGGATTTATGATGCCGATGTTGTTGATCTGTTCGTCTTGGAATTTGTAATCGCGTTGGAAGGTAGATACGATGTCTGCGATTTCTGGAACATCGGAGTCTCCGAGCACTATCTTGACTTTATCCTGCCATATAGAGAACCATTGGGTTTGTATGTTGACGAAGTTTGCGAGGCAGATCTTGCCAACCTTTTCCGTCAACGCAGAAAGCTTGGGCAACTCCTTTTTAAGCGCCTCGTTCAAAGCTTCGTATTGTTCGATGAACTCGGAAAGTTGCTTGTCGATCTTCTTACCACTCTTCTTGAGTTGAACTGACTTCTCGTAATCTAGGCGGCGTTTTGCCCGTTTCTTCATGGCTAACGATGGGTTGCCATATGACTTGATTACGAGCTCGAAAGGTTCAATGACTTGCTTCCGAACTTGAGAGAGCTGGGTGATTATGTGACGTTAGTCCAAGACAACATTTATAGAATAGAAGGGATAGACTGACATGTTGCTCTAGTGCAACTTTTTCTATGTCTCTCATAGACACGTTAAACCGGACCCACTTGCTTTCGATTTCAGGATGAGGCGAGGGTTGGAGTCTCATAACGAGCTCCATCGAAGATAAGTACTGCAAAAACTCATGAACGTATTCTGTAACCTGCCTCGTGTAGAATTCGACATCCCTTAGAACAACTTGTAATCGAAGATAATCGTCCCCGAATCTCTCGTGAAGCTTGAGATATTCTGGATCTTCTTCCGGCCTATGAGTCGCCTGCAACTTATCGACCCTTTTGCCAAAGGCTCTGGCAAAGCCGGCTCTGACGTCTGATTCCTTGCGTTTTCTACCGACTATCTGCCCAACCAATTCGAAGTTCTTCTTTGTTTTATTGATCTCCTCTATCGCGTTTTCGAGGCCTACTTTGGCAGATTCAAGGAACGGTCGATCTGGATGATCTGCAGGTGTTTCGTGAAGAAGCTGGATAAGAAGGTTTGGATATTTCGTAATTCTCTGCATTGGTTTGATAAGCAAAGAATCTAAATTCCATGCTTTCGTCAAATCCCTTGCAACCTCGTTGCATTCGTTTAACCAGACTTTCACCGTTGGATCTTCCTGGATCTGGATTAATCGTTTCGCAGCATGGTCGCTGTTTTTAAGGAAAGTTTCATGTACCGCCTTCATCTGTTCCATATTACGAATGAAAATGGGCCCAAGTGACGTTTGTCTATCCCTACCGTCGCTTAGGTGCCCTGTAGCAGGTGTGGATGTCGTTGATGTCGTTGCCGAAAGGGGAGTGCCGTCAGGAAGGGTCGAGGTCTCCTTTGGTAGTTGATTTCGGTGTACCTTAGGAGTGTAAACGCTAGACACGCCTTCCTTAAGCTCTGTTAAGAATCCCGAATGGAATCTGATTATTTTATCAGTGTTGCGGAAAATCAATTTAATGGTCTTGTCATCAAGCTGTGGGCAAGCTTCAGCCGTGCCTTTGTAGATCTCTTCGACAATATTCATATCCCTAACGAAAAATGCTTCGGTATCGATCAGCTCCTTAATAGTCTCCAGCCGCGTGAACAATCGTTTCCTCTCTTTCGGCGTAAGTCCCGTGGTATCTTCACCCTGGTCGATACTTTCTGCTAAAGTCTGTTGGCTGTCCAATATTATTGAGTGAGCAGGGAGCCGCTCTGATATTTCCAGAGAGCCTTGGTATGCTGTACGAGAGCCAGATTCGGATTGACCATAGTCTTCGCTCTCCCTTCTAGAAGGGTCCACTGAGAATAAACTCTGATCATCTTTCCCAGGTTGCAGCACGTAACTATTAGGTCTCGTATCATCGAAGTATTCGCTTTGCGGTGCAGACCTAGGAACGTCATGTAGTGAGCTGACATCGGGAGGCGGTGGTGGAGCATGATCAGGTCGTGACGGGATAGGACTATTTTCTTGTTCGTCGTAGTCTATTATGAAACCGTCCCCGGTGTTGAGCTCAGGAAGTTGGTGAGAGGGATGAGGTAGTAAATCTTGGTCCTGGAGTTTGCTAGAAGACATTTCAGAACTGCAAGGCGTCTCCCTACGGTCTTGGTCGTACTGATATGGCTGTGACATGGAACTAGACTCCGATATTGAGTGACTATCACGATACGCTGAATCGCGATTTTGTAGATTTCGATTCTTCAGTTCGTAGTCCGAGTATGCATCCTGAGTGTTGATAGAGTAATCGGTCCAGACAGTAGTTTGGCTCACTCTGTTCATTGACTCCGAAGTTCTGGGTACGGTGAGGCTTGGAGCAGTGCCCATGGTTCTCCGGGAGTCCGTGGAGAAACGTGAGTCCTCCATCTCATGTTGCCTGGGACCAGCGACATTGTTGCTATCTGGAAACTGAGGGCTGGATCCTTCAGAGATATCCGCAATGGAGTCCTTGATGATGGGACCGACGAAGAACTCCTCGATCTCGCTAAGGCCAGCACTCGGCCCGGTTTGCTCGTCGTTTGGACCGAGCCCGCTGCCGTAGGAGAGTTTACGAGATAGACCAGACGGTTTGAGTTGAGAACTCTCCGCTAAATCACAATCGTCAGGGAATTCCGGATACGTAGACTTATCAACCACATGTGCAGAGGGCGAGAAGTCCGAATCACGGCCAATAATGGTTACCTTCGTAGGATACGACTGGGGTGGGGGCGGCTGAGGGGAGTATTCTTCGTCGTCGTCCTGATAGGAGCCTGGAATGGCGTGGCTTGTATCGGATTCGTTCGCTATCGGAATAGGTTCCGTTCGTTCTAATTTTGTCTCCGTGGAGGGATCTAACGAGATATTGACGGAGAAGCTATTGTCATTAACACAATCATCCTCAAATGGAGATCGATACTCTAATTTCGAGTGTGTTGAATCGGCGTAGTTCTTGTCCCCAACCTTACTAACGTCTGACCGCACTGGGATTTCTTGTAGCGGAGGGTCCGTTTGTGGTTCAGCGTCAAATTCGGTGGTGTTTGAGATGGCGGAAGGGGGTGCTTCGTCTTCGTCTTCTGTAATTCCTGCCGTCGGAAAACTCCCAGGTATACCTAGCGTCGGGGAATCTTTTTGACCAGGCCCTGATACGGCAGTAGTATTCGTCCCAGCTTGCACAAGGTTTGTCGTAATTGTTAACGGCACTTGCTCTACGGCTGATATTTCAGTGCCTACAGGACTTTCGACATGACTACCCTCAGACTCTTCCTGGCTCCTTTCTTCTAGACGTTCCCTCTCTAAACGCTCTTCTTCGAGTTGTTGTTCCTCTAGACGCTGCACCTCGAGGCGCTGTTTTTCAGCAGCGAGCCTGGCTTTTGCAGCCTCGGTCTCGGCTTCAGCCTTTCGCCTCCTCTCATCGGCAAGCTTCTTAGCAATCGCCCGAGCTTCGCTCTCTCGAATAGATTTTGTGTACGATCGTTTAATCTGCTCCCGTCGCGATTCGAAGTCGATTGGACCCACGGAAATCTTCCGTCTACGCGTTCCTTGGTCAGCAAAGGTCGCTCCAGACCGCCCCCCGGTTCGCGACACCGACCGGTCTCGGTCAACAGCCTTCATTCTGGAGCTAGCGGTGGTCGCCGAAGAAACTGGCTGACGCGGTCGTGAGCTTCGTAGTGGTGGTGATAATTTTGGTGGGGGTGTTGAGATGTAGGCGTTAAGCCTGGTGCCATTATTGGGCGTGTCCGAATTCAGTCGGGTTGGTCTCCTGCTAGCAGTACTGGAACCGCTATTGGGCGTCTTCGCCCGTGAAGCCGGTATTGACTTGTTCGTTTTCCCTTGGATTTGGGGTCGTCTTCGTGTGGACGGTGAATTCGATCTTGTTGATGTTGGGCTAGAGGAACCTGAAGGACTGTTAAGTTTACGCACCGAAACGGGCAACCTCGAAGCCGTCGAGGGCGATCCCCGATCTATGTGGAGCTTAGGGCGTGGAACTTTAGGTGCGTGCGACTGCGCTGGTCCCGGTTTAGTCCCAGCAATGTCGCTTTGCGATCGGATGTGGGCCTTAGCAGAATTAAGATTTTTGGCCTCGGGCTCGTCTTGAATTGCAGAGCTCCCATCCGCGTTACGATACCAATCGCTCGGCGAAGGCGGTTCAACATCGGCATGTGAGAAGCTCCGCTGACGTAGACGGTTTGGATTATGTAGGTTTGACTCGGAAGTTCGTCTCGTCCTAGCGCCCTCGATCCCATAACCAGCCGCCCCGGTGTCTAGCTCGCCAGGCGCTATCTCGCCGAATAGAAGGTTACGAGGCTGAGGGACCGGCGGGGTTGATATTGGTGAGTGAGCTGGTGAGAGATTGCTGGTGGACTTTGATGCTTGAATGTGGGACCCGACCGAGACTCGAGGTTTCGCTATACGGCTCGCGAAGGACTGTGAGTTATTGGATAGCTGATCCTCGGCGACTGATTTGTTCCTTTGTGTTACCCGCGTCACCGACGATCCTGTTCCGGACTCCAAATCACGCGTTACGGACGACCGCAACGTAGCGTATGACGGTTGGCCATTTGTTGGAGAAGGACCACTTACTTTACGATATCTCGGCGATGAAGATGTCTCTCTGATTGGAATGCGTGGGGTGGTTGTGGTCTGGCGGGCGGTGGAATTACTCGACTGCGCCGCATTCTGGTCAAACCTTTTCTTTAAATCCTTCACGCTGGTCTGGGGACCGCTACGGCCCCCATATGGGGAAGTCGGTGCAGCTCTAGACTTTGGGGCACTCCCAGACTGTTTATCATCGACGGGGGCCGATACGGATCGTGTAGCAGGTCTCCTTGTGGCAGATACAGCGGGGTGCTTCGGAGGCGGCCCGTTCCCGTTTGATCGTAACGAAAGATTCTGGTCTTGCCTTGGGACAGGCAAGGTTGACGCCATTAATTCTTCGTGGGTCGGGTCTGATAAAGGCGTGTGGGTGCTACGATAGTTCCTATAAAAATCGTCGGGATCTACGACGGCCACGGGCTCGACACTGGTCGCGTTCGCATGGGCGGCGTGAAAGTTACTCGAGGCATAGGACGCGAATTCGGACGGAGACAGTGTGGGAGGCTGGTTAAGATTGGTCTCGTAGATGCGATCGTCGTAGCCAGAGGAGTCAAAGGCTGGTAGATTAGAGTTTGGGTGAGGATAGTACTGCTGTTGCTGGTGTTGTTGGTGGTGGTAGTTGTGATAGCGCTTCGGCGGCTGGTGTCTCGTTGGACTTGGACTGGACTGGGATTCAAAATTATGGGTTGCCAACGTCACACCAAGGAGTTCCTCCTCTTCCTGCATCTTCTGAACATCACCCTGACATTCAGGCGCCGATAGAATATTGTACAATACAAAATAATGAAAGTAGGTAGGTCAAGCCGAGCAAGGGTTCTTTTCCGGGCTACGTTGTCGAATTAGCTTGGGTTGCCTTGAACCTTCCTAACCCTAGGCGACTCAGGCTTCGAGCCTCTACTGTGGGAGTAATTGGACGCCAATGATCGATGGTGAGGTAGCAGCGAGAGTGTGGGGGGTGGGTAGGCTTGCAAGCGTGTGCATGCGTGCAGGCGTACACACACAGTAGTCAAAAAAGGGATTTTTGGAAAGCCATTCGACACTGTTAGCATGGGAAGACCCGCCCCTGGCTAGCTCTTGAAAGCTGTTTGGTCGTTTGGGACGTCTCCCCGAGCTTGAGTTGATGCGCTGGCAGGCCTGGCATGCAAGGTGATTTGGTGGAAGAGTTTAGTCGTTTGGCCTTTTTTTTTTTCTTCGGTCGTTTGGTAGTTTGCGTAAGGTTCGGGGGTGAGGACAAGAAAGAGGCGGTACGCTTTAACGGCCTTCCATGGTTGCTCTAGATTAACTCAAGAAAATAAACTAAAAAAAATCCACGGATGGTGGAAAGATGTAATGTTGAGGCTACCAACTAATAAAACTTACGTAGCTACCTCCTCGGTTACCTTACATTTGTATGGAGAAGTCGCTATCCGGATAGGTATCTGGGCCATCCAAGGCAAGTGCACTCCCACCCCAAATTCGCAGGTTCGTATCCATTTGATACCGTTTAGTTTGGGACCTTGTGTGTCCTAGCTCCGTCCATTGGACTTGGCTTCCCATGGAGCTTGGTACTGGTAAGTACGGTGAGTACTTAGGTACATGCCTATCTCCATATCTAGGATCATACCAGGGATCATGGCTGTTCATGCCGCAAGCATCAATCAAGGTACGAAGCCGCAAAAGTTCAACTTGGTACATCATTTCCAATCTTTATTTGGATCGCAGCCTGGGAATTGCGATACACAGCTCAGCAGATGCGGCTTTATTTCATATGATGGGGCCTTCTTGAGTGGTGGAAAAAGATTAGGGGTCATAAGCCGTTCCGCTGCATTTGCATTGGAGATCGAACCGACGGAGAACATATCCCGGACCGCTATAGGTTGGTAGATCTATTATCCAGCATCTCCTCCACAAGTAAAACCGGCGAGTCAGTGAGTCACTTGAACTACTAACTCTTCATAAGAGGGTTGTTAGCACATTCAAATCAACGATTCATGTCTAATTGACCAACCTACTATCAGGTAGGTACGCGTGGATTTGTATGAACGAAAATTTTAGGGATGGAAAAAAAAAGGAAAAAAAACTGAAACTCCCTGTTATCAAATAGCTGCTATGTTATCATGGATATCGTTGGTAGTTTTACCATTATCCATCCATGCGAAAGCTTGCAATACACTTCTAAGCTTACGTAGCTGTGGGCTTCCCAGGTACCTATGTTTTCTTTTTCCGCTTTCTGGGGAAAAGGGGGTACTACACACAAGCCGTTCGTCCAGTAATGAGACGTATTAGGAACGTCTCAGGAGTTAAGCTAGCCAGTTAAGTAAGCAATTAAATGAAAAAGCGAGTCGCTCAAAGGCCGAATAGGTTTTTTAAACCTCGTAATTCATACACCTAAAACCAAGCCACAATTCTTGGATCCCTTGCTGGAATTTTCTGAATGGTCGTCAAATTGACCTATAGACAATCAAAAGGCAGGAAATCCGGTCACGTCTGAATTATTTATTCTCCATTACTAATGTGTATTGGATGCGTTGCAACCCGTCCCTGGTCTCACTTGGTAACTCATGGGGTAGAAGAAGCGCTCTGGAAAACGAAATAGACCAGTTGGCAATGGAATACAACGTAAAATTCAGACAGGAGTGCATGCAGCTTGCATAATTCCATCGCAGCCACCCATTCACTCTCAATAATCTCGGAGGGTTTAATCAACGGAGCAGAAGCCACAATTTATACCAGACTTGCTCGTCCGTCATTATAATCAACCTGAGTATACCGATTGATGACTGCAGAAAGTGAGCCTGGTATCTAGGTATTTAGTTGACTTACAAATTGACCCGCATATGTATGTGGAAGCGTCAGTGTGCATATCGACGGCTGATGCATCAGACCGTGATCGCAAGGGGAAAGTCGCAGTCCATGATTGACGAATAACCCCCTATCGAAGACAACACAACCAACCCAAGCTTGGTCACTTAAGACCTCATCGATAAACCTCTACTACAGAGTTCAGGATTGGTCAACCTTATTCGTCCCAGAAGCTATTGTGCTGCATGATGGTTTGCCTTTCGGATCAAGCCAGTGGATGTTACAGAATGGCTCTATCACGATCCTTTGCGCCACTGCACCTCTTTTCTCCTATGCACGTCTTAGGCACGACTTAAACCCGGTAATCGTGTGTTAACGAGCCAATTGATATAATAGAACATATGAATTATAATACAAATCGTTGCTAACAACTGGGCAAACACGGTTTACATAATGAGGTAACCTATTTCAACGTGCCTATCTCGATGTCTAATGTGAATCTGACAGCGCCCAACCTGGAGTCTAACCGGCCTGGCCGGTTCAGAAGCTGGTCGGCAAACAATTTGGGAGGATCGAGAATAAAAAAGAAACATTGTAGTTGTATCGTCACCTGCTGTGTTATAAGTTTGCTTCAACTCTTCCTCAGCAGGAATAAGGATCATGATCTTGTCTCGGTAAAGTTTCAATATGTCATGAATTACCTATAGAAAGTCGAGTTCTAACGGTGACACAAAATGCATATTAAATGTAATTGCACATAGTAATATGGTCACTTTCTTAGATGCATATGTTTTCGCTTTAGTTGAAATTGAAGGGTGATAGGATTCAAGTAAAAAAATACCTGCGAAGGTACGAAGCCTTCCATGTGGTACATGAATCGATGATGTCCTACGATCTCAGTAGGATATCTTGTTACCCACTGAAAGTGGGTTGATTAATATGGGTCTGAACTCCTTTACGGGGCCGTGCCGAACGGGGAACGGGCCTTTAAAGTTGGAAGGTTCAGGGCAATCAATACTTTGGTACAATCAGACGCGTATTTACATCGACATGTCCTTCCACGCGATACGATGCTAATCTTATATCGAACATCTTCCAATCGCCATCAACAGGCCTGCATTCAAGATTCCAAACTCGTAGGAAGACGAAAAATTCTCACCGAATCTCTAGGACCTGAGCATTTAGAGTGATTGCTACCAGATAATTAAGCCGTCCAGTTTTTATGTTGGGACGGGGCAACAGCACCTTAGGCATATCCCTAGCATAAAAGCACCAGTACCATGGTCCCCGACCTAACGTGAATGCCAAATTCGGCCAGTACCAAGCCTCCCTTGAGCATCACGTTATGAGGCTGCACAATGCCTCGTCCAAGGAAGCGGAAGCGTCCGGACTCCGTCAAAGGCGGTTTAGATGCTAGACCGCCAGTAAAGAAAGGGAAGACACAACCTGAGACCAGTCAGCAGTCGGCGCCTGTGCAAGCCCAGCATGCTGTACTCAACCAATTCTATCCGCAGGTACTTACCTTGCGTAATTATGTCCTCTCTAAGCTACCTGCTACTTCTAGACTTAGAAGAAAAAAGGTCGCTGCCGTCGGCATAGCCAAGAAGCCTTCGGACTCGGCTCTTTCGGATGTAGAGCAATCATTGGGCATTTTACTTGACAGCACCCTCGTCGGAATTCCAGATGGACTACGAAGTCCGGAAGATCATATTTTGGTGGGATGGAAGAACTTCTCCCAAAAGGGGGACGAGTCCTACGTCACCCTGTCTAACGGCGTTGCTGGATTTGTCGAGACACAGACACTTGTACGACCCGGATTCCTTCCTCGTATTCATAAAATATTCATGATCGTTGAGTGCCTTGCAGATAAGCTAATATTAGAAAGCTACTAGAATACGTTGTAAGAACATTATTCTCGAGGGAAAAGACAGGCACATGGCCGAAGCATCTGCTCTGCGACGGCTTCACCACAAATCGTGGCTTAGGGCTGCGTCAAATTCGACCTAACCCGCATTTTGAGGCGTTAAGAGAGCCACCATGGCCGCAAGTCCTCGCCTTAATGGGCGAGTCGGGAGAACGCATCATGATGGACTTACTCCTTGACTGCGCCATTTTTATCACCGTAGAAGCAGGTGCGAATAATTTTTGTCAGATCAGTGGTGAGTAGTCCTGGATGGTAGCATGGCCAACATCTCATATTTACTCAAACCTAGGAAAGCCGCTGTCGGATGTTGAGGCTAGTAGCCACGAGAAGACGGGACAGCGACTCGTTAGCGATGCTGCGAAAACACCATCAGAGATCGTCTTCGTTCGTAATCGCATGCTGTACGCGAGAGCTGCTCTGAATGCCCGAGGTGTCGTACACTTTGGTCTTAGACATATCCGTGAGACCCTCGTGACTTTATATTCTATATGAAAAGTTAGCTGATATTAATAGATGTATTGAATCGATCTCCGTATAGCCAGCTTGGCGAGGAGGAGGGGCAACCAGATGAAAGTAGGCAGAAAACAAGCCTACAGAATGAAGCCCATACTCTGAGAATCATGATGTACATGTTCCCTCGTCAATTTGGACTTCACAACGCGTTTACCTCGAAGGTCAATTTCAAGGAAACATCACAAAGGCTCAAAGATTATACGCTAAGGGAAGAAGAAATCTTACAAAAGTTTGGCCGACTCAATGAGTCGACTACTCGAGTCAAGACTCCTAAAAGATTGAGAGGTTTAGTCACGGAATTGATACGAAAACTACAGATCTTACACCAACGTTGCTCCTACTCAAAGCTCATCCAACACCACTGCCCAGTAAGTCCTTGTAGCCGTCAAAAGTCAACAGAACTGACTTTTCAAGCTTCACGATTCACTTGATCACCGAGAAATTGAGGTAGTTGAAGCCGGTGTTATCCGTAAGGTTTCTCGTAAAGTAGATGTGTTGCGAAAGAATATTACACCGCAGTTCCAAAAGCAACCACCTCTAGTCCAAGGGAGCTCAATACCGTCTATCTTTGATCTAGCAACTCCATCTGCGAATATTTCTGCCTTCTGCCAGGCCGTTCTGAAAAACATTGTTCCTAATGACTTCTGGGGCAATAGCTCCGCAGCTGAACATAATGAGAACACGTTTCTCAAGGAAATAGATCATTTCATTCTGTTGAGACGGTTTGAAGTGATGTCACTCCATGAAGTCATGCAGGATATGAAGGTTAGTGCTACAACATCATGTTGACATTGAAAGACGATCCAACTAACGCCGAAAAGCTGACAGAAATAGACTGGCTTGCACCTCCAAAGCTTAGGGGGGCGAAGACTTCTCAAACAGATCTGCAAAAGCGTCGCGAGCTATTCACTGAATTCTTGTACTTTTTGTTCGATTCTCTTCTGATACCCCTGATCCGCAGTAACTTCTATGTCACTGAGTCGAATGTCCACAAGTACAAGCTGTTTTTCTTTCGCCATGATGTATGGCGATATGTGGCAGAGCCGGCGATGGCTGATTTGAAGAGCAAGATGTTTTCCGAGGTCGACCTCCTGCGCGCTAATAAAATCCTTGATTCCCGTACTCTCGGATTTAGCCAGATTCGCCTATTACCAAAAGCGACTGGGATGAGACCAATTGCGAACTTGCGCAAAAGGGTTCCCGTACGAGGAAACCCGAAGGTATTAGGTCCTGGTATCAACAGGATTCTAGCACCAGCACACACGGTCCTACAGTTAGAAAAGGTATGGATTCTTGTTTCTACCAAGGCCTATTTTATATATATCTAACATCAGTAGGCTATACACCCAGAGAAGTTAGGATCCACGCTATTTTCCGTGGGAGATATCTACAAGCGTGTCAAGTCCTTCAAGTCTAGGATACAAAAACCTGGCCTAAGATTCTATTTCGCGAAGATCGATGTACAGTCCGCCTTCGACACTATCCCTCAAGCGGCTATCGTCAGCTTGCTTGATTCTATACCTCAGCAGCGCCGGTATAAAGTCTCAACCCACCTTGAAGTGGCGCCAAACTTGATGAGCCAAGCGGATGACACTACCAAACCCAAACCTGTGAAGAGGTGGCCTTCCGCAGCAATGAGAGACGGCGATGATTCTACGCTTCTTCAGCAGCTCAAATCAGGGAAGGCGGCCGCGAAGAAAAACACTGTATTCGTCGACAGGTGGAAGAAGTATTACGACACGGGAGAGCTTCTCCAGCTCGTGGCCGAGCATATCCAGCAAAATCTCGTGAAGATAGGGAAGAAGTATTATAGGCAAAAACAAGGTATTCCACAAGGATCCATATTATCTTCTACGCTTTGCAATTACTTCTACGCTGACCTTGAAATTCACGTCCTACCATTCCTGGATTCCAAGGACTGTCTGCTTCTACGGTTGATTGATGACTTTCTCCTCATCACTACGGACAAACAGAAAGCTATCCGTTTAGTAGAGACAATGCATCAAGGCGTTCCAGAATACGGAGTTACCGTGAATCCCCGAAAGACTCTTGTCAATTTTGATCTAGTTATGAATGGAGAACCCGTCGCGAAAGCAGATGCTGACCAGGGGTTCCCTTACTGCGGCACTACTATCGACTGCAAGACCCTGGATATATCCCGTAATCGGGGGAATGAGCCAGACACAGGTAAGCTGCTAGCCCAATCCCTACTTTCCGGTCTCGATTTCTAGGAACTAACATGACCTAGGCATATACAACTCCCTCACAGTTGAATTTTCGCGAACGCCAGGGCGAACGTTCCAGCGGAAAGTTCTTAGTAAGGCTCCTTCAGGCCCAGCATATGACAAACCTCTGCATCCCCAACTGACACGTCATATAGATGCCTTCAAGATCCAAAGTCATCTCATGTTCTTCGACTCAGAGCTCAACTCGGCCTCTACCATGCTGAGAAACATCTACAACTCATTTATCGAAACCGCCACCAAAATGTGGGCATACGCCCGCTGCTTGCCGGCGCAGAAGCAGCCGTCAGCAGTACTCGTCATTAGTAAGTGCTAGCCCAAATAAATGCATAGCATCGGTATACTGCCGTATATATATTTTTAAACGACTAACCAATACCACTAGGGACGATATCCAAACTCATCGACATGGCCTTCCTGCTTCTCATAAGTAGGACCCGCAAGCTCCGATACCCAGGCTACACTTGCGATGTCAAGAAGCCCGAAGTATCTTGGTAAGTTCGACTTCGTTCCCTTCGGAAGATTCAACTCTTGGGCATGGCTGATATATTTATCCCAGGCTTGCCTACAACGCCTTCCGTAATGTACTCGAGCGGAAGCAATCCAAGTACGGCGTGACCCTTGCCTGGCTCAAGGCCGAGATAAGGAAGCTAAGTGTCCAGAGGGACATCCGCTACGGACGCGTAACTCAAGTGTCTTGTACTTGGCCCTAGTAAAACTCAGTATATTCATGTAATTTGTAATAGCATTCACTGCGTTACGGGCGTTACACACTTCTATAATCTTAGTAGACCTTAAACCTGATTCTAATGAAAGCACCTCTAGCATGCACTACTTACCCACCCTCCTACCTACCTCTAGTCTAGTAGCCAAACCACTCTTCTATATGCCCATCCTACTAAGATGCATTACACCGTGCTGAATTTTCCAGGTCTGGGATCCCACACCCCTGAATACTCGAGTAAATGCCATAATACCCAGACTAAACCAAATTCAAATAGCAATCCCCACCTCCCACCACCTCCTCCCTTGATACCACCGCACCAGAGACCCCACATCGACCCTCCACACGCGCCTATCCGCCACGGGCCCGATCCCGAGGGCGCGCAGCACGGAGACAGGCACGGGCTCGAAGAGCCAGATGCCGCAGCGCGCGAAGTCGTCGACGAGCAGCCAGCTCGTGGCGAACATCCAGACCGTCACGAACGCGAGGTTCCCGGCCCTCCTCGCCCAGCGCGGCAGGCGTTTCGTATACGGGGCGAGCAGGCGCGAGAGCCGCGACTGCAGCGTGGTGCCGAGGCCGGCGAGGAAGAAGAACAGCGGGGGCGCGTACCAGCGCGAGTGCGACGGCACGGCGCTATGGCTACCGCTCGCGTGCAGGAATCCCGAGGTTAGGAAGGCGAAGGCGGCGCTCGTGAGCTGGGCCGCCGGGGAGCCGGGCTTGAGGTACTTGTGGCGGAGGAAGAAGCGCGTCGGCGCGGAGAAGCCGAAGCGGAAGGTCTGGTGCCACCAGGCGCCCCAGAAGCCGGCGAGGCCGCGGTCGAGGACCTGGGCGAAGGAGCCGTTGACGGTGGGCAGGTGCCAGGGGTGGGCGCGGAAGCGCAGGATCTGCGGGAAGGGCGGCAGGAGGGCGAGGGCGATCTGCCCCGCGCTGAAGAGCAGGCTGAGCGCGCAGACGGTGCCGGCGAAGGATAAGGTTGTGCGGTAGAGGAAGAGGGAAAAGGGGGATAGGGAGGAGAGGTGCGGCGGGAGCGGTTTGTTGTGCTCGGGCCCGAGAATGAAGTACGGGTCTGCCGTCATGAAGACGGCGCAGAAGTCGGCGATGATGTAGTTCGGGAGGATGTTGTAGATGAGCCGGTTCAGAAACAGTTCCTTGCGTGTGAGACATCGTGAGTATCCCTGCTTGGTGCGTTGCGGGCCGACGGAGCTTAGAGGCAGCTGGTAGTTGCCGACTTCAGCAGGTGGTTCGTAGGGTGGCAGGCATGGAATCGCCCAGTTCCAACCCGTCATGCGGAATGTACTGACGATATCGAATACCCAGTCTATTCGCGTCCAGAGAGAGGCATCCGCTGGGTATTCTTGCCAGTAGTATTCAAATTCTTGTTCCGCCGCTAGCTTCTCAAGTTCAGCTGCTGACCAAGTCCCATTTCCATTTTCTCGTGGTGACGGTAACATCTCTGAGATGCCGGTCCCTTTCTCAGGTGGCTTCGTCCCAGTATGCGTCCGTCTTTCTTTAACATTATGGAGTGGCCCATGGTCATTAGCTCTATGTTCGTTTAATTGTAACCCAGTTGCTTGAGATTGCTCTCTAGGATCCTCTTTGGTACAGCCCCCGGCGAGTTCATTCGTAGCAGCATTACCATTCTCTAGAGTTTGAGATGATGCCAGAGTAGTCGATTCTTCATGAGAATTACTTCTCACATCCTCTAGTGTTTTCTTCCTCCTGATATTCACCCTCTTAGCTTCCCATTGCGGTCTTGTCCAGACGAGCAAGGTGAAATTCCATACGACACCCCAGGAACCGACAAGACCGGCGCCATAACCAGCAGCACAATCGGGGCTTGAGACATGAAGTATAATGTTAAGGTTAAAAGCCACAATGAAAGCGAGAACAAGCCACCTGGCGCGGTAGAGCCATGGTCGATTCTTGTGCGGTATAGCCAAATATAGAGTGGGTATGATCCAGACGCCGAGCAGGTGTAACGGAACTAAGAACGGTGTCTTAGTACCCGCTCTCACATCATTCTGAAACTTTGCGCGGTAGAGTTCTCGGTACGTCGTTGCTAGATTAGCATTTTGGTGGTCCATCTCTCAACGGTCCGGGGGAACAAGGTTATAGTGCTCAAGCTTTTTGCTCAGAGATGTGCGTATGGATCTTTCCAGCGGTGAACCTTGTTGATATTCCAGCGGCCACGTTTAATTTTTAGGGTCAGCTCCTTATTATTCCCTATGAAGGGAGGAAGCTTTGACCGTTTTCGATTTGCCAAAATCAAGTAAGGAAAGACTCCGTTATTAACCAAGACGTAGTTGGTTGTAGAGTCTAGGTAAGGGTATATAAGTCTATAGCCCCTAAAATAGAAAACATCTTCGAGTGACTGTCTTCGTTGACGTAGATGAAATGTGCATCACGCCTTGTATTCTATAGGCTCCGCACTCCGAACCGGCGTAGCTTTTTAAGGAACCAGGGGACTGTCTTACCAACTAAGACATAATCGAAGGCTCTGGGCCTAAGGTGTCACAATCACACTTTGATCAGAAGATTGTCAGGATGGATGTTGTGAGATCCACACTTACAACTCAAAATGGAGCGGATGTGGCTTGATATTGCCACTATGTCGTACTAGTGAGGTCTAAATATTTAAGCTCCCGCTTGTGATGACGTCAACTCGTCTATAGGCTTGGGTATATGCATGTACCGATATTGCATATCTACTAGTTCATGTCACTCTCTACCTGAAATAGTTTTCAGCAGTTTTTAAGGCTGACTGAGGCTGCCAACTTGCCTGTTCCCCGTTCCTGATCGACGCAAGAGAGGTGCTAACATTGATCTGATCTCCTAACCTATGATTAGATCCAACCCACCCCTGCGATACGCCGCGATGCATGCAACGCTCCTCGATGTGAAGATGCGCCTAAAGTATATTAAACGTGGGGGTTCATACGGTTACTTTCACTATCTAATACCCTATGTATTACTTTGCGAACCCGCATTTCAAGTCCGACCAGAACGAGTTTTACCCGACAAACATAGGAAACCGTACGTGCATATACCAGCACCCATCCATCCATAATCGTGGGTATATTTCAGAAGTCATAATTCATCGCCCTCCGTGTACGCAATGCCCGAATAAAAAAACCGTCCCTGATGGCAATACTCCCAAACATCCGTGGATCAGTTTGCGGTCCAGGACCAGAATTTAGCACTCAGACGCCAGAGCACCCATAGTGAGAAGAGCACCACAGCACATAGTCCAAGTAGGATGCTACGCTGGAGCTCGAAAGCATCTGCTGCTTCCATCTTCATAAGCTTCTTCTGTTTGGTGTGGTAATACCAACGTTCCTCATTTGGCCCGGCTCTCTGTGATTCGCGTCTCTTTCGATCAACCCATCCGTACGGCTGTGGGCTGAACACTATTCGATCCAACCATGAAGGCGAGGCCCAGGAAGGCAGACGATTGTATTGCTCCGAGTGTTCCTGGATACGCTTGGCATGATAATGACAGTCCACGAGGTAAAGAGATAGGAGGAACGACACGAAGTGAATTGGTGTCAAGATCGCCTATGTTACTTGCCATGTTAGTATGAACCCGACCACCACGAGTCATGGCTTGTTCAAGAGCCGACTCAACTCACCTGGAAAACGCTCGATCGTTTCCCCCCGCTAGCCTCCGAGCGGGATGCTGTCTTTGATTCCATGATTGCTCAGTTGGGGACCTAGCTGGGTACACAAACAACTTTTGATATTGACAATTACGAGCTGGATTGATTCGAGTGGTGAGTGGAAGTAAGCTCGGGAGGACAAACAAAAACGGATGGATGAACGTTGCTTTATCACTGTAGGAAGGAGCGAAAATTCCCTAAGATGGCCGATGGTTATAGTTCGGCACCCGACCCGCCCGAACTCCTGTACGAAGTTACGAATTACGAAAACCGCGTCCGATTGGATGCGACGATGCTGCGACTTGTCACTTGTTCTGCTTCGCCCCCAACTTTGGAGATCTCGACGGCGCGATTGATCTAGACAACCCGTTAAATCTGCCTGGAGAGCACTCATCCCACCCCACCCGCTCGCACTTGCGTAACGCTTTACCGTGCAAAGCCACTTACAAGTTCACAAGCCTTGCGACGGATTATACTCCTAATGCCGCTACGGCATGCCATTATCACAACATCTCCTGATTTTTATATTAGTATAAACATGAACACATTTTGGCGCCATGACATTGGTCTAAATTTCTTCTATAAGAAAGTATTTGCGCGTTCCATTTTCCTATCCGAACCTTTTCCAGGAATGGTATTTGTCTACCCCCTATATCGTGTGCGAATTTGCACGTTCTAACTTCTAGTGTTCGCGATATCTAATACTAGGATGTCCGTTGCTCCAACCTTGGATAACTCGTCCATTATCGGCGCGATTTTCTTCTTCTCGACCATTACGCTGACAGCGACCCATCCGTCTTCTTCCAACGACGTTACTGTTGGCGCTCGCTTCCCGGGCGCGATCTTCGTGGCAGCCACAAGGCCAGACCTCTCAACATTATATTGGCACAGCACGTATCGTTGGGCAGTGATGACGCCGCGGATTCGGGCAGCGATCAGTTCGACAAGCTCCGGATTGGAGGGCTTCCGCGACTTGATCAATATTGCCGTCGTCTCGATAACGGTATCAATTGGTTTGAGCCCCGCAGCCTTCATTGTTTCTCCAGATTCTAGTATAGTCAGTATGGGCCCGTCGCAAAAGTGATTATTTAAGGAATCGTACCAACTAGATCGACGATCCCGTCTGCTACTCCGAGAGCGCAAGCAGCTTCAACACTGCCACTTAGCTCAATGATCTTGGTTCGTAACTTGCTGGAGAAACCGGCACGAGGAGCATCATTTGTCGCATCCTTTGCCGCATCCTCTTCTAATTCTAGGTTGGCAAAGTACCTGTGAGCCAAATTTACGAAACTTGTGCCAATGTTCTTTCCAATAAGGTCCTTGGGCGAGACATAACTGCCTTTCTCGGGAACCTGAACCTGTAGCTTGCAGCCTCCGAATCCTAGGTCCATAACGGTTTCGCATCCGGAGCCTCGAGAGTTCCGCTCAGTTTCTTCTTCGGGGGTGATCTCTCCGGAAAAGCGCCGTGCACGGTGGAGAGCCCTAATTCCAGCATCGTGCTCCTGCACTTGATCCCATCCTGTAATTCCCAGGTCGACTTGACCTTCTCCCACAAATGTAGGTATATCGGCGGCGGGGAGGAAGATGAGAGCGATCGGGAGATTCTTTACCAATGCTATGTCAAGTCTGTTCTCTCGCCTAAATTGTATATCCGCGCCCTCTAGTAGATTAAGAGTAGCCTGGTTAAGTCGGCCCTCTATTCGGCGAGTCAGTATTATCATTGACCATTTCGAAGCATAGATAAGGCATCCTACTCTTGGGAACGGCAAACAATAACCGGCCTTCTAAGCTGTTCAATTGTAGGGGATTAGCCATGACGATGACAATGACTGAATCAGGAGAACTCGAAGCTTCCCCTCGTATAAACTGGCAGAGCAAAACAATGAGGGTGGACGAACTGGTTGACTAAATCCATGGTTGGGCCTCGACAATGCCCTCGACAACGCAATTAGTGACTCCAAAATGCAGCAGCTTGATGTTGCAGATTGTTGCAGATGGGCGCAGATTTTTCAACTTTTGATAGGCCAATTGAATAGATATAGAATCGTTTGACCTATATTATTGCTAGACTCGTGCCGCGATGGCTTGATGGCGTTTGCTTGCGTGCTTGGAGTGAATATGCCCTTACTTTAGAGGTGAGATGATGGATGATAATTTTCAAACCTAAGTCAAAAATCTACAACCCCACGTTCCTGAATCGGAGCTCCCACTTCGTTCATTCAATGGCGGGGCAGAGAAGCTGCTACGAACTGTCTTAGGTAAGGCTGGAACAGTTGGATCCATGTACATGTACCGATTCCTCCAGTAACCATCTTACATTTATATACGTGGCTTCTATCTAGTAAGATGACAGGCAAGGTGAAATGTTGAATAGAATTGCAAGTTTCTTTCTCTATATTGTTTCCAAGCTTATACCACCAGCTATCATCCATAAAACAAGTTACGTTACTCAATAATTTCTTATTGTATGACTTGACGATACCCGGACCGGACGTACATGTACTTAAAGGGTGAAATAGAGGTGTTTAAGCACTTAAGCGAACCAACGCGCTGGGACAGTTGCCGCGATCCGTACCTGCCTGGTCAGTTGGTTAGCTGATAGCCGATAGAAGTCTTGGTAAAACTGCGCCTGCGCGCCTACCTGGGTAGCTGCTTCGTATGCTAATTTAAGCAATGCTAATGTGTTGTGTAATTGCCGCTTACCCGCTTCGAGAGTTAGACTTCGAGAGTTATGGTCGATTTTGTCTAAATTGTTTGAATTAGATAGAGCCTTTGTTACCTCTAGTTTCTCTAGATCCAGCCATAAGAGTAATAACCAAAGATGAGTTACACGAGGAAACCGGATGTAATAGTTGCTCAACGTCAGCGCTTCGCAACCACATAACGCCTTCTGCCAACGAAATGCGCTTTCGTGTTTCACTTGAACAGTACAGATTTTGCTGCAATGCCGAGCCACAGTGGAGCGCGACTATGATCCACAAACACATCCTTGCCCCCTGGCATATTACGCATATTACCATATTACGGTCTTGGGGGTGTTCGGGGTCTTGGTGTTGCTAATAATTACTACGTAGTATTACCGGATCTCCTAAACCTCGACGGTCCCAGCATTTCGCAAACATCGCGAGACGACTTGATAAGGCCAGCTTTTCTTTCAGCTCGCCATGGTCGCAACAACGCTCGGGTAACAACGAAACTTTAAGCATTGGTATCTATAATAGATAAATACTATTAGACAAAATAGATATGTACGAATCTTCCAAAATAACACCGGATTTAAGAGATAATTCCAATATAAATCTTGCGCAAGGCTGACTGACATCGCTTACATAGTACAGCGCGAATCCGAAGACGACGACGATTGGGCTGACAGCCCCGACAAACCGGACAATATGTCGAGATGGGCTGGGCAACCGTCCATAAAGGGCAGCACCGAAGCCGTGCGTATGGCTCTGCTAACCCTCAACACCATCGGCATAACGTACGTCGCAGCCATGTAACACGGTAGTTGACGAGAGGGAGCGCTGACTAGACTATTGCTTATAGGTTCGTCTGGGGAGTAGAGCAGACCTGTAAGATTCACAATTCCAACACGGATACCTTACATACCTAACCAAATCTAATGGAACCTCCATCTAGACTGTACTCCCTACCTCCTTTCCCTCGGCTTGACGAAGAGTAAAACTTCCTTGGTGTGGATCGCCGGTCCGCTTTCGGGTCTTATTGTCCAGCCCATCGTCGGCGCATTGGCAGACGAATCGACGTCGAAATGGGGGCGGCGCAGGCCTTTCATCGTTCTCGGCTCCATATTATCGGCTTTCTGCCTTCTCACGTTGGGCTTCACAAAAGAGATAGTAGAATTCTTCGTACCCGATCACCCTGCAACACAAACTGTTACGATATCTACGGCTGTCTTGGCTATATACGCGGTTGACTTCTCCATCAATGCCGGTCAGTCAATGTTCCTATAATTAGACGTGCTCGAGTCATGTTATACTAAAACTACTGCTAGTAATGTCCGCGGCAAGGAGCTTAGTCGTTGATACGCTTCCAATCGAGAAGCAACAGACAGGATCCGCATGGGGTATGACTAATGGATACACTGCCGGGCTTTTGCTTGCTAACATCGTTAACAGGTAGCAGAATGTCAGCCATTGGCCATGGAATTGCTTATGCGACCGGTGCTATTGACTTGCCGTCGATTCTTGGGACATCCTTAGGCGAGACTCAATTCAAGCAATTGACCGTCATTGCCGCTTTGGGGCTTGTTTTCACCTGCGGAGTCACCTCTTGGGCAGTCACAGAGAGGATCTTGATCGCCCCGAGACATGACCCTCGCAAGGAAGATGGAGGGTTTAAGGTTGTCAGCCAAATATGGTCGACTATAGTACATCTCCCGCCTCGCATACGAGCAATCTGCATGGCGCAGTTTTGGGCATGGATCGGATGGTTCCCCTTTCTCTTCTACAGCACGACATGGATAGGGGAGACGTACTTCCGCTACGATGTCGTTCGTGAAGCAAAAGATTCGGGGGATGCGTTAGGCGAGATTGGTAGAGTTGGAAGCGAAGCTTTCATTATTTACTCGGTTATTACCTTTCTAGGATCGTGGATCTTGCCCATGGTCATTAAATCTCCGGATGACGAGAGTTATACGCAACGTCCTCCAGAGGCACTCAGGGGCGTCGTTGAGAACCTCAATAAGTATAAGCCAGAACTTCTGACAGCGTGGATGTGGGGCCACGCAACTTTTGCCGGTGCTATGATGTTCGCTCCATTTGCGAAGAGCTTCAGATTTGCGACCTTCCTTGTTTGCCTATGTGGATTGTAAGTGCTTTGTATCTGCAAACATGGTATTCTGAATTGACCCTAACTCTTCATAGGCCTTGGAACATAGCGTCGTGGGCACCTTCTGCTTTCCTTGGGGTTGAGGTTAACAAGCTAAGCGGTGCAACTGGACCCAACGCTTCATATCGTCGCCTATCACATCCCTCGCCTATAGAGATGGAGGAACTCAACGGATCCATCTTAGACCCGGATGATTCACGGAGCGGTTCTAAGTCAAATCCGACAGGCCAATTGTCCGGCGTTTATTTCGGCATTCTGAACATTTATACGACGATACCCCAGTTCATCGGCACAATCCTCAGCACCGTTATCTTCAGCATTCTCGAGCCAGGCAAAAGTCCCGAATTGGCACATAACGCACATCCAAATGAACACCACGGAACCGACGGGCCTAACGCGATTTCCGTATGTCTGTTCATCGGGGCTTGCAGCGCGGTCATGGCCATATTCGCGACCCGGAAGTTGAAATATTTGTGAGGCTCGCTTGTATTAGACTTGTATGGTATGGATAGGTGGGTAGCATTACGGGGCAAAATTACTTCTATTATGACTTTGTAATGGCTCTGGGGGTGTGTTATAAAACGGGCTTGGTGGATAAAGGCGTTCAGGGGGTTGGTTTAGGGGTATGGTCGTCAGCCTAGAATTGATTTGAATTTCATTGTGTTATCCATGGATGACAAAATTCGTTGCGAGACAAGAGTGCTAATGATGAAAATTCAACTGTATTAAAGGTAAGACCGACTGAATCGAGGCCAGATTCTTTGAAAAGGGGCAATGCTCGCTATCCCTATTACTTGGATAGAGTTCAAGGATTCCTGGTAAAATATCTTGATTAGATAACGACCCCACTATAATTTATATCACAGTTCACACATTTCCCAAAACTTAACCAACTTTTTCACTTACTCTTCGATCGCCTACCTCGAGACCAACTGAACATCGCCTCGTTAAATCAACCTGACAAAAATGGTTCGCATCATCGTCTCTCCAAACCTCCCTAAACTTCCATACTAACTCCTCTACCCAGGCGCCCGTAGTCCCCTCCAAGCGACGCTCCCTCCGCGCCAAACTCGCCGCCCGCAGCGGCCCCTCGCCCTACGCGCCGCGCCGGGCGCCGCGCCCCGACGCCGCCGAGACCAGCGACGCGTTCGCCAACTCGAAGAAGGACAAGCGGCTCGTCAAGCACGCCTCCTTCGTGTCGCGGATCGAGAAGGCCTCATCCTCCAAAGAAAAAAAGCTAAAACGAAGACGTCCAGGAAAGAAGTTGGTAACGAATCTTGATGCGCTGGCCGACGCGCTGCCGGATCTGATGGCGGATGGAGAGACGGAGGAGGGGCTGAGACAGATGAGAGAGGGGAGGGTTAGGCATAGGAGTTTGAAGGGCGGGAGGGGCGCGATGAAGAGGAAGGAACGCGTGGTTAAGGGTGAGGTTAGGAGGTTTGGGGTTAGTTTGGCGAGGCTGAATGCTGTTCAGGAGGAAGGGGCGAAAGGTGTGGATGGGGAGAGGAGCGCGGATGCTGGGGAGAGCGGCGAGAGCCAAGGTGCGCCGGCGGTGGCGCCTACGTCGACTACGCAGCGTTGGGCTGCGCTGCGAGGCTTCATTTCGTCGACTATGGAGCAGAATCCTGCGTTTATTGGGAAGCAGGATGGGAAATGAAGACGGGTGACCTACGAAAATTACAGAATAAGTCATCAAGTCATCTGGATCATTTCAGACGAAAAAAATTCTTACGTTATCAGGTAAGAAAAGCTGGATCTACGTCTTCATTATCTCATGCTAATATGATCTACTCAGAAATCAGAGGCTCGAAGGGAAAGCCCCTAACTACCTACATAGCCTCTGGCTGCGGCGGGCTGGTATACCATTATGCTTTCTGTGGCAAATCGGTCTAGTCAAACAGTGTCTCATAGTCCAGAACTACCTATCTATGAGGAACTATACGTTGAGAGACTATAGTCTATCAAGGGCTACGCAGCAAGATATTTTGGCAAGGCTGGCAGGGCTGGAGAAAATATGCACCAAGCCCAGAGAGCTATAGTACGAGCCGCATGCTTGGGGCACAGTCATATCTCCATTGACGTGCTTACACCGAAGAACCTGTTTTGGGCATGCACATATGTCCAGATCTCAAGTACCCTCTACCAAGAATAGAAAATACGTCTTGTGCCCGAACCTCGTCCATAACGTCCACATGAAGTTTTAAGCAGGCCACGATCTGGCCTTAGATACCGTAGAGCTTCGTAAAGCCGTAGCGTGGAATATTTAATCATAGAAAGGACATAACCGGGCCAGAAATATGTATCATGGTTCCAACCCCTAAGCTCATTATTGCAAAGTTATTGGGTCTCTCGACAAAAGTGATGCTACTCACCTGGGCAGGGAAGCAAAAGGTCACTTCGACACTGGTGCTTCCAGCAATCTCACGACCTACCTCAATAAGCGCCTGGCGAGAGGTTCGGTAGAAGTACGATACAATACGTAGGTAAGGGGACACCAGAACGGCCGTAAGTTATTAAAAAGCCATAGGTATCTGGACGTTGGTGTCCATCCATCCATCTAACACTCAGCACTAACCCATGCTTCATCGTAGCTGGGAGGGAAATGGGCAACGGCCCGGTAATGTAAGCCAACGGTAACGTTTGGACACTCCCGCATAACGGATGATCATCACCCGCTGATAGGGTCGGTCCCATTTCGTACGATAAATCAGATAGATCCATAGGGAGACGGGGGCGTGGAGAAAGAAGAACTTTCGGACTGAAAGCTATGTAGACGTCTAGGGATGGAGCAAACAACTCCATCTTTACTTGGCGATATAATCTAGCACTGATATCCTATACTTATCTCAGAAGTTAGCTAACATGTCACCATTTTGAGAATTATTGGGGAATTAATCTTAAGAGAATTTTAACTCTTTTATTTGCCTGATTAAAAATCGAGGAGTGGTATGGCGATATGAAAGAAGTGGCTAGAAGACGATAAGAATCCCCCGAGTATCTCATGTGTGATAGACCACGACTTCCATCTGACCCATACAGATAGACCCCATCAGATGGCTTGCCTGCATTCAGTAAAAATTCGCAATTCGCTAGTAGGGGACGCAATCCGGTGTATGATGGTCGTGTTATGCATCGTTCCATAAAACTGGTATCCATCCAGTTAGAAAAAAAACCCAAAAACAAAACGCTGTCTCCAAATCCATCCGTGATATGCAAGCGCGACGATATATGTCGCAATGTCGAATTCTTTGCCGTCTCGGTCCTTCGCGAGAGCCTGGCATCATGTCAACTAAGGACGGCACACAACTCATTGCTGTAAGACATGGGCTCGTACGTAGGCTTGTTAGACTCGGGTTCCTAAAGTCGGAAGGTCAAATTCGCCGAAGAACAAGTGACAATGAGCTGAGTTGATGCCGCGAGAGATTAGTCATCGTCTCGATTGGCTATCTCCTCGACCTCCTTCCAGCTAGCCTCGTCCAGGAACGTTCTCTATTCGATCCGAGGTGGCGTGTTGCTTGGTGTCAGTCGTCGTCGTTCGCCTTCCTTGCGCAGGTTCTCGATAATCTTGAGCATTTCCTTACGTGCTCCGATACTATCGATGGCTTTCTGGGCCATGCTCATCGAAACCTTGTCGCCGGCATTGACGGACAGCAGACGCTTAATGAGGAGATGTCGCATCACAATGCAGACGAAAACACCGCAGTCGCTACCATTCTCCTGCTGTGGGGAATCGGTCAAGCAGTGAAATCGCAAGGTTATTTTAAGCACGCTTGACAGTCTTTTAGACGCCTCCCATGCCTCCTTGTTGTTTGCGCCGTCGAGCGAGTCGTAATGGAAGGCCACACCATCGATGATGCTCACGACGAGTAAAGACCAATGTGTTCCACCTTCGGCCTGGTTGACGTTGCGCGCGTCGTTGATGGGGAGGAAGATGTGGGTGATACCTCGGAAATCCGGCAGCGCCGTACGAACCATCTCGGTGTCTTTGTTCTTCATCAAGAGGAAGGTCATCGATGGACGTAAGAGGACGATGCGTGCTTGGGGGTACTTCACAAGCACTTCTCGCTCCAAGAACTCCTCCCAAAAGGCGATGTTCTGCAAAGCAATTTACATATTAGTTGAAGCTGGAAAGGAAGTTGTTTTACACGTAGGGCACTCACGTTATCAGTCAACCAATCATGCTTAAGAGCCTTGATATCCTCGTACGTCACTAGCCAGTGTCAGTCTTGCGGCAAGGCCGGAATTCAATATGGAAAAGCATACAACAAATATCATAATCTGAAAGGGGGCCTGTCAGTAAGCGCATATTCTTAGCAATAGAAGCGAATTTAAATACTTACACGAAAGGTAAGCTTGGGTCGGCGAGGGAGACGGCGATAGCTGGTTTCTTCTTGAGCGCAGTCTACGAGAACGGGGTCTTCGGCGTCTGGGGCTCACACTATCATTCAGCCTGCGAGATAACCTCTCGCGAAACGTCATCGTGAGACCTGTTGTTAGTGCACTCGCGGGAAATTGTCAAGTTACGGTCGTTCTCGTGCAACCGCCTGGTGCTTGGTTTCGTCGGTGTCTGGTTTAAAGTCGCCTTGAACGTTTCGCAAGAGGATGTACGTAGGTGTTCGTAGGTGTACGTAGAGAAAAAGAGGGTGCGGGGTGATCGGTTGAAGTTCGATTGATTATGGAGTGAGGAATCGAAAGGAGTGAAGGTGGTTGGACCTAAGGAGGGAAATGTCGTCGTCGTGGGTCGTTGAATAATAGGTAGGTGTAGGTTGGTTATGTTACTTCAAATGAAAGTAAAAGGCAGATGCTGTTCAGCTTTCAAATGCTTGTAAAAGGATCGCGAATGAATGTATGTATCATCCCTTGGTAAGGGGACCTAGAACGATCTGCGGAAGAGTGTCAACGGCGAGCTAGCCTGAAATGACGACAGCCGAGATCCAAGTGCTGGCGTAGCGCAGAATCGAACTAGGGAAAGAAAGAAAGAAAAAAAAGAACGTGGTCAAGAAAGGTATGGTGTGAAGGTGTCGCAAAAAAAAGAGGTAAAGGACTAGAATGAGAAAGTTGGATGGGCAATTGAAGATTTCTCTATGAAGTTGGTGGAAGAAATCTTTGAAGAGGGAGAAGAAGAAAATGAGATGATCAACGTACAATTGTTCTAGTATTGTATGTGTCGAGTTATCGAAGATCAGATTCAGAGTGATAGTATTATCTGAGGAAGGAACGAAGAGAAAGACGATTTTTAGGATGATGGGAAAGCCGAATTGCGGGGTGAAATGGATGTACATTCAGTACACCTTACTTACATCTATCTTCCCTGTCGCCTGTATATAAAGTACCCAGCCATCCCGGCAACCACAATGCGATTTTCCCTATTTTATTCAATCTTGAGAATTTAACAAGTACGTACATGTACTTCCCGTTCGACCAATTAGGCATAGAGACATAGGTACGTACTTGCAAGTAGCACATGCTTAAAAGACGAATAAACGGTAAATGTAACAAGTCGCCTGATACCTGGGACAGCAAATATATTGCCACCTAGCGGTGAGGTGGCTTCACAGATGGACCGTTAATTAACCTGTATATTTCAAAGAATACAATGCAATGTACAGGCTTGCTTATGTTCTACATACATAGCTGGTTACGAGAGCGCGTATCCATGTATCCGAGGACCTAAGGTCATCAGCCTTATGGGGAATATTAAAAGAATCAAATACGGAATGACGAATATTTAGCAAGGCTGACCGATCCATTCTTATTACTCGCCAAAAAGCCTGAGTAAGTTTATTGAGCAAATGCTCCGGTGCGTAGTAAGGTAGTAGTAGGTACCTAGCATTGGTATCTAGAAACATAGGTACACTTTATGTAAGAACGGGAATTGGTGGTTTGGTGGTTCAGATCTGATTTTCTACGGGGATTAGGTACATGTAGATACCGTAGATACATTGGAATATATCGGTACAGGGAGATACATAGATACATAGATACATACAGAACTGTGTGTTCTCTCGTAACACGACATCAATCACTCCACATTTCAAGCGTTCTGTTTCAGGCATGTAAAAGCTTGGCATGTGCTTCCCTTCTAAGCCCCACGCACTGACACGACGACCTCTTACGATTCAAGCCAGTTCAAGACTTATATCTCCCCATTGGAAATACGCATAGTACTAGTATAGCTACTACGATTGGTAGGTAACTAGAGATATTTACATCTTTTATCACTGACTAGGGGCGAGATGAAATGCTTCATGTTGACCCGACAACCGAGGCAGAGGTAGACTCATAGACACTTCGTGGACTACAAGGAACATCGCAGGTCTTGGTGGATGTCATATCTTCTAATGTCCTATTTGCGTGAATACCATCCTTGCCAGCTTCAGACTAGGCAGGGCGTAGGGTAGTTGAGAAGAAGGCATGCTAAGTAGTAGGTAGGGTGTATCAAAGGTCTTAAAACCAACTAAGCATCAACATCGGTCTCAAACACGATTTGTGAACCACGAGTCAGCGTTATTTGTCAACCATGTCAGGCATAGAATTAGTAGCACTACAGCAAAGTTAACCCCCCTATTGAAGAGCGCGAGGCCTTGTCCCAGCTGACAGTCTTAATGAAGACCGAATAAAATACATACCTTATAGCTCCCCAAGATCGATTCAGCCTTAGGTGAACCTAAACATGTGGAGTACCTAGTAGTGTATGAATATGATCTCGTCATCCCGGATATCAATAGCTCAAGCTTCGATATGGACTTATACTTGTCTATTCGGCACTGATTAGCTAGGAGTTCCTAGAGACTTCTCTAATGTAAAATGGCATTGTCGATAGTAATAGCTAACATATAGAGGTTCTCACCTCGTTACAAAAGCTACATGATGGTCACATTACATAGGTATGGATGCTTAGTAGTCGCTTCCCATCATTTTTATCCCATCAATCAATATCAGACATCACAACTTATGAATTTCCATCCACACGAAATGAGGGTGAGAATAAGTGGTATAAATTTAAATCTATAATGGAAATGAAGAGAGCGATTATATCTAACAATAGATACAGTGCGTAGGTAGAAATTTCGAGACTAATCTCGCCCCTAAAGCACCCGTCAAAATAACGACAAAAGCGATTGTTTAACCCAAGTAGCTCGAGGGCGAAATTAATATGATTATTAGGTATGATTTAGCACGAGTGGATGAGGTCGTATATATCAGAAGATTATGTACTGGCCTGATGCCTATATTGGTGTCAAAATTCACCTGGATTACCAGCTTAATACTTAGAGTCATAGTTCAAGCCTCTTAGTTTCTATCCATATCCTTAACCAGCACTTGCTCCTAGGTAGTACTTACCTGACATAGAGCTATTCTAGGTAAACACATGTCAAACATTGTCTGCGGACAAATGCTGCCTTCGCAATAATATATGGATAAACTTAGTGTCTTTACATACACCGACAATAACCTATACGAGGCTAGAGATTTAAAGATGCTATTCGAAGACTGAGAATGAAAAGCTAAGGAAATACTGGAAAAGATAATGAAAAGGGGCTGGAGCTTCTTGGAAGCTCGCTAGAAAGTTACGGCTATTACTATATGTTACATTCTTGTGAATAGACTGAGTGTAGAATATGATAATAAGATGAGGCTTACAAATCTGCCCCTGGAATCACCCATATCTCGATAATGGAAGGGAGTTGAGTCCTTAGTGGAGAGCATGAGAAAATCACAATGATCAGCATCATAGAATTGGACATGAACATAGAAAATATGTATTGTGGCCTTGAGCCGTTCTCCTGGATTTGGTATCTCCCGCTTGCATCGCAATTGGATTCCCGAGGTATCATACAAACCTAAGTAAGATAAATATATCATGACCAAGCTCGGAGCACCCACATGAATAAGCTCCCTCGCCAACTTCACATGAGTAATCTCCAAGCACCAAGTAACAATGCCGCAAAACCAGTGCAAACTCCTATTAACCACTGTAGCGTCTGGAACTTGACTTGCTCCAGCTTCTCTCGCAGAGCAGCGACTTCCTGCTCGATCTTGGTCTCCGTCTCCTTTATTTTCAGCTCTTGGTTGACCGCCTCTTCCCGTATGCGCCCCTTCTCCAGGTTGAGGTCTAACCGTACCGATGCCTGTGTTCGGCCGATCTCGTCGCGCAGTCGGCTGTTTAGTTTGGTGATGTCGTTTGTTAGGCGCTCGTGGGCGGCACGCGTTGTGTTGGATTCGGTGCTGTCAGCGGAGAGGAGCTCGGACCGGAGCTTGGCGAAGTCGACCTTCTGAGTGTACGTTGCTTTGGCTGCGTCTTCGCGGAGAACCATGGTCCGCGTCAAGTTTTGAATGCTACTAAGCGAATTAATACGAGTAGCCGACGAGTTGCTAGTAGCGCTTACCTCTCTTGAATCACGTCATTGAGCACCTTCATCATGGCGACTGATTGCTCTTCTGTGAATCCATCGCGTTGTAGTCGTTGGACGAACTTTAGAGTGTCGAAGTGGTGGTCCCTACCCCGCGGCGCTGTGGCATGGAACGATCTTCTCAACCGTAGATGCTGAAGTGTGGGAGATTCTCTTGTGGGTAGCCTCTCTGAAGGATGCCAGGGAGTCTTTCGAGACGAGTGGAACGAAGCCACTTTGTGCCCTTGCCCTCCCCAGGATCGTCGGGTTTCTATGGGAAGAGTCGCAGCTCGGAACACTTGAGAGGGTCCGGTAGGACCCGTCCAGCTCAGTCGTGGGAGTAAGAACCTAGGTAGCGACTGGGCGGCGCTTCCTGTGACGCCTGCCATATTTCACACTTGAAGCAAATCAATCTGGAGCTAGAATATCATTCTGTTGAACAAGTTATATGGGTATTGTCTGAAATAGGAACATGTGATGCAAGAGGAGAGCTGGCGATATTCGGAGCTCCTAGTACGTATCTGTACTACCCAAGGTGGGTACTGGTGTACCTGCATTTCGGCTAGCTTATGTGGCTCGTTGAAGTGGCTCAAATAGCCGGGTCAATTGTGGCTGAGCCAGTGGCGCCAATGTAAAAAATTGTGAATTTGTTCGCGACTGAAGAATTTCTTTTCTTTCTTCTTCATTCAAAATGAACAACGCAAATTTTCACGTTCTCGAGACACGATATTTGGTGCGAGGTATCCTCTCTTTTGCAGTGGCCCATGACCACTGAAGTTCTCGGACAGAACGGAGACCAACTTATAACGAACAATCTTGGGTGCGGTGCTTCTCTTTCCTCTCGAGGGCTATGAGAAGGATCGCAATGATTGAGCGTACATACATATTTTACATATACGCATTCGTAGTGGTTCCTGCTGATTGAAGATGGTATTAATTGTAACTATGATTGTAGGCTGGTTTTAAAGGTCGAGGATCGAAAGTTCGATATCACCACGCTGAATTTATGCCGTTTATATCAGTGTTCGTGTATAAATCATGAATCTTTAGGCTCATGGCTTACAAGCACCTTAGCTTGCTGTGAGTTTCATAGGAGTGTAAGCGCGATACCTGTCTCTTTGTCAAGAATTTAGAGTCGTCTGTTGCACTTATTTATAAAACTAAGAGTTGACTTAAGTATTCTGTGAGGCTTGCTATATTGCTATGGAGAATATACAACGATGAAACCGTTTTCCATTAGGTCCTACATCACATGATTTCGACAGGTATCGTATCAGAGCATGCAACTTTATACCAATGCAATAGTAAGTTTATGGTTATATTCAGCTATGGAATTGCTTGTCAGTACTTGAAGCTGGTTTGCGTCAAAAGCTGTTGGCTGCAAGGGCTGGTAATTCCAGGTTACCTATCCTTTTTCTCCTTCAGCTTTACATAGTACCTATGTATAGTACCTACTATGTAGTTCTAGACCCGAAGGTGACCCGACAGGCGCTTCTCAGGTTCGTATGTGTATATAGACCGTACTAACAGCGAATATAGGTACATACCTATTCGTAAACTTTACATGACCGAGGCCATATATGACTGAGTATACTTAGGTAGGTAATAAAATAGCAATAAGATTGCAATATTTTGATTATTTGGCATTCTTATTTTATGCGCTCGTGAAACAACTGGGAAGGTACTGTAGAAACAAGTTAATATCTACCTGGGTACTTGCTTGGATAGCTAGGCTGCTAGGTAAGGTAAGTACAAACACCCCCCCTGCTCACCTGGGCCTGCTCACAAAATTGCACCTAGGCACTGTAGCGACAAGGTGATGCACCTAAGGCACGTATCAACATTGAAATAATAAGTGAAGGAGAGTGGCCTGTGCACCCCACATTAGGTAGCTGTAGCCTCAGGTGCTTCCTTGCGAACAAGTAACCCGTAACATCCAAGATTAGGATCATAATACGTACACACAGACATCCACACCCATCTCGTCCACTTTACTTTCCTCCTGGAAATTCTTCAACCACAAACCTCATTTCCTCGTCTTCCGTCATCCACCATTTGTACAATACACACTTCCCGCAATCACTACACTCGCGTCAAGTTAACCATCACTGACGTCTGCACGAGTGCTTTCCTCAATTTTACTCTCTTCGTCTACATAATCAATCCCTGGAGGTAACTTCTGCTCGTTTAGCACCTAACACCTTCCCTTTTACATTCTGCCCCTTTCCCTTAACAATCGTTCAATCATTTCCCCAGATTTACATCCTTCTCACACAATCGCGCTCATCGTAGACCATCGTTGCTTAGCTGATACCAGCGGCACCTTTTCTGGGAAACGTTAACCAGTCTTCGATAATCCTCCTTTCGATACCGCGTTTGCGCTTCACCATTGCTGGTCCTGATTAACCGATGTAATCGTGAATCATGGCACCGTTACCTATTAAGTTCCAGGAGCTGTTAACGCTCAGTAACGTCGGTGTTGATCAGACCTCAGTTGGATTCAACTCTTGTGTAAGCTGTCCCGACCATGTTTTAATCATTTCTCTCTCGGTCCAAGAACTAATCTCTGTCCCGTCAGACCCTAGAATCCGACTCCTTTATCTGCATACGAGAGAAGAAGGGCGATGCTGCGCAACCCGAAGTTATCATCATCGACCTCAAACAAGGCAACAATGTTACACGCCGCCCCATTAAGGCCGACAGTGCCATCATGCACTGGACCAAGCAGATCATCGCCCTTCGCGCACAATCCAGAACATTGCAAATCTTCGACCTAGAGAAGAAGGCAAAGTTGAAGTCTGCTACTATGAATGAAGATGTTGTCTTCTGGAAGTGGGTCAGCGAGTCGACCTTGGGCTTGGTCACAGAAACTTCAGTCTTCCACTGGGATATATTCGACAGTTCTCAAGTTGCTCCTGTGGAGGTCTTCAAGCGCAATGCGAACCTGAACGTAAGTACCATTTCGTATTTACTGCGCATGTGAATCATACCCGACGAAGATCGCAAGCTAACTTTTTTTGCGCCAGGGCTGCCAAATCATTAACTACCGAATTAACAGTGACGGCAAATGGATGGCAGTTGTTGGTATCTCCCAGCAAGGCGGTCGCGTGGTTGGCAGTCTACAACTGTACTCCAAGGACCGAGGCATCAGTCAAGCAATCGAAGGTCACGCTGCCACATTTGGCACACTTCGAATAGAAGGCGAACCGGCCGATACGAAGGTCTTCTCTTTCGCTGTTCGTACAGCTACTGGTGCCAAGTTACATATCGTTGAGATCGACCACCCGGAAGGAAATCAGCCTTTCCAGAAGAAGGCTGTCGACATCTTCTTTCCCCCCGAAGCCACGAACGATTTCCCCGTTGCTATGCAGGTCTCCCAGAAGTACGGCATTGTTTATATGGTAACAAAGTACGGCTTTATTCACCTTTACGACTTAGAAACTGGCACAACCATCTTCATGAATCGCATTTCTAGTGAGACGATCTTCACCACGTGCCCCGATTCTGATTCCACCGGTATCCTCGGTATCAACAGGAAGGGCCAAGTACTCTTCGTGTCAGTTGATGAATCGACCATGGTTGATTATCTTCTCCAAAATCCAGCAAACACTGAGATTGCTATCAAGATGGCCTCTCGCGCTGGTCTTCCTGGTGCAGACCAACTCTATGTTCGGCAATTTGATCAGCTATTCAATTCTGCCAATTTTGATGGTGCTGCCAGGGTTGCTGCTAACTCCCCCCGAGGCTTCCTCCGTACTACGGAGACGATTAACAAATTCAAGAATCTCCCAACCCCCCCTGGCAAGATGTCCTACATCCTGCAGTACTTCGGCATGCTTCTTGATAAGACTACTCCTCTCAACAAGACCGAGACACTCGAGCTCGCTGTACCTGTCTTATCTCAAAACCGCAAGCACCTCCTCGAGAAGTGGGCTAAAGAAGGCAAACTGGACTTTTCCGAGGAGCTGGGTGATCTGATCCGAGCACATGATCCTAACCTGGCGTTGGCTGTCTACATGAAAGCTAATGCTGCCCACAAAGTCGTCGCTTCCTTTGCCGAGCTTGGCCAGTTCGACAAGATTCTGCCTTACTGTGACACGACTGGTTACCAACCTGACTGGATTACCCTACTGCAGCACATTGTTCGCACAAACCCAGAACGTGGCGCAGAGTTCGCAACTTCGTTGGCTAGCCACCAAGGTGGTTCTTTGGTCGACATTGAGCGGGTGGTCGATGTCTTCCAGGCCCAAGGCATGGTTCAACAGGCCACTGCCTTCTTACTGGAAGCTTTGAAGGAGAACAACCCGGAGCATGGTCACCTGCAAACGAGGCTTCTGGAGATGAACCTGATGAACGCTCCACAGGTGGCAGACGCTATTTTGGGCAACAATTTGTTCTCCCATTTCGACAAGGCTCGAATCGCGAGCTTGTGCGAACAGACTGGCTTATACCAGAAGGCATTAGAGCTTTACGAGGACCCCGCGGCGGTCAAGCGAGTTATTGTTGGTATCCCCGGTACTCCGGGATTCAGCGCAGACTGGCTTGTCAATTATTTCGGTCAGCTTTCGGTGGAACAGTCCTTGGAATGTCTCGATGCAATGATGAAGGCCAATATTCGCCAGAACCTTCAATGCGTAGTCCAAGTTGCCACGAAGTATTCCGAGTTGCTTGGCCCCACCAACTTGATCGACCTTTTCGAGAAGTATAAGACCCACGAGGGTCTCTTCTTCTATCTTGGCAGTATCGTGAATCTGTCTCAGGACCCGGATGTTCACTTCAAGTACATTGAAGCGGCCACCAGGATGGGCCAATTTGCGGAGGTAGAGAGGATCTGCCGAGACAGCAACTATTACAACCCAGAGAAGGTCAAGAATTTCTTGAAGGAGGCCAAACTCGCCGAAATGCTTCCGCTTATTATCGTCTGCGACAGACACAATTTCGTCCACGACTTGATCTTGTATCTATATCAGAACCAACGTTTTAATGCGATCGAGGTTTATGTACAGCGAGTAAACCCCAGCAGAGCCCCTGAGGTCATTGGTGGCTTGCTCGATGTGGACTGCGATGAGTCGGTCATTAAGAACCTCCTTACTACCATCAACCCTGCATCGATTCCTATTGATGCACTTGTCCACGAGGTGGAGACACGTAACCGTCTGAAGCTATTGCTTCCTTTCCTCGAGGCTACCTTGGCCGCTGGCAATCAGCAACCAGCTGTCTTCAATGCCCTTGCCAAGATTTACATTGACTCTAACAACAACCCAGAGAGGTTCCTCCGGGATAATGATCAATATGACACCCTTAGCGTGGGCAAGTACTGCGAGAAACGAGATCCTAACTTGGCGTTCATCGCGTACCAGAAGGGACAAAACGATCTGGAGTTAATTAACATCACGAATGAAAACTCCATGTATCGTGCCCAAGCCCGCTACGTCCTCGAGCGTTCCGATCGGGAGCTATGGATGTTTGTACTGAGTGAAAACAACATCCATCGACGATCGGTTATTGATCAGGTTGTCGCGACAGCCGTTCCTGAATGCAACGACCCTGCAAAGGTCTCCGAGGCCGTTGCGTCGTTCTTGGCAGCTGATCTTCCAGGCGAACTCATCGAGCTCCTTGAGAAGATTGTATTGGAGCCTTCACCCTTCAATGACAACCCTAGTCTGCAAAACTTGCTCATCCTTACCGCTGCTAAGTCGGACAAGGGTAAAGTTATGGACTATATCCATCGTCTGGACGCATTCAATCCTGATGAGTGCGCGCAGCTATGTATCGACGTCGGACTTCACGAAGAAGCCTTTGAGATCTATAAGAAGGTTGGAAATAAGACAGCGGCTGTTGAAGTCTTGGTCGAGCACGTCGTCAGTATCGACCGTGCGAGCGCGTTTGCGGAGGACGTCGATATTCCTGAGGTCTGGAGTAGAGTTGCCAAGGCTCAACTTGATGGTTTACGAGTTGCGGATGCGATTGAATCATACATTAGAGCTGGTGACCCTCGCAACTATGCCGAAGTTATCGAGGTTGCAACTCACGCCGGAAAGGATGAAGAGCTGGTCAAGTATCTTCGTATGGCGCGCAAGACTCTTCGTGAGCCTCCCATTGACACCGCTATTGCTTTCTGTTATGCACGTCTTGATCAGCTAGGAGAGTTGGAGGACTTCCTCCGCGGTACAAACGTTGCCAATATTGAAGAGTCCGGTGACAAGGCTGCTGAAGAAGGCTTCCACCAAGCTGCCAAGATCTTCTACAGCAGCATTTCTAACTGGTCTAAGCTTGCTACCACGCTTGTCCACCTTGAAGATTATCAAGCAGCTGTTGAATGTGCACGCAAGGCCAACAACATCCGCGTTTGGAATCAAGTCCACGGTGCATGTGTGGCCAAGAAGGAGTTCCGACTTGCGAAGATTTGCGGTCTCAACCTGATCGTCGACGCCGAACAGCTGCAAGCTCTGGTCAAGCAGTACGAATCAGAAGGCTACTTCGACGAGCTCATTGATCTCCTCGAGCAAGGACTTGGACTAGAGCGCGCCCACATGGGAATGTTCACCGAACTGGGCATTGCACTTTCAAGGTACCATCCCGAGCGTCTGATGGAACACATCAAACTTTTCTGGAGCCGAATGAACTTGCCTAAGTTGATTCGCGCCTGTGAGGAAGCCAATCTCTGGCCCGAGTTAGTGTTCTGTTACTACCACTATGACGAGTTTGACAATGCTGCACTTGCCGTGATGGAGCGCGCCCAGAACTCCTGGGAGCATCAACAGTTCAAGGACATTGTTGTCAAGGTTGCCAACTTGGAGATTTACTACCGCGCCATTAACTTCTATCTGGAGCAACACCCCTCGCTCTTGACTGATCTTCTCCAGGTTCTTACTCCCCGGATCGACGTGAACCGGGTTGTTCGTATGTTCCAGAAGTCTGACAACCTGCCGTTGATCAAACCCTTCTTGCTCAATGTCCAGACCCAGAATAAGCGAACGGTGAATGATGCCATCAACGATCTTCTAATCGAGGAAGAGGATTACAAGACTCTGCGGGATTCGGTGGAGAACTACGACAACTACGATGCTGTTGAGCTCGCCTCTCGTTTGGAGAAGCACGACCTTGTCTTCTTCCGACAGATCGCTGCCAACATCTACCGAAAAACCAAGCGATGGGAGAAGTCTATTGCTTTGTCGAAGCAAGACAAGTTGTACAAGGACGCTATCGAGACAGCCGCCATTTCTGCTAAGTCTGAGGTTGTTGAGGAGTTGCTCCGCTACGTAAGTCGTCACCTTTTGAGATGTCTTGAACGCACCTGTGCTAACCATCTAATAGTTTGTCGACATCGGTAGTCGCGAGTGCTATGTCGGAATGCTCTACTCGTGCTACGACCTCATTCGTCCCGACACAGTTCTTGAGCTATCGTGGCGTCATGGTCTTAACGACTTCACCATGCCGTACATGATCAACCTGCTCTGCCAGCAGACCAAGGAGCTCGCGACGCTCAAGGCTGACAATGAAGCACGAAAGGCCAAGGAGACTGCTCAGGAGAAGCACGAAGATCAGACTCCTATCCTTGGAGGCAACCGGCTCATGATCACCGCTGGTCCCGCTGCTACCGGCGGAAGGATGTCTCCCGCTCCTTTCGCACAAACCAACGGTTTTGCATCTTCAACTCCATCTTTTGGGTTTTAGAAGGCACAGCGACGGGTTGAGAAGCATATGCAAAACTCTTAAGACTGATTTGGACCGTCGGTCAGTATCTTCGCGATACCCATAAAAGGCTCCAGACGTGTTGTTAGGTGCACTCCGTTTAATGGTACTACCAAGTTCATTAGGATCATGGGTATGGTGGAAGTTTTGGGGAGTTCGTTATAGAAAAAGTTCCCTATGGATTTTGCGATAATGTGTTCGTGTAATGGCCTTGGCCGATGCCGAGATCAGTGAAGTTTACTGCACAAAACAAAACAAGGTGGATACTCCGGTCATCTCGAGCATGTCGGATATCTGGTTATGGCAAGCTTGCACGCGCTGCTTGCTTGCTGTATTTGTATGATAGTACAACGAGAGGGCCCTTTTACCGGTCTGAAGTTGGTAGGCTATGGCTAATGACTTAAGCATATTGTGACAAAATAAACCTGCATCGTGTGACTTGTTCCTGGCATGCTTATCAAGCTTGTTTATATTAGCCTTCTTGGTAAACCCTGCGTGTCACTCTGCTGTAACCTTGCAACGAGACGGTAGAATTGGTGGATAGTTATGTTCCATTTTATGTTTCATTCCGATAGGCTCGCATATCTTCCATTCATCTTCGCCTTATCTATCCACCGTTTTACTCCGAGACCTAGATCACCACAGATGAGGGGGAATGTGTAGGGGGGTCGGTGAGGGTAATACGAGAATAGCTATATATAATGGTAGAGTCGCATCACGAAGCAACGATGGGAGCAGACAGTCAGTCCCGTACGCTTTCCTCTGGCTGCTGTGCCTACGCTACGGTTTATACTTACTCATCATGGTGGTTCCTAGGATCTTTGTCGCCCTCGCGGCTCTAGCTGGCGCGCAAGCAGATGCCGTGCCAAGATCGACATACAAGGATGGGGCAGATCGTAAGTAATAATTCAGACAGGGGGTCGAGCTTTTTTTAGGGTGCTCTTTTGGAACTGATCGACTTTTTAGTTGTGCAGCCGATGTTCAAAGCGCTGGACCTGGGCTCTATTAAGCCGCTGGGTTGGTTCAAGGACCAGCTCGAGCTCGAGGCGGCGGGCTTGTCCGGGAACATGTTCGACTTCTACCGCTTCGTTCACGATTCCAAGTATCTAGGCGGAAATACCGAGTACTCGGGTCTAGAGTAAGTGTGCAATGCCTTTTAGAATGTTTCTGTAAATATAAATTGAAGTTGTCGAACATCTCCGAAATTGAGACAGGGTCTCGGCATGTGGGAGAGCCCTAGAAGAGCATTGTCGCATACTGATACTTTTTTCGTAAATAGTGAAGCTTCCCCTTATTGGTTTAACGGCCTCGTTCCGCTAGCCTTCGGACTAGGCGATGATAGGATCCGCGGCCAAGTCAAGTACTATCTAGATTACCTCCTTGACCATCAGCAGGAGGATGGGTGGCTCGGATGGGAGACCACACAAGCTACGAGGGGGATTTGGGCTCGCAACCTACTTCTGGCAGCACTTATGCAGTACGCTGAAGCTGATCCAACCGAGACGGACCGCATCGTGGATGCCATGCATCGTTACGTAGTCCTTGCGCATAGCAGTAAGTTTATCGCGGAAGCTACCCCTATTCCGTTCATCCTCTCTGAACGTATCAGCCTCTTCTCCACGGAACATTCAATATGGGATGATACATAAGCTGCAGGACTCATAATATCGCCCGCCTGAGAGCTTCCTCTAATGACAGTCACTAACATAACATGCTGCAGTGCTTCAGAATAACTTTACTGGTCTTATTGTTCATGGCAATGATACATATGATACGGCTGGCTTCGGAGTTGGCCGCACACATGAGATGCACATCCCCTTACAATGGTTATTGGAAAGATACCCTCGGAATAATTCTCAGATCATCTGGGAGACAATGGACCTTATGATCGAAGGAGGCGTGGTGGTAAGTAATTACTTTGACTCCTTTGCTTCAATCAGAAAGGGGGAAGTAGGGATGAAACTATTATTAACTTGCAATGCTGTAGTGGGGAGCAGATTGGAGGACTTTCTGGACAGACGAAGCGTATCCTAAGGTCTATTACGATGATACTCCATACGACTTGAGCTGGGTCTTCCTCCACGGCGTGAATATGGCCGAAGGTAAGAAAGCCAGTGATAATATGATGATTAATGCGAACTCCTACTAACAAAGATCCCTTGAAGGCTTGCGGTACACCTTATCAATATACCGGAACACAGGAGACCAGGCTCTCAAGACGCAGACCAGGAAAGCCGTCGACTTACTAGCACAGTATCACCGCTCGCTTGCGGGCACTATCATCGCCGACGAGTATATCTCGGACTTGAATCCCAGCCGAGGAGCGGAGCTCTGTATCGCGGCCGAGGTCATGTTCTCCTCTGCGTACATCTACCAATATCTAGGCGACAACGACATCGCCGACTGGGCGGAGCAGACCGCCTTCAATGCGTTCCCAGTCTCTGTTTCTTCAGACTGGTGGTCGCATCAGTACGTCCAGCAGGAGAACCAGGTATGTTATCTACCTATCAACCCCAAGCCTCCTCCGTACTCCTCCTTAGGTCCATTTTTAGTAGAGGCATGCTCATTAGATCGAGGAATAATTTCGCTGATTTTCTATATCTAGCCGTGGGCCAGAAATCTCACAACCGACCAAAACTGGTTCGACGTCAACTCCTACTCCACCGTCTTCGGTCTCGAGCCCAACTACGTAAGTTCTTCCTCCTCCCTTCTTCCTCCTTTACCCCTTTCCCTATCCACTACATCAACAACCCTCCCAATCCCAAAACCAGTCCAAATCACAGCGCCAAACAAACTTCCCCAAACTGATCGCCCAACTAACCAACACAACAGCCCTGCTGCACGGTAAACCACCCGCAAGCCTACCCCAAATTCCTCGCCAACGCCTTCGCCACGACCGACGGCCGCGCCGGGCTCGCGCACCTGTTCCTGATCCCGGGCAGCGTCGCCGCGACGCTCGGCAACAACGGCGAGAACAACGTCGTGAGCGCGAGCGCCAACACCACGTACCCCTTCGGGCACACCGTCAGCTACACCGTGACGGCCGACCAGCCGCTCGACTTCTACGTGCGGATCCCGTCCTGGGTCAACGTAAGCCGGAGCACGATCGACATCAGCTCCCCAAGTTCCACCACCAACACCACTTCCTTAACCCTATCTTCCGCCGTGGCAGCGGCACAAGCATCCTCGTCCGCGCGCCCCATAGGCCCCTGGGCGCAAGGCCTCCTCCCGCTCGGCCTACCCGCCGGCACATCCACCTTATCTCTCCGCCTCTCCACGACGCCGCGCTACGAGACGCGCGCGAATAACACGGCAGCCATATACTACGGCGCGCTGCTCTACGCGCTCGCCATCGAGTACGACACCGAGGTCCTGCCGCCCGTCGCGTACCGCACGGAGGAGGTGCTGCCGGCCAACACGACGGACCCGGAGGGCCGGACGCGCGACCACTTCTACACGCCCAAGGCGGGCGCGCTGTGGAACGTCGCCGTCGACCCCTCGCAGATCCGCGTCGTGCGGCGCGCCGCGAACGGGACCTACGTCGAGCACGACGCCGAGAACGACGTCCTCGAGGTCGCTGAGGACGAGCTGGGCAACCCCGTCTGGGAGCTCGGCGGCCCGCCCGTCGAGCTGCGCGTCGCCGCTGTCGAGATCGATTGGCCCGTCGTCCTGGACACGGCTGCTGACCCGGGAACCTTCGACGTGAAGCCCACGGGGAAGCCGTTCGCGGCGCGGTTCGTGCCTTACGGGTCTGCGAAGCTGCACATGGCTTTGTTGCCCGCGCTTGAGCTGGACGACGTGGATTTCGGTCTTTGATATATCGATTGGGATATGTGATTAGATCAGATCATCCTCAGTAGGTACCTACTTAAGACAGAATACATATTATGCTCAAGCGAGAGAGTAATAGGTGAATTGATAGTAATAATTCGTAGAAGCAAAGACTAGGCACATTTGATGTACCTGAATATTTTGGTACCCTCGACAGTAAGAAGAAAACTTAGGAGTAAAGCAAAACCATACGCGTTGAGAGGAGTCCACTCCAATCCGAATGCTCAAACCTCCCATCCCTTAAGCACCCTCCAGCCAAACCCTCATCAGTCACCGATACCGTTACTCCGCTCTTGAATTCCCATGAGTCATCCAGTTTAGTAATCAAACCATACTTAAGACTTTGCAATTTTGCATACTAAGTCTGATCCGTCGACCGAATCGCCTTCCTTGACTTGAAGACCTGTTACCTTACCGTTGTGAGGAGCTGAAATAACCATTTCCTATCACGATGGTTAGCAAAATCTCCAGAGTATATGGATTGTAGGTATCCTCACCATCTTCATGGCGCTGAGCACAGCGAGAGGGTCTCCCTTCTTGACATCGGACCCTTCGTGGACTCTCAACTCAACCAAGACACCGGCCATCGGTGCACCAACCTGGCTAGAGTCGCCAGGGTCGACCTTAGGTCGGCTGACGTTCTCGACGCTAGCCTTCTTGTCATCAACGGTAACTTGACGAACTTCACCGTTCATCTCGTAGAACACCTCTCGCTGACCGGTATTCTCAGATAGAGGACCAACAGCCAACAACTTCAGAATCAAAACCTTACCCTTCTCTAACTCCACATGGAATTCTTCGCCGATATGCGGTGCCGAGAGGAAGTATTTTGTCGGTAGCACGGAGAGATCACCGAACTTCTGCACAAACTTCTTGTAGTCGTCGAAGACCTTGGGGTACATGAGGAAGGAAGCCACGTCTGTCTCGCTAACCTGCCCCCATTTTTGCACAAGTTCAGAACGCGTCTTCTTGAAGTCGACGGGGTCGAGGTAGAGGCCAGGTCGCTTATCGAACTTGCGACGGTCTCTAAGAGCCCTCGAACGCAGAGGCTCGGGGAATCCGCCGTAGGGCTGGCCCATCATACCCTCAAGGAATTCGAGGACTGAGCCGGGGAAATCGAGCTCGCCGGCACGGTCGACAACATCCTGCGGCGAAAGCTTGTTCGAAACCATGAACTGTGCCAAATCACCAACCACTTTAGAAGTGGGCGTAACCTTGACGATGTCTCCAAGAAGGTAATTGGCTTGCTCGTAAGCCTTCTTGGTTTCAGCCCATTGTGAGCCGAGGCCAAGCTGAGAAGCTTGGAACATCATGTTGGTCAGCTGACCACCGGGAATCTCGTGTTCGTATACCTCAGGGTCAGGTCCGATAAGGTGAGACTCGAAAGGTGAGTATAGAAGACGAAGTTGAGACCAGTAGGTGTCCAGAGCGCGAACGTGTGCGGGGTTTAGGCCGGGATCTAGCTCACTGCCCTCAAGCGAGGCAATGAGGGCGTTGATGCTGGGCTGAGATGTCATGCCGGAGAGACTGTCTGTGGCGGCATCGACGGCATCCGCGCCTGCCTGAGCACAAGCAATCATGGAAGCAACACCAGTGCCAGCAGAGTCGTGAGTGTGGACATGGATTGGAAGATCGGGATACTTCTTTCGGATGGAGCCGATCAAAAGTGTGGCTGCACGGGGCTTCAACACACCAGCCATATCCTTGATACCAAGGACATCAATGTCTAGGGCTACCAGCTTGTCGACTAGGTCCATGTAGTACTCAAGGTTGTACTTCTTCTTGGGGTTCTGATTATAGAGTCAGTAAGCTCTGTCCTACTATGAAGCCAATGAAGTTGTTAAGAAAATAGGGGCGAGAGGATGAAAAGGGGTATACTAAATCAAAAGGTACATACTAGGAAATCTCCACTGTAGCAAACGGTCCCCTCGGCCACACCACCAGCCTTTTGTACAGCTTTGATACCGACTTCGAGCTGGTTGATGTCGTTCAAGGCGTCGAATACTCGGAAGATATCAACGCCGTTCTTCTTCGCTTGCTCCACGAAGTGATCAATAGCATTGTCAGGAAGCGAAGCATAAGCCACACCGTTCGCTCCTCGCAGAAGCATCTGGAAGGGAATGTTCGGAATAGCCTTACGCATTTTGCGAAGACGATCCCACGGGTCTTCGTAGAGGAAGCGCATGGCGACATCGAAAGTAGCACCGCCCCAGCATTCCAAACTGTACAGGTTTGATAGAGCGTGGCTCGTCTCCTTTGCTATACCTAGGAGGTCAATTGTCCGTACACGGGTAGCCAACAAAGATTGATGAGCATCACGCCAAGTAGTGTCCATCAGCAGGCAACCCTTGTTTTGACGAACGGCCTTGGCGAACCCCTTCGGGCCTTGGTCAAGAAGGACCTGTCTCCATCCCTTCTTAGAAGGTTCGGAGACGTCAAGTTTCGAGCCATCGGCATTGAAGAGCTCAGGAAGGATGATGTCACCCCTGAACTTGGGCTCGCCAATCTGTCCCTTGATGCTACTTCCGTTGACAGCAATATCACCAAGATAAGCTAGAAGTTTCTGGGCACGGTTCTGGCTGCCGATAAGGTCGAACAGCTGAGGTGTGTCATCGATGAATGTGGTCCAGCAGTTACCGTCGATGAAGGTTGGGTGGGTTAGCAAGGAAGCAAGGAAAGGAATGTTTGTCTTTACGCCACGGATACGGAACTCGATGAGAGATCGAAGGATCTTTCGGCGCGCGATCTCGTAGGTTGAGCCATGGCACGTACATTTGACCAACATGGAGTCATAGTACGGCGTAATGACCGCACCAGCGAATCCGTTACCGCCATCGAGACGTACTCCATTGCCACCAGCGGATCGGTACACCTCGATCTTGCCAGTGTCGGGCTGGAATTGCTTAGACGGATCCTCCGTGGTAATTCGGCATTGGATAGCGAATCCTCTCGTAGAGATTCGGTCTTGAGTTAACCCGAGTTGCTGTAGTGAAGCACCCGCGGCAATTTGGATCTGAGCCGCAACAATATCAATACCGGTGATTTCCTCGGTAATTGTATGTTCGACTTGGATACGGGGGTTGATCTCGATGAAGTAGTAACGGTTTTGCTGGTCGACTAAGAACTCTGCGGTACCGGCATTTCGGTAGTTTACGGATTTGGCCAGCTTCACCGCGTCGGCCAAAATGCTGTCTCGGGTTTCCGCGGGAAGATCCTTGGCGGGTGCAATCTCAACCACCTTTTGATGTCTCCGTTGGACCGAGCAGTCACGCTCATACAGATGTACGATGTTGCCATGGTTGTCTCCGAGTAACTGAACCTCGATATGTTTCGGCTTGTCTAAGAAGCGCTCGACGAATACCGTACCATTACCGAAAGCCGTCTTTGCCTCGGAGGTGGCTCGGTCAAAGGACTCCTTCAAACTGGCTTGTTCCCGTACCACTCGCATACCTCGGCCACCACCACCGAATGCGGCTTTGATAATGATAGGGAATCCATATTCGTCGGTAAATTTCTTAACCTCTTCGAACGCAGCAACCGCGCCTTCGGTTCCGGGCACGACGGGGACATTGGCGGCAATGGCAAGTCTTCGGGCAGAAACCTTGTCGCCGAGGGAGTCTATAACGTCGGGAGATGGGCCAACAAACTACATGGATCGGTAAGTTAGTCTGGGACCCGGGCAAGGGTATAGATGACGAGTGGCTAAGGGGTTACTTACAATGAGACCAGCTTTCTCAACATTTCGCGCAAACTCGGCATTTTCTGATAGAAATCCGTATCCTGAAGGGCTCGATTAGAAACAATAACCTATTGTAAATATGCGTCAATCGAAGATGAAATTATTACCAGGATGGATCATCTGAACACCATGTTCCAATGCAATTTTGATAATCTCGTCGCCGGCAAGGTAAGCGCCGACCGGCGTATATTGGCCTCGTTTACCAATGACGTAGGCTTCATCGGCCTCTGTAAGCACGTTAGCACTGTACCACTTTCGTCTCGATAGCCGGATATCTGCATACTCTGCCGATGCATGCTAAGTCGGTCCTCATAACTGTGTATATGGATTAGCTTCGAGTGAATCGCAATAGGTTCTTACTCCGCTCACCTAAAAACAGCAACAGTATGTAGTGACAACTCGTGAGCCTAGGTAGTTGTTAAATTAGTTTCCCAGAAGCTCTGCGGAGGATTCTTTGGGGTATTGTCCGGGGGCTTAACTTACAGTTCTAAAAATCTAATACTCCAAAAATTATTATTAGTCGCAAGTAACTCCCAAGACATATTGTTGCATTGATATTGCATTAGGGAAGAGACATACACGAATAGCTGCCCAAGGTTAGTAAAACAAGCTGAACGTCTCATTGACATGTGATGGGGTTTTGACTTACGGATTTCTCCTCTGTTGGCAACTGTACACCAGATTTAAGGAGTCAGCAAATTGATGGTAACGGAAAACTGTGGAATAAATAGTTATAACTCACCGAGGAGTTTCTTCAAATGCATAATAGAACTGTTTGCGCGAATGTGCTGCGCCGTCTTAGCCTCCTTCGGGGCGACGCCCTCTTCGAAGACATCTTCATTGTCGCTGCCAGCGGCAGCAGCAGCACCGGCGGCTTTTCGGGCAGCCTCCAGGTCCTGGATATCTTGAAAGTCCATATCGGTCGACATCTTGACTTCGATGAACCAGCAGTTCCGGACTGCTCTCTGCTGTCTGGAAATTAAGAGTCGGAAGAGCTCGAAGGAAGCTCAGTGGTGTGACGTAAGGAAGTGGGAGGGGATGTTTGTTGAGTAGCGAGCTTGACGTCGTGACTAGTTTGGTGGGGTGGCGCTCTCAGCCGAGGGCCGTTTAAGCGTTTAAGAGCTCGTGCTGCTAAGCTCCGTGCTCACTCTCCTTCGCCCACGCTGACGTATGTAAGAGCTCAAGAAAGCGGGGTGTTGGTGATAGGAAGCACCGGATATGTCAATAACGATGTGTAGGTGTGTAGGATTCTAGGTAGAACAGAGTCGGAAGAGACAAGTAGGTTAGAGATATACCTAGTAGTAATAGTAGGTACTTATGTATGTTGCCTTTGTCTCAACCAGGTGATGTTACGCAACTGCTACCAAGAATTGGAAAAATGGAGAGAGGAGAAAGTATGAGAACTAATGACTCGGGCAAGGAGATTGAGGGCTTCTTAAACTTTTCTTATTTTTCCCACTTTGCGGGCCAAGAAGGTTGTTGCAGGTAGCGCGAGCTCGTCTGCCTTTGTATACAACACACTATGACACTATGGCACACTACCCTCGATATAGTCTAGTACAGCTGGTACATATAGTACGGAAGGCGTGGTGGATGGTGGAGGCTTGAAGTCGCATAGGCCATACATTATGTGCGCCGTGAGCCGGGGACGGGCAAGCGGGATGGAAGTTTTGAGGGGATTATTGTCCTTCCCCTTACTCGTCACTTCCCTACCTTGGTACCTTGGTAATAGCTGCTATGTGGCCCACGAAGGACGATCATCAGCCTCTTCTCAATCTTGTCTCACCCCCCTGCCAAGTATAAGAAACAGTGCCGAGCCGACAAGGCGCCACTAAATAGATAGTTATCGTGGTAATTGTTTCTCTACACTACCAAGTCAGAGGATTCCAGTCCGAATCGACCGAACGGGATAACTATAGGTACTTCTAGTAGCTCGGTGCCCAGTAAGCTCCGAGCTTGACCTCCGTGCTGCACATATTATATGTGAGTACCAACGTCCATGAACCCATGAAGATTCCGTGGTGGTAGAAGCTCAAGAGACGTTAGGTAAGGAAATACTAGCATATGGCATCCACGGGGTTGCGCTTTGTGACGGCAGAATTTGACAGCCTTAGCCTCGATTAGAGACGACCGGGTTAAGTCCCTTGAGTCGACAGCCAATCTGAGCTATGCTCGGGTTACGGATCCAGAGAAGATCTATTCGTTTCCAGATTCTAATCGAGTCAGGGTCTATACTGCACAATGTATATGAGATGGTATGTTATGGTAACTAAAAGGTTAGAATTGGTGGCTCAGGACGACAAGGGAGGATGCATAGCGGGGTTGGCGGGGTTGAAAGTGGGAGGTACGGATTTATGCTGCAGGAAAATACACCTCAAGCACGAGCTTTGAGCTATTAACTGCTGCAATAAACATTTGAGCTGCAACGAGCTGCAACGAGCTGCAACGAGCTGCAACAACCCTTGTTTATTTAGCATGCTGCAATTCTGCTTCCGCGGCTGCTTCCTTGCGTCCCCTGCAAAAGAGAGTTACACCATCACCGCGAAGAAGGGAAGGAGAGGTCCTAATTCCTCAGGGTCAAACATCCATATTATAAGCAAGCTCAACCTTTTGAGACACAGTGCTAGGGTAAGACTATACGGAGGACCCCTGCTATGTTAATTTTTCTTTTAGATTGGCCAATGAGAATAGCCGGATAAAATAGTTCTTTTATAATTCACCAATAACTACGGAGTTTGTGACTGTCTTATAAGAAGCCTTATTACCGAATTCGGATACTATGCTATGGCGTTTATCGAGTATTCCGCTTCGACTAGGTATGACTCTTTTTTTGCTCATATTTTTCTTCACCTTTCATTTAGCACTTCCAAGTTTACCTACGTAGCTATTATCGGATTTTAGCCAGTGAGCGAATGAGCGATGGGCACCTGATGAGGTATGTATGCATTATGACCGAGCACATGAAAAGAGACATTAACATGCGGTCGATGGAAGGCTCCCGAGGCAGATTTTACCTATTTTGGTAGTTTGCTGACCAGGGTAACTTGCACAATTACATCACCCTAGGTATACACTAATCCTACGTATATCATGGTTAGTTAACAATCGTATAGTTCTTATAGGAGTTCTTGGGAGGGGGTGATATTGGTTTCCATGCACCATCACCCTCCTATCCATGCCACCAACATACTTGGCTGTCCCAGCCAAGCTCAAATATCTTAGATACTCCGAGAGAGGACGGCGGTGAAGACCGTCTCGGCGCGTTGTAGGCATTAATAAAGATAGGACGGAGGCACAAATATCTTGGCTTGTTTTCGCTTCCTGACTTGTCGTAACTTGTTCCGTTTCGTTTCACTTTAGTTGAGATCAGACGTATAGAAATTATATAATACGATATAATACACATGACTAACGCCCACCGCTTCGGCTTATACCCCGACCTAAGATGCAATAGAGATGCGCTTAATGCGAGATACAGGGTTGCGCAGCTCGCCTAGTGTCGTCACAGAGTACGCCAGAGTGCGCCAACGCGGCGGATGCGGTACTAGCGATGCCTCCATCTGACAGCTTATCTAGATTTTGCGCTATTAATTGTTCGCCAGTCGCTTGGCGAGACGGATTAAGTCAACTCTCGGCCGTCGATCACTGAGAGGCTTTTTCTCTGCCTTCGTCGCCAAGCTACTGGGTATGGATTTCATGCATCCGCCCGCCTTAGCTATAGGCATCTCGCCTCTTACTGTATCTGAATCTGGCTATTGAATTTTTGGCGCAAGAATAGAGGGGCTGATTCCAACCTGTTTGTCCCTCGACAATCTACCTACATATTCGATTATGGATGTGTGTAAAGAAAAGTGGTAACTCTCTGTATAGCCTCTCCAGAATTCCGACTTTAGTTTTCGTACATATAAGAAGGTATATAGGGGAATGTATTCTGTTTTGATGTAAGGCTGAAGGATTTATCTGATCTATGATCTGGCCCGAGACATTAGGATAGCCTACCTATTGCATGTGTAATAACAGATAATATAAGTTGTGCTCGGCCTCACACTTCATTGGTTACCCCACACATTGTTGAATAGGATCACGGACGGATTCTGGACGCCTCTTTAATAATTATCCCTCGCATCATTCTTTTGCAACGGGAAAGTACAGCCGGTACCACGGATACGTTCCACTCTGGTTCGTGTCAGAGGAGTATCGAATCCCTCTCGCTGCGTGCGGAGATTAGCACACTGGCTCGAGGTGATGGTGTCGAGGACTAGAGCACTTCCTAAACCTTGAGGGGACGGTTGTACATGGGATCCTCAAAGCTAAGAAGTACGAGACGCGTCGTCAGGGAGGGCATGTGACTAACTGTCATGACCTCTGTTTTAAGCGTGGGGGTTTCCGTTGCGTCGATAGGTCTGGTCCAGGTAAGACGAGCATGGACGAGCATGGCTTGTTTGAAGCCCCTAATTTGCCATGTGTAGCCTGTCCACTCAATAGGCTCTCAAGTTCTGTGAATTTAATGCACTTATCGGCGATACTACCCTAATATCGAGACACGAGTATATCATTGTTATACTTTCCATAATTGGAAATGAGCTTTGGACACCATTTGGACCTTTCGTATGTCGGATGTCCTAGACTCCTTCGGCCTCATCTTGATCGGTTTCGCTCCTTGAGTGGACATGTTACGAGATACAGATAAATATAGACACTACCAGGCCAAGCAGCGGCCACGTCGATGACTTCGAATATCTTGGCTTGTCATACTTATGTTTTACCCATCCCCGCTATGCATTTGTTCTGCGTAACCGAGCAAGAACAAGTCGTCACTTGACAATGATCGATAGCGACAATACGTAAGGTATCGATATCGCTGTGGCCAAATTGCCAATTCCCTCGACCTAGAGAGATTCAACAACGTACCTCTCACCTAGCCATCTGTTCTGCGTATGAGTGTCACCGACGGGCTAACATGGTTGGAATCAGGATATCAATTCTAATTAGAATCCAAGGCAGCTACCACAGAAATGACTTTATGGTCCTTTTTGATGCACTAGAAGTACAAAGTCATGACACTCCTTCACTCATTTACGCATGATTCCATCCAAACCCTCCCCTCAACCCCTCTGTCGAAGCGTTGAGATCACTCTAAATGCAGATGTGCGATCCCTCTAGTCAAATGCATAATACCCCCGGTGACGAATTGCACTAGAGACATAACAGACGCCTTGAATATCCCGGATTTTGGAAAAATCTATTTCGAGACAGCCTCTTTGATTTTATCGCTGGCTGTGGTAGCCTTCTCTTTTGCTTCTTCGACAGCACCCTTGACACCAGCCTTCTCTTTCCCACCCCAGTGGTGCCATTGGAGGTATCGGTATCCTTGTGTTAATTGCGAACCCTCGTTGATGAAGTGGCATAGGAAGAGGAGGTAGTTCTTGGGTGTTACGGCGAGGGCGTATCGCATGAAGGTTGCCGAGTAAATTGTGAGCGCGAGGGTCATTTGGCCGGAAATCCTACAGTTGAAAAGCTGTTCAGCTTTCGAATTTGTCTAAGACAGGAAGAGGGCGAAAGCCATTGTTTTGTCGCCTTTCTTTGCTGACTTCCAAAGCACTCCAAAGTAATCCGTCATAACAAGAGATAGGTAAGTGGGTAACTTACAGCTCAGGTGATTTCTGTGCGTCCATAACGGCGGCAACTGGAATACCGAAGTTTGACGCAGGCCCCCAGAAGTCTATCAATCATCTGTATCAGCAAGCAGTTTCCAACGTGGCGGCGGTGGCGCATCAGGTAAGCAATATCCCCATGTTCCCAGATTGCGCCAGAAGAGAGCGGCGTGGAAGTTCAGGACATCACTACGCAAAGCTCCCTAACAAGCCCACGATTTATCCACAGACGATCCAAGATCATGCGCCGCCCACAGAAACCATGATATCTTGTAGCGACGACGATTTTCTTCGATGGTGAATGGCGTCGGACATTACTGGGTAAAGTCCGGAAGGGATATTGAGAGTCACGTACGTGTAGAGCAGAAGTAGCTCACGGTCGGATTCGACCTAATCTTGGCATTAACTGCTTTGAAAAAGGCTGCCATCTTGATCTGTCACCGGGATATCAAACAACAACGAAAAAGGTAGGAAAGTTTGCAAAGCAAATAACGTTGTCGTTGAAAGTTGCGCGCCGGTGAAGGGATCCTTGAAGAAGGGTCGGGTGTCCGATTCGGATGCTGTGGGAAAATTTCCAATGGGGCAGTTTGCCAGTTTGGCGGGTCGCAATTTGTTGGATATCCGATAAGCGTCATAAGCAACACCGCACCCCCCTGGGTTGGCAATTGATCTTGGGAAATAACAACCAACCATTGCCCAGCTGTAGTCAGCTGGGTCCCGCTTATTCACTTATTCTACTAGACATCTTAGTACATTATCAAGATAATCCCAACGACACTTTATCGGTCAATTGCATTTGCTTTATGTAGGAGACTGATTATAGTAGCCTTTAATGCTTTTGGGGCTCATGTGGTGCTGTGTTTGCAACCTTCCGATCTAGCGTAGAGTACAGAATGCGATTTTCACCATTATTCGGTGCCACCCGTAGTTTTCAGCTACCACCCTTTAACGCCAATGGTATTCCTGGTCATTATTCGGCACGACTTCCTTCCACTCTCTGATCAAAATTTCCAATTTGCAATTATCTTCGAGGTGGGGGGTTGAATCCAGGGGGAGCGCCGCCAGCAGGATTGAAACCGGGAGGTGGGAACTGAGCATTCTGAGGGAAGCCTGGGGGAGGGAAACCACCAGGCGGGAATCCGGGTGCAGGAGCTGATATACGTTAGTACGTAGCCATATCTAATAGGTATCCAATGGTTTAGGGGATACTTACGGCCGCCTCTGCCAGGTCCAAATCCGGGAGCACCACCAAACTGAGGGAAAGGGGGAGGAGCACTGCCAACACCAGCAGCCGGACCCTGATGAATGTTAGCACTGAATATTGCTTGAATTGTGCTGCTATTACTCACAGCAAGAGATGTTGGAGCAGCACCACGTCCAGCAGGACGAGCGACACCAGGACCAGAAGCGAGACCAGTAGGCAGACCACTCGGAGTACTCTTGCCAAGTCGCGTGCTAGGATCGGCGGGAGGCGCAGATTCGACAGAGAGAGACACGATTTGAGCACCACGGAGAATCGTCAAGCCTAGAGTACGCTTCTCTTCCGTCTCAATTGTCTGCGTCGCGGCCGAACTTGATGCGCCCGGTGCGGTGGGCTTCGCCTGCTTTCGCTTTACGCGTCGGAACTCTTCCGTGTCGGCAAGAACGAGATTCATGTGCTATAATACAATTAATTGATGTATTTACGTGAGTTATGGCCGGATATTAATTACCTTGTCAAAAGCTAGCATCTGACCTGTCATTTGACGGCCGTCCATCAACGTGACTCTCATCCGGTAGTTGATCTAAAGATGAGGAGTTAGTAGGCGTCGACACATTGTCTACAACGAGCGCACCGCGTTAGAAAGACGCGATCGAGGGGAAACATACGTAGCCGGCCTAGAAAATATCGATTTGGTCAGCCTGTAACGTCAACGTCGAAGTTATAAATCGGTGAAGGGAGGCGACATACCATTTTGCCTTGTTTGTTCGACATCTTTGCGATGACTGGCTCCGGAAGAGCCTGTTAAATGGTTGCAAAAATTGTCTACTTGTGTTTTTGAAATCGAATGATTTCGGCGAGGTCTCTGTCACGACGTGTGCGTGGGAGGTTAGAGTCCAAGCTTTGATATGGTAGATAGATGGAGCTCAATTAACAAAAATTGGACGAGGCAGAAATATCAAGGCTGAAGAACCAAGCTCCATAGAAAAATACCTAGGTACATATATCAATCTAGAGCTAGCCCTGTTTAGGTAAGGCCACACAGTTTGGACCCACACCAACCTTATCCCTCAACTGCCACACTTATTATGCTTGCATTAGCCACAGCTCTCCCCCACACTTCGTAATTGTAGGGCAAGGAAACCCTTTAACCACGCGAAATTTTAGGACCAAACTTTCTGTTCTCAACTTCGCAATTCCCAAATTTTGCGACAAGCAACAACGTCCTTCAAGCCCACGTTTGCGAACGTTACTAACCATAAACCAGCCACCATGGTACGTCTAAATAAACGCGACAATTGATTAAATTGAATTCCAGTACTAACAATGATCGTCATTAGTCCGAGAAGGCCCAGAACCCTATGCGAGAGCTTCGCATCCAAAAGCTCGTCCTCAACATCTCCGTCGGTGAATCTGGTGACAGATTGACTCGTGCCGCCAAGGTCTTGGAGCAGCTGAGCGGTCAAACTCCTGTCTACAGTAAGTCAAAATCCAATTCGAAACCCGGGATCAATTGTTCCTAATCACCGTATTGTTAGGCAAGGCTCGCTACACCGTCCGAACCTTCGGTATCCGACGTAACGAAAAGATCGCTGTCCACGTTACCGTCCGTGGCCCCAAGGCCGAGGAAATCCTTGAGCGTGGCCTCAAGGTCAAGGAGTACGAACTACGCAAGCGCAACTTCAGCGAGACCGGCAACTTCGGCTTCGGTATCAGCGAGCACATCGATCTCGGTATCAAGTATGACCCCGCCATCGGTATCTACGGCATGGACTTCTACTGCTGCATGACTCGTCCCGGTGAGCGCGTCACCCGCCGCCGCCGATGCAAGAGCAGAATCGGTGCCAGCCACCGCATCGACCGTAACGAGACCGTGAAGTGGTTCAAGCAGCGCTTCGACGGTATCGTCCGATAAATCTTGCAAACTTAAGATTGGGCGACACGAAGGACTACATGGCGTTGGCTGGTTGCATTGATTCAGGCGGACTCTGGGACAAAACGATTCATGGACTTGTACCTACTGAATTCTGACGAGTGACTTCGTCATACTACTAGCATGACTTGAATTAAGTCTGCTGCGGCCTCAGAGACCGACCGGCACACCGCCGGCTCTTTATGCATTGAAGAGTAACCTTGTGATGACATTCTATAACAGTGACATGATATGCGTAGCATTTACCTGTTTTTGACTCCGCTACAGCTTTTTGTTGAAGTCCTAGGGTGTTGATCTAGGGTTTAATCGTCTACACAATATCAGGTACATATATGCGGTTCGGAAGTCGACATGTGATAAAGAAACTATACAGTATGTTAAAAATAGGAGAGTCTTTCCCGCTGGACTGCTCAATATTGTTTGTCAGGAACTCGGCTTACACGCCCTCCTAGACGATATTTCTAGGACTTCCTCTCGCAACAATGTCCGTAGCGAGGGCTGATTGATCTATGGTAGTCATCCTACGTACTATTCAAGTATCAATGTCTTGTGTAGGTACGGACTACTAAGGCACTTGCTTATCTACCTAAATAAGGGAGCTGAGGGAAGGTGCTGGCATCAGTTCTCTATAAGAGCAGGTATGAGTTTCAAGAGAGTAGGCACAGGGACGCTTTCCTCCTATTGAACTGTACCTTCTTCTTTTATTATGCCCCAACAAATTGCACAATCCATTTCTTAAAGAATGGGCATTCTCCTCGCAAATTTTCTTCTCAACTAGTTCGCGTACTACTGGTCTACTTACTATCAACTCACCCTTATACCCTCTGAGACACTCCAACCCTTTCGTTGATCTTAGTCTCTATCATATTCGTTCTATTATATCAATTATATTTTATACTCAAAGCCCTTAGTTTTTAAAAAATTAATCTGTCGTCGATTTTCCTTCATATGTGGCGGTCGCGTATAAAGCTTAGGTCGTCTTCCAGGTCAACAAAGCGGCTTGAAGAGACTGTAGTTCCAACCTACTTACATTATATACTCAGAAGATGAGTAAATATATCCTGAAGTTCAATGAGATGTAGTTCTGGCTTCTACGAATAAATGCGTGAGTCCGAATTTCTGTTTGTTTTGCCCGTCTAGTCGAATCTAAGGCCTTTCTCCACTGTGCTCATCTATATCATGGTTTCTGTTCCTATGATTCCTAGCTTTTATATGGCCCACCTGAGGCTCGATTACATTTTTCAGTATGCGGAGGCTAACTGTGCGCAATAAAGGCAATGGATATGTCTATTCAGTGGCGACAGAAGTCCACAGACAGTTGGGAAATGACGCAGAGTAACCCCCCTTCAGAGCTCCCGAGCGATCCTATCGTATCTACTAGTTCTAACCCCGATGAACGCTCATCATCGCCAGGAACGCATACTGTATCGGAGGCACAGATTCAAGACAGTCTTTTCTCTCAGGCTGCGCAACAAGAAACAGAGCCTATTCCTCGTGACATAGATATGCCTGAACCAGAAGACATGCTCATCACCATTCCGGATTCACCTTCTCATGCATCCATGAAGTCGGATATAGATGATCACATTTCATCACTTCGTTTGGAACAAGACAAACACCCAGAACTGATTCCTAAAACTCGTCATCGAAAGGAGAAGGCCAAAGCCGCAGAATTGGATCTAGACGACGATGACTTTGAAATATCTAAAGGCGGCGGGCAAGATTCCGATAGTTCTTATGTGGAAGAGACGTCTCAACGTCGTAAGAAAAAAGCACCAAGCAAATCCAAGGGCGGCAAAACCGCCAGTAAACCACGACCCACGATCAAGAGCAACACGAAAAACACATTGGCAGTGTCCAAGGGGCCTAAGGAAGGTGCTGCTCAAAGATCTCGGCCACGGAAAAAAGACACGACGCCCAGGGCAGGATCGAAGCGCCCGAAGCCAGTCAATAAGAAATCTGACCAACCGGGCAAGGTTATTCCAGATTCCCAACAAGTTCATGATGAGAAACAAGCGAAGAGAGCACAGGCGGTAGCAAGGGTCCCGAAGAAAACCTTTTTTATCGAGCCAGAGGATGGCGAGGCTACACAAACTGCACAGGCTACCATGACAAAATCTAAATCTTACCCTGAGCTAAAATCTGGTATAACCATGAGCAAGAAACAGAATGCGAAAAGCCGAAGTTATGCACCCCCTGATTTGCCTACAAAGATGGATGATGGTTCGTGGCACCTACCAGGGTCGCCCCAGAAACAGGATCATAACCCATTATCAAAAGCCCAGCCTAAGGAATATATCTCGCCCAACGCATCTGGAGAAGCTGTAAGTCCTAATTCTAAGAAGAAGCGGAGCCCCGTACAATCAGGACCGCATCAGGGGAATAATCAGAACACAACACGGACATATGGACAGAAAATCACTCATCGCCTAGGCGATACTAGCAAATATTTCCATGAGCAGAAAGACCATGAAGCTCAGCGTCACGGACTGCTTAAGTCAGCGGGAACTAAACAGTCAGTGAATCAAAACACTAGATCCCCCAATGATGATACAGATTTCATACAAGATAACCCAGTGGAAGATTTGGCTCACAACGAAGAGGAAAACAATGAAGACATCAGGCACAAACGCGTTCTCTCAAACATTGTAGAGGAGCCAGCCTCAGAGGCTACAACCACAATCCATGTTCCCGGGCCGAGTGTCAATACCACCCCGGTGTCTCCAGCAGAGCATGTTCCTCCGAACCATCCAGAGGCTGATGCGCAAGTAATTCCTGAGAAGGAATTACGCCTCTCGGCACCAGTTCAGAACGAGATTAATAAGCAAACGAAAGAAGCAAAACCCCAGGCTCTTCTAGTAACTGAGAGTCCTGATGGCCCAAGGGAGTCAAGTAAGAGGCGTGTTGTCCAATTCAAAACAAACGGTGGCTCATTGGGAAATATCCAGGCCGATGACTTAGATGATCATCCGAAGTCCTCAGTCCGAGAGGTTCCTTGCCGAATAGACATTATAAAGGAGGATGAGATTGGGGCAAATGCTGGCCCGGCTAAGCAAGCCCACTCCTTTGTTCTGGCTTCACACACTGGCTTTGGCCAAAAAGCTCATATGGGTGATAGGCAGAAGGGCTCGTACATGATCAACATGGAAGCTGATCAGTCGCATAAGGACCCAATTTCGGCAGAGGAACACCATTCGTACCCCGATGAGATTGACATCTGCCATCAAAGCCATGCTACCCCTGTGAGAATTGATACGCGTTCGAGGATTAATGAGCTGGGGAGCCCTCTGATGCATCCAAAACGGACTGTTGCCAATGTAGCAACGTTTGAGCCCAATCAACTACAGCCGGTTACCTACGAAGAGCAATCCAGACTTCCAGCAAGGGCTCAGGTACCCTTTAACTATGACATGTCTTTACCTTCGCAGACTGCCTCGGGTTTTGAGACACAGCCAGTTCAGGCTAGCATTCCTCTATTGGCTAGTCGTGTAAACCCCAAAGCTTCCAGTTTTATGAGACCTGAGGCTCTAGACCATCCAAAGGACTCTCAACCTATCTCTCGAGCAGTACTCAGTCCGAGTTCAAGTGTTACGCGTCCAGTAAGACGTGCAGAGAATAGCATTTCTGAAGCTCCGCGACTTCATCCGAAATCCATTGACTTTGCTCGTCGAGTTGCCCAAGGCCGCAAGCAGACGGATTACAACCAAGCCGATGAAGAGGCACACGGAAGAGACCAGCAGCTGCGCACAAAGCAACCGCTATGGGTGAGGTCAAATTATGCGACGGAGCACTGGGATGGTTCTAGACCATCACCTTCCAGACTTGACAATCTGGAAGATATTTTGGGTGGACGACCTCCAAGAGTACATGGACGCAAACCAGATAAACAAGCACCAAAGCCCGACTACGAGACGAAATGGCAGGACGCAGTAGACGCAGCCTCCGGGGGCGTCATAGATACTCTTCATCTTATCTCTACGGTAAGTTTTCTTTTTCTTTGATTGAAAGAGGATCGTTACTAATCAGGGGTTAGAGCCTTCTTGAACATCTGAGAACTCAGGAGCAAAGCGTCACTGCTGTCGTTGAAGAGTATAAACGCAATGGTGCAAAGATCTCGGAAAGGTTAGCCAAACGCCAAAAAGGAGAATGGCATCGAGCATCAATTACAGCTGAGCAGAAGTGTATAGAGCTTGCGAGAGTGTATAGGGAACTAGCTGACAAGACGCAAAACTTTCGTACCAAGTGTTTGTCTAAACATCGTACCCAGGCGTACGCAGAATGGCAACGACAAGCGGCGCGAATTAAGAGCGCCGTCCGTGTTGCGAGAGAGGAGGCGACTTCGGGCTGAGGATGAGAATTCTGAGAAATTTGTGCTTCTATGGATGTTTGATCTTATAATGGTGTAAGATTATATTTGCTGCTGTCAGCCTATGGCACAATTTGCTAGGTAGAACCTGTGGGAATCATCTTGCAAGCTTACTAGGTACTCAATAGTCTTATTCAACTCTCATTTCTACTACCTATATCGTATCTATGTAGGTAGTTATATGAATTAGGGTTCGACGATCTTGCCGATAGAGCTGGTTTGTGAGCAACATCTCCAATTCTATGTCACACGGGGGTCATTGATGAGGGATGATGACTAAGCACATCGACGATGCCGGATGTTTTATTCCGTGGCTATTTGGTGAGTCTACTAGGAGGGGATCTCTCTATTTTTTCCATTATCCGACTGCTTCATCTTGTACGACGAATGAAAGGCGGAACTCATCTCGGTTGGCTGCAGCGCGTACTCTGCATTGGCCAATGAATTTGTGCATTAGCGCCGCCATCGTCTACGTTCTCAATGCGTCTTCCCGGCAAATTGAAGTAGGTTTCCGCGAAGCGCATTCATAGGTTCGCCCTCCTTTCTATGTGACGGTCTTTGCTCTAGGCTACCTCAATTACTACCTAGGTAGGTAGGTGGTCATCGGAATTGTTATAATGGCGTCTTTAGACGAAACGACCCGCGAAAGGGAACCTCTTCTCTCCGGAGGTTTAGCACAGAACAGGGCCTTCAGCCGCTCTCCGCCACGGCCCCATAATGCCATTGAGACACGGCGCCGGACGTCCGATCCGGGCAAGCCGGCGTCAATATCCGCGGATATCCGGCGATCAACCAATACATTGGCCCAAATCGCCGCAGCCATGTTCTCATTTATAGTGCTGGGCATGCTTGTCTCAACGCTCGGGGTCATGGTCCCCCAGTTCGAGGCGTACTACCACCTCACCGACCTCCGCGTCTCCTCCATCTTCCTCGTCTGGCCCTCCGGGTACGTGGTAGCTTCGTACCTCAACGGCGCGATCCACTCGCGGTTCGGCAGGCGCGGCGTCGCTGCCGTCGGGCCCCTGTTCCACGTCGTGATGGCCGCGGCCGCGGCGCTGCACCCCCCGTTCCCGGTGCTGCTTGTCGCGATGGCGGTCGGCTCGCTCGGGACGGGCGTCTTGGACGGCTCGTTCTGCGCCTGGGCTGGGGGTATGCGGAACGCGAATGTGGTGCAGGGGTTCTTGCACGGCTCGTACTCGGCGGGCGCGGCCGTGGGGCCGTTTCTCGCTGGGACTATGCTTGAGGTTGGGCGGCTGCCGTGGTATGCTTGGTATTATGTTCTCGTAAGGATCCCCTTTATGTCTATATACTTACATACCTACCCAAGTAAATATATGACCCCTTCAAGATCGAGCTATTAGGTAACATTAGGGTCACAGCTAGGCGCCTCCGTCCTCGAGGCCGTAGCACTCCTCCTCGCCTTCCGCTTCGAGGACGCAGCTTCGTACCGGTCCACGCACACCCAAGACCCAGACCAAGACCCTCTCCTTTCCCCAGCTTCAGCCCAGGACCCCACCTCTACCTCCGTCTCCCCGAGCTCCAAAACCGCCATCTTCAAACACACCGCGACCTGGATCTGCGCGCTGTACTTCCTCGCCTGCGTCGGCACCGAGAACGCCATCTCGGGCTGGATCGTCGTCTTCATGACGCGCGGCGGCCGCTCCTCGCCTTACCTCGCCAGCCTCACCTCCTCGCTGTTCTGGGTCGGCCAGGCCGCGGGCCGCGTCGTGCTCGGCGCCCTCGCGAATGATCGCCTTGGTGTGCGACGAGCTACTACCGTGTACCTGCTCGCGGCGCTGGTTTTCGAGGCGCTGTTCGTTGCTAGTGTTCGATTTATTGGTGGTATTCCTGCTTTCGCGGCTGCTGCGATCGCGCTCTTGGGGTTTTGTCTCGGTCCGCTGTTCCCGTCGGGCGTGTATGTGTTGGCGCGTCTGCTGCCGCGCGAGATGCACGTCGGTGCTGTTTCGTTCGTGGTTTTGGTCGGGCAGGTCGGAGGCGCGGTCTTGCCGTTTGCGCTCGGGGCGTTGGTCGAGGGTTTGGGGATCCAGGTTTTTCAGGTCGTGGTTTTTGTGCTGATACTTGCGACGCTGGGGATTTGGCTGGCGTTTCCGAGATTGCCGGCGGCGGACGCGGGATGTGGTGATCGTGGTTCGGGGAGGGGACAGTTAGGTAGATGATATAACGGTTTTTGTTCTTCATTGTTTCTTTCTTTTTTGGATACTTGCCTGGGTATCTAGGTAAGCTTCCCATGTGTAATATTTGTGGTCGGATGCTGTTCCACGCCATTAGTAACCTTACGTTCTACCTAAATAGCCGCTAGACCATAACAAACACAGTGCCTATATTTCATGTATCCCATTCATAAAGGTATCTAAACTCCAAAAAGGAATACAAGGAAAATAAAACATACAACACCACGGATTCGCTGGTCGTCACCGACCCAACTACTGATGTGGCAGTCTCCAGCTTATCTATGGGAGAGCGGACGGGATCCCGAGTATTCTAGAACTTATGGTCGTATGTGAAAGGCGTTGGTCTTATTAGAGCTTATATTATCTACGTTCGTCACAGTCGCTGACTACACTTTTCAAATATTGCGATATCTCCAGACACCCTGAGGAACATAGGATCCCAGTAGGTATTTGCAACGTCAGCGCCAGAAACTCTATCACGATTGCGTATTGATGTTATACAGTTTGGGCCTCTAAATTTGCGGATGACGTGTATATTGTAGAGGAATAGCTGCTGGTTATATATGGATACCTACAGTAGAGACTATAATAATATATATTTCATGCCGGCTCTTGGCCACTTGGATATTCTAATATGTAAAGATTTCTAGATATATAAATTGCGCTAATCTTTTACTCTGTATAGCGAAGCACCTCTACTCGTTAACATCGAACTCATCAATCACGCTCCTAGGTTTCACGAATTTACCTAGGGGCTTATAGGTGAGGTGATCCATGCCGAAGGCCTTCGGGCCGCCGATCTCGATGCCCCTCTCCGAAGTCCAACGTTCGCTAGCCGTAATGCCTAGGACGATAACCAGCAATCCGTACCGGTACTCCGGGGTACCGATGGCCTCGCCGTTCTGCGCGTCGATCACGGTGATCAGGTCTGGCACGAGACCCAGCACCTCGTCCTCCGTCTCTACGACCTTTCCATCTACAACTGACCGGGAAATTTTGATGGCGGCGATATTCTCGTTCTTGAACGGGATCTTGATCCTTCCCTGGAACTGCGGCTGTCCGGAAGCAGAAGCGTCCTTGTTTGCGGTGGCAGTCTCGTCGTCGACTACATCCGCGCCTTCGATGATGCACTCCCCGTAGATGTGGCCCATGCGCAGCATACGCTCCACGCCTACGATCTTGCCCTTCCATAGCACTTTGCCGGCTTCGGGGCCTCCGCATTCGGCCAGGATGGTCTCTGCGACGTTGTCTATGCGGTTGGCTTGGCGCGCCTTCGCAACCGCTCGGCCGATTCGCCACGATTGCGAGATGGTATGTTCGACGGCCCATCGTCTGCATTCCGATCCAGTCACGGGCGGGTCGGCAACTCCTACGCCCGATCCCATCTGGCTTAGCGCCGCGCGAAGTATACGCTCAACTTGGAGGTCTGAGGTGGATTTTGGTACGATGACGACGTTTCCGTTGCCGTCCGTCATCGCCACCGGCGACCAGATTGGTGTCCGCTCATTGAAGACAACCGGCGTCGTCTGCCACTTGGTGGGATATGCTCTCCCCATCCAGTCGCCGTCTACGGCCGGCAGGTTCATGTTTGTGCTCGCGCCGATGATCATGCTCTGCAAGCCGTTGCCGCCTCCGATCTCCACCGAGATGATATGCGATGGATAATCGTCGCAGATCTTGTACAGCTCTACTTGACAGTCGGTCATCTCGTCGCCGGCCAACTTTTCTATTCCGACTGTGGGCGAGCCGGCGTGGCCACCGGTTGCTACCGCTGCGTCGTCTTTCAAATCGTCCGGGTTTACGACGCGGACCACATCGCCCCTGCGCAGCATTGCCCGCAGCCGGATCATGGATGCGTAGGGGCTGCCGCCTCCGCCGGTCCCGAGGATGTAGCAGCCAATAGTAATCCAGACGAGGTCCGTTTCGTTGACATACCAGACGCGGTTCTTTACCGTGGGTTTATAGTTGTCGATGTCGATATCTTCCTTTGGCTCCGGCTTCGTGTTCTTCTCGGGATTCCGTGCGGCCTTTTCGTATTCGTCCATTTGGACTTCCGTTTCCGTGGACGTTTCGTCGAAGTGGAGGGTTGCAAAATCCGTGCGCGAGTAATCGAGGTCTCCCGCGGCTCGCACGGTAAACCGCGACTTGTTAGCTATGTACTATAAATGCAATTAGATGATATTCGTTCAGATGAGGTTCGAAATGGTAAAATACCGGCAAAGGCAGAGTATCCATTTCCACAACCTTTGCAGTCGACCTTGATGCACCGTTCGCCACGGCTCGCTCGATAGCGTCTTGACAGATCTCCTCCAAGATCTGTTGCGTAGACCTGGACTCAGTAGATTTTACTGTGTCTACGACGGCGCTGACTCTTGCAATCGCGGCTCCGATAGCATTTGCGACTCCTGACCACTTTGGCTTGAGTACCTTGCTCGCTCCCTTCAGTTCATCTGGCGCTATTACGGCACCACCTCCCACAAGAAGCACGGGAAGGTCTTCGGGTGATGTTTTCATTGTATCAATGATCTTCTCGATCTTGTGTTTAACGACAGTCTTGAATTTCGCAATTCCCTCTTCATTTAAGGCGCCTTTCACTAATTCCTTATTTCCTATCTCAACCGTGCTGTCCGCTAGAACCGTACAGTCAGTGGTGGTGAGTATTTTGCCGCCGAACACTAAAGCTTCTTCGGTGATTTTATAACCGACGCTATCAGGACCTACAGTCAGTGTTTCGCCGTCTCTGACGATGGAACCACCGCCGAGGCCGATGCTCTTAACGTCTGGACAAGAAAAGTTCATCCGAACTCCCGCCAAATCGCTATAGGCGGCCTGCTGGCGTGGGAAGCCATTCGCGAGCAAAAGGCCTACGTCAGTGGTCGTTCCGCCTATGTCAACTACCATTATTGCCTCGTCTAGCTCGTTCTGCACGAGGAAGGCAGCGCCGCGCATACTGTTCGTCGGACCGGATGAGAAAGTTCGGATGGGCAACCTTGCCGCCATGTCACCAGAAAGAATTGTACCATCATTCTGCGTGATGAACACGGGACAGTCGAGACCTAAACGCTTGATCGGCTCCTGGAATGAACGGATGGTCTTACGAGCGAATGCAAGAATGGAAGCATTCAATATAGCGGCATTTTCACGCTCCAGGAAACCCAGGTTAGCAACTTCTTTAGAACAGACGATATCGGCGCCAGGGATCTCAGCGCGGATAATGGCGGCGGCGCGTTCCTCTTGCTTTTCGACAGTGTCAATGGGGCTGAAGACCCCGTTTACGACTATGCTCTTGATTCCCTTCTCCCGGATGATAGCACATTGTTCTCTGATTTCATTCTCGTCGATGTCAGAAATGAGATACCCGTCGACTTCCAGGCCACCTTTTAGAAGGGCGTGGTAGCCGAGGATGAGCTCGCGCATGTCGTCCGGCCAATCGATGCAAGGAGGAGCATGCTTAGAGAAGGGACCGCAGAGCCGCAGGACGGCGACCTTGGTCAGGCGCGCGGCATCCCTCTCAACGACAGCATTGACGAAATGAGTTGTGCCGATGGTGACGCTGGCGACTTGGTCCGGGCTGATGCCAGCGGTCTTGAACATAGTCGTGATGGCATCGTTGATCCCAAGACTCGGGTTTGTGGTCGTCGGCGCCTTGTGCCAAGCGATGATGCCCTTGTCCGGCTCTAGGGCGCGCGACGGGTCGAGGACGACACCATCGGTGTTGGTGCCACCAACATCGACGCCGATGCGCAAGGTCTTTTTGGATTCGATAGAAGATCCCATTTTATTCTAGAAGGACGAGATCTCGGAATCCTACAAGATCTACATGTATTGCGCATATATAGGTACACTACCTAGGGTCCATCGCAGCCGGAGTTTCGTGCCTAGAAATAGCAAACAGCTTGCTCGGCATATTCCTACCGAAGCCGGCTTCGGCCGCGACTGCTACTTTATCGCCCGCCCCCCTTCGCGTAAATGGTAGGGCGGCCGGGCTTGGAACATCCAATGCGGCTAGCATTGCGACTTGGATTTATGTCATTTTTGAAGTTGATAGGACTAAGATATTGCGAATCGAGAAAATATTAAAGCTGTTATTCCTTCATTTTAAACAGTTTCAAATCTAAATGCTTCAGTTGACTTCTACTCGATCTAGTAGTTAAATTCATGCAGTGAAGCAAACTGGATGATTGTAGAAATGTTAGGTAAGATAAAATTGAACATTTAGAAGTGGAGTTTAAAGGATGGAAGGTTTCGTCTCGGTGGTCTTACGGAGATCCCCCTCCACAAGCTTATCATCGGATCAGATAAGATAGCTATCTTGGTCCATACCCCGGCAGGTACCCCGGTCCTGGCAGGTGGTGTGGGGTGCCGATATCATTTCCCTTTTCTTGTCTCACCCCCTGCCATCTCGCTGCTAGGGACTCTAATAATCTCTGTATTGGTCGTAGCATGCCGATCTTGTCCTACCTGTTATCTCTATATCTTGGCCTTCTCGCCATGATAGAGCTAACCGGCCGACCATGATTCCACCCGGAAGGTAACATGGTGTTTTGCACGCTGAATGGCTGATTCTGTTCTGTGGCATTTTGTGCAGGTACCGCAGCTTACGGCATGTATAATACCCCGTAGGACCGCATTGAAGGCTCGCCGACCTTTGGACTTGACTTTTGTCATGTCGGCCCTCAGAATACTGTAACCATGGCTGTCGGCTTAAGATCTCGTTTTGAGACTGTTAAGGAGAAGGTCCGTTTACACGGCGATGAGAGTCGACACGAGCAAACGGATCAGTGGTGCAATCGGGACTTGGTCCCCTTACCACCCAACCGAAGAACATGGGGTAAGTCTCAATTATCGTACCAGGTGAGATATGACCTATGCTTACCATCCAACTAGGCTGGTTTCATTACTACGGTTTTTGGACTTTGTCGTCGTTGAATATCACGAACTGGCAGACTCCAAGTACTTTCTTGAGTAAGCTTCCTCAGCTGATTGTTATTTTTGCTTCCTCCTAATCATCCGATATAGCGGAAGGGTTGTCGGTTTCCCAGTCTATGTTGATAATCGTCATTGGCCGTTTCATGATAGCCGCCTTCTCTACTGTGGTTGCCTGGTGTGGTCTGCGATGGCATATCGGCTTCACAATCCAGAATCGCTTCACTTGGGGCATGCGAGGAAGTTACATACCCCTGCTACAGCGAGTCTTGCTTAACTTCATATGGAACGCCATCCAGTGTTGGAATGGCGGACGACTCGCCGCCGTATGCATGACAGCTCTCTGGCCCTCCTACGCCAAGATGCGAAATTTCCTGCCTGAAAGCCTACCAACAACTGGTGATGAATTTGTAGGCTTCATCGTCTTCTGGGTCCTGTCAACGCCGCTTCTGTGGATCCCACCCGAAAAATTCAAGATCCCATTCCTGTTCACGTCCATATACAGCGCCCTTGGCATGATCTCTATGATGATATGGGCCCTGTCAACTGCAAAGGGCGTGGGTCCCCTTATGAATACCGGCGTGGCCCTTCCTGAGGGTTCTCTATGGAACGTGTCCTGGCTCTTGATGGCCGGCATTAATCAGACAGTTGGTAGTAACTCTGCGGGTATCACTAATGGATCTGATTTTTCGCGGTATGCTCGGGACTGGAAAGCTTATGTTATTGGAACGATTTCATCGGGATGGATCACTGGTGTTCTCGTATGTCTCGTTGGCCTAGTGACAACCAGCGCTGGCCAGAAGATCTACGGAGAGGTATACTGGAATCCACCAGACCTTTTAATGAAAATGATGGATAACGGAGATGGATCATCAGCAGCTCGAGCTGGTGTGTTCTTCCTCGCTTTTGGATTCTGTCTAACTAGCATGTTCGAAAACATATGCGGTAACGCCGTGGCTGGTGGTATCGACCTTGCTGGGATGTGTCCTCATTACATCAATATCAGGAGAGGTGCCATCATCACTTTCGTCGCCGCTTGGATCGTCCAGCCTTGGCAGCTTGTGAACAAAGCGACAACATTCATCCAGGTTCTCAGCTCGTTCTCCGTCTTCCTGTCGCCGTTGATCGGCCTCATGGCAGCCGACTTTTATATCTTACGTGGACGTAAAATCCGTCTAAGTCATTTATACTCAACGAAGAATACTTCGTACTGGTATTGGAATGGTATCAATTGGCGAGCAGCCCTAGCCTGGGTCTGCGGTTGGATCCCAACCATCGGCGGCCTTGTCGTTGCTGTTGAGGGGGACACGAATGCGCCTAGGGGTTTATATGAGATATACTATATGGCGTTCTTTATTGGTAAGTGGGACTAGGTCTCCAGAAGCAACGACTGACTACAGATTTTCTAACATTATTTCTTCATTCAGGCTTCTTCACCAGCGCCATTCTATTCATCATCCTCAATAAGCTGTTTCCTGTTGCTGGAATGGGCGAGTATGACGAAGCTGATCTTTATGGAACCTTCACTGTTAAGGAGGCGGCGAATTTAGGGGTTATCCCTGTGGACTTCCAGACTGATGCCTACGATGATAGCGGTGAACTCTCTCTAGCCCAGGAGATGTTTGATAAGAAGGAGTAGGTAGTTTGCTGTTGTTTTCATATATTTATCAAGCATACTAGATCTATCCAACGAAGCCATGCTTTCAACGGATACAGGGACAATACAATGGCGTAAGATGACCCGCTGCCTTTTGCGTGGTATAACAAAATCCATTTGATAGAGTTATTTATGCGAACAGCTTTGTCGCAATATTGAGTAACAAACTGGTTCTCGCTGTGCTACAAACTCAATTTACGGTGCCTATATATAAACGTTCTGTCGAGAACCAATTTTCACGAAGTTCACTTTATGCCTGCCTAGGAAAATAAGGAGGCATCGGAGTCTAATAGAACTATTATAACTAGAAACTCCGTACAGGAAGTGTATATCAGTTATTCTATATGGGTCTCATAGTGTTAAGAAATCATATCATAACTACTATACCGCATACCTTGGAGTACACCAGAAGGGAAACGAAAGAAGGCCAGCATCATTTGTTAAAATATGAGATTTAATCTAAACATCGTACTTAGCTGCGTAGGCACTATGGAAGAGGTGAAAGGATGCCGGTTCACCAGGTGAGAACCTAGGAGTAGAATAGTGGTCGCTAGAGACGACCTATGACCACCTCGTACCTATGTTATTAGGAAATCTTAACGGTTATTCCCTAACCAAAACTTGAAGCCTCATGTGGCTTTATGCAAGTTTACTACTGGAACCCATCACCACAGTGAGTGTTCATTCTACATAATAGATCAGACGCTACCTAGGTGATATTGTTAGTTCCACGTCATTCTATTTACGACCAGCCATGATTTGGCAGCCTTTAGCGTGTTTCTTGTGTACCTAAGTACTTGACTGTCGCGACGGTAACCCTGGTGATGCAATTGTCTACATAGCTAGACGAAATACACTGCACACCTTTTATTTTTTCCTTCATACCTACACAACTTTTTTTTTACACGTCGTTCCATATTAACTCACAATCTTTCCCCTCATCCACACAGTTCACGTGCGACTAATCTCAACGATCACCACCCATTTTGTATTCTCATTATTCTCGTCGCAAACGATTATACCTTGAGAAGTATATTGCAACCATGGATCCAAACGCCCAAGCACCTCGCGAAGACGCTGATCCTAAGATAACTGCACCAGCCAAGGATAAGCAGGCGGCAACGACGGTGGCATCCGAATCGACGCCCAAGCTCAAGGCACCATCCAAGGCAAAGGCACCACCAAAGGCACCACCAAAGGCAAAGCCAACGCCCAAGGCAAAGGCGACGCCCAAACCCAAGGCGGCACCCAAGCCCAAGGCAGAGCCGAAGGCGAAGAAGGAACCGAAGCCGAGGGCGCCTCGAAAGACCAAAGCGTCACAACCGAAGTCCACGACCAAGAAGGCCGGCCCAGGGACTCCTGCCGCCAGATCGAGCAATCGGCCGAGCAATGCATCTGCCCAAGATGGCTCTACCTTGTTTCCTCGAAATCCCACACGTCCAATTATTCACATTTCAACACCAGGACCTAGTCAATCTCAACCTGAACCTTCAACATCTCGCCCCCCCATTGTGCCAGAACTTATCGATAGCCACCACTGGTATACAGCACCCGTCGAAAGCGCATACATTTCGACCACAACACCTTCATCTACACTTGCCGCATCTACACCCAATCAGCCAGGCGCCGAGACAACTACCAGCAGCAGCCAGAATCCTGCGATGGCAGAGAAAGATTCTCAGACAAGCCCCTCCATGGCTGAGGCACCGGCGGCGCCTTCAGCATCGTCGGCACCGTCGGCATCGTCAGCACCGTCGGATCGGCCTGTGGGTGGACGTGGTCGCGGTCGCGGTCGTGGCCGAGGCCGTGGCGCACCCTTCCCGAGACGACAAAGGGTTGAACTTCATCCAGATGACCTCGAAAACGTGGAGCACGCGCCAGTGCAGATAGCGGGCCAACCTAGAGTTCACGTTAAACGCCAAGAGAAGCCCAAGACAGGGCAGAAACGTAAGATGGGCGATGTAGAGACAGAAGCCAAGACTCAGGAGGAAACGGAGACAGAGGGTACCAGCAAGCAGAAGAAGAAGCGGATTGGCACAGCTCAACCTTCTGAAGATCAAGCCCCCGGACCTATCATATCTCAATACCGCCCCTTGGAACTGCACGCTCCTAAGCCTCGCCCCTCGGGTCATAGTAGTCTGATTAAACAGCCAGTTCCTGGCGCTTCTCACGGATCTACATTAGGCACACCTTCCCGAAACTCTCATTCGGCAAGGCCTTCTCCGATCAACCTAGAGGATATTCATCGCCTAAGCGTGTCACCGACGCGCAGTACTGCATCTAGGGCTAGCTCTCATCGATCTAGACTCTCACCTATTGCACTAGGCGTTGAGCCCTGGGTTCCTGTATTGAACATGCCTGGAAATGGAGCTCCTCGCCTTGGACCTCCGGGTCAGGTACATGGAATGCCTTATGGCGCTACTAATTACCCTGGGGTTGCAGTTCCTAATGCCCCCGCAGCAAACATGCCTCGTCCCGGAACACAGCGTCCTAATGCCCCCGGAGCGAACATGCCTCATCCCGGAACACAGCGTCCGAATGCCTCCGTGGCAAGCATGCCTGCTCCTGGCACACAGCGTCCTCCTGCTTATATCCCTTACACTGAGATCCGCCGTTACGCGGCCCGACCTCAGCCCCAAATGCGCAAGTGTCGACGCTGCGGGAGACAGTTCGACCTGAACCAGGTTAGCACGGATCGATGCCCAGCCTATCGCAGTAAGCACAGCTACAGTTATCGATATATATAGATATGCATGAGTTACTAACATTATATATTCAGTACATCCCAAACCCCTTATACCCTACGCGACGGAGAGGGTCATACCCTTCAAAGGGGAAATAGAGCACAACAGGTCCCAGATGTGGTCCTGCTGTGGGCACGATGTGAACAGCTATTCGTCTGGTTGTGTGCTGGGAACACACGAAGCTATATAAGCAGTCCAATCATGACGTCATACGTCGCACGGCATACAAATATCGATGCGGGCAGTCGCGCTAGCTATTATACGCAGCCTACCAGCCTTAAGCTACCACTTGTACAACCTACAGGCAATCCTGGAAGCCCCGCTGCCCCCGCTGAACCGCTGAACCGTGTTGAATCGTCGATCGTCGATCATCTCCAGTGATCGTCACATCCCACTTTGCCTTACTTTTCCTTCCTTTTCGCTTTTCAGTTTCACTTTCAGTCGCATCGCGTTCGTTTGAGCCCTACCGTTGCTATCGTTTAGGTATTCCCCCGCCGAATAACCTAACCTATTTGTTTCCTTTCTTTTTACATTTCGGGTTTTTTTTCTTCTAGTTTTGTTGTCACAAGTCTTCAGACATTCAGACAATTTTCCTGCTCGTTTTTTGCTGAGGACATTCCTCTTCTATTGTTTGACGTTGGGCACATTTTCGGGCCGGAATCCTGAGATTCCAAGTGAGGAGGACTCGACATCATGATTCCCCGGATCGTCTCCTCAGACGAGGTCTATATACTCCCTTTGAAGGATAATGGCGCTCCAGATGTTCCTGGAGAGTACATTTATCTTGCCCCGACGTCCAAAGATCCTATCACCATACGATTCACAATAGAGGGCACCTCTTCCATATGTCGACAAGGCAGCTTATGGGTCAACATACCCGAACGGGGATCCGAGTTCCACAGAGATCAGTTCCGAGAGTACAGGTATGTCTAACGGATAGCTGTAAGAAGGTTCCGGGATTGTCTTGCTAACCCTTCTTCCAGACTAAATCCTGATTTCAATCGAACGATAGAAATATCCATCCCTGTTTATGAAGCTGGTGCTTTCGCATTTTATACCACCTATGCCGAGTTACCACCTCTTTCCTCTACCCTAGCCACGAATGTACCGGCCTCTGTCGAGTCTAAAACGACCCCTAAATACTATATTGACATTGCTCCCCGCTTGTCGCTTGACGGCCGCTTGTTACCGCTACCGGCGTTGTCAATATTCTCCGTCATCAGCAAGTTCATGGGAAAATACCCGTCTGATTGGGAGAACCATTTACGAGGTATCAGTGGCCGTGGGTATAACATGATACATTTCACACCCCTCCAAATTCGTGGAGCCTCAAATTCACCTTACAGTTTGTATGATCAGCTCGGATGGGATCCAGAATGTTTTCCCCGAGGAGAGGAGAATGTACAACAAATGGTTGATAGCCTGGAACAGAACCATTCTCTCCTCAGTCTGACTGACATCGTCTTAAACCACACCGCCAATAACAGCAAATGGCTTTTGGATCACCCGGAGGCTGGGTACAACCTTAACACCGCTCCCTGGCTCGAATCTGCCTACGTTCTGGACACCCAACTCCTCGTCTTCAGCTCTAGGCTTGAAAAACTAGGATATCCTAAGGAGCTTCTCTCTACCGATGATCTTATCAACGTTATGGACGGTATCAAAAAGCATGTCATTGCTGAGATTCGTCTATGGGAATACTACACACTTGATGTTGACAGGGATGTAGATGCTGCAATTGAATCTTGGGCAGTTGGACAAGTACACATTCCCCAGGGAACTGATAGTAGTGTCCTTGACAAGCTCAAAGTAGGTAGTCTCGAAGATCAAGCTATGTATCTAGTTCAGAATGGTCTGGTCGGCAACGACAGACTTGGCGCACGTTTCCGGCGGTCTATTAATCCAAAAGTTTCGGCTGGTCTAATTGCTACTTTGTTTGGAAAGTATAGGGGAGAGGCAGATGAAGCGGCTATTCGTTCTAAACTAGTCCAAATTTTGGATGTGGTCAATGTCCCGTTCTATGCGGAGTATGACAAGGAGATTGGAGAAATTCTCCAGCAACTCTTCAATAGGATCAAGTACGTTCGTCTGGACGAGCATGGACCGAAGCTTGGTCCTATTGACGAGGAGAATCCTATAATCGAAACGTACTTCACTCGTCTAAGTAAGGAGGATGCGTCTAAGAGACTCAAGTCAGAAGACTTGGTTCTTGTCAATAATGGTTGGGTTTGGGCTGGTAATGCATTGATTGACAATGCCGGCCCGCAATCACGCGTGTATTTGAGACGTGAAGTCATTATCTGGGGAGATTGTGTCAAGCTACGCTATGGAGCCGCCCCTGAGGATAGCCCTTGGCTGTGGGAACACATGACCAACTATGCTCGGATGCTGGCTAAGTATTTTGCGGGCTTCCGGATCGATAACTGCCACTCTACACCGATTCACGTTGCGGAACATATCCTTGACGAGGCACGCCGTGTTCGACCAAACCTATATGTTGTGGCAGAGCTTTTCACGGGCTCGGAGGAGATGGACTACGTCTTTGTCAAGAGACTAGGTCTAAGTTCATTGATCAGAGAAGCTATGCAGGCTTGGAGCACGGCGGAACTAAGCAGATTGGTACATCGCCACGGCGGACGCCCCATTGGCAGCTTTGAGGTCGATGAGATTTCGAAACGTTCCGTCGAAAGTGCTCCCACAAGTCCTGGACTTGCTGATGGTACTACTCGAGAGGTCGTTCGCAGAATCAAGCCCGTTCCAGTCAACGCTCTGTTTATGGATTGTACACACGACAACGAAGTTCCTGCTCAGAAGCGAGATGCCCGAGATACCCTACCAAACGCCGCCTTGGTGTGTATGTGTGCTAGCGCAACAGGTAGTGTCATGGGATACGATGAGATATACCCAAAGCTTGTCGATCTAGTGAACGAAACTAGACTATACACATCTGAGTCATCTTCCGCCGAAGAAGTAAAAATAGGAGGTGGAAAAGGTGGAATTGGCGGCATCAAGAAGTTGCTCAATGAGATTCATACATTGATGGGGAAGGATGGATACGACGAAACACATATTCACCATGAAGATCAGTACATCACCGTCCACAGAGTACATCCCGAGTCGAGAAAGGGATACTTCCTCATCGCCCATACTGCCTACCCAGGTTATGGAAATGGTAATGGTGCATTTAGCGCCGTACGTCTTAGCGGCACGAAAGCGCGGCATCTGGGAAGCTGGATGTTGGAGGTTGACGACAGCAAGGAAGCCAAAGAGGCAGTTGAAAGTGACAAGAAATACCTGCGGGGCCTTCCTAGTAAAGTGGTCAATGTACCAGGTATTCGGTTGGAAGTTAGTTCGAGTGAAACAGTTATCACGGTACGCGACAAATTTCCGCCTGGCAGTATCGCTTTGTTCGAAACCTGGATTCCCGCTGCAGAGCATTCGGCAGGCCTGGATACCTATGTTACGTCTGGGGCTAAGGAGGCCATGAGCGAGCTTGACCTGGTCGACCTCAATTTTCTACTGTACCGTTGCGAAGCCGAAGAGCTCAGCGGTAGTGATGGTAAAGATGGCACATATGACATTCCGGGACATGGGAAGATAGTATATGCCGGTCTTCAGGGTTGGTGGAGTCTCTTGAAGGACATTATCAAGGACAATAACTTAGCCCACCCCTTGTGTGAAAACCTCCGCAACGGCCAATGGGCTCTCGACTATACTGTCGGACGTCTCGAAAGGATAAGCCATCAAAAAGAGTTCGCTGGCCTCGCTAAACCCGCAGCCTGGCTTAAGAATCGGTTCGATGCAATCCGGGATATTCCCAGCTTTCTCCTGCCGCGCTACTTTGCACTAATCGTGCGGACTGCCTATAAGGCCGCTTGGGAAAGAGGCCTACAGCTTATGAATGAAAAGGTGCAGAACAACCAGTGGTTCCTTCAGAGCCTGGCGATGGTTAGTGTGCAAATGACAGGCCTGGTTAAATCCGCTTCGCTTTGGCCGAAGAATCTTGTTCCCTCATTGGCGGCCGGCTTGCCACATTTCGCTGTTGAATGGGCAAGATGCTGGGGTCGTGATGTTTTTATCTCCCTCCGTGGCCTTTACCTTGGGACAGGCCGGTTCGACGAGGCCGCGGAACACATCTTCGCATTTGCAAGCGTTCTCAAACACGGCATGATCCCCAATCTTCTCAGCAGCGGAAACCTTCCGCGATATAATAGTCGAGACTCTGTCTGGTTCTTTTTGCAATGCATCCAGGATTACACACAATATGCACCCAACGGTTTGAATCTCCTGGAGAGGAAGGTGAAACGTCGTTTCTTACCTTATGACGATACCTGGTTTGCCTCTGACGACCCGCGAGCGTATTCGACGGAAAGTACCATTACAGATGTTATCCAAGAAGCCCTGCAACGCCACGCATCCGGGCTAAAATTCCGTGAGGCCAATGCGGGCCCAAGCATCGACTCCCAAATGCGCGACGAGGGCTTCAATATCGAGGTCAATGTCGACTGGTCAAATGGCATTATATTCGGCGGAAACCAGTTCAATTGTGGTACCTGGATGGACAAGATGGGTGAGAGTGAGCGTGCGGGCTCGAAGGGTATCCCAGGCACCCCTCGCGACGGTGCTGCCATTGAGATCACAGGACTGCTCTATAGTACCTTGAAATGGCTCGCCAAGCTCAACGCTGACGGCAAATATCCGTACAAGGGCGTGACAAAGTCTGACGGTTCAGAAATAACATTCTCGGCTTGGGCCGGTCTTCTTAAGTCAAGCTTCGAGCATAGCTACTACGTGCCAGTCAACCCATCAGATGACGCACAATATGCCGTCAACCCTGCCGTCGTCAACCGCCGCGGTATCTACAAGGACCTCTTCCGCTCCGGAAAGGAGTACGAGGACTACCAGCTCCGGCCCAACTTCGCCATCGCCATGACGGTAGCCCCAGACCTCTTCAATCCAGACCACGCGACGGGCGCCCTCGTGCTCGCGGACAAGGTGCTGCGCGGGCCAACAGGAATGGCGACACTCGACCCGTCCGACCTCAATTACCGGCCGTATTACATCAACAGCGAGGACTCAGACGACTTCGCCACCTCCAAGGGCAGGAACTACCACCAGGGCCCCGAATGGCTCTGGCCCACGGGCTTCTTCCTACGCGCCCTCCTCAAGTTCGATCTCATGAGGAGGAACACGGAGCAGGGCCGGGTCGAGGCCTTCCAGCAGGTCACGAGGAGGTTGGCCGGGTGCAAGGACCAGATCCGGAGCAGCGAGTGGGCGGGGCTCACGGAGCTTACCCAGAAGAACGGCGAATTCTGCCCCGACTCGAGCCCGACCCAGGCTTGGAGCGCCGGGTGTCTGATTGATCTGTATATGGATGCTGCCGAGTACTCGGCGTAGTCGGGTACGGTCAATAGGTCTATGGTTGAGATGCGGTAGTTCAGGGAGCGGAGGCGTAGGTGTTGTTGGAAGGGAATGTCGGAGTTGAGCACGACATCCACGAGCATACGAAAAAATTAGGGTTCGCATACGCGGAGGATAAGGGAGTTTGTTATGCTTTGTTTTGTTTTTCACTGTTACTGAATTACGAAATGAGGTCATGAGGCATACGTCTCGTACATAGATACATGCATAGGTGCGATGAATACGAGGTATGATCATGACTGTTGATATTGCATGGGGTCGCGATTGGTGCATAAGGTTCAGGTGCGTGGTTGAAGCTTAATCTGTTCCTTGGGCTTGACTTTGATGCTATCGTGACGATATAAGATATCGAGGCTAATGACCACGAGTAGGATTCCCCTCGAGTCTATTGGTCGCTTCACACGCCCACGCACTCGCATCCATTCATCTCCCTCCCTAGTAGGCCAAGGAGAACCCACCAATTACACCTGTCTGTATACTCTCCCTATAGCCTAATGAAACCTTCCACGATCCAGGCCCCCACCACGTATTCCCATTCCTCGCTCTTCAGCTCAGACACAAAACCATCCTACAATAGCCTACATACTTATACGTCGCACAATGAGGAGCGCCTACCGTTCCGTTCCTGAGATGAGGGTTACGCGTAAAGATCCGCCGTAAGATTTTAACGTGACATTTGTGTAACTATACCCCTATATTCCCCAATCGCACAAAAAGGGGGCTGGGGAGGGGGGGCTGTGTACCCGGGTACATGTACGCTTCGCGCACAAGCCGTTTTTGACAGCTTCGGACGGGGAGAAAACCAGATTTTCTGAGATCTCGAGATTATCGGTGGCCTCTATACGTTTTAATGGTGACTTATGTATCTTGCCATCGTACGACCCCGTAAAAATTAGCTGTTCCTACCTAAAAGCGCGATATCTAACAGCGCAGTAAGTTGATAAGCACTCGAAATAGGAAGCGATTTAGAGGCCGCCCAAAAATGAGAAATATGCACTAGGAATTTTTGTACAGTATTAGTATTGGCTCACAGGTTTTTGATGTAGCTAAAGCTAGGTTTTAAGACAAGACAATCAAGTCTTTTATCTCAAATCGTACTTGTCCGTTCCAGCGAGACAACAACCACCGCGAGGTATCCTAGGCTTCTCTCCTAGATCTCTCCTAAGAAGAACAGAGACTAGTAAACTGATATCAAACCGTCCCATGCTGCCTGATCCTAATCCATGGCTTACCCAGATCGATTCCCCCACGCCTAGTTGTTCAAGAATCAGACGATAAGAACCCGCATCGATATAATATCGTAGAAACACCTTTCCATCCCTAACGCCTTGTATGTGGAATTTGAATCGACGACATGCTTAAGGAATAGTCCTACGACGGTAGGTATAGTAAACTGCGATAATGACGAGTTTGATAGAGGATGATATTGGAACATGAAAGGAGTGTCGTAAATGATTGAAACTGAGCTTTGCTGGCTTTATGCTGTTCACGTTCGTTGGGTGACGATCCACTTCTTGCGCTCCTTTTTCGGTTTCTCGGTATAACCGGCACCACCGGAGCCTGACATGAATGCGCCTTGGTTGGAGTAATTGCTATCGCGCGCACCGGAACCGACCAAGTTACCCTGTGTGTTGACCGCGACGCTGCTGGGGAGTCCTTTGCCGAGCTCGTACATTCGATCCTTCTTCTTAAGGTACTTGCGACGCCATATACATGCGCCAGTCCAGATTCCGGCAATGCCCACAACGATGATTACAATCATGATGACCCATTTCCAATGTGTCGAGAGCCTGTAGAGTAAAGTATCAGTTTCCAAAGTCGGGGTGCTGGTAACAAGAAAAACAAAAAAACATACCAGTCTCCACCACCAGAATCATTCGATGAACTTGAACCACTGGTGCTCGAACTTGTCGACGAGGAAGATGATGTGGTGGCGGTGGCGGCTTTGGCACAGAAGCTTGTGAACCAGCCTTGAATGCTGGATAAACCACCTGCATCGGCCGTACACGCTTGGTCGCAAACTCCCGATGTCCCTTTGCTGAATGGTTGAAGTGAATCGTATTTACAGAAGCAGGAATCATAGGTAGTTTCATCGGCCTGTGCAGCGGCAGGGGGTACACAGGCACCGTTGGCATCGTAGAGGGGTCCACATTGTACGGCGCACGAGGGTAACGATGCGAAGGGCACAACGGTCGTCACAGGTTGAGCTGAAAAAGCGTTAGCCGGCTAGAACAATTTGTCCGATATGATAAATCTGGGTGTGTAAGTTTTGTAAGATGAAAACATACCCATGGCGAAGTGCGAATATCAGATGCCAAAATATTTCGGATGTAAGGGACGTGAGTAATTCGAGAAAATTGGTGAGTTTCCGTCACAGATCCAACTTGTATTCGTAAAACGAGCGGCGCTTGGCCCTCCTCCTATTCAATGGTATCACGACTGAGAAACAATGGATTATTATGCGGTGTTCGATGTCCAGGCCCAACCAAAAACGTTATCGACTAACAAATCAGATTATTGACGGAGTTGGTTGTAATAATGCTGAGGGTCGTCCTGAAAGAACAAAGTTGATTTGTAAATTATCGTAGTGGGTGATGAGGTTGTTATTGTCGAGAATACACAAAGACGCTAATGATTAACCGGTCGTTGGGAGAATCGGCAAATCGGGAAGGGCTTCTCGCGTCTGTCGTGTTAGGTATGGGTTTGTGGGTTACGGGCTACGGAATGCGAATAAGAAAAAGAACGAGGGGAACTCGTGTCTTGGCTGTTGTTCTCCTCTACTCGTTCAATTCTGCGACATGGCCGCGTTCTTCCCCCTCTAGATTGGATCAAACGAATGTGAACAATTTGCGGTGCTAGTTCGAATGATGTCGTGGGGAGAAGGGGAGAAATGGAGAAATGCAGCGGGGAGAAAAAGGAATGAATGAGTGAATGAAAATCAAACGAGGGAAAGAGTAGGTGTGTATGGTGTACGATAAACGAATCCAAACCGAAATCTAGGCCGTGTGACCTATCAAATGAGGTAAGGTAAAAAAGGCGATGCCAACGGGCTGGGCTGCACTTGGCTGGACTGGACAAGAACGTGGGAAAAAGTAAACCTTGAATTAGCTGGCTAGGCTAAGAAAGTCAAGAAAGTGGGAACGGACAGGGCTTGCATCGTGCCAGATTAAGAGTGTGTGTCCAGTTGTACCGCCCCAGAAAATGCAAGAACCTTAAACTAGAAATATTAAGAAAAAAAATAACGGTCAGAAACGGCGCTTCGGCGCAATGAAGCGACTGGCTATTGTCCGCTAAACCAGCCCCAGCTAATGGCTCAAGGCCAACAATATCACCATATGATCATGTCAGCTCTTACAGCTCGTACTTACCCACCGTACCCTTTCCGCAAGCAGCTGGCAGGTAGTTATACCTACGTATATGTATATATGTATCATGTCATCGATGCCTCTTGACTGTAAATATATCTGCTACACAAACTGTGTAATTCTTTGATGCCCAGAATGCCTTCACACAGCATAAATTGTACTCAGCTGCAGGTTCCTGACCAACTTCTCCAAGGAGTACACATCTGTGCGGGATGTCACACCTTGCGTCATTGCTGACCCGTGCCTCCGAAAGGTGCATTAGCTATTGTTATATTTACTGCAGGTTAACATGAATTATTTAAGAAAAAAACACACTGAAAACCAAGTCCAAGTATTATAATAAAGGGTCGAAGACGGAAGAGAAAAGATACTAGTTATGAATCTCCTCAAAGATTAATTATTCAGGCATAAGACGCAAATTTATGGTTCTCGTCAGCTACGCGAGCTTACGTATGTGCTATGGAGGCCACGGAGGTATTACTTGCATGAAAAGCAGGTACATCCTTTATTTACAACCATTTTTGGAATGTGCCCGTCCCCGCTGCCACACACAGCTTCCTTGTTTGCCTATTCAGCTCTTGTATATTCTTATGTAATCCGTAGTTCTACGGCCTTGCTCAAAAATTTAAATCTATATCCATGGATATGTGCCCCGTAAGAAAGTCTTAGGATTGATCTATTTATGTAAAGTACGTACATGGAAAGTTTAACACCTGTCGCATCTTTTAATTACATGCAATCCATACTGACAAGGTGCCGACTCCCGATTGACGAGGAAATGCCAAGGCCAGATTCTCGTGTTCTGGAGATTTGAACCTTCTTGGGCGTTATTGATGCTCGCGCCAGCACTTGGACCAAAATGGCAGCTGAATGTGCCTAATTCGGTAAGTACTCGGCGATAGTCTTGTCAGGGAGTTCCGCAATTGTCTCTTAACCACCAGCTACCTAAGTATAAATTAAAGTAAGGCCTAGCCAGTACAGCCACATTCATGCTAACTTAAATCGAACCTAAACCTAAACTCGGATGCCGGCCCGACAACATTGAAGGTATGAGCATTAGCTGTCACCTAATAGCAAGAAGCTGTAACACATCGAATTATTATTATAGAACGATCATTAGAAAAGGAATATACCATCCAAGCTCATCATCCCGTTATGTGCCCCTTCTCTAAATCCCACTCAGATATATTACTCAATAGCGGCCATGTTCTTCACATGGTTCTCTCCTCGAATAATGCTGTTGCGTTGCTCGCCGGACTAATTCGTACTGCTCGTCATGAAGAACGAGAATATCCTCGAAGGGGCAGCCAACAAGTTGTTCAGATGGTATTGTCATCCACTCAGCGCATCGAATCCTACGATACGCCTTGAGATTTCTGCCATTAATGAAGAATCTCGCCCCTTTCACTGGCTCCAAGTAGACCATGGGGATCTGCCATTGACCTGTTGGTGTTTGCACGTCACACTGCAAAGCCGCGACGAGGGTTACGCCTTTGGGCAGTTCTTCAAATTTTCGGTGGTGCTGATTATTTGCGTCAAGTATTTGTTGCTCATTGGTAATATTTAATCGAATGGAGAGTCCTACGTTGGTTGACGAGAACGGCGCAAGATTCCACGGTGCCCAGAGTTCCAAACGAGGAACGTCCGCAAAATCAGCGGGTGATCGAGCCAGGAAACCGCTGCTTTCATAGTCCGCACGCCACGCAAAAATAGTCATGTCAAAAGACGACTGCATGATCTCGCGCTGCAATCTTCTAAAAGCAACTTCAGCTCCTTCGCCATACATGACTGGCATGTGGACGTCGAAGAGACCCATGAGGCTATATGCAACATCTTCCCCCCGCGTCACGTTTCGTTTTGAAGCCCATCTCATGCGCTCCGCGATGCAGAAACTTCTCAGCAGACTCCTATCTTCAATCAGCTGTCTACTAATCTCTGCAGTTTCGGCGAGAACGTCAAGCAGGTCTCCTCCCTCCTCGATCTCAGACCAGTCGGCGGCGAAGAAGCATCGTCGGCTGGGCGCTAGCAGCTCTTGCAATGTCCATCCCCTTGAGATCCATTTTGTAGTGCGTACTGCAGATAGTAGTTGATCTCGGGTTGCTGTCGTCGCCCCGGGTGGTGCGTTGCTCCCTTTGTCAATACACTTGTGCACGTCTTCGAGATATATAAAGCACACTGCGGCGTCATGATAATATTTATACATGGAATTAATAGCCTCGGTCAGGTCGGCACTGCTGCGTTTGTCAATGCAACAGGTATCTACCCACGCGTATGCAAATCCGTATTTTGCTGCCGTGGCGCAAAACCTAATTATCTTTTCCCATCCTGCCTTGCTCTGTATCGCTGTTCGATCATCTCGTACTTCGTGCCAAAGGACCTCTTCGTGACCCCACACGTGAGAGAGGATCGCATACGGATGGTTGAGAACTTGAGCCTCGTTGAGAAACTCGAGAGTAATGTTTTTAGTGTCTAGAAGCCACATCGAGACGAACTTTCGAGCTTCACTATCCTATGCTGTGGACGTGAACTACATTGCGAGGAGAGCAAGGCTATGATGGTGATATACGCGCCGGAATCTGCAGGATGACATGGCCATCCCACCCCCACAGGATTATCTACATTCATTGGTACAATACCCTGCGTGGAGTACGTAAATACCTACCTAGGCAGACATTGGGCTAGGTAGGTAATCGACATGAAGCAACGAGTAGAGCATAGTTCTAAATGCCATCGTGTCAGCGTATACGCACTATTTAGTCTTCGTGCCACCAACAGCATCCCCGGAGATCCAATTTATATAATCATTTTGAGAAGGGAAAATATGGCGTTGATAAGCTAACGCTGTATCACTTTTGATGTTTTACAGTGTCCGAGTCTGAGATTGATTTTGGTACATTTTTACCCTTTGCTAATTCATAGTATTATAGGATATATATTTACAGGTTCAGGTCATTTCAGTGCTAATAAATAGCAGTGAAAATAAATTATATACGAAGACTACTGGATTTTGCGTCGCAAATGCGTTTCATCATGCGAAGCTCTGAAATATCTGACGACCGATCGTGCTCGCCGATTCCGCATGCCAATATGTATCTACCAATCCTGCAAGAACTCTAAGACTTCTTTCTACGTCGCCCTTCGCCATCGTCCTTGTGCTCTCAAGTGTAGCTTGCTTCATATTGCGGAGAGCTACTGTCAACGAGAGAGATGCTGCATACGGGATAAAGGGAAACTTAGATATCTCTATGGTAAGGAGAAAAGAGATCTTTTGAGCACAGTATTTCTGCCTAACTTTTGCGCTTTGGACGACAGATAGTGGTGTACTCTCTGGGGCACTTTGGGCATGCTGTTGGAAAAGTGGAAGTTGAGGCGGACGGTAGGATATGACGCCAATGACGTGATAGAGGAGTTCCAGGCAGGCTTGCAGAGGAGGTTCCATAGTCTGGACCTTACAGTCCCTTGCCAAGTCCTCGAATTCCGGCCAAGATGCTTTCCATACGCATCTTTCTCTTGCCATTTCCTCGGCTGGCTGTGCTCGATAAAGATCTAAGACACAGTCAAGCATATTGCTTAAAGAGAATAGCGATTTAAGACCGGGGTATAGGGTATCCATTACAACATCGTTCTGCTCCGGTAAACATATTTCGCTAGAGTGAATTATGGTGGGTCGGCCACTGGTCATGGCAATGATCTTGTCAAGAGCAAAGAGTGAGCAAAGCAACTCCACACGCCGTGCTTCCGGAATGGGACTTCCTGGTGGTGAGGGGTAGTGTAAGCCAGCAGAAAAGGCGAAATATACCGCCTGGCTGAATAATCGGGCAGTTTCGTCATCGCCATCCGGACCATAGGAGTGAAAGGTCATCAGCGCAAGAACCTGGACGAGCTCCACCCTATCACCAACTAGACCAATATCCTGGCCAATTTTTAGGGCACCGAAGAGCATGTCAGCAAACGAACGGGGCGTATGGGCAAGGGTATCTCCGTTTTCATGTCCTGGAAGGTTGAGATGCTGTCTGGCCGAGACGTTCTTACAAGCAGCTAAGCAGATGGCCTGCCTCATGACGATGGATGCCGGGTTATCGTCGTTCGCGGGCTCTGTAAGTGCTCGCGTGCCGAAGTCTATTATAGGCATGATCGGGTGGATTTCCTCTTTGAAAATTTGTATAAGGGCCTCGAGATCTCGTTGAGGAGGGAGCATCTGGAGACATTCGATTTCCAGATAGGGCAAGACTGCTCTCACCACCATTGGGAGATATCCGGGGCCTACACCTGGCCGCCTCTCAGAAGGGGGTGCTTTCATATCCTGGAAGGAAGGGCGTAGGATGCGTGAATAGGGGAGCTTGTATGTAGCATCTAAGTCTATACCGGGGGCCACCATATTGGAAAATTTGCAAGCAGAGAGCAGAAGAGAGTGCGCTGACGAAGGACCAACGAAGGGAACTGTGGGCCTCGGGGTTAATATGGAGGATGAAGAGTGCTGGCTTTGCTCAAGTGCCCGTCTAGCGCCTAGAGATTCTTGAGGTTGGTGATGTACTGGATGAATATTGTCACGACTATCTGGTAAATTCACCGCAATCGTCGGTTTTTGGATCGCGCCCCTTTCCCGCTGTGCCAGAGCATCACTACCGGGATCATGGAGACATCTGCGTTTTCCTCTTCGGCAAGAATTGCAAGCTCGCCGCACTTGTTTGCGTTTCGACCCACAGCCATCGCTGCCGTCTCCGAGAAACCTGATGTTTTTCATATTTCACACCTTTAACACCTTGTTGTTGGTGGGATGTAAGTGAATGTTTCAGTCAATAAAAGCAAGTCCGCAGAAGTGCGGCGGTGTGCGGGCCTGCTCGATCCGGCAAGTCCGGAAATCGTTGTTCTTACTGTGGCGCCGCTCCCATTGTCACAGTGGATTATAAATCCATTCCTCTGACCAACATCCAGATTGGGTCATAGGAATAGTATGCGATCATATACGGATCTGGGGGTCGAGACTGCGCAATTTCTCGATGTAAATCGACATATACACTCAGATGTACGGATATCATATCTATCTGTGAGGCATATAAAAGGATGGCCTCATTACCGACAGATCGATCTCAATGGCGATACCTATTAAGCCTCAGAAAATCTTACTTGATTAATCCTAAGCTCTGAGACCATACACTCTTCGATATGCATCTATCAACTCATACTTGGATGAGACCTGAGCCTCTCGAGGTGACGCTTCGGAGAGCGTCCTCTCTCGGTTATACGTCAATCGAGCTCGCTGGTGAACCGACAAGATACCATATAGGCGAAACGCAAGTTCTTTTGAAGAAATACGATATGAGCTGCTGGGCTGTTGTAACAATAATGTACGGCTCCCGCGACTTAGCCGCCGTGGATCCAGCCCAGCGAGAAGCCACAGTTGGGTACATGAAGAGCCTTGTTGACCTAGCAGCCGGACTGGGTGCGGAGGTAGTGACGTTGGTTCCTTGCACAGTCGGAAAGCTGCAGCCGAAAGCAAGCCCGCACGATGAGTGGAAATGGGTCGTGCAGGGCGTGAGAGAGGTGGCGCTCCACGCCGCGGAGAAGAAGGTCCGCGTAGCCATAGAGCCTCTGAACCGATTCGAGACGTATCTGATCACCAACGTCTCCCAGGTTTTACGACTCATTGACGATGCGAAAGTCCCGAATCTTGGCATCGCGTTCGATCCCTTTCACATGAATATCGAAGAACCCGATTTAATCGCCGCACTACGCAAGTGCGGCGACAAGCTTTTCGACTTCCATCTCGGTGAGAACAATCGTCTTTCCCCGGGAGATGGAAACTTGGACTGGCCCCTCATCGTTCAGACGCTGCGTGAGATAGGTTATAAGGGTGGTCTAGCTTTCGAGGCCATGCCGCCTATCGATCGGACCCCGAACGGTGGCTTCGGGTCGGAACAGATGGAAGCTGAACCGTGGGAGGTGGATGAAGGTACCTTGCAGTTCTTGAAGGACCATGCTAGCGGTGTCCTAAGAGACGATTTCTACACCAAATTGTTGGCACGATCGGCGGAAACGATATTGCCGCTGATCAAATAAGATATAGAATATCACCCTTGGTGTTGCGGGGGAATAGGAAGCGGCCATAGCAAGGCTCTGTTAATACCAGACCCTGACGCCACAATAAGCAAGCTGAAAATATACATATACCTGTATTCCGTCATTTTCAGGCGAATTTGTTTGTGTTCGGCTAGAGACAGCGTCAAGGACTTCCAAGCCCCTGGATAGCGCATTTCATAAATCTCCTCCACGTCACAGCTGATACCTCGTGAACGACTCTCTAACTGATAGAAATAAGGGGTTTGATGTTATAATTAGTTTAGTGCCACCACGCCCGAGCGGCACAAAATCTGATTATTCTCAACCTGCATTGGCGAATCTCTTTGTCGTGATTATTCAGTTCATTTTATTGTGTAAGACGGTTCACCGTCGCATCATGATTTCTTCTTCGGTCTAGCATTCTAATATTGACAATCTAGTGCTGAATAATATCATGTCAATGTATGATTGGTTAGCTATACCGAGTAGAGTATCATGATGCGATTATGTTAACGGTAGCCTATCGGTACAATCATTCTGCGCTTGATTTCGGCTTTTGTAATATGTTCAAACATAGTAGTGAGCCTCAGGTACAAAGGTTAGTAGTTAAAGAGAGCTGTATATTTCTAATGTGATAACTCTACGAACGGTTGTACTCGAGCCTCCTGTTGAGAGCGCATAAATAGCAGCTCAGCCCCCGTTTTTTGGCCTCGTGTTTAGACGCAAGGACAACGCCTTCTTCCATCCTTCAGCCTTCCTAGGAATAATATTGGGATATCTGCCTTCCACCATGCTGGGATCTACCGTTCTTGTTTCGGCAACATGGTTGCTTGCGCTTGGACAATGCGCGCTTGCTGCCGATATTGACTGGACCACCATCAAGAACAGTCGCGGCGACCACCTTCCCGACTTCAGTTTCTGTGGTTATCATTCCTCGGACGCGGCTCTCCCGTCCACTTCTAGGCCCAGTACTACAACAATCAAGGCTTCGTCCAAGGACCAGACTTCCGATATTCAAGCCGCATTGAACAAAGTCTCCGCCGCTGGAGGAGGTGTCGTGGAACTCAGTTCAGGAACTTTCAAAATATCTTCCGGCCTAATCATCCCGAACGGAACGACATTGAGAGGCTCTGGCGTTGGGTCCACACACCTTTCGGTTTCCAAGTTGGACGGTGAAACCCCATTGATTGCGTTGGGAAATGGCACTGCACACAAAGTGAAGCCTTTGAGCACCAACGCCATCACCGACAGCTATGTGGCAATCGGTGCCGACACGGTAACTGTAAAAGACACGAAAGGACTGAAAGTTGGACAAACCGTCTTTGTCAACCGGGCCGCGACGGCGAAGTGGATCAGATATGACGGTATGTCTGATCTTACTCGCAACAATGAGCCTCAAACTTGGATCAAGGTAAGTTAATATGGTAAATGAGTAACTATACAGTCGCTCTTCGTTTAATGAAAGACTAACCACATCGATAGGGAGAGACGTTAATACAGCAACCCCGGATAATTGGTGCCATTAATGGCAATAAAGTCACGCTGACAGTCCCCCTCACCGACGCCCTGGACAAGAACTACATGAGCCCTTATCTGGCTCCCTACACGGCCCCTTCCACTGCGTCGGAGATAGGTCTGGAGAACCTGTCCATCACTCTCAAACCCAGCTGCTCAGGAGTAGCTCTGAACAGTGATAATGGTGGATGTAAATCAGAAGCCATATCCGTTTCTCCCTGGACCATCGACAGTTACATACGCTCAGTAAATGTGACGGGCTTCAACTCTTTTATCCAGGTCGCGTACAACTCCAGCCGAATCACGATAGACCAGGTCGGTCTATTCCGAGACCGTGACACGGACAACAAGGCAGGGTACCCGGCAGATATCTCGATTATGGGTTCGCAGATACTGGTTCAGGATAGCGGACAATACGGTATCAAGACAGCCAAGGCGTTTTCCGTGGTGACGCAAGCCGGAAGTCCGGGCCCCAACGCCATCGTACGTCACGTCGTGCAGGCGCCGGACTTGCAGCAGATATACCCCCACCAACGCTGGGCACACGGTTTCCTCGCCGAGGACACCGATGCGGGTGTCATCTACCAGAACCGTAACAACGCTGGGACCGGTCACGGCTGGGCGATCAACGCCGGAGTGGCCTGGAACGTTAGAGGAGGGGTGACGGTACAGAGCCCGCCTTTAGGTGTTAACTTCGGAATCGGAGTCACCGGCAAGGTCACGAACACGAATGGAACTATGGTCTCATCGGGGAAGGCAGTCATGCCGCAGAGTCTCTTCAGTGCTCAACTGGCTAAGAGAAAGAGCGGCAACTAAACTCGAATGAGTCAAATGGCATGGTATTAAGAATAGACTTCCTAGGTAGGTACGCATGCAAAAAGCTCGACACATAAGGCCTCGATATATAAAACCCTATAGGCACTATTCGTACCATACTATATTCCTCAGTAACACTAAACTACTCGTGTCTTACCTCGGTATATACAAGATATAACTATGTATAACTTATCAAATCCCATGTCACGGAAGTTCTAGTCCATAGAATGTATAATAGGGAAGTATACCGGAACGGGTGGGTTTAATTCGTTGGAACTCGATAGCAAACCCCTCTCACGAGCTCACAACTCAACCTGACGTTATTCGCGGGGTATCTGATCTCATTTGGAGATGTCATCATTGCACTTTGGCGATTCGTCAAAGATAGCGAGGTCATTGACGTGATTCTACCAGAAGATTGAGAATGCCATAAAGCTGGATGTGGCAGTTCGGAACGATTGTGGATTCTCTTTGTATAAAGCGAGGTCGAAGCTCGAGATATCTTAAGATCATAAGACAGAACGTTTCCACGTTTCCAACACATAAAAGCTAAGTAAATACTTAGTGAAATTGACTCTTTGGATATTATTTCCTGATCTGGACCGTCATCATGGCTCCACCTGCTGCAGATGTTGACGTGCAATCGGAAGCACCAGCCCCTGAGGCTCTAAAGAAGTCTATCGGCCCCGTGCCCATTAAGACGTCAACTAGCTCTAGACTCGATGGACCTTTGAAGTACTCCGGAAGCCTCGACTCATACGAGCAATTTGATGTTACCAAAGTCATCGGCCGAGAGTTTCCCAATCTCCAGCTTAGCGAAATTTTGCACGACGACACCAAGATCCGAGACTTGGCGGTCTTGAGTGAGTAGAGACACTCCAGGACTTTAGTTGGTTGAGTGTCTAACTATTAAAAGTCTCGCAACGAGGTGTTGTATTCTTCCGTAATCAGGATATCAACATTGACGACCAGAAGCTCCTGGGTGATAGACTCGGAAAGCTCAGTGGGAAACCAGAAACGTCGACTCTTCATCGCCATGCCCTCTCGAATAGTAAACGTGGTATTCCGGTTGATGAGAACGGCCGCCTCGATGATGAAGTATCTATCATCTCTTCTGAGCAGAACCGCAAGTTCTACAAGGATCGCTTCACCGCATCCTCGAAGAAGATTGCGAGTCACGGCTGGCACGCAGAGTACGCGTGGTCACGCAAATTTCCAAAGATATTCTGCTGCTAACATAATTAATAGTATCACATTCGAGAATATTCCTTCAGATTATGCGATTCTGAAGATTATCTTGCCCCCCGAGGACGCGGGCGGTGACACACTCTGGGCATCGGGATACGAGGCCTACGACCGCCTTTCGCCACCTCTTCAGAAGCTCGCGGAGAGTCTTACCGCTACTCACTATCAACCTGGTTTCGTGAAGGTTCAGAATGACTTTGGTGAAGAGCTTATCGACCAGAACAGGGGGTCTCCTGAGAATAATGGCCTCGACTTCAAGGCCGAGCAGTAAGTAAAAAGATTTCAGTCACTTCGAGTAGAGGCTGACAACTAAATATATTAGTCCCCTCATCCGCACCAACCCTGTGACTGGGTGGAAGAGTCTCTTCGGCGCAGCTGGTCAGGTAGATGCCGGCTGGATCAATGGAGTTACTGAGCGCGAGAGTGAGATTCTCAAAGCCTACTGTATCTCGCCCAAAACATTAATCCCCCCTGATCGATGATATCGCTAACGACTAGCAGTCCTCCAGCTAATCGTTGAAAACCACGACCTCCAGGTTCGGTTCAGATGGAATAAGAACGATCTCGCAATTTGGGACAAGTAAGTCACTTATGGTTGAGATCTCATCATGCTGTTCTAATAAGCATATCTAGCCGCTCCGTGTTCCATACTGCTACAAAGTGAGTCATCTACAGATATGAGGAATGGTGGATGCAAGAAGCTGACTTTAAGGTAGCGACTACGTCGGAAAGCGTCAAGGTAACCGAGTTGTGTCCATTGGAGAGAAGCCGTATTATGATCCGAACTCGAAGTCTCGTCGTGAAGCACTTGGGGTTCTAGCGGCATAGCCTGATGCGGGTTAAGAACGCACCGTAGTTGTCCTACTTATTGATTGAGGGCTAAATTGGTGTAGCTTTGAACGTCTACTCTCGAGAACGACTTATTTCTGTAATGACTTTGGTATGGGGTTTGGTAACACAATAATAAATGCTGTTGATATAACGAGGAGGAACGCTTTGTATTATTTAATAGTGAGTCGTACTAAATGATGTACCTAAGGAAAGTGAAGAAAAACGACTGGAGAATAACAGGCACCTAGAGTTGTTGGTACTTAGGTACTTCATCAATTCAAACGCAGGAGCTGCACAATTCGTGCCCCGCCTAGGAAAAGAGCTGTGGGGTCATGCTTTGGAGCTTCCCACTTAGCCCGCCTAGCCCGCCCACTAAGATCTCTGCAAGCTTTTTTTCTGCTAGGTTAACTCAAAGCTTCAAACCTTTTTTCCATCGCAAGAATTTCTTTTTCCTACAACTTTCCTCCAAACACATTTGGTAAATGCTCAATTAGGTACTTTACCGTTTCCTCTTACGTCGTTGCATTGATTCTAAGTGAAGAAAACAAGTCTTCACCCAAGTCACTACTGTTTACCTTTTTCCCTTTTACATATTGGCATTGACTGGACGAGCTCGTTTGACGTGACTCCCCGCCGCGATCACTTCTGCCCCGCGTCAATCAATTCCAACGTCAATTGGAAGGCTTTTCTACGTCTTCATCATTCACCAAAATCATTCACCAAATTACATTACTTCCAACGCCGTCAAAACCCTTGAATTTTGTTGCGCATTCACTGCGCATTCACACGACCTACATTGCACCGTCGAATCTCGAACACTGCATTCCACTCAATTCATTATTCAAACCTCTATCCAAAACACCCCCTTGGAGTAATCCCCATCGGGAGCTCCCTTCTTGTCACCATTATGAGTGATCAAGATACTAAGCCCGTCGAGGGCGTTAAGAGTCCTGTCGAGAACGTCGCGGCAGACGTTGACAACTCTACCACTGAACCCGATATGCCTCAGACCAACGGCAAGGCAGAACCGAATGTCAATGTGGAGAAGGGTGAAGAGAACAAGAACAATGACCTGGGTCCTCGAGACCTCGATGAGGATATCATCCGACCTGCCACTCAGGGTGACTCCAACGATACTGAGGACGAGGCAGAGTCGAAGGTCGACCCGAAGAAACGAAAGTGGCCACAAATCCGCAACCCCCCCAAGGATATGTTGAAGGTGAACAGAGGTGGATGTCCCACTAGAGAAAAGTCCGACCCATCTATTCTCCCTGTGTCTGATGATCCCAAGGCCATTCGCTGGCAGGTAAGATTCACACTCTTCCTCTTCAACTTAGGAATATTTTCTAATTATCCTGTCCTAGGTCGAATTCTACTTTTCCGACAGCAACCTACCTAATGACAAGTTTCTGTGGAAAAAGACGGATGGATCGAATAACAAACCTGTTCCTCTCTCTTTGATCTGTAGTTTTGCAAGAATGCGTCGGTTCAAACCTTACTCGGCCGTTGTCGAAGCACTCAAGACTAGCAGTCGCCTTGTTCTAGAAGGCCCCGAGGGGGAAGAAACAATTCGTCGAAAGGAGCCGTGCGAGCCCAGCGACGAGATGAGTCGCAAGATTGAGGATCGCACTACCTACATCAAGGGCTTTGGCGAGGAGAGCAAGTCTGCCCAATTCGACATTGAGAATTTTGTCTCGCAATTTGGGGAGATCAATGCCGTGCGCCTGCGACGCGACGAGGAAGCTAAGGATAAGGTGTTTAAGGGCTCTATCTTTGTCGAGTGGGTCGATGAAGAGACCGCAAATAAGTTCTACGACTTGGACCCCAAGCCTCGATACAAGGATAACCCATTGATGATCATGCCGAAGCGTGAATATGATCGTCAGACACAGTTAAAGGATCGCCGCCAGTTCAAGAACTCAGGCTTGAGTAAGGGACATCTTGAACAGCGCGAGAATAAACTTCGTGCTATCAGAGGTATTGGTCGTCGGGGTGATCGCCCAACCCACGACCCCGATAACTGGAAGAAGCGTCGTGAGGCTGATAAGCTAGAGGGCTTCAATGACCCTCGCGGCCGCCGTGAGCGTCGTGGACGGGCTCGAGGCAATAGCCGTGGACGTGGCAGGGATCGTGGCCAGAGTAGCAACGACAGAGCGAAGGAACAAGAGTCCGTCCCGCAGGATGATGGAAAGCCTAAGGTCCACACGAGCAAGGAAGGTCAAAAGATCATCAAGGAAGAACAAGCCAAGCGTGACGCAGACACTCAGACGAACGGCAAACGTGCCCGTGATGAGGATGCTACCACCGATTCTCCCCCGGCCAAGAAGGCTGATACCAAGGAGGCTATTGCCAATGTCGCATAAGCAACAAAAGTTGATTAGGGTTCCACCATTAGCAGATTACGGTACATCTGCTCAAAATTTTGCTACACATCGTTTCATCATGGCATCCACCACATTTTGCACCGCATTCGGAGGACAAGTTCAGCAAAAGGTATTGCTTGGTCGGATTTGCACGCGGCGTTTACGGCCTTTAAGATAGGCGCTAGGTAGATATGCCTTGCAGGGAAAATCAGAGTCTGTTTCATAATCACTATCTATTGTTACCAATGCAATGTGAACCCATGGATGATGTTGGTGTGTCCAAATACCTCTAGTAGGTGAATATCATACCGAAATATGTCCCGTAAATTGAATAACGCCTCTTGTAATGCATTTCCACGTAAATCCGTAAACATTAGTTACTTTAACGACTCTCATTACCCCACTGGCTCTTGGCAAGAGCTCGTTCTTAGACAACCAGACTAGCCTCCTGCCGCAAACGGACTCCTCTTCCTGAGCCTCTCGCCGTACTTCCATAACAAAAAGGGGCCAGGCCAACCTATGACGACGCCCAAGAGGGCCATCAGCGTGTTGCCCCACCCGTAGCCCAGGCGGTCGTACATCGAGGGGGCGAAAAGCGGAAAACCGAACCCGGCGAGCGAGCGCAGGACGGTCGCGGCGCCGACGGCGCTCGCGGCGTACCGCAGGTACGAGTCGACGAGGAAACCCTGCAGGCACTGGAAGCATATGATGGCGCCGGCGGCGAAGATCACGGCGCCGACGTTGGGCCCGATCCAGTGCGTCTTGTACTCGGCGGTCCAGCCGTAGACGAGCAGGCCCACGGGGATCATGACGGCGCCCGGGACCATCATGGGCACGCGGTACTCGGGCCGGCCGCGGCCGTGGTAGCGCCGCTTCAGGCGCGCGTACACGCGGTCCTGCAGCGGGGCGCAGATCTGCGCGCCGAGGAAGAAGCCTAGGCCCAGGGAGATGTAGTTTAGGCCGCCGATGCCGATGCTCATTCCGTAACCCGCCGGAGGAGGGGAGGTGAAGAGTGTGGGGAAGGAGGCGAGCATTAGGTACATTAGTCCGTAGACGTACATCATGTACAGCGCTATGCACTGCACGATGACCTGCGTCGCGAGAAGCCGGAAGGGCCGCGTCATTGCTGTGCCGAGCGTGCTCCATACGCTCTTGCTCTTGCTCCCGCTCCCGCCCTTCCCTGCGTCGTCAAACGGGGTCCGCAGCGTGGAAGCGGAGACCCCTTTCTCCCGCGCTATAACGCTCCTCTTCCGGTCCAGCAGCACAGGGGCGTACGTCTCGCGCAGGAAAACGAGGCCGGCGATCTGGATCGCCGCGTCGGCGGCGGCCGTGGCCCAGAACGCCCAGCGCCAGGTCGTGGATTGCGTGATGAAGGCGCCGGCGATGGGGCCGACGGCGGGGCCGAGCAGCGGCGCCAGGCTGTACATGGACATGGCGCGCCCGCGCTGCTCGGCGGCGAACAGGTCGCCCAGCACGCCGCCGCCGATGGCGAGGGACGCGGAGCCGCCGAGCCCCGACAGGAACCGGAAGGCGATTAGCTGGCCCCGGGTCCGCGCGAACCCGCATCCGAGTGTGAAGCCTAGGAACCCTAGGTTGGAGAGCTGGAGGACGGGCACGCGGCCGTAGAGCTCGGAGAGGGGGCCCCAGCTGCGGAGGGGTGGGTTGTTAGTAGGATGGTTTTCTGGATGGAGGAGGCGAGAGGAGGAGGTAGGGGGCTAAAGGGGGGAAGGAAAGAGAAGGGGGACTTACACGAGGGGCCCTAGGGCGTAGGCTAGGACGAAGATCGATAGGACGATGTTCTGCATAACTGGAAAGGGGAAGTGTCATTAGCATCCCCTTTTCTGGCCCAATGGGGGGAGGCTGGTTGACTTACAGGCTTCAGGAATATCCAACTCCGCGCCAATGGTCCTGAGGCCCGGGGCCACCATGGACGAACAGACGGGCGAGACGAAGGTAAAAATGGACACGATGAAGACGGCGCCCCATTTCTTGGAAAAGGCCCAGTTCCTAGGATTCTCGGGGTCGTCCGGTCCGTTCCAATTCACAATGTTCGGGTCGTCTGTGATGGGCGTTTTGTCTTCCGGTTGTGCTGGCTCTAGGTCGAGATCCCGCCGTGATTCGATCCCATCGCGTACTTCGGAGACGATCCGCGAGATGGCCCTCGAAGAGGCGTGGTCGGGGACATCGAGCCGTTCCCGGTATGAGTAGGCGCTGGCGATTTCCGAGTTGTTAATGCTGTCGGAGTTCGATTCGGACTTTTCCAGTTTCTCGTCGTCTTCTACTCGACTTTCTCCAGTAGCTGGATCTGATTCCGCGGTCGAGCCATGTGCTCCCGTCTCTTTATCTATCTCTAGATTCTTCATTACCACTCGAACAAATTTGAGCGCCTTGGAAATTTCGAATCAGGGCGTTCACTGGACTATACGGGCTGGGGTCGTCTGGTGAGTTCGGACAACTTCCCCTCTACCTCGGTACCTTTTTTCGAAACAATCTACGGACCTTTCCACCACATCGAAGTTAATATGCCTTAGTAGCTCCAACTCAAAGTAATGTGAAGTGAGTTGCCCTCTAAGGTTATTTGTACGGCGGACGGCACTATGAGGAACGAGACACAAATGACGACTTGAAGACTTTTCATATACTATCTAGGTGCGTAACCTCGCGACTTCGGTCTAATATATCTTATATCGGTGGGACTCAGGAGGCTAATTATCCAAGCACGGAGAATCGGACGTATCAGGTATTATACCTTTGCGTCCATCGCAAACGAAACTTACATATTCCGATTGCCCAACAAACTGTGCCTAAAGGCGGGCGTATCGGATTATACTGTGGGACCTAGGTTAGAAGGGTGATAGATGGACGTGATCCAGAATTGTCCAATCATGGGAAACCCAAATCACTCCGATCTCGTCTCTGTTGGTAATTCCCGGTTAGGATAGCCGGATATAGAGGGCTTAAGGATTTGTAAGGTGACTCGAGAAGGCAAGAGACTGGATACGACACTGTCTTCTGCTCCGGCATTCGGTGCCGAAGGCGGCTGTATTGTAGCCGCATCACTTAAGACCGTTAGGACTAGAATTTCATGAGTGATGACTAATTCTCGTGAAGGTCGGTGAAGGGTCGGTGAAGAATTCCTCTCTACCAGACGACGTTAGGGAGCGGGCCGGTGGGAGGATGGAGATAAGCGAAGGTAAAGGCCGGGTAGGTATTAGTAGAGGAAAAGCGGACTCGACTTGCTGCTGCGGCACCATTATCCGGGATGCGGCGACAGAGGTAGTAATAGTCAAAATAGTTTTATGCTGTCCAACCTTTATCAACTTATGCTTTAGCCATCTCGGATATACTTCATATTATAGCCGTTGCTGTGCTTATTCTTCTCGGGATTTGCAAATTTACTGTCCACCTGTATAAGAGGAGGCTGGTGTGGACTTAGGAACTTCATAAGGATTAAAGCCGTCAGGAAACCAACTGTTGAATTACTTTGAAGAGACGTGTTCTCCTGAATTTGTGTGAGAATGAGATCGTTAATATGAGTATATCACCTGATATACGAGAGCTGCGAAGGGCATGACGGTGACGACAGATTTGATGCTGTGATACCCATCCCGTTCGGATGAAGTAGGTGTGTAATAATGCTTATCCGATTTGTGCCCGGAAAAGCAGAAGGGAAATCCGGCCGGGGTCGGCGGGTCCTGTGCCAAGTGTCGATCATCCATTTATGAGACATTATGAAATCTGCATTGAAATCTTGCCAGGCGCTGCAGGTTTTACATAAAAAGACTAGGGGTCTTACTACTAGGTATCGATAAGCCATCACTATCTTATCTCGGAAGCTCAATTTACTAGCTATCGAATTCGTGGGTCTATCCCCACACGTGATCACATATCTAGAATTTTTGTAGGGGAGAAATAAAAGTTCGAGATCGAAAGGTCGACCGGCGGACCACGACCAAAGCCCGACTCTGCTGCTGCTTCGCACCCCGAACCCGGACACCGCAGCCGAGATGAAGCCCAGAAGATATCACGGCCTCAAGCGAGTGGTAAGTCACCGCGAATCGACCTCAATTGCGCTCGCCCAGACAGACACACCCCACTAACATTTTCTGTAGAGACTCCGGCAGAGCTGGAACAAGTACAACCTCTTCAACCTCTACCGCTTCAAGGATCCAGCGATCGGCCGCAGCGACTACCAGACCTTCTTCCAACAGAAATGGAGGGCGAAGGGCATCCTCCGAGATTACCACGGCGAGCACGTCGTCGAGCGCAAGTGGACGCGCATGTTCAGCCGCCGTCTGCTGGGCGTCGTCGACATGGACGCCAGGTACATGGCCGAGTTCGACGGTTCCGAGATGGCTGCCGGTAGAGGATCTGGAAAGGACAAGCCGCCGACATTCAACAACGAGGAGGTGGAAAAACAACCTCTAACACCCTACATGCAGATGACCTTTGCGCCTATGGAGAGACGGTTAGATATCGCCGTCTTTAGGGCCATGTTCGCGAGTAGCACGAGACAGGCGAGACAGTTCTGCGTCCACGGCGCTGTCAAGGTCAATGGCAAGGTGGTAAGTGCTGCTTCTAGCATACTACATCATGCATAATTAAACATGAGGGATAAGCACCGCTAACAAACGCCACCTCGCAGATGCCGTATCCCGCCTACCGTCTCAACCCCGGCGACATGTTCCAAGTCGACCCCGAGCGCGTCCTCCACGCCACCGGCGCCCCCAAAGACGACCCCAACAAAACCCGCAACAGGAAAGGCAACAAGAAGAAGAAATCCTCGGCCGCCGACGAAGAAGAAGAAGGCACCGAGGAAGCGGAAGAGGAAGAAGGAGCAGGAGAAGAAGAGGAAAACGCATCCGAAGAACCGGAGCAGGACCCGGACACGACCGACAAGCCGGACGCGCCCAAGGTCGACATGCGGCCGACGCGCGAGCAGATCACGGAGCTCGCGTCGCGCGCCAAGCGGATCCTGGCCGAGGAGGAGGTCGGCGCGACGCAGAAGCAGCGCCTGCGCCGCTTCGTGAAGAAGCTGCGGAGCCTGATCTCGCAGACGGGGCGCGCGAACGCCTCGCCGGCCGAGATCGCCGAGGAGCTGTCCGTGCAGATGGGCGGGCTCACCGTCGGTGCCTCCGACTCTTCCTCCCTCTCGAAAACCGCGGCGGATTTCTTGTCGCAATCGTCGTCGTCGTCGTCATCATCCGCCGCCGCCGCCGCCGCCACGGAAGTGGGCGGCGGCCTCGACAAGTTCGAGATGAAGAAATTGGAGCAGCGCATCGCGGAGCAGATGCGCGAGGAAGAAGAGAACCCGCACGACCCGAGCAAGCCGTACAAGACGCCCTGGCGCCCGCGCAACTACATGTCGCCCTTCGCCTTCATCCCCAAGTACCTCGAGGTCAACCATAACGTCTGCGCCGCCGTCTACCTGCGCCACCCCGTCGCCAAGATCGGCCGCGCCGAGGTCCCTACCCCCTTCCCCGAGTACATCAACCAGCTCGCCTTCAACTGGTACCTGAGGCGGAGGTAAGAAAGTGGGCGGAATAAAATAAAAATTCCAGCCCTTTTTTTTTTATAATATGCGTACGGTAGTCACGAGCTATGGTGGTAGATATGACTTTTAGATAGGCCGGGGGATACCCGGTTTAGCTCGATATATTAGAGAGCGCGGGCTGGCGTAACATGCCGTAGGCAGATGTTTTACTAGACTGAGGCTACGGGGAAACATGGCTTCTGGATGCCATGTGCTATATACATTGCATTTGAAATGCCCGCAGCCCGAGATACTGCCTAGCATAGCCCGTGAGGCTACTTACCCCCATCATTACGTACTACTCACCAAGTAGTCGGATGGGCCAAAGCTCTTCTCTGTATATACCTAGGTACTCATATAGAGACAACGTGTACAATACGATGTATATGAACGCCGGTAACCACTCTTATTCGATCCGTTTTCACGTACTATTCCGACATGAGATAGAGTGGCCAGTCTTAACGGCTGTAATCAACGTAGACGGTAGATGGACGATAAAGAGAGTTGGTTAAAACGGTAAGAGCCAAATCTTGAACTATGCCGCCACACCTAAATTGAACGGCATCAGACTACCTGGGTTCCAAGAGAACTGCTGAGGGATGGACAAGAACATGGCAAAGTTAACATCGAATAAGGCGTCTAGGTCACATTCAGAGCGTAGTCACACTACATATAATATAAATATAACACACTTTACTTCATTAACGGCAAACTCGATTCCTAAGAAAAAACATCATCCTTTTTAATTCAGGCGACCTAAGTTGAGAAACACATCGAGGCTAGAAACGCAAGGAAAACACAGGACTGTGGGTTGACGCAAGGAAAACCAAGAGCAAGCCAAGTTCGTGGCCAGACGTGTGTGCGGACGTCGAGGGGGGGTTGTCTTCCTCTCCGGATGGCACTAGCCGACGAGGCTTATGTGAACACCCATCCTGCGAGTCAGAAAGATTACTCCTAAAATACAGGCATCTAATTTTGCAGGGGAGCATATTCAGCTCTGACATTCTCCTCCGTATCCTCCACGAACACTCCGAGCCGCCTATCGACTTTCCGTCTCAATTCCGGGTATTTTGTCGTAACAGCTGAAAAAAAGCAAGCACATATGATCGTGAAGGGAAATGAATGATAGGATAGACACTCCGAGGCAACGAGTACCACGTTGTCTGAAAGGTTCTCGATATTCGCGGACGTGCCTTGACCAGTAGACGAGGAGGGAATATAATAGACGATGCCTCTTGTACCTATTCGCCATATGCCATACCAGCTCATAACAAGGCGGCCTAACGTGCAAATGCTTAGTGGAATAGGATACAGCTCATCAAAATCCTGAACCAAGTATATCTCGCCGTAATGTTCAAGAACGCCGGAAAAGCAACCCCAGACATCTGGAAATTTCGCCTCTCGGAAACAGCTTTTGTCGTTTGCATGGCAGCTGTTGAGTAGGGCTTTTTTAGTACCACTAACCACGGCTAGGTGTTCCTCATCCGATAATTGTCACAAAGGACAGGCATCTCGTGAGGTGCATTAGTTGATGAGTAATTAAAAGAACAGAAGTTGAATAGACAGATTGACGAAGTGAAACAACGCGGTAGGTTGGTACTGTATGGGTTTCATGAAGGCTCGGACGTAGATCGTAGAATAGGGGAAGTCGTAAGAGGTTAATTGCGCAGAGAGAAACCCTTTCGCTTGCCCTCCTTCTCTATCGGCCGTCCACTTTCGACTCTCGCCTTCTTCTCCTCGAGTTCCATCCGTTGGCGTTCGAGCTGTTCCTTCATCTCCCTATGACGAGCGTATAACTCTTCTTCGCTCTGCTTCAGCTTACTCTCCTTCTCCGCCACCTTCTGCTGGAACACCATCTTCATCTCAGCCTCCATCTTAGCAAGCTTCTGCTCGTGCAGGGCACGCTCTTCCTCTTGCTTGACGGCAGGGTTGACCTCCTTAAAGACGCTGGGGTCCTGAGCAACACCCATTGCGGTGAGCTTATCAGTACGGTAGTTCTCGTAGAGGCTGTTGTTGGTGTGTTCCTTGAGCTCTTCCATGTGAGTTCGGATGAGCATCTGGCGCAACTTGACGAAGTCGCAGTGCTCCTCGTTGTCGACCTCGATAACACCCCACGGGTAACGACGGCCACGGACCTTGCGTCCATCGGCATTGGTAACTTCGCTGTTGGCACCGACAACGGCGAATGGTACCTTGGACATGATCTCGTTGTTCTCAGCAATGGTCTCCTCGTCGTCCAACTCATATCGAGGACCCTCGAAGATCTGAATACCGTGGTGCTTGATGTCCGCGAGAATCTGTAGCAAAATTAGACGAGACACTTCCATAATTATATAGATAAACTTACTCTGGACTTGAAGCCAGTGATCTCTTCATCGGTAAGAGTATCCGACTTAGCGATAACGGGAATCAAGTTCACCTTGGTATGCAGACGACGCATAACCTCGATGTCCAAAGGCTTCAGAGAGTGGCCAGTGGGCTGGATGAAGAAGACACAAGCATGGATACGGTTGTCAACAATGTTCATGCGGTTCACCTTGTTCTCGGCATCCAAGTAGGCATCGTAACGCTGCTCGATGTTGTCAACAATAGGTCTCCACGACTCATCGTTGTTCACGAAGTCTCCGAAACCAGGGGTGTCAACAACAGTTAGGCGTAGACGAACACCAGCTTCCTCGATGTCTGCGCTGATGGATTGAATAGAGACGGTCTTGGGTATTATGTCAAGGCTGGGTCCCTTGCGGTCCTTGGGCGGGTAGAGAGAGGTGTTGAACAGAGTGTTCACGAGCGTAGATTTACCCAAGCCAGATTCACCTAGATTTCACCGAGATTAGCCATCACATCGTCGGTAATAGGAAGTTCGTTTACGTACCAACTACCATGACATTGAAGTTGAATCCCTTGCGGACACTCTTGCGATGCCATTGGTTTGGCAAGTTAGCAAAACCGACGTAGCCAGTTAGCTTCCTTCGGACAATGTTCCTGCTGTCATTGACGATAGGGCCTGAAGAGATTGCAGCCGAGGCTAGGGGCTTAAGGTCAGAACTCGGCGGAGACGACGGCTTGGGTGTGGAGGGCTTGCCTTCGGTAGGCGCAGGCGATGCTATCGAACCGTTTGCGGCTATTACAAGTCAGCACAAGTTCTCGAAAGCAGCGTCCACGATGAAGAGCAAATTGCAAGAGTGTGTCCGACGAGATATACCGGCGAGCGATGGATTTATGTAGAGCTCCTCATATGAAATGGGTTTGTGAGGCCCAAGAGACGGAGCATCGACAACCAGCATGCTCCGGTAATGACGAACTGGTGGCTGATTTTCCTGGTCCAATAGGCTGCTCGACCTCGCAGAGGGGACTGGAGGTGTGGTTGACTCCCTTTGTGGGACGTTAAAATTCTCCATAAAGTGATTGTCCAGTTGGACACTGCGGGTTCGTGCCTTGTTATGTGAGTTGAGAAAAGCCGGCATTGTATGAATGGTTGTTTCGTTTTGTTTTCTGAATTTTTTTTTCCTGGCTGGCTTTTGAAAAGGGACTGCTTCTAACGATGGCCAAATATTCCAAAGAACCAAAAAAGGGAAGCCCAAGAACTGATGATCAACCAAAAAAAGCGAATGGAAGGACGTCCGGTAGGCGAGTTTGATGTTGATGGGATGGGAAAGGTGATCGATCCAAATGGATCATCTATTGGGGCAGAGATAAACACTCGAGGCTGGACCTGTGCCGACTTCCATAGTATCCGGCTACTCTTGCAATTTTACTCTCCTCCATGAAACGGGTGGCTGCATTGTTAAAGTAGAGGAGGCGCTTACCCATAGTGAATAGGTCAATAGATGTCGGAACTTAAGAGATATGGTGAATGGAAAGCGCAAGGTCAAGTCTAAAGAAGCGACAACGTTAGTCAATGTTGGTTGCGAGATCAACGTTGCTGTTGTTGATGTAGGGTGAAATGGGAGATGATGGCACCTGAAAAGGGGAAGAGGAAAAGACACGAGAGCTGTCGCGGAGGAGCAACGAACACTCAGTTGCTATGGAGAAACCAATAGCAGCCACTTGTTCATGCGGGTGAAGTCGCGGTGCAAAAGTTGGATGTAGTTAAATGCTCACGTACCTAAAATGATGACTTCGAGTCGCGTGTCGATTCACGTTTTGCGACGTTTCAAACAGTTTGTCGATGAAGCGAGCGAAAGAAGTAAACGTGTTTGGAAGGTTAAGAAGGGAAAAAGACCCCGACTCTGCGCGCACCTGTTATCTCGTGAAATTCTAGAGAATGTCGGGAGTGCAGTAAAAAAGAAAAAAAGATGAATTGGACGAAGGGTTGGTAAAACGAGGAACCAATCTACCAGATTAGGAGGTTGTAGATTAACGGGAAGAAGAATTTACCTTTACGTGGGAAAATGAGGTTGTAAGGTGTGCGACCCGACCTCCTGTTTCTAGTCTCCTCTCAACTCAATCAAAAAATCAAATTTGGGGCCCTGGCTCGTTTTTTGCTGCAAAAGGGGCTTGGGCTCGTGTATCCAAGTATTCAAGTACCCGTACCTGAGTAACTTTATTAAGCGTCTCCACTGTGCACTAACGGCCAACAACCAAGATTCCTATGCACATCTGTTAATGCGCCAGGGCCAAGTGAAACAGGGATACCCGTTGCACTCTACTTCTCTAGACACTCGTGGGTGTCAGTGTGTGGCTAGGGATCTTAACTACAGGGACCTATTAACAGGGGTTCTCACTAACTTCTAGCTTATTGATTGGCCAAAATCTCCAATTGGGCGGAGGATTTAATCAACTGCAATGGTTAGAGCTCTTTTTTTTTCTTTGCAACTGCATCGGCTCTGCAAGCTCTCTGCCACCGGTGCCACCTCACATCATATCGCTGCCGTCGCCCTTCTATGTACATACTTTTTTCCCTTCTCCGTACTTGACTTTGTAGGCGTTCTTTTATTCCCTCTGCATTCCTTTCCTGTCTGTCAGCGGGCAAAGTACCTGTCGGAAGCACGCATCGGATACCTAGTACCTATCCAGTAACTGGAATCACAACCCTAGTTGAAGTTTATCGAACTAGGTATGTACCTCCTATGTGCCTTGGTATTACGGTAATTTCAACATCGAATCCACTTTCAGAAAACGCGTTTAGTTCTATTGAGGTATCTAGGTACTGTGTATTGTATGTATGTATGCAAGCTTTGACCCAGTATCTGAATGTGTACTGTAGAGATTTAAGTCCACTCACTCGACCAACTCGAGCATAGATATCCTATCGCAAATGGGCCATGGGTATAAAAATATCTACTATATATCGAGGTTAGGGAGATATCCCCCAATTGCAGGCGTTCGCAGGTTCTTGGTCAACGTACGCCTCTGCATAGATTCGTATTTAAGTGGCCTGTCGTACGTAAACCTGTATGCGCGAAGTACCTACATGCGCTACGATGCGTGTGTGACGACTTTCCGCTCGTGTTCAGTTAGGAAAAGGGAGCAAGGAGTGAGAGCTAGCGGACCAACTAGTTGGTGACTGGTCGACTGGTCGCAATCAAAAAAGGGTCGCCAATTTGGTACCGGTTTGGTACCAATTTGGCGTAGGATCGCATGTTGTTTGTGGGGAAGCCATCTAACTTACATAACCCCTGCTATGCAATGTACGTACCGCATCAGGCGCATTAGGGAGAACACGTTCCGCTCTCCGATCCCTGCGTCTTGCATACCAAGGTACCTAGGTATATACTATGCAGTACGTAGGTACCTCTTCCGAGTTACATTCGTCCATAAATACAAAAGCTTCATCTGTCCGTCAAACTGAAAAAGGAAACACATCATCAGTAATCTTATACTAGAAGTTTGGTTCTACGGTGATATTGAATATCGATGATCGCTTAGATGGGTTATTGCGACATTTAGCATCCCAAGGAAGGACTGAACTTGGTGTAGGTGGGTGTCAAAGCGAGTCTGTCGGTAGTTACCTATCCAGGTCCCTTGTTTTATTACACCATTACCCAGATGAGCAGAAGGATCAGGAGCTAGCTACTGTTCTAGACGCCACCTCAAAGATCTCATATTCGTGCTACGTAGATCAAGGTAAGTAGCTGTGGACTGTGGTTTATTTAGGAAACACGAATTCTGTGAAACAAACTGGATTAGCATCACAGTTGACGGCAACCATGATAGTCTTGTTTCAATAAATTTGCTACCACGTAGGTGTACTTATGTAATTACCAGTATTTTGCAGTAGTCTAAAGACTCGTGTTGAGCCGCAAAATTTTATATCAGCATACTCCAGGCTAGGGTCTACTAAGTGTATACTGAGATATGGTTGCTTTAATTGCATGGCTCTATATATATCGTCGGTTAGTCGTAAGAACCACCATGAAACGAGTTCCAAGAACTCATTCATAGATAGACATGGCTCGTGTTCCATGTCATACAAAACCCCATGCCTATATCGCGAAGGATATCTCGCGTAGCGAAGTCCGTCTATAATTTCATCTGTGCCCCTTTATTTATTATATCGTCAAAGTTCAAAGTAGGTAAGCTCACATCCTCTCTACTGTTGATAGTCGCATGCGATGTAAGTTTTGAAGTCAACCGCTGGAGTCGATGATAAGCTTAACAAGTATCCGAATGAGCAGGTTGTCATTTCTATCCCACCAGAGGCTGAGTTTATGACCATCCTAAGGGTATAAGTTCAAATTGCAATCAAATGTATCTCGTAATTTTAGAAGTTGAACCTCAGGACTTATAAAGTGAAGAGAACTCCCACATATCTCATTATTTATCATGTACCATAAGAAACAGAAAATATATTTCTTTGAAAGAGGCATCTAACGAGTTCAGTGAACTCTATACGCCCAACTCCCTTGCATATCGCTACCACCTTAAGACCGTCATCTATTAAGTCATGACCATAAAACATATATCTCCCTCTCTATTACCATGCCCCCTTTACTAATCCGCCGAAACCGCAAATTTACTCAAGCTCCTGAGCCTTCCACCGAAGAAATACAGCACCCAAATACCCACGATCCCGATGGTGCTCAAGCCTCCGAGTAAGGTAGTGCCTCTCGCCACGCCCAAGTTCCCGAACAGCGGGCGCGCGAACAGTATGCTCGCGAACGCGAGGGCGGAGCGGAAGAAGTCGTTGCCTGCGAACAGACTAGCGGCGTACCGGGGGTAGCTCAGGGGCACGTAGACGAAAATGCACTGCATGACCACGAACACAGAGGCACCGTACACGGTAATGCCTATCGTAGGCGCGATCCACGGGACGTCGGGGCGAGCCGTCCACGCGAAGATGAAGAGTCCGATCGTGGGTCCGAAGGCGACGCCTAGGGCCGGGATGAGTCTATTCTCGTGAATCGGAAAACCCTGCCGTGCAATACGCGGGTTCATGTAGAAGTATACGTATGAGGCGTATGCGGCGACACCGATGAGACACGCGACGAGAATACATAGGAAGACGAGACCAACTTGGCCATAATCCATGCCGTAGTAGACGGGATATACGAGGGGAAAGACCTCGAAGAAGGAGTAGTAGATGCCGTAGATAATCGCAGTGTAGGCTTGCACGAACAATATGGCCGGGTCCTTGAGCGTGATCTCAAGGGGTTTGATGAGCGCGTCGACGATTACGGCTCGCTTGTCCAGATTGCGCTGGTCCATCTCCGACTGTGACATAAACCGCTCGTCACCAGTGAGCTTGCGTAGGCGTTGGGCCCGGCGAAGGAGTAGGTTCGGGGTCGATGTTTCAGGTAGAAAGGCGAACATAGCTAGGAAGACGGGAGACGCGGCCCAGATGATTTCAAGGAGCGACCAGCGCCAGCCCATGATGGGGACAGAAAACCCAGATAGTAGGGGGCCGAGGGCAGGTCCGCAGTACGCGGCACTGACCCATGCAATAAGCGCGTAGGGCAGGGACATTTCGCTGTACATGTCACCGAGTGAAGCGGCGCCGTTCGCTAGGCACGGCGAGCCGAAGAAGCCTTGGAGGAATCGGAGCACCATCAACCCTGGATAGTTGGTCACCAGTGCGGTTGGAATAGATACGATGACGAATAGAAACATCGTTATAATGTAAACTGGGTTTCGACCAACGCTAGGTAATTCACTCAGGGGTGAGAATAATAACGGGCCAAGTCCGTATCCTAGGACGAATAGAGCCAATCCTAGAGAGGCTTCGGTTGCGTTGACACCAAATTCTTGCATCACGCCCTCGGACGAGGTGGTGTATATGGCACTCGATGTGTACACGACGAACGTGTACAGGCATATTATAAAAGCTACCATAGCCCGCCGTAAGTTCGACCAATTTTGAGGGTTATCCGGATCATCAGTGTAGTACCAGTCGACAAGAATTGCCCCATCTTTCGTTTTTCTAGGGACGATAGGTATCGATCTTGTCTTTTCAAGCTTGTGCAGATGATCAATTTCATATCGTGCTTCAGTACTTGGAAGAGTCTCGGTTCGGCTCCTGGTCCTGGTAAGGATGGCGTCGTACGGCGCGGAGTCTATCGCATCTCCCTTTTCCGTCTGACTCTCTTCGTCATTAGGGCCGTGAATTATTGATGTAGAAGCGGAAGAGCCCGAGCTTAGAGGATCTAGTCGATCTTCTGAAGTAGAGCCGCTGGAGTCTGACTTCAATATCTGTGCCCAGGTTTCTGGGAGCTCAAAATCGGGTTTCTCTTCGGGATATTGCAGTACACGATGCCCAGTAATAAGCCGGATAAATTGCCCTACCGGGGCATCACGAATGATATACGACATTATCCTAATGTCACTTGTGTAGAGACTATCAAGACAAGACTAGGTATTGCCTCTGGGGATAAGGCACTCCTATGGAAAGATAACTAGTATGTAATGTTTCTAGTTTGATTATAAGAAATAGCCTGTACAACGAATTGACCTGAAGGAACTCGTGTTTGTGGAAAACTGAATGTTATATAAAGATTCTCACCTAGATTGACTCAGTTCGGATTTATGTTATGTACATCACGTAACCAGACATAGATGGCCCTTTTCTCATGGTCTCTATTTCCAATCCCCATGTTGTAGAAACGGAACGAAAAACAACACTAGATATCGAAGATACTCTGATGTTGGTTTCTAAGCTAGAGGGCGCAATTTCGCATATAAGGATTACCAATCTCGGCGTGTGGAACGAGTAAGTTGACGGGCTAAAGGTTGAAATAAAGAAACATGGTGGAGTTTTTAGATCTTGGTTAACCTTGGTATTGTGGGCATGAGAAGTTAGATCCGGATCAAAGAGATCTTCTCGGATTGGGTAAGAGCCATAAATATGCAGGTACCTAATTAATGGAGTTGGGATTAGGTATGTGTAAGTGTAGTAAGAAAGTGATGTGGTAAGACATAGGGTAAAGAGAATCATGAGTCAGCGGTGGACCTCAGCTCGTGGTCTAAACGTCTTTCAATTGGTCCCAGACTGCCGGATTTAGCTTCGATTTAGTGATCCTAGATCTAGTCCGTTATGGATTTATCAGCGATATATCCGGATCTAGTAGAGCTTGTACCGTAGTTTCAATTGAAAGGAGAAACAGGGAAAGTCGTGTTTGAAGCACGCCTTTTTAGGGTTTGGCTTAGACGCTTTGCGCCATCGTCAGGATCGGTCGGAATTGAGCCGAGCTTTGTAATCCGAATGACGACCGTTTCCCTAATGTAGGTACAAAGAATTGAGCCGGATTCGAGAGATATCAAGTGGTTTGGAGTGCGTTACTGATATATTCTTCATATGTTGACTAGCTGAACTTCGTGCACTATAAATGTGTTTGGCAGTTGGTAATTGCTTGCGGATATCGACGCCTATTAGTTTTAATCGTCATAAGGTCCAGTCATTCGGAGTGAAGTGGACGGTATTAGATAGGGGCTTTTGATCCATCATAGCCTTGGAAAGTTAAGTTATAGAGGTCAAGATCGTTGAGCTTCCGCAGCTGCGATTTGAAACCCGAAAAACTTACCGGGGAAAGAAAACACAATTCGCTGAGAAGTTGCAATCGAATCATTCAAGTCACGAACTCAAAGACGATTAACTTTCTGGTTTGGATTATTTCGACTGATCTTGCCCTCCACCATGTCTGACAGCGAGTTAAGCTTTTAGCTAGCTGGCAGGCACAGAGTTGACGGAACTGTCGGCAATCTCCCCATAGACATAGGGAGGTGTAGGTAAAGCACCGTCTGTTTCGGCTAGCTCCTTCTGCTCTTGCTTCTGCTTTTGCAGGCCGTCAAGTAGCTGTCGCAATTCCTTGTTAATAGACATGCCTCGCTTGCGGCATCCTTCCACGAGTTCCTGTGCTCTTATATCCCTTGCTTGGATGCACCTTCTGATAAGTGCTAGAGCTGAACCTTTACTCATCCACCAATCATTAGGCAAGCCCGCCGTCTTGCTAGCCTTCATCTTCTCGAGGAATTGGAAGGCCTGTTCGTAGTTATCCTGCAAGCAAGCTATTCGGATTAGATGATTGTATGTCTCTTCGACGGGCTCGATCTCTAATATCCGCATCTCCGTCAATAGGAAATTCATGGACCTCCCCCTCGTACATCGACTAAAGAGGACATGGTAAGTCTCAAGATCTGGCCCGTCGACACAGAATTGCCGAATATTTCTATACAAGTCCAAGGCTACCTTAAATACGTGATGGACTTCGGTAGCCTCTAAAACCACGTTGAACGCAGCACTAGGCACTTTATAGTGCGATGCAAGGTCACGCAATATAGCCAGGGCATTATCGGTCTCCGAGGATGATTTGCGGAGAACCTGAAAGATGGATCTTGTGCTGGAGAGGTCAGGGCGTGCGCCTGCTTTGGCCATAATACATAGGACAACAAGTGCTTTTCGAAGGTCTTTCTGCTGAGCATGTATATCTATAAGAGCTTCGTAGTGGTGCAACTCAAGTTTCCTGCTGCGGCTCGAAAGCATTTGAATTGTGCTCATAGCTAATGGCGCATCCGCGTGGTTAGATGCTGCATTGAGCACGTTCATTACGACGCCGTCAGGAGGATTAATATATCCGGACGAGACTGAATGATCCCATATATATTTGATTCCATCGTAAAATGCATCTCGACTGAAGACATCGAGAAGGAAAAGCCACAGGTTCGGGGATAGCGACTCATCGGCGGCATTGGCGATGTTTAATCGGTGTTTGAGGATCGACAGTGTCTCCTCGTGGAAACCTTTCTCCCCAAATATATAGAGGAATATATCATAGAGCCAATTTGGGACCATGACAGGAATCTTTCGCATCTCTTCCAGCTTCTCTAGCGCAAGTTCATACTGATTATCTCTCAGTAATCCGATGATGATACTCGTCAAGTCATCCGTTGTCGGCGAATACCACCGGTTCTTCATTTCGAAGAGTGCCTTACTTCGGAGAGCATAGTCAGGATGGACAGCTGTGACCTATGTCCTAACGTCAACCAAGGAAATTTCATACTGCGAGACAGGCTATCTTACCTCTAAAATAGCCTGATAGACCTGTGGCGTAGCCGCTAAGTTCAGACTCTCAATCTCTTCGAGAAGCTGACCAGCAACCTCCGCGGATCCATGATCTTTATCAACATTTGCCCGAATCAGACTCTCGTAAAGCATGAGATTTGGTCTCTCTTTCCTCTCCTTCACTAAATACTCGACTAGCCTTACAACCGTCAAATAAGTACCTTCAGCTCTGGTGAGTTCCTTGATAGCGCCGTATATAGTCTTCGTGGAGAATTTATAGAGTTTAGTAGCGAATGCGTTGACACCCTGAAAGAGGACTTTGGGAGCCCATGGGTTTCGTCTCGCTAGTCGTTGAAAGTACCTGATACGTGCTTTTTCGATCGCTTCATGGCGGTTGCTAGTGGGAATCTCAGGAGCCTCGGAATGGTATTCTCGCCAGCCGTGTCTGCAAGTGATCCGGGTGTTGCTGCTGGCGGAAAGAATCGATCGTTGACGAGGATGGCGAGGCGGACTGATCAACCTCGAGAGGGTAATAATGTCTACCGAGGGACATAAACATCGCCAGAGCCCGTCAATAGCGATGCGCTCCCTGGGCATTGCGCGCTTCAAAGCCAATTGACGTTGAGCTGGTCTATATTAAAATTCGGCTTAGGCGCATTTGCAAAAGTCCAAAATTCTATGTACGCAAAAACACCGATAAGATAAGGAAAAGGCGCAGTTAAACTTTTTGTGTTTGAACCCCAACTGGCCGCAGCTGTCAAATCATTGTGCTCTATACCTAAGTACTTACCTAAGTAGGCACCTAGCTATCCATCTGGTAGCTACCTACATAGGCGGGTAGGTTTATAGTACCTACCTACATCATACTTACGTAGTAGGTCATCACTAGAGAGTCAATTGATTAGGCAATTCAACGAAACACCATGTGCAGTGGGTGCGTTTTCACTCAGAATCTATCCATGGATGTCTCCCGCCTCGAATATGTCGGGCTTCAATGACGTGAGAGACTTCATCTCACAGCACCTAGTACTCCAAAAGATGCAATTCGAATCGAGGGAAGGCCAAAGTAGGTAGATATCATTCTGGAGCGTACTTAAATTGCTCCTATCACTCCCACCCCTACCGGACGTTGAATCTGTAGTGTAATCACGGCCTGACACCGTTTGCGCCAACGCCATTCTTGGCGGGCTGGGTATCTTCGTCTGGAACGGTTATATCCTAGCACTCTCCTAATTCTAGCAGCTTCTTGGAAGCTTGCCTGTGTGCCCTTATACTACCATCCAGGATCATTCAGTATTGACTTCTTTGTCCGTAGACCATTGGTATAGCGCCGATTCATCCCTTTCACGAACCACGACCTCTTCCCCGACCTCTTCCTTGGCCTCGCCCGCCACGACCGCCTCTGTCACCACCTCTGCCTCCGTGATCGCCTCGTTGCTGGCCATGGCCGCCGCGGCCACCTCTGAATCCACCTTGTTGACCATGCTGTTGTTCCTTAACAAGGTCGATGATTTCGTCTGGCACTCGGAGATATTTGATCTACCATATCCTGTCAACAATGTGTATATGAAAGTGGGTTGTTTCGTAGGAGGAAGCGCTCACGTTGTTTCCCTTGATGTAAACTTCCGGTAGACGGACGAATTTATCTCCTTCCTGTTTCCCAATATTAGTTATGGCGCCAGTCGGATACAATAATAAGGTCGCTTACGGGACTGGTTTGGATAACCTCCTTCAGCGTCAAGTTCATCCATGTGTCGCATTGTATCAGATGGCCGTTAAGGGTTTCTCCATTCTTGAGCTCGACAAGCATAGGATGACCTTGGGCCGCGTTCAAGAGGCCGAGAGGTAACTAAGTATGAAGATACATTAGCGCGAAAGAGTATATCAGACAGATTTGGTGTATAAGTACCATTTTTGGATGAACAGCCTTTGTAGGCCGTATATGGAGGTATATGGAGACTAAGACGAGGTGCGAGTTGGTGCTTAATCTCGAATTTCGCGACAAGGTATCTTGCTGATAGTGTGACGATTTGAAGCTGCACATGTGGAAAGCTTGAATTCGAACGGTGGGGCTCAGTGTTCAAGGTTCATTGCGAATTCTTCAGCCACAAAATGTACCTATGTATGTCCACAGATCCCAGTACGGCATCCATGCCACAACCTTAATTTTGGAAAACTCAGCCATTGACTGAGCCATTATATTAGTCATCAAATTCGGTCAAACGCTTTTTTAACCTGGTAGAGCATGAAGATGCTTTAATGAGAACAACATTGAGCCAGTCAATTGATTTACTCTTCATACAACAGCATCCGGAACAAATACCTGGTCAATCACTGTATTCGGGCTCAGCCGTATTCAAATCTTTAAAGGTATGAGCGCTATCACGATCTCCATGTTTACTTTATCTTGAAGTGCGTGCTTCAAATCCTAGACCAAAAAACCCTCGAAACAGATTGCCGACTTGAACGGGTACAGACTTACATACTTACGCAGGAGATGATTGGCCGGGCTTGTTTCTGTTTTGCCCATCACTTCCACGATTGCGTACGAATCTGTCCCTCAATTTTGTTCGGCATTGACCTAGCTTAGTGCAAGCTGGGTTAGGAGGACTCGTCAGCTAGTTGAAGCTCATTGGCCAGACCGTCCGTCATCCCTACCGAGTAATAGTTAGGCCTACACAGCCTCCATATAGACAGGCAGCGCTAACGGTCTCAATGGGCTTCGATCATTTCCTACAGAGATTGCTGGCGGTCGCTTTAGTTTCGGAGCTAATGGATACCTAAATAAATTCTGCGTTTCGCTCTGCCCGCTTCATTTGCCCCCCTGTGCCTTTCGTGCCCCTTCTGCCGCATGCCCCCTGTAAGTTGACGGAAAAAGCGATTAGGGACGTTCGAGCGTGGGCATATTTTCCTGAAGTGATATTGTCCGCGTGGCACCCCCCACCTATACCGCACCCTCACGCCCTCATCGGAGGATCTGGGACGTATTACATATTCCTTCACAGCCCGCCTTGTGTAGGCAGCCATATTCTTTTGTTTCTCTTCCCGTTGTTTCGTAGTTTTGCCGCTCCAAGGCAACCTCATTTTGTCCATTCTAATTCTTCATACAATTTCTAGGTGCCTGGCCCGCGACGATGCGTGGCTACCTAAAGGCTCAGTTGCTGCTAGCGCCGCTGCTGGCGGCGGCTCTTCCAACGAGACATGAAAGTGAGTCTTAAAGAATTTTCTAACTATCATGAGATGTCGTGAGTGACAGGTTTCTAACGTGTAACTCTTCAAGCCAACGCCCCACATGCCTTAATCAATCTTGATGTCAACAACTCTGAAGATGATGCCACTCTTCAAGGACCTGTAAGTTACCAAGACTCAACATGAGATATTCGATTGGGGCTAAGCCCACTAACTAAGACGTGTTACTTAGACTCTTCGTCTCAACATCCATGAGTCGACATCTCCGTGCGGCTATGGAAATGTGACCCTTAATGATCAGACACTTGCGCAAGATGAGAACGGTGCCGGTTCCGGATCGATCACGACTGAGCAAGGCAATGCAGTTCTTGCCAAGTGGGGTTTCACTTGCGTGCACCTCGAAGATGAATTTCAAGGGCAGTTGATGACCTTTGAAGTAATCTCTGTGGATGATAGGAAAGTTGACGATGTTGGGTTTGTCGTCCAATTTCAACAGATGGTCCCAGTTTCGGTCTCCTTAATCAACGGCACTGGATCTACTGTCAACGTCCCCGTTCCTAGCGAGAACATTAACGACAATGACTCTTCAAATAAAGAGAGCTCAGCGACCCTGGATGGTGAATTGGCTGAATTGAAGTCGATGATGCGACAACTGGCGGCGCTGGAATATGCCATTTCTTCCAAGATTCATCACATTTCCGACACGTACGACTTTAAAGTAAAGCGGCCTGGTCACTTCCATTCACTTTCAGATTGCGATAGTCTGAAATGTGTCGTGAAAACGATGTACGTCCGGGCTAAGCACGTGGCTAGTAAACTGTACGGCCACGGGTTTGAAGGCGAAGGACCGTTTGGCGGTAAACCGCATAGACATCATTGGCCATTCCATCACCAAGAGGGACATCATGGTCATCGCCCTCATTGGATGATGTCACACCATCATGAGAATGGAAACCACTCTCACCCATTTCCACCGCACCACCCACCTCATGGACCACCTCATGGACCGCCTCCTCATGGACCGCCTCCTCATGGACCTCATGGCGAACCACCTTTTCACCACCCCCCTCCGCCTCCACCTCCATCTCCATTCTGGGGAGAGCATCCTCCTCACGGTGGCCCGCCAGGTCCGCCAGGTCACCACGAGTTCGAAGACAAGCCGCATCATGAACATCACGGACCAGATGCGGGCTTCCATAAGGAAATGGTAAGCTGGGATTAGCTAATATACTTGACGCTTGTGTCGCTAATTTCTTTAGGGCCCACATGGGGACTTCGACGATGAGAGACCGGAACAGCCACTTTTTGAAGACGGAGAATTCCATCCTCCGCCTCCGCCTCCACCTTCCCACCATGAAGGACCACCACACGAAGGTCATGAACTACACGGCGGACCGCCGCACGAAGACCATGGACCACATGGTGGACCCCCACACGAAGGTCATGGGCCACACGGTGGAATGAAACCGCACCACCATCCTGTAAGTATTCATATTGATTATGGAATAATTTGCCCAGATGCTAATGTGGTGAAGCCCTTCGGCCCGCCTGGTCTATTCCGCACCATATCCGTCATTCATATTGGTGCTGTAGTCATCCTGCTCGGCCTCCTTGCTAGCGCCCTACACACACGCTGCTTCACCAAAGCCCGCGCAAACCGACGTTCCAGCTGTACTAAGCGACGTGGAGCTCGGGGATTCCGCTGCCGCCGCCACGATGATGGTTTCTGGGCCTCCAGACGCGATGCCATCAACGCCAGATATAGCGAGATCGTCAGATGGGTAAAGGAGGGTGCAAGACGTCAAGACCTCGAGGAGGAAGAAAAGGAGGCAATCATGAGACAGATCCACGGGTCCGAGGACGAGGATAACCTCTCGACAACTATGGAGCAAGAGATCGCACAGTTCCGCGCTGCTGCGAGCGTCGTAGGCGATATCGTCGAAGCCGAGGAGGGCCGAGCTCGTTCTCACGAATTTCCCCGTGAGACGCGACAGCACCTCGCTCCACCGCACAGCGCTCCCGTTCCTCAAAGCCCGAATTCCGCCTTCCCCGACTACGTTGACGAGGAGCTTCCCGCTTACGACGAAGGGAGCGATGATTCTCGCTTCGTTTCCGACGGGTTCCGATACACCCCCGGTAGCTCAGCCTACACACCAAGCCCGTCTTCATCAACGGGATCGTCTCTTGACGAGAATCTAGGAAGGAAGGATTAAGCATATTAGATATGGATCTTGTTAGGGTGACAGGGCATTTTTCTTTTATTTGACTCATGTACGAATAGGGGCAGCGACTGGCGCATTATGCTACACTGCGAGGTAATGCTGGGGCTTTAGATAGATGGCCGCTGGCATAGCAGTATTACGAAGCGTAATACCATATCTTATTTATAAAGGTCATTCATAGCATTTGAGGATGTTTACACAATATGATTAAATCATTTTATTCGTCTCTTTAGAGCTTCAAGGACCCAACGCTGCGCTTTACTTGTCATGAGACTTATAATCAAGAATGTCCATCACGTGATATGATGGATAGGGGCTCACTGACTTACTTAATCAGTTACCCCTTTTCTCCTTTATCCTGACTTCACACAATTCATGTTTCTTCAAGTCTATGGTCAAGATGTGGTATATTATATTGTATTATCATTACTTTGTTCCAGTTATATAATATTTATCTGGCTTTATTGTACATTCTATCACATTAGTGTGATCCATCCATACACTTCCGTGATTGTCTATCAACTCTTTTCTTTCTTATACTCTTCCTCATGTCTATATAGCTCAATCGTGATCTCAATACATTAGACAAGAGGCATATATGTGTCCAAATTGAAGAAGATAATCTATAGAGGCATTCTATCATAGAACACCTTACCCCTTTCTCCTTGAGCTATGCATTAATTATGAGACGAGCGGATAGAATACTATGGCCTCTCCGCCCCTTCACGTATAGACCGTCAACTTCTGCCGTCTTCTAGTTGACGACTATTGACAGCCCTTCTAGACTGTCGCTGAGCTACGGCTTCAGCTAGGTTATCCCTCAAGCAACCCGTACATCTCCTTTTGCCTTGGCTTGTTGTGGAATTGTGGCCTCTGCCCAGCAGGCACAGCTGATTCCCTGTGACTGATCCAAATTCCTTCCCTAAACTATTTGATTCCTAGACTTGTCTCCCACCAACAAATTTCCTTCCATCATTCATCACCTCTTACATCCATCCTCCCAGTCTATCGAAATCTATCACGGTTCAACTCTCCAAGCATGGATATCCTTGATCCGGATATGGGCATACTTGATGGTGGCGATCTGTAAGCTTCCTTATCTTTTCTTGATCGCCTTGATGCTAACTTCGTTTATTTATAGTCGTGTGGGATTAGGCCCTCCCGACGTTCACGTACATAGCCGTGGCCTCGTCCTTCACGCCCATGTTTCCGTTCTCCGACCTGGCCCGCGATTTTTCGATGTCGCAGAACAAGACGAGGGTGGCGTAAGATATATTCCTAATAAACCCTTACAAGTCAGATCGACTAACGATGGTTGTTTAAATATAGGTCTTCCACTTGAACCTTGAGAATGAGGATGCCGATCTGGTGCAATGGCTGTTTAACTACTACTACGAAAATACAGGCAAGTAAATGACTGTACCCCGGGGCTACCTTCTAGGTTCCACCTATGTGTTTTTCGTGGATGATTTCTATTATACTAACTGGCTATCAAAAGTATCACCCGGTCTTCAGCAGGGTCTGGACGACCGCGAGTCGACGATGGACACCTGCCACGCTATTCTGTACATCGCGAGAACCTATGGTCTCTGGGACGTGCAAGTCATCGTCTTCGAGCCACTTCGAAAGCTGTTCAGAGAGAAGGCTCATACGCTCGCGCTTTACCATGTGGCCTTGGACGAACAACAGTTACCTGGAGGGATCTTTGACGTTTTGGGGGGCGAGTTCGTAGCAGAATTCGTCCAAATGACGCAGTTTGTGTACTCGTCCCCTGAATACGGTCGCATCCGCCCGCTCTTCGAGTTCTTTATCATCATGACTCAGGGTCGCGCCCTGAAATATGACGTGTTCCGCGACCTGGTGCTGTCGACTCCCTCTTACTTGGCCGACATCTACAATAGGATGATGTGCATTATCGGTGAACACCTTGATTGGTGAAGAGAGAAGGTCTGATCCGGGATCGTTGAGTGAACGTTTGGTTTACCAGGTACGGTGACAAGCATACAGTCACTATGCTATTCGAAAAACTTCACCAGTGGTTTACTTGGATGTTCAGCTCTATATATGGAGGTGCGAAGTATATGGCACCCGCAGCAATCCATAGGTTCGGACAATAAACCTCCCATGACTATATACTATGAGATGTGCCTACTCCTTTCGACTTGACGTGCATAAATTTCCGTTTTCTTCCACCCATGATCATAGTAGCTTTAAACTGTGGAATTAGATAAAGCCCCAGAAAATGGCCCAGAGGCCAGTGAGTAATGTAAATAAAACTACGCGAGATGGACTGCCAGTATTCAAATGTAGAGGGGATTATTTCGATTAGAGACTAAGGTTAGAGCAGATACCGACGCTCATCTATACCATTCCATGCCTCATGCAATGGAAACCATCCCTTAACGCTTCATTCATGTACCTGGTATCTCCTGGCCTTTCATCAAACGCCAAATCTATACGCCCCGAGACATTCCCATTGCCTGCCTATTAGGCAGGTCTAAAATCTGGCCCGGCTATGCATACAATATAAGGAAAATATTAAAGATATTATTATTCAACGTAATCCGAGAAATCTGGCAACTTATACAACGCCAGCCTCGATATTCTTGCCTTTCACACTCTTCCACTCGATCGCAACGCTGCCGAAGATAGTGAAAGCGCACAGCGCCGTCCCGACGACGAACGCCGTCGTCAGAGCATTGCTGTACGAGAGTATCACGCTCGTAATGACTTGAGGCGATAGGGTGTTCTGCAGGTTCGTCGCGCCGGCACTTAAGACGATATTCGGATCGAGACCCGGGACGTTGACGGCCAGCTCCTGGACGAGCTTGTTGCTGAAGACGGTCTGGCCGACGCTGACGAACAGCGCGCCGCCCATGGTCTGCACGAAGACCAGCATCGAGGTCCCCGTCGGCACGTCCTTGATATCGAGCACCGTCTGCACGGCCATCAGCGGCTGCTGCATGCTCATGCCGACGCCGGCGCCAAATAAGATCTGGTACCCGATCCAGACGCCCTCGCTGGTATCCGGCTTCCACGTCGACAGCAGCCCCCCGCCGACGGACATGACGACGGAGCCGAGGATCATGAACGGCGCATAGTACCCGAACACGGTGACGAGGGCGCCGGAGCCCATGGAGAAGAGCACGACGCTGATCAGCATCGGCAGGTTGCGGATGCCGGAGTCGACGGCGCTGACGCCCTGGACCGACTGGAACCAGATGGGGATGTAGTAGACCATGATGAAGAAGCCGGACCCGACGCCGAACGCGAACAGGCTGCTGGACCAGATGGTGCGCTTCCGGAAGATGCGGGGAGGCACCGTCGCGTTCTCCTGCTGCAGGTACTGCACGTATATGAAGGCGAGGATGAGGACGCCGAAGACGACGAATAGCGCGATGATGCGCCCGCTCTTCCACGGGTACTCCGTGCCGCCCCATTGCAGGGCGAGGAGCACGCAGATGACGGCTGGCATGAAGAGGACGGTGCCGAGGGGGTCGAAGCGCTTGACGCGCTCCATTAGCGTTTCGTCCTTGGGTTTGCTCCGCTTCGGCTCGGGGAAGAAGAATAGGATGGTGAGGATGGTCACGGCGCCGATCGGTAGGTTGATGTAGAAACACCATCTCCACGTCTATTTGTCGTCCAGATATCAGCAAGGCGTTGAAGGAAACGAGAGTGGATAATCGAAACAGATTAGGTAGAACATACCACTTTATCAGTAAAGACGCCACCCAAAAGGGGGCCGGCGACTGATGCGATACCGTACATGCCGCCGATGAGACCACTACCTTGGAGTTAATAAAAAAAGAGTAAGAGTCGGTAACCGAAAGACTTACGAGTACATAGGCCGTTTAGCAAGAGGGACGCTATGCGCAAGGATAAGAAGCGCCCCCGACATGATTCCGGCAGAGCCAAGGCCGGCGACGGCACGGCCGATGATCAACGTCACCGAGTTTTGAGCAACTCCACATATCAAGCTTCCAAGCTCGAAGATGCTGATCGCAGCGAGGAAGACCCATTTTATACTCATAAAGGTATAGAATTTCCCGAATAGAAGTTGCAGGGCCGCGGTGGTCAATAAGTAGGCTGTTAAAGGGGAGATTTTGGTTAGAAAAGGAGTCTGTAAGAATTCAAATCGGTGGCCGTCTTACCACTTCCGTACCAGCCCACGTCAGGTAGACTGTGAAAAGCATCTGTAATTTTGGGAATTGCGGTTGCGATGATAGAGTTGCTGCGTACACGAATTAGATACAAGATACGTGTTGACCAGATTGTGGAAGGCGAAACAGAAGAGAACGTACTCGAGTGCCATCAAAAAGACACCTAGGCAGAGTGCTAAAGTGATTAAAGCTAACTTCATGCCAGTAGGGTATTCAGTGCCGTCTTCTCGAGTTTGGATCTGTCGTATAGAGTCTCCATGATGGGATACGACTGTGGTATGTCTGGCGAGGTCATGGCCTTTCTCCTGATTAGGGTTGGCGACAGGAGTATGTCTCTCGTCCCCAACAACGATGATAGAGCTATTTGAATCGGAGGATTCGTCTATAGAAGGGGATACTTTTTCGTTTATCGTTCCGTCTGCTGTGCTAGTGTCATTTGCCGTCATCGTGAAGGTGTTGATACGACGTCTCGTTGACTTGAGTTGAGAACTGCTTGTTAAGTTAGGTACGTAGACTTAAAATATACTATTTCCTACCTAGTAGGTAGGAAGATACTATCTTCGAAGTGAGCGTAGGCGTTACAATAAAACAAGGAGATCGGATGTTTCTTGAATGATATTGATCTTCTGATCAGGTTCCTATATTCTCTGGTCTGTGACTCATGTAGGGTCTATATTATATACATATACAATGCGTAATAACCCATGTCTGATGTCAAATCTAGGGCGGGAACCAAAGAGAAGGGAAAGGAGAATGGAACTGTCCTGCTTGTCAACCCGCCGACTCGGTATTCTTGTTAAACCCGGCCGAATGTATGTGCCCGGGGTGGCAGAGACGAGTCAGAGGATAAGCCGGTATGATGCGTTTACCGGTCTATTCCTTACGACGGGCACATATTTAGCGTGTTTAGAGGATAGCCCTGTAGCCCTGGAGGAATTTTATAGTGGCTCAGCCCAGATCCATCGACCAATTAGCGTAGCTGAGAAGGCCTAGTAGGGGATGGATCTCGGATTTTACCATTCAATCAGGAAATAGTCTATCTCCGAGATTTACTAGCTCGGTGGAATTGTATAGATCTAGCCGCAGTGGATTGGGTAGTAGGTGCCAACTGGTGCCATTAAGAAAATTTAAGATGATTCATTTTGAATATCAGTGGATAATAGTCTCCGGCTTAGAAATACTATCTGGGAGTTCCATGAGATGATTGGCCATTCCCTCGAGTGTGCATTAAAAGAAAAGAAATATCCATACCTGAAAGGCCCATAAGCCACCGTACAATAAGTCACCTAGACCTGCTAGAGAACCTGTTGTAGTCCCAGTTTGTGGTTCGCTAGCTTCGATGATGATGAAGCCAGGGGTTATCTGGTCTACGTATGGATCGGGTAGAGCCTAACATGACTCAGCTCGCATTGTTACCAGGTATGATCATTATGATTCATCCCTGTCCTTATGCTCTACTAGGTACGGACTTCGGACCCCTTAATCTTGCCGCCAATAATCGTTGGATCATTCACACAAAGAAAAGTTGAATAATTCGTGATAATTCGTGCTACAGCTGTCTCATGTATCACTGGCCAGCTTTACATCTTCGGCAGTGAGCATCGGTATGTGCTGTTCATTCATAATAAATATGCTGCTTTCATTCCACTCACCCTTTGTGAAAAACTAGCATATTAGTGCACTGACTATTCGTTCTCGAATACCAGGCCACTCAATTTTATGTAGGTTGTGGTGGCGCCAGGGTCGCAAATTGAATTACGATAGGTATCCTGGCTAAAAATAATTTCCCAGCCCGCCCTATTCAAAGTTCATATCAAGCTAGTAGGAAGTGTGCTTACACACAGTGTGGCGCCTTTCTTTAGTCCCCGAGCCATATGGACCGCGCACTGGGCAAAGAACGTGGCTGGCCAAGGGACGTGGCTGACCTGTGAAACCTTTAACCTAACCCTTCGCATATCAAAGAATTAACATTTGAAAGCCGTACAGGATTACAGCTATTTGAGGATAGCTGCCAGTTGAGAGAATACAATCCCAGCCTCAACACGTACGACTCTGAGAATGAATTGCGCCCATATACTAAAATGGCAGTTAGTAATCTCTCCTGTTGATGATATCGCAATATCGTGATGTGCGTCACTATGTGCAAGATCACGCTTAATCTGGCAGTTCAAAACTCTGCCGTCCCCGCACTCCAAAAACCAAAGCCACCCATCTTCGTTTTCGGGCGTCAACCTCTTCGTGCTGTCCAATTCCGGCGTGACAATGACAAGCCTTCATGCAGACGATCGACTCCGCTCGGCGCCAAGCTCCAGCTCATCCAGCGGGGTTGCTATGGTCGGATTCTCTGGAGTGCGATCGTTTATAAATGATATACGCTGCTTAATGTAGATTGAAAAGGAATCGTCGCTATTATTAATCCTCTCAAACAATCGTCAAGATGTGCTACAGGAGTAATAGAAAACAGGCCTTGGCCATGCTGGTCATGCTCTTCCTCACTTGTGCCAGTGCGTGTCTGCATGAGCGTTTCTTACATACATCTTCGATCAAGAAGCGGGACACCCCCTTGACCCCATTGAGTTCAGAGGAAGCCATCCTCGTGAATGCCATCTCTAACACGACCATATCACAGTGGTCTTACTACTACACCCATGGCGCACATCTTGCCGGTAAAAACATGTCCATGGCAGAGTGGACGGCGGATCATTGGAGAGAAAGCGGCTGGAATTCCAGCATCGTTTCCTACGACGTCTATATAAACTATCCCATTAATAAGTCTTTGAGCTTGGTGTATTCCAATGGCACTACTTATACGCCGGACTTGGAGGAAGCTGTGTTGAACGAGGATGAGACAACTAGTTATCCTAATCGAATACCTACGTTCCATGGGTATTCCGCCAACGGCAGCGTCAATGCCGAATTCGTCTATGTTGGACGCGGCCAACAGGTTGACTTTGATAGATTGAACGAACTTGGTGTCCCCTTAGAAGGCAAGGTCGCCGTCGCGAAGTATGGAGGCCCCTTTAGAGGATTGAAGGTGAAGAACGCGCAAGAGAATGGTATGATTGGCGTAATTATTTTCACGGATACTTCAGATGACGGGAACATCACTGAGGCCAACGGGTTTGCCGCGTATCCTGATGGGCCGGCGCGGAACCCATCTGCTGTGCAACGAGGGAGTGTGGAGTTCCTATCGACATACCCAGGTGACCCAACAACTCCTGGCTACCCCTCGAAGGAAGGCTCACCACGTGGAGACCCATCACCGGTCCTCCCTAAGATACCTTCAATCCCAATATCCTACGTAAATGCGATTCCAATTTTGGCCGCTCTCGACGGACAAGGAACACCCGGTACTGAGGTCAACCGCACAGGTTGGGTGGGCGCGTTGAACGTGTCTTACAGTACCGGTCCTGCCCCTGGTACGACGATCAGCATGTCAAACTTCAGTATGTAATATCTAGTTTTCCTGTTCACCCCCTCTGGGCCTGTTGGAGGTGAAAATGTCCTAATTGAGCCGACGGGGTGGTTTTACCCCCGAGAATTAGCTCCAACTCCTACGGCTCTCGCCCAACGAAGGACTTACTGACTCCTGTTGTTGTAGTGGAAGATAAATATACCCCGATCTGGAATTCGATTGGGATCATTAACGGCACGATCGCAGACGAGACGATCGTGATAGGCAATCATCGAGATGCATGGATTATCGGAGGCGCCGCTGATCCTAATAGCGGCACTGCGATCATTGTCGAACTTGCGAAAGCATTCGGCGAACTCCTATCTCAAGGATGGAGGCCAAAACGAAACATCGTCCTCGCCTCGTGGGATGGGGAAGAATACGGTCTACTTGGTTCGACCGAATGGGTTGAAGAATATGTTCCATGGCTCAGTGAGACGACAGTATCGTACTTGAACATTGTGAGTCATGCATTGAGTTATTGGTCTGGTTTTCCAGTTCAACTTTAAATATCCTTTATTGCGATGTTTGTTGAGCTAGAAACAAGTTTTTTTGATGACTTAAAAGAGAAAAGAGGGTAATGACCCAGGTACTGACCTCGGATATCGCAGGACGTCGGCGCATCCGGACCTTGGCCTTATATAGAAGCAACCCCTGAGCTACACACCATCGCGACTGATATTATGAAGAAAGTTTTATGGATGAATACGAATCGTACCATGTACGACGTCTGGCTTGAGTACACGGAAGGATCCATTGGTGTACTGGGAAGTGGTAGTGACTATACTTCTTTTGTCCACAACGGAATCGGTTCTGTAAGAAGACCGTCTGAATACACATAGGATTGGAATGGTGCTAATGCTAACAGATTGATATGAGCGCCGGACCAGGCGCGACGGATCCTATTTATCACTACCATTCCAATTTCGACTCTTATCATTGGGTGAGTAATAATTGCAGGAACTTGTTTTTGTATTGATTATCATTGGAGTAGACGGTCAAGATGGCTTCAAATTATTATTTCTATTGGGATTTTAGGTACCTCTTACTAACTTCATATCATGTAGATGACGACATTTGGAGATCCTAGTTTCCTAGCACACAAATCTATGGCCCAAGTGAGACTCTTCGCCTGTCAATCTTCATCAGCAACAACTAAAGGGAAACTAACTATTCTGATAGTACCTGACACTCTTAGCCTATAATCTCTCAAATGACGATTTGATACAATTCGACCTACCTAACTATGGTACGCAGCTAGAGAAATATTATGATGATCTCATTTCAACGATCAACTCAAATTCTCAAGACCTAGACACCTCTATGCTGCAGGATGCAATAGAAGAGTTCAAGACTGGAGCGACGGAAGTGCAGGCAGCTGCACAACAGGCAATAGCAACAAATGACTCTGACCTCCTGACACTGGTGAACCACAAATACAGAGATTTTCAGCGTGGCTTTGTATCTCAAGGGGGTCTTCCGAACCGTGAATTTTATCGACATCTTATTTTCGCCCCCGGACTTGACACAGGTTTGTCTATAATCACTTGTTTTTCCTCCATAACGAACTGACGCTTGCTTATAGGGTACGCGGCAACAACATTTCCCGGGATAACAGAAGCAGTGGAAGCTCAAAACACATCGCTCGCAACCCAGTTTCTTCAGAAGACTGCGGATGCCATTTTGGTGGCTGCAAACATAATCAAGACCTAGCAAGGCTATAGTAATGGAACAACCCAACTTGTTTCCTACTATTTCCCCTTTTTATTAATAATAATATCCGCTGGTGGGGCGATTAACTTAATAGGTACTCTCCTTTTACCTCCTTTACCCCCTTTTTACCCCTTTTACCGTGTTACATACTAGGTACTTAAGTTGGCTTCGTGCTAACTTTTAAGGGGGTAATTGTGTTATTAATAATTAATAATCTACTCTTTATTAGATAAAATTATGCTTTGTAAAGCAGTGAACAATGCATCTTATAAGCGAATAGAATTGACTTCAAATAAAGGCATTGTTTCCAACGTCCGCCGAGTGATTAAATCGACTGCTTCATTGATAATGATTTAGGTATAATATGCATTCTTATTTATATAAGTCCATCATATATATTTCTACCAATGCTGTTAATATTCTCATAATCTTCATCATACCTAGGTCCCTATTTACGCATACGTACTCCAGTCTTCAACATTACTAACTTCGGAAACCTCCTTAAGGAAACTTACCACCACTTTCCTAGAAATGGCAGACGACGGATTAGATTTTCTACGACGGCAGCAGGACGAAATAGTTGAGTTCTATGATCAACATGCCGACTATACAGGACATTGGTATAGAGAGCACGCTGATCCATTGTATGAATTCGAGCCGTACAATCCAGAGGGAAGATTCTACACCAATCGCTTACTCCTAGAAGATATAGATGTTCTTTACCTGCGCGCAGACTTTTATCATCGGAATGGCATACCCCATGAGGTCTCAACGCCCGGAGGCTGGAGGTCTTTCAGGTTGTGGATGCTGGAGGTCGCCCGATCATGGTGGCAAACCGTGGACCGACCTGCCCTTAATCCAGAGAGCTTCGGGGATATCTATGAGAGAGGAAATGTCAATTTCTTCCAGGTAATGAGGTCCCGCGTAGACCGGCAGGTAAAGTACGCTGTCTGGACCAACTTTGCGCGCCGGCGCCATTGGGAAGCTTTGACCATGTCCCACGAAGGCTATGACCGAAGCTACGCTATTCGGCTGCGGCAAGAAGGAATCATGTACAGCCTATGCGGCATGGATGGCTCTCTTGTTAGTGGTGACGATAGTCAGGAGGCAGAGTCTTTTGCGCGATTTCTACGTTCTCCAGCCGTTCGACTGCCTTGGGAGGAGTTCGGGGAGGACTGGCTAGCGTCGCACCATGATACATCGAACCCGAAATGGAACCAAGTACAATCTATCTTAGCAAACCCAGATCTTGCTACCTATAGGAGGCGCGCTTATGGCGTGGGAATACCGGACGAGCGTAGGAGACTTGACAAAACAAACTGGAGCTATGAAGACCATGCTATAAGATTTATCATATCTGTCTACCACCTAGGAGTGGCAGTACTGGCTGAGGATGGAATCGGACCAGATGATCCGTTGAGTGGCTGGCGTAGCTGCTTGTTCAAACAGACGAACACCCCTGATATTGAAGATCGCCATTGGTTTGGATTTTGTTTACTCATGTTACTTACGGTAAGCTGGCAGCATAATGTAAGGCACCCAACAATTCACTATAATGACCGCTTAGTTCCAGCGATTTATCCGGATTACGCAGGGGGAGATTTTAGTTTTCCAGATACTGAGGTTGGAATGGTCAATTTATCTCCGCTTACTCCGTGGATTATTTATCCACCGTACGAATGTCCATTTGATTTCCACACGACAGCTAGTTTGGGAGTAACTCAAGCGGGTGAACATCTTGCGTTAGAGCAACGAGAATCCGAGACAGAGCTTGCGGATAATGGTGGCAGACTTCCAGGCCACCCCCCACGCGATGAATAGTAGTAGGTAAGTTTATCTTATAGCATCATAGATTCTAGGTATATGTTTAAGACTTGCAAAGCCCAAGTCACAGAAAATATAACAACCAAATCCGAAAGACTCACCCTATGACGTGCTTATACTGGACTCTAAAAGTCACAAACATCTTCGCTCGATCTTACAACATAAAAATAGGAAAAAACAGCATCTTTGTTCTAATGTCAACACTAGGAAGAAAATTTCGAAACATTTTACAGAATAAGGCATCGACAAGCTGTTACGTGAGGCCAACGAAAAGGTTGCCAAGATGAGTCTCGAACAGGAGGCAGAGTGATTCCTATGGACTAGTAAGTTTAGGTTTCAGGGATATTTATAAATTAGTTGTGTAATTAAACGATAAGTATAGAATATTGCAAAGAAGCCACTTCGCCTACCACTAATCAAGTGCCGGTCTTTTGGGACGAAATCTGATTTAACCGTGCGACGATGATGAGAGGAGGTTTCAAGGCTCCCGTACCTACAGTGAATATATGTACTTACCCAAGTAGACACCTATCCTACCTATTAATATTGATTTTTATTTAGTTTACTCACCAGGAGCAAAATTGATGAAGTTGTTTAACATGTATAGTGAAAGGAAGTAGGACCGAGTCCGAGGGACGTGGCTCTTGTGTTTCACCCCCCTTAGGCATTTAGCTGTGCTTTCATTTTAGACCAGAATGCTACCAGTGATTGAACGGCATGCGATAGCTGGCGATCGTTGGTCCGTTCATAGTAAATCCTGCTCTGTATGTATCGATCTCGCTCCTCAAAAAAGGGACTGACGCGGTGCCTCCATGCTTGATATTGAGCTACGTCTTCGATGGTTGGTTCCCGTGGTTCTCCATCATCAGTTTGCTCGAATGGAAACTGGAAAGGTAGTAGAGTCCCATATATTTGTACTTCCTCCACCCTGAGGTCTTCGTCAATGTCCGTGGCGGTCGATGACTGAGAGTCATCGTTGCGCTTGCTAATAGTCCTATTTACTCGTTCGAATGCAGACGACTCTATCCGAGGCAGTCTTTGCTGCGTTAAAGAAAAAACGTTGATTGCCTGGGAATTTAAATGGGTACGGTCGTGGGCCTTGCAATCATACAATTTGATGAATTTAGCAGGCTTTCTTGTGCGTTTCTTTGGCTTATCCGTTACGGTACGTTTTCTCTTACCAAGCCCAGCCTTTCGCTTCGTATTATCGCCCTCGAAGTCATCATCCGGCTCACCTACAGACAGAAGACCTTCATCCGAAGAATCGTCTTGGGGACGCGGTATGATATGACGGTTATTTTCTACGAAGGCCGAAAACTCAGCGCTTTTCGCTTGAAGTCTCTGTCTCTCCATCTTGAAATGTGGCTTTGGCACAAACCTTGGAGTTAAGGCATGGTGAAGCAGTCTCCTGTCTATGAGGCCTATCTCCGCCACATGGACACGACCATTCGACAGAGGATTATATGTCTTTTGTTCGGACAGCAGAGACTCGGAGGGTAACGGAGGTCTCCATTCGGCGAATCCAGATTTAGCCAGAGCCATTTTTATCTCCCTGAGTTTTGTCGGAAGTATCCCTTTCCATGTCTGGAGGATATTGTTGGTACCGTACTGTGATCTACTCAAAACGGCTTGTTGAAGCTTTCTTTTTTCTAGTATTTTGGCAATGAAGTGGCTTTCGTAGGCTTTCTGCTGAGCTTCCCGCAGCTTTTTGTTTTCGTGGGTTTTACGCAGGTCTGTCCATCGATCATCGTCAAAATTTTCCAGGTTTGGAGATTGCTGTAGTTTGACACTGACATCTTCTAAAGCTATCTCATAATTCACCAACGCCACACTTCTACTATCCAGCCTGAAACGCATCAAGGTCCGTAGAAGGGGTGAATGAGCCATTGCGGAGAATTATGACGTCTGGTGGTTAGAGGGACGTAAAAGAGGGTCAGGGGTCAGGGGTTCGAGGAAAAAAATCGTGAAGAAATGGGTTGATGTGTAGCCTGTTCGCGAAGAAGTTCGAAACGTTTAAGATTTTATATGTCGCATTTAAATTGAAATGCGATTCCTTGTACAAGGTGCCTTGTTATACTATTATCATTGAAATGAACCAAGCCATGTGAGAGTTCTTTATGCAGCATAATCCCTTTGTCCTGGGTGGTCTCAAAGCGAGATCGATATATTAGTCATATCCATCTTGGAATCTTTGTGAGAAGTCTCCCTTCGTCATATCATTTCTTCGTTCCTTCGTGTCTCTTCTCTCATAACTCTGCCTATTGTTATTTCCTTTTTCCCTCGACTCACGTACGTATACCTGTTGACAATATGTTTCATGTATTGTACCCGTTGTCTTTCAGCGATATTATTTTATTGATTTCGCTTGCTGAGAGGAGCTAAATCATATATCGGAACGTGACGGCCCTGTCGCCTTTCGCAGAGAGCTCCTCAGCCGTGAATTGAGAATCGAGCCCTTGTTCTATGGCCTTTTCCCTCGCCTTGTTGATAGTAGCATATGCTAAAACAAGAATCAGAGCGGCAATAATACCAGCACTAATGAACCCTAGTTCCAAGGCGTGGCCAAGTATATATCGCGGAGAATCCTTTTGTCGGTAGAAATTCGATGCCATCGCTCCGCCGAGATTGCCTATGCCAATTTGAATAGCCATCCCAGCACTACGCTTGTAGCTCCCTGCCAGATTACTTGACAACCAGCTAACTAAGCCTGGAAATGCTGGATAAATGGCACATGATATTAAAAAGACACCGCAGTAGACTACCTTAGGATTCGCACTGGAAATACACCTTTTAAACGTTAGCCACTTTCTATAATAGGTCTTTGGGTTCACTGTCGGAGACAGCTTACATCGAATAACCAACGATCATCACGAGGAGAAATGAAATGATAAATGGGCTGCGCTTTCCTACACGGTCCGACATGAAAGCGAATATGACTGATAGTATTGCAGCTACTGCATAGATTGGCACAGTCATGAGTTGCGCCATGCTCGCAGTATAGCCCATATTTCTGATAATCGTCGGAAGAAAGAAGCTTATACCATAGAGTGGACAGACAATCTGCAAGATAGTTAGCTATATTGGCTAGTTACGAAAATTCAATGCTCTAAGATAACACGGTTACTTACCCCCCAAAAGACAAAGACATTCACCCAAACCTGCCAGTCCAAAAAGGCATCAAGGACATATTTCCACCTGAACTCCTCCGCTTGGGCTACCTGGATGTTCCCTGGTTCTTTTCCTTGAATCTGCCCCTGATATTTCAGTCGAAATATGACAAACTCGCGTTCTTTTTGAGTAAGAAATGATGCAGTTTCGGGGAAATCATGGAGTGCGAAGAACGCAAGGGAAGCGATAATTATCTGGGCGATTTAGTTCTGTGAGGCTTCATTGGTTATCTCATAATGTTTCACTCACAGTAATAAGTCCCTCGAGAATAAAGATCCAGCGCCAACCTTCTAGGTTACCAACGCCGTCCATTTTCGCGATCACGAAAGCTAGAAGCCCACTGAATGCGCCGGCGATCGAGGCAGCGGAAAAGAACATGGCCTACTATTTGATTAGCAAGCGACGCGAATGGGAAATATGATCCTTGACGAGAGGTCGTACTTGGCGATACTGTATCTCATGTCGAGTATACCACATGGTGAGATAATACTTCGACGAAATGTCAGCATTAGACTGTCATACTGGAATCATAGAAACTTACAGCACACCCAGGATAGAGGCCCGCCTCAGCGGCGCCAAGAAATAACCTCGTTATGAGTAAACCATGAAAGTCCCTCACTATGCCCATTAATGTCATCACTGTCCCCCACTATAGAGGTTTAAGTTAGAAATTTTGGCTTCATCAATTGACCAGTTGCGCAAGATCTGGGACGGGGGATCAGAATTCACGTACTGCAACCATGATGAACGGGATCCATCTTGAAGGGCGTAGTTTCTTCAAGAGTAAGTTGCTTGGTACTTCGAAGACACCATACGTGAAGAAGAATACCGTCAGACATAAGTTATACTCGTCAGAGCTCATCCCCAAATCTTCTTGAAGACCTTCGATCTTGGCGTTCCCAATATTTCCTCTATCAAGGAAGGACAACAGATAGAGAAGTATAAGCATCGGGATCAAGCGAATATCCATCTGATGAGGAAACTGGAGTTAGTGAATGGCTTCCATGGGTTGTAACGATTTGCTGAATACTAGGTATGAAGAAGTGTCTTGACCTTTCTTAAGATTTTTTTCTCGTCAAGATCAGCGAAGGACTCAAGAGTAGTCCCCGCAGCTGCGAGATTTTCGACATGTTCAACTTCACCAGGCCGTTCTTTCGCATTATAAAGTCCGTTATCCACCATACCAGCCGTAATAAATTTCGAACCATCACCGTCAAACGCCATGATGGGTAGGCGACTTTCTCGTTAGACGAACATCGGGTGTATTGGTAAATGAAGGGATTGTGTATTGTCTAGACACGTTGAACGGGAAGGAAGACTTATAGGTATCGGTCAATTCTAAGACTGGTTGTTCGTTGGGCATTCCACCGGGGGGCATTAACTAGGCGCGTGTTAGATACCCCCCTACGAAAGGGGCTCCCTTCCCTACAGCAAGCCAGTGATTACATCATCCAATGGCGCTAGTGCCAAGACATTTTTGAAGATAGATTACTTTGGCTGAACCGGGATGCCGGGGTGCCGGAGACCTATGAAAAACAATATCGCACATCTCTCAATTTGCATAGTAGGCCACGATTGGACATAAGACAGTGCACCTCCAAGTCTCGGTATCACGACAGCTACAGGTGACACAAGTTACAACACCTCCAATTGATATGTTACATCCGTCACATGTAGGTAAAATCCATAAGCGGTGAGTAAAATCGGATGGGCAAATATCGGTAGAGGTATTCGCAAGTCATCAATAATAACGATCACAGGATGTCCAGCAAGGCTCTAAGTCACGTGTAGGTAATCTTCGCGCTTGTTGTCGAGCAATTTGGATCCCGTGGGATGGATTGTGGGGGAAGTTGGTATGGTGGGGTTGGAGTGCCAGATCCGCCGTGCCGGGTCTCACATATGCATTATGGCAATGACGCTGCAATCCATGGATGACGTTGCCCAACTTGGGACGCTGAGTTACCTAGATCCGAATCTTATTTCGGACAAGGTTATAGTCTGTAGGTAGAATACTGTTTCATTCAGCTACGGCAGGTAGAAGAAAGGCAGGTGCGAGGAGTATGTACCAGTTACTACTAGATCTTTTATTACAATTACAGCAACCCAACCAACCAAAATTAAGTTCTTATCAGTATTAGTGGGCCCATACATTACGAAATTTGAATGTTTAGTAGTACCTACCATGAATGAGGAATGTGCCAAAAAGCAGAGCACTTTTAAATCATGACATAATGAGGTCGTGGAAGCGCAATTTCAATCATTCTTCAAGGATGAGTATATTTTGCTATCTAATTTTACATGGCAGGTCCAACACGCATTATGCCACCATGAAGTTCAGCAATGCGAAGTATGAGTCTGGTGTGCTCTCTTATAGCCTGGTTATTATCCAACTCTTCCTGGCTTACCAGGAGCGTGTCCCCTTGGAAAAACCCGTAACCGAAGTAAATTTTGACGAATTGTGGCATCTGAAGAACGCGCTGGGCTTCGTCGATCTCATTATAAAGGGAGAACCAATCTGCAAGTACGACAACATTGGGATCAGCCCCTGCGTTCAGTAACAACTCTATTGCAACCAAGAGTCGAGCTTCAATTACGGCACCTAGAATTGTCCATCCCTCCTGAGCGCCTTGCAGATTCTCTGATGCAGGTACCGCGGATAGAGGTGTATCGAGGGACTTTCCCATTTTCAACCATTTAGAGATGATGACCTCGAAAGCTCCAGTATTACGGTATTCAATAGCCGCTCGTAACCAGAGATCTGTATCACATCCTTGGCCTTCAATGAGAAGTGTGGCATTGAGAATTGCTAACTTGCCTGCACGAAATGCTTCGTGCGCGCATTGGGTCATAAATTCGTTCCTCTCCTGCTCGAACTGTTGCTTAAGCATGTTAGCTCCCGGTCCGAGAAGCGGTGGGCGAGGGATGAAATCGATTAATGCTCGAAAAAACACGTGGTTGTCGTCGGTGTTTGACGAATGACTCATTATATCACTATTTCTTAGCAATACCCTTACCCACTCTACTGACTGCAGCCCGAATTCGGCACCCAGGCGTCGTTTAATGAAGTCCAAAATATTGTGTGCATTGTGCGGGTGCGTATTTTCTAGAGCCGCTGCAATAGGATTTACACCTAAGCTACTCGGGTTGGCGGGCAGCGGGAAGATATTATTCTCGTCCGAGAGGTCGAGTATTTGTTGGATGAAAGGGTTGGATTCCATTGCTCCGGCCGCTTGGTAGAGTATTCTCTCTAGGCCGCGCTGAAGTAAGCGAACCCGATGCTCGTCATGCGCGGGGGCCGATTTGAGAATCCGTTCTAGTATTGCCAAGGTGTACCTGTGCATTCCCGCTTGCATCGCTCGTGCGAAGCTGGGAACAACACGAGAGTCGGCGTCAAGCGGCCCTGGAAAAGATCCGGCAGCGACAAACACTAATCCGCAGTTTTCGATGTTCCGCTGTAGCATTGACCCGGCCTCCGCACGGGAAAAGCATTCTATCACATACTCACTCGCGGTTAGACAAGGTGATTCGAAAGAATCTGGTTCACATGGCGAAGGATGAGCAAACCCTGACAATCTACAATCGCCAGCGTTAGCGGAACGTTGCTGGACATATACCGTCATGGTATTAATAGTTGGATGCCCCAAGAGCATCCGCACTGCATCTGCCCGACCCGCTCTAACTGCAGTATGAAGCGGAGGCTCGAGCATCTGGAGAATTGGGTAAACAGCGTTGACCGCACCGGGGAACGGCGCGTCCAATCCCTCCATAAACCTGTGGAGAAGCCATTCATCCGTATCCTCCGATTCGATAGCGGTATTAAGTAAAGGAACGGGAAACGGGCCTGAGGCTGCTAGGTTCTGTCGGTGAGCAAGTTGCCTTACACCATCACGCTGGGCTATATCGAATTCCGGCGTGAAATAACGGTCAGGGTAGGCTACAACGCTCCGGATGATCAACGCAGGGTCCTGTCCGAACAGGTTGTCGTTTAAATCAAACACAGGTTCCGCCATATTGTTTATGATCAGAGGTCGTCCTAGCCTGATTAATGAAGTAGTGTGATGAGTATCTGCGAATGGAGAACGAATACTGAAGGTAGGACTTGAGTATCCGTGCGGCAGGAGAGAGCGTGAATTACCAAGAGGATCGGGGATCAACTCCATAACATATATCCGCGACTACTAAAAATAAGTGTTTGATTGTTCCCTGACAATTCGATTGTTGTGGTGGCCTGGGGTCTTTGTTTGTTCGTACTTTGGTACCCGTCATACGGTGGGGTACTATCAGCGCACCAACACTGCTTTTATTTTAGAATCAATGAGATAGATTCTAAGCACGTTGAACTCCGGAGGTTGTGGCTACTTAAATATCCGACGAAATGCGCTAAATGTCGACGCGAGAAATACATAGTACCGCTTTATCGTGGTGTTGATGAGGCGTTGTTTCGCTGACCTAACTTGGAACTCAAGGGACATGAATTGTGTCCCAGTCTTGAGAAAGGATGGCCGACTTACCAGGAGTCACTCTCAGATATCCCAACTTCCGCGAAGGGGCGGGAATGTTCATGTTGATTTGGGCCATTGCATCTGTCTCCGCCTGCGTATCGTAGTCGAGGTGTTTGTCTCCGGCGCGAGAGTGTTGTAGGCATTGCATCTAGCGATCGATATTTTCATCTTGACGGTTGACAACAAGCCGTATCTAGATAGGTACCTCCCTTGCGCAGCGCCGCAGAGCCCTGGCTTACTATTAGTGCATTATCATGGAAACCGCAGCAGCAGTCCTGCCGAGGTCTTGTCTTCAAGTTGGCTTGGCATTTGCTTTTTAAGTAAGCCAAGCGTATTGCGTGATTTGGAAGCTGCCTACATATTCGTCGCGATTAACTTGAATTTTGAGATATCGGATAAAATACTTGGGATATTAGCTAGTAGGATAATGGATCCTCAAGCGAATCAATTTGGATAGGTTCTTCCTTATAATGCGTTCCATTCGCCGTTGGACGAATGATTTCGAATCGATTGACATTATGTGCTAGGCCGGGGGCATGACGTGATCGCAGCTTCAGCTATCCCGAATTAGTGTATCTACGTCGAATTGCAACGCGACTAAGTGCCTATACGAGTCGATGGATTGTGCCACACGTTCCCGATCTTACCTACATTTTCTCCCAATCCTGAAGAGTTGTGTCTCAGGTCTTCATCGTCATACCGTCCAAATATCACTATGACAGCTCACCCCGAACCTGAATTGGCCGTTAACGAGACCACTAGGCTCTTGCAACGAGATGCACATAGTACCGACTCAGGGGACGAGAGTCCCAGTCAATTCTCTGATGGTGGTAGTGGTAGCTTTATCGAAAATTCCTCTTCAGTGGCGGCTTATGGAAGTATTGCAAAATCCGACGAGGAGGAACAACGCGAATCAGGAACCACTTTAGGAGAACCAGCGCAACCAGTCTATAGCAATGGCTTCATTGCTAAAGTCGTGATCGCTTTGCTTGTTGGTAAGTTAAGAATATCCAAAATGTGGATCCCGACATATTTAGGCCGCCTAAGCACCCGATTCACTAACGTGTATTTCAGGGGTATTCGCTTCGAGCGCGGACGGCTCATTGGTGATTGCAACACATCCTATAATAGCATCGGAATTCAACGATCTTGAGAATTCCAGCTGGTTATTCATAAGCTTCCTTCTTGCCGGGGCTGCTACTCAATCGCTAGTAAGCAAGGCCTCTTAATGTTGCTATGCCAAATGTCTAATAATGGGATCACAAGTATGGCAAACTGAGCGACATATATGGCCGGAAGTCTATTTTATTAGTAGCTTATGCGCTCTTCGCTATCGGATGGTAAGCAGATCGATCGAGACTCCCACGATGACTTGAGTTCCAAAAACTGATTTCTCCTAGTGCCCTGATGTAAGGCTATCAAGATAAACCCCTGGATTTCGGATTGAAAGCTCATGAAATACTTCCGTATAGTGGTGTTGGCCAGTCGATGTGGCAAGTCATTGTTGGCCGCGTGATATCGGGTTCTGGGGGTGCTGGATTGATGTCCCTGGCCGCTGTGATCATTACTGGTGAGTCCAATGAACTCTTTTTCAAAGTTAGATGTTGTTTAATGTAGACTCACAACCTCCCAGATCTGGCGCCGTTGAGAGACGTAGCTTCGTGGCAAAGTTATCTCAACGTCGTTGCTACCGTTGGCCGAAGTTTAGGCGGGCCTGTGGGAGGCTTTCTTGCCGACACGATAGGTTGGAGATGGTATGTTGATGGCAACTCGTGATGCAGGTACTTGGCGAACTGATTATAGCGATTGCAAGGTCGTTTTTCGGACAGGCACCAATATTCATATTCGCCATGATCCTTTGCGCACTGGTGCTTCCAAGCCTAACGACAAGACAAGGTCAAATCGATGCTGGATCCATGAAGGCTAAACTGGCTAGGATCGACTTTCTAGGTGCTATATTCCTCGGCAGCGGGATCTTATCGCTACTTTTACCATTAAGGATTGCTGGACAAGAGGTGCCGTGGACAAGCCCTATCGTTTTATCGCTTTTGATAATAGGAGCTGTCTTGTTAACATTATTTATCGTAACGGAGATGCGCTGGGCAAAAGAGCCCATATTTCCGCTAAGGTTGCTTAGGAATAGAGATGTAGTCTTCAGCTACCTTATCATGGGTTGCCAGACGGCTGCCCAAGTTGGAGTATGTCCCCTGAATTCGGACACAATCCTTTAGATCGGAGTTACTCACTTGTGTCTTAGATGATGTTCGCCGTCCCACTTTACTTCCAAGTTACCCAAAGGTCATCAAGTACCGTCGCTGGGGCTCATCTCATGCCAGCTGTCATTGGCAATACCATTGGTGGTCTTTTAACTGGGGCTTGGATCCGGAGGTCAGTAGCTCTCTTTTGAGGCCGACCCAGGCCCACTCATTACCTGGTCGACACTAACATGATGCGAACATATGAAGAACTGGTTACTTCAAAGCGCCACTGGTATTCGCAGGGGTAGTCTCATTCGTTTGCTATGCGTTAATGATACTTAGATGGAAAGGTGAAACTGACTGGGCTGAATCATTATATATTTTCCCTGGGTGAGTGAGTCGATCGTGCATATGCGTTTCTTTACTTACTGTAGATATGATAGCGGCTTCGGTACTGGCATGTCCCTGAATGCAGTTTTCGTTGCTCTCCAAGCGGCAATAAATCCCATGGATAGAGCAGTGGCAGCATCGGGCTTATATCTGACAATACCTATTGGGTCGATCCTAGGCATGGCTGGCTGTAATGCCGTGATGCAGGGGATAATGCCTGCGGAACTGGCGTCGAGTTTACGTAGCCTTGGCATAGAAGGGATTGAGGCTGAGAAGGTATGTACTTGGTCTAGCCACATCTTCAAATTCTTTGACCATAATGCTTCTCGTACTAACCTCAAATAAAGATCATCAAGCAAGCTACTGCGCGAGTTGATTATCTCGATGAAGCACCGAAGCAAGTAGCCCGAGTAGTTGTACGGGCGTACGTGCGCGGATTCGAGTTTAGTCACGGTAAGAATACCATCAACTAGCATGATTTCGGTATATTCAAACGCTAACTGCAGTCAGGTGTGTCGTTGTTATGTTCAGTGATGGCGACAACCGCAGCCTTATTGATGAGGAATAAAAAGTTGGGTAGGTGATAGATGTAACGACCAAGTAGAAATAAATTTAGTCATCACTCAAATTCAACTAAGAAATTTAAGATTTCCTGGATTACGTCAATGTATAAGCTTGGACCACTATGAATCTGTCTCTCGACCGGGCACACAGCCACATATGAATGTACAGCCACAATACGTGGGGTTTTCTATTGCCATGGTTGTTACCTAAGCTAAAACTAAACATCCCCACCGTCCTCCGGTTTCCAAGTGAGATGAACCCCTCGCCAAACATTCTACTCCGAGAGCTTTTATTGCGTTCTCATAGTCACAATGGTAGAGTGCGACTTTCATCGTTAAATAATACCATACTCATTAAATAGTGTCTCATATTCTGCTATGCTCAAGATAACCGTGGTACTTTCGCCAGACAACATCCAGACTTCCCGGCGTAAGCCAAGACCTGAATTGTGCCTGTCGCAAAGCTTGAAGGGCCGCCTGAGCGTGGCAGTGTTAAGGCTCATGAATCACTCACTCAAACTGAGCACCCCATATATAGTGGGAGCCTCGAAGGGATATAAAATGACAGCGGCACCTAGAAAGTCAAGGTTTCCTTGATATTCTTTCCATGCGACCTAAGAATTACCTGCACCAGTTTCACTCACCATGGCGTCAACTTCAATTACAAATGCGATCAAAGCGGCTGCCCCTCGCAATGAAGATCTATTAGCTCTTCTCGCTGAGACTGATCATGCGCTGCCAGCATTGGAGCAACAGAAACGTTACATCGATGACCTCAATAACGAGCTGTCTAATATACAGAAACGCATTGTCGTGTTGGACGCGCAACGAAATAAAGAGTTTAAGGAACATAAGAGATATCGCGACTCGGTCATGAAGCGCTTCGCCTACCGTGTGAGCGGGAAAACGGACAAATTTCAAGCTCGGGCCGAGAAGGAGGAGCGAGAATACTTCGCTGCCTTGCAGAAGGAACACCAGGCCAAAGAGCAAGAGGAGAACATTAGAGTTATGCGTTCTAAGGCTTTGGAGGTACAGAGCGATTTAGAGGCTGAGGTGGATCGCCACAAGGAAGCACAACAACAACTTGACAGTCTTTACGATAGTATCTTTCAAGGACCAACACCAGCATTCCCCGAGGAAGATCGTTCTGAGCAGAACGCAGAGACCGCGTTGCAGGCATATCACAATTCTCGCATAGTAGTAGAAACAGAACTGCAAGTCGTGAATCTCCTATCAGAAGCTAAAGCACGGCTCAACAAGGCTCTTGCCTACACGGAGGAAGCACTGAGTTACAGCCGGATGGATATGTTTGGCGGGGGCACATTTTCGGATTTCATGGAGCGTAACGCACTGGACAAAGCCGACAACGAGGTTAACCAGGTGCGCTTGCTCGTACGGCAGTCACAACGTATGTCTCAGCATGTACAGAATCTCCCGGCCATCGGAATTGCAGGTGGCAGTCTATTGGGCGATGTTTTATTCGACAATATTTTTAGTGACATGGCCTTCCATGAAAGGGTCAAAGATTCTCGCGCAGCTCTTGAGCGAGCTCAAGGTTTCCTACTCGGTCAACTATCTCTAGCAAAGTCGAGGCACCAAGAAGCCGAGCAAGATATGAATATTCATGCATCCACGTTGGAGACATCAAGGCAAGAGTTGCAAAAAGCAAGAGAGCGCATCTTTGCTCGCATAGCCGATAGCAATGCGACCACACGGGCACCTCCCGCGGATGACCCGCCTCCGTATTAAAATCTCCGCGATTTATGCTTTAACTGAAACTCGACAAAGCCCAAAGACGTTTATGAACCGAAACATAGCTTCAGTGGAGTAAGATATGATTTCAATTAATTGATAGAACGCTACAACGCTAACTGGAATGATAGAACACAGCAACACGGCTGTTTCAAATAATCATCTCCCCTTGCTGCTCATATGACCATCTCATACTAGCGGGTACCTAAATAGAACAAGGTCAGGCCTAATGTGACCTTAAGTTTAGAACTATAACCACACGTGTATAACTGCATACACATTCCCTTCTAGGCTCGCTCTTTAGGAACGTCTAGGGCGTTTCTTGGACTTGGAATCCGCTTTCTTAGCGGTCGCCTCGCCGCTCTTCGTGAGAAGGTGGCTGTCGTCAATGCTTCCCATCATGACGTTCTCGTCATCGACCATTTCACGGTTCATATGAGCAAGGAATTTCTCCTGCTCCTCGAAGAAGGCTTTCAGCTTGCGTGTTGCAATCTTGCGACCGGCACTGTTAGCTTCACGTAGCTCCTTCAACTGCTGTCGGACACGCTCCTCGAGAATCTCAAGGCGGTACTCGCTGAACTGGTTATACAGCTCCGAGAGGTTGGAGATGGGTCGAACGGTCGTTAAGACCGTGTCATCTCGCACCTTAGGGGATCGTGGCCGAAACGAAGTTACCATGCTGATACGCTCCGCCGTGCCAAGTGCTCGTAGAGCCTGGTGCTCTATGTATCTACCTTGAAGCACCACCGCGCAGCCCTAATTTAGGTACATGATTAATTATTTCGTCTTTGGTAATTTCAAGGGGTGATGAGTCCATATCTGAGATAGAGCTTACCATTTGAGGACCTCGCACTTTCATGACCTCTCCGTTACCTGTGCGGAGGGCCGTCTCGCCTCCGATCATAGTAGTGCAGTCACTAAGCATGGTCACGCAGACGAAGGGGTAGCTGTCCGTGTGCCAGTCCACAATGGGCTTGTCATCCTCCCAAGGACAGCCCGCAATGCCCTCGTCGGCCTCATATTGGGCCCGGTCGTTGAAGGCTTGGATCTCTTCCTCCTTCTCCTTCTCCGATTTGACCGAGATATTGATGTGGCCGATTTCAAAGTCCATCTCAGTCACAAGGTCGATACCTGCGACTTTCGAGATGATAGCTAGCGTCTCCGGGCTTTTCCATACGTCGTACACAAAAGGTGCGTACCTAGAGTAGTTTCTAGTTAGCCACATTTGTACGTATAATATTCTCTAGAATCTTTAGAGAAAACTTACTTATTCGCGAACCCTCTTAGTTGGCATTGTGCCAAGTTGCTGGAATACTGGCAGTTGCTTAGAACCTCAGGGCTGAGGACCTCTTGCCTCATCCTCATAACAGCCTCCTCTGTGAATAGAGGGAACGGCTCTGAAACAGCGACCTGAGAGATGCCAGTATCCTCAGGGAGACCAATCTCCTTCATGGTGTACACCTTCGGTGTCTCCTTGAAGGCAAGGTGTCGCGAGGGATCAAAGGCATCATTTCCGACAGTTGACACAGCAGGTGCCGTAATGATCGGAGTCCAGTTCCGCTTAGTGTCAACGGGAGCTGGCAATACTGCTGCAGCGGCCATTTGGAATATAAAGGTGCAAATGTATCAGGGTAGATACGAAAAAATTTCTAAATGTGGGAAAAGTGATTACACCGGTAGTGGTGGTAATGAAATCAATGCAGATAATGGCAGCTCAACATCGAAGTCATAAAAGCGTTCTCGAGGCTCCCATTTATGATGATGAAGCCGGCGCTGCCAGTCCGGGGTCCGTCTAGTCCTTATCTCCAAGTCCTTGACTCTAATCAATAGTTCGCTTCATCTCGCCAATGGAAAAGCTACGGGGCCCCGGAAAATGCGTCGCTGGTATCATCTATGACGAATCTCGTCGAGGATTGGGCATCGTGATGATAGATAGACAAGACACGGGTTTGTCCATACCGAGCTTGTCGACACCCTCAAGATAGGGCGGCATCGTAGTGGAACCGACGATGAGGGCGTGTCGGTCCGGCCGTGTATCAGATATCTCTCCAATCAGCAAGTTAGCCATTCACTATATCTCGATAGGAATTACTCGCCAACATACGTGGTTCAACCTGACGAAGGGATTATCAGATTGAAAGGTGTGGAGGGGCTACCCCAGCGTTACCGGACGTCAATTAAAGCGGCATCCAGACTATCAGATGCGATGCCACCTGGGAAAAGGGAAGAGCCGCGATGCACAAACCTGACGCAGCTTAGGAAACAGAAACCGAATCCCGAGAACGGCTGCGCATTAGTTTTCGCGATGTCGGTTAGAGAGGATTGATGACTACGAGCATCAAGTGTTTGGGGCTGAATGAGAAAAATGCCCCTATTTTGGGCCTCGTAGGTACCTCGTTACCCTGCCACCGCGCGCAGGTGCCTAGGCCATTTTACCACCCCGCTGACTTTGTTGATAGTTATTTGCATGCATGTGTATACTATGTTATACATACTGTATACCCCTTCGCGGCCGGATATTTTGGCCCGCTTCAATATACGACAAACGGCAAACGACAACTAAGTGATTGTCATATTGTCATATATTATCATATCTTTAATCCGATTCGAGACGTATGACCACGCCTCTTACACATACAGAATCCTATATGCGTGAGATGCGTCTGAGCTGCCGTCACGTCGCCAGGTCTCCATGCGACGTTATCTCCGTTAGTACTGCTCGGAGTACGGTACGACGCCCGATAACGGAGATAAAGGAGGACGCCTAGAGGATCCAAGGCCCCTTACACCTGGGACTAGACCTTGCTTATCACAATGAGTTCGAGTCGGTGCGCTCAAAGCTGGCAAGGCTGGTTGCTGATCCCCAGATCAATCTCTTCGTCCCCATTGATCTATTGATAAAATGTGACGGTTTGCCGCGGTGTCCTGTCACTTTTCGCGCCATGCTTTCCGCAGATCCGGTGTAATTGGTCCCTTTGAGAATGCGGAGAGCTATCGACGAATTCCTATAGGTCCACATCGTCGGCTGCGTAACATCTGCCGAAGCGTTGCATGGATTGCATAGACGGACTGGAAGGATTTTATCATACACATAATACACACTCAATTTGGACAACGCCTCTTTTGTTTCTCGTTTTCAAACTCTGACTAAAAACAACCAATTTAGTCTATATGCTGGCGTACCAACAATGCTAACATCCATTTTTTCCATTGCTGCTAGAAACGTCCACCTTATTTGTCCCTGCCATATATCCGGGGAACACGGCATGAGGGGCTGCTATCAGTTTCTGGCTTAACCCTATATACATCATTACCAAGGTACTCTCGAGCACATTACATCAACCTGATGTATTTCATCTCCGAACAACTCCCATCGAGATACATGATCCTATGTAGCATGGGTACATCAACGATGTTATGGTTGTCTCAGCATGGATTTAGAGACTTGGAGTAATCAGGATGCATCCCATACAACCTGGTGAAAATGGCGGGTTTTTTTCGAAGACGGCCTAAGTATATGCTGTTGAACCTGATGACAACCAGCACTACGTTTTACTACAGATAAACATCTAAATTACGAACCAATCAGCAGAAGAACGCAAGATGTTAACATGCAAGATACGAGTCTGGAACTTTATCCCACTATCACTTGACAAGCTGGGAGAAGTCTGGTCCCTGCACAATGAACCGCATCACGGGCACAGCCGAAACTATCGTGATTTGGGTCGAGGGCGGTTAGCACAATGTTACCCCAAGATTCGAGGAAGAATTGGTGCACAAAATACTGGGAAACCTTGTTTTGATACCGAGTCTGCATGCAGATAGAAGTGTAAGTGACAAAGAGGGCATGATTCCCGAGATACGAGCCAGCATAGATCGCCGAGCAAAAGTACAGCTACCAAGAAGTGGCGTATGACTCGTCTATTGCCTATATCCTGAAGGTGAACGTGATGAAGCCGGCAAGGTGTATAAGACCTATACCAAACTATTACGTGATGGTAAAGATTTCTTGGTAATTTAAGAGACATATAACTAATCGAACATTAAACTCTGTATCTTGTCTCACCCCATTATGATCGTATACCTTACCCGAGACTAATGGTGGGATATTCGCTTACTATGACCCACGAGACCGGGGAAAACTGTCTAACCAATCATCACGTTTCCTCTTGTGGCAAACAACATCTAGGAAGATAAGTTTTATGACGAGTAAAATATGAAGATCGAGATTAGCCTTGAGTAAATGTCAAATCAGATCTATCCACGGAGATATCATCCCTCAAGTGGCAACTCAACGAGACATGAATTATTTCGATTCACTATTTCTACCTATCTTTCCATTCAAAACTGCTACCCCCTTCGATATCCACCTCAACTGTATCTCCCAAAATAAAATTGCGAAGATTTTATATCAACGGGAGGTTACGATGATTTATACCATAGATCTAGAGGGCCAACTGCAACTCTAGCTCCACGATCTTTTTGAAGTGTAGGCAGAATACATATTAGTAATCGCGTAGGTAGATATATAGAAGAGAAGTCCTTAAGTTTCATCTTATATCCTTTATTCTTGGGTTGTAGAGCCCGTCAAGTCTAGTCTCTAGGAAAACCAGATACTCCTACTTATCTATAATAGCCTTCCACAACAGCATCTACAAGTTGCTTATTTGGTAGTTATTCAAATAGTCAAAATAAGACTTCCTCTTCGTAATACCAAAGCCTTCATTATAACCACCTCAGTGTTCTTTCGAAACTATTTGAGGCTCACCAAATAGAATCAAACGAAACACAAAACACATTTGGAACTTACACCATGTGAATTTACCTATACTCAAGTTTGCGATTATGTAATGAGGTGCTGTGCATCATCTCTCATCGTCATATTCTCCTGGATCCAACTCCACATCCTCATTACCCTATCATGGCTGAGAGGTCTAATATTTCTCATTGTCTGTGACAATCGCAAACTAGATACGATATCAAATATGGGGTACTCCGGGGTGTTGGTATAGCGGCGCTCATCTTTCTGCTCGGAGGGGATAGTCGCATCAGTATATCGCTGTCTCCACAATCCCAGTAGGGCTTGGGACGGATGTCTTGCTTGTGAACCACTAAACGACGATTCCAGTTGCCGCAGCCATTCTGCAGGTTGGACTACTTGGAATGAAGGATCTTCTGGCGTCTCTGAGACCCACTGAAGCAACTGATTCCATGTTGGCGACCTGTGAGGGTTCAAAACATGGTATATGGGTATCTCCGAGCTAGCTAGCGCCTTGAGGGGTTCATTTTCCGGCAGCGCGATTTCCAGGATTATCTTTGCTGCCTGATCTACCGGTAACCAATTCAGCGTTTCATGTGATAGTTCTGGTAAACACTGCACGAGGGAAGCGGTTGATAGCATCAACGGGTACGCTTCGGTTGCGTTCCATACGCCAGCTTGATTCCCGCAGAGCTGACCAACACGGATCACCGAGATGTCCGTACTCATCGAAGGACGAGTAGACGAGTCCCTGAATAATCTCTCATGGGCTCTAGCGCAAACTCGCTCCGCTACCCATTTGGACCTTGAGTAGCCCAGAGCCGAAGCATGCGATGGATCTAGCGACGCCTTCTCCGCGATAACGGATGATGGGTCGGCACTCACTGCTGCTGTCGAGCTAATGAAAAAGCAGCGTGCGCTACTCGAAACCGCCATATCGATCACGTTCCGTGTTCCCGCTATATGGTCTTCGAAAGAGCTAAGACGGAGACTGAAGTTAACCGGCCACGCTGCATGGATGAAAACCGTAGCTTCGGCCACGATATATGTCCATTCTTGGTCAGGAAGACCGAGATGAGCTTCAGCAACTCGGTAGGGGAGGCAGACAACTTTGTCATCAGTAACTTGTGATATGTCTAGACCATGGGGCCTCGGCAATCCACGATCTGATAACGCGTTCAATACCCGCTTCTTAGCACCAAGTTTTGTCCGGCTTCGAACCAGACAGTAGACCTTGCGGACTCTAGCATCGTTGCATAGTGCAGACAGCATGTGTGCTCCGAGTGCTCCTGTAGCACCCGTAAGTACAACAACATCGCGGTCTTTCTTATGCGAACCGACGTTATATGTCTCAAACTCGCTGTATTTGTCGGCGAGCTGTTGCATCAGCTCCAGTTCGTCGACGCTGCCGTCAGAGTCGCAGAGACTTTTACCGTTGCGCGTTCGGATGAGATTCTCGACCAATGTAATAACGTTTCCATTATCATAAATAATATTCAGGGGTAGTTTCGGAGATCTTTCGGGGAAAATATGAGACTCGATGCGCTTTCTTATCTGGATACACGCTATCGAGTCAACCCCCTGCTGGAAAACATCCCCACGAGGGTCGATTTCGCGACCTAGAACTTGAGTAAATAAGTCCAGGACGAAGGTGCTGAGATCCGCATCAGAAACGACCTGGTTATTTATAGGAGTAATTCCCCCACCCGAATAGGATCTCTCGATCGCATCGGCATACCGGGCCTCAGCTTGATGCCGTAATATGGACCCCTTGCTGCTCTTTGGTAGAGGTTCTTCTCCTTCCGGTTCGATGGCAATTAGCATCGACTTCGTTAGACGACAATGACTTTGCGTCTCCTTGTTCAGTTTCTGAACTTGTGGCCAAACAGCTTCAATAACACCTTCGTCGGAAGATTCGTTTGATGTCTTGAACAATAGAGCACCAGCATAGTCTTTGCCTGCACCGAAGATGAGGACGTCGCGTACAAGTGGACTCGAAGTTTTTATGGACTCTTCAAGCGGAGAAGGATCAAATTTTTTGCCATTCGCTAGCGTGATCTGAGCATCCGCTCGACTGTGATATCGCCAAGCATTTTTCAGTGACGGGTGCGGTTCGAATAGATCCGACGTAGCATACGAACCATCGTCGCGATTTGTTATCGTTGTAAGTGGCCAGTTCGGCTTCACGACAAGCTCTGACAAGCCGCTTTCTCTCGGTTCAAATGACAGAAGCGTAGAGTCATCGATCGGCCGGAGGTACTGCCATTCCTTGTCCTGAACATAGTCGCGGTGCGAAGACATGAGAAACCCACATTCGGCACTCCCCATCCGCGACACCAGTTTAACTCCCCGCTCCACCAACTTATCACCGATCGAAGCGGCCAAAGCAGCGCCACCAACACCGACTAGATCCATGTCCTGGAGCATACGAACTCCTTCATTATCTTCGGCTAGTAATTGTAACACATACGGCACAGATGAGAAATACTTCACGGGAACTGAGCTTCTTTCGCTGGCGTATGCCACTGAGCGGACAACATTGGCGCCGGTGACAGGTACCACGCCTTCTGGGAAGAGCCAGATCATAGCCCCACTAGTCCAAGCCCTGAAGCAGTCTGCCAGGCCACCGTGATATAGAGGCGTGGTCGTAAATGTGGCAGGTTGGTTTATACGTGGAAAGCATGGCAAGCAACCCACTGCCCCCCATTGAGTCTGCGGCATTGGCTTCGGCACTCCAGATGATGTGCCTGAAGAGTGCAAAAAGTACGCTATATCGCATTCTGTATCGAGATACGAATTTTGGTCGAAATAACCGTCATATGGGGAACGCGCTTCCTGGAATAATGGTATCTTGATTATGTTAATGCCCCCTTTAAATTGGGTGCCCCGCTTTTCTTGCGACTCGTCTATGAGAATCGTCTTGATGCCAGAATTCTTGCAAAGATGTTCTAGCGCTCGACAGTCAAGTTGAGGACTAGGAGTAGAGATAAGCATACAGGAAACGCGATGAGAAGATTAACGAGTTAAGGGAACCTTACGCCAGCAAAAATGGCTTACACCCTAGTCGCATGAGCCCCAGCCATGTTAAGACGAATTCGAGGTTACTGGCACACGATATCCCTACTACAGGTGATTCATCATTTCTAGCTTCGATATCTAAAGCTTTCGCGAGCTTTGCGGCCGCTATCTTTGATAGGCTGCATATTTCTGAAAATGTAACTTGGTCGAGCGCTACGCACTCTTAGTACCATATATCTCAGAGAAAAACGGCAAGTAACCTACGCCAGTGAGGTGAGATATTCGATTTATAGTTGGCAAGCCCGAGGGCCGGATGCCCAGGGAGGCGTTTTGCTTGCGTTTCAATCAATGATAAGATTGTTTTGAAGGAATTCTGGTTTCCATCATCCTCTTTTCGTAGGGTTGCTGCTTGCCCTAAAGTGCATGTGAAGTAATTCAAATCTAAATGCGCCATGGATCATATAGAAAAAAGAGTGATTATGGTAACTGGTGTATAACATGAAGAAAAATGTTGAGCGCAATTGCGATTTTATGTATAATTCATTGTTATGATTTCATGAGGTCATCGATTGTCAAGTTTTATGTACCTAATTCTAAGGGCACAAGGAAAATTTGAGCAATTTCAAATAGGTAAGCATAGAAGATATCAATAAACATTGTCTTATTATATTAAATGAGGCTCATTTGTTTAAATTGGCATACATGATGGGAATATTAGTTAACATGTGAACATCTTCGTCGTGCTTACATTAACCCTACTCCAATGTTTTTCATTCCACCAAGCAGATAGGATCACAATTGGCCAATAGACATGGTAGAGAAATAATGCTGGGAAAGGGTCCCACACTTCGAAGGTTCCTTCTTTCCACATACGTAGATGGTGCGAGAACTCAAGTGTATCTGATAAGACTCGACTGAAGCTGATATGACCAAAGCACCACAACATCATAGGGTGGATGAATAAGGAGACTAGATCATGCCCTATCCAATATCTCGGTTTCGTATTGGCCGGTGGAACAATCAGCCGTTGAGTGCCGGTCTGGGACCCTTTTCCCTCTGCAAAACTTTTTTTCAGCCCCTCTTGTCTCCTTTCAACGGTGGTAATGTAGGCGTCTACCATAGCTTCCATCTCGGGGCCTCGTTGCGCAAACAGAACCACAGCAGTATGAGCACGGGGATTGCACTCAATAGCATAAATGTTCTTCTCGGTCCCGCAATAACTAGCAGTTCCTTCGCTTGCCATGAAATCGAAACTGAGATGACCTGTCATGTCTTCGGGGTTTGGAGAACGTTGCACGAATTCGACGGTGAAAGCATACATCGCTTGCCACAAAGGGGAATTAGATGGAAGTGGTTTGTAATGCATCAGTAACTCGGCGCTGGGGCAAGCTACGAAGCATTTCACTTCCCCGCGTACCACTAGAGAATGTGTGCAGTATTCTTCGCGGCCGGGGATAAATTGTTGCAGAATCCAGGGATTAGACGCTGATATTGGTAACCGAGAGATGTATAGCTTAGTGTCCTCTTCCAACGGAAGAGGTAGAAGTGTCATGTTTCCGCGATTGATGTCATCTAGTCCAATCGGTTTAAGGATAAATCTTCGTTCTGGGGTGGATATCTTGGAGACCGAGAGAACTCGAAGAATGTCATGTTTCGACTTGACTTCATGCGTTTCAGGTACTGGAAGCCCTCTGTCTTTGCATTCTTCCATAAAAGATCCCTTATTATGTAGTACGGACGTGGTTTCAACCCCAAACTGTATGCACATGCACGATGTGTGTTGCTCTATTGACTCTTTCGCACGGGCATCTTGGATAGCGTTAGCCACTCCAGAGCAGGAAACCCAGATATCGGCGTTTTCCGTCTTAGTTATCTCAATGAGTCGGTGGACATAAGTCTCGGTAGACTCATCGCTATCGGTCTTTGGTAGTGAGTAGAAAACTGAAAGACTCCGTGAGTATCGACCGGGGCATGGAGAACCGCGGTCTTCAAAATCAGCACCGATAACACGATGACCCGAGAGGTAGAACGACCGAGCCAAAGCCAGCCCTTTCGCCATTCCTACGCCTGTAACTAGAATTGTCTTTTGAGGCGAATCATTCTGAGCCTTGGTGTCAGGCCCCGCACCTAATTTGCGGTGAGAACAAATTCCCCTCGCAACGAGGCAAACACATGCTCCTAGAATAGAACATGGCAGTAAGACGAGGCTGAGAAATTCTAGGCTCAAACATCTGGCTGTTTCGAGTAGTCTATACTGGGTCGACATGTTGGGTATTAATTAGTAGGCGCGGTCATTCTGACCGTTTTTGTGTGGAGCTCCTGAAGCCATAAAAAGGGGGCGGGGAAAAGGGGTTGTAGTACAAACCCTGAAAATTGTTAAGTTCAACGATGTGAGTAGAATATGCACTTAATCATTCTACAGCGCCGGCTAGTTTTCTTTCCTCTACCTATTTATCAATTAGGAAACCGTATATATTAAATGATGGTTATGTTGATGGCTGAATACCATAGAAGTGGTACCGCACGCGTCACAAGCCACGAGTTAGTCTGCATTCCATTAGCCCCTGTTGGAAATCCAATCCTTTCATAATTACACGTGAACCCACATGCTTTTCCTATATTGGACTTGAAAGACGTCATGACTTGATGTAGATACTTTTTAAGCTTTCAATTGGACTGAATTGAATTGAACTCGAACAATTGAGGGTTGAGTCTCCACATATTAAGCCCATGGATTATGGAGCTAGGCATACGGGAATTAATTTGGTTCAGGGGCTCTTCACATGTCTTCTCATTGGCACGTCTCGAGATTTTTGCAGGCGAGTTCATATTTCAAGATCAAATGTTAGGAAGTCAATATTACGTATTTATCACTTTAATACCTAAGATACGCTTGACTTTTCAATGCCTTTGAAGTAGACAAATCAGGCTATATAGATCAACCTCACGCCTGTGCTCGGATTCCATTCAGCAGATCCATTGGGTGTCGTGTCGTCTGATCTTTAACACCATCATTAATGGCGCCGTTACCATTGGCATATCCATTCTGTTGATGCTCCCTGTGCAACCCATTCGCAACGCTTTGCTTTTCTCCCAACACTATGACGGTGGTGTTACTAACTGGCGGAGAACATAGCGGGGAAAAATGTATTGCTTACCTCCAGCTTCCTTTGCAGCTTTCTCTACGCTGAGGTTTTCCGTCTTAAGATCAGTATAGCCAGTATCACTACTGTCGACATATGCCTCAATACCAGCACCATTACGGGGGTATGTCTTCGCAATCTGCTTATGTTTCTTCAGGGCATCTTTCAACTCCTGTAACGACACGTCATTTAAGAAGGTGCACGATCCTAGGGGATTAGGCACTGCGAGTCGAAGCATCCCGTCGCGCGTTTTCAAGATGGCGGCTGTGCCCTTGTCAATCACCTCATCGTCAAACTGAGGATGGTCAATTGAGAGGCCAGCTCTGGAGAACAGGTTAAACAGTCGGTCGTGTTCCTTGTCCGAGAGTAGACCACGTTGTTTAGCCAGAGTAGCAGAGTAGGCCATGTCGATGGAAATAGCATGTCCATGACGCAATGGTGTCTCAGGAATGAGCTCATGCAAAGGCGACCACCTACGAATCGTTCTGCATTAGAATGCATAATGTCGCAAGGTCAGGGGGAAATAAACTTACGTGTGTCCATACGCGATCACTCGATCAAGGCCAATTTCATGGAGGTTTGGTGTCTCCAACTTGAGCATCTCGTAGATACCCTCACGGTTGATCTGAAACCACGTCAGCACCTTTCGAAGAATATCTTAAATCAGGATTTGCTTACGATGTCTGCAGCCCGGCGAACTTCGGTCCTCGAACCATCGGCTCGACCAAACTTTGACTCGATAAGTTGCTCACAGAACTTGTCTAGAAGGTCGAAAACCTGAAGATGAGAACAAGATGAGATCTTGATCAATTCAGCGAAGCCATTGCGGACTTGTGCTATAGGTAAGGTTCGAAGAAACGTGAAGTCAAGGAACGTGTGTAGTGGCGCATGATAAGCGCCAAGCCTGTTCTTGTACCGGCCGTAGTTGACAGCTACCTTGATACTGACACTGGCATCAATCAAGCCAATGACCGTTGTAGGGACTCGAATGAAGTTGGTGTTGCGACGATAGGCGGCGCAAGCGAATCCGGCAACATCTGTGACAAGACCGCCTCCCACTACTAAAACGGGCTCCTATCACATGTGAATGTACACTCAAGAACATTATGACATTAAAATCGTACCTTTCGAATGATCCCGAACTCACTCATACTATCGGCTATTTCGAGGAATGTTTCGATGGTTTTGGCCTTTTCTCCAATCGATGTTTGATGAACCTTGAGCCTGATATTGTAGTGGTTGAAGTATTTCTCCATCTTAGGACCGTATATCCCGTATACGTTCTTGTCCGTGACGGCTAGAACCCGGCCCCATTTCGTGTAGCAATCCGCAAGGTTTGAGTTGGCAACATCGAAAATTCCGTCAACAAATGTGAAGTCGTATTCGATTTTTTCGTAACCTTCGACGTGGAAGCCGGCTTTGGTTTCCTGAACGGTTGCCTTCAAGTCAGACATTTTGGGAGTATCTGAGGGTGGTTTACTAAAGTAGGAAAATGGATACGAAAAATAACTGTGGGATCGGGTATACAGATCAACGAAGATGGTTTTATGATGCAAGTCTTCTCGACGAGGTGAGGTCCCCCCATGTTGAAGTACCGAAAACATACATGGCAGTAACTGTCATGGTTGACGCTTATTTAGTCATGACTTCTCATTTTTGACCCCTGAATGCTTTGTCTCGCATCAACTACATCCATTTCCGTCATACTTGACATTGTTGACCTTATGGAATATGTTTTCTAAGTAAAAATAAACTTCATTCGTCCCTGATCTGCAAGAGATGGCGCAGCGCCAAATCTCACGCTAATCGAAACCGGGAAGACATAGATCTCACTATTCATACCAATTGCTTAACGAACGCTACCAGAAGAACGGATAAGTCTAGTTAATCCAACATTACTTTTGCTTTACGAGTAGCCGGGAGATTTCTTATTTCAAGTTCGTTGGTGTCATAGACTTCATGACGTGCTTGCATATCGGCGACAGAACTACAGGGGTGGTAACTATCAGAACATCCGTAGCATAGCTATCCTTACATTTCCCGTGTTATATTTTACGTGCATGTACTCATTGAAGATTAGACGTATTTATGATTGAACACCTTCGTAGTTAAAAGGTACCCACATGAGAGAGAAGTCAATGACCTCAAGACTCAGATGAAAACATGTGGTGGTGTTCATACGCACCTGCACATAACATTCCTAGCCGCCCTCCAGTTACATATCTTTATAACGCATTTGACACCATACACGTCTTTTATTGCGCATAGGAGGAATCATGGTACTTTCCCATATCGCATCACCTACAGTGAAAATAATGGCGGGGGCTAAAGACAACTTGTTTGGCGGAACTGCGTACCAGCCTCAGGGGGAAGCATACGTTAGTACTATCAAATTTTATAATATCTGTTTTTGATATGTGTCCTAATATTATGTGTCGAACTCCATGTAGTTTGACGACGGAAGAGAGATCGAGCTACTCCACTTTATGTATGCTCATCCGCATCTTAACGATATGCGAGGTAACCCTCAAAAGGTTCTTGACGCGATCGACGAGTATGGAAAAACTAGGAAATATCTCAGTATGCATTTCCCTAGATCCCACGTGTCGTTTTCAATTCTTGTCCCCTCGCTTTTCAGGAGACGTGACTCCATTCCCTAGTTGAAGAATGTAAATGCACGTTACTTACTCTTATTTTAGTGAACATAGGGGAATACAAGTCGAAAACAGTTATTGACTTGATCAGGGAAGAAAAGCCCAAGGTCATTGTTGAACTCGGAGGCTACGTTGGCTATTCGGCAATAGCTTTCGGCGCAGCATTGAAGAATATCGGAGGTAACCGATATTACAGCCTGGAGATGAATCCCGAGTTCGCTGCTGTTATTTCCATGCTTGTTGATCTAGCAGGACTAAGTGATATTGTAAAAGTGGTTGTCGGCCCCAGTTCTGATTCGCTCAAGCGGCTATTCAAGGAGGGTACCTTGAATCACATAGATCTCCTATTCCTTGATCACTACAAGCCCGCATACACACCGGATCTCAAGACCTGCGAAGAACTTGGACTGGTTTCTAAGGGATCTATATATGCCGCTGATAACGGTATGCTCAATGCCGGTTCAGTTACTGCTGCCAATGTACTGACATTTACAGTAATTAAACCTGGAAACCCGGTGTATTTGCAATATGTCCGAAGTACAGTACAGGAGAAAAGGCAAAATTATCTCAGAATAGATTCAAGTAGCCCCCGAGGGAACCCCGATTTGATATATGACAGCCAACTGATTGAAGGCTGGGAACCTAGCGGTGTACCGGTAAGTGTCCGTCTCTCTAATACACTTCACTTCTCACGAAAGCTAAAGACGGATAGGATGCAATTGAAATCACGCGATGCATAGGAATAGAAGCTTGAAGGATCGGTACTCGCATAAGAAAGCGATGGCGGCCCAGTACTGAGATAGAACGGTCAAACAATCTACACGATATGGAATAACACCACCGTAGATTGTTTCGTACATTATTCCGCAGCACTTGTATAGTGCATAATAAATAAGGTTGCCTAATGAACCAAACCAGTAGCGGATCAATCTTAGGCGAAGTTTTCAAAATTAGTAGTGGTCCCTCACTAGCATTTAGTGGGTACACGCAATAGTTCAGGCACTTACGCAATAATTATCAGGGCAAAATCTGGATCACAGTACGATAATTTTTCAATCTACATGGTTTTAACCCCTGAATATGGAAGTACTTAAAAGTGCGAAAATTCTAAGCCCGAATTTTTTTTAATAATTAGACGTCTAGTCATGAATTTCGCAAGGTTTCAGGAACTTAGCTGCCTTTCCAGACTGCCACCAATAAGGAAAGATTCGAGCCAGGCGGACATGTTGCCCCTACAAACTCGAATCTCTCATCTGCGTTCTGGAATAGTTCAGCCCAGTCGCTCAATTCCCTCTCCTTCGCGTTCTGTATCGAAGTCATGACCAAGTCAAAACTCCTCATCCGGACCTCCATACCCTTAGGCATCTCGCCCGGTCCCGGCAACACTGCATCACTGACGACGATCTTGGCGCCCGGTTTCAGAGCGGGAATGAGATTCCTGAGGATCTTAATAGAGTACTTGTCTGACCAATTGTGGAAGATCCATCGGAAGAAGTATACATCTGCGCCCGAGACAGGTTGCGGTGTGAAGAAGTCGTAGGTCATGAACGATACCCGACTAGCAACATCTGGAGGTACATTCTCCTTGGCCTCTGTAATGACAGGCTCAAGGTCCTGGACAACGAAGGACATGGAAGAGAACTTGCGAGCAAGTGCCACGCACACGAAGCCTTGAGAGCCACCAACCTAGGCAAGTCAGACTGACGAGTGGAATCTCAATGATCTAGGTGTGATATATAAACTTACATCCACGACAGTACCGCGGCTATGCTCTTCCCAAGGATAAAAGTCGGTGACGTACTTGAGGTCAAAGGGTCTTCCCTCTGTAAAGCTCCGCATCATATTTGCGAACCGACTAGAACGCTCGGGGTAATCCGACAGGAACTCATACATAGGCTTGTCGGTATTATTCGCCAAGGAGAACCCCTGATTCACGTTGCGGTCAATATCGGCTACCCCTATTGCACCTTCTCACGGGCTCAAAACCTTGTGCTCATCAAGAAGTATTACCATCGGAGGATAAGGGTGACTTAACACTCACAGTTTCCGTGGGCTCTTCAGAGCCGGGGTACTTGGCCATAGCATTGCAGGTCTGGGCCGCCGCCTGCCAAAGTTCATCCGAGCACGTGGCAACAAAGTCATGGACGCCAGGATCTTCGGCCAGCAGTCGCGACGCGGCGCTGTGCGCGACTACCCCCGGCCGGGGTTCCTCGAAGATCCTCTGCGCGACTGCGCATCGCACTAGCTTGCGGACATTGCTCTCGCTTAGACCAGACGATTTAGCCATTTCCGCAAACGACGTCTCACTCCCGACAGGAAGGTTTCGGGCCAGGCCGAAGCGCGTTACTGCCTGCTGTGGAAGGAGGCTATTGTGCTATGTTTGGGTATATAGGAGTAAGCATAACTAAAATCTAGCCAAATCAAGGATGGGACTTACGACGAAGCTGAGTAGGTAGTCTCTTGGGCCAAGCATGAGATCCCGCAGCTCAGCAGTGTCTGCGAGGACGGACTGACGCAGAGCTTGAATCTCGGGCTCATCCTTTGGTACTGCCCCATGAAGAGGTGTATTCAAATCGAATGATGGCTGTGGAAGGTTATTGGCAACTAAGTAATCGCTCACCTTGGTAGTATTGGAGGCTATACGCAAGGCTAACTGGACGATGTGCGGGGCGGACATGATGAGACAATCGCGATGCAATTGGAAGTGAATGGTTGTAACAATCAACATGAGGGCTATCCTAGGTACTTACCTGAGGGGTACCTAAGTAGGACGTAGATAGGATACATCCCTACTATATTCATGTGTAACACCTCGGATCGGTCGGTGTCCGTGGCTAGGTACCTACTTGTAGGTACCTCTATCGTCCGCCGTCGTTACACCAGGTACGTAGGGCTACCAGTAGATAAATACCTAGGATGATAACTGCACAGCCTGCAGTAAGGGATCATTCAGATACTGTCACGCACACCTCATGCAGCACTGCACACCGCATCTGTCAGATGTCGCGTCTACCTAAGTAGCAGGCATTTTGCGAGTCTCGCCCAGAGCATATTAGATACTGGTAGGTGGGTATTTATGGTGAAAATGTTGGTTGCTTATGTATTTTCGCCGTTTAATGGTTAAAAGAAGTTTAGTTATAAGGTAGTGAGCTTAGGGGCTTTTAGGCGCTATACCTTTGGTGGATTTAGCGTCTACTTATCAAATCCAACCTTTGGAGTAATGCGCTATAATTTACTAAAGCCATCCATGGATAGCTCTAATAAGCGTTCTTGCTCTAGGGGCTTTAGTGGATAAATACCAAAGATAATATAGATTCCCCATCATGGCTCACTATTAACTCCATTTCCAAATAAACATCCCATTATGCGACCAATAACCCTGAAGTGATACGCCGTTAGACTGTGATGTCAGTCTTAGATAGGGACATAGTCTCTACTGGGTACTTGTCGAGGGGATGGGCCGATGAAGTGCTGTTTCCTCCTGACTGACCCTGCCATTCTCGTAAACTATTGTTCCCACTTCGCTTCGACGACGGGCGTAGTGATATTTTGCTCGCGATACTCCGAAGAAGGTGTCTCGGCGACAAGTCGGCTATGAGTATATGTACGGAGGGTAGAGAGGCGCAGATGACGGCCACTTCAACGTTTTTCAGGTTAATACTATAACTTCACTGTTTCTGAATTGTAATATGATGATGCAAGAGCGCTGTGGCTTTTGAAGATTAAGTACCAATTGGAAATTTCAACTTACTGCAAGCGTCGAGGTTCGTCCAGTAGAAAGCGGGTGCCGCGTTGTCTGATGATCACAACAATTGTGGTAAGTTTCCTTTTTTCCTTTTTTCAATATACTTCTACCACGATCTACGAACGTAGTTGAGTTGTTTGGAGAGGGCTCACATGTAACATCGTATTCAAGCTTCGGATTTGCGGCGATCGAATAGTAGAAGTAGATTCGTGCGGCACTTATACCAACAACGCTGCATGGCATTAGCTTAACTAAGAAAACTATGGTGTTATATCGAGGCACCGCCATTACAAGGGAGAAAGTCGAGAGCAGACTTACAATGCACCCAGTAGGAAGATCATACTAATTGCGATCCGTCGACTGAGCGGCATATTCAACTTCCACACGATGGGCTGGGGAATTGCTAAGATTGCAATGTCGATTATCCTTTGAGGTGAATCGTTAGTTATTATATAGCAAAATAAAGGGGATAAGGTCCAACATATGGCATTAATAATTGTTACTTACATATTTGTTGTGGCCATACCTGCAAATGCTGGAAGGGGGTTGTAACAGTGGCCAGTCCTTTCTAGCTGGGGGAGCCATGCTTGAGAAACTGGAGTGCACTCTAGAAGAATAGCGACGAAGAAAGATACTCCCCAGCAACATATAATGCCGAGAAGGATGGCAGTGATGAGATAAAATCGGTCACCTCGAAATATGCGTCTATAGAAGAGGACGAGCGAAGCTTTGATGAATGCGAAAGCCAAGATAGATATCAGTATGCCGGCCCATTCAATCTGGGTAATCCTGGTTAGTAGACTCTTTCTCATCACGGGCAGCCATGGAATAAGGCAAGTTCAAGCGTAGGTGATACCTTGCTAAAGCTATGGACCCAGTCGCCGTACTCAGGGACACCATGTGAGTTGACAGTTACATGTTCACCGAGATGTCCAAGGTATGCACCTGTGGAAGTCATTAATATGATCTGAGGAAACGACAATAGTATAGAGTTGTTTATGTGGGAAACAATGGACAATATCAGTAAGTATTGGGCCATCGAATTGCTTACCGCAGAGAGTACAAGCCCCTAAGGCGAGGGTGAACAGCTGAGCGAAGACTTAGCGACCGATACGAAACTTTTGAGCTTATAGCGGAGTAATTATGAATTGTGTGCCCATACCAGTCCAGGTAATATCAAGAAGTCATCGAGTGCCAACGGGACTCCTTTTTTGAGACGAGTTACGAATCTCAATACAACGACAATGAGTGCGAGTGCAGAGAATACGATAGTAACTATGATGATATTCGTGTTTAGACTGAGAGCCATTATTCATGGAATAAAAGAACTTTGCTTATAGAAATTCTACTTTACTGAGAAGAATTGTCGAAAGAAATTGGTCAGATTGTCGGTTGAGACGGATAGCAGAACACTTGTAGGACGCATCGACATGGAGATGTGAGACTTTACGACGCCTTTTCTCGGGGATTAGTCCCAAATTTGGTCATAGATCATCCACCATAGCCATCGACACCTAGTTTTGTAACTAACGCAGTGGTCACACAGCAGCTGTAACGTCGTACAATACGGGCTTTGGGAGCGACTCCAGATCCCGTCAAATGCAATCTCTACCTCCGATGTGCATAACGTGTTATGCAAGTATAGTCTTACATCCCTTCCAATATGTATAAGTCTTTAGTTGGTTAATTGGTTGGTTGGTTGGTATATTTAATGCCGGGGTAAGGGGGAATAACCTTCCTTTGTAAACTTCTTTAGGGGTATGCGGCGTATAGAGTTATTTTATGGTTTAGTTTTAATTTTTAATTATATAAAGAAATATCCCAATCTTGTTCGAAATATCCTATATGTTTAATTTATTGGTATATATGATTATGTTTTAACCGTTCTTATGGGTTTCTTCGAATAAACTTGTATCTGGCGTATAAAATCTGGTTAGGAATGCCCTGTAAGGTTACCATTTTTTTCGGTTTTACAGCAGTTAGTGTTAATCCGCGTAGGTTTAAAATATGTAAGCCTTGGAGTAGCTACTATTACGGCGGTTATTTTAGGTAAATATTGAGGCGTTTTTTGCGTAGTGGGTACTGTTTGGCGATAGTGGGATTAATATTAAAATTTTTTTTTTTTTTTTTGGAATAAAAATATAACCTTAAGGTCTGCTTATGTCTTTAGTATAAATAAGGCGGTTAAGGGTTAAACGGCTTAATAACGGGGGTAAATCTACTAGAAATATTGGGTTATTTTTAGGAAGTAAGTAAACGTTTTAAGTTTGTTAATAAGTTGTTACTAGTATTGGATACAATTAATAAGGTTAGGATGGAATGTAGGCTATTTTATTTTGAGTTTAGGTATTTGGGTTTTTTCGTAAAATATTAAGTGGCTGGGTGCTTTAGCTTTTCCGTACGAGTATTTGAGTTTTGCGTGCAGGTAGTTAAACTTTTTGTAGTACCAGGTAAAGTTGCTATGGCTGTTTTTAGCTGCTAGGAAGTAGTGCAATACTTGCTTTAGTAGTTGGAATTTGGCTGGGTATTTGAGTTTGGCTGGTAATCCGAGGGTTTTGTAAACGGCGGGGGGGTTGGTTATCTTCTTTTATTATTTCTTAAAATCTTTCAACGTTTTAGCCCTGTATTCCTTAAAAATGGCTGTATAGGTAAGCGCCGCATATGGGTTATCGGGGAAGGAGGTGCCTTCTTTAGCAAGTTTATTTGCTTATTTATTTCCTGGGATCTTTACATAGCTCGGGACCTAGCGGATTTGTACGTCGGCGAGTATGGCGTTCTCGTGAAATTCCAGGAAAGCTGCCTGGGAGCTCAGGGGTGCTTCCCCTTTGAGACCAGTGATTACTGAAGTGTTGTTAAGGCAAACATAGATAGGGTATCCGTTATTTATCTTAAGTGCTTCGCGGAGGCCATGCCTAACCCCTTCAACTTCAGCGTTGAATACTTCGGCCCAGCCTAGCCTCCTGTATAAGTCTTTGGGAACACTAAGGGGATGATTTGCGATAACGCTATTAAGACGAAGTCTTGAATTGATCACCTGTCCGCCCCTGAGTGGACTTTTTAAGTTGCTCCATCTCTCACTATCATTAAGCTCACAGCTCCAATGGCCTCGAAAACTGACACTGGCAGGATGTATTCGAGGCACCTCGATGACGAAGAAAACCCTTTCCTTGCGAATGAAGAAGAAACCATCAACCAGGCCGCTGAGCACACAACGGCGAAGTGGGTAGCCGCGACGGATTCTGGAGCTCGAAGTTGCGCCTGGCTGATTCATGGCATCTTTTTCCTTTTTTATACCAGTATATTCCTTGCCTTTTTCATTGCCGAGTCTCGAAAGCCATGCTCAAATGTGTCGCTTCTCTGGTGTAAGTCTATATTGGACTGATACTCTCGCTCTCTCAATTACTAGGTACCTAGGCAAGGTATATCAATGGTAAACTCACAGCATGACAGCACCTGCACAAGACATCGTTGAGTGGGAAACACGTATAATCGATGCGATACCTGGGTCTACACCATATACAGGTTATCCCAACTCAGTTTCTGATGCAGCTTGGGCAGATTTACTGAAAGGTCAGCACTCCACAAATTCCGTCTCTATTTTAAACTAGATCATATCTGATGTTGAACTAGGAATAAGCCTCAAAATCCTCCCCGAGGAGATGGAGCGACTTGGCTATACCTCATTGGCCCTGAAAGATGGCTCGGGATTTGTAGGCTCCTTGGGTGTCTACCACGAACTCCACTGTATAGTATGTGACATTCTTTCCACTATCATGAATCCATTCTGGAACAATAACTCAACTACATTAAATAGAAACGCGTAAGAAAGATGATTTATTGGAATTATTATTACCCAAACATGACCACAGATGAATGGCACCATCAAATGGGACATATTGGTGAGACCTCCCCTGGAGTGAAGTCAGGCTGCCGATAAATGAGTACTTACAATGCGTTAATAGAACATTGTTTAGAACAGATCCGGCAATCAGCTATCTGCCACGGGGATGTGAATGTCATACCATTTTCATGGTTACAAGATGATGAGCATCAGATTCCTTTGCCAACCATGCAGTTTGGTTCTCTGCATCAGTGTATCAAGTGGGATAAGTTAGATGCATGGGCAAAAGAGCGTCGTCTTGACCTATTTGATAAAGAACTTCTCGTACCAGCTAATTCGAAATAAAGAAAATCACAAGGGTATAGGTCAGCATGAGGGTATTAGTATAGGTATTAAAGGAGCGTCATTGATGAATGGATGTATCCCCTTTTCTACATATGTAGGCCAGTGATTGACTATCTAGTACTATACATAGCACTACAAAAGAGTCCTGCCCATGAAATTATATCCCTTAGAGAAAATCACCCAATACCTGATCTTCGATCTTCAATTCACCCATCCATCAATCTCTTGCTCTCCACCTATCAGCCCAAGCAGTTACACGATCATAATTGCGGCACGTTCTCTCTGAATCAAAGCCAGTAACACCCCCCAAATCCGGGTTTATCGACTCAAGGTTTGTGTCCGCATGGCACATAAGTGATTGACGTAAATAGTCAATACAGTGACGGACATGAGCAGGCCTCGCATGGTGGTTTGGCTCAATACCATCTATGGCAGCCCAATAGCCACTCCGGATGGCGTCCTATAAGGAATTAGCCTCCATTATGACGATATGCTCGAAGTGGCTTACGAAAGCCTCCTACTCACGAGACAGTGAAGTTGGTGATATACAGCTAGGCATGTGGGCTCAGGCGACAATTCAGGGTGCTTGATGAATCCGTCACCCCCTGTTCCCAGCGGATTCAACAACTTGTCAGTTATATCCAAAGCTATAAAGCCCTTGGTGATAACTATCAATTACTCACTAGGGAAAAGCGAAGTCCATAGCGCTTCAGATATGTTATCCGGTCGTAGAGCAAACAACGCTTGCCTCCGAAAGACAGTATGAAGATGTCCTGGCGGAGCTAGTATATAAGATTAGCCAATTTTCATTAAGCAATCTCCATTTGAAGCTGATGGGTGCTTCATACGGCTACTTACGAAACCAATTTAGTTGTGTCTGGTGAATCTCTTGCATATGCCGTCCCCAGCGGAAGCATAATATACCAACTGGCAGTGCGGTTACTAGAGAGGCAGCGAAAATGACGACAAGCCAGTAGGCTGTCGATATGCGAGCTCCGTATCTACGCCGGTCAAATGCTTTAACAGGAGCTCTATGGTCATGTTCCGAGTCAATAGGAAGATTTACTTCGCTAAAATTTTCGATACGTTGATAGTTGGCGAGGTTCGACATTGAGGATCTAGTTATAAGTTACCGAGAGCTCTGATACCCAAAAATCTAGCATAATCTTAGGCCTAACAGAAATATTGATAGTACCAGGTGCTGAGGAACAAGACAAAACGTTTATATTTGCAGAGTGCGCAGAGTGAATGAACACAATTAGTTGCACAATTCATGCATTAATACAGTAGGTTAGAGTCTCTGGGACAGCATATAGACCTTATGAATACCTAGGTACCTAGGTAAGTAGGCATTTCAGATAGTCCTAGATGTAACCACACCGCCTTCAGGTTGATTTGGAAATTATCACCAATAGAATTACATATCTGTACGTGTCGGAGGATTCTATATGTCTACATGCACGTCAGTTCGCAGCAATGAGTCCACAGAACCAATCTTTTGAATAATGTAAGGGGGTAACCTGACGACACAAGCTTGCACAGCATGAACTATTCGGATTCTGGATCCTCATTGGGGTTACACTACGGAAGGCTTACTGCAGGACTATGATCACAATGTTCGGAGCCATTGTCAACCTACAGACATTGGAATACCAACTGTAGAAATAAGTCCCGGTTCACCAACATTTCACTGTTTCTCCTCCTCTACCGAACGTAGACACAAATTCGTACTCTACCCTCTAATACCACAGACGACATTTGACACATCTGCTTTCAAAGATTCACCATGCACCTCATCGGTCTCATAGCCACCACGTTTGTAGTGCTCGCCTTCGGGGCTGCTCTGCCATATCACAGTAAGATTCCTTTGCAGCATTTAGGATGAAATAGAAAATTATACTCTCAAAATGCTAATCGTTGGCATAGGAGGCGTAGCCGCGAACCGGGTTCTCACCAGAGACGTCGAAGAAGACGACACGGCCATTGTTTACAATTATGGTCCATCGGGAGTAGATGGTATTGAGGCTCCTGGAACTTCTGGTACTGACGATGACGACGCCATCGCCTACACCTGAGCTTTTCTTGTTGACTGAAGTATTGGATATTTTGGCAATGATATCACAACTACAATTATCCTACCAGACAGCACTGATTATGTAGATACTTACATATGCCTCCAACAAAGCTGAATGCACCGTATTTGGGAAGTTTCCTGCCTAAGGTCATTTTAGGAAAACTGTATGATGATAGCAAAACCTCGGATGATCTCTTGCCAGAAGGAGGTAGACTTGCAAAAGCGGCACAATACATGTGAAGTAGCATATCGCTGATGCAATTGGTGTGTTATATACGTAGTACTACGATGATGATTCACTCCTCCTTTTCCGGTGGGGAAGGCCGTCAATAATGAATGATGCTAGGTGCAGATTGAGCTTTTTTGGCTTGAGTTGTTCACTAATCATATAGGTAAGCTTATGCTGCCCGATTCACATCTGCTTAATAATATCAATATCCCACCTTCATCCTTTTTGCCCTGAATGCGTAGGAACCTAAGTATATACGTAGCTAGGTATCTAGAGTGTAGCACCCCTTAAGTTCTGCTAGCACCCATAAATGCTTGATTCTGGTTGGTCAGGTTTTGCAGTGTCACTCCGAAGATCACCAAACAACACTTTGAGAGCCTCCGAGTAACTATCACCAATATATAGTACCGGTTTTATGGGAGATTGCAATCTTACGACAGTTTAAGGGATAAGTAACAAGATAGAGCGCTACATTCTTATGTGTGTAGACATTACTAAACACCGTGGTGAAAATTGTTCTCAAGAACCATCGGGGCTAAAGGTATTCATAGAGTTCTGCCCATCATAAGATATAACCGCTGTTAAATGGTTATGTAAAATAGGTATTTTCCTAATTTAAGGTACGAACCTGAAAGGTGCAAGGGAATATGAGGAAATGGATCATGCTAGATCATTAGAATTTTGTACAAAAATGCTAGCGATTATACCACTCTTTCCTCGGATATTAAAGCCGTCATGTCAATATCCCGTGATATCATCTTTCTTTATACATTCACTATTGATAACTGTTGGTATGCGAAGAGCCAATCTTAAGATCCAATTATATTTTATATTAAAGTATTATTATGGAAGAAACATGTTATACCTCTCGGTTTCTTCAAGGCTCATTCTATTGGGGATTCTAATTCTAATTATTAGGTGTAATATCTACCTAACTAATAACAAGTGCCAATCAGACGGATAGATAGTATCTCTAAGTTAAACTTGATTCCATCGTGTCCATAGAAGCCTATCAACAACGGATCTTACTTAGACACTGAACAAAAGAAGTGAGCAGAGACTTGCAACTATGTTAACAATAGTTATATTATCGTCAGCTCACAGTACTGCGTTGAACAGATTCTCATCGTATTTCCATACAATTAATGTCCATCTAATATTATAACCAGCAAGGGGCTTTAAACCCACGGAGACGCCGACTTGAATATATTAATGGGTATATCTAGCATCCCGTCTAACTTAAGGGGAAACCTTGATCAGCGAGACGACAATAGCTTGCAAGACAATCTCACGACATCAGCGTCGAGCCTCGACATAGGCCCACATCTGGTGAGGTAGGTACTTAGGCAATCATATGGGCATTGCTCCCGCTGTTTATCATAAGTAGTCCCGTTAACTGAGTTAGGAACCAACCTTCCTATGATAGATTTCTATTTGGAAATCTTCCACCACACCTACACGCTGACCAGGTGTCAACCTACATCTCAACACAGTCAAAAGACATTCAATCAATCACTTCGAAGAAGCTGTTTAGGTACGTATTTGAATTCTAGAAGATTGAGTGAAACAATCATCTTCATTTCCCTTGCTATAAATTCAGACTTGAATTTATTTTACTCGTAAAAAGGCTATTCATGGCATTGATGGCACATATCCCCATCAGTCCCTATGGATTAACATCGATACAATTAAATTAACCTGGCTTATTTGAACCATTAGAATCTTTGAAGACTACCACCAACCACCATGCCTCTCAAGAAAGAGGTCATCAGCGTGGATCTGTACGCCAAGCTCGGCGTCCAGAGCGGCGCCTCTCGCGAGGAGATTCGAGCCAGCTACAAGGAGCTGGCCATCAAGTGGCATCCTGACAAAGCAGGAGACACCGAGCAGAACAAGGCCGAGTTCCGCGCCGTCCAAGAAGCATGGGAGATCCTAGGCGACGAAGTCAGCCGCAAGGAGTATGACCACGCCCGCGCCAGTCAGAGACCGAAGCTAGACGACTTCATCCGAGGAACGTACCCGGAGGATCCCTTTGAGCAACCCGACCAGCCCTCCGCCAAGCCCCAACAGCCCGAGAAGGGAGGCGGCAACCGCAGAGATGGCAACCGGCCCTTTTCCTCGCAGTCATTCCTCTCCGGCGATTTTATCAGCGACGCCCTCAAGCACATGCACCAGAAGATGGGCAAGACAGAGCATGAGCTGCGCGTCAGCCACACTCGATTCAACAGCTGCGAGATCAAGTTGACAACGGCGTATGCGCGCCGACCACCCAGTACGATAAAGTTGCGCAGCTGGAACGTACGCTTGATGCACGCCAAGGCAGCCTACGTCGGATTCTTCAAGCGGCTGGGAGTGCTGAAGACGATGCTACCGTTGCCCGGCCAGGCTCGTGTTGTGCCTTCCACGATGACGCTCCTCCCTCACGATATCGCTCAATTCTCAAGCCTAGTCTTCCGAGTGACCATCGCTACTCTCGCCCTATCTCAGCATGTGGAGGAGTTCGCCAAAGGCCGAGACAATGAGAAGGATCTCGACAAACAACTGTCAATTATTGCAAAACCAAACATGTAATTGTATTCGTCGGGGGATCAATTTTCGCTGGAAAGGCATGAGATGGGATACAATAGCAAGGGAATAGGTGTGCAAATGAATTGAACCGGACATCTTCAAGAGAAAGAGCTCTAGCACTCTATATAGCACACATTCTAGCCAAATCCCCAACCGGTCTACTCTATTCTACTTCCCACAATACACGCCCAACACTGCAAAAAACCGTAGCCACTCGTAGCTCTAAATATCCTTGACGAAGCCAACCTCGACAACCCTATCCATAGAGAGTCTCAGGTTCGCAATCTTGGCACGCGTATTATCCCTGATCCAGAGGAACGTCGTTAGGAGAATGCGGCGGAAGAACGAAGTTTGGTGATCCTTGACATGCATCTGTTCCTTGCCGATGATATACATGACCTTGCTAGCGTAAGCGCGGTCAAGTCTGCCGAGCTCCTCCTTCGTAGCCTCGTCATCGAGACCAAGGGTTGCCCTAATTCCACCGTTCTGCCTAGTAGTAGCAGCAGCAACCTTGGCCTGAGTTTCCTCATCAGTTTGCCCATTAGTTTGCTCGCGCTCCTGTTCCTCTGCACCACCGACCGGGGCCTCGTCGTTGCCGCTGCTCCCGTCACGGATGATGAACTTGCGCACCTGCTCGTAGATCAGGGCTGCTAGATCGGGGCTGATGACCTCGTCCATGTAGCCGTGGCGAATAACCAGTCTGTAGCAACCAGGGACGGCAGGGATTCTGGAAATAGCGTAGCGGTCACTTGGGGCCACAGACGGAGCTTCGACGGAATGAAGATGGAAGAAGATAATCGCATCAGGCACGGTGCCGAACTTGCTGACGAACTGTGTGAACACAGTCGGCGTAAGCACACCCGCCTTATCGAAGTAAATACCCAATCCCCTGATTCTGCTGACGGCACCGCCACCCCAGCGGGGAGCTAGGACAAGGGGGCTGTCTTCGGAGTCGTTTTCCCGGTGGAGGAGCTGGGCGGGCCGGAACCTGTCTTCAGCCTCTGCGCGCCACTGGTTCTCCTTGCCGAAACGCCAGAGCAGGAAGATGCAGGTGAGGACGCCCGAGATCGTGATCGTAAACCAGGCACCGTCGGGAACCTTGTTCAAGGAGGAGGAGAGATATAAGCAATCGACAGTGGCAAATACAAGCCACGGTATGAAGACGATGAACGGAGACAAGCGCCACACAAGCAGGGAGGCAAGCGTAACCATGCATGTATCGAAGAATGTCACGAACATGACACATACACTAAGAAGCATTAGTCTCTTATCATACCTACCTAGTCATGACATGAAGAGGAACATCGAGAGAGATTAAGAAAACTTACCCGTAAGCGTTTCCGAGACGAGTCGTATTAGAATAAACACCAGTAACGAGAATGGTTCCGCACATCAGAATCCAGTTTATAAAAGGCACATATAGTTGTCCATGGAATGTTGTCGATGTGTGGACAACCTTGACTTGCGGGCAATATGACAGTTTCATCAGCTGACTGATGAGCTGTTGGAGACTTGTTAGTGTAATACCTTAGAACAAGGAGAGAATGACACCTACTTGGAACACGGCCGTAATCATAGCTTGTGAAGCAACGATAGCAGCCAACACAGCGACAATTAAGCTAGGATATAACATTCCTGGGGGAACCGAGTTGTAGAACGGGTTAGAGTACGCATCGGGGTTTACGCTGATGTAGGCAGCCTGGCCAACGTACGCCAGTAACAAGCAAGGGTAACACCAGGACAGCCAACTGATCTGGATAGCCCTCATGCTAAAGGCACCAAGATCCGCGAACAGGGCCTCGACACCGGTGAAGGCGAGCAAGATACCGCCAAGCATCTTCCACGCTTCCGTCTTCTTGTCCATGAAGAAATGGATAGCAAAGTAGGGCGAGAAGGCCTTCAGGACCGAGTGATCGTACTTGATCAAGTTGTAAATGCCAAAGCCCGCATTGAACCCAAGCCACAGGATGACAATTGGCGCAAACATAGACGCCAATCTCGAGGTCCCTAGAGGCTGGATAAGGAAGAGGAGAACTAGGATGCCGCAAGACGTTCCAACGATGGTAGGACTATCTATGTTCGGGCTTACAACGGAGAGACCCTGAACGGCACCCAGCACGGACTGCGCAGGTGTCAGCACACCGTCGGCGATAACCATCGAAACGGCGAGGACGCCAATGGTCTTCAGGAGACCACGAGTGAACCTGCTTTTTTCGATCGTCGAACGAAGTGTGCGATTGGTAGCACTCAAATCCTGAGTCAGGTGACGCTCCATTTTCACGAGACGCGCCTCTCGAGGGTCGCGGTCGGTGATATTAGCCTGTGTGACGTTAACGATGAGGACTCATTCTCGAAATGTTCCAGTCACTCACATATCGGGTAAGTAATGAATAACAGCTGAAGGTGCCCCCTTCTCCCTGGTTGTCGGCGTGTAGGATGATCAAGATGTATTTCAGCGTCACCATGATCGTCAAGGACCAGACGACGACGGAGAGGACTTGGAGAAGGTCATCGTAGCTGGGCGGAGCGGTGAAGGTACTCGAGTACACATATAGAGGACTGCATCTGATTAATTCCTGCGACTCAACGATTCACTCGAAGTTGAAGAGAAATCTTACCTCGTTCCGATATCACCGTAAATGGCACCGACTGACTGGTATGCCAGCCTTCACAGCCGATTAGCATCAATCTATGACTTCGTGTAACTCCTCAATCGAACGGGAACTACGATACCAGAGCAACGCAGAACCCTTGAAGACCTGTTTCTTCCTCCCATCATCTTGGAGCCAGTCATCGTCGTCTTCGACTTCGAGATGGTCGCTGCGCCTGTCGTGAGACGCGCGAGAAGCCGTGCGACGCAGGCCTGGCCCACGAGACCGCGACAAGCTGCGCGTGTGGTATACGCCGCCTAGATCCGTTCCACCGCCGGCACTAGAGTCCGAGGGTTTTATGGTGTCGTCATCCGCGGCGATTGTGATCTTTGGTGTCGCCATAATTTTCATCAATCCGCATTGGGGCTTATTGCGAGGGCATCAAAAAATAGTTCCAAGTACGTAAAAGCTTGTCCAAGGTCACACGCAGAATTACACACACGATACTACAGGAACAGATTTGGTAGCACGAATGGGAGGGTATTAATACATATTGGATGGCAAGCAGGATATCCAAGGTGGTGTGAAAGCCATCTAGACCTAGGCCGGTCGGGTCTTTGAAGATCCCAGATCCTAGGTGAATTGGCCTATTGCATTGCAGATTTTGGTAAAGATAAGACCTCCACATATTCCTATTTTCCTTTCTCTTTGGGAGAGACTTCGGGAGAGGGCGTGGGGAATGGCTTTGACAGGGCTGTTCTGCACGTGGGAACTAACAAAAAAGTGCGCATTTCTTGCTTGGGGAGTAGACCCAGCAGGCCGAGAAGCTGAGAAATGACATCGTCCTCCTGCAGAGGGGTGGCTCTGAAAGAAAGAAAATCGCGCTCCAATCGTTGCTGGAAGAGCTCACCGAATTGGGATAGCTTCCTTTCGTAATCCGTCACCAATATCCTAGCTAGCTAGACAGCTCAAGCTTAGGGCGCGTCCAGGTTGGGGGCGGATGCCGTGGCAAGGGTCGTTTCAGCAAGCAACTTAGGAAAAAACTTGTCTTTTGCTAGCACTTTCTCTAACAAAGCGTCAAAGGAGATGAGATGGCGTGAGAGAGACGCAACCATCAACTTTGTCCCGGCGCCATATCACATGACCTCGAGGCCTCCGGATAGGGGTTGCAAAGACTAAACCCCAATCCATGGATTGATATCCGGGGTGGGTATGACGAGAGTTGACATCGCGTCGAATTAGAGTATTGGAGTTCTTATCTAAAGTAAACTTTATGGTAATGTTACAGTCATCAAAATGGATCATGGTGAGCAGCGTATCACATGTCAGCTACCAGGATTCAATTCGATCAGAAAATGGCTCATCCCGACGGTATGCGAACAACACAAACCACATTAGTTTTATGAGATTCAGACACAAACACCAACATGTTGACTATTATAGTCGAATAAGTTTTCCCCCTTTTAATTTAACCTACAAATTCATAGTAAACAATTGAACCGGCCGAGAAAGATTCGCTAGCAATGCTCACGAGATATTGGCCATTAGGCTCGCATTTTGATTAAAAAGGTTAAAGGAAGTAGTTATATATCCATAAAAGAACCAAAGCGGCATAGAATAGATTGGATACATGTATAGTATGTATGCCAGCAGTGTTGTTTTGTCTAGCTCGTGTCGTGACCCGAAGATATGCGGATATGCATGCGACTTCCAACACGGGCAGCTGTAAACGTTGTGTTATATGAGCAGCAAACTAGATAATGCGTCAATCCCAATTGATCATAGAAAAAGAATTGAATCTCCATTTGTCTATTTTAGTCTTTTCGCCGGTCGAAATCCTCTTTTCTTTTTTTTTTTGTCTTCCCAGATGGTGATTTTTTTGCCTGGCCTAAACAACCATGATCGAATAGTCTAAGTCGCCCTCGAATGTCGACATACGCCATTTACACGCCTAATCCCACTTACCAGTCTGAGTTGACTGAGATAATTAGTCCAATTGATCGACTGTTTCTCCATTTTTCTGCGACCCATTGGTCTCGCCAGCCACTTTCGTCCCATCCGCACGAGTGACGGGGAAAACCCAACCAAAATTGTCCTTGACCTTTCCTAGCTGAATACCTTTAAGCTGAGCCAAGAGCCGTAAGCAAATCGGGCCGGCATCTTCGTCCGCTTCAGGGATGTAGGTGACCTTCTCGACACCACCCTCAGTCGACAAGCGTGCGTGCGCTCCGGCAGAGGAAATGGATTGAGGTGAGGCAGGGTCAAAGCGTCGCGTGATGGACCGTATTGGCACCAGCGCCGCAGCAGTGCCCGCGGCCATCACTTCGGAGAACTTAGGCAGTTCCGCATATTTGATCTAGGGTGAAGTCAGTAAAAATTGGTTGATGTGCATACACTGGTTTTATACGAGGTGTGGTACTCACAGATCTTTTCTCCACCTTCCATCCAAAGCTGCGGCCGATGTCTAAAACACTGTCTGCCGTCACACTCTGGATCACGCTCTTCGAATCGGGCGCCACGAGTGTTACGTTGTCGCCATCCACGATGGCGCCAATGAAGCCACTTGTGCTGAACTCGTCGACCTCCGAATGCGTCGCGCTGTCTAGATGAAGGGTGATGCCATACCCCTCAGATCTGGCCTTGTCGCTCCACCTGAGCACGGGTGCGTAATTGCCCCCGACCTTTGCGTTTCCTGTTCCGTTCGGAGCTGCGCGATCGAAGTCGTCCAAGATCAACGCATTGACCGGATGCGTACCGTGGTACACGCCTGTGGGGAGGACATAGACGCAGAAGGTGTATTCCTCGGGAGGACTGAGTCCTAGCTGTGCGCTCGAACCGTAGATTTGGGGTCGTATATACATAGCAGCGCCTGTCTCGTGAGGCGGGACATATTCGGCGTTGAGGGAAACGGCGGCTTTCACGGCACTGATGAACAGGTCGGTAGGTACGGGAGGGACCGAGATGACATCGGCCGAATGTTGCATCCGCACAGCATTGCGATCAGGTCGGAAGATCTGAATATCGCCGGAAGGGTTGCGGAAGGCCTTGAGGCCTTCATAGGCTTGTTGGCCATAGTTCAGAGCCGGGGCCATGCCATGGATGCGGATGTAGGGATCAGTCACGAATTGGGGCGGCGTCCATTCGCCAGTCTTCACTGAGTAGTGAGACTCAATATGCCCATTGACTGATAAGACTCGATATTAGCCAATCCCTACGTATCCGGCATCCTGTATTCTGTATTCAATGTTCAGGACCAGCGAAAAACAAGCTTGCTTACCCTCACGAACCCGAAATCCAACATTAGACCAGTCAATGGTGTTGACTGGTGGCGGCGGGAATGAAACCATTGTCTTATAATGTCTATGTCGTTATGCGAAACCTTCAATTTCTCGATTTTAGACTGTAAGAGGACAACAATTCGAAAGGTGAAAAACCTAGGTAGTTTATTAAGCTGAGAATATGCAATTAAATCATTGGCTCCTTCGACTTGGTGCGCATTCGAAATTTGGTAACTTCCAAAGGGATGACTTACCTCCGACAATCGGATTCGCGGGGTTAAACTTGCCCAGGAACTTGCCCAGGTGGGATGGTGGGATGGTGGAATGTCACTTAGGTGGGGTCCTTACAGGGGTTTAATGTCAGCTTATTCATCAACCTGCTACATATCCATCAATGCTTACGTCTTGCCAGTTGATCTATCAGATTCAGATTCACTCACGTCAAAATTTTGAGAGGGCAACTGTCTTGTTACTGATCAAGCTTATATTTGTGAACGAAACTCTTTCTGGCTTTCTGATTTGAATTATATGGAAAGCGGGATTGGCTCAATCTTTGTTCTTACGGAGTATCTTTAACACCAATGACTCCTTTGCTCCCTAATTCTTTGACCTCCAATTCAACCAATTCAACCAGTCAAGGATAGGAATATGTCCTATCGACTAGACCACCAAACCTTCACCAGGAACCCCGCCTTGGCACTATGTCAAGGCAAAGATCAACAGCCTTTCCAGAGCTCACCCCTGAATCTTGACCCATACTAAGCTTCCTAACTCGCCCGCCTCGCCAATATTTTGCAAACGCTCAAAACTCCCGAAAACCGCCAAGTCAACTAAGATACCGCATGAGTAGGTAAATAATCCCAATATGCCCGGCTATCCGAGAACTTTATCATCCCGTCTCCGCAAAGAGTTTCGTCTTCACGCCAAGATGTTGAATACAGGAACCGAGTGAGTCGGACTTTAGCTTGTCCCTTTGCCCAGGTTGTGCTCCCTTGTGTCGTGGCCCACTGAATCATTTCATGGCCATCGATTTGTTGCATATAATGTGTTGTTGGTTTAGTTAGGGTACGAAGTCGTAACCCAGGTCCAGAACCAGGTGTCCGACTCGGTTGTCATGGGGTTCGCGGGAGCGGTAGGATCCATATTAGAATTGGGGTTTGATATTGCTGCTAATGAGATTCCTTTTGTGTTCGCCCGAGTTGCTGTTATAACAACTGCCGTATGCGATCGTACGAACGTAGGTTTCTCCGAGTGTGATCTCGAGATTTCGTTGATTTTCTAGCTTAATCGGAGACTAGCTCGGTGTCCTTGTTTATATAGATGTATTTTTGCACAAGTAACGGGTACTGGTATATGAGAGCGCACTCCTCGCAATTAACGGAAGTCCGGACGCAATATTGGAGTAAGATTGATGTTTTTGGGACCCTGGATCGACTATTGATTCTCCGCCTTCAGGTGCCGGCACCACGCAAGAAGTTCCCTATTAAATCAAGTACTGAAGTAGGTCTTGTGTTCAACAACTCTGGAGGACAGGAGGAGGCGGGGTTTTCTTATATATCCGGCGTGGGACGTCTGTCAATGACGTTCACGCCCAACTGTTGGATTTCCAATTATTTCGGAGCCAACGTTCGGAACTCCGCCGAACCAGGAAATGTGCAGCATTACCGGTTCCTTTCCACGTTCCCCGACCACCAGCCCGCCCTCCCAAACGCGCTCTCGGCCGAAAAGAGAAATCTGGGGTAGATACAATTGGAGTTGCGTTCCCCCTATACTTCTTACACGTAATAGTAGATGCCTGACTTTTCAACGACCAGCCCAATCAAGCCGAACGGTGTGGCGCCATTGGCAAGTTGCCGACGCGCCAATGTAGGTGGTTGACGATCGCTACGCTTCGGGGGGTTTCATTTTCACATGGATATCGCATGATTGTGCGGAGTTTCCACCCGCCGAGCCACCTCAGCTCCGCGTTACCACACCTCCCTGAGCGGACGCAATACACGGAGGAAGATGGCCCCATCTCGGTGATCTGCCTGATCTGACCTTATGAGGGCGAGATAACCACATGGTTAGGAACTGTTCGCTATACCCTCCCCTCCGCGGGGCCGTTCCGAGCGCCAGATTATGCATGATTCTAGATCTATGCCGGCATCTAAGATAGCTACCCCGGTCGTCTGATTCTCACATGTCTCTCTTCAGAAATCTCAAACATGTTTGGTCCACCACCTTATTAAGTTATCGCGATGGTACAATATTTATCACTTTTATTATATGTATGTATGTAGGATGGCGAGGCCAATCTGCTGATTACGCAATCAGCATCGAGCCACCGTGAAACACCTTGGTTACGCTGCACTCGCTTGACACTATGGGTAGTATCAATCTGCCAGTGTCCTCAATATCCCGTATGATTCGGTTATGCATCTTTTATTGATTTGCTATCGTTTCGAACATATCTCATATCACCACAACATCATATCAACTTTATCGTGCAATATGACCACCATTCAAGATGGTACGACGACGACGACGAGATGTGGAAACAGAACAGGCCAACTTCTCGTACTCCACGCACATTGATCCACAATTGATTCGATACGACTGTCAGTTATACCTGAAATAATAAGACGATGGAATATCTAGAACCACACTGGCCGGTAGGCTTGTGGATGTCGATGTTTGACCCAGATACAACAGAACACACATTAACACCAAACTGCTCAACCCATCTATTTGACTTTATTGGACCTTTGAGTGTATCGATTTCAATTACTGCTATACCTGGGTAAGTAGTTAGGTATGCGACGTCGAAGACGAGAAACCCCTGTATAATGTTAGTATGTACGATAGTCATGGAAGTGAGGCAGGTTTATCCTCTATTTGCTAAGACCGAGAACAGGAACAAAATATATATACTACTGCAATAGCTATAGCTTTCACGTACGACCATAGAAGTTAGAAAGCTCGGGATCCCGTCCGCTCTCCCATAGATAAGCTGACTATCGCTGGACTAGTAGTTGGGTCGGTGACGACCAGCGAATCCCCAGTGTTGTACGTTTTATTTTGTTTTTTGTCATTTTTGAGGTAGGATCGGACTATGGCGTACCATGATCACGCAGCCGTTTCTACCCCAACATTATGGGTACTAGTCGTATGAGTTGGCGAAGATATCGTATGGTTTCTATGTTTTTCTGCGTCTTAACTATCTAATTCTCCGAGAACTCGAAACGAAAACGCCATCAGACAAAGTATAACATATCGTATCAACCACCAACTTAAAGTAGCAGCACAGGAAGATATAATGTCAGAAGACTTGATTGATTGGGAGATTTTCCTCTTTCATACACCTTCTCTTGTGGCTGGCCCGCACGAATGAACGTTGGGATTGCCCTCTCTATGTACATGACAATCTAAACCTCCGGTATCTTCAACCAAAATCAATGTTCATTAACCTATCCAAGCGTCATCCCATCGTAGCAACCGGCGCCTAAACCAATTTTGTAATCCGAACCATTTCTATCCCGCCCCCTCCTAATGAAAAGAAAAATATCCCTTTGCTTGTCGACGGGTTATAGTACAGATCTAAAGCGGGCTCGGCTAGAAAGTAGAAAATTTAGAGCCTTCCAACTAACCGACATCTTTTTGATGCGAAACTCCCTAGTTTTGGTACAGGACCCTAAGGGAGAAATCTCTGTTTGGGTTATGAAAGAGATATACGAATTACCCTCCTTGCTCAATACACTTGAGGTACTAAGTCGCATATAACGCCATGTCCGTTTAAAATCATACGCACCCCATAATACCGACCAGCTACCACAATGCCGAGCATATCTGCTCTAGTGTAGAAGCCGCAATAAACCGCCTCCCCTTCTATGGAAGTCCAGCTAGCTTTTGTAGTGTGACAAGAACACCTGCGGTTATTATTAGTATAACTTGAAGATGGAGAGCATGGTGCGTGGCAACTTACCGCTAACTCCCTGAGTCAGTGTAGAGGTAGCCTCGGTATTTCGGCTACCTAAGCTCACAGTGACAACTTCCTTTACCCCGCCATCCCCCCTAATGTTATTAGCCCACTTGAAGACTTTCTCATCCTCACGGCCGTCGCCAATAACCATGAGGAAGTCTACAGGGTTCTCTTCAGATTCCTGGGCGTGCTTGATCATGTCGTCGTAGACTTGGACGGCGGCAGTCTCCTTCGTCCAGTCGATTGATTCGACCACGACACAGTTATCCAACTGTGTTGCATGAACTCGCTGCTCTTCACAAGATTCATTTATGTGTCCAGTCCAATCACTTGCTTGGCGTTCAGCATTGGCGTAGTCGTCGGCATGCTTGTAATGGAAAATCAGTGAGCAGTTGCGATCCTCGATGTCCGATCCGGGAGTGCGCTCAAGGTAGTACTGAAGTATTCCCCTCACCGATTCTTTCCATGCGGTGACTCTGTTGTGATCCGCTATCTCTGTCCAAGTACTCTTGCCGCAAGTCTTGATGAAGCAACCGTTTTCAGCTATGAGACCCAGATTAGGAACTAACCGGAAGAGGCGATCGAGCTCTTCTGGCCGGCGTCCAGACATGACATATACAGTATTTCGAGTATCCTCAACCAGGTCATTCAAAATATCTAAGGTACGCTAATGACTTGTCAGCATTTCCCATATTTAGTTAAGATGTAATTGATGAGACCTACCTGTGGATTCATGGGGATGATTTCATTCATCGGGCCGTAGGGGATTAGGGTGCCTTCTAGGTCGAGGAAGAAGAGTCGGTGTTGGCTTTGAGAATATCGTTGGCCCAAGGTGTTTAGATTCAGTCGAGGGACAGATGTTTGATCATGACGGTGTTGCTCCTCGTAGACTTGGTTGAGAGTAGACAGAAATTTAGAAAACCAATGGCTTCCAGTATGGTGGCTCACAATTTCACGAAGCGCGTTCCACCGTTCAGTTTTCTCCTCGGTTGACATTTCAAGAGCCTGTTTGATAGCGTCGGAACATTGCCGATAGCTCCACGGATTGACGGTCAATTCCTTGTTGCCAAATAGTGACGAGGTCCCAGTGAACTCCGATAGAATGAGAGATCCATGCCTTTTCTCTGAGTATTTGCCGTCCTGACAAACGATGAATTCGTGGGATGTGAGATTCATACCCTCGCGTTGGCTAGTGATCATAAGCGCATCTGCAATAGTCAACAGGGCAAGATATTGAGGGTATGGGATATCTTGCTTCAGATAGACAAGAGGCAGATAAGCGAGGTTGGCCCAGTTTGAATTCACCCTGGTGACAATGTCACCCACAGCAGCATCAAGATCCGTTTTCTCGCCAGTAGATAATGCAACCTGGATCAGAACGACCTTATCTCTCCATTGAGGATTCTTGTTAAGAAACAGCTCATAGGAAAGAAGCTTCTGCCGGACTCCACGAACATGGTCAAGCTTGTCACGAGCGACAATAATCTTCTTATCCTTGTATCGGTCTCGCATGATCTCAATCCACCTCATCACCTCCTCATCCTGGCGATGGGCGTTAAGATTGACGGGATCAATACCAATAGCATGATTCATGACATTCACGAACCGATCCTCCAATTGGACACCCTCTGGTGTTGCTTCTACTGAAAGGAGGCGACTGCACGTCTGAAGGAAGTGACGCGTATATTCGTGGATCTGAAAACCGATGAGGTTCGCGCCAAGCATACCTTCAAGTAGCTGCTTCCGGACGGCAAGGCATCGGAAGACCTCCGACGAGGGGAAGGCCACATGAAGGAATAGGCCTATTTTCGCATCTGGAAGCTTCTTGCGGATCATTCCGGGTACCAATAGTAGGTGATAGTCGTGAACCCATATCGTATCACCTCTTTTCCAATTCTTCACGATCTTGTCTGCAAATGCTTGGTTGAGATTAACGTAGAACTGCCAAGAATGGTCTTCGTATGCCTTGCTCTTCGGGTTATCCGGGATTTGGTAGTGGAAGACAGGCCAGAGAATTTGCTTGCAGAAGTGTAGATAGTGTCCGTCGAAATCCTTATCCGAGCAGAATACGGGATACATATTGAATTCGGTCACGAATCGATCATTAATGTCTTCCTTCTGCTGGGTTCCTTTAAGCGCGTCCGTGGGCATGCCCAGAGTGCCCACCCAAGAGTACTCTTCGCCATGACCATCGCGAGCAGCTGCGTCGGCCGCATTACGAAGGCCACCATTGCCTTGGTCGGCATTCACTATACGCCAATTGGCATGTGCAAAAACTCTGTCGTGACTGTCGCTTCGGCTCGCTCGAGGTTGGAGGACTCCTTGTCGGCCAAGCTCCCTAGCCTTTTCCAAAGTCCTAGCATGCTCCAGGAGAGAGGCTGGAGGGGGTGAATTTGCTCGGGATTTCGGCTGGTTCGCCCGACCACCCCATTTTGGCGACTCTTTATCGGCGGGGGCCCTAAATTCCTCGTCGTCCGATACGTTTAGCACACGCAAGCCGTCTTCGTTTAGAAACAGTCCATCGTCGAGGTAGCTATCTTGCTCTTCGGGTGTTCTGGGAGGGGTGATAGCGGGGTGGGGAAAGAGGCTAGTGCGAAGCTCGAGAGGGGGTCGTTTCGACGCTTTCTTATTATTCTGCCGATGGCTTTGGCGCTCACTAGCTGGAGGCGCATCCGGCAGCTTGAAGTAGACAGTTTTGGGTAGAAACCTAAACAGAGGAAACGTTAGACGAAGCTCAGAACAATGGAAGATGCCCCAAGCAGGCCCCAAGCAGAATAGTTGGATTGAGATTCCACTTTGGTGCACGTTTCTCATGCAAGTTGGTCGAAGCTCCCACCATAGGACCAGGGCAAAGAACAAATTAGATCCCAGCCGCTCGATCTAGTACCAATATAAAACTATACATATATTGGCACGAATAACGCCCAAGCGTTTGAATGGTCCGGCTTTCAACGTACAGCAATGGAAGTGGGATTGCAATTAGAAGATATAGACTAAGAAGACTTACAAGGAAGCTAGAAAGATAGTCATTGTAGGAAAGAGTCGGGTTTAGCGTAGTTGAGTATGGTTGTGTGAAGGTCGATATCGGCACGAACCCGACTATAATTGCTAGGGCAATTTGATATTAAACGGTAATTGTAAAATTGCAAGTTCATAGGAAAGAATTGAATGTTTTTGTAGAGATGGTTATGTATTAGGTGATCCGTGATCCGTGATCCGAGTACCGTGTGTGTATCGTGTTTGGAGATATGAGTTAGTAGCTAAGGTTGCTTCGAATCGCCCTCAGCTCAGAGTCCAGATGGGAAAAAAAAGTTTGAGATCGGACGTCCTTTAAAAGTCGGGTGATTGAACGGCGGAGAGGAACGGAAGCTAACCGGATACTACCGGGACGGGTTAGCCAGAAAAATATTATTGGTTTTATCGGGTTATGATAGGTAAAAGTGACGCAAAGGGTATAAAATCCTCACGAGCAACGAGCTTTAGCCAGCATATTAAAGCTGGGTAAGCTGAGGAGCAGTTGGATCAAATTGATGTCAGTGAGTTGTATTCAATTGGGGACTAAATTTGGGTACATATTGTACCTACAGTAGAAAGTCAATTCTTTACTAGGATAACACCTGCAGAACCTTCCACGCGCTAATGAATTGTGCGACCAGTGACGTACTAGAAAGGTAAAAAATAACTACGAATACCTCTTTAGCTTGTAACCCTTTTCGAGCCAACCCCGTGCCTACCTACACACATACTGTTTCCAGTTTGCCTAACGGCGGAGCTTAGTTCCTCAGCAGGGTTTTACGGTTATCACTAGCGGGTCTCAGTGCAGCTATCGTCAATGGATCTGAACCTTGGAAGCTCTCCAGGGCCTCTTTCCAGCCGTCCCACCGTTACACTAGACAAACTAAGAAACATCGAAGCTGACGCAGGTCATCCCTCTCACCAGTTCTTCTATTTTTGACGTAGTATTTTAGGTTGTACACAGGAGAAATAGCTCCTTTCAACGACGTCAGTTACTAAACATCAAGAATATTCGTATGACTTGATCCAAGTATTCTACGTCAATATTCGTTTCGAACAACATTGAATTTAATTTGGATTTGAACCGAATGTTCCAAGGACATTTTGCTCCGAATATAAGGCTCGGATCAAAACAGCGAAGAGGCTGGTGGGCTGGGCGACCTGGACGACTTGACAAAAGGATCACAGCCCTATGTGGGAGATCGAGCTTTCTAGGAAGTTCCCTACTTACCGATCCAGCGATCTAGCCTATTTCTTTCCTACTTTGATTTTGCCATGGAGGATTTGGTCCGAAGCTAACGCGTGCGACCTCGAAAACCCACACACTCTAACACTTTAAAGGTGAAGTTCTAATAAGCTTGGCCAAGTCGATTAAGTGAATTGAGTCCTTTCTCGCCGAACTCATATCTCAAGAATAGACGGGAACTTTCCATCCAAAGAAGGATGTAACTCAGAACAATCATCTCAAGGCCGAACTTTTACGACCGCATCCTATCACAACGGATGCCGGGATTCCCGTCGATTTTCCTGCATAATCTGGCTTCTTTATTTTTCTCCCCACTCAGAGAGAACTCCGCAGTTTCAGCGGCGCGTTTCTCGTTTCCATTCGTTTCTCTCCTGCGGCTGGCTTGATGGCATCTCTGTAAATTATTCTTCAGAGTCCGAGCACATTGTCCCTCCGAGACGTCCCATTGGTTGCTTCATACCTTTACCGGCACGGGCCATTAGTGAGCGACCGGTTTTCCCCGCAATGCAACCTGTTCGGTCGGGTCTTTGCGGATAAATTCCAAAGAGGTGATAGCTTCAAAACTCACCAAATATCCTAATTCTCCTAGCTAGAGGTTTCGTCAGCTACCTGTCACTGTAGCTAGGTCCTTCAATATCCCCAATCACAAGCGATATTACTCACCAGCGAGGAAGGATTCAAGCCAGCCAGACCGGCGGAATACCAAGGTAATTGGCCGTCTTAGCCTACCGAAGCTATGATGCATTAATACCTAAATTAAGATCGATCAAGCCGCACCTGTCGCGAATTCATCGAAAATTCCATCTCAAATCACTACGCGTGTCCCGAAAAGCGATAACTGGAATTAGCCAGCCTTGGACCTCACGGGGAGCCTAGAACCTTCCAACACATGTAAAACCATGCAGAGTCGATGCGGCTTCCTTGGAACGGCAACTCCTTGATGCCCAAGAAGCCTCAGAGAAGCTCACATGCTTGTACGGCCTGCCCATAGCCCGGGTCCCCGAATAGATTGACCTGCAGGGGAATGCAAAATTTTTTGATATGTTGCGCTAATTGGCTCACACCCTCAACTTTCTTCGTAGCTTTTAGTCTCGACTAACTGAATGACAGCACTCATGCATATATGCTCGTTACTTAATGCGCAATTGTGAGAAGAAACTCGCAATTTTGGAAGAACGCGCATACGGGCCGGGCCCTGTTCTGGTCACACGGCAAACAGTAGATCGCTGGCAATTGCTGGATTCTGCATTGCCTGCCCCATTTACAGCTACTACCAAGAGTGAGTACACGATCCCGGACGCTAAGGAGAGCTTCACCTATGTGGAGTTTAGGTATTGGCTCAATAGATACGGGAACCCTCTAAGTTAATATTTAGTCCTATGAGTTCTTCTGGATAGTGCGGCTCGGCTGTAGAGACAACGAGGTGTTTCCAAATTCCGACAAGAGTACTGACCGAGTACTTGGAAGAGTTCGAAGCATGAAAGGATGTTGCATCCTTGGCGTGTGATGTCTCGACCAGTCCATCAGGTTGTCTGGTCGAGTTTCCACTCGATTTCCATACTTACTAGCCCGTCCGGTATCCCAACGAACCGCATATATCGTAATTTACCCCGCCTTTGGTTGTTAGCTTGTGCGGAGGCTTGCATGATTCTCTCGCGGCACCACTCAGCACATGCTCCCTCGATTTCCCTCATCTGGTAGACTAGTTAAGCGCGTTCGAAGGAAATAAGCGCTTGGCTATACACGTCGAGAAATACCTAGTAACATACCACCGTCGCGTCTGCGCTGTTATAGCGATAGCCTAACACGAATCTCGCGAGTCAGTCATCATCTGTTGCTTCTCTCCCTAGATAATCGCCTGTGTGATAACATGGCGACTTGACCTTAATATGACCGAATCTATCGACTCGGGTACACTCCCGATGTGGCACGGTTTTATGGCCGTTCAAAACTTATGCAGGAACGGCCCGCATTTCGCGTGCCACTTCACTGGATCAAACTATTACTACTAACGCTCGATGTCGGAGCAGTTGGGGGTCATGAAGTTACCCACGTAACTTTCTAAATACATGAACCCATGTGGGTTACACACGTGGTTCATGTTCCTTTCAACCCTTTTTCGGGTATTGTTTCGTATACCAATTTCTAAAGCTCCATCCCGTCACTATGATGAGAAGTTGCCATTAGATTACATATCTACGAGGGAATCTGTATGTAACGTTATGTAGTCGTAGTGTCCAGAACGATCCAGCTTCCAAGGTGGTGGAGCCCGGCAATGAGTTTACAATGAGCTTATCTCGACTCAGCTCTGAAACTTCATTTTCCCATCAATTTCGCCAGAGCCGGACAGCTTTGTCTTTTCCTCCGGACCCAACGAGCCGGCCATCCAAGGACCAATCTAACGCATACACCTCGTCTTCATGGCCGGGTAAATCGACCGATAACTTGAAAGATCGCATGTCCCATACTTTCAGAGTAGTATCCCTCGACCCAGAACAGAGAAGGCGCTGATAATCACATGTTAGCTCTTGGAGGGGAAAACATCGCAAAGTGTGCCCGAGATAAGTTCTCGTCCAATAATCCTGCTTGATTCTCCGCAAGAGATTGAAATACCCAAGGGTGTGGTTACTTACCGAATCGGCCGAGAAAGCACATTGGTATACCGGTGCAACCTATGGAAGGTTAGCAGTTGAGTCATATCTCGCCGACCCCAATAAAACCATCGAGATGCCGCATAGGGCACCATGTCGATGATGGGGCTAAGTTGAGATCATGGCGACTTACATGTCCTCGCAGTGTCGTCAGAAATTTCCCGTCGCTGCTTGTCATATTAGCAACCATCTGGAGAGGTACGTGCCTTGGGACAGCTTTTCAATCCTGCATATGGAGATAAGATATCGATGACTTACCGGCCCCATATCTTGATGTGGTTATCCCAGCCAGCGCTAGCAATCAAGTTCCCATCTGGGGAGAATGAAACATGATTCACTTGTTTCTGGTGGCCTAAAAGACGTGCCAGAGGCTTCGTCCCCTGAGCTGGATCCCAGAGATACATCGTGAAGTCGTCGCTGGCGGAGATAACCCGTTCGGCTATCCTACCTTGCTGTTTTGCAGCCTTCTCAAAACGTTCTTTCGCCTTCGCCCGCTTTTCCTCCGTAGTCCCCGGCACATTTTTTGTGTGGTCGTAGAACGCCGTCCGGAGCACAAAATCCGTAGAGAGCGCAAGGTGATTCACCCAATGGGCATGCGAGGACAACGTATGTTTCAGCGTCCCACTCACTGCATCCCAGACTTTGACAGTCTTGTCTTGGCTGGCACTGTAGATAAGATCCGTCCCGCCCCATCTAACGCAGCTAACACTACCCTACGTTTCCGTTAGTCCTTTTGCCGGCATCGACAACGTGAGTAATTTAAAACTCACTTTATGTCCGGACAGAACATGTTCTGTCTTGCCGGTATTCACGATCCATACGCGAATCGTGGCATCTTTGCTAGCGCTTGCTAATTTCGGCGTGTCGTCACGCCATAAATGGAATGGCTGCCACGCGATGTTCGTGATCCATTTAGAATGGCCATTAAACGGTCTGCCGACAGATTGCCCGGATTCGTCCCATATCCTAACAGTCTTGTCCATACTACCAGTAGCCAAATTTTGCCCATCTGGACTCCAGGCCAACGCCAAGACCCAACCCGAATGACCTTTGAGGGTGTACTTCGGCGTCCCGCTATCTGTATTCCATATTCTCGCCGTGTTATCGCCGGATCCAGTAGCTAATAGACTGCTAGTCTTAGGCGAGAACTGCGCTGCTAAGATGGCTTCTCCGTGCCCCGGTATCCTATTGGACATGCGTGTCACGGCTTGTACTTTGAATACTGCCTGGGGCTCGGCGGCTAAGGTTATAGTTGTCTCGAAAGGATTCTCGATACCATGTTTACGGAGGACTGCTAGGAATTCCGAGGGCGTCGGGTAGTTATCGACGATCACGTCTGAATTGGGTATATGTATGCGAAAGCGATATGGCGTGAACTCTTCGCGTTCCTACGAAACGACAATGCTTTAGTATATGCTATGATTGAAGCGCAAGATCTAGAATGAATATCGTACCCTTCCCAACAAAGTATTGAGTAACAAAGACACGTTTTTCTCGGTCGCGTCTGCTAGGGGTACTTCTATCGTATCGGCTAGTTGGTTTCCGTCGTTGTCTACGAATCGCGCTTTGAAAGAACCGGCTTCGATGACCGGAGGTGTGACATCTTGTTGGATCTGAGTGCGCTCTAGAGCTTCGCGTCGCTGTCGCTTTGAAGGCGGCGGGGCTATGGTAGCCATGGTATGGGGATCTTCGCTTTTTTTTAAAATTCGCGAGTTGTAGTTAGCGACTATGTTTTAAGAATTGAGAATAAGGTAGTTCGTATTTAGAAAGTTCTACACAAATAGACGAATAGACCAGCTTTTCTCGTTAACTCGATTACAACTTCGCGGGGTGGATGAAGGAAGAATACTAAAAGTTGAAAATAATTTATCTTATCATTATCGTTATCTTATCGATATCCTTTCTAGGATTTGTTAAATGAGAACCTTGATGGCCTACAAGGATAGGTACCTAGCTGCAGGAACGAACCAGGTAGTCGTTGTAACCTTGTAAGCCATCACCTGCAACTCTTCTTCAAAGCTTACCCAGGCGTAGGAGTTGCATCCAAGCTCTCTAACTTGGAGGTAGGTGCCTCTAAAGTCAATTGAATCAAGCTTTTCAAAATGTTCAAATTAAATACCAAACTTTCATTTCTCTTGTTGATTTATATTATATAGATGTTTATAAATTTCATTTAAGACTGCGAGTCTCCGCCAACTCCAAAAGCTAGGTACAATCTCAATTCATCTCATGTAATCATCAATGCCGTATTAAGTGTCTGAAAAGACTTCTACGATGGAACTCATCCCTAGTTCTCGAAGACCTCCGGAATCTTCAAGCAGAGAAACCTCTTCTCGTCCACAACGAAATAGTACTCTGGGACATTCCGTTTCTCGCACTACATCTTCTACTCCTCATCCACAAGGTCTTCTACACCATGCTCCACTGAGACCGAGCACCTCGGCCAGCCAACTTACATTTACTTCGTATAGCGGCAGCCGCTCAGCAACAAGTTTGTCGCACTCAAATCCTTCGAGGCAGCGGCGTCATACAAGTACTACTTCGGGGCGTAAATCTCGTGCTGCCTCATCTGTCTGGGGTTCCGAATCGCACGAGATCATTTGCGCTGTCACTGAAGCTCGTGGCGTATCCCCAACTGTTGGTCTTGCTTTCATCAACATCACTACAGATGAAGCTATTCTAAGCCAGATATGTGACTCTCAATTCTATGTCAAGACGGTTCATAAGATACAGATGTATGAGCCGTCTACAATCCTAATGGTCAAGACAGCGTTTCCTCCACACCCTAAATCTAGCCTACTCTCAATCATAGAGGAAGAACTTCCGGACACAACAATCGAACCTCTTGACCGCAGGTACTGGTCCGAAAATGCCGGCCTCGAGTTCATCCAGAATCTGGCATTCAGAGAAGACTTGGAAGCGATCAAGGTAGCAATTGAAGGCAACTTCTACGCCACATGCTCATTCGCTGCGGTAAGGACTACCCCCAGGTGTTCTCTCGTTTCATTTCCTCATTACCAATAGGTTATTAAGTATGTAGAGCTCTCCTGTCGCGTATCAATCGCGTCCCACTCGTTACGGGTCAGCTATCGACCATCCGAGAATACTATGATGATTGATATTTCCACCATTCACTCTCTCGAACTCATACAGAACCTCCAAAATGCGAAATCCAAGGATTGTCTCTTCGGCCTCTTGAATGAGACTCTTACTCCTATGGGTTCAAGGATGCTACGAAGCAACATACTTCAACCCTCTTGCCAAGTTGATAACACCCTTGCTCCCCGTTACGATGCTCTGGATGAACTTACTGCAAAAGAAGACATGTTCTTCGAAATACGAAAGGGTAAAATTTGATGCATTTGTCGTCGTACCTGTTTCTGACCTGGTATAGCTCTCAAGGGGTTTGTAGATATGGAAAAACTTCTGACTTCGGTAAGCCAGCTGGCCTCCGCTTTCCGCTTTTAGCTAACGACATGATGAAGCTTGTTATCGTGCCCGAGCAATCATCGATCTACATCTCAGAACAGGCCATTAATAACATCCTAGGCGTTAAGACCTTCATCACTGCTGTGCCTACTTTGTATGAGGCACTGGGTGCTGCGCGTACAGACTTACTAACTAGAATCCGTGGAATATGCCGCCCGGAGCTCACTCAACCCGTCGCAGATCTTATCGCAGACACAATCAATGAAGACGTGACGGCAACGAAATCAGCTCTCGATATGAGAAACCAGAGAACATATGCAGTCAAGGTGAATATCCCCTCAATTGATTGATTACCACCTGAAGACTAATTTTTTTTCGAAAGTCCGGGGTTCATGGTCTGTTGGACGTTGCTCGTCAGACGTATAAGGAGGCAACAGACGATGTCTATCAACATGTCGAAGACATAAACCGTATGTTATCTTAGCTACCGCTTTTTTGAAGTATTTTTACAACTCTCGTTACAGGAGATCATGATGTCACTGCCGAGGTTCGGTATGATCCCAACCGCAAATTCTGGCTACGTCTTAGGCAGAGTGACTTCGAGGACAAGGATATCCCAGAGATTCTAATCAACAAAGTTCTCAAGGGTACCTGGATTGAATGCCAAACTTTAGTCTTAGTCCAACTCAACCATCGCATCACGGATTCTTCCAATGAGGCTATCATGCTCAGCGACAAAGTAGTCCAGGAACTCCTTGATGCGATTCGAACTCACGTACCAAATCTCTTCCGCGTATGCGAAAGCATTGCGCTTTTAGATATGATTGCAGCTTTTGGTCAGTCTGCTATGACAAGGGACTATGTGAGGCCCGAGATTGGGAGTGCTCTGGCTCTCAAAGGGGCAAGGCATCCTATTTGCGAACGTGTAAGCTAGATCTAGGCCAACTATGGGTCTTTGAATTAACAGCTTTTAGATTAACCCGGAACGATTTGTTCCCAATGACGTCTTCGCTAACGAGCAACATCGATTCCAAATCATCACCGGCTGTAACATGAGCGGCAAAAGCACTTACATTCGAATGATCCCACTCCTTCAAGTAATGGCGCAGATCGGCTGTTTTGTACCAGCACAGTACGCGGTTTTTCCAGTGATACAACAGCTTTTCGTGAGGATGTCTACAGATGACAGCATTGAAGCCAACATGTCCACCTTCTCACTTGAAATGAGAGAAATGGCATTCATACTGAGGTAAATTAAATGATATTAGGCAATTTTCATTCTAATGCGATATTAGGAATATCAACGGAAAAAGCTTAGCCATCATTGATGAACTCGGCCGTGGTACCAGTACGAGAGATGGCCTAGCCATTGCACTGGCCATTTCTGAAGCTTTAATTCAAAGTGATTCTTTGGTATGGTTTGCAACCCACTTTCAACAGCTTGGTAAGTTACTCGATGCAATCATGTTTAGCATATCACTTAAATTGTGAATAGCGAAGGTGTTGGGGAGTAGACCAGGGGTTCTAAATCTGCACCTTGCCACAGAGACCCAAGACATGGATGAGGGCAATCCAAAGATGACTATGCTGTACAAGATTACTTCAGGACCTGTAGAGGAAGAACATTACGGTCTCAGTCTCGCACGTGCAATTGGGTTCCCGGAACGATTCGTCGAAGTCGCAGATAACGTGTCAAAAACGCTTACTGAGACAATCGAAAGGAAGAAACAAGATTCCCAGTCCAGAAAACTACTTCGGCGCCGAAAACTGATTCTCAACTTGCACGATACACTTCTCCAATTACGAGAATCCGACATGGATGATGCCGCCTTGGGCAGCTATCTTAAAAGACTCCAAGACGAGTTTGTGTCAAGAATGGATGAAATTGAACGCGACAGACCAACCGACGAAGAATCATTGTGAATATTAGAGAAAGTCGGAGTATCCAAGAAAGCGGAGATTGCTCGAATATTTTTTCCCTTACCTACTGCTCGGGGTTAAGCTTTGATTATACCACATTTGCAAGCTTCTCGGATCTAGCTTCATCTAAATTCTACGGCCGATGCTATCCAACGCTCCACTATCGTAAGTGTTGCCAACTGATGTAAGGGACGCACCGCTAATACGATACTAATCACAAGTCTCAATAGTGTGAGAGGAGTAAGATATCATTAATACGTAAGTCCATTTCAGAATCGGGCCGCGAAATACTTTATAGGCGGTATGGTAACTTGAACCTCGCATATCCCATTAACCAGTTCGGCATCCCCATGGAGAAGGAAGTAATTTCTATTCACATCACCACCTTCTAGCACGTAAGAATGAGGCTTCCGAACTTAGACACCAGATGTCACTTCAATAATTGATGTCAATTAAGTGACGTTACATGTTTGTCTACATGTTGAAGTCCTCACCAGGATTCGCTCCGTTTATGTGGTTAGGATTCGTCTCATTATACCAATAGTAATAGGCATCGCTTTGATGTCGTTCCTTCACCGTCGGATGTAAGGACTTCTTCATTCTCTGGACGTACTTGTCCAGGTCGAGCCCGTTTTCTCTGCGGAATTTTGTGAGTTTCTCAAAATTGATACATTGCCGGTTGATCGACCTGCATCCGAGATGTTTGTTAGATTCTTAAGTCGGGTACGTCAAGCCGCAATTACGTATTTGTATGCTTACATATCAGGTTGAGGGTATTCCTGCCCCGCAACCCAGTGGTACGTCATGAAATTGACGTTGCCACTGCACTGCAGCGCTTGTAAGAGGATGTCAACGCAGTGGTTGATATGTATCTCGTGTAGGCCCATGACGGAATGGTTGAGCATCTTCAGATGATAGTAGCCACTATATGCAGTACGGCGCAAAGCATTCAGGCAATGGATCTGGTGGTACACGTCAAACGCGCCGACATAAGCGTCGTCGCCTAGTCCCCACTCGGAATTCTCTAACTTCGGAACGGTGGATGGATCCTTACCCATCCGGATGATGTCGTCTTGTGTCAAGGGATAAAAGCGACTCAGTTCCCATTCGTCCCATAGCTCGTCAGCGGCTGGGTTAGGCAGCTCTCGCGCGATCGAGGCTCCTTGCTTAGCCGGAAATAGCGTGCCTTGGACGATCTTAGGTTTCATCTCCAGGTCTACCCTCTCGAAGACCGGGCCTATGCTTGCGCTTTAGCGACTGCATTCATTGCAGCGACGGCTGACTCTTACTGTGAGTAGATGCTTGCCGTAGCTCGGCATTGAGCCGATTTCTCTGACCTCGCGCCGCGGAGAAGAGCGCAAGGGATATCGAGAATAAGACAATGTTTATGATTGTTAATAGTATGGCGACGCTTATCCGTAAACGGCACCGATTCGGCCCTTTCCGGAGCTCTGGCTTCTCGCGTAATAACCTCTCAGCCTCCTCGTCTTGTTCTTCCATGGTGAAGGAAGAGGAAGGCGATAAGGCGAATTCGATCGATTTGTCTGGCTTTAGAGGGAGTTCGGGGGAATACGTGAGTTTTGAAGCCATACTCAATATACGTATCGACCCCGCCAGGAAGGTGTGATAAGTCCTACTCGTTTTACCAACATACGTGTTAGGACGACTTTGCATGACCTCCGACGGCCGAAACTATGTTGGAAACATTCGGAAGGGGCACAATCATAATCGGCGACCTTCTTGGATGTTGCAAGCGCGTAGAAAATATGGATTGATCTGGACGGTCTGTCCTAATAAATATCCCAGGTCGATCATACGGCGAAGACCCGATAAGGCCCCCTTTTACGAATACCCACTTTTCTAGGTGACATGGTGAGGATTGCCAGCGACGCACGTCTTTTTAAGCTATACAGGCTTCCAGGTTCTCCAGATACCCATCATTCAGGCTTGGGGCGTTTAGATCGACGAGTGGAATGGTGGGTTTTATCTAGATCTATGTCCAGTGTCATAATCCCAAATGGGACATTCTCGGGTCTGTAAGTGCAAGGGTGATACCTGTTGGGCTGGGCTGGCTCGGGCCAACCGGTCTATCATATTGTGTATTGGATCTCCAAAGGAAACGAACTGTTTGTTGGTAGCGGGGTTGTGTATCAGGCCGACCCGTTGGTGAGTGTAGTCCGGGCCCGAATTATCATGCGAAACAACCCGGGTGATCGGCTTACCTCCCCAAAGGTATCGACCGATAATTGGCCAGGTTATGCGAAATTCCCGCCGCAAGTAAAGATGATTTGAGATTGAGGTTACTTCGTCAGACGTATTAGGTATACTCGAAGCAACGTTCCCAGGGCGCAGGCAACGCAAACAAGGGATAAGTTGACGGCTCACGCCCACGTGAGCGAGCTAACACTGCATGTATCGTTCGCTTTAACATGTCTACATAGTATTTCCCTGGAGATTGATCTCCGTTACTCTTACGGGAAGGTGCGCGAATAGAACGCTAGATCACGTCGTCAACCATTGACTAAAACCCCTTGTCTAGACACGGAAGCAGAAGGGATCGACGTTGGTTAGTTCTGTCAAGGGGAACATAGCCGTGCTGCCGGGTGCGCCGGTTACATTGCCAATTCCATGGCACCGACAGTAAGGCTTAACGATGTTGGGTCCATCGGACTGTACATATGTCGATAGTATGCTTCGATTATAAGCTTGGGCGGCCCGCACATTATCTCAACTCTCAACTCACAATATTAACCCAGAATTCTGTCACGGCATAAATATTCTACATTAGGTCATTCATTACTTTTCAACCATCACCGTCCCATCTGTCTAGTCGCTCAATTCTTTCAACAAGCTCTATCAAAAATGCGTGTATCAGCAATCTTCTTCGCCGGCCTCGCCACCATTACATTGGCGGCCCCTGTTGAGGTAAGCCCAATAAAGCATGCATTGCTTGAAGTTTGAATATCAATCTGACTCTTGATATCTAGGTTATGTCTGAGTTAGCTGAGCGCCAATACAGACCTACATACAAGGTCCATGCAGCACTTGAAGGGAAGGAGAGCGAGGTAGAGAAGCGCCAATATGAACCTATCGAGAAAGAGATCAAGGAGATCGCCGTGTAGGAGTGCCCACATCGGCCCTTCCATACGGTCTGCAAATCGCCCGATGGCCAGGACATCAAGCAAATGAGAAGAGAAAGAGGTTGATATGAGATTTATTATAGCTCAATATGACAAGCAAGGTGCGGAGGAGCACAACTTTTGAGATATCAGTATGATATATGTTAACTCATACATGCTTTGTTACTTTAATGCGAAGGTCTAGTTCAAAAGTTTCGCACATCCATGGATCTTCTCATGGGCCGAAACCGTATAAATTGGAACATGATCGCACCGTGTCGCGCCTGTCTTTAGTGACTGAGCTCCCTGAGCTATAGTGGCTCTCCACTGAAAGCTAGCGGACAAATCGTCATTAGGTTTGAATCTTAGCTCAAGGCTGACACAGTATTTGATGATTGATTACTCAGTCGCGCACTGGGCAAGGGACGTGGCTGACCTGCGACTCTCTTGACCTCACTCTCGATTTAAACCTTCATAGTGGCCTTGATAAATCGGACCACCATATGCCAATGTCGGGTAGGACCTCGCTGCCACTAAGTTAGGATCGTGAATTGGATAAGATCCATCATCAAACGGGATGGCGTTAAGCTCTTGATCTTCGGCGAACCATTCCTGTGGCGGCAGGTGTTTTCGCATGCACCACGTGAATCGCCGTCGAGCTTCTTTCGGCGCGAACGCGCCTTACCCGCAGAAGAAAAGAAGCCCGTCTATTGTCTTAGTATTATCGCAACTAGGAAATTCATCTGTAGTATATTTTTTTAATACGCCATCCTCTACGTCTACTCCTCTTTTTCACATTTCGTGCAGGTCCAGCATTCATAGGTATCGTAGTCGCACAGCTTATGGAGGAACTTCCCGCGTAGCTTCTCCTCGAGTCTGACGTTCGCAGAGACACATCACAGCCCCCCACTAACAGGGGCAGCGATTTGGTAATCTATGTGGCGGGTTTACGCGCAGGCACACCTTGCACTCCTCGCAGACGTTGATGCCGCATCTGAGGCAGGGAAGAGCGCCGGCTGCGTCGCATTTGACGGCCAAGGGTGTCACCTCGACTTCCTGATCGCTGAAGCCCCCTTTCCCCCACCGTTGAAAAAGAGAGGCATCCAGCCGACGCTGTAGCTCGCGCCCGTCGCAGAGGCAGCTGCGCCGGAGGGCTTCGAAGACGTTGGTCGAAGATAAGATGTACGCGTGGTAGTCGCGACACGTCAAGCCCAGGGAGAATAGGTCTAGGGTGGAGAGATAGTTCGCCGGGGACTCTAGGACCGGATACTGTTCAACAAGGTCTAACAGCACAGGATCTCAAGACGGGTAGGAATGTCAAAGTCTTTAAATGAAGAGTCCAAGATAGATTTTTAAGCGCGGGATGATAACTTCAAGCTTACATAAGAACTGGAAGTGGTGGTTTTTGATTAGGTAAGCAATGATCCCGTCTCATTACCTCCATGTCGATTTGATCGTAATGCCATGTGCCTACTACATGTTAATTACTACCTAGCAGAACTACTTGATATTCAAAATATCAGCTTTTAATTTCCAGTATGATCTATTAGATTTTTGCCCCCAATTATGAAACAGATTATAATCTAGAAGTTGTTGTTGGGGTAAGGGTTAAGGGTAGGATTGGAAATGAGGTCAGGGTTAGGGTTAGAGTTAACTTGCAAGACATCCGTCCATCTATATCCACACCTACGAGTTGCTTCCTTAGGCCATATTAAAGCGCCCTAGAATCCGACGAAAAGATTGGTTTGTCCACAACCGGCACATTATAGGCAAATTTTGAAAATCAGCATGGGAACAAGAGAACACTGCTCCAAACCATCTCCAAAATATAAGGACCGCCTCATAAGCAAGAGCTCTAAAATCCATCTTGGGTATTCAATCAATACGTAAAAGGCAGGAGCCTTGATAATGTCATACGAGCGAAGAACCATTACACCGGGTATGTCTCGGTTGAATCATCGTGGTTCGTGAGCTCTTATTGATTCTGGATTTTTTTCAGCTGTTCCTACATAAATATTGTCCGTGCAACAAGACCTAGGCAGGTAGAAACTGTCAACGGTTCATAGAAAGACCGACCTATATTTGCCGAGACAAGCATAAAGTTACCTACCTAGCTACATATCGATGAACCCGTGGGCCGGGTGCAGTCTCGGCTCGTGGTATCTATAGGTAAGGGGGCGTTGTAGGTCACGTTCAAAACGTCGAAATTCCATCCCAATGACTAAAAGCTGATTAATAAATCGTTATCCTCACACAGCCAATTACCTCTCGCATCACATCAAGAAAGCCGACATCCTTGAGAAGTTAATTTTTGTTGTTTGCTAATAAGACAGAATAGTACTCAAGTAATATCACTAGTTGTCGTGGGACTGAAGTACCGACAAAACAATATTTAGTTTATAACAAGAAGAATATTTCCGTAGTCGATGGGTTCTATTGAAATATAATTAGGTAATCCAAGTAGTACCTAAGATTAGGGGTGGTGCTTATGTAATACACATGCTCGAATTTTATATCTCAACTGGGACGGTAGTCGCCCGGAACTTTAGGTATTGACTGAATACTAGGTAGTTCCGATTCTCATTACGTAAGTCCTGGGGTTAATCGCATTCCGGATAATGAAGTACATTGGATGTGATATGTTTGCTAACTTTCGACTTAGGCAATTCGCTAACCCCCCTGAGCGTTGACTCCTCATTCAGGTTACCAGCGCACTGGGTCGATCACAGTGTATTCGGTCAGTATGAAATCATTTGATATGGCGTTCCGGAGTTACTGACTGCTTATGAGACAGCCGGGGCGGCTAGCAAGCGAGTTGCCGAACCGGAGTCCCGAACAGACGAGTCGACCTGAAACCCGGTTGCCAGACCCAGCACTGCTTTTCCAAAGCAGAAGCTTACCAGGAAAGCCTTCATCCGAAATTTTGCATTTAATTTTGCAACCTAATGCTACTTATTGATCGGATTTCCGAAACTACGATATGTACACTAATTACTGCGAACGCCATCAACCTTAAGGCTTCTCTTGTGCTTCGAATTAATACTTCTAATAGCACTTAGGACCCTCGTAGGGCTTGCACGGCTCTGGAATATTATGTCGGCGTTGACTCTCACTGAAACCGATCGGAATATCAAAATACACACCGATATCATATTATTTACTAAGTGAGCAAACATCCGCGTAATCATTGTTACACCTGGGATACTCCTCTATGATGACAGGAAGACGGGGTCCGAAGGATTTTAGGTATGGAGTGATCATCTGAACAGCATCTAAGTTCAATAAGCTGATTGGAAACTTGTGGGAGGTTGACGAAACCAGTGACTTCATATAATCAAGGACCATTTGTTTGGCGGCATTACCGACAAGAAATTATCTTCTAGCAACAGTGTACGAGTTTCGGAGGAAGATTCAGTTACGGGGAAACCTTTTAAGACATAGAATCCAGCTGTCAAGCTATGGGAAGATGCATAGTCATATGATTAGATTGATGATTCATGAGACGAAGATATTCCAGCCTTATAGTGCTAAAAAGGTAAGAGTTAGACGTTGTACTTTATATGCAATGCACGGGCACGGCATCACGGAGAATTAGGTAGTTAAAAGTCGATGAGGGCTAATTAAGTAGGTAGGTGTGTTTCACCGCAGAGTGCATACATAACAGATCACTGGCAAGTCCCGAATTTGGTGTTGCCTTCCCGATTTGGTAAATCCCAATCGCCATGATCGTGTTGATGCGACTCGAGTCCCACTCGAACGGAAAGGATTTAGAACCATGGCTGGGAAAAGGGCTTTGCATATTATAGCGTACCTATTTGCGATCGGTTGTAAGGAACGCCTGATATCATGAATAAACGGTTTCCCTGCCGCCTCCACACTTCTTCGGTACCGAATCTGAGTAAGCACCGTATGCCTTTTTCTTTCCAAATCGCTCGAGAAAAACCCCTTCTTAATCTTTTTATCCCTCAAGAAGTCGGATAAATTGTGAGCGATGCTTCCACGCTCGCTCAAATGAGAAAAGATTCAGTAGTGACTTAAGTTTGAAGTCACACTATCACTCTACCACTCTGCCCCCTCCGGTCTGCAGTGTCCCATTCCAGGAATGAGGATCTCCAAATGTTTTAGATCCCGCAGCTATCCCTGTACGCCAGCAGGCTCTAGCCTACCGAGATTTCGGACTACTAATTTTCTGATTGGCTATTACGGATATGATCGACCTATCTGCAATGCTGTTCTAGGACAAGACACACTAAACTGTTCTCCCTGCGTCGTCTTACACCCATAACGCTGTCATCGCATGCCAATGTAACTAATTGCTAGCGAAGCTGTCATTGTAACCATAGCAGCCACACTTATTAAAGGGCTAGAAATGTAGCGTGTACTTAAGCATACGTGCGGCGTTAGATATTAACATGATTGCCCATTCGACGGAGAGGATCGAAATCCCCCAACATCCGGAAATAGAATACTTACTCGGCCGTTCGAAGTAGCGAGAATGTCCCGGTGAGCATGGCCTCTCCGCGTCATGCGATATTCAGAGCGAGTGAACTAACAACCCGTCAGGGATCCGTAGATCAATACGGCCGGTGCATCGATGTCTACCGCTGGGTCTTTAGGGTCGTTTTATTCAAATATCAGCGCCACCTTCCATGTGTGTCTTCCACAAATCTAGATCAATCTTTGCGTATCACAACTCCGTTTCCTCGGCAAATTCTACCCAACTAGAATCCAGATAACATCATGGTGGTAACCGACACAGACGTCTTAATCGTAGGTGGAGGGCCAACAGGGGTGACATTGGCTTTGGAGCTGGCCGCCCAAGGAACGCCATTCCGTCTCATCGATAGGGATTTGCAGAGATCAGATAAGTCTAGGGCTTTGGGTATCCAGCCTCGGACTCTAGAGCTTCTGAATCGACATGGAAATGTCCGAGATTTCATCTCTCGGGGCAATCTGAGCCGCGGCACTACGTTCTACATCAACGGCAAGAAGGCAGCTGATATCGATATCTCTGGTCTTGCGGATGACACAGCATTCCCCCTTATCCTCATCATATCCCAGGTAGAAACCGAGATATACCTAGATGAGTGCCTTGCGAAATACGGCTTCTCGGTCGAGCGTGGGCTCGAAGCAAAATCGATCGTCCAGGACTCCGAAGGCGTAACTGTCACGTTAAGCAAGCCGGATGGCGCCCAAGAAACTGTACGCGCAAAGTACGTCGTTGGTGCCGACGGAGCGCATAGCACCGTGCGACACGCAGCGACGGGTCTTACTTTTCAGGGAGAGGCCTACCCCCAAGACTTCATCCTCTGCGATGCCTCTATCAGGAACACGAAGATAGTCTGGGATCGATTTTCCCTCTGCATGGGCAGGGGTTCGCTCGCCGTCTTCCCGCTGAAGGACGGCACGTGCCGAGTTGTGATGTCACGTATGGACGCCGATCAGGATGCCGAGGTGAAATTGGAGGACTTTCAGACCATGTTGGACAATCTTCATGCCGATGCGGGCCAGTTGTACAACCCTACCTGGATCACAAGGTTCCACCTACACCACAGAGGCGTGAACAACTACCGTGATGGTCGCCTCTTTGTCGCAGGCGACGCAGCACATATCCACTCGCCAGCCGGAGCTCAAGGTATGAACACGGGAATACAAGATGCCATCAACCTAGGTTGGAAACTAGCAAAGGTGGTCCGTGGCGAGCGTCCAGACTCTTTCCTAGACAGCTATGACATCGAGCGTCGACCAATTGGGCAACATCTGCTCGAGAGCTCTGATAAGATGTTTACCTGGGGATGCTCTTCCAACCCTTTCTTCGTCACCTTCCGCAACGTGTTGTTCAACTGGATCCTCCCCTGGTACGTTAATAGCAAGAGCCGTCGCGCCAGCATTTTTAGATTTATATCCGAGTTCGGCATCAGCTACAAGGACGGCTCGTTCGTGGGCACTGCGCCAGGCCACGTCGGGCCCATAGTAGGAGGCGACCGAGTTCCTGACAGGAAGATTGAAAGCTCGGGGGGTGAGAAGTACTTCTACGAGCTTCTTACTCCCGACACGCATCATTTAGTGTTGTTCTCGGGGGTTGGTCAAGCAGCTGCCACTAAAGAAGCTATGCTGGAGGCGAGGTCCCAGTTCGAGAAAAAGAACCTGGATAAAGCTAAAGTGCATATAATCTTCAACGCAAAGGCCGGTTCTGATAATACACCTGGATATACCGATATTGGAAATCGCTTGCATGAAGACTTTGGCTGCTCTAAACCTACTTACGTCTACATTCGACCCGACACATACATAGAACATATCGGTTTGCTTTCCGAGCTGAATGGGCTTTCAGCATGGTTACAATAATGTGGTTTAGCGTTCTGGAGTGGAAGTTGTCGATTTGTATTAGCTATGTCCAACACACACCGGTATCTTCTTTCGACGTTCAATGGCGCATGGAGTTCTAATGCTGCGGTTCTCGAGCATGCGTTTCTGTGTTCTTCACATGAAGCGAGGTGTTATGGTACACACAAGGATCTATAGAAAGGTCTAGGGCCATCAAATTGTCAAAATCAATACGCAGAAAATTTAGCTAGTCCCATGCATTCACCCCATGCGCAGCGTGATTGTATGGAAATCATCCTCTGCTTTTCGACATTCCATTCTATTTCATACTATGTTAGCACGGCAGCATTTGAGATTAATTACTACCCTGAAACTTGAAAATGTTATATCGTTAGTTATATACTCCATTGAATGAGATGAGACTTGATTTCAGATATAAAATGAGGATTTAAAAGTTGCTGTCATGCTGAGAGTTGAGTTTGAAGAGGATTTATTGTATGTAGGTGGGGCTAGTTATCCAGGTACCTAAATTTGACGGTGAAGGTTTGGTTAGCAAATACCTTGGTAGGGATTGAGACTCCTATATGCCTGTATAGTAATCGTGAGGACTCTTTCATGTTAGTGGCGTTGGGATGCATTGAAGCGTACGTACCTGGCCAAAAGGGGAAAATGAGTCATGTGTAACGCTGATGTGTTTTCAGGTCAAACGGAAGTTGCAAACGGGCATAATATATTCTTTCCGTCGGCAAGCTTTAGCTTTGAATTGAGTTTGCACTTAGCCCTATAATTCAAAGTTCATAACGTGCCTTCCTTTAATCTAACCTAGGCAGGTCAAACAGAGGTTACCTGCCTCTAATATCCACGCGAAGTGACTAACATGGGAAGTTGCAGGAAAGGGCAAGAGAGGCCGGAATAAATCATATCCAAGGCGTCTGATATTTAGAACCACCTTGGATCTATCTGATTCTAAACTTCCTCCTCCACTTTTGATATCTTGCCACGGAATCCCAATCTTCAAATTTCACTATTTCAACCCCCAAGAGTTGAATGCCACTATCTAAACATTACCAACGCGAAAAAGGCGAAATTCTTGTTCTAACGATCAAGAATTCTAAAATCTTCATCGATAACGATGTCTGGTTCCCTGGACCTGTGTGCTGTGTGTTGGAAGGCTGGCGTTACTCTGCAGTAAATGCCAGAATTGCGGCTACTGCTCCAAAGAATGCCAACGGGAGGACTGGAAGTCTCACAAGAAAGTGTGCAAGGTCGCCGCCGATGCTAAGGCTGGGGCACAACGTCCTTCTCCCAACCACATAAGTGCAATCTATTGCCCGGAGAACAAAGACACTTATGAGTTCGTCTGGGTTAAGTGCATTCCTAATCTTAGTCACCCGGATGGCCCACGCTTCATTCCTACTAATGAATCAATCCGAGCCATCTTTGGCAGAGAACAGAGTGGCATCAAAATCACCGGTCACTTTTGGGGGCCTGGTCTACCTGGTGTGATCTATCCGCATCAGACGGCAACTTTCTATCCCACAGATATGAAGCCAGGTAACGACCGCCCGCTACTTATCGTCGGCTGCGTGAACGAATTTGGATTGCTTGGAGCCTTACCTCGCTTCGTTGATGCAACTCTGGCGGATTTTCGTGTAGTCCACCGTAGAGTTTCGCCACTTACATTTGCGTTGCGCTGGCCAGAATGCCCTGCGGGCTTAGGAGGCATTTAGAGAATCTGTCTACGCAGTTCAAGGCTCCGCTGTCTTGCGACCGTAGGTACTTTCCGCAACTGTCAAGGTACAGTAATCTATTCCTATATATGGTAACGAATATATAATTGAAGATTAACATAAGTTCAGACTTTTACCTCCATTTTTTATTTTGCAGGCTGCGCCTCAATCTCTACGACAGGGTTCCTAAGCGAGCGCAGATGCTCAAGCGATGGTGGGTTTTGAACTCTCGAGTTCTATGGACAACAGTTAGACTCAACAGCTACTAAACTCATAAGCCATATTTTCGACAGATATTTTCTATCTCTTACGGTCAATGTGGTGGAGGTGACGTTGCAGCTATGAGGAACATGCAATGACTCTGCTCATTCTATCTAGAAGGAAAAATACTGGAGATAGGGGGGGAATCGATCTCAGGAGCAGATAAAGATTCCACAATAGGTCGAGAGACATAATTGCTTATCTACCTAAGTAGTTGCGGTAAATTACTTTACTTATAACGCAATTGTTTTCTCTAGGAAAGAAAGTCTTGAGTGAGCTCATCGCAGAGCAAAAGTGATCTTGAAAATCCAAGATCTTCATACGTAAAAGCTAAGCCCCTTTTACCCCTGTTCGATAATCCGTCTGCCGACGGCCCCCATCGACCCACCCCCGCAATACCCGAATGCAACCATGGCACTGGAATAGGTTTTGTTTGCTAATTCGTTGATACAGGTATGAAATCTTCTCATCTCACCAACCTATCATCGTCCTAAAAATGCCTCCCAAATCCGTTCTCATCACAGGCTGCAGCGAGGGCGGGATCGGCGCGGCCCTAGCCGCAGAGTTCCAAGCTCAGGGATGCCAGGTCTTCGCGACGGCCCGCGACGCAAGCAAAATGCACTCGCTTTCCAAGCTCGGCATCCAGACCCTGGAGCTCGACGTCACCTCGGACGCGTCGATCGCCGCGGCCGTCGCCGCCGTGCGGAAAGCTACGGACGGGTCCCTCGACTTCCTCGTCAATAACGCCGGCGTCCATCACGTGATGCCGTTCACGGACTCGAGGGTCGAGGACCTCAGGCGCGTTATCGATACCAACGTCGTTGCTGTCTTAGCTGTGACGCACGCTTTCTTGCCTTTGCTCATAGAGGCGCAAGGCACGGTGGCGTCGATGGGCAGTATTAACGAGGTCTTCAACCCCCCCTTCCAGGTCGCGTACAACGCGTCCAAAGCCGCCGTCCACGCTATCGCGCGTACACTGCGCGTGGAACTCGCGCCGCTCGGCGTCAGGTTCGTTACGCTTGTTACGGGCGGCGTGAATTCGAAGTTGTTTGATAACGCGCCGACGCGGTTGCCTGACGATAGCGTGTACGCCCCCGTCAGGCAGGTGATCGAGGGCCGCGAGTTCCTCCGCGACGCGACGTTCGTCGAGGCCGAGGTTTACGCGCGGCAGGTCGTCGCGGACTTGCTGAGGCCGAGCGTGAGGTTGAATGTTTGGCGCGGGGGCATGGTTATGTTTGGGTGGATCTTGTCGTGGTTTGGGTGGGAGGGTATGTTGGTAAGTTATTATGGCGTGACTCTAGAGATGGGGTGTGAGAGGTGTGGCAGTGGTGCTGATTTGTGTTGTAGGATTCGAGTATGATTAAGGGGTTTGGACTCGATAAGGTACATCGGTGAGGACGATGTTATGCGCCTTGCGACGGCAGGAAGAGCGTACATGAGGCTCTTCGTCGGTAAGTTTTTATTGATTATCAGTGGCTAGGTTAAACTGTTGACATGAACCTCGAACAGGTAATCCAAGATGATCAGCAAGGTGTCTCCCCTGTATTGCAGTGGGAAACCGCGAAGCTAGTCTGGATCGTTGTACAGAGAGGTGGATGTGAACACGAAGTGGGAGAGGCTCGCGATGACATTTATTTGTAATGAATTATGTTACACTTGATATGGATCATGCGGAACCCTGACAGCTTTCCCGCCTTCCACTGTGTAACGAAATGTTACGGTATCCGGTATCTCATCGTTTTCAACCTCGTTAAGCCACGAGTACATGTCTATGTAAGGTGTCCTATTGCGTGGATTTTGGCCAGCATGTCCCGCATTATGCGCTATAAGGTCTGTGTCTTGATATCTGTGGCTCACAAGACGCGGCTCCCCATCGTCCACTATTACAGGATCCAACTCGCTGTCCTCCTCTTCTGATACTCCCCCATAACGATTTTGATTCGCCCCGTCGGTGTATTGTCTCGGAGTATACCGGGTTTTTATCGAAGGTAGATCGATATGGCCGGTAATGGATGTATATTTCTTAACTAATCGCGGGTGGAGACTACCCGAACTATATATCTCTTCTCCTTCTCCTGGAAATGGTTCCATATATGGTTCCTGGGGTTTCCGGGAAACATATCGCGAGCTTGTATCAAGTTCGGGTTGGGATTTCTTCCTTGTGGGGCGAATGCGCGGACTGGGTTGTCGAGACGTGGGAAATTTGGGCGGCTCCGGGTAAGCCTGGTGTCTTCCTGTACCGTGTGGTCCGTATTCGTTTGGCTGCTTGAAGAAGACAAGACCAGTAATAGCCTGAATATCCGCTATAATCCTAGAGTCCCTGAGCACCCCCTTCTCGTACAGAGATATAATGAAATCGTCGAGATATCGTATTCTCTTATATTTTCGGGTACGTCTAGCAGACCATAGGCGGTTGATTCTGGGGTCGACTAGAATCCTGTTGAACGACTTCAGATTGATATCCATTTCGCAGCATCGCAGTTCATAATCTCGCGATATGAGCACCAATATAAACCGTTCTATGAGACAGTAGTGACATATCCAGTGTCCGCATTGAACCAGTCGAATCCCACCGTGGAAGATGTGGCACTGGAGTCCGCAATAGGCGCATGGCATGAATTCAGTTCCCTTTCTGGCATTTAGTTAGCAGCGTAATATTAATGATAGGAAGAAAACAACCTACAAATAAAGCAAGCCTTTTCGATAAGCTTCAGGATCAACTTCATTGGGTAGGTCCTTGTTGGTCTTTGCTCTGCTGGAAAACGCTCGGTTGTGGAGCACCAGGGCCTGGCGATTGGTATCGCACTCGTCACCATTCTCTTCCTTATCCATACCGACTGATGTCTCACTAACTCCATGTTTATCTGTAGTTGGAGAGTGTTTGGAGTTTTGGTTAATACTATCTCTCGCAAAACCCTCAACTTCAACTGCGGTTGTTGATTGGGGTGCGTCTCCAGCACTGCTACTCCTGCAATGCTGGGAATTTGGCTTGAGATCATCTACATGACCGTATTGGAGCCTGTTCTCGTTCTCCGTCGTGCTTTTTGAACGGCCATGGTTTAAGACATGGGAAATATCCATTTTCTCTCCCACCTGAACGAAATATGGGGACCTTGGGCGCGAAATCAAATTCGGTGTTAACAAATCTTCTGGGACGCCAAGTGATAAGTTGGGTAACTTCTTGAGGGGCATAGTTGGAGGCCCGTCGTTTGGTTCTGGAGACGGGGTTAGAGATATATGAGATGGTAAGCCTCCAGACATGGTTGGCGAATGAACATCTGCATCATCTAACACGTATGGGGAATCAGTAGGCAACAGCCCTCCACTGGTTTCTTCAAATTCGTCGTTACAGTTGTCAATATATGGTTGGCGATAAAAGGGAGAAAGAGAGGTCCTTCTGGGATCTTCTGGACGCAGCACCGTCTTGTCTTTTGCGGGTTCCTCGATTTGCTTCTCTGAGTCTGCTTCGACTGCCTTCTCAGTTGGTTCCCCAGCTTGTTCGGCGGTGGAGCTCCAGGCAGCAGAAGCGGCTGATAACATGGTATCCCTAGTTCTCTCATTAGATGGTGTATTCAGGTATCAATTCGAGGTAACACAATATCTCTTACCCGGGTTTGATATCCCCTAGATGAGCGGGCAGGTCTGTCGTCATCCATGGATGCGTCTCTGCATTTTCAGAGGAAGGACGAGCTTTGGGATCAGGAGACATCAGGGTAATGATGAATTGTTGGCCTTGGTCGGTGATGGACTGTGACTGAAGGTTCCGAGTTGGGAAGCTAAGCATTCCATTGACGTATTGGAACAGTTCGGCGATGCTCGAGAATGGGAGGTCATTCATGAGCATGATGTACACACATGCGCCGAGTGACCAGAGATCCACGGCGGCCGTATAGGATCTCGATTCACTACCCAGCCTCAATCCCATCGTCTCAGGCGCGGCAAAACCCAAGGTACCCATCTGTAAAGTGTGCAGGCTCGTGACATCTTGTTGCCTTCTCTTACTGATTCCAAAGTCTGCGATTTTTACAAACCAGTCTGGGCCTGTGGTAACGACCATGATGTTCTAATATCAAGACTAGTCAACGAGTAAATCATCGGTAAGGTAACAGAGTACTACTCACTCCAGGCTTGAGATCTCGATGTACAAACCCATTTTCATGCATGAATTTCAACCCTTCTAAAACTTGGGAGGTGATGGCTCTAGTTTCCGATTCTGGTAAAGGTCTAGTCAAATATTTGTGTAAATCGCCTTTCTCGAGGTATTCCATGGTGATAAACACCGATTCGCTGTTCTCGAACCAGCCATGGGAGCGAACAAAACAATGCGAATACTGAAGTACGGTTCAGCACGGAATAAATATAATAGGGTCGTTTCTACCATTGTCTTACGTACCCGGTTGTGTGAGAACTTAGAGATGGCTTCGAGCTCTCTCATGTACTCTAACTCTTTCCCCGCAACGTTGTATTTTTTGATCTGTTTTACAGCCCTCAATTTCGCGGTACCATCCCGCTGTTCGCATCGTTCCAAATGCACTGTCCCGTAGGCTCCTTGGCCGAGGAAACGATCGCGCACCCATCGTTCTTCTTTTGGCACATGTCGTTCGCGAGCGGAGTAACCGGATACGTAAACGGTATGTTGTGTGTAAGCGCTGAAGATTTCCGTCTCCAGCCTCGAGTCGCGCACGATATCGGATAACGACTGAATTAGTTGCCGTGCCGACATCCTCGTAGGGTGTTGATTTCGCACATCGGTCGACAACGCATTATATGATCAATATGCGATCACCTTCGATAGGTGCGCTCAACTCTGTGTTCGGTGAATGACGATGTTCGTGGAAGTGCGATTGAACGAAGGAGCGCCGAGACAAGGGGTGGGTGGTGGGGGCTGAGCCGCCACGCGCATATGTTCGTCGAATAAGCCCAGCAATGCGCCTTACAAAGCCTGCAGCTTTCATGTCACCATCTTTATTTATTGGCTGAAGATCACCACTTCCATTCCCATCTTATAAAGCAAAGCTCATATTGTATAGATATTTCCTAAATTGTGCGCTATTTTGTTAGAAACACGCATACACCAGGAGATAGAGGAGTGTTCAATGTCAGCTGAATTGATCCTAGCCGCAGTCGGAGCTGCTGACTTATGCCTCAAGTTGGTTCCCTCGCGCAGCAGCATTCAAGGTTACATTGACGTCTCTAGCATCGAGCTAACATACCTAACACAGGTATGGAGAACATCTCCTAAAGGTCTATAAGGCCTTCAAGCAAGCAGATGAAGATGTCCGGGCTAAGACTCTCCTCATTGAATCAACATGGAGTCAAATGGCCATACAAGTAGAATTCGTTCGACGAATTGCCCATACCATGAGTCCAGACCACTGCCGTATTCACTTCGAAGTACTGGAGATGTTACAGGCCAAGTTACAAGTCGCCATCAGGAAGATTGAACCATTATCGAAGAAAGACAACGCAGGAAAGGCACATGGGAGTAGAATCAAGAGATGGAAATATGTTCTCGTTCGAGAGTCACTCGATAAAACGATTTCGGATTTACAACAATGGCAGCGCATTTTCGATCCGACGTGGTATCTGATCATCTTGATCAAGGACAACAGAATTGACTCGGAACTGTTAGAGAAATCCAGAATACCTAGAGACAACTCTCATGATGCGGAGCAAGGAAGAGCAAGCCCATCGTCTAAGTCTACCTTAGTTACGATACAAAGCTTGCGCAACACTCTCAAAAACGAGGTGACGCCCGGGACCCATGTTTCACTTCCGGCAGAAGGGCTAGACTGGGAAAGGGCGCAGAAAATCCCATACTCGACGACACAACTCATTCCCCGTACAGGGTCCAACAAATTATTTCTCGTGGACTCGATGCTCTGCGATTCAAGCCTTGATATTCCTCGAGCAAGGGCTGACGCGGAAGCTCTAGCTAGGAAACTCAAGCAGGTCGAAACTAACAACTTCGGACTTCTCTTATGCCAAGGGCTTGTCAAACGCAGAACACAACCAGCGGGAACCCTATCATCCATTGACCTAGTCTTCCGGCTCCCAATCGGGAAGAAAACACCCGTCAGCCTACGATCGGAACTCTTGAAACGCCCCATAGTTAGTTTGAGTACCGTGATAGATATCGCGAGGCAGTTGGCAATGGCGGTTAGCTTCGTCCACACCTGCGATTTCGTACATAAGAATATTCGACCCGAGACAGTCTTACTTCTGACAAATTCCGATCCCGAGCTAGCTGAGAGTAAAATGGGTCTTGGATCCGTCCATCTTTTAGGCTTCGACCGATTCCGCAGCGTCAATTTCTCTACCATGCGCCGTGGCGATACGGCTTGGGAGCGGAACCTTTATCGCCACCCGCTACGGCAAGGGCCACGTGCGCAGGAGGACTATGTGATGCAACACGATGTGTATAGCCTCGGGGTCTGCCTACTCGAACTCGGACTGTGGAAATCCTTTGTAATGAATAGGGAAGACGAAGAGCCCTGCGCCGAGGATGAAGATTCGGGAAAGACCCCATCGTCGACTCTAGGGTTAACATTGGATGAATTTAATCTAGATGTAGGGTCGCTAGCGGAACCACCTAGAAAGATAAAAGACCGCCTCGTCCAACTCGCTAGATCCCAACTGCCGCAACGTGTGGGCGATAAGTATACCGCTGTTGTGATTACATGCCTCACCTGCTTGGACGAGGGGAACGAGGACTTCGGTGATCAAGCCGACATGCACGATGAAGACGGAGTTTTGATCGGTGTGAGGTTTATTGAAAAGATATTATTTAAGCTAAGCGAAATATCATTATGAATCAATCTGGATAATGGATTGCAATTGCATCATTTGTAACTAAAAACTTATCAGCTTAATTTGGTGTTACATGATCCCCTAGTGGGGTTACTTATGTAGGTACTTACGGTGGGTACTGGGATAGGTAACCTTGGTTCAATCCTTCCTCTTCTGCGCCTTTAACTGCGTGATCTGCGCCCGGATTTCAGGGACTAATAATACCAAGCATTCGAATTCTTTCTCGTTGAGGGAGATACCGTCCTTAGCTGGTTGTAGTTCGCCGTAGTTAGAGAACCATCTCCGAATGTCTACCCGGATTCCCGCTTTGTACCACTGGACGCTCACGTGTCGCTGTCTCATCTCGCCTTTTTTCCAGTTGGGCCCAATCAGTTCTTTACGCCAATCATCCATATCTGTCGTACTGCTAGTCGGCGCGAATTCCTCTGATTTGAATTGCATGACAGTGTTGTTCGGGATATGTGACATTGTATTCTGTTTTGTACTGGTTCGTTCGCTGCTTGGGGTAGGTAATCGTGGGAAGACGAGGCTCACCCGGAAGGATACCTGAACCCCTATTTATATTCTACGCAGGCCACGTTTGCGATAACTCAAAGTTTTCCGTCTTTAAGCTTGAGCATCTTATATCTTACTAAGTATTCTGAAGATTGCTCATGGTGAAGACATGTCGTATGCGACATATCATCTACAAACCTGTCGTTAGTGATCAAACGCGGCTCAGTTGCAGACCCTACGCTTGATAGAGCGAGAGGTGCATGGGAAGGTTTTAGTGACAGAGTGATCAATTCTTCAGCTAACGAAGACCCTGTTTGTAGCCTGGTAATGAGCGGGGTTACAGGGGTAACTATCAGATCTGGGGTTCCACACCCATCGATCTAGACACCCCGCAACCAACAGAGGGACACCCTGTCTTTGTCTTTCTTTGTTTCTTTTCTCGCACTCTTCATTTAGTAGGTATTATTATTTCACAAATGACTAGTCGAAACATCTCCACGTTCCCAAACCATTCTCCGTACTCCGGATTTAACCTTTTGAGCAATGTCCCGAGCATAACCAACCCTCCGAAATTCCAACTCCCGGCCTATGGGCTCAAGCACTAATCCGTGCCAACTATGTCGTTATGTCGATCTACGTATCACTTCCAGACAGTACAAAGGTCCGCTAGATTCATACGCTTTATCACAGATCGCGTTACCAATAGCTTTGCAAGATGATATAAATTTAAAATACCGGATAAGTTATTAATCATACGCGCATCCATATAAGGTAAAGGTGAGGGCCTTTTGGGGTTGCACGTGACCGGAAAGGTTATTGCCCCTGAATAAAAGGGGCTTCTGGCAACGATGCTCTTTGATATCAAAGCAACAAGGCCCTTGTCAATTGATTGCATCTTAATTCATGGTTTGAATTAGAATATTACATCTTTTCATAGTGATAACAAAGAGGACTAGCTACCTAGGTACTTAAAAAACAATATAAGCATACGTACTTCACCTCATTTTGATTGTTTACCTGCCCAGCATTCGTTGATTACATGGTTTTTGGATTCACTACGATAAGCATATAAAATAATCGCGGGTTATTTATCTATTTGAAGCAGCCGCCATGAGTCGTAAGATTAATTGCGGTAAGTCACACGGGCATTTTGGCCAATATGGGGCTGCCGGATTGCTCATCCATCGGTATCGCGACACGGGCGAGGTAGAGATCCTACTCTGCAGGCGGGCGCGACATACCGATGATGAGGGGTTATGGGGTACGATAGGAGGTGCGATAATACCGGGAGAAACGGTGCATGAGTGCGCATTGCGGGAAGTTGAGGAAGAAATTGGGATCAAAGCCGGCGATATTTGCATACCCACAGCTCAGACGACTGATGACCACGGTACGTGGAAATATACTACCATCTTTGCTACGCCGGCGGAGGGCTTGCAGATTCCTGATCTAACTCTCAACCGTGCCGAGTTGTCTGAGGTGTCTTGGATCTCGCGTCAGGAATTACAGAATTACATTCTCCACCCGGCGTTTGAAAATTGGATTTATGATTTATTAGATATCTTGCTACCACCGGATATAGACCCTCAGACTAGGAGCATAGTTAGGCCATCAAAGCTAAAGAAGAGATAAGGAGAGATGAGGTACCACCTACGGGTTAGGGGTACCTATTCAAATGTTGGTCGATTACGTAACCACCATACCCCTGAAAATTAAAGGGGTTGATAGTATTATGGAAGTATACAGAAACATTTCCATCTTTCTTTTTTTATAAACATCCGCCTAGTCGTTTTCGTAGGTCCCATGTGAATTTATATGTATTTAGCATTAGTAAACCATAATCCACCCTCTGAGTCACACTGCTAACAACGTCGTGACCTGTAGGGCTAATATACTCTGCTCAAGCGACGAACTCGTCGATTATGAGTTGGAATGATAGTGAAATTAGATCCGCACCCAGCATTCACACACGATGAAAGGGTATGGATGTATCTTATCTTCCCTTCTTCAACCCTGAACGCGTGACTGTCGGGCATCGCCTGCTCGACGACCGTCCGATCGAGCCCCGGGAATCCCAGGTAGATATCTACCACTCCCATCTCCTCATCAACGACGTACCGGCGGTTGCTAACCGTGAGATTCGAGGGTAGGCCGAGGTTGCAAGTATTTCCCCCGGCGCCGCTACTATCTGTGTACGCCCCGCCCTCGAGACGGGCGCATGGCGAGCCGAACGGGACGCTGACGTTGGGGCTTTGGAATCGGTTGAAGTATGCGTCCCCCGCGGCTTGTATGACCTCTCGACTATCGCGCTTGTCCTCAGGGATCGGATCCCAGTTCTCGAGCGAGGTCCAGTGCAAGTACCCCGTCGCGTTGAACAGCCAGTCTCCGTCGTCGGTGACAATCGACTCAATCGTGGTGATCTTGTCGTCGGTAAGGAGCATCCTCGTGCCTATGACGTACGGGTGTTCCGCGCTAGCGGCGATTAGTTGAGTGAATGTGGCGCAGAGCGTAGTGTCGTGGATGCTGAGGTTCTGGTCGAGCTTTATGGGCTGTGACAGCACTCCGGTCTTGATATCTAAGGGTTGCTCGTTCTCTGTGTACGTCAAGTTACTCGCTAATGCAGTGAAGATGTCGATTTGGCCACTGCTCTGTGCTGACACATATTGCTCGGTCGCGTCCTTGAGGAGTGCGCGACTGCATTCTGCTGATATGCCGGCCGCAAGCCATAGGCACGTTAAGGAGATCAGTTGAAACATCTTGGACTCCAGTAGTCGTAAATCAACTGAGCTTAGGATGTGCCCAAGCTGGTCATGCCCTTTAATTATAGGTAAGGGGGTTAAAGTGAGCTTTTCAATACTGAGGGGACTACCAGTCTCAATTACTATTGTCGTTTTAAGGAGGTGATTCTATGTACCCCGATTTAGAATATCAATACATCTCGCATCAATCTGCATCATTTATCCTGTTCATAATGCCTGGGCTAAACACATTTAGCCCATTCGTATATTAATGTTGATGTCGGTTCAATCCTACCCCACATTACTACATGTCAATTTACCTGATCCAGACTGCTTTCACCGGACCTTCACCATGCCTACCGACGTATCCTCTTGCCGAATTTCCAGCAACATAACCGTGCATCCAGCACTCATCATATAACCATGACGCCCTAATTACCCAGGTAGATGCCGAATGCTCTGTTTGGCACTCATAGATTCGTATGCCGAGTCATTATGTCGTGTTGCTCCTTTTTCATGGGATTCTTCTATCGTAAATTCACAGGGATCATATGAGTTCATGTCTGTTAATTCCAAAAAATCCGAGTCTTTGAATAGTACGTCGTTATCGGTAGCCATTGAAGAGCTGGAAAAGGCGAGCTGCGTGTTTGGGTGCTGTTGAACCACATCACCCAAAAATTGCGGTGTTGGAAGGTCTGTCGTAACCATTGTAGGAGAGCTAGGATTGGTAAATGTGCTTGGTAGTGAAGATCCCGACTGAGAGATGTCTTGGTAGGATTGTATGAGTTCGAGGTGAGTACTCAAATACCATTCGAGTGCCTTCTGCTTGGAACTATTATCAACAATGTTGAAAAGAGTTTCAAAATCATGTTCCAGTCTATCTCGAAGACGACCAAGTATTTCCCGTTGAACAAACTCCTTATAGTCGTTTATGCTATTAGGGAGACATCCCGTATACTCATAGACTGTAGGTGTTAGTATTATAACATGGCGTGCCGGCGCTTTTCAAGATTACTCACATGGAGAAGGGATTTCGGCATCGGGCACAAGTGGAAATAGAATCTTATAAGTTTGTCTCCACTTATCAGACTCAGATAATTTTATTGGTGGCTTTGGCTTTTTTCTGGATCTGAGCTTGGCTTCCTGTTTTGAGTCGAATCCATCAAGCGGCTTCAGGTCTTGAAGTATGCAAACTTCAGCCTCTCTCATGTGATTGTCCAGATAACTCTCCCTCTTGAAATTTTCTCCACATCTTTTACATCTAAACTTTGGTTGACGGTGATGCTTGTACAAATGTTCTCTAGAAGCATGTTAGACTTCATATGAAAGATGTCTAGGTAGGTAGTCACATAACTCACTTCATCCGATGAACAGAATCCCAACCAGGTCCACAGCAGCTTCTCCACTCTCTACCGACGTACTTCCTTGGGTCGTGCTTGAAATAGGGGCATGCTAGGAAAGGTGTATCTGTAGCTTTGCCCTTACCACTACTTGGTCTTGGTCGTCGAGGATCTTCATCATCGCTATCGTCATCGCTATCGTCTCCTGGATCGTTTCCGGAGTTTCCTCCTCCCGTTTTCCTTTTTCTACTCCCAGAATATCGATTCCCCCGAGTCTGAGACAATCCGAGTAAATTCTGACTTGGTTGGGAGGAGGTCGTACTAGTTTCCGCAGGACTTCCACTTTGGCATTGAGCTGCGTGGTGTCTAATCACTTGTAGTCCTCCTCGACAAGGCAATTGATGCTCCTGTTTCACCTTGTCATCTTGTTCAATTGGATTACTTGACGCATCGGCCTCCTCTTGAATCTTATTCAAGATAGACACACCTGAAGTCTTGCTGAATAGATGGCTTGGTATGGCCTCCAAGAAGCTTGAGGCAGAGTTGAACCGCCAGTTTAGCTCAACGCCGTCAGTTGAGCAAATATTCTTTTTCGACTCGAGTTGTCGATTTGATAAGTCGATAATTTGGGGAAACGCGACTGGTCTTGGTTGCCTGTCAAACCATTCCTTGGTTCTCCTTTTACTCTCTGTTCGGGTAGACATCGACATATTTTCGAGATGCCCAGTGCTTTTTTGGACACATTTAAGCACGACATCCTTGTCAGATGACGAGCCCAGGTCATTGCCTTTAATTGCTTGGGGATTCGTAGCAGCAAGCAACTATAGCATTGTTAATATTATGTAGTTGGGGTTTCAATTGTCGTCATGGGCATAGAACTTACGTTTACACTTGTATGAGAACGTGGAATATGGGATGGACTGTGTGGGTAGACTCCTATATATGAGTTTGAGTCTCGACCTCTATTGTGCTCTTTCGGTCTCCCCTGGGAACTGCTGTGGCTGGGTAGAGTTGTTCCCTAATGGTAGTTAGAACTCTAGAGTAGAGCCTCACGGTAGACGTTAGAGTTATGATGCTTACTTGTTGAGATTCACTGTTGTTGAATACAACTATTCCCTGGCGACTTGATTGCTTCAATCTTCCTGACCTAAAGCTTACTTTTTTCGAAGTATTGTGGTTCTTTGTGATGACTAAGCCGTCATTGTTGTCTTCTGGCTGGCTTGCAAGGTGTCGTATCCTATCGGAAGTATGACGAGATTTCTCCACTTCTGTGTTTAAGGAGCGGATGGAATATCTTTCCAAATCACTGCACAATTCCTCTTTCTTATCTTTTGGGATCAAAATGCTATTGGACGATTCGATGGATGTTGCGCTTGTGGAATAGGACGATGTGTCGAGACGTGTAGACGTGGAGCGGCTAGAACATGATTCAAAAGTTCTATGTTGATGAATAAGGGGGGTTTGTGTATTTTTGCTTCGACCTCCTGACTCCATCTTCTCATGGTCTTTAGGATTCATCGCGACTGATGGGACGGGGTTCTGGCACTATGACGCTGCAATAGTCCATGGTTCGTATGCATCAAGGACGTATAGTGAGAATGCGTACATCCCTCAACCAGGAACGTAGGTGGACGCTGTGAAGCTCCCGAGGATGGGAGGCTTCAACAAGCTTCAAGCGTCCCAGAACACCGTCAACAGGTCAATGCCCGGTAATGCTGTTGTGATAATGTATTGAATAATCAGACTCGACTTGGGATGTAGTCAATAGATGCCCCACTTCTGTATGTAATGCTCCACTGTCGCTCCCCGTATTCATGATTGGATCGATTTGTATCCAATCATAGACAATGCTAGACCGTCGCGCTGTGCGTAGTTTTCGCAAAACTTAAACACGGTTTTCGATATTACGAATACAGCCCGGAGCGCCGTACGTACAAAGTATTGTTCACGGCCAATTTGATGAATCTGCGTCAAGGACGAATACCACCACTACGAGAAAAGGAATTTAGTAAATCGTGAAGACAGGGAAAGAGTTAAAATATAAAATACCGCAGATAGAACTTGAACATAGAAACATGACTCTATCAATAATCTATTACAATCACCTTCAAAGAAAGTTGACTTCGACATTCACTACCGTTTTATATTTCTATCCGGGGGCCATCATGGGGTCCGTATCTTATCCACCGTCATCAGTTACTACATCTGTAGGCAAAACGTGAGTTGTATCGTTGTACATACCGGTGTTGTGCATGAGTTATCGATTAACTGGAAAAATGTAGCAGGTCGCACCAACAAGCAGATCCTATCATGTTGAATCAATACCTTGCCGAAGCCCCAAGCGCCTCTGGAGAGCTCCTCCCTCGAGACAGAGAAGCGCTTAAAAAGCATCGAAAAGCGATCCGGTCGCAAGTTGGAAACATCGACAAGATTTTAGGAAATGAAAGCGGGAAGCGGAAAAGTTCAAATAAGAGATAGGGTTCAAAAGGGGCCATAACTTAAGGTTATTCTTCCCGTAACTCGGGGCTTTACTAGTATTTGTCGGATGCCTAGCACGCTAGCGGGAGCCTAAATATCAACAGGGCTCTATTCTATGTTCGACCTTACACTAAGCGAATTGAATCTTCATTGTCCCACCTATGTTTTTTCTCATGTGAAAATTCGGGTTTCGCTTTATAAATCTAGACTTGTGTTTATATTAGAGTAGTAGCATACCATGCAGGTGTTCAACATAAGAGCATATCAAGCTTTCATTAGGTCGCGTGCATGGTCTGCCGTAGCGGTTAGCCTTATGAGGAAGGCAAGATAAGCGTTAGCGATCGCCCCGGACGCCGTCGCATACCATTACCACGTTCAACTAATTGTTGCTAGTGGTATAGGAAGGAGTATGGGGGTATTGAAAGTGGGTGCCCTTCACAACTCGCGCTTTGATACAGCTCATGAATTGTCTAGCTAGGTAGGTAAGTAAATAATGGCAATAGTAAGATTGGAATGTTGCTACGTTAAAGTTGAAGTCAATGTCCATGGCGCCGCCATTCAAATACAGCATTCATCGGTTATTTCAATTCATCTCCGATATGCTCTGCTTTCCATATAGGTAAGTAGAGCAAAACTTCATTGAATGTGATCACCCAGATCCTCATCGACAAATTCCTCCTTCAGATGTCCCCACATTCCAAGTTAACGACCTAAGTTTTGGCATGCTACTTACCATCATGGCGTTCTTTTCCCCGCTCAACTTAACCTCGCTTCTCGCCGGACTTCGGATGAATGCCTACGCCAAAGTCGCTTCAATTTATCTTCTTTTGAGTTTTACGATGCCGGCAGCAGCAAATGGGTCGCTAATACCAACCCAGCTGACTCCCGAAAATTACACTACAGCGGAAGCGGGCAACCCTTTCGTCGACGGTTGGTATGCAGACCCAGATACGGAAGTATATGATGGTATCTATTGGGTATACCCAACCTCTTCATATGACTACGATCAGCAGACATATTTCGACGCCTTCTCAAGTTCGGATCTGATCAATTGGACAAAATACTCCAACATTTTAACCACAGATAATGTGACCTGGGCTACCAGAGCTGTGTGGGCTCCCGCACCCATTTTCAGAGGTGGCCTTTATTATCTGTATTTCGGTGCCAATGACATCCAGGAGGGCGAGCCGGAACAGGGGAAGATTGGAGGTATCGGAGTCGCTGTCGCGGAACGGCCGGAGGGTCCGTACGTCGATGCCATCGGGAAGCCGTTGATTGGAGAGTACCACAATGGCGCCCAGCCAATCGACCAGGATGTCTTCATAGATGATGTAGACGGGCAGGCGTATATCTACTATGGAGGCCACTCGCATGCCAACGTCGCGAAACTGAACTCGGACATGATCTCCATCGGTACCTTTGACGACGGAACTCAGTATAAGGAAATTACCCCTGAGAATTATGTCGAGGGCTCACAGATGTTCAAGCGCAATGGCATCTACTATTTGATGTGGTCAGAGGGCGACTGGACCGGTCCCGACTATTCCGTCTCGTACGCAATGTCCGATTCACCCATAGGTCCATTCAACAAGATAGACAAAATCTTGCAGCAGGACAACGCCGTAGCTAAGAGCAGTGGCCATAACGGTGTTATCAACGTGCCAAACACGGACACTTGGTATATCGTCTACCATCGCCGCTCGCTAAGCGAGACGGACGGTAACCATCGCGTACTAGCATATGATCGCATGTACTTCAACGAGGATGGCACTATTAAACCTGTCAAGATGTTGGTTAAGGACGACTTCGCCAACGGAGAGATGTTCAACTGGAATACATGGGCCGGTGACTGGTCAGTGGTAGGCCAAAGACTCAACGTCACAGAAACGGCATTGGGTAGAGCCACGCTTGATACAAATTTCACCAACCTAGACTACCAAGCTACCGTCAGCATTACAGAAGGTACCGGCGACGCTGGACTTCTATTTCGAGTTACCGGCTTCGAGTCCGGCACCTACGGCATGTACGGCTACTATGCAGGAATTTCCCAGGAGGGTAAAGTTATCCTGCTGAAAATCAATGCCGGAACTTGGGAACAGATCGCCGAATCAGAGATGAAAATTGTGTATGAAAAGGAGTACTATATCAACGTGAGGGCCATGGGCAGCGATATAGAGGTGTTTGTCAAGAATGACCAAGTACCTTGTATCTCTACTACAGACAGCTCGTACAAAAGTGGCGCAACTGGTGTGGAGGTGCGCAATGCTGGTGCGAACTTCGGCTTCGTGTCTGTAAAGAAGTATTAATGGCTATATAGCAGCGACGATAATAATGTAATTCTAAAGGACAGCATATCTAAATTATTCCTTCGTGACTGATTTATTCGAACCCTAACCCTAACCCCAACACCGTGTTACAACGCAGTTGCAACATGCCGCTGAATGTCTTCGCTGTCACGCCACCCCCTTTTCCATCGCTCTCTAAAGTCACCTTAAACAAATGTGCAACAATTTTAGTGCCAATACAATGTCCAATACTCAATTCTAAAGAGCGAGGTAGGAATCATTAACAAAGCAACATCTACTTTACTTTAATGGATGCGACAAGCCCCCTCCGACCTAGTAATTGAGCAACTTCGGCGTCCTACGTTCCGGAACTGCCCAAAATGGCACCCATTACACCAGAAGAGTCCCGTCAAATTTTCAACTCCGACTGCAGGACATCTATCTAAAGTTGTCTTTTCTCAATTTAAAGCCGGAAATATCTCTATTTAGCACCAGAACAACGCCTGGACCCGCCTTACTCGGTGATCACTATACCTAGCTAAAAGAATCGTATTGGCTTACGATGGTCACACCGACGCACAAATGGCGCCCCGGCAATTCAAGGCCTCAAGCACCCGTCGCCAAGCCGCATCACGGCTCCTCGCCTGCTCGGCCGGCATGCTGTTGCTGCTCGTCTGGAGCTACCGCCTCCTGCCAAGCCGCACGCCTTCGTCGCTCGCGGCGCCGCAACCACCCACATCCATACTAAACCGGCAACAACAACAACAGCGTCTCAACAAGAACCAGGACCAGGACGACGAAGACGCCGCAGTAGACTTATCCAGCGCACGCGCTCCCTTCGTCGCGTGGCCGCTGCGTCGCGTCTGCGCCGAGATCACGTACGTCCCGGGCCTGACGTTCGTGTGCGACAACAACAGCGGCGGGCCGGGCAACATCCGGAACTACATCCTCACATGTGTGCGGTACGCCGTCGACGCGGGCGCCACGGCACTTGTGCTCCCCCGCATCCGGGCGCGCTCGGCTTCGGACCTGGATAACCTGTTCCGCGAGTCGCAGCCTTTTGAGTACATGTTCGACGAAGCGCATTTCCGGCGCGCGATGGCGGACGCGTGTCCGAGGATCGCTGTCTACGGTGATGTTGGGGATGTGCTGGGGGCAAGGGAGAAGGCGCAGAGGGAGGGGAGGAGTGTGGAGAGGATCGTGGAGCGGGTGACGCCGAAGCATTTCGGCGGCAGTCGTGCCGGGTGCGATCAGCGCGATCCGAACCGCTATACGGATCAGTTCGGCGCGGCGTTCAGGGAGTGGGTGCGCAGCTCGGCGGCGGAGCGGGGTTGGGCGCCTGCTAATGATGTCGATAATCCCCGACTGATACGGCTCTCTTGGGGCGTGCTCTGGGATTGGCCCGTATATCGCGATGGCCAAGAGTTTGCTGCTACGTTTGGCGGGTTACTCAAAATCCGTGACGACATATTGGACTTGGCTGATACCATCGTGGCTCTGATGAAGATGATTGCTACCGCAACGAAAGGCACCGAGACAGTGGCGGGCCAGTCATTTCTTGGCGTACACTTACGTTCTGAGGCAGATGCTTTACCTCAGTGGCCATCATTTGACAACCAAACCAAGAACTACTTACGTGAGGCCGCGAGTCAGGGGTATCAAGGACGAGTAGCGTACTTGGCCTCGGGCAATGAGACAGAGGCAGAAAAGTTTCGCAAGGAGGCCATGGCAACTTTACAGCTTGGCGTAAGGTCTAAGTTTGACTTACTCGAGAACCATGACGAAGAACGGGCGAAGTTGAAGGAATTGAGCTGGGACCAACAGGCACTCGTGGACTTTGTCGTATTGCTGAATTGTGACTACTTCGTTGGTGTGAGCCCGAGCAGTTTTAGTATCAACGTGGCTTTAAAACGACACTTGAAGGAAGAAGGCTTGTACACTCGGCCGTGGAAAGTCGGGGGACGCGGCGATGGTCGAAGTTGGCTGGTTGGTAGGTTTGACCGGTATTGGGAAGATTGGCTCTTCATGTTTGATGGCATGTGGCCTTGATACGCTCGATTGTGCCCGGACTTCGAGTTGTTGCCACGACCAAGTCCTTTCCAAAAGTGTCTAGGTTGCCTTATTCCACCACTTTTTCATCCGAAAACACAATACACAAGCTTTCTATACTCCTATTGATGAGTATGCCAGCAGGATTTGGCGGTAGACTGCTCTTGCAGGATTTGCCAAGCCATGAATAATTACTCCCCCTTCATTCCAATCCAAGTAGAGCATCACAATCTAAACGGCTTATGTTTGCTTATTTATGTGTCTGCTCATGACTTACTGAAGAATAGAAAAAGTCCTTCACCAACTTAGATACACTTCTAAGGGAAACATTGACGATTCATCCGAAGGTTACCATGAAATATCAAATTCCGCTATCTGCTTAGGTCTACTTTAGAATATAACTCGAACTCGATTCAAATAAACACGAATCCTATAGACAATATTTTTCCTCCTAGATCATCGAGAGTCTCCCATCACCCTTAGCCTTTGATAAACCCAATATATATTCCCATTTCCATATCATCGGCCATGCCTCTACGGAAAGGTATGCGGTTCGGCCTACCCAGTCGAAACAGTTGCTTCCTGGGTAGGGAAGAATATCTCCGCGAACTCCGACGATTGCTCGTCAACCGCGGAACTGTATCTTCAGGGTCACAAAACGCTACGAGTTGTATTTTACGCTCGCGAAGTGGTTTGGGGAAGACGGAGATAGTAGTGGAATTCGCTTACAGGAACCGAGATTTTTTCGATTGTGTCATCTTCCTCAACGGTTCCAACGAACACGACCTGTTAGAAGAATTCCAATGTCTCGCCAAATACCTCGGCATTCATGCGAATGACTTGACGGTAATTGATAGAATTAAGGAGTCATTTGAAAAATCAGGTGAGTTATATCGATGTCTAATCATCCCCCTATCTCGCTAGGAAGGCTATGGTGAGTTCAATGAATTGACATTGTCAGAATTACGATGGCTTTTAATTCTCGATGATATTCAATTTGAACTCGACTCCCTTCTCGCTAAGGGCAAACTTGGCTCGATTATTATGACAACATGCAAAGCTACAACGGCTGAACTCGGTCATGCAATTACCATCAAGCCCCTGAACGAGAAACAGGGGGCGGCATTGATGCGCCAGTACCTCGAGTGGGCGCATCATAGACAGCTCTCCCCCTCATTTAAGGATAAGGAATTATGGGAGATCTCAAGGAAGTTTGGGAACCATCCTCCATATCTGCTAAAGATCATTAGTGCCAGTATCGACTATGAATCTTCGCACCAGATTCTGCGGGACTCAGATGGGCGGGGCCAAACGGCCTCTATCTTTAGAAGGACTTCGACCAATACAAGCATCAACTTTATAGAACTTCCCAGAACTAGCCTAAATCTTCTCTTAGTAATGGCTTACCTTGATGGTGACTTAATTCCCAAAAAGCTTCTACTCTCTTCCAGTGATAACCCTGATATCCCTATCAACATCGGCTGTGCCGATCCTTTCAAGTGCGTTTCACATCATCTTTAAGAATCTCCTCACTAATTTACTATAGGATGCGTGAGACTATTAGGCCCTTGAGAAAGAAAGGACTCGTCTCTCGAAAACCAGGCGGACTGTCGATCAACCGCGACCTGCAGCTCAACATTCTCTGTTGGCTAGATATTTTCACCACCCTCCGCGACGCGGCCTTCGCATCTGCTTGCAACTTGGTTGGAAGAATGATACACTCACTCGATGCTTTGCAGATGTCTATTTCAAGTGACTCCAACAATGCAGCCGGCAGCGCAATTCCGCATGCAATGCGCTTGTACGAGAATATCCATCAAACTCCTGGAAATAAGCTATCACCCTTAGCACATGCTATTACGCTTAGCAAAGCGAGTCAAGATTCTTGGGCGAGAATGTCAGGCATAGAAGGCAATACGACCTTGAAAGCCGCGTTGGCAATTATTCAAGCCGTCCATTCACAAGTTGACAGCGCCGGAAATGGGTTGGCGTCGCAATCCATGTTTGACTTCTATAACCACACTCGTCACGCACAAGACAGAGCGCGTTCCCTTGAAAGAGATACATGCGCTTTTCTCGGTGCCATCAGTTCCCAGAACGGTCTTGAAGAGTATCAGGAATCTATGACATATCGCCGATCACCGCTACAGATACGATTAAGGTATACGAAAAATATGGAATCAGCGTTTCCTATTACTCGAGATACCGATCTTCTTCTACAACATGCGTACTCCGATCTCAGCTTCGGGCTGCTTTACCAGGGGGACTACAGTGGGGCGGACCGAGTACTTGAAATATACCGGGGTCATTACGAGGAATGGGACCCCGACAAAACTGGTCTCTCTTTTGAATACGCGAAATACTATCTTGTGAAGTCATTCACATTGATGGCGTCAGGAGACTCCAGCCGAGCTCTCCAGTCGTGTCAGCGAGCAATAGATTTTCTTAGAGAAAGATATCACGACACTTGGCTCTTCTCACACTATCAATTCGTCCAAGCAACAATGTACTTTTATACTGGACAGGCTATGAAAGCCCTCGAGCTGCATGAAGTTCTTCTAGAAGAAAGATCGTCTTGTTCCCTCGCAGAAGATGACATACGCCATGTTGAGAGCGTATACATGGTTGCCGCCTTGAGCTATTTCACTGGTGACTACAAACGCGCGCTGTACGTCGACCTTATAAACCTTACGTACCTGTCGCTAATTTGTCTTAGGGAGTTATGCGAATCGATCTTGGAATATGGGTTAGAGAAGCTCCCCGAAGAATGTGCTCGACTGCAGTATATCCTATCTCAGACTTACCTCAAACTTGGTATGATTGATGATGCAAAAATCATGTCAGAGGCAGCAAAGCGCTTTAGACTTGAACGTACGGAACTCATTCCGCGGGAAGAACCACTCGCTGAGCACGACTACTTTTGCTCTTTCTACACTCGACTAACTAGCAAGCTGAAATGGGTATCCGTGGGAATTGTGGCTAGTTTCTCATAGTTATGTTATTATATATATATTTAGGATGAGGTTAATCTATCCGTCGTTGAAGTCCCGGCTCATATGTGCGGCTCCTTACCCCTTTTTTTATACAGGGGACCCTTAGTCTGAAAGCATTTGGAGTGCGGCGCTATCAAGCGCTATGATTTAGTGCACTACAGCGCATACCCACCGCTACGCTTTCAATGGATATCCTAGGGCTACTTTCAGCACGAAGGCTCCCATGCAAATGCCTAGATCATAGTTGCTTAGCACCTAACCTAGTAGAATAATAAACGGGTAAACCAATAGACACGTAGAGCATTAGACTTGTTAACCCCTAGGATCGGTGATGAGATTAGTAATATGCTTGGTAATAGGATTAGTAATATGATTGTAGACCCAAAGTTAGTAAACTTGTAGTGCATTTAGTGCATAAATACAGCGCGCCTATTGCATTCCGACAAAATTTAGGGCTACTCACCAGGTTTGAGCAAAGTCCTAAACCTTCTATACGAATAGAATAACATATTCGCATGATCCTTTCGTTTGGGCTTTTCAAAGTGCAATTTATTTATATCATTGATTTACATTTATTGATGGTAATTTCGGGTTAAGTGGAGTTGAGTCAAAAAGTACCTACCACATACGTAAATTGCGTCAAACTCAGCGTGCTAAAGATGGGCTCTTTGGGTGCATATTCAGGTGGAGGTATGCGTGGCTCCCGCGTGCTGTAATGCGTTATATTATAGCCCGAATGCTTGCTATACTCCCTGTATTTACCATGGATATGGATACGCACGTTTTGAAAATGAATACGTTGAATTGGAGAGCTTCGGCGGCCGGGAATTAAAGAATGTAAGTGTCTTCAGAAGCGGACACCACCTATGTGTCACTTGAAAGAAGTCAAAAATAAAGATTAACGGATAAGACATCAAGGGTTTCAATCTCGTTATTATGCAAATACGTAGGCGCTTTGGGATATCACAATTCTCCCCATCATTACACGTTGTCATCACCGTTGTCCCTCCAAACATGGGTATCTCCTAGACTAAAAGAACTAGCAACGCTTCCCAACCCATTATCATTCCCCAGCGGTGTTGCCGCCTGACTGCTGCCATTCCCATTGGTGCTCTCCGTGTTAGAGTCAACAGACGTATCTTCGAGTGGCGGCAGCGGATCTTGGTAAATCCAAGGTTGTTCTAGGGGAACGACCAGGCTCGGATTTATGAATCTCATTTCCTTTTCCCTATCTTCGTCTATGGTGCTCATGCGCCTGGACAATCGAGTTTGCCGTTGGAGTTGTTCTGGGTCCCGATCAGGGCGGCTTTCGGACCCAGGATCAGTAGCCCGCTTGATGCTTCGAAGCGCGATGAACCTCGTGAGTGGGGTAAAACGACGCCGAGAATGGAAGTGATACCAAAAAGTCAAAACCACAAGTGGCACAATTAGTCCTGCAGCTATGAAAGCTGCCTGCAATACTAAGATAGCAATCATGATAACCTGAAAAGCGATAAGTCCAACAACAATGCGACCACAAATGATAGGCCATGCACCACCAGTGGCGTGCTGGGGTTGATCCATCGAATACAACAACTGATACTTGTAAACAAAGTAGCCGAGTGTAAAATAGCATATGCCGAGGAACAGGACAATATGTGCACCTGGGAGAATGCTATAAACTAAGCAAAGAATGAATACGAGTAAGGCTGTTGGTAAGTAGAACCCGTAGTTGAATAGACCAGGTTGGACAAGTTCGGCGAAGTCTCGAGGTGTCTTCGCTCCCATACGGTAGATCGCGTAAAGTGATATGCTGCCGAACTGCAAAAGCTTGAAAGGGAATAAACCAAGGCCCTGGAGCATGATGAAGTTGAGATAGAAGTTGTTCAAGTCCTGGATGGAGCCGGCCAGTTTCCTTGCAATAGTACGTGTATCCTTCAGCGAATCACTAATTATCGTCCAGAAATCTGATAGCGCCGCACTACCCGAGACAGCGTAGACGACGAAAATGTTGAAGAATATGAAGAAGAAATTCTTCGATATCGTGGAGAGCTCAACTTCGCCTTGCGACACCATCCCCTGAATGTTTGACAAGTAGTCGTACAGGTATGGTACCAAAACATTGAGCAACGAGACTACCAAAGTAGGCAATCCAGTCTGCACAAAGGCTTTAGTAATGTCGTGACGCTCAAGGGAATCAGCCAAGGAGGGCGCTATCTTCCTAATGGTGCAAATGCTAAGTAGCGAGGCCAGCACCGCTACCGGGAAGAACCAAAGGATGGAAAGAAACGTGATAAAGATAGTGACGGCCCAAGACTGGAATTGGCGTTTATATCGTGGAGCATAAGTATTCTTCCAAATCACGTCCGAAGGGGCTGGCGCTGGCTTGGTCAGTAATCGGCCTGGTCGAGGATCGACGGTCGCCTGAACGGCCATCTGGCAAGCAGCAATAGAGTCCATCGTCACAAATGCAGTATCCGTTGGAGGGTACTCTTTTCTTCTTGCCTGTCGGATCTTCTCGTCATGACGACGCAGTGTCTCCTCGTAGTAATCAAGAGCATCGGTTTTGCGACTTCGCAGCTTCAAGAAACCGAACCTGAGTCGAATCTTCGGCCGTGCCCTTTCTGCAAGAGCATCTCGTAGGCTGTTGCTAGCAAGAAGACGTCCGTTTTCCTGGGGTTCTCCATCGTGATTTTCGGTCTCTCGTGTAGCGCCATCCGCCGTTTCGGGTTGTTGATCGTCGGACACCAACGCCGCCGCTGGTCGTCGAGCAAGATAAGCACTCCATGCCTCCTCCAACTTTCGAAGAAGCACTTGTCGCTGAGCCATCAACCTGTCGATCTCAGTCCAATTTCGACACAGGGTGACACTTCGAACATGTCCAATTTCCAAGTTCTCTACAAATTCCTTGATCTTCTCTTCTGTTCTGATATCTTGCGGTATCCCCGTCAATCGGAACGTCCGGTCGGTGATAGTCGATTGAGTACCCAAATAATCTTGCCGTATCTTGATCACCTTGATGGTCTCGTAATTCATGAAGTACATGGTCAGGAAAGAGAAAAACCATGTGAAAACCATGTACGCCCATAAATAACTCCAGCTCTTATCCTCCAGTTCAGGGTCTTCCAAGATATGTTCAAAATTCGTTGGAAAATGGGAATCGGGTATTCGGAACAAGTCGGTGTAGAACGAGTGATTCCCGTGTGCTTTACCAGGAGGTATAGTTGTTCCAGCATCGAAAGTATTGTGAATAGGCCAAAGGACGACCAGAGCGAAGAATAGTATAGTAGCAAACAAGCGGAGCGACATCTTGAAGAACGACAAAAACTGCGAAACGTACGTATAAGCAGACAGAATTTAACTTTCATTCACCATATCAGAATACATACCACGAAGGCATCCAAACCTGCAGATGCCAGCACCTGCTCCTCCGTTACCCTATACAACGCCGGTATCCATCCAAGAAAACTATCGGGGAGCGCAGGTAAAGCAATCTGAGGGTCGCTATGTCGCTTCCGGGCAGCATAGAGGGTCTTCCATCGAGGTCTAAGAATCTAACCGGAGGGGTCGATATAGCGTTAGCACAAGAAACAAACGCGAGGTAATAACACTGGAGCGTTAAGTAGTGACTTACACAGAAGGCGACAAAGGCCGAGATACCCAGCGCCGACGAAATCACGAGTTGGACAAAGATGTCCTTGCTGCCAGGGCCAGCAGCCGTCTCGAAATTACAGGACTTGTCATCATCGTCAGAATACATGATTTCTGGATGATATGGCCGAGCCGAAGACGAAGAGGGTTCTAAACATTAGAGTCGACTCTTAGAGGGTCTAGGAGGGCGTTTCTAGATGATGATAATTTGAGGTTGCACTTCGCAAGTTCGGAAAGCTCGAGCGTCAAATCAGAAGCTATAGTGGGGCTCGCCGCCAAGTGACGTACCCTGTACGGTTAGACTCCCAACATCGATGTGCCACATTTCATAGTGGCTTATTAGCGTATCAACCATCTTAAAATGGCAGGTCTGCCTACCAGTTGGAATATGATCCTACGTACTAGGCAGGCAGGTACCTTGATCAATTGGTAATGTGCAGGCAGAGAAAGATACCAACGACAGAAACCAAGATATCGTGTAATGAAGCGTTGAAGAGTTGAATTGTTGAAATTAATCTATGTATTCATATCAGGTGTAAATAGGTAGTTCGCAATCGCCATTCGTGCATCACCACTAAACCCCCTCCCATTCTATGCGCCACCCTCCCTCTTCGCATACTCATCCTCGATGCGTTCCTCATACAGTCGGTCATTCTCGCGCTGCTCATCAGTGACATCCTCGATACGACGTCCCGTATCTACACCGCTGTCGCCTAGAGCTCGGCCTTCAGAAGACATGAGACGACCTGAAGCATCATATTCACGATGCTCATGGTGGAGAGGTTCTCCAGAACGCTGAGAAGCGAAATGTGCCGTAGTGCCTGAAGGGTCACTTGCGACATGCTCGGCAAAGCGCGAGCCTGTGGTCTTTCCGTCACGCGTGGTAGATGACGAGAAAGAAACAGAGGATGAACTGTAACTGTAGTTCTTATTCGACGACATGATGGAAGATAGATGTCTTGCGTTGAGTACGTTGATTTTCTCGAGATGATATATTGGGTTGATAAAGATATGAGTGAGCTTTAGAAGGGGGTTGGGCTTTGTTATTAAAGAATGTATTCGTATATTTTATGGATTTATGTATCAGACGTCATAGGTGGTGGTGTGCTAACATCTAGATACTTCCGGGTTACATCATAGTTATTTGCTCCTCCTCCTTTTGCCATAAAACGTTTACATAATAAGTTCGAACCTTCATCTTTCGCCACTTCCTAATTCCACATGTTAATACCCGCTTAGCTGCCTATATGTAGGTACTGGTACCTGACATGTAGGTAACTTGGCATGCTGCATGAAGGGTCCTTATACAAACTGCCCGGGTGCCCCAATGTCTTGCTAAATCCTTCTAGAACCAATCCATTGGAAGTCCCGGTAAATCCAACAAACGTGCCCTGCTCTCGCCATGCAGTGTCTCCGCAGAGCGCTAAACTTTACTTGCACTACATCGCTACTTGGCTTAAAGTGGATCTTCTTAAACTGCACCGTCTAGACCGTCTCAGAAAGACTCAACGTTACCCGTAACATACACGTGTATCGGGTGACACGTTTTATCATAGCAATAAATACTAGCATAGAGAATATCCGCGCAGAAAATGGCAGGTAGAAGCTAACTGGAATAATTCCAAGAGAATAGGTGTACTATCTAGCCACGGAAGTGAATGTCGATTCCCAATAGCTAGAACGACAGTCTAATATCAAGAGTAGCTCATCCATAACGGGTAGGACGAGTTGCGATGCATTACAATTACAATACGATTTGGAATTGGAAAGAAAGCTCGATGATCTTTCCCATTAAAATCATGTCAAACCGATTCAAGACACCTCGCTCATATAAAATTGCAACGGCCACGCCGATTCTTCGTTACCTGAGTATTTCAGGGGCCGACTACCTACCCCTAGACAAGTGCAACTACAGCTCTTATGTGGACCTCAGACCCATTCAAAGAAACGAGGAGACGAGTTCACACTTGAGAAATGATACGACGTTGCAGCTAAGCACCCATTCGATCAAACTTGTACCAGTATACTTGTCTAGTCTGTACTTATATCATTGTTAGATACCATGGGAGTTGCCGCCAAAAAGATCCAGATGTCTTCTGTCTCCGCCACAAATATTGCACTTCCTACTAACCCTCTTATCACATCCCTGAACATCATCTAGGTTGGCAATTAGGTAGCAATCACTCCGCCGGATTTTCGAACGGCAACCGAGACTTTACAGGGCTCGTGCAAGCAGATCTAACTGGGTACATACCTGTTCATGAAGAAGTTGCTAATCCGCAAGTCTTGGCTCAGAAGGCTGGTACGTATCCGCAAGAACACTAGGTAACCGTTTTCAATTCCCTTGCTATTTTTTTACCATCGCCAACAGGCATAATATCGATTTGTGAGCCTGTCTTTCTCTCGACGAGGAAATCTTTCTGGTAAAAGGGGAACAGTTGTAAGTCAATCGTTGTACGAAGTCAGTGCTAGACCCCTTTTCTCGATGCTTTGATTTATAAGGTGTCGTCGGCCTTAGCGACGCTCACATTCTTCATGTTCTAGGTAACAAATATCATATCATGCATTTCCTATTCTAGAGGGTATCCCTGGTCAAGTAGTACAGGAGCTGAGATAATTCAGCCTCATGGTGCTTCCGTCGATAATGTAGGGCATCCATATGTCTCCGATAGTAGTCACACAACAACACGCATTCCAGGGACCTTCCTTATATATCTGATGTATGGTCACCCAGGAAAGTATTGAAACAATCGGCGACCACTATATCTCAGGCGTTAGTGTGTCCGCGTTTACCGCACCTCCTCGGGAAAGGTACCGAGCTGAAGTACACGTTGGGTAAGATGAGGCTGCAGCTATCATATATAACCCCTATATTTATCACCTAGACATCATTTCATGATGATTAACATCTATATTGCCATGGTAGGAGGCCTTCATGCACTGCCCGCCTAGCCTTTCAACCACTAAAAGTCATTATGTATCAGTTTAGACCGATCATAGCTTTCGACACGCTTGGGTGAATTCAGAGGCTGCTCGGACGCAAAGGCACGCATCGCTGGTTAGTTATAGATGAAATGGCACTGCCCTGTATAACTTAGGGATGACTAATAACTAGCTGTTTCTTCCGTTTTCCTAAATCTCCAGATAATCCTATGGGCGATCATGGACGAGAGGTCTAACCTCAACAGATAAAGCATCTTTGAAGGCCCAAGCTCTTGAGAAATAAGACTGGAAACCTTAAGCTGATACTGGCCTGGCCTCTGTTTAGAGTCATGCTTACTTTGCTCCGCCTTGTGCAACTAGAAGCCCAACACTTCGTGCCTGGCTGTCACACAAGAACATGCGAATAGTCCGATTACATCCGCAAGACATGTTGAGGAATGAGAAGCGGAGTTTAACCCACAACTTCTAGAAGTAACATGGATCCAGATTCGGCTTGGCCATAGGTAGCCTGTTACAATGGAGCTGCCGTTGGAATTATTCGGTGTATGCGACGCTCATTCCATTACTGAGTGAGAGAAGTCTCGGCGTTACTCTTTAGCTGGTTGTGACTAGTAACGTAGCTAACCTATTTGTTGGAGTCTCAGGGGAAAGGGGTTATCATCGACTGGCTTCACGAATGAAACAATGAATATAGCCACGGAATGGGTAAGATTGGGGAATCTTCACGCCTGTATTGGCTAAACTATATTTGCAATTCCCGCACCGGCAATAGTGTATTTGGTAAGTATAAAGGGTACTAGATCCGGTGAGCATTGTACGGTTGAATTTCGACCAGCCAAGCCAACCCACTTACGAACTGCAAAATCCGTGAGCTTCTTAGCTATTACCTTCTTTTGATTCTCTCGTTCGTTTATATCTCGTTTTCCGATCAAGAACACAATCACGATGAAGACCGTCTACTGTTTCCTTACAGTTTTAGCCCCTTTTGTTCTTGCCAAAGCGCCCCTCGTGAACAGGGGCGTTTCTGATGGTATTGCTGATAACTACATTGTAGTTATGAAAAAGGCAGACTCGAAGACGCTTCAAGCGCATTACCGGCAAATACATACTACTTCTCAACGCATCAACGATGGAAATCAAGGAGTTGTTAGAACTTACCAAGTCCAAGACTTCAACGGTTATCATATCGAGTGTGATAACGCAACTCTTGAGAGTATTCGTAATAATCCCGGTGTAGGCTGATCGTTTCCTCCCAATAGAATGATGCTGACATGAGAAAGGTCGATTACGTCGCTCAAGATGGTCGGGTAACAGCACAGAGTGCCATTCCCACCAACGTTCCCAGGTCAGGCCCGACTGCGAACACGTGGGGTTTGGGCCGAATCTCCCATCGAGACGCCGGCATCCCAGTCTATGTTGACGAAAACAACGCCCCGACCTTTGCCTATATGCTGGATACCGGAATTCGTGTGACTCACCAGGTATGTTCCTTTTCCTCTGAGAATTGGATCTGGAACTAATTTGGGATAGGAGTTTGGAGGCCGCGCCATATGGGGTCAGAATTTCATAACCGGATCACAGGTTAGTCGCCTAACGATGACTTTCAGATTGACTCCGCTAATACGGAACAGAACATCGACGATAACGGACACGGAACTCATACGGCTGCGACGGTCGGAGGTAACACAGTTGGAGTTGACAATAGTACCAAACTCATTGCAGTGAAGGTTCTAGATCAAAATTCATCCGGAGCTTGGTCTGGAATGATTGCCGGGATACAATGGGGTGAGTTCCATTGTTGGTCTATTTTCGATATGAACTGACTTCGGTAGCCGTGAATGATGCCCAGTCGCAGGGCAGGATCACTCGATCTGTCATCAACATGTCGATAGGGGGGCCTAAGTTTCAGCCCCTCAACGACTGCGTCAAAAGTGCAGTCGACGCTGGTATGACAGTAGTAGCGGCCGCCTGCAACTACGGCGTCGATGCATGCACATACAGCCCAGCCTCGGCACCTGAAGCTATCACAGTAGCAGCTGTGGATATATCCGATACTCGGCCCAATTGGTCGAATTATGGGGCTTGTGTCAATATATTCGGTCCCGGTGATAACATCTATTCGGCCTGGAAAGACAGCGACACTTCATACCAGGTCTTAAGCGGAACTAGCGTATGTAACATCAAGTTCTTTATCACTGTTAGCCCATCTCAGGAATAATAGACTTTCTAATGACTTCCTTATCGAGCTGACTGAGGACTTATTGCCTCCGAGACATGCTTAATATTTCGAGACCGTTTTTCCCGAGGGAGACATTGCTGACACCTGTTGTAGATGGCAAGTCCTCATGTTGCTGGGCTCGTAACATACTTGTTCTCGCGAGAATTCATATCGGGGCAGACAGAGGTGAATAACCGTCTGATCCAACTCGGGACGGAGAACAAGGTGCAGAATCCCAACGGAAGTCCGAATTTGATTGCCTTCAACGGCAATAAAGATGAGTTATAAAGGTTTGGCCCTTGGCCGTTAACACGCGAAATGATTGAATAGAGAAGGAAAGAGGGTATACATACATGTATTTACCTAATTGCATAATATTATCAATAGAATTATGTACATATCACATTAGATTCGATATATAAAGTTAGTAAATCATGATGTGATAATGACGGTTAGCAGTGAGCGCTACCTGAGCAGTGGAGTTTCCCCTATATGCTGGGGTACGTACCCCGTAATTTAGCGCAGACAGGGTAGGACACCCCCTAAAGGCTCTATTGGCCCGTGCTGAACACTTAACGCGTCTGCTGATTTCAGACGCGTCAACTTCAGCTCTAACCACTTCCATGATCAAGTCCACCCCTAAGACGCATTCACGAGACAAGGTCTTACCAATAATTTGACGACTGCGTGGCTCTCTTCATATCCACGATGTCCGGCCAATCGAAAGAGAAGAAACAACAGTCTCTTACCAATTTCTTCGCCCCGAAGACCGTTAATGGCCTGTCCGCGTCTCTCCGAAAGTCACAGGCCGAAGATGCCGACGTTCCTAGCAAGACCCCTGAAAGCTCTCGCAAGCGACCGCTCCAAGAAGATACCGACAACGGAAACGATATTCCGCTAAGGAAGAGACCGAAAGGTAAAGAAGTAGAGAATAAGGATGGCGATATAGAAGGGCCGGCCCTGGAGTCACCTACTCTAGCTCTAAGTAGACCGGCCACACGTACGGAACGCTACCTTTACAACAAATCGAGCTCCCACGATGATGCGTCGAATGATGACGAAGAACCCAGTGCCGCCGAAAAGCGGAAGAAGGAAGAGCTGCACCGGAAATTTGTACAGAAACTTGGCCGACCGGATAGCCTGGCATATGGTCGGCATCGAAGTGGCAAGGAAGATGATACGCAAGCTATGGACGAGGACGCAGAAGATGGCGAAGAGGAAGAACCGCCACCACCGCCTACGAAGGGGAAAAAGAAGGGCGCTAAGACGGGGAAGCTCACACCCATGGAGATCCAGTTCCTCGACATCAAGAGGAAGCATATGGACACCATATTGATCGTCGAGGTCGGATACAAGTTCAAGTTCTTTGGTGAAGACGCCCGTGTTGCTGCTAAAGAGCTTAGCATTGTATGTATACCCGGAAAATTCCGCTACGACGAGCATCCATCCGAAGCACATCTCGACAGATTTGCTTCTGCCAGTATCCCTGTGCATCGACTACCAGTCCACGCCAAGCGTTTAGTAGCAGCTGGTCACAAAGTTGGTGTTGTCCGCCAAGTCGAGACTGCAGCATTAAAGAAAGTTGGAGATAATCGCAATGCTCCCTTTACAAGGCAGCTCACAAATGTCTATACTAAGGGCACCTATGTCGACGAGATTGGCGAGTTGGACCAAGGTACTTCAGGGGCCCCGGCAGGTGGATACCTGCTCTGCCTAACAGAAACGAAGGCTAAGGGCTGGGGTACCGATGAAAAAGTCGATGTTGGTATAATCGCAGTACAGCCTGCCACAGGTGATATTATTTACGATAATTTCGAGGATGGCTTCATGCGAAGCGAAATCGAAACGAGGTTGCTGCATATCTCGCCATGCGAGTTTCTCATCGTCGGTGAGCTCTCTAAGGCCACGGACAAACTGCTTAAGCATCTGTCCGGCAGTGCCACCAACGTCTTCGGCGACAGGAGTCGGGTCGAAAGAATCCCCAAGTCTAAGACCATTGCCGCCGAAGCATATTCCCATGTTGCACAATTTTACTCTGCCAAACTCAAGGAGGCTTCTGATGGTAGCAACGATCAAGCGAGTGCGCTCTTAGACAAGGTTCTGAAGTTGCCCGAGCCTGTTACGATTTGCCTATCCTCAATGATTAAACACCTGACGGAGTACGGTCTAGAGCACATATTCGACCTTACCAAATACTTCCAATCCTTTAGTGCTCGTCAGCACATGCTAATAAATGGGACCACATTGGAGAGTCTAGAGGTATATCGGAATTCGACCGACCACACCGAAAAGGGCAGCCTCTTCTGGGCACTCGACAAGACTGTGACCCGTTTCGGGCAGAGACTTCTACGTAAGTGGATCGGTCGACCTCTCCTAGACAAAGAGCGTCTTGAAGAGCGGGTAACCGCTGTCGAGGAGCTCGTAGAGAATGCTTCGACTGCCAAAGTTGACCAACTAGAACGCCTATTGAAGAATACCAAGACGGATCTGGAGAGGAGTTTAATCCGCATATACTATGGAAAATGCACACGCCCCGAGCTTCTATCAGTTCTGCAGACACTACAGAGAATAGCAATGGAATTTGCGCGAGTGAAGTCGGCTGAGGATACAGGTTTCAAGGCAGAGGCAATAAGCAAGGCCATTACTTCACTACCACTAATCCTACCCACCGTTCTGTCATACCTCGACCGCATCAACGCAGATGCTGCGCGTAGGGACGATAAATACACATTCTTCCGAGAGAGCGAAGAGACGGACGACATCACCGAGCACAAGCTAGGCATCGCATCGGTGGAGCAAGAGCTCGACGCCCACCGCAAGGTAGCCGCTCAGACGCTCGGGAAGAAAACCCCCGTGCCCTACGTCACCGTCGCCGGCATCGAGTACCTCGTAGAAGTGCCCAATGCCGACCTCAAGCGCGTCCCCGCCTCCTGGCTCAAGATCAGCGGCACCAAGAAGCTCTCGCGTTTCCACACCCCCGAGGTCGTGCGCCTGATATCGGAGCGCGACCAACACAAGGAGGCCCTCTCAGCGGCCTGCGACACCGCCTTCTCATCCCTTCTCGAGAGCATCGCCGCAGACTACCAGCCCCTCCGCGACGCCGTCTCCTCTCTCGCCACTCTAGACTGTCTCCTCTCCCTCTCCAAGGTCGCCGCCCTGCCAGGATACTCCAAGCCCACCTTCCTCCCCTCGGACACGCCCCCCACCATCTCCATAACAGGCGGCCGGCACCCTATCGCCGAGCAGACGCTAACCACGTCCTACATCCCCTTCAGCACATCCCTCACCTCCCCGTCTCCCCTCGCCCACCTAATCACCGGCCCGAACATGGGCGGCAAATCCTCCTTCGTCCGCGCCGTCGCGCTTCTCGTGCTGCTAGCCCAGATCGGCTCCTTCGTGCCGGCCGACTCATTCACGCTGACGCTCGCCGACGCGATATACACGCGCATGGGCGCGCGCGACAACCTGTTCGCGGGGGAGTCGACCTTCATGGTCGAGGTGAGCGAGACGGCCCGCATCCTGCGCGCCGCGACCCCGCGCTCCCTCGTCGTCCTCGACGAGCTCGGCCGCGGCACCAGCACCCACGACGGCGCCGCCATCGCCCACGCCGTCCTCGAGCACGTCGTCGCCGACACCAGGTGCCTCACCCTCTTCATCACCCACTACCAGAACCTCGCCCGCGTCGCCGACGGCCTCGCCGGCCGCTGCAGGAACGTGCACATGCGCTTCACCGCCGCTAGGCGCGACGGCGCCGCCGACGGGGACGGCGACGAAGATGACGAGGAGATCACCTTCCTCTACGAGGTGGGCGAGGGCGTCGCTCACAGGTCCTACGGCTTGAACGTGGCGAGGCTGGCGCGCATTCCGCGCAAGGTGTTGGACGTGGCGGCGAAGAAGTCCAGGGAACTCGAGGAGACCATCAAGATGCGCAGGCTAAACGGTACGACGAGGCTCCTAGCCGACGTGTTAGAAAATAGCTCTGATCAGCTAGAGCACCTTATATCGAGCATCGAACAGTTGTAGGCTCGATTAAGTTACACACACCTGTAATAAATACCCCTGTTTTACGAAGAAGTTCAATGCAATTGATATAATAGAACGCAGCGCAAGCCTAGATAATAGCCATGAACTAATGTACATACCCCATGCTATGGTGAAAGTCCAATTCTCAAAATAGCTAAGCTAATGTAACAAAGTCCGATCCATCTATGACCGATTCAGCGTCGCATACCCTTCCTTACGCCCATCAACTCAGTTCAATGACCCATAGAGTGCCTAACCAGAACAGGCACCTCGATAGGTCAACGAACCTGCGATATCTGACCCGAATGAAAACCGACCGAAATTAGCAAAGTGGAAAGCGCAAGCCAATGGGACGATAATGTATGAATTCAGATGAATTCCGTAATGCCTCGTGAGGTTGGATTCGAGTTCACTCTGACCATAGACCAGATCATGCGACTTTTATCTCGAAACCCCGCCGTATAGTACCGAACGGCGTTTGATGATCTGAATTGTTGAGAGAAGACCTGAATCATCCATAGCGAGGATATAGCTAGCCATTGAACCATGTGTCACTAGCTGGTTCAACCATGACGTAAGCATCAGTAAAAAGTGGCCTCAATTGACCCATAATCGTGGAAAACGTAATAATGTGAAGCAGGGACGTAAGTGTTCCTGCGATAAACGTCTATTGCAGTGTGGTGGATCTGAATTCGGGATAAAGACGAGTAATTTCCCATCCTAGGCAATACGAATTCAATGGCACCGACTCCAGATTCCTAAAGGTCAAAATCACTGCCCCCTTGGTTTGAAGGATAGGCTGCATTTTGTTGTGGTGTCATCTGTAGGGGACCGAACCCAGCCTGGCCGTTGATAGGCTGGAAACCATTGCCCATTGTCGGCTTCACACCCTCGTCATACGATGAGTACATACTGAATCCGAGTCCATCTCGAGGCTGGACGTAGAGAGGGTTGTAATTCTCGCCGGAGCCAGAAGTGGCCGTCTGCAGGTAAGGGTTAGAAGGCGTGGCAGTTTGCTTCAGACCCAGGCTTTCGTTCTCCTTCCCATTGAAGCTCGAGGAGGTCGGTGATCGTTTAACAGCAGAGTTAGGCGACGTAAACGAAAGGTTCGGGTTGCCTGGTCGCAAAGCGAGGCCTGGCAAGCGGTCATGACTGTCAGGGAAAGTGAGTCCATCGTCCATGTGTGGGAAAGATGGGAGAGGCATTTGCCATAACTCACTGCCGTCTCCGTTTTCCGGAAGGACTGGTGGCAGAACCTGTTCTGTGTCAGCCGGCATGTTTCCGGCAAAGGGTGAGAGTAAATCCCAACCTAATGCGTTGTCCATCCCCATCGGATCATGATACATGCCCATGTCACCATGAAATCCATGGCTGTGAAGTGGCAACTGCGCCTGTGTCTGTGGCAAACCATGATGAAAGGTTGACCTGGTCACTCTTCCACCAGCGTCTAAGGCTCGACTACGTTCTGGCGCGATGGAACCTGCTAAAGAGGCGTATCTGAGCTGTGCGCCCTGTGTTGCTCCCTGGTTAGCACGCGCAATACGAGAATCGTGGGGAATAGTAGTGCGTCTAGTCTTCTTCGCAGCCGATATGGCACGTGTCTGAGGGCCTCTGCGTTTGGGCTTCGTTTCGATCTCGTCCTCTTCCTCATCTTCCTCTTCGCCGTCATCCTATATTACAGTCAGCTCATAATACCAAGTCAGTTCAATCCCTCTTTTACTCACTTCACCCTCATCAGACGGATCATCGTAAACATCCCGAGTTCGTTGATGGTCGAGGTTCGCATCAAACACGTTCTCATCCGTGCTAACTAATGTCGAATTGATCTCGAGCTGCTGAAGGACAGCAGGGGGTTTACGTTGATTTCGTTTGCGGCGCTGTTCCTCTTCGGCTGCATCAAAGAGACCCATACCAGGGAAGACTATGCCCTTGAGGGATGGAATGCTTACGTCAACGTCGTTCATCTCCATGTTGTCAGTGATAATATCTGACTGGCTTCCCTCTCGGCTTTCCTCTGACGATACGCCTTTCGGAGAGACATATTCATCGCCGACACTCTCAAAATCAGCCTGGGACACCAGGTCCAGGTCACCCTCGTTAGCTATCAATGCGTTGAGTTGATTCGGCCACGATGGGATAGCAGGGTTCTCAACGCCGTGGTATCCGCCTGGATAACCCATGTTTTCGTCTGGTTCGTACTTCATGCTCGCGGTCTCCTGAACTCTGCGATTACGAGTGCGACCGCGTGGATTCTGCAAGAGATCATATGTTAGAGTATAATTATATAATTATAACATGATTGAAACTCACAGTATCGCCACGACGGCCACGACTACCACGGCCGCCACGGCTTCCACGACCACCACGACGTGTTGCCGGGCGGCTCACCGGGGAATCTCTTGGCGTTTGGCTTCGTCGGCTTAGCTGCGCACTCTTCTCGCCTCGTGCCTCCATGCGTTGCAGAACTAACTGCTTGATGTGGTATGTGTTGTACCATATGTCAAATTGTCGGCAGCGCATAGCAGCTGCTTCATCAACCTGGCTTATGATTTGTAGGTTGTAGAGCTCCAACAGATGCGCCTTAGAGCTAACATGTGTTAGAAGGTGAGAAAGGTCAGAGAATCTCTGCTGTTTCTCGCAAGAATAACAGACGAGGGGAATCTGTGCTGGATCTCCTTGGTGGACTAGGGGAGCGGGTTCTTCGAGGGTTTGTGCCTGGTGAAGAGGCTCATCGCGGTCGCCAGTGATATAGGCATGGTCTAAGTGCGGATAGGCTGCCATCTTCTATAAAATGATATTGTTAGCAATTGGCACATTTTCTAAAAGATAATTATTACTTGAAATGAGTTGCAAATAGGGATTAGATAGCCCAATACGAAATGTAGACGGACTAAGAAGTCGTTGTTGGGGACGAAAATAGAAGTATTCCAACTTCCTTAAGTTTTCGTTCTTTTGGCAATAAATCCCTGTTCAAGTGATCGAGCCGGAGAACGAAACAGTGTATGGTGTGAGATGGGAGAGGGTGGCCTTAACGAAGTAACGAATATGAGAAGCAGTCGGGTCTTGTCAAGTGGGAATTTCTAAATAGAAGGGGGAACGGTTGGATAAGAAGAAATACATACCGTCGAGGATCGGTGCAACGGTAGTGAAAGTGGCTACCGAAGTAAGTACTTGACACAAATAAGTGTAGCCTAAGAGGCCGTAGAATAGAGAATTCAATGAAGGATTTGAAGGTGCGAATGTCGAAGTTGGGGAGTTGGCGAGATTGGGGTTTTAGTATTGCGGATCCTTGATAGTGGGAAGTGTGGTCGCGAATCCGAGAGTTGAAGTCTACTAATGGATTTTCAGGTAAATGGCCCGGGTAAATGAGACCAATCCTGAGTTGCCAGAGACCGCCGAAGCTGTCAAATCTTCGTGATAATTAGTCGACAGCGACCTTTGCATAGTATTTGGATCTTGGTACCTTGATATCGATCCGGGCCGGCATTCAATACTTCGCGAAGAGTACTCAGGTAGCTAGAACCACTGTTGCCTGATCGTAGTTGCCGATTTGCGATTATTCCACTTCTTTTTTTTTCCTGAAGCCCTGTAGTTTCCTTCGTTAGATAGATTAAGAAAGTGATGATATGCAGCCGCTACCATAATCCGAATATCGTGAGGTACCTAGGTAAATTGCGGGCGGTGGTGGAAGGTATTATGAGAACGTCATATTTTCTTGGAGAGGAAAGCGTGACGGGATAGATTGTAGATCTGCACTGGACTAAAAAAATATGACGGTCTTGATGTGTTTTGAGGTTCGGTGATAGGGTCATTTTCTTCCACGGAGAACAAGAAAGTGATGACTCAACAAGCGGTGAGGATGGATTGAAATTGGGATCATTAAATTTTTTTTTTCTTCCCAAATGAAATCAAGGAAAACAGGCCTCATATCTTAATAATAATGAGGGTATTTTGACGAAGGACGTTGGAAGCAAGTTCGAGATGTTGAGCAGGAACTTACCTTGGGTACTGGGGATCTTTCAGTACGGATGGAGAAAGGTGAATAGGAAGAAGGTGTTGGGTCCTAAATCAATTTTGTAAAATTGAAGAAGATGGATAGGACCAACCGACATTTGGATTGGTAATGTCAAAAGTTAGGGAAGTGGATGGTTGAAGAAGTTGAAGGTGAGTCAGGAAGAAGTCTGATTTTATGTGTGTTTCTGAACATTTTATTGCTTCCACTTCTCAGTATTGAGTACTACGTGTGTTTTCAAATTTGATTCAATTGATAATACTTAACCTTAAACAACTGGATATCGTCAGTTCCTTCCTAGTTATTGATTCTACGAATTCGTATCGATGTCGTGAAGGTATTTAGTAAGTATCCATACACCTAGGTGACGGCTAACTAATAACAATGTGGAATACATCCCGATACATATATCTTAACATCAAATTAAGTTTAAATACGGGGCACCTATTATATTAGTAGGAAAGAGATCATGTGGTCCATGCTTCAGTGTTGCCTAGGATTTAATAAGTATATGTATACTTATGACTCCGTTACTGATGTAGGTAGCTATGCAGTCAGAACCTTTGGCGTTGAACGACGTCTAAAGGTTAACATTTACTTACCATACCGGGAACCCCCGCTATCGGATAATGATTTACCTTCCGCAAAAACCATAACCCATTATCATTATAATACTTTCATTTAATTATAATTATTAAGTAAATAATTATTAATAGGTATAAATAATTATTAAAAGGTTTAAATAATTATTAAAAAATTAAAACATTTATTAAAAAATATATTTAAATAAGTTTTTTATTTTTTATTTTTATTTTTATTATTATTAATAAAAATAAAAATAAAATTTATAAATTTATAAGTTTATAAATTTATAAGTTTATAAGTTTATTAATTTAATGATTTATAAATTTATAATTTTATAAGTTTATATATTTACGTATTTATTATATTTTATTAATTTTTATAAATTTATAAATTTATTAATATTAATATTAAAATAATTTAATATATAAAAATTAATAAAAAAATATTAAATAAATTTAATATATAAATATTAATAAAAGATATAAAGTATTATATAAATAAATAATATATATATAAAAAAATTTTTAAATTTTTTATATATAATATTAAATAATATATATAAAAAAAAGAAAAAAATCTTAAATTTTTTTTAATAAATATTAATTTTAATATTATTATTATTATTATTATTATTATTATTATAAATAAAAAAGGTTAAAAAAAAAATAAAAAAAAAGTAAATAAAAAAAAATAAATAATATTAAAAATATTAAAACTTTAAAAATTTTATTAAAATTTAAAAGTTATAAAATAATAAATAAATTATAAAAGAATTATAATTTATTATTAACTTTATTATTATATAAATTATTTAATTAATAATTTTAAAAACTTAACTTAATAATTATTTACTAATTATAAAAACGAGTAATAATTTTTATTTTATTAATAATTATTTAATTTTTAATGATTGTTCGAATTTCTTAAGGTATATCAATGATTATTTAACTTTTAAATAATTGTTAAACTACGTATTTTCCCGCTATGGTACCTACCTATGTATGTCCCTTCAGCGTTAAATATACTGATCTTCATAAGTAATTAAGCAACTTGGATATGAGAAGTAGTGACGCAGGTCACGTAACTGGTATTATTTTGTACCAGAGAAGCACACATGTGCTCATATTTTAGTTTTATCAGTTCTCCCCTTTGCCTTTGAGCGCCAGATGAACTTGACCATCAACATAGGTGGATGACCATAAAGATACGGTAATATTATCATCCCGTAATACATACATGTGAGGCACATATCATGTTAGACGAGTATTCTCTCTGATGTTGTCAACAGAACCAATAGCGACTAATGTAAATAATTTGCTGGCCTATCTGGTTAATACACTGGCAAGTAGGTACCTAATAGGACATATATAGCGGCCTAAAACGCTGCTAATGTACACTAAGAACGTTAATATAACTCTAAATTTAATGGGGCGCGGGTTAATTCTTAGGAAGGGATGATTGGATACAGAACAGAATCTTTCGGGTCATTATGGACTACCAAACTCAAATTTAGGTAAGTATTATCGTCCGCCGTCCCACGTTCAGTGGCCGCAAGACGGTACTGAAGCTGTTCAACGATGTCATCCTTCAAGAATAACTTCACGATAATAAAAGATCAATTATAGATTCAGGAAGCTTCCATATCTTTGTGCGGAATTTCTCGACATCGAAACGTCCCCACTGCTAACTTTCTGTTCAAAGCATCTTCCTTCATACCACTGGATTTTGACCCGGGAGGCTCGTCAACCCTACAGAAAGAATGTTTAGCGGCTGATAACCCCGATTCACGAACGGATAGATAGTTAGGTACTCACAGCTGTCAATGTCTTCATTCACCATATCAGGAACTTTGCATTGGTTCTGCTGAGCAATGCTCTGGGTCTTGAGCATCGGAGCAGAGACGTAGGTATGGCCATCCATCGCCTTTTGTAAGCTGTCATCTTTCCATCCGAATAGGTAGTCGGCATGGCTGGAATAGCCGGTTGCATCCCCAGTGGACCACACAAATGGTTGATTACCATCGGCGAAGTCTGCGGGGTCGTTGAATGCCCTCGTATCCCACATAGTCTCGAGGAGTATCTGTGGCAAACGCACCGGGTGAGTAGCAGGGCAGGGACCGCCTGACTCGAAGGTCCCGGACTCTGGATATGCTACATGATCTTGGTGGTTAGGAGAATCGAGGTTCTTGCCATCCCAGCAGGTCGGAAATCTATGGTTGGCCATAATACCGCCGGGGCAGGGCCTCGTGGGGAATCCAATGCTTTCGGGTGCTCTAGTGCCTTGGTTCTCCATGCAGATGTATGTTAGTTGTCGGAATTTCCTGGCCTGTTCACGGTCACGGAACACCGCATCGCCTACAAGCATACGGAAGCCAGGCTTGAAGGCTGTGACCGTTGACTTTTGAGCGGTGTCGAACAGCGCATCACTCATGTAATAGACGACCTTTCCACCAAGTTAGAATATCATTATTCCGATTTGTTAGTCATCCAGATCTTACCATGCCTCCTTGAGTACCTTCCATGCCTGCTCTGTTTTATTTGAGATTAGTTACACTTCACCTTGGTGGATATCATTTATCTTTGTAAACGTACTGAGCCATCTGCGGGACCCTCTTGAATGTACCATTCTTGGCTCGGTAAAATATGACAGCCGTCCAGTAGTTGGAGAAATCTTCTGTAAATTGGCAACTTGTGCAAGTAGATAATCCAGGAAGATCGTGCTCTTCCGGCGGCATTGATGCGTTAAAGGAATTCTGCGGAACATCAGCCAGAGGTATAAATCTTGAACAACCATATTCCATACCCCTCCTATGATCTGGTGAAGATGTGCAGATGGGTTCATTCCCGGGTTAACCAAGGGGTCCAGACGTTGGACAGTCAGACCAGAACAACCAAATCGGAGCAGCGCGCTGGCAGGGGCAAAAAGCCCTAAGGCAACAACAAAGTTTAACTGCATCTTAGTAAGATCTTCCTGAGCTATTACTTTGGTGATTGTGATGAGGATCTAGGAGAGGCAGGCAGTCGGAAGGAAGCTGTGATAGTTATCATATCAGCACTGGTGAATCTTCACGTCGCCGCAAACCACTGCCGTCTGTTCCACACCTTCAGACAAGTCAAGTTTGGTTTTCGGTCTCGGATGATATCGGCCCTTAATATAAGAACAGATTTCCATAGGCGAGCTGCTTGACCTTGAATCCGGTTAATGTGGAGAACATATGCTCGTTCGGGACTTGCACAGGAAGACGAAGGCATCAAGGAATTGGATAGATATGTTCAAGGTGACCCTCATCTAGCTATTTGACATATGTGACCTATCAATATAGTAAATATTAATGTCTATCCGGTAGATAATTCTCTATTTCCATGTCAGTTGTCACCATACGGGTCCACCATGGTCCCACACCTATGGTAGGTATGACTTCTACGCAGATACTTCGTATAAGTATATCATCACATCTTGCGAGACTCAAGGGAACCCTGGATTTCTTCATTCTATTTCTAATATTTAGATCAACACACAAACCCGGTGACTAGGGTGCAATAAAAGCAAAACGTCCTCGTTTCTCAATATCATGCCTGCTCTCTATATCGTGATGTCTCCTATTAGAGCGGAATGACTGTTCCCGGTTTCCTTCTTCACCGTCCCCGCACTATAGCATATAAAATACTTACCTTTACTGGCAAATGAGAGTAGAAACTTAATTCTTGGTTACCACTTACACATTACTGACATAATACGGGGCCATGCTTTATATGCAACTCACATCCACCTTCGGCTAAAATCCTTAATTAAAGCGTGTTGAGAACTGTTATCATAGACGCCACTAGACAATTGAGTCGTTATATCTGACTGGCGTCATCTGGCCCATTCCAAAAATACTTATGATCCTCATTAGTGTGTTTGCCTGACAGAGAGCTTTCACTGTGATTTTTTATCTCAGATCATTTCGGCGAAACAGACTCTCCAGACACCCACAATGAAGCTATCATTCACATTCACCCTTCTCTGGCTTGGCATAGCCCTCGGTCAACAATTCCCTGAATGCACTCGAGAACTTGCGGAAACCGACGATTGCGCCGATGTTATCAATGCCAACGCTTGTTATAACCAATTCCGATTCAGGGACAATCAAACTCTATCATGCATCGGTGGGACGGACAATAATGAGAGGGCTAAAAAGGCATGACATAAACAAATATGATGATATCCGTAAAAGAAGCTTGCTAATAAGATAGTAAAGGCATGCGCATGCTGTACTTGTGTCGGCCAAGTGATGTGCGATTGGGTTATTCAGCAGAGGTTCCAGTGTTAGGATATATCAACCCCTGAAATGGGCCATGGGAGTAAGGAGGGACTAGTAGATGTACGTTACAAATAATTCCCCCTGGAACCATGTATTCAAATATTTAAATTGCCATCGTAGAAATCGGGTTCGATACGTACTGATTTGAGTTTAAATTTTATCATCATGGTTCCTTTGCCATTCGTAATGTCCAGGATTCATATCATAGGATTGAACTCGGAATTTACTCCTTTCCTGCTGGGACTCTAAGAATACTGACTCTTAGGGATGCCCTTGATCTATCTCAGGAATAAAATCCAAATACTGCAAGGGTGGATGAGTTGGAGAACCATAGATGTGTTATCTAAAGTGTTTTCAGACGATGCTCGACTGCTATCAATGTGTCAACAAGCAGATTAACTACATGCAGAAACTGATTGACGATACCATACAAAAGATAAACACAGGGGCAAGTTTATTTTTCTCTAGAAAACTTGGCGGCAATCAATTTAGGGCGCCCCTTTTGGTCCATCGTTTTCTCGAGAAGCCCGATTTCTTCCCGCATCCCGAATCCGGGGATTCGGGAAATCAACGTCGAACGGTGATTTCTGCGCCGTTGGCTGGGGTGATGGCGGCAACCGTTAGCGCAACTCATGCTTGAGTTACTCATCCATGGATGCCACGTTTCGTGTCCCGGACCATCGCGTGCTCATGGCCGTGGGCACCCGCATCTAGGTTATGCATGCCCTCATTATGCTCTCCGAGATTTCGGTATGACCGCACCGTACGACCTCGTCACTTTTATCTATGGAAACGATGAGAAATCTTCCACTGGACACGAATTCTTCAACCCCAGGAACGATCATTTCTCGCAGATCATATGAAAACCGGTGAGAGCGAATATTGATGTCAACGGTTCGATGAAGATCATGACGACAAAAACGATGCACCTAGGTACCGACTTAGCTCTCACAAGGAACCTGTATATAATTAGCAGACCGCTCCAATTAATTCCTCTTGTTTCGTTTCACACATTCACACATTCACACATTCACACAAACCGTTCATCGCCCCGTCGGACAGCCCGGAGAAACATGAAGTCAGAAAGAAGCAAAGAATGGGAATGAAGGATTCGATGTGCGAAGGATGTTCGCTTTGGAGCAATGAACTGCTGCATTATTCAATTCCAGGGGATGATCGTTAATGGGTCGTCAAAAAGGCCTTGCGGATTACCCAATCACATCTCATGCAAGTCCACTCCGTCAGCAGAATCCGCCCTAATATCTCCACTACCAAACTCGTGGCACGGCACTGCTCTCCAGCAGATCGCTGCATTGCCTCGCAACCCGCATTGACCAACAGCAAATACCGCCAGCCGCAAGCTTATTTTCACCTATGTCGCCATAGTCTGACTGCATATACGCCGCAGCTCGACAGACATCACAGTCAGCATACCCCGCCTCTCCAGGTATATAGCGTGTTCGTGTTGAACTAATCGAATACGTCTTTCTTCCCTCTTTCCAATGGATCTTTTTACCCTCTCCTCCCTATCTTGCAAGAGAGGGTATCTCCAGGATGAAGTTTGGTGCTCTTTTCTCGCTGGCGGCGAGCATTCTCTCCCTTTCGCATCTCGTCTTTTCGGAGCCAATTCAATATTGCAAATATGGCGCCGAGACCAACGAGATTGACTTTTGCATGAGCCTGTTGACGCACTACAATGCCTCGACTAGTGCCCACGATCTTTTCCTGACCATGAGTGTCACTCGCCCGAATAGTACGGCTATCGGATGGACTGCCATAGGCCTAGGCGAAGTTATGGAAGGGGCTCTGATGTTCATTATCTATGGTGACCCGTTAGCATCTAAGCAGCCCGTCATCAGCATCCGCAAATCCATCGGCCATGTACAACCAACGCTCATTACAGACGAGGACATGAAAAAGGGGGCCGACCTCCGTCTTTTGCGTGCTGATTGGCAAGAATCTCCTTCGGACCCACGCACGGTATCGGCAGTGACTTCTCTCATCTGTTATTCATGCCATCTGTTTCCCGGAACAGAAATCTCCTCCACATCGAAGTCCCAGCCGTGGCTGTGGGCATGGAATAACAAGCAAGAATTCGACGATTTCCCATACGACGCCCATCTGAAAATGCATGCCCATCACGCAGGCGCAGGTGGATGGGGGAACTTCTATGTCGACATGTCGCGGTCCTTGAACACATGGGAAAGTCCACCAAGTCCGCCTTCAATCATATACGGGATACAGGCCATAGGCGTCAGCGAGAGTCCCAGCAGGTCAGCCGCCTACGGGATCGCGTGGCTCAAGAACAACCCTATACTTCACGTTCATGGGATACTTATGGGAATTGCCTTCCTGTTCGTCTTCCCTCTCGGAGTATTGGCTATGCGGTCTGGTCGCATGAAGGCATTCAAGTACCATTGGGTGCTGCAGCTTGTCGCATCTGGGTTCACAGTCGCTGGTTTTGTGTTGGGGCTCGTTCTCGGGCGCAAGATCGATACCTTCCATCAAATACTTGGCATCACACTCGTAGCCTGCCTCGGACTCCAGAGCATTCTCGGCTGGCGGCACCATATGGTCTTCATCCGCCTCCGTCGCCGTACTTGGCTTTCCCATTCTCACATCTATCTTGGGAGATTCATGATGGTTGGGGGTTGGACCAACCTTGTCACTGGCCTCATCCTTCGTGGATATTCCCGTCTGAGTGTCGGAATAATGGGTCTTATAGTAGGCTCGGAAGCAGTGGGGCTCACAGCTTGGTTAACATGGAAAAGAATCCAGGCTGCTCGTGCTGAAAGAATGAACAAGCCTAACCTAGTGGGACACAAGGATGATGTGACCAACTACTTTGCTTTGGATGACCTAGATGATGATGAAGAGGAGGAGGAAGAAGATGCTTCGTCTTCGGAAACCCTGCAAGATGAGGAGTCCAAACCTATGATGGGGAAACCCGAGAAGGCGTAACTATTATACGCGGAGAGCAATACATGAGCATGACTGTCTCTATACCATAAATTACCTACCTAGTAGATAAAGGCCAGAATGCAGCGCTGTAAATTGGAAGTTGTTCTTCTTTTATAAAGGTGCAGTATTTTTGAGTTCTTGGGGGTCTAACAGTGAAAGTCGCCTGTAAATATGGGTCTGCGCTAACGGGTCGTGCCGTTCTAGGTACCGGCTCGATTCTTTTTTAGGCTCATAGACCCTAGGATATAGCCCGAAGGTCTCCGGTAAGCACCTAAGTAAGCACCGATTTTTCTCAGTAAAACGAATTTGGTGGAAAACGTTTCCTCGGAACCGAGATGTTCCATTTTCTTCATAGAACAAATTCTACAATTCATTTTCCAGGGAGCGTAAGGAATGATGAGTGTAACAAACCCCTTCAATATCGCTCAAATTGACACGATCCTAATGTGTGATGGAGTATTTTGAGATCGAGGTTGCGTATAATGTAAGGCTATCTCTTTTTATAAAGGGGTAGGATGATAACAATTATAGGGAGAGACCATGAAGGGGATTCACAGGGAGACATCCATAACTGAAGTTCGTTATCCTAAATTCTTTCGTCATCACTTCGTCACGTCATTTCGAATAACCAGATCCTACCAAGAAATCCGATAACCTTAAGCGCAGGACGAAGATGTGATGGACAAGAGTGTAACATCTAAGGTAAGAAAATCACCCTTACATGTATCTGGTATATAACCCTCAAACTTCGCATTAGCGTGACTCGGCAAGATTGGCCAATATGCATAGGATGCTATTATTATGACAAATTCGGTATTGCGATTGGGGCTCTCATCTGCAGATATCTACTTCGATATATTGGCGATGCGTGCGGGGCGACACCAAGGAAGGATCTCATAAGGCAGCACTACACTATTGACGACGAAGGACGCCGCTTTAAAACGGTCTATTGAATGTCCATCTTATGGATAAGATCCCAACCCCAGAATATAGCTTATCTAAACGCGATGCCGAACCATCCCCATCCAATCGGGGCGACCAATTGGAGCTGCTAGGCGCAGATCTTGGAGCTGGCCGAGATAATGCAGGGGACGCCGTCCAACCAGAGTCGTCGACCCCGCCGTAAACGGAAACGCCCTAGACGTAGGTTCGCCGGTCTCGATTCGCACGTGTGTTATGGAAAACCGTAAGTCTATTGTTATCTCCTGACCGGAGGTAGCGAGCATCTGGGCAGCATCGCGCAAAGTTATCGTGGCCGAATTCGGGATACTGGTGAAGACGTAAGTCGGAAAGCTTTCGGGATTTCGAGGAGAGCTCGAGGGGTTCTGAAGATGTATATAAAGCTTTGCATCGCTCTTGTTTGGCAGGAGAGAGCGTGTTGGCGGCAGTCTAAGTCAAGAACATCTTCGAGCAGCTAGTTGAAACCACAGTAATGGGATCTTTGATTAGCAAAGTTAGCAAGAAAAAATCCGAAATGGCCTCTACTCCCGTCCCGATGTCCTACTACGCGAAAGCGTCGAGCGTCAAGCCGCCACTGATCGCTAACGAGAATGCTTTTCTCGGAGATGTCTCCTCGTCGTAAGTCCTGGCGTGGATCCTCACTTAGCGTACGATATAGCTAATCTCGTAATAGCGACAAGCTCGACCCCGAGAAGCCCATATCAGCTGGATTCTACCGACTTGAGAAGGGAACTCCACTGGTATATGCGTACCACTATCACGAGAGTAAGCCTTTTCCGCCGAAGTCTTTTTCCCAACATAGGTCAACTAATTAAGTCTTGCTTTAGTGAAAATCATCATCGAGGGTAGCTTCGACATCAGTGACGAGACAGGCAACAAGGTGCACGCAGTTCCTGGCGACGTCTTTTACTTTCCCAAGGGCTCAAAGATCACCTTCACAACGGAAGATTACGGACTCGCCTTCTACACCGGACAACGAAAGGCAGATGACGCATAAATGAATACATGTAAAATAAATCAGGATGAATATGCGGGATGAAAAATGGCCTATTCAAAGGCTAGTTTGTCTATTCATACCAATTGTATATAGTTAATGAAGATATACCCTCTACCTGAGCTTTTGTTGGTTGCCGAACGGCTTCAAGACGATCGAGCTAGATCCAATGATCAGCGAATAAGATGTACAAATGTAACCCTAAAGCCCATATGACGTGATGAAATATAGGCAAGGGGAAAACTTTTGAAGTCGATCTACTCTTGCCTTGTATCCTAACTATCATTTAGAATAAGTTAGTAGGTTATTAGATTGCAAGAGATGATAAATCGAGTCACCGAGCTTGATGTGGAATTCCATAATGCACCTATAGTCACCAGATCACGATATTGCCTTCTCAATCCTGGCATGTTTCAGATTCGAGAGTCGGATGAATTGGATGGTCACTTTTTAGGAGCCGTCGCGCATTTAACCTGTCCTGCCAAACACGCGATCTATCGTAGACTTCGGTAGAGCATACACCGGGTCAATGTATTCCACATCGGGATATTTTAGCAAGCTTAGACCTGTCAGGCCAAAGAAGGTGTGCCAGATGTCGACCATATTACCGGGCCGGTCTGACAGGCCACCATTTTCGGTGTCTTGGCAGCTGAGGGTAAACTTGATGAGCTTTTCCCTATCAATCCAGTGTGCGCGGTCAATGATTGATAGGCTGCCCAATACCCACCAGTTGTAGCACACATCTTCTTGCTTCTCCGGTCTCCCGTTGAAGCCGCCACGGCTGACTTGTCTCTCGCTCAGCCAGCTGCCAAGCTTGTCAACATCGATCAAATCTTTGCGGCCGGCAATAGCAAGAGCAGCCACACATGTAAAGATCTGGCCGGAGTGGCTCTCAGCGCCGGGGCTAACGCCGTATCCACCGTCAAAATTGGCGCACGCAACAACGTAATCAACTGCTTTGTTCACGTCGACCAAGTCCAATAGACCTAGGAGGGAGAGAGCATTTAACCCGCCATATAGAAATCGCGTGTCTTCTTCTCCCCATTCATCGCCCGCAAATGCGCCGGTTTCCCGATTTTGGAGATTTGCGATGACTGACGGCAAGAATTAGCGGGCTGTTATGCTCGACATGGTTGGCAATAGCTGAAGCAGCAAATAGGAATTGAGCTGTGACCGATTGACTCACACTTGCCCACTTGAGCTTTACCGTTACCCTTGCCACGCTTCTCTAACTCGTCCAAGGCATCAAGTAAAACAAGGATCTGGACGGCGCTGACTGTGTAGAGCATGTGTGCGTCATGGCCGGGCGCAGCACCAAATCCGCCGGTTTCGTGTTGGCAAGAGAGAACAAAGTCTATGGCTTCGTCGCGGGGCAGGGCATCGGGCTGTCGGAGCAGATGCAGCGCGGTAAGCCCCCAATAGAGCCCGTTCAGGCGAAGATGTTCGGTAAGCCAGTATTCATATTCATCCTTTTTCGTATCTAAGCTCTGTATGTACTTTACGTGTGCTGCGGCCTCGAGCTGTAGTTCGTCCGGTAGGTTTTTGATTCCCGACATCCTCGAACTTCGCGCTGAAGGAGTGAAGATTCGGATCGGCAAAAGGAGAGGCGTAGGACAGCAAGTAAGTGGAACTGGCGTAGGATGAATGGTGAGTCCTCGGTTGCAAAGCTGACTCAGTTGTAGGCAGCAAGTTGATTTATAAAAAATCCAAGGTTCCTTCCGGAAAGGCAAAGTTCGGAGGTGGGGAAGGCGACAAGGGTGGGGACTTAGCAGCTGCCCAAGCAGTCAGTCTGCCAACCAGATGCCTTATGCAACGTGGGGTAGCTCCTTACCGCCCGGCAAAATACTATGAATATCGATATATAAAAGTCTCTCATACTTCTCTCATTCTTCTCCTTCTCTCCTTTCTTCCTCAGCTCTCTTTGCCGTATGGCTTAGATCAAGTGTAGTATCTGTTCTTTTCAGTTTAATATCTGAAAGAGTTACAACGTAACTCAATCATTTATTATACTTATTTTTGCGCTAAGGGTGCGATCCTCTGTGCTCGCGCATGATCGTTCCCACTGTGTCTCTGGTATAACACTGCTTCCAGACGACGCGATATTGATTTTTGAGTGTCGTTTTCATTGCGTTCTTGGGGTTCTCCTGGGAAGTGACGAAGATTGTTAAAAGTCATGTTCAATAATGACCTGCCCAAGTTTAAAATTATGTACCAGGTCTTGAGCCACATAATAGTGAAGGTTGACTCCACCGTCGGTTCCATCTACCTACTAGGTGCCAAGTAGCTCTGCTGAATCTTACAGATGCATCAACATATAGCGACCACTATAATTCCCTAAGACTGCTCAGCTCTAGTTAAATGCATCATTTTGGACAGGACCAGTCTACCTAATACACTTGACTAGTGGATGATACTTGCGTTTGTTTTCATTATAGCTTGATACTTGATTGAATTCGTACGTGGCTAGCTACTATGATATAATTTTATTTTAACACCCTTGATCGTTACATATATTTGGTGACAAGGTAATAAATCTTCGAAGTTCTATTATAAGTATATAAATACACCAGGTAGTTACCTACCAAAGAACCTCAAACGATGGGGATTGTGGGATTGCTTGATTGGAATATGAACTTCGCAGTTCGAAGGGGGCGCGTATGACGGCAACGCTCAACTGGGGAAAGATACCTATGTTTAGAAAGATGAAGCCACTACTACTGAACCATCCAAATCCTCTTATGTGGAGTTGTCAGAATATGTTGTATAACAAATACTAGCGATAGGTCTTTTGCGAGATAAAGGTTTTGTAAAGACCGAAATATTAAATTGGAGCAAACATGTTTGCACCATCTCAATATACTATCTTATATAGAAGACCTAAATATCTCACGATATTCCGAAACGTCAAAGTTCTCAACTAAAATCCAGCGTCTATATTTGATGTGTATCGCTAGTACCTATCTAGCGCTCAGATGGCACAATACTAGGTACACATACTATGTACATACCAACGGAAAAGCGGGCAAAGGTGGAGAGAATGGTTGTGCGTGGCAGCTTGTTTCAGATTCCAAAATCTTGTTACGCGCCTTCGACCAGATGTGGTGTGGGCCCAGGGAGGTCCGGTACCTACATATCGATGTTGTTATTAGAGATCATTCGCTTCGAGGTTTGAAGCCAGTGCTTTCTGCATGACACCAATGTTATTTTCTACCGACCTAAGGTGCACAAGTACCTACCTAGGTAATCAAGAATCATCGGATTGAATGTACTAACCATTTGATGTATAGTACTAGATACGACTATGTCAAAATAAAAGACATCGACTGATGTAGTCGTCTCCATGGAGTTAGCCTCGAAGAGTGAATCGTTTAGTGCTTCAAGGTTAACGTTGGACTTGTTCTGCAGCTGGAACCGCTACTCATCAAAAAGGTATTGTCGACGAAACTCCACATTTTCTCTTGTTAGTCACATAGGGAAGTATTTGGCTCGATGCTCTAGGTGTCATGAAGTTGACGTTGTCCGGATATCGCGGCTGTAACTACAGTCACGTTGATATTCAGGCTGTTGAACTAGTCGAGTGTAATGAACCCATCCGAGTCACGGTCCGTTTCAATCTTCATTATTCCACACCGAGATTCAAGATGGTGTTAATTCCCTTCCCTTAATGCGCAAAGCATTTCTATATCAATACCTGTATGCACTAATCTTAGATTGATCCATTAATATGATATCTAGTACTCATACATGAATATATATAGACATATCGGTAAGAAATACAGATCAGGCATAGCTCATATTGGCGTACATTATTACGATTCAACCCCTGAGACTTAGCGCATTTCCAATCGTCAGGCACGGGCGACACAGCTGAAAGTACGGTTTCGGTACGTTATTACAGTGGTTACCCATGTGGGATATCGGTTTATCCCCCTGTCGATGCTTCCCAGAGAGCCAGGACCAGCCAAGACGGACCAGGAGCCAAAGTCTCATCGATTCGTCAAATCTATCCCAATCTTGAATATTCAATTCAATTCCTCCCCTTGGAAATTATCAAGATTGGATATTGGGTTGTTTATTTTTCTTTCGTAAGGCATCACAAAAATTAAAGATTCTTAACTTACCTAATTGTACAATACCCATACCCTTGCAACATCTGTTTTCATTTCTCTTACTTACTCCCGGGATACATTGGGATATCCTTAGTCGACCCCCTAGCCTGGCGCCTCCTGTCGCAGGTTCACCATCAAAGTCCTGCCCTATCTCGCTTTACTAATCCTTCGTACGAATCAGTTTGATACCCCGATACTTGATACCTGATACAGCATTCCAAGGCGCACGACTCATCCTGTCCTCCTGCGGCAGACAGCGAATCAGGTCTTTCCCTGTTATTCCCCGATTCGTGTGTTTGACGGAGGACAATAAGGGGGACACATACCATCCATAATGCGCCGAAAGCCAGTTCCCAACCCGTTGTCCCTGGCTGACGATTCGGATTCCTTGGGCGAACAATCTGCAGCCAGCGCCAGCGCCATCAGCAGCGCCAATGCCAGTGCTAACACCAGTGCTAATAACAGCGCTCGCGCCCTACCCTACCCCGACCCAGAGAGACTCAGCCCGCGTCCGACCCTCGGCAGCGAGTCCACCCTTCAAGTCATCTCGCCGACGTCTTCGAGGTCGCCCAAGTCACCACGCTCACCCTTTGTCAGCAAGTTCAACACGACCACGCCTAGGAAACCCCTACCGCAGCAAAACCTGCCTTACCCTGTCGAATCGCACATGCCGCCGCACCCTCCCGGCGACGTGCATCTTGCTCAACATCGACGACGCCAATCTCCACATCGCCGCGAACCAGAGTACCCACCTTTAGCTCTCCTCCCGTCGTCAAACACGACAAACACAATTACCACCACCAACACCGCGTCTACCGCGCCGGATACATGCTCCCATCCCGAGGTCGAGAAACACTCGAGGAGTGGTAGCCGCTTTTTTAACTTCGGCAAAGCCTCGAGGTCTGCCAATCAGCTTTACCCTAATCACAACGATAGCGCAAACATGAGCGAGACTATGTCCCGAGGAACAGAGAATACCATTATGTCAGATAGAGGGGTGTCGAGTAAGAATTCTAAGAATTCAGGTACGTCGAGTTGGACATCAAAGGAATTGGCCTTTCGTACTATGTCATTCTCGTGATACTAACTCTTTGTTTCGTAACAAGATCTATCCTCGTCTGTTGATCTTTCAACACAAAAGTCAGGCCATTCTTTGCCGTCCAGATCTGACGTTTCGTTGACGTCGGCTAGCGAACAAGAAGCCAACTCTAAGAAGAACAAACCGAAGCCTTTCACACTAATGGGTCGGAATAGGTCCCTGAAGGATAGAGATGGACATAGCCCAAAGGAATCTATCACAATCAAGCTGAGTGAACCGGAGCGAGATAACTCCTTGGCGGGTATGCAACCTTTGAGGACGGCACCTATGAATGCCGACGGCCACGAGAGGTCTTTTAGGCACATGATGAACTCAACGGTACGGAACCATTCTGCCGACCGCGCAATTCCTCCTCGGGACATACCAGGGAACAAAGACCATCGACATGATAAAGACTATTATAGAAGCAATACCTCCTCCCTCAGCAATAATAATAACGCCAATACATTCTTCAATGGTCTAAAAAATTCTGGAAGTCGAGCAGCCGACATGATCAGCAAAGGATTATTTGGAAGGAGTGGCCGTAGTGCCAGTTCAGCTGATAGGGAGCCAGTAGTTGATGACGAGCATTACGTTCTAAAGGTTATCAATTTGCCATTGGTCGAACAGACGCGACTGACGAGAATTTCAAAGCGGCTCGAAGATTCTCGTGATAAGACGGAATTCTGGATGCCCGCCTTCCCCTGGCGAGCCATTGACTATCTCAATCTTAAGGGAACCGATGTTGAAGGTCTATATCGTGTACCCGGGAGTGGTCCTCAGATCAAGAAGTGGCAAAGAAAGTTTGACGAAGGTAAGAATTTCTTCCCCAACCCGCTGATTTATATGGTTGCTAACTGTACTTTGAAAGAATATGACGTCGATTTATTTGCCCAGGACGACCTCTACGACATAAATATCATCGGTTCTATGTTCAAGGCCTGGCTACGTGAACTTCCTGACGAGCTTTTCCCGAAGGAAGCTCAAGAGCGAATCTCCCGCGAATGTGCTGGTGCGGAATCGGTACCTCAGATGCTCATCGATGAGCTTTCCAATCTGTCGCCGTTCAACTACTATCTCCTTTTTGCTATCACGTGCCACCTCAGTCTGCTCCTCGCACATTCCGACAAAAACAAGATGGATTTCCGCAATCTTTGCATATGTTTCCAGCCCTGTATGAAGATCGACGCCTTTTGCTTCAAGTTCCTCGTTTGCGATTGGAGGTTATGCTGGCAAGGATGCAGAAATGAGGCTAGATATATCGAGGAAGAATATCAGTTATTCCAACAACCGCTGCCTCGAGGACTAACAACGTCACCGGACTCCCGAAGCCGTAGTGGGGCCAATACTCCGGATGATCGAAATTTATCTTCGTCGGACAGCAATAAACTATCAGCGCCCCCTGCAGACCAACATAATGGGAAATTGAGAAAGAAGCCGGGGACAGGAGGCCAAAACGGGGGCGCAACATCGAACTACCCGGTTATTGCACACTCTCTAGGTCTTAATGGCGAGCAAGACGTGGCGCCACGACGATCCGGAGAACGAGAATTAAGGCCGCTGTCGCCCATCAAACCTCTGTCCCCGATGAATTTCTCTTAATTTCGTCACTTATATCTCGGTATACGCAATTGGAGAATAAGGATGGGTTTTAATCCGGATCTGATGATACCTTTCTTTTTGCTTTGTCTTGATAATACCCCCCAGGAGATGAATGTGGTGCATATACGGCATTTGGCCTGGCGGTCCTCTTTTTTTGACGATATTACGCTCCGTTTACGATTTCTACCCCTTTTTTTCTTCTCTTTTCATATCTTAGCGCTCTACAATCGTCTAGCTCGGAGCTCGCCCGTTATGGTTCGGTAGCATGCCAACGCCCTTTTTTTGGTTTCTTCGGCGGTGGTAAATTAGAATACTTGGGGGTGGGGATGTAGTCGAGTGGTCTCATGCTGTCCTGTGCGAACAACACCTTTTTTTTTTTGTCTAGTTCCGTTCCTCGACGTTCGGCCTTCTGAAGATCTGGAAATATCATCATACCCAAACACCGATTCTAGGATAACTGGTGGTTAACGGTGGCGGTTGTGTAGAAGCATAACCTACTATTCATCCTCAATACACCATTTGCGGTGTTTTGAATAACGAATTCCTACTTGGCTATAGGGTGAAAGCTACGTGCAAGGTGGACAGAGTGCAGCACAATCGTAGCGACGGAGTTTGGAAAAATCAAGGGACGGGAAAAGAATCTGTACCATAGGTTGCCGGAAGTTCCGCAATTGCCAATATAAATATGTGCCTAGTCCGCAAAACCCCGTCTTCACGTACCATGAACGCCCGAACTCCTGCCTCTCTGCATTGTGATTTGTAATTCGTGGGTATCGCAACATCGTAATATCCCTAGTCAAGCTCAAGCTTCCTCCATGCTTATTCTCCCACTTCCCCCATTTCCTTCTCGTGCCATGTCACGCCCTCCCCCCTAATCCGTTTTCCCGAAGAAAAGAAACCTAAGCCTTCTTTCTGCGCTTCTTCTCCTTAGCCTCCCGCTCCTCGCGCTCCTTCTTCTCGTCGACCTCGACGAGCCAGTCCTGCTGCACGGCCCCTTCCTCGCGGCGCTTCTTGGCGCCGCCCTTGTCGTAGCCCCACGTGCGCTCCCACTCGCCCGTCGCCTCGTTGTACTGGCTGGCCTTGGCGCGCCGCTGCTCCCGCGTCTTCGGCTTGATGCCCTTGCGCGCCGCGAACTGCTCCCACTTCGTCGGCTCCTTGGGCGCCGGCAGCGGCTTCTCGCGCGGAAGAGGCGTGCTGGGGGCGGGCAGGGAGAGGATTACGCCGGAGGTCGTGGTGCTTACGGGGAGAGTGGTCAGGAGCTGGTTTATGAGCGCCTGGGCGCCGTCGCGCGCTGTGGCTGCGAGCTGGGCTTCGAGGGCGCTGGTGTTGGGGCTGGTGCTGGATTCGGAGGGTGCGGAGGTGCTGAGTGGGTTTGGGTCGTTGGCGAGGAGGAGGCCGAGGTCGAAGGTGTATGGCGTGGGCTTGGTGACGGAGACGTCGAGTTTGGGCTTCGAGGCCGTCGCCGTGGTGGTGGTTGGCGGGGCCATTGTGGATGCGGTTGTGGGTGCGATTGACCCGGGTTGAAGATTGATTTGTGCTTTTCAATCGAAAGTTTCGACGCGAAAGTAGAAGTGGTAGATAGCTGTGATAGTTTTGGTTGATCGAAGTTTTTCACGACGGACTGACTGCCCAGGTCAGACGTTGTACGTTGAATAATGGCAGGTAAAACGGACGGGATGCTTTATCGAAAAAAAGTTCCAATTGATCCCAAGAAATTTTAGATGGACCCTTAGAAATTCAAGGTTATCAGTTTATCGATAATAGATCGGAAGGCTGGTTTCTCCGCTATAGGTACCTAGCTTGCCCAGGTCAGCAGGTGCGGGCGCTGTTTCCCGCACCGATTGAATAATATGCACCTATCAGAGGGGCAATTACCAAAATTTAGCTGGGTTTAACAGTAATTCGCGATTTTGATACTGCAGCTATTTTGTCGATATTGGCGTTCACACAGGAGTAGAGCTCGACTCCGACTCCCACCAGCTATGGCGAGCGCTAATTGCTGGAGGTGCCTAGCACGGCCCTCACAGAGGGTGATTGTGCCTAAATTTTCATTAGCGACATCATCGCCGACAGCACCGGCAGCAGCTTTCACAACCTCGGCCACACAACATGCAATACCGACTACCAAGACACCCAAAGCCAAAGCCAAAGTCGCTTCGGGTGACATAAATATGTCGAAGCATATCCGTTCCGGAAAGATGTTGACGCTGAATAGGAAGAAAAGGCGACAGCCCGATAAGGTGAAACCGCCGGCTACGGGCGAACGAAAGGCTTTTCGAAAGCGCATTCAGCTCACCAATGATAATGCGCTGGAGGTGAAGGGTCTAGGGGAGCTAACGGCCGAGAATATCGTGGACCGTGGCTCTGTAGGCAAAGTGGTTGGCCTCCCGGTGGAATTGATAGACCAATTGAGGGCTACCGAGGCCTTCAAACCGACACAAAATTGGGGGTTATTCCGGTCACCACACATGTTACTTAGAAAAGAGACGGTCGACTTAGCGAGGCAGCTCACGACGACTATCGAAAATAAGGAGACATTAAGATTAGTGATTACGGGGGACAGAGCGTCAGGAAAGAGCATGCTTGGCCTCCAGGCGCTAGCCACCGGGTTCATGAACAAATGGATTGTCATCAATATCCCAGAGGGTATGTCAAGTTTCTGCTACATCCCCTCCAGTCCGACGTACACGTGAACTAACAACTATCCACCACGCTACCAGCCCAAGAACTGGTCACAGGAGCAACAGAGTACTCGCAGATACCCAACTCGGAGATGTTCTCGCAGCCCGTATACACCATCAAGCTCTTCCAGACCATCTCCAAGGCCAACCACGCCGTGCTCTCGCAACTCAAGGTCGAGCTCGACCACATGCAGCTCCCGATCTCGGTCAACCGGGGCATGACGCTCCTCGCCCTCGCCAACGCCACTAAGGAGCCCGAGTTCGCCTGGCCCGTGTTCCAGGCCTTCTGGAAGGAGCTGCTGCTCCCCGGCCGCCCGCCGATCCTGTTCGCGCTCGACGGCCTCAGCCACATCATGCGCGTCAGCGACTACCGGACCCCCGCCTTCGAGCTGATCCACAGCCACGACCTCGCGCTGGTCCGCCTGTTCGCCGAGGCGCTCGGCGGCAAGACGAGGTTCGCCAACGGCGCCGCCGTCCTCGGCGTCTGCTCCAAGGGCAACAGCCTCGTCATCCCGTCGATGGAGAAGGCGCTCGAGCAGGCGGCCGCGGCCCAGGCCGCGCTGCCGGCCCCGCCGCGCGACCCCTTCTACGCCAAGTACGACGAGCGCGTGTTCGAGGCGCTGAGGGGGGTTAGTTTGCTCGGCGTCCGCGGCGTGTCGAAGCTAGAGGCCCGCTCGCTCATGGAGTACTGGGCCGCCAGCGGCATCCTGCGCATGCGCGTCGATGAGCGCAATGTTAGCGAGAAGTGGACACTTGCTGGTAGCGGCATACTCGGCGAGATGGAGCGCGTTGCGCTTTACGATGTCAGGATGGCGATGTAGAAATTACGGGACTTCCCCGGTCCGGGGGCAAGGCGGCTATATAGGTACTGTACCTAGCTTATAGCTTGTAAATCTGTATAAAGAGTTTAAGCATATACGCTTCTGAAATTTCCATGTGAAGTAAGATGATGACTGTTTTTGTAGGCTGGAGATTTGCTATGGGAATTACTAGTTGCACAAGGATTTGTCGTGGTAGATAGGGGGTGGTTGTGGAATTGTAGCTAAACCACAACTACCCAGCCAGAGAGATGAGTACCTATACCATGATGATGTTTAGTTTGAAAGAATTAATTGTTGGAAGTCGAATGCATATCGATGAAGCACACCGATATTTGGTCAAACTTGGCCCTCTCCCCTGATTTACCTAATGATGCGGACTACATGCGACAATTTAGATGTATACATCGGGAGAAAATACAGACATTGGAATACTTCCCAAGAAATTGTACAAGCTTCGTAGAATTTATAACAATAATCAATCACTTAATAGATCATTCATTTGATCATCCAACCAAAGATCGGAATTGAACATCGTCCCGATTCATGAGGAGGATTAGCCCCTTAACCCCTTTATAGGGATACAACTAGACCTTTAGAATGTTATGAGTAATAATCGGATATAATACAACTTGCGTGCCATTCAAATATTACTAGTAATCAGCCGTTAACATCTTATAGTTATAGCTACGTAGGTGGTGAATACGCATGCTCATTTAAAGGGGGTTTAATCATTCCTAATCTAGATCAAGCAACCTGACTAATAGGTCGCAAAAGTAAACAAGCAACTATAGGATGCTAGCCTCGATGCCGGAACCGTAACGCCGTGGCTCGTTTTCATCCCCTTACATCTACGCCGTGATTCATTAGAGGACACAGTAGGCCCTGACTCTCATATCGGCATATCCAATCGATCATCCTACTCGTCATCATCGTCTCCTGCATTATCAGTCGCCGTGATGAACACCAATCTGTTTCCATTGCCCGCTGTTTGCCAGACCTGTTTTTTTGTTTCGTCAGTCATTTGCGTTCTCCGGTTCAAAATGGAAAAAGGGGAAGATGATAACAAATATTAGAATACTCACATCAAGGGTTGTGTACTCCTCCAGCGCACTTATCCACTGGTCCTCGGTAAATCCCTTACCCAGGACACGCTCGCGCACCTTGCGCATGCTCAGTTCCACCGTACCCTCTTCGCCATCATCCTCGTCGTCGTCACCAGCTCTACACGCGCCGCTATCAGCCAGCGACTTGACCAGGTTGTAAATACGACTAGCAGCGTTAAGCGTTCTCCTGCCACCCATACCCTCGTGCGCCGCGAGACTTTCCTTGCTAGCCTCCATCAACCTAAGCGCCTCATCGACATCATCGCGGTTGACTTCGGTATCAAATCGGAGTCGGGCTAGTGCTTGGGCTAAACGGACTACACCGAGCAGTGTACGGGGAGTTGTGTGGCTGAACATCTTGTTCTTCTTCTCGGCGCGGCGCTGGGCATCACGCATGCGCACGTACGTCTTGGTTAAGTACTCCGTTACAGTTTCTGGCACGGTGGGTCGGTACGTGCGAGCCTGGGCTACGTACGCGCGCACCTCATGTGGCGTAAAGACAACGTTGGGCTGCTGTGCAGCGCCGTCGCTATCGTTAGAGGCTGCGTAGAGGTCGGGGTGCTTGCTGTGCATGTGTACATAGGCTACGTGCTTAGCCAGTTGTGCGTCACTCTCGCGGGTTGGCGTGTCGAGTAGTAAGAACAGGACATCGAAACGTGAGAGTAGTGCAGCTGGTAAATTGATGTTTTCGACGGGTGATATGCGTGGGTTATAACGACCGTAGATAGGGTTGGCGGCGGCGAGGATGGACGTTCTGGCGTTGAGCGTAGTTGAGATACCGGCTTTGGAAATAGAAATTGTCTGCTGTTCCATAACTTCGTGAATGGCGGTACGATCGTTTTCGTCCATCTTGTCGAATTCATCGATGCAGCAGATACCATTGTCAGCCAGAACCAAAGCACCACCCTCAAGGACCATCTCATCCGTCACAGGATCGCGCATCACGGCAGCAGTTAGACCGACACCGCTGGAACCACGGCCGGATGTGTAGACACCACGGGGTGCGACCTTGGAGATATACTTCAAAAGCTGAGACTTAGCAACACCAGGGTCACCCATTAAGCAGATGTTAATGTCACCACGGATCCGCATACCGTCGCCCATCGTCTTCGTGACACCACCAACAAGTAGTAAGAGAAGAGCCTTTTTGACATCCAGATGACCAAAGATTTCAGGAGCAATAGACTTTGCTAGCATCTCATATACAGTGCCTGACTGGCTGAAAGTGTTGATGCGTCTTAGAAGCTTGTCATCGATGATCATTTCCTCATATGCCTTCTTGTGCTGGACAATATGATGCGCTTCAACGTACGTGTCGGTTAGAAGACCGGCTCGCATCGCCTGAAACCCGGTGTACGGAGTAGGGAGGAAAATTCCGGAAATATCTACGACATCTCCAGGGCTAATCTGGCGAACGGCGCTTCCGTGGCACATGACGGTAAGGGTTCGCGGAATTTGGCCAATGGGTACTTGCTCCGCCAATTCTTGAATCTTGACTTCTTGGAAAGGCAGGAACTTGGATGCGCGCGAGGACTGGAAGAGCTGGCCCTTGGACTGGTTTTCTTTGCATTCTTGCGATGGACAGCTAGTAAGGGGCGCATATTGCTTGTCGTTGACAGGCTGGAAGATCTCGCATCCACAACGATCACAGGTATAGGCGCCGACTTGTACGATAGGCTTTACATCTGAGACTCTAGTCGCGATACCACGGACTGTAATGAGGTGACCGAGGTGATCTCCTCGTACTTGTCGCACAGCGAGTGCCTTCACTGGCTTCTCGCTGGTAGACGTTCTCGGCTTGAAAACAAGCGTATACCGCCTCGTGAGTTGAGCCGGGAACGTAGACTCGAGCAATTCCGGGTTGTTATTGTTAGCAGCAGCCTCGGCAAGGTCACGGTTTCGGGCTTGTCTCCTCTCCATGATCACATCTAAAACATCGTCTTTGAATCTAAATTAGTGTTAGTAATTATGCGAAATTCCATGTGACGGGATAATATGCCGTACGTTACACCATTGGTAGGAGGGGGTAGCTTGCTGTCGATAGCTCTCGAGAGGATTTCAACATAGTGTTTGGTGTTCGACTCGATGGACTCAACAAGTTTCAACCCTTCATTTGTGTCTTCCTCCCACTAATTTCACATTAATTTAACTTCTCTTTTGGGGGGACCAATGAACCTTACGGCAGCAATATCATCCAATTCTATTAAAACCTCGTCGAGTGTACGATCTGCGAGCTTCTGCATCATATCAGCATATTTGTGCTTTGGCAATTTCGCCGCGGCTTTCTCTTTTCGTCGTCGCTCATGCGCTTCGTCATCTTCGTCCATGAAATCGTACTCGTCGCTTAAATCATCCTCGTCGATATTAATCTGGCCAATAGCGTGCGTTAATGTCTGCTCTGGCGAAGTCTTGAACTTCTCGAGGAAATTCCCAAAGGCGGCTACATTCCGACAGACCGTTAGTTTGAAGTTGGATGTGGTTTTGGGGTATAAATCGTGGTTAACCGACCTTGTTGCGCCTCGTAATCGACGACGTTTCTGTATTGAAGTAACGCCATTGTCGACTCAATTGAGTTTTCCTCGTAAGAATCTTAATGGCTGGAAGTGGGATGTTGGAAGAATTGCGATAGAGTTCGAAAGTCGCAATGACTGTTTACTTGCACTGACCTAGAGTTTATCCGTCTATCAAACCTAACTCTATGCAGAACGGTGGAGGCTGGAAACGCCAACAGGGGGAGGGGCGGCTACTTCCAGGTTCCTGAGAAAAAGCGCGTTGACGCGAATTTTCGCGTGTTCACTAGCCCCAATCATTAAAACTGTTCAGTGGATCCGGGCTCTTGGGCCTGTCTAGTTGTGGCTTATCCCGTTCCTTTATTCCACGTGCATCATGCATCCCTCATTACGTAAGATGCGGGGCTTTGCAACTGTTAGAGTAAAGATGTACCTTTGTACCTTGCATATTCGATCTGTCGAATTGAATTTTGTTGAATTTAGTGGAGGGATAGGTACCTCGGTCCACGGCACATGCAAAGAACGGCCCTAGAAACTTAGGCGGTTTTCTTCACTATCGTGTCGACTTGCATAGAACACGTCGTTGACCAATCCTCCATGTCTAAAAATTGGCAATGAACTTGTCAAAATGTTTCTCATTTGATTTTTCCTTTATATATAATATAATAGTTACCGATGATTTATGACTCTGGCGAAGCTAGTTACCTCTCATTCGATTCATCATGGCTCCAGCTCCACGGAAGAACGCGCAATCGACGCCGGCGGAGATATCCCTGGTCCATCTCAAGAATTGTCTTGTGAATCTTCCTACGTCCTTGGTCAATCTTCTTGTAAACATCAATACTGTAAGCTCATGTTCCCTCCTGATTAAGCTTCTTATCGTTTAATATGCTGAACTATATTCGTAGCCTGCCCAAAATGTCATTGTCGAGCTCAATTACCGAATTCCTTTGCCCGCGAATGGTTCCCCTCAAACCAATGGCTCACCGTCCTCACAACGGTCGATATATGTCGGGTGGACAGGAATGCCTAGCAAGCGGAAGATAGCTCCTATAGTAGATCGCGATGGTATTAGTGGTACACGCGGCAGTGGCAGAGACCAGGAGGTGGCATCTGTTGAGATTGACGCCACCTTAGCTGCCACTCTCGGTCTGTCAGATGGCCAAAAGGTCACCACCATAATACACGTTGATCCCCCTCTAGCCCATACGGTTAATATCGAGCCTCTGACGCCCGAGGACTGGGAGATGATCGAGCTGCATGCGACATTCCTAGAATTAAACCTGTTGTCACAAATCCGCGCCCTGCCGAATCCCGTGTATACCGCCGTCCCTGGCCAGCCTCCTAGTTCGCATCCGTTAACTCTCCACCTCTCGCCCACGTCCACGGCAAATATAAAGATTCTGTCCCTTGATCCAGCCCCTTCGGCAGACGTACCATTTGTGAAGATTGCCCCCGATGCTGAAGTTATCGTCGCACCTAAGACCCGATCCAAGCCGAGCAAAAGCGGCCGTGAAGACCGTAGTGTGGGTGGTACGTCTAGGAGAAGCGGAAAGAGCTCGGCGAGTACGGTGCGTAAGAAGGGCGCAAAGGAAGAAAAGAAGCCAGCTCTATTTTTGCGGGGGGTGGATCGCCAATTCTGCGATGAATGGTTCGATGAAGGACCAGTGCTGCAGGACTTAAGTGTATGGGTTGATCGAGATCTTCTACTCTCAAAAGATTTCAGAGGAGTCAGCTGGGTTGCTATTAATATCGTTAAGCCAGCCGGGCTTCAACCTCCGATCGACCCTCAAAAACAGCAAGAAAATGCTGCCAGCGGCGAAGCCGTAAAGGCTACTGAGAAAGTCGTTGCTCAGCTACGTCCGTGGGATGACCCCCCAACTACCCAAACTGCAGCTCTTTCGAGTCCCTTGTGTGCAGTTCTTGGCTGTTCTGGAATTGTTGGAGGAATAGCAAAGATTGAGCCAGCTCCTGCGCCATTATCACGTAGTGTGGTAAAAAGTCTTAAAGTGTCTCCGTTCCAGGCCGACAGTTGGAAATCCCCGGATGGCTTAAAATTTGGAGGGGAATCGAAAGCTGAGAAGGAAGAGATAGCTAAAAGGATATCCCATATTTATGGCCAAAAAGGCAAGGACAGTGGCCTCTTACGTGGACCCTTGACTGATGGAATGGTACTTCCCGTATATGACAGTCTCGAACTATCCCAAGGTTGGGAGGGCGGCCTCGTAAAACTCGAGACCTCGAATTTAGATGCCAAGGAACAGTTGATCTGGTATCTCGGGTCCGAAAAATCTATATCGATCGATGTCCAGGCACCAGTTGCTCGCCCAACTTGGCTAGCTGAGAACGATGCGGGTGAATCCCTGCCCCCAAGTGACTCGGTCCTTGTCGGGATTGATTCGCTTTTAGCTGATTTAAAGTCGCATCTTTCGCACATGTCATCCGTTCTGCTAACCGGCGGCTTAGGTGCTGGTAAGACAGCCGTCGTACAGTCGTTAGCTCAGACCTTACGAGAAGACTTTCTGTTTCACACGACCTATTTCCCATGTCGGAAGCTAGTCAACGATGAGAGTCGGATTTCCACTATCAAGGAGACGCTGAATAGAGTTTTCATGAGTGCAAGTTGGGGCGCAAGGCTTGGTGGGAAAGCACTTGTTATACTTGATGACCTGGACAAGTTGTGTCCCGTGGAAACCGAGTTACAAGTCGGAAACGATAATAGCCGGAGCCGCCAGGTGAGCGAAACCATTAGCTCAATCGTACGTCAATACTGCGAGCGCGATAGGGGAGTCGTTCTCCTTGCAACTGCCCAAGGCAAAGAGTCGCTGAATAACGTGATCATTGGAGGTCACGTCGTTCGGGAAATTGTGGATTTGAAGGCCCCAGATAAAGAAGCACGGAGAAGAGTCTTAGAAACCATTGTCAAACAACAGACTGTCTCCCCAGAAACGTGGCAGGCACCCGCCTCGCTTGGTAGTCGTCCTCCCACAGCCAACGGGAGCGTTGATGGTGACGATGCCGGCGCGTGGATGGATGGAGCAGATCAACGCAGCAGCGGCAACTCCGTTTCTGCAAGCGTGAAACCGGATGGATTCCTTTTGGATCCCGAGCTCGACTTCCTCGACCTTGCCGGTGAGACTGATGGCTACATGCCTGGCGACCTTTTACTTCTCGTGTCCCGAGCTCGTAACGAAGCTCTAATCCGATCTGTTTCCGAGGTGCCTTCTAAAGACTCATTAGATATTATTCAACTTGGCCGCGCAGACTTCGATAGCGCCCTTAAGGGATTTACGCCAGCATCGCTCCGAAATGTCTCGCTACAGACGTCTACAACTACATTTGACTCGATTGGCGGCCTCAAGGAAACGCGGCAGATCTTACTTGAGACGCTGCAATACCCTACGAAGTATGCGCCGATATTCGCGCAATGCCCTTTAAGGCTACGTTCTGGTCTGCTGCTATACGGATTTCCCGGCTGTGGAAAGACCCTTCTGGCAAGCGCAGTGGCTGGCGAATGCGGCCTCAACTTCATCTCTGTGAAAGGGCCTGAAATATTGAACAAGTACATTGGTGCTAGTGAGAAGAGTGTTCGTGATCTCTTCGAACGCGCTTCAGCTGCGAAACCTTGTGTATTGTTTTTCGACGAGTTTGATTCAATTGCACCAAAACGAGGACACGACTCAACAGGCGTAACGGACCGTGTGGTCAATCAGCTCTTGACACAAATGGACGGAGCCGAGGGTCTTTCCGGAGTTTATGTCCTAGCTGCAACATCTCGACCGGATTTGATTGATCCTGCCTTGCTTCGTCCGGGGCGTTTAGATAAAAGTTTGTTATGCGGGTTTCCGGACATAGAGGATCGTATCGACATTTTACAAGCTCTAAGCAAGAAAGTGAAGATGAGCGATGAATTATTATCATCACAGGAAGGCCTTCTCGAACTCGCGAAGCGCACCGAGGGCTATTCCGGCGCTGATTTGCAGGCGCTCATGTCAAACGCTCAGTTAGAGGCTATTCATGATGTCCTCAACGACATCGAGTTGCAGCCCTCGGGCGATAAGCGTGGTGCTACTAACACCCGGGCTAAGGCCGATGCAGTCTCACGGGGTCGGAATTTCGTACAGTTTCGCTACGGGGTAGAAGCTGCCTTAGCTGAGGCCGAAGCCCGGGCAAAGAAGGGGTACAATAAATCCACTCAACTGGCTGAAAATGCCGCTATTGCAGCTAAATTGGCTGAAATCAAGACCGCAAGGAAGCAAACGAAGCTAGGACACAAGGGAGCAAATCATGCCGCGGGCGATAACAATGAAAAGGGGAAGGAAACAAGTAATACAGAAGTTCTAATTGGTTGGAAACACATGGTCAAGGCACTAGAGGCTACTAGAGCCAGCATCAGTCCCCAAGAGAGAAACCGCCTTGAGCGAATATATAGAGAATTTGTTGTCGGGCGCAGTGGAGATATGCACGATGGACAAGGAAGCATGGAAATCGGCGGTCGGAGCAGCCTTATGTAGATCCTAGCATTTCAATGAGGTTGTAGCATACCAAAAGTTTTAATCTACTCCCTAGGTGCCCAGGTGCGCCACCTACGTAATCTACTAATCAACACTATTACGTTGGATTGTATCTTTTCATTATTCAGAATGCGGTGTTATCATGTCAATTCAGAAACTAGGTGCAACTAGGATATGATATAAATAATTGATGGCTTTGGGTTGCGGTAGCAACCCGTGTTGTGTACTGGACAAATCTGCTTAGGAAAACACCAATAAATTGATTCACGATGTCTATCATCAAACGACGAGGCTGACCAGCCGAGTATAATGCTGATGTTCGATGCGATTGTTCTGATTGGTTCAGACTTTGACACTAGCTCCGCTTTAGGACTAGTGCAGTGCCACCGCATAGTTCCCGTATCCTTTTTAGTGTGGATGTGTTACAAGTCACCTTTCTTCCCCGACCGTCAACGACTTCAAAACAGCAACCGTATGGATCCTCAGGAACAGCCCAAATGAGAGGTTATGAGACTATGAAACATCTCACGGATATTTGATACCATATTCTACGAGTTACAAGTTTCTCCGGGAGAATCGGCGCCTAGTCGCGCTGTCAATTTGGTATCCCGTGTCGAGGGGCGGAAGACTCCTGATGCTGTGTTCCCAGCGTTGAGACCCTTCAAGCTGGCCCCGCAGCCTGAATCTGGGACAGGTCCCCTAATTACTGTCTGACTGAGTCTGTGTTTTGTTCACCTAGACAATTATATTTATCTGACAACCGTAAGTATGTTCTCTTACCTTTTCTTTCTTTCAACCCCCATTCTCATTCCGTCCTTCATCAACGCACCACCGCGACGATGGCCTCTCAAAAGCTATCGCCGAAGCCATCTCCTATGGAGAAGTCCAAACCTTCTCCTAAGAAGAAGAAGTCGGCCAAACCACCCCCCATTACCACCTCTCGGCCGTCTCCCATACCTCCCATTGTTATACCGAAACCTTCTCCCATGCCATCTCCTACGCGACCATCCCCTATGCCACATATGACACCTACGTCAACGCCCGGCTTGGACTCTCCCGCTGGTCCGATGAACATGAACTTGTTTAACGACGATGACGCTCCAGCATGGCATTCTGACCTCGATCTTGGCCCTCAGCCAGGTATCCGCGGTGGCCCCTATGCTATTGCGCTCACAAAGATCCCACCTCTTAAGGTCCCCAAAACACCGTACATACCGTTAGTAATTAACACGTTGCCAATGATTCGCGATATAATTATCCCTTCACTTTGTTTGCCTGATATATATGCCAAACTCACCATTCTCATCGCTATTCAAAGCTGTTTTACATCATCCTCATATCTACCACTCATAACTGTTTTATTATTTATTCATTTTCAATAGTTCGCCTAGCTAATCAAGCCACATAGCCCTGATCCTCTTCCAAACCCGAACAAGACAGAGTCGGAGCCAGAGCCAGAGAAGACACGATGGCAACGCTTCAAGTCTTCGGCGGCGGCCCTACGACAACGCGGCAGAAAGCTCTTGAAGACGCCAGAAAAATGGAAGAGGCAGTCCAAGAAGAGTGCGCAAAGTCAGGAAAGCCTCCACCAGGCTACAGACTCACCGAATTGATCGGCAAAGGGAGCTTCGGTCGCGTGTACAAAGCTAATGACCTGCGGACCGCTCAAGTTGTAGCTGTCAAGATCATCGACGTTGACGAGAGTGATACGTTGAACCCGAAACTCGCGGATACTTACAGCGAGATTCTCAAAGAAATTAACGCCCTACATCGTCTGAGCCAGTCTGGCGCGCAAAACATCAATCATGTGATCGAGGCCCTTCCTGTGGGCAAAGCTATGTGGATGGTTACTGAATATTGTGCTGGAGGAAGTGTTGCTACTCTGATGAAACCGACTGCACCCGGCGGGTTGCAGGAAAAGTGGATAATTCCTATTCTGCGTGAGGTTGCGGTAGCAATTTACTGGGTTCATAAGGAGGGGATTATTCATCGTGATATTAAGTGTGCTAATGTCTTAGTTACCGAAACTGGAGCGGTTCAGCTCTGCGATTTTGGTGTTGCCGGTATGATGGAAACGAAGCTGGACAAGCGATCGACCTTCATCGGTACGCCGCATTGGATGGCTCCCGAATTGTTTGACCAGAATGCCCAGTACGGAACGGAGGTCGACATATGGGCCTTCGGTTCCATGGTATACGAAATTGCCTCGGGGTTACCGCCCAATGTTAGAGCCAACGTAGGCCTCCCCCAACTTGGAGATTACCTTAGAGAACATCTGCCGCGCCTTGACGGAGATCAGTACTCAGACCAGCTTAAAGATCTCGTCGCTTTTTGTCTCGAAGAAAACCCTTCCAAACGTCCTTCCATTGAACGAGTCCAACAACATCCGTATATCTTCAACACCAGTTCTAGATATCCTGCTTCATCCCTTTCAAACCTCGTAAAAGCCTTTAAGCTCTGGGAAGAGCGTGGCGGCAGTAGGAAGTCTCTCTTTGGTGCTGGAGGCGCGCAAGCTCCAACCGATCTAGGCTCGACTTCGTTAGCGACGGACGAGTGGAACTTCTCTACCACCCTCGCTTTTGACGAACAACTCCATGATGACTCTGACGGTAGATCCGACGCCGAGGCTGTCCGTGATGTCTATGGTTCGGCCGTCGATTTCCCCAGCACATTTGGTGAAGATACTGCACGACCGAAGGCTTTAGTCAAGGGCCGACGTCGACCACCTCCACAAGCCCTAGCGGCAACGAAAGTCAAAGCCCCCCTTGAAAAAGTCTTTGATCCAAACACCATATCCAATTACGATGAAAACTCTCGCATGTACTACGGCCGACTTGCACCACCATCAGAACCACCAATGACGAATGAGCTTCCTGCATCTGACCTCCCACTACGTGATGACTCACTCCACGCAACACTTCGTGAGTCGTTAATCGACCTTGACGCGTCTCTTGGCGGTGGTGATCTCTCAAACTTCGTTGACATGGGCACGATAAGGCCGGGCCCACAACCACAACCGCAGCCACCACAGCCAAGACCAGGACCACGAGCTTCAATGGACAATAACTGGTCTTTCTCGTCAGCTACCGAATCTTCTACGCATGACAGAGCGCCACTCAGCGACCCCGCGGATATGAACGGCCGACACAACGCTCCAGACTGGTCATGGCCTACCAGCATCCCTCCGGCCTCCGCCAACCCCGAGATTTCCCATTTCACATTCAACGAAGACCGCACCCCCGATATCTTCCCCGAAGGGCGCCCGCGACTCCAGCACCATCCCACGGAGCCCATCGGCCTACCGTCCCAGGGGTATGACGTGCAGAGCACGAGCACGTCGAACGACCGCATGTCGATGACGAGCCTCATCGACCTGGACATGAGCATGCCGGAGCCGAACCTGCCGGAGCTCACGCGGCCCTCGACGGCGAACTCGGACATCGGGTCCATCACGGGCTCGGACGTCGGCGCGCGCGAGCCGTTCGAGCTCGAGCGCCACGCCTCCGTGTACGCGCCCGCCAGCTTCTCCAGCCGCGAGCCGTCCATCTACGTCTCGGACGGGTCCGAGTTCTCCACCCAGATCAGCAGCAAGATCGCCGACGTGACCGAGGTCCAGGTGCACCCGCATGACCCGATGATGGCGGGACAGCAGCCGCACCAGCACCAGCACCAGCAGACGGGCAGCGACTACACGATCGCGTCGTCCGAGACGTATGTTAACGACCCGCGCGCCGACGGCTCGCACTCCCACCTCCCGCCCATACCGCCGCCGTCCGGAAGCGTCATGGAGGCGCGCGCTACGGCTGGCGACGTGGCGAATGAGATGAGGCGTCTTATTGGGAGCTTGGGGGATCACTTGTCGATTATTGGGGAGCAGGTCGCTACTATGGAGCCTAGGAGGGCGGGGAGGAGTTATGAGGGTGCTGAGTAGTCTTGCTGGTGGTGTGGTTGGGGAAGGGAGGAGTGGTGGAGGTGGAGGTGGAGGTGGAGGTGGTGGAGATGGTGATGTATAACGAGATACGAGGGAGAAGAGAAGAGATGAGTTGAGTAGTAGCTTTTTACTGTCTACATGAGTATGGAGTATGAGCAAATGAGTATACGGGGGAGGGCTTGGATTAGGTTACGCTTGATGTGTACCCGCGATGCCTTACGAGTTTGCGCCTGGGGTCCTTGGGGGTTGTTGATGTTCGACGTTGAGGTTGAAGTTGGTGACGGAGATAATGGGATACCAGAAGTTTTGATACAAACTACTTAGGTATTGCCATAATCGAGAATGTGTTCCTGACTTAAGGTCGTTTACGGTCATTTTCGATGCGAAATGCCTCAGGTAGATCTGCTTTTAAGTTCTCGTCTTGCGAACGGTGTAAATGAGACTGCATAAAAATGGGTTATAAAATAGGGGGAAAGATTGCAAATTGAGATTGGTTGATGCGGTAAGCTACGAACAACTCAACAAATATACCGATATCTCTCCAACAGCATCTTCTATCTATCTACCAATCTACGTAAATCCAATCAGATCCCCCATCAGCACAGCCTGATACTTATCCACCGCCTCGCGAAGTCTGATCAGCACGCCCGCAGCCAGCATCTTGACCTCGTTCTCCTCTCCGCCCTCGCCGGCGACCCCAACATCGCCACCGCGCGTGTTACTAAACACGGCGCCGACCCACTCCACGCTCTCGACGGCCTCGCGGCCGTGCCTCTCGCAGAGACCCCGCATGTCGCCCTCGTTCACGTCGAGCAGGGCCATGAGCCCGAATAACACGGCCTGCGTAACGCCTAGATCGCCCGCGCACTGGCCGCGGACCCCGAGGAGCAGGTCCCAGAACTCGGCCGTCATTTGGGGTAGGGCGAGGGTGCTGGGCCCGGCGGCGTGGAGGAGGAGCGCGAGGGTCTTGAGGTAGAGGGTTAGGAGGTATGGCTGGAAGAGGATGCCCCGCGTGGTTGCGGACGCGGAGTGCATCGCGGCTTGGAAACGCGAGGTTAAGGGGAAGAAGAACGATGATGCGATTAGTGAGGCTGTTGTGTTGGGTATGGCGCGCATGCGTGGTCTTGTTATGCCTCTTGTACTATTGGAGGATTGCGAGTTTAGGCGTGAGGTAAATGACGAGAGCTTCAGCGCGTCTGGTCCTGTTTCTGCGTCGGCTGCTTCTGCGGCTAGCGGTGCGAGGAAAGTCCGCGAGAGGGTTTGAGCTAGGTTGTCTAGCGCATTTGAGGGGAGTGCCTTGAGATTGGTCGCTGAAGACTCGAGCCTATTCGAGGGTGAAGTCGTAGTATAGTGCTTCTCGACTTTAGATGGGAGCATCTTGGAGGGAAATTTTGCGGCTGAAGTGTACTTGGATGTTTCGAAACCTGCTATTTCTCTGCCGCTGAGACCAAGTACAATGAGAATAGATGCTCGCTGAGATAGTGAGTAATCGCCATCGAAGAATGTCTTCGCAAACCACTGCCCCATCTTCTTTGGCTGGGCGACTACAATGGCAATCATGCCTTGTTGACGTAGCTCGTCAAAATTTTCAAGCTCATATTTATCTTGTAGGCCGACAAGAAGAGTAGCTAGTTCGTCTGCATGCGAACTAACCTCGGTGCCGTAGTTGGCTTTTCTACGTATTAACGTAGGAGCCGTCGTCAATGCCAATTTCTGCTTATCATAGTTCTCCGTGTCTCTAAAATAGGAAATAAGGTCTCGGATGTAAACCGGAGCCTTTGGCTTATCGCGATTGATGAGCGTAGGGTCATCATCAGAGTCCTCGGCGTCAGAATCTGGCTTCGCATATGGTACTAGGTCCGGATCTTCGCCTTCATCGTCATCCTCGATCTCTTCAATAATAAAACCTGATTGGGCGGGTTGTTTCCCAGGTCCCTGGGATGGGGTTGCTGGGGTTCTTGCTGGCTTAGGTTTGCTAGCAGGTTTTGGCGAGGCGATAGATTCTCTCAGTAGATCCAGAGGGCCAACTTTATCAGATACCTGGACCAGAGATTTGTACCATCTTGCTTCTTCTGTGTCCATCTCATCCATCTTGAAATCAAGCTTTGTCTCTTTGCCGTGTACGAGTCCCGATAGCGCCTCACCAACCACCATGCCCAGAAAACGAGCGCGATTTTGAGATGCAGAAATCCGATTAGAAATTGCATTTAAATAGGAGCTTGATCGTGATAACATGGTAAGCTTGATTGGCGCGAGCCTGTGGACGTATCCGGCACTGAGAAGGAGTACTTGGGCGTGTGCTTGTTCTTGTGGTTAGCGTCTTCCAGTAGAGTAATGACCCGGTATGCCTTACCATCTTGTTGTAGCAACGGTGCATGTTTGATGTATAATTTGTCGCCGAATTGACTTAAACATTTCTCTAGGATAGCTACCATGGACTCCCTGTCATCGGAAAAGACGGCGACGGCAGCTCGTCTAATTCCACACCCTTCACCGATTCCGGCACCAGATCCGCTAGTTAACCAATTAATGAGATTGTTCTTCCGTGCCTCGTCATTTCCTACGACTGCCTTTAAAACACCAGATGCGGCGGAGATGACAGCAGTATCTTTCGTCGCATCGCTATCATCAATAATATTCAGATATTTATCGGCGAGCAGCTTAAGGATCAAACTAAGTATCTTGCGCTGTTCAAGAGGTTGGAAGAATCCTAACAATCTCTCAAATAGGGTCTGGTTATCAACGTCTTGAAGAAGTAGATCCGTAATCAATTTATTGACAAAGATTTCTGAAGTGATTTTTGATTAGCGCGTATATTTAGCATTAAGAATAGAACTTACCTGGGTTCCCTAATCGCATTGCTCGCGTTGACATCTCGGCACATAGCTTGAGGTCATCTTCATTGACCCCTGACCGAACCCACCGTACAATATTTCGGGCAACCCAGTCGATATATGACTTGGTATTACTGAGCCAAATATCATTCTTCAGTTGCCCGGCTTGCCGGCAGACGTCCTCGGCCTCTGCAGATAGCGAAACGACTTTTCCGCTCGTAAATAACGATACGAACTCTTGGCGCATAGAACGAACATGAACCTGATTAGGTAAGGAGCTGATACTATCCCAAATATGTTTTATGTCATCATCGGATTGGAGGATTTTAGACAGTAATTCTAGCATATGAATGAGGCCGAAGTGAGTGTAAGAGTCCTTCAGAGATTTAAGGTCTGATTTCGCTTCCTTCAAGAGAGCACGTAAGAATGCTAACATAGCATTGATGCCAGTGATGCTCTGCAAGGAAGAGATGAGCAGATGGACATCCCCTTTACTCTGCTCGGTGGATGCATCCTTCAGTACGGTCCAATAGTTCGGGACGATCTCTGTGACTAATATGTGTATAATTTGAGCAGCTTGTGGGCTGGGGTTTCGGATGTTAAAGGCATGGTTGCCGTCTATGCCTTTTTTAAAGTACTTCAGTATAGAAATAAGAGAATCGTAGCTTGGTTGGCTTTTGAGGGCCTCCAGAGCTTCGTCTGGTGATGAACCTCGAAAGTTAATCTCCGCGGATGCGATTGTTTTGACCGGCTTCGAGATTTCTAGTATTCCATCATTGTTAGTCGGTTTCCGGTAAGTCTGACTCACTGGAGTGAGAAGTTCTTCCATGTTGTAAGCCGATGGTCCTGGGTTCACTCATTGAAGTGCTTTTATGAGCTTTGGACGTATTATCGGTAGTTGTTTCTTGGCATGATGTTAGGTTCTCAGAGCTAGGAAAGCAATTCTCATAAGCGGGATTCCCTCATGGTATGTGCAATCATCAAGAAAATCAAAGTTAAGAAGAAGTTGGTTTGTTGTTCGCAGTCGTTTCTTCATATAAGAAGCTTATTGAAGGCTACTTGATAGCTTTAAGGTTGCGCTACAAGTCTTATGCTCTTATAGGGTTAATTAGACATATCATTATAGAGAGTAATCGCGGGGTACAATTAGGCCTTAACGCATTTTAGTAAGCACTGGTGTAGCAGCCCACTTAAAACACCTCGCTACCGTCCTATCGGCGATAAGGATGACATCAAACCGGGCACCAAATAGCTAGAGATACCTAGGTACCTTCCTTCATCATTTCGAAGCTCACTCACGCCAACACATCTAACGACGTCCAAGGGAATACAGCATGGCGACGGCCGAGGTTGACGGCACCGTCTCAAGATGGAAATATTTAGATCGAATTCGCAGGACCCCTGGCCCCTTCAATCAAGACTCCGAAATCAGCGAAGAAGCTCTCGCAGCGCTGGACCAGGCTAAGATCTTGGTCATCGGTGCTGGCGGTCTTGGATGCGAAATACTAAAGAATCTCGCCCTATCTGGCTTCAAGGACATTCATGTCATAGATATGGGTACGCCAGTGTTTCCTAATCCTTTCATCTCAATATTGCCCTATTTCATACGATGCTGACCAACACACGCTTGCGCCAGACACCATCGACATCTCGAACCTCAACCGCCAGTTCCTCTTTCGCAAAGACGATGTGGGAAAGTTTAAAGCCGAAGTTGCCGCAAAATTTGTCGAGAAGCGGGTCAAAGGCGTTAAAATCACACCTCACAACTGCCGAATACAAGAATTTGACGAGGACTTTTACATGCAGTTCCAGATTGTTGTATGCGGTCTCGACAGCATCGAAGCGAGGCGATGGATCAACTCTACCCTAGTGAATATGGTTGATATAGAAGATCAAGACTCTCTGAAACCACTCATCGACGGCGGGACGGAAGGATTCAAGGGCCAAACCAGAGTCGTGCTACCCACCATAACACCATGTATTGAGTGTCAACTAGATCTGTATACTCCAAGAGCTGCGGTTCCCTTATGTACCTTGGCTACTATCCCACGGCAACCAGAGCACTGCATAGAATGGGCCCATATTATCGCGTGGGAACAGGAGAAGCCATTCCCAAGCCTAGACAAGGACGACCCTGAGCATATCACCTGGCTCTATCAGAAAGCCCTTACACGAGCCCAGGAATTCGGTATCTCTGGTGTCACCTATTCACTTACACAGGGCGTCGTCAAGAATATCATCCCGGCAATAGCGTCCACTAATGCCGTCATTGCTGCCAGCTGCTGCAACGAAGCTTTAAAACTCGCCACCACGGCAGCACCCTGTCTTGGGCTCCAGCCAGAGAGCTACATGATGTATTCCGGTGACGATAGTATCTATACAAACACATTCAAGTACGAGAAGAAGGAAGACTGCGCTGTATGCGGCAACTTAGCCAAGCCGTTGGAGGCCGATCCTGATTGGACACTCAGAGAGCTCCTCGATTCTTTCGCGATGAAAGCGGATCTTCAATTAAAGAAGCCTTCCATCAGAGCCGAAGGCAAGACTCTGTATATGCAATTCCCCCCAAGCATAGAGGAACAGACACGGCCGAACCTAGATAAGACCCTGAGGGAAGGCTTGGGCCTGCACAAAAATCACGAAGTTGTTGTAACGGATCCGGCCTTCCCGGCGTTGCATTTTAGATTTATTCTCCAGTTTACATGAGCAAAGGAGTTTCGGGGAAGTTATACCAGAGTCCATACATACCTAGAAAGATAGGCAGGACCAGACCTTGTTTAAAGTTGATGTGGCTGTTCATAAGTTGATTCTCCCCAGTCCCATGATTAGCAATGCTCGCATGAGCCGTGAATAAGAACTTCTCTGCTGAATTCAGATTTATCCAGGCTACTTGAAAGGATTGTAAAAGTTGTGCTATCTCAGGACTAGAAGATATAGAGTATGTCTTGATCTATAAGCCATGACTGAACTTGGAAGGCAGACAGAACTCAATGCAATAGACATGCTATCTGTATCTCTAGGAGCTATCAAACCATCTTCCCACTATAACCTTAGAAGGTCGTCTCATCCTATCGTTTCCTGTTGTGGCTTACTAAGCAGGTATTCCTTTATGCTAACCACAGGTAAGATGATTCTTTCTTTCTCGACTGCGTGTCTCGGGCCATAGAAGAGCATCAAATGACGAGACCAAAAAGCTGGCTCCATCTCTGAAGTTCGAATACACTTGGTGTGCTTTCATGGGGCATTGGCATCAAACCCCCCAACCCCCAAGGTCATGGAGAAGCTTATGTCAAGCGAGATTTTCAAGTAAAGTGGTGACTTGTAGGTGCCTTTTTATGAGCATCTTGCCTAAGTCTTCAAATATCTAGTATAACGCTTGGATTGATGGAAAACTAAGATTTCTTACAGGAAAAAGCCCGCTGAGACAGTCTCCGATGACAAGATGTCAACACCAGGATTCCGTCACAGTGAGTCTGAGACGATCCGCGAGTTATCCTAGGGTAGTCTTGTCCTCGGACACGGTGAGAAAGAGAAAAAGTTTTAATAATGAACACCCATGAATTCAAATCTTGTGCACTTCAGACGCACTGATAAAATGGTCGTTGGGCTTCGCGGGATTGCGCAGTCGCTCAGGGGGTTCTACAGCGACCTACCGAATGACCCACCCTCGCTGTGTCGCTACCTATACCACCACAAGAATATCGTCTGCCATATCAGCGACTAAGTCGAAGATGCAGTCAACAAGATGGCCCGTACATGGTTGGAGCGCTATCAAGATCCGAGAGACCCTATGGCGATTTCGGATGACGACGATGTTTTGTTGTGGATGCGCACGGGCCAATGGGAAAAGGGGTAAGGGGTCATTTGAATATCCTTGCTCCTTCGAAAAGCCTCGCGATTCATGGCCGCAATCCGATTTTCGGTCTGTTCTAGATGTCGCGAAGTTAGAGAGGCTGTATTTCACTTACCTTAAGTCACTGGTTCCAAGTTCAACATCTCTTTCCGGAGATGTTTGAGATTGGATATCATCCCGTCCATTTCTGCTGCCTTCCAGGTTTTTTTTTTTCAAGTAATTCTTATTCATATAATATGTTGTGTCGGTCTACAATTTTCGTGATGATTTCTGAATTTTAGTTTGAAACGGACGAGTTCCGCATATGGCGCGTAGGTGCAGGACATTAAAAACGTTAGGACCTAAATTCATGAGGACCAACGACGGTTCTTCTTGAAAATACCCCTTGCCTCGTTGTACCAATGGAGTCTTAGCCGTGCAGGCCGTGTTAACCAACGTTCAGGGATTCATTCTAACTGCATAAATTACATCCGGACACTAGGCCCACTCATTCATCCTTTGTGTCTTCTATTATTCCTTTCCTCTCTTAATTAACAACGTGTTTCTTGGAGTTCAGCATCAAGATATCAAGATGAGCCCGAAGCCTTCGCTCTCCCTATGGGAGTATGCGACACTACCCATAGCTATCAGTCGCATAAGTATGTTATTCTATTCCAGTATTGTTCTTCAATTACTCACCTCAAAATAGTATATACGTTGGTTGGCGCCTGCTTCAGGGCCCCTTTCCGAGAAAGCAGTGGTGCACCAACCTTCAAAAGATATGTTCTTTATGCTGGAATGAGAGCGGTTGTTGAAAATATGACCATTCGTCAGTTCCAGTAAGTATCAGCAGACCTAAATATTACTCAGATACCCCTATCTGATATGTTGAGTAGGGCAATCAACCCTTCCACAACTGAGGCTTATGAGACCGTGGCGAAAAGAAAGAGGTTTAGATCAGATATCGTAAAATTGCCCGACGGATCTCTTGGCTGTTGGGTTGGGGATAGAAATGCCGAGACTATTCTCGTCTGGTTTCACGGGGGCGGATTTGCTTACATGGCTAGCACGGCACATGTGGAATTCCTCCTTGATGTGGTCGCGCAGGCTTCTAAACATGGCCTTAGTTTGGCTGTTTTCCTTCTCCAGCACGGTATGTCAAACTCTGAGCCTAAAGGTTATCAAGCCGAGATTGACTAGACATAACCAGATGTCGCTCCACAGGCACAATATCCACGACAGTTAGAACAAGCTGTCACCACAATAAGATACCTTACTGAAGATTTTGGGAAGTCTTATTCACAAGTATGTGTTTAGTGGAGAATTTGCATGTAATGCCATCGTTAACAGCCTACGAAAGTTATTGATAGGGGGCGACTCCGCCGGAGGAAATCTCACGATAGGATTGTTATCGCATTTGTCCCATCCTCACCCCACAATACCCGCTTTGAACAGCCATGGATGGAATATAAAAGGAGCCATCTTGCTTTCTCCATGGGTATCACTTCTTGATCTCGACTCACAGTCATTTCGGGAAAACCGACCCAAAGATGGACTAAGTGGTCCAGGACTGAAGGCTTGGGCCAACGCCTTCATGAAACCCGCTCAAAGGGATAATTATAACTGCCCTCTCTATGCTACCTCGGAATGGTGGCGGGATGTTCGAGCGGAAAGCATTCTCGTGTTAGCAGGAGAAAATGAGATTCTCGTAGATCAAATTCGACAATTCGCGGAGAAGTTGAAGGTTCGAGCAATCAATCAGCATCTATAACTTGTTTTCATATACTGACTAAATGCATAGGAGCATAACGAGGAAGAAGTTGACATACTGATCTCTCCCGGAGAAGCGCATAACCCCCCGGTTGACGAGCGCCAGCTTGGTATACATGGGCAGAATGGTATGATGGAAAATAAGTTGTGCCAATGGATATTAGATCGCACTTGAGGATTTATGATGAATAAAAATCTTCACGGTAACGAGAAAAAAGCCGGTGAGTATCGTAAAGCGCTATTAAGTGTTTATGCGATATGGTCCGTACTCCTCCACCCCTACTGAGCTTCCTCTTCCGCCCCCCTTGTATAGCTATCCCTTGATACAAGAATCAACCAAGAATAAACTCCCCAACACGCAATTCAAGTCTTGCACAAGTAAATAAAACGCATTAATGATATCTTGGGTTAACCTTTAGTAAAGTCTCATGCTAGATCCCCCCCTGAGGATTCATAGCAACTGAATTAAGAGGCGAAGCTTTCAAGATTCCGTGGAGTTTGACGTGGAATTTGATGTGGAATTCGACGTGAAAAACTCTCCCTTCCCAACCTCGTCAAAGGCGCAGTCCCTTGGGCACCAGTTCCAGGTTGGCGGCAGCTTGTTAACCCAATCCATCGGCTGTATATCGTACACCTTCTCCCAGTGGTGGCTCCAGAGATAGCCACTCTGGTACTCGCCGCATCTCTTGAAGACTTGGTTCTCGGCCTCCTCGAGCTCCTCGATCGCCAAGCCGTCCTTGTGAATCCACTTGCAGTTGCAGACGTACCACACCACGTCGCCGGATCTCTCCTTTTTCATCGACTTTCCCGGGACTTTGCCGTGTTTTACGCCCCATTCGGCGAGTTTGTTCCTGGCATTGATGACATCGAATGGGTCTAAATTATAGCCTGTGCATTTTACTAGCGTGATTGGGATGTTTACACCTTGCTCTGTTGGGTAGAGCCCGTCTGTTTGATTTTCTTGTGGTGGTATAGCCAAAGCTGATACTAGGGTTATGCCCGTAGCGAGTAATAACTTGAGTGATAGACGCATTGTCGCGGTGGATATGAATGAATAATATGTTAAAGAGTTTGGTATATGATGTGAAGTTATAGAATATGTATGAAGAGAAGAGAACCAAAGCACACGTCGGGGATAATTGGTAGGCATTTATATAGGCGGACTTGAGTATAAGACTACCTCTTCAGCTAACAGAACTCTCCAGACAGGGTTTACCAAGTAGAATACACCTAAGCATGAATAAAAGCTTGACTCCGATTTGTTTATCAGGTGAGCAATATTCTGACTCTTAAACCTTATCTAAAGACATCCAAAGTTGTGGCAACTAAGATGATATGAGCTTGTTTAGGTACTTTTAAGGAACGAACAGTGACGCACGTTTAGAGTCTAATGAACTAGGAGTACATATATAGATTTAAGTAAAGGGCTATAAAGTTTACTTTACACTTTCTACGCCTTAGAACTCAAATTTAAGTATAAAATAATCTACCAAATGTTATCTGGTATATAATTCAAGTGTTGAAGTAAGATTGCGCGTTATGGTTTGTCATTACGGTTCTAGCTTCCACGAAAAAGAAGGGGTAGCCCCACAGGTTATCATCACTTAGCAACGCGCTACAACATCAATATAATCTAGGTACAATAGGTAGTATGAAAGTATAATACAATATGATTCACCCTATTTATGTGTTTTAAGACAAAATCTCATAACTAAATCTGCCGTATCTGTAAAATGCCCAGGAAAATAATTACACGAATTAGGGGATATCTCATCATATACTAGGCACCAAGTTTAACTTGCAAATCCCTTTCGACACGCTGCGCACTCCTTCGGGCCCAATGTCTAGCCTCTCATCCGGCAAGCTCTTGACTGGGTGACCCCAAGCCCTGACGCCGGTCTTGTCTTTCCTGAAGTGCTGTTGGAAGTATCTGGAGCGCTCAACCGCCTCAGCTCCGCGAGGCAGCATCTCCCCGTAGAATGTGGTGAGCAGGCGGTGAAGGGCAGCATCATCTGATGATTCCAGCTCGGTAAGCAGCTTTCCCAAGTGGAGCGCGTCGCGCATCGCATGTATACCTCCCTCAGCCTTGTATGGCATCATGAGATGCACGGCGTCGCCGAGAAGTGTTGCCCTTCCGAGCGGGATTTCGTCGAGGTGGCAGTCTGTTGGCACCCAGCCAATATCCCGGATACCCGTCTCAGTGGTTTCTTCGATAACGCGTCGGAACTTAGGGTCCAGGTGCGCAGTCATCTTCTTAGCGAGCTCAAGACGTTCTTCTCTAGGAAGATTGTTGACGGCAACGCGACCGGTCTGTTGGGCGAGCGGGTCGTGCCAGCAAACGACCCAGAAGAACTCTCCTGATTGACCGTCGGGCGCTACCTTAGTTAGGCCCATGAACAAGTTGTTCCAAGCATCGCCGGTAGTAACCGGTATGATGGCCATGCTGTGGGCAATTTCTAATTGGCGTGCAAATAGTTCGCCGCTGAGTGTCGTCTCTCCAGTTATCGAGCTGATCGGTACATTCCTCAGTACCTCCTTGTTGGGCTTGCCAAGCACATGCTCTCTCACTATGTGTATGTTAGGCAACTTGTTACCATGAGGGAGTCATAGACGGGGAACTCTTACCGATACTGTTTGCGCCGTCGGCACCCACAACGAGGTCTCCAGTTGCGGTGGTGCCATTCTTAAATGTGACAACCATCTTGTCACCTACCTTTCCGATCTGGCTTGCAACTCTTCCATATTGGACGTCGATATTGGTAGCCAGCCACTTTCGAAGTAATAGACGGTTGCATCGTAGCGTGGGAGTTGAAGGAGAGCATTCCGTGCCTAAGCGGTCGTTGTGGTAATAGAAAACAACTTGGGTTTCTAGGTTGAGGGGGTTGAGATGGTGGACGGAATCCCTGAAGTTGGGCATATCATCCGGGAAAGCCTTGAATAACTCATCCACGACACTAAGAATAAGAGAAAGGGTCTTAGATTCGAGTATATTACTAGATAGGTATTGAGAGTCAGCACTCACCTGTGCATAGTTAAGGACCATCCCTGGGCTCTGGCAACTTCGTGCTCATCCCGCTCGAAGATCTCAAACGGGACGCCATTCTTCCGCAAGACTTGGGCAAGGGTCAACCCACCCAGACCGGCACCGACGATAAGGACCTTCGGCTTGTATCCTCCTTCAGCCACAACGGGTGCAATTACTTCCTTCATTTTCGTGGCGAGCAGTATTTAACCAAGTCTTAATAGTTACGAGGAGGGTGCCGTTTAACTCAGCTAAGCTTCGACGGCCGGACCACCAACCTTTTGTATATTGTTCGGTCCAGCACCGTTGGCAAAGGTGCCATGTAAGAAACGTTAAAGGAAAGGATTCGGCCAATCAAACAATTGTCCCGACGCTCTTGGCTATCTCCCTTTCAGCTGTACTCGGTGACGGAGTATCTCCAGGGCTCCCTACCCCTGCACACCAACAGTCCCCCAAGCTAGCATTGTTATGTCATATGGCTAGCGAATACTATTCGCGCTTTCCAGGCTCATCAGGTTCTACTAAACGGAGTCTACCCAGTTGCTTACCTGGGAATGCGATACCTAGTGTAACCTGCAAGAGTGCGGCAGCTAAGGATTAGCAAAGCCTCTCACGGCATAGCTATCCTTTCGCCGCCGTCGAGTAAAATGGGTCGTCCTACCCCACAGCATTTTCAGTAACTCCGTAACGTATAAGATCTGCTGATTAAGTGGTTAGGTATGGCTTCATATTTTTGGCGATTTTCGTACGTACAAGAGATTGTGCCGTAGTCGCACATGATGTTAACTTGTTTCGGGAACGCGCCGAACATTCTCGCACTTACCTCCTTTTAGATTCACTAAATGATAGTGCTGGGCCTAGAAGTTTTCCAGAATATTGCCATACAGCGCAATCGCATGAGTAACAATATCAATACTTACCTAGATAGGTTCGTTTAAGATGATGTTATGTCGCACGGCTTGAGGCTGATGGGGGGAAGGAAATGTTATTTTTAGCGTGCATACAGTATTGTCCTTGCCTACTACGTAGTACAAGATCGTCAGATCGGTGTTGATTTATTGCGTGCCTTACTTTCAGCTCCTACCTGTGGATGAGCTACAGTGCGCCCGGTGGCAGAATCAGGCGAATAAGTGTACAGTGTCTAATTCAATATACTGTGCTCCGCACATACATAAGCCACGTTCCTTCCACCTGCACGTATGGGGTGATTATTAGACCACATTCGACCCTGCTGGGATTCATCTTAGGTCAGATCGGAATAAAGATCTAGCATTGTTGAATTTGTGTTTGAGATAAGAAACATCTTGCCATACAGTGCCTACCTAGTAGGTATTTCGGTAGGTCAAACAGACATTCGTAAAGCCGAATATCAAAATGACACTATATCCGAGATCGAGAGACCGAAACCACTCGGGTCCGAGAAAGCTGATTAACATATACCAACTTACCTAAGCAGAAACTGAAGTTATTAGAATAGAGTAATAATCCTTCCGCTTCACAGAAAATGACTCGGAACCGAATCTCATATCCACCTGCCAATTAAACCAGCGGTTTAACCCGAATGAACAGGTCTCCTACAAAACCACTTCTGGGGCTGAGGTATTCGACCCTTGCGATCGCCAAGGCGTCAACCCCGGTACGCTACTCCGCACTTGTCCTGAGGCTCTGGTCTTGACCCTCGTTTGACCACATCAACATTCGCATCGGTTAAGAGGCTCGAATCAAGACCACAAAGCGAAGCGTAAATCTGCGCTCCCTTAAATATACCTATTCAATATTATGTAATCGCCTAACTATGAATTGTATCATCCAACATAGACTCTTTTCTACGTCAAGCAGGCAGAGAAATTAACGTGGGTGCTTTTTATAAAGTCCGACAGGCGACGCTAGCCATGGGGTCTTAGGAAAAGAGGTGGGGAATCCCGGTTCCCCCTAGAACATCTGCTACACCAGTTATAAGAACTTACTTTCGTTGTCATTGCCGTGTCTGCTTCTAAATGCCCTATTCGACTGGAATCATGACGCTTGAATTTATTCCTCGTCCTAGTTTATGAACAATATGTTTTCCCAATCGAGACAATAATGCAGCAACTGGCGGTTTTCCTACCTACCAACAACCTAGAAGTACAGTAGAGACCGGAGGATATGCGTAATAAACTAGAGTCTTACTAAGGAAAATCCTTCTTAAAAGGTTGTCTCGTGGGTATTTCTGTTGTCGTAGATAACTGTGGCGTTCACAAAAAATGCTATCGACTCGTCACCTTCATAGCGAACCATATTGCTACGGATAACAATGTCACTAACTATCTGATCAATGGTTCAGTATTCTAACAGTCTGTTGACAGGATGTTGATTACCTCAAGGAACAGTGATCGTGTCTAGATAGGAGACAACCAAAAATCAATGCAAGGAGCTATTGTATATGGGAGACAAAAGGAGAAGCTCCCAATCAGGGAATCGAACCCTGGGCCCAAGAGTGAGAATCTTGGATGTTAGCCACTACACCAATTGGGATGTTCATGTATGATTGACTTTGTCTTAGACTGATCTACCAGTATAGTCTTGATTGTATTACTCTGGAAAGAGCAGGTATGTTGGTTAAGGCTCGCAACTACCCCTTTATATGGCGTATTTTGTGCAGGTTGCCTTCAGACAAACTTTAATATAAAAGAGAGCTAAAAGGTTCTCTAATATTAATTATTATTCTGGTGATTCTTTACCTACCGACATATGTATATATACATATCCCTCCTGAAACTTTGGCAAGATTTATTTGAATAAGAGTCTCTTTAGGTACCCTATCTACCTAATGCAGGGTTGAGTTATAACAAAATTGAGGCACATACTAACATAAATATAATATTCCTAGAATGATCAAATACGGCATACTCGCCTTCTCGATAAAGTGTAGCGAATATCTGTCTTTTGGGCATCATCCATGCCCTAGCAGACATGTTGAGCCATGAAAAGGGGTTGGCACAGGTAAAAATCCTAGGTTAAAGCCTCAGATTCTATTTCCAACGATATCGGTATACCAGAACTATCCATAGATGTGTCTAGAGAAGGTTGTTGTCATTTAGAACTGTATAACTGACATACCTACAGTACACATTTACTGTAGAAATGGGTGGCTATTAGACATTGAATCTGATCATCTGTCCACAGTATGTAAAGTACGCTGATGCCCCAGGCAGTCCCCACGGAATAGCCACTTGAAAATTTTCAAATGAAAAATGATCTCGAGATCATCAAGTACAGTTCACCTTGGCGCCCTAGTGTATTGAGATATGTGATCAATGCTATGGAGGTGTATCGATTATACATGTTCTCCTACTGTGTACTACCTAGTGCGAGGACCTTAGGTTGGTAGGTAATAGGAAGCTTCGACGCTGTTGATCTAGCTAAAATATTGGGCTAGTAGATTTTTAGGGTAAGTACAGATAGTGTCGATTGAAGATGAGGCCATATTAAGGTTATTCTACTGGGCAACTGACATAGAAATTCTTTTTCGATGTTCGCGCCTGCCTGACCTACACTGGCTGCCGATTTCGTCAACACCTTGACCACCATGGCAACCTTGCTACTGCTAGGGATTTTGCTATATAAACATAGGTTCCTACCTGTCAATTCTCTCTCTCTCTCCCTTCATCATCCAACCAAGGGATCATCAATCTCAGGCTTAGAAACAATGGCTACTACTCCAACCATTCATACCAACGCTCATACCAGCCTCTATCTCTCTTTGTCCATCATGACAACAAATTACTTATCATCAATATGATCATTCACTCCATCACATTGTTGATTGTTTACAACATCAGCCAACATTAGTTACGAACTGTCACCTCAACGACAAAGTACGATGTCTCACGCTTAAAAACATCAAAGGTATTTCACTTGTTAATAGATAAGACATTTACACCCATCCTTTATCACAACAAATCATACCAAGCATCTACATGAAGTCGCCTCAGTAGTACCAGCTAATCAACCTACCTCAGCAAAAGAATAGACACCACGTCTAACGATGACAAGATAAACGAGAGTCACCATCTCACCCAAAGACATGAACAGTGTCAACAAAACAACGGTGGCATCAACAAACCTGGTCGAGACTGGTAAGACTTGTCCATCTATTAATACAAGTTACCTTCATTAGGTATCTAACCTTCCCTTCTTCCAGAATCACCATCCCCCCACCCCACCAACTCCCAACTCGCTTGTCATCGTGACAGCATTCTCACTTCTTCACTTCGTAACAGCAATCCTCAGATTTCACATGTCTTAGGAAGACCGAATCATCGTGGAGTCGGTACTTCTACAAGCTCGCAATTTGGTCTTGGACCATACAGAACCCCAGCCGTCCTTGTGACTGCCAATGGCTCTTCTGCTGCAGCGACTTCACCTCTTGTTCATAAGTCAAGCGTGTCCATGGCACTGCAATTTGCCGAACAATGTGATTTAATGTAGAATGGAAAACCTCATGATGGTTGAGTTGGTACGGGACAGAAGATGAGATCAGGTTTGCTTGTTGCTTGGTGAGGCAGTCGGGTCTGCTTGTCAATATGACCTGCCGAATATACGACTTGAGTACCTACTCAATACTGTCGAATATCGAGTCTGCAACGGTAATTCTATGATGCCCGCCCTTGAGTGTACTAAGGTTCTAGATCATTCGAGTCACCATACTCTAGAGATCCAAGGCAATCAGTCGCACAATTCGAGAATCATCACGAGATGTACAAGACAACTCAGTATTAAGGAGCAATAAGAGGCTATCACAAGATGGGGCATGGGATGGGGGATGGGTGGAGGAATGGATGAGCTTTAAGCTGTAGGAAAGGGGGGTTGGAGGGGGAGGAGGGGTTTACCAATAGCATAAAATGCTTACACTCGAGTATATAACTCTAAACCACAAATTCCAACAACCATTGCAGCGATAGACTGCATCGTCTGGCAAGAGAACATCCACTCTTATGCCATCAAATATATCACATTAACCCCCTCATTTATATAAGTAACTTGTTGACTCTATGTTCGTTATGATTAAGTCCGAATAATCAGTAATGTGGTGATATGTCCTAACCGTCGCATAATCATACTCTCGCCACTTTATCCTAATCCGGAACGGAAGCGTCGCAACCCCTCCGTTTCGAGCGCAATCCCACTCTGCCTAATATGTTCTTGGCGACGTGACAACCCGTGAAGTCTTATTCATTTTGTCCATTAAATGCCAATTCTCAAATCATTTTCTTGCCGTCCTACCTATAACATGTAGCCAGCTTCACAACCCAACCGCTCTCCAGCGCAGCGCTATTATCTCACCATGAGTCACAGCAAACAAGAACACAATGTTAAAGAGGAGGAAAAAGCATTCCTTGAGCAGATACCCCTCCACGATGACGCCGCGTGGCCGCGAGAAAGGCGCGCCAGTAAGACAACACAGTACCTACGACTAGCCCTCGAGATCGTAATGGCAGTCGCCATAGTCGTCCTGCTAGCCAACCTCCTCCGCTCCCGGGTCGAAGAAGAACGCCGCACCCCAGTACCAAAATGTACGTTTCCCCCTTAATTCCCAAACCCGTAACCCCCTATCCCAGCCTAGGTAACCTAACCTCCCGGCCCCCTTCCGGCTTCCAGTCCCGCGCAAAACATACACCTTCCTCCCAAACCCAACCTACATCGAGCAAAACATGCTCTTCTCCGAGCACGCAACGCTGCAAACCCTACATAACTGGATCCCCCTAAGCGCCGACGCGCGCGGCTACATCCACGTGCCGGACCACGCATCCTACCCCACGCTACCGCCACCTTTTACCATCGGCGTGAACCGCACGACGGACGGGCCCGCCTACATGATGTCCGCCTTCCACCAGCTGCACTGCCTATCCTACGTGATCGCGCACTTCCAAGCCGGGTACGCGGGGACCCCGCTAGAAGAAGAGGTCGCGCACCATTCGGCGCATTGCTTCGATTACCTGCGCCAGTGTATCATGTGCGCCGCCGACACGAACCTCGAGGGCGAGACCGAGGCCGGGCCCGGCTGGGGCTCGCCGCACGAGTGCGTCGATTACGATGCCGTCCTGGCCTGGGCGAACGAGCACGGCACCGAGAGGTGGAGGAATGGGCTTTTGCCGGGGGAGTCGATATTGTGATGGGTTCGGAGCGGGTAACAAGACGAAATGGGACGGTTGCAGGCTTTTCTACTAGCTGACTAGGTGTTTTATCCATGTGTATTGAATATGCCATCATCCGTGGACATCATTTTCCAGCGACGCCTCAAAGAAAGGGCATGCAGGTATTCGTACAAAACATGATCCCCTCAGGACTGGCGCATGCCCCACGGCAACATTTACTCACGCATGTTACCTAGAGTCTCGCCCCGGGGTCAAGGGAATTTATTGGTATTTTCCTATATACGTTTGTTCCCACCTAACGCCATAGCGTGGACGAAGTATATTTTGATGGTTAACCCCCGAATATGTGAGCATTTCTTATATATATACACGCCGAGGAGGTGGGGTATGTGCCCTGGATCATCCGGAACCGAACCTATAACCGCCATTCACATATCATCGTCCATATATATACCTTATACAAGGTATCCGGTACCTAAAGAAAATATCATATAGTTACTGCCAAACAGCAGCTTGGGTGGGGTCGTTTAACGGCGCCTGATTCGCGTAGGCGCTCATTTGCGGCGTCGGGGCGACCCCCATAAAGCCGCCATATTCTTGTAATATGAAATTCCAGTCCATCTCCCCGCCGAAGTTCACATCTGGAAACGCGGTCGCGAACTGTCTGTTCATATCTATTTGGGGCATGCCGTTGCCAAACATATCGCTATCCGGATATAAGGGCACTGTTGATGGGACGGATTGCTGTTGTTCGGGTGGTGTCTGCGGCGTCGCGACGTAAGCACCGCTTACGACAGGAATCTTGGGCGAAGGTGTCGGCATTGGGGTCCTCTTCTTAGTTGTCTTAGGTAACCGAGCTGCAACCTGTCTCATGTGAGTAATAAGACGAGGTGGTGCTAGAGTACGCCCCAGTGCGGCTTCGGCAGCTTCCCGTGCGTCCCACGCTTTTACAAAGAGTGGGCTGAAGGATAGATGCATCGGGCTACGCATGTGGGTGGTCATTTTTCTCCGGTCAGCATGCTCGCAGATTGTTTCCCACGCGCGTTCACATAGATCCCCAGTTGTTCGATGACGTAGGTCAGTAAGTAGGCAAATATACGCCGGGAACGGAAAATGCATATGCGTATACCAGAGGAAACCCTTCAAGTTTTCCCGTGCTTGCATCATACTATCATATTCGATCATCTTGATCGCTTCGATGAAGAGGTCTTCTCTCTCAGCTTGAGGCAAGGGTGCAGGCGCGGTAAGTGCAACGCGAAAGAAGCCCGACACTATCTTTTGCTTGCATATATTTGCCCGAGTCATAAGGAGGGTCATATAGTGAAGGGGAACCTTGGGGTCGCAGTATCTGAGATAGGTGTCTTCCATGTAAGTAGAGAAACGTTCCAGGTAACTCGACAACCGGTGGTCAGCTACGCTCGAAATTGCTTGCGGGTTTGATTCTGATACTTGACTCCTCATCTTGTCGTTTCCGGGAGCTTTAGCAAATTCAAGACGCGTGAGTGAGAACATCATCTCTGTTGCACCGGTATGAGGAGGTGGTGGGTCCTTGGCGTGCAGGTGCAAGTCGGCGTCGTTGATATTAAGCGGCAACTTGCAGTTAGCCCCGTTGGATATAGCAGTAATGATAGAACCGCAGAGCTCTCCGATTCGCCTATCGAAACCAGCAAGGGTCCACCACAGCCGCCTCCTCTCTTCCACCTCGAATGGAGACAGATTAAATTGGGCACCATCGCGATGTAACCCTATCCGCTGAGCGAGCCGCACGCCTATTCCCGTCAAGCAGAATAGCGACCGAGGATCGGAGTATTGTCGGATCCCAATCTAATATATGTTAATTTTGTTCCCGAACGGATGGGCCGGGTTTACCTTACAAGGTATAATAAATACGCCTGAAGTAAGGTCAGGTCTGGGTTACGCATGAAACCAGCATTAAGGAGGGCTTGTTGAGTAGCATAATAGTACTTTGCTAGTAATGCGGTTCTTGAGTCATTGAATGTGGCCTGACATTCTTCTTCATCTACACTCGTGATGGCCATCAGGTAAATTGAAAACATCAGGGCCTCCAGAGGCCGAGACACCTTGTCGAGGTTTGCGCCGGCCTCGATAATCCGCACTTGCAGCGTTGGTGTATGTGTCAGTTTAAGGAGAGGATTGACATTGTTTAGGTAGATCTGCCACAGCTGGAATATTTGGATGGCAGATGGGTGTTGGTCAGTAACGGGCTCGAACTGGCCGCCAACCACGAAAGGGAAGCCATCAGCCGTCTCAAACATCCTGTCGTATGCTTGATTAATCGACGATCCAACGTCCTCCTCGTCGGACGAATCTCTAACCGGTTCGCCTACTGCTCGATACTACACGGGTATTAGTACTTGCAGATACAGAGGGGAGTAAGTAGCTACTAGCCTCCTTCTGGAAAGGAAACCATTTAAAGGTCCTGTGAAGCTCGGTGTCAGTTTCGGTATTGAATCTCGGTAATGATGGGAGGGGAACCTCCGCACTTAGGATTTCGCTTACCTGGGGACGTGGCCAGTCTCGCCGGGAGACGAGATCAGACTAAGGTCCACACCGGCAGGAGACTCCTTGCTTCGCTGTCTTATAAACTCCGGTTCTAGCTCATCGCCGTCTTCGACGGAGCCGGGATCCACAATCTTGACGTCCGGACCCAACGAATCGAATTCGATGCCATTTTGGGACAAGAGAGCTTCGTACTTCCGCAAGCGCTCGACTAGGTCTCGTTCGGGGATACGCTTCTTGCGCCGCCGAGGAGGCTGAGGTGGGACGACGCGGCATTCGACGCCGGCCTTTACGCAATTGGAGCAGGGCTTGCTCTTATCGCAACGGACCTTGCGTTGTTGGCATAAGACGCAGCTATGGCCTCTTGTGACCTTGACCATGGAAGCGTCTAGATTGGTGGGCGTATGGCTAAGCGAGGAACCGGCGGGCGGCGTGGTGTCATTGTTTGCCGAGCCATCGCCAAGTTGAGACTCTGGGGTCGCGGGCATGGTGAGGGTTTTCAGTCGGTCCCGAAGCCTGGGACGGGTTGACGGGTTCTCACACCGCTAGCGGCTGGCGTGCAGATGCTTGCCGACGTGCTAGCGATCGATCAAGCTCAACTAGGAAACAGAGGCGACTCTGTTCTACATGAGACGAGAAGTTTTGAGGCCGGGTGCGGCGTTGATTGGCAAGCTGGAGTGAGGACAGTAGTGTTTGGTGCGGGAATTTCGGGACCGAGTGGGACTCCGCGACAGAAGAATTATGGTCAATTTGGGGCAGTTTGAGTCTTGTGAGCGGGCTCGTGCAGGACTTTTGGCTGCTGTGACGCTCTGGGAAAAATTGATAGATGGATGGGGGTAAGGGGGGGAGAGAGATAGGCCGGATCAGACCGTCCCATCAAGCCATTCGGACTTAGATTCGAGAGGGGAAAGAATATGCAGGTCAAATCAAAAGGGAAAGATATGTTGCGTATTCTGTTACAGTCCGACTCATGACCTAATGGTCTTAAGGATTATAAGGAGGCGAATGAGCCCAAGGTGTGTGCGTATGGTGGTATCGAATAGATTGATATTGATGGATATTGGATAATGAATTGGTTAGATTCCAAGCTGAAGGTATGGTTCGCTTGAACTTGGACAAGGAGCAGAAATTCATCACTCTCCATTTACTGCCTTCCCTTGTTCTGTTTTTGCAGCGACTCAAGAGAGCGAATACCGCCAAGACGTAGCTATTGTTACACATACATCGACCCCAGTGACCCTAGAATTGCGTCGATAAAGATAGAGCAACAGGATTGCGGCGGGGGATGATCTGGACAATCTTGGACAATCTGGGATGAGGAGTGTTTGCGTATAATGTATAATGTAGGGGTAATCTATGTAAGTGTAGTAAGACAATTCCCTTTGATAGGCAGAGTGGCGACTGGCGACGAGGAGAATAAAAAATGATAAAAAGTCGGCATCCTTCTCAGATCATTCAATGCAACTCCTGCATCATCACATCAACTTCGAGAATGGTCCCAAGTCGACATCGGCATCAGGCAACGATCAGTCACCGACAGGGCTGTTAGGATGCTGCTAGGATGCTGCTAGGATCGCCTCTCAATCGACTCATGGACAATTGAGTAGATTCCGACCACCGACGAGGCTGGACGAATTTGTCAGCTATCCTATCAAAAGTCTTGAAAAGTCTTGACGGAATAGAAAGCTGTTGGTCGGTTGCGGACTGGATCTCCCTTTGTTCTTTTCGGGGATGAAAGAGAGAGGTTCGGGACCGAATGACCCTTGTGGCCCTTGCTTTTAAAACAAAGTGGATAACCTCGGATGCTCTGTAACTTCTTCGACTGCACGTTACACAAACCAAAGGAGCGCTTACTTCCTTGAAAGTCCGACACAAAACGGCACAAAAGAGAAACGCTAACCCTAATTCAGACCAAGCGTACCATCTTCTAGTATCACGTGATGCATTATCATCTTACCCATAACCAGAATTCAAGCGTCGGTCATCTCAGCTTCGTGTCGCGTCCGATTTCATACCCGTCTCTATGGCGTCGGGGCTCCCCAATTTCCCTGCCGACTCATACCCGTCCATAGTATTGCCAATAACCAAACAGTTAGTACACACGGATTTTGCATTGATCTGTGGCACAGCTTTACCTATTGTATCCATAGATGAGTCAACAAGCCGCGCTATCGACCTGTCAAGCTAGGCATAGTGTAGGACGTTGAAGAGAACTGCCAATGTAAGATTTTGCGCCTATATTTCGGGCGTGTCTGTGTGAGAGCAGGTAGCTTGTAGCTCTAGCAACGCTTAAAGTCAATATATGCTCCTCATCCCTAGAAACAAACTTTAGAGAACTCTATGATCGCATGAAAGAAAGTGATATCTCATTCTTAGCTTTGGCTTTTCCCGATTGGTTTCGTCCTTTCTAGTATTTCCAACCTATCTTTATTACCACCCTCGTCCCGTATCCCACTCCGCCAATCCAATGGCCGAATCATCGCGGAGGACATCCGAGACGGGTGGCCCTCCTGTGATCACCACGCCTGATGATGTGGAAAAGGCGGCTCAGGCACCACCAGAAGTTGTTGACGAAGCCGAAAACAACTTCCAGCCAAAGACGTTGAAGTTCTGGTCTGTTATGCTCAGCATATACCTCGCACTATTTCTAGTAGCCCTCGATCGAACCATTATCGGTACCGCCATCCCCCAGATAACGCAAGACTTTCATAGTCTGGGGGATATAGGCTGGTATGGCTCAGCCTATCAATTAACGACGGCGGCGTCTCAACTTGTGTTCGGTAGAATTTACAAGTTTTACCAGGTAAAGAGGTACGTCCAGGATACTTCTCCATGGCAAGTTAAGTGTGGCATAACTGATTATATTCCCGCCTGCTAGGGTGTTCCTTATTGCAGTCGCTCTGTTCGAAATCGGCTCCGTGATTTGTGGCGCGGCTCCAAACTCGATTGCCTTCATTCTCGGCCGTGCCATCGCCGGTCTTGGCGGTGCGGGTATTTTCTCGGGTGTTATGATCATCATGATTCCCTTGGTGCCGCTCCGAAAACGACCGATGTTCCAAGGTATTTTTGGAACTGTTTTCGGAGTCAGTTCGGTCATGGGTCCTCTCGTTGGAGGTGCCTTTACCGATCACGTCACTTGGAGGTATGTCTTGTTACCCTCACCGCTTGAGTTGAATAAACCAACATATCTCTATCCAGATGGTGTTTCTATATCAACCTTCCCGTCGGCGCCGTCACGTTTCTGTGCCTTTTGATAGTGAAACTTCCGAACAAGCCGCCAGTCCCCGCACCCTTCTGGGAACATTTTACTCGATTAGATCCTCTCGGAACCCTCTTCTTCGTCCCAAGTATCGTTTGCCTCTTGCTCGCATTACAATGGGGTGGTTCGACATATGCATGGCACAATTGGCGCATCATCCTTCTGTTTGTTCTCTTTGGCGTTCTTTTCATAGTCTTCGCAGGCATCCAGGTATTGATGCCTAATACGGCAACGGTACCGGTGAGAATTATCTCTCAGCGTAGTATCACTGCCGCAACTATTTTCATGCTTGCGGTTACCGGGGCAATGCTAATGACTGTCTACTATCTGCCCCTATGGTGTAAGTACCATATCTTCCCATTTGAATACTCAAGTTTCTCTTGGGGTATATTGTTCGATGATATCGCATCCATGCTTACACCAAGATACAGTCCAGGTAGTACAAGGTGTTAGCGCTGTGAAATCCGGTATTGATACACTGCCTCTCGTCCTTAGTCTCGTCGTGGCAAGTTTTGTATCCGGAGGCCTGACACAGAAACTCGGATACTACGTACCATCTATGATAATTTGTCCTACCATCATGTCGGTAGGGCTAGGTTTATTAAGTACTTTCGACGTCGGCGAGAGTTCCGCTCATTGGATTGGATATCAGTTTCTCGTGGGTTTTGGTTTGGGTATGGGAATGCAGTCAGCAGGCCTTGCCGCCCAAGCCGTCCTTCCTAAACCAGATATTCCGACCGGAATCTCTATTATATTTTTCGTTCAGCAATTAGGCGGGGCCGTCTTCACCTCCGTTGGCCAGAACCTCCTAAGCAGCTACATGGTCCAGCATGTGTCGGAAGTCCCTGGCCTCAGCCCCGAGCAGATTACCAATGACGGTGCTACAGGTCTTGTGAGCAGCGTTCCGCCTTCTTCTCGGCCCGCTGTGAGGAAGCTTTACAATGATGCTCTCTCAAGGGTATTCCTTTGTGGTATGGGAGTGGCACTTGTCGCCTTCGTCGCGGCGCTTTGTATGGAATGGAAAAACATCAAGAAGACTGGACCAAAGGCGCAGTTGGCGGGAGAAACAAACGGGGAGAGTACAACTACCGCTGGCGAACAGAAGACATCAATTATACAGCACTCGACGGAGAATGCGGAAAATGCGGGAAGACATTCCGTCGAACTGGAAAAAGATGAACGTATATCCAATGAGATGACGAAAGACACTTCCAACTCGACTTCTAAGCCTATTGAGCAATCAACTGCTCATACGTTAGATTAAGGTTTGGGGAGGCTAGATAATAATGAGATAGGTATTGGTGACGGCGATGCGGCGCAGCAGTATTGCGGCGATGATTCTAAGTAGGGAGGTTGTATATTGTAAATAGAAATAGAGGATTGTAGCCGAGATAAGCGAAACAACCTCTCCAATCAATGTCAGATGGAAATAGGCAAATAGCCTATGTAATGTAAATGCAACCACCACAGAAGTGTGTAAATAATGCTATTTTGTAGATATTATTCGATAGTCAAATTAGAAAAGAAGAAAATGTTCCGTAGTACAGATCCGTGCATATAAGCTTATCGATGCACGTGCCGTGGTTTATACACACTGTACACCGGCCCCTGGGTTGTGTAACGGTTGCATATGCCATTAGAAAAGCCAATCTAAAAATAGACAGTGGTTGATGATGCTTAGTAAAAAGACTTTAAAGTCTTGGCGCAACCTCCGCAGTTACAACATCATTCTTTGCGAACCTCCAAACTTACCTAGTGCATCGTACATAGCGCGCAGCTATCTGTGATGTTCTTTTGTTTTGAGAAAATTATTAGGCAACTAGTGGCGATGTATGCATAGAGTCGTTCTCAGTCTCCTGTTTCCAGTATTTCTGTTCTTTTTCATGATCCAGTATTATAGATTGAAGCTTATATCGTCCCTTGTATTGTCAAGTTTAACAGTATCATGGTCATAGCTTTTCAACTTCGATTTCTCGAGTTTCCACCCCGTACTGTTCCCTATTGGTCGATCTTCTACGAGATAACCTTGCCCTGGCTTCCCACAAATTTCCTTTGTCTGGCATTGGCCGATGTGGGGGTTTCTTGCTTGTCCAAAGACCGCTGATCTAAATGCTAATGATGTTGTCAGCCACTCATCATCATAATATGCTGACCATGAGAGAAAGGTATTTGAGGTCCATCTCTACTAGGTCTATGGAATCACAGTAGCCTGATACTGGATGTTGTCTTCTACGATAGGGTCTTTTGCTAGAAGGATCTAGCATGGTTTTTACTAGCAGTCGCGCCTTTACATGCTAGTTCCCTCCATCGAGCACGCCTTCATCAACCCTGATCACCATGACTAGCTGAAGTTCAAGGCGGATCAATTGGGTTTTCCTTGGCTGCAGAAGACGGTTCTATACGCCCCACCTGTTTCTTCTAGAAGTTCAAGACAGGCTTACCGGCAGGACTAGTAAGTGTATCAAGTGGAGCGAACGACTTTAAATGCAATATTTGGAATTACGCACCAATCAAATTGTATTCCATAATGGTTATAATGCCCGTTTTAGCGTCATCGCCTCTGTCGTTACATAACTTGGAATCTCCACTCTAGTGCTGAATAAGTCGGTGGGTAGCAAGTGGGTGAGCAAGAGTGCTAATAAGGACGTTGGACAAGGTCATGCCAGCATATTCATACATGTCAAGCCCCATCTCCAAGCTGGGATTAGAAGGTAGCTTGCCTATTCTAATCTGCTGCATGCCTGAGCGATACTAGGAAAGGTATCCAAGAGCTTAGTTCACACCGCAATAGCATATTCCCTCATGGCCTAGGCAGCATGGAATTCGTCTGTTAGTCGGCTATCATGCCTTAATCCTATACATTGGCTGTCATACATTTAAAAGAATGCCACTCGGGCTTACTACGGGGCAAGATCAACAGGGGACAGCTAACATTGAACAGTCGAAGCTGTCAAGCCTCCATCCCAGCGCAGTGCCACTAGAGCACAAATCTAATGCAGCCTTGTAGCCGAATGCTTGGTAAAGCTGGAGATAAAAATGGAACAGCAGCATTAATCCCGCCGGTTCGGACCCGATGTACTTAGTCAGTATGGGCCCCTTATGTTACCTTACCATTGAGGGCAGGCTCGCCAAGGTAGCCCATCATCGCAGTCCACAGTATGGTGCCAGCTTAATCTTACGAAGAGCCATCTTACTTATCTAGGTGAATTCCAGACTAAAATAAGCTTAACGTACTAAACAAAAGGCTATTTTCTATTTAGAAAAGGGTTTCTAGTCAATCTAGTCCCTTCAACCCCAGGAGAAAGGAGCAGATAGGCGATCTATGCACGGGGCAAGGCCCGAGTAAGGCATGAGGATAGCTCGGCACCCTTACCTGCGGGACGCAATACGCGATGCGTATCATCAGATTGTGATAGGTAGTATGGAGACTTCATGCTTCCGCGAGTGAGATCGTTCCACTTGATGGGGATATTAAGGGAGGCCTGTATAATGCGGTCATACGTATAATAAATATGACGAGGTGTTCGTGTTCACCTTGTCTCCCAAGTTGAACGTACGTACCTATATGACATATGATAAATTCGAACAGCATTTAGAATTACCGACACCTAGGATCGACACTCTCCAACTTGAAGAAAACAATAAACAAATCTCGTACAACCACGTATATTATCCACGTCGCTCGGCCTCCCATAAGCAATCGCTGACAATGGTCCATATGAAGAGACACGAATGGACGACAGGACCAACCTTCTCGATCGACGATGTTATCGACCCGGCATTATCAGGCAGCGACAGTCCTTCGGCTTCCGCCACAGCGCCGAAACGCAAGAGAGCAAGCAGACCTAAGGTCCGAACAGGATGTATCACTTGGTGAGTCCATCAAAATAGAAGAGATTGTCTATCTCCCGTCACTAATTATTCTCGTATAGCAAGTAAGTGAAATATGTATATCTATCTATACGTCGCAAAGCAGGATTCTAGCATGTCTAAGACCCCCTTTATACCCATAATCTTTCAAACTTCTCCATCCTGAAATCACTCACCAAAGCATCACCATTCATCACCTCTGTCCCCTTCCATCATATCCCAGGTTTACGGGATGATAAATTAACAGCAAACCCCTACAACAAACAGAATACGACGCGTAAAATGCGACGAGACCAAGCCCGCGTGCACCCGCTGCACAAGCACAGGTCGTAAATGCGACGGATACGGGGGCGCCGCGCCGCCGCGCCCGAAGAAATCGCCCTCGGCGCCATCCTCCTCATCACCATCATCATCATCCTCCTCATCCGCCTCCCCGCCAGTAGTATTAGGAGGCCCGCTAGCCCCCAACAACCTCCCCGCGGACCCGTACCTAGCCAAGCGGCACGAGCTAGCGCGGCACAGCTTCGCCGCGGCCTGCAGGGGTAACTCCTCGCTGCGGATCCTGCGGCCGCTAGCCGCCGACATCGAGGGCACGGAGCAGGAGCGGCAGTTCTTCCACCAGTTCCGGCGGGCGGCGGAAGCCGGGCTGGCCATGCACGCGAGCAGCCTAGGGGCCGGGTTCTGGCGGCGCCTGGTGCCTTTAGTCGGGCAATCTGACGCGGCGGTGCGGCACGCGCTCATCGCGCTAGGCGCCGCGCACCAGAGCGCGCAGCTGCAGCAGGAGGAGCAGGCGTCTTACATCTCGACGCCGCCGCCGGAAGACGCGAGCGCGTGCGCGGACCAGCTGGAGCTGTTCATGATCCAGCAGTACAACCTGTCCATCTACCACCTGCAGCGGCACGTGCAGCCCGGCTCGCCGACGGAGAGCGTCGAGATCACGCTGGTCTGCTGCCTGGTCTTCGTGTGCATCGAGACGTCGCGCGGCAACGAGGCCGCGGCCCTGGCACACGTCGCGAACGGCCTCCAGATCATCAAGGCCCAGCCTCCCGACTCGGAAGTCGTGCATTTTTCGCCGAGATCTGGCGGAGAAAAGGCTAGAAATAGCGGTGGTACTACGAGTGCCGCGTCGGCTAGCGGTTCCGCGCCGCGCATATCGCGTTCCGACTGGAGACAACTCCTCGACTTCTTCCTCGCCCTCGAACCCAGCGCCGCCACGTACGGCTTCACAAGTAGTCAGCCCCCGACTCCGCCGTGCCCAACTATTGGCATGTGGGAACCCCCGCTGGACTGTTTCGACGAGATGTTGCCGCAGTGGGAGATGGAGGCCGCGGACGTGAACGTATAAGCTTAGGTCTGAATAGAGCAGTAATGAAAAATGCTTGAAAAAAAAAAAGGTCTACGAGGATGTGTATGGTCACCGAATGTTATATGTAAAGCATCGATTCATTGTGTATGTCGTGGTAACTAACCTAATCACCGTGGATAGCCACCAGATAGCGTGAGAGAAAAACTCGTGATCCCTCCACGATTCATCATCGGTTCGTAGATCAGTTTGTCTACTAGATAACGCCATCATCCTATGAAAACAGAAAGGGGTATTTTGCCAACAAAAATCAACCGCCTACACCTCATGAAAAGCATTTGCCCTCTCTTGTGATGCTTGAGAGCCCCTTAGTAATCCTCAGTGTTAGAGGCGTCCATTCGCGACCTCTTTCTTGAATATCCGAACGCCATAGATATCATAAAACGAATAGCCTTCGTTCAATTCAAGCTTCTGCACGGGCAAACGCTCATCTTCGCCATCGTCTTCACTTTCACTTACGTCGTCCCAATCTGTGGGTGCTACTGGGAAAGGCCCAGCACCAATGCTGTAGTCTGTTGGGTTCGTGGCAGGCTGCTTTCCCTTAGAGGTGAATTTTGGCTGCTTCGGGGTCTCTGCCTTTCGGACAACTCTCACAACTCGGTCGTCATCGCCTAGCGCAAGCCATTCTAGCTTCAGTTCGGGATGATGAGAGATAGCGTCAACTATGAAACGACGTGTCTCACGCATGACTGAGAGACATGTGTCTTCTGTTCTAAACGAAACAAGTTGTAGTGCTCGAAGCTTTACAAGGCCAGCTATTAACTGGAGAAATGTGTGCTGGGCGTTGTTAGCGATATTTATATGGACTAGTTGATTGTAGGTATAAGAGGATTATACTTACAATTGCATTCATCCCCATTATCACTGCCAACTCTTCTAATGATTTTCCTCGTCTGCAAATGAGCTGCACCGTTTTTTCATTTAGATCCCATGAGTTATCAGCTTGATTCTTGATCATGAGACGCTTAATAGAATGCATATCTATGACAGAGTTAGTGGGTAATGGAACTGAAGCTAAATCTAGGCAGATCACTAGCAGACTCAGAATATACATACGCTTCTTCAAGACAAACTTGCGAATCTGCTCGATATTCGTCCCCGGATTCGGCGCAAAACTCTCTGGTTTATACTTCGGCGATCGCTGAAGCATGAGTACCTCCTTGACACACTCAAGTTCTGAAACCAATTGCAGGAACTGTAGGCTGACGTCGTCGGTAAAGACCTTCCGTAGAGGAAGTGGCTTTAATCTGTTCTCTTTCATCATCAATACCCAGAATCTTTTCTGCTCACCGACATTTAACAAGGTGACTTGATTCAGCGTGCGGAGATCTATAGCCTTCCCTAAGATCGAAGCCTTGATCGGTATGAGATGAATGCTGAGAGAGTGGAGGCCGATGCCTCTAGTGTCTCGTGCATACTGGTTAGCGTCATAAGGTGGCTTCTCTTTCTGGTTTGCGGTTGAGATTGGCTGGTCGTTGATAGTGTTGGAAGATAGCTTCTCTTTGGTTGGGACGGGCGGTTCGCTAGAATCTTTGGATTCTAGGTTATAACTCTTAGTTATGCGTTGAATCTCCTTGAGGAGGGCATTAGCGTCTTCATTAAGTTTAAGTAGTCGATAATATTCTTTCAATGACTGGAGGTGGCGCGATGTTGCTTTAAAACGGTTAGAAAGAGCGCTTACATCTAGGGGACTACCCAGTTCCTTCGACTGTGCTATATCCGTTGCTGCCGCGTCATTAATTGGCTGCAGCTCAACACCAAACTGCTCTTCGGGAACCGTAACATCGATATCGTCGGGGTCAACATCATATGGTGTATCCTTTACCCTAGGCGGGCGGTCTTTTGGCCCATTATCAGGCGGGAGCGGCTGGTCTGCGCCGTCAGAAGGCGAACTCGGTTTCTCATTGGTAGTTTGGTCCTGTGTCGGGGCATCGGCCTTGTCTTTCGTTTCCATCCATTCTACATATTTTGTCGCGGCTGCCGTAATAGTTTCTAGGGCATCCGCTTGTTGCGAGTAAGTAAACTCAGTCGTGCCATTCACGTGTTCTACTATGCGTTGGAAGACTTTGTTGACACCATCAATGAAACGGTCGCCCTCACGCGACTGAGGCTTCTGTTCTTGGACCTCATCCTCCTTCTTATCTTCTGTAATTGTGCTAGAAACTTTAGGTTGGAGATGGTCCAGCTCGAAAATGCGGCATAATACCGACTCTTGCGCCTTTCGTTCCTCCTGAGCCCGAAAAGCCTTTGCCGGCCCACTGCTATCATAGTTGGCCGTCACCGATAGGGGTACAACTTGAAATTCGTCATCCTCGGATTCATCAAGTTCTGCTTCTGCGGATGGCTTTCTTGCTTGCATCGCAAGGGAAGTTGAGAAGGAAAGCTTCAACTTTCGTAGTGTCGACGAAGAATTGCGTATGCAAGCTTGGATCTCTGTGATTACATCGAGGCTGTCAATGTCAAGAACACTGAGACTTTCCAAAGCTTTAAACCCCGAGATAGTAGGCGGCTCTATAATTGCGGGTGACTTCTTGGATACCCTATTCTTCCAAGAAGGTTTGAAGACCGGAGACGAAGGTGTCAAAGCAGGGGGTGGACCATAGATCGCAACAGGCAGACTGTTGCTAGGATTTGTCCATTGCGTAGACGACGATGCTACGGCAAATTCGGAAAACGGCGGGCTAGTGTAAGGAAGAGGAGGAGGAGGTTCGTAGAGCGAGGGACCAGCTTGTAGGCGGAGATGAAGATGTCTCAAGGTCTTAATCTCGTGAAGCTGCTTGTAGACAGGCCGGCTCAATTCGACTCGGATGTTCCATCGGAAAGCATCTAGTGACTTAGCCTTTCGAAGAGTGAGAAGTAAAAGGGTATTTAAAAACTTTCCACAGCTGACGGTCGCAAGATATGGCTTGTAGGCAGCCTCAGCCCTGTCGCCTACACTGAGCGTGTCGAGGGAGATCTCTCTCAAGTATTGCGCATAGTTGTAATCACTGGTGGCAAAGGTAGATAGGCCACCTGCGAGGCCATCAATAGGAGAATCGAAGAAGGGGTCATCCTCGTCGGGAAACACGATGTGGAAGTTGCGATATAGTTGTGCGGCGGCGAAGTCGCGAAATCGCCGACAGACGAGGGAAAGGCAGATCAAGTCGGATTGGACGAGCTGCAGGAGTTTTATTAGATATAAACTTTGCGACTATAAGGTAGCATGGGTTATAACTCACATTGGCGCATATTTCCTTCAATATCTCATCCGGCAACTCGAGGACATTAGTTACCTTGCGTGGCATGGCAATACGGGTATTGGTTTCAAGGTCCATGATAGCGGCGAGGTGAACCAGTGGTTTCAACCAATACTGCAAGATACGGATAGCCCGCAATGAGCAACAGAGGAGAGGGTGACCTGAATTGTCAATAAATAATTATTGCGATAGGTCGTGCAGTCGCATAAGCCTTGTTCCGGATACAATCATGCGACGAGACGATTGGTAGACGAAGCTGCGTTTTGCATGGGTCAAACAAGACTGTAAATCTTGGATCGTTCGTATGCACTGTACAATAGTCGTCGTGCCTAATTCAGTGACCCACGAGATGTCGAGATATGTGTAGAGTTGTACGTGGATATGCTAAATCAAGAATGAGTTAACGTTTTGAAGAGAGGATGGGGGGTTAAGAGAAGCTAGGTAGGTACGAGGTATGCAGGGATGAAGGGTAGACGTTTAAAGGTGGGTAGGTTGAGGAGGCAGGTACGTAAGAGGACCAAATGCTCGTGAAATTGTACAGAAAGTTCAACAGCGGCCACTAAAAAAGTACATGCTAGGCGCGAATTCGAACCCCACCAAGTGCATGAGGATTAACGGGCAGACGGGGAGGCAGGTACGGTCTGGAGAAACTTGCCGGGTCCACGAGTACGTAACCTTTGGAACTATTAAGGTTTGATTGGTGGGGAAGATTCGGGAACAGTCGTAGATCAGATTTCCACTTACATATAGAAAATGGGAAATATTCAAGGTCAGCTATTTGGCTACATACGTAGTGTATAAGCTCGGTAAAGTTTAATAAGATTGAAGAAAAAGAGAAATATTGAGGTCTTTCTCTAATATACTAGATATATATTAAATATATTTTGGCATGTGCTGCATTTTAAGATGTGGAAATTTCTGTAGTGCCTATGCAGTTACCTGCATGTGTTTCAATACCCATCTAAACATTTACAACAAGTAACTGCTGTTAAGAAGTTTCTTGCAAGATAAAGCGCATTGTAAAGCATATTTAATAGGAGGACCTCAGCAATTATAGGTTTTTACATACAGATATATATAGTTCCCATACAGCTGTATTATCAACAGGTAGGTAGTTGAGGTAGGCCTTAATAACTCCGTAGCAATTGGCAACTATCGCCGGGCGGAGTAACGCCTCTAATGATGTACGCAATATATGCACGACTTTTAGATGGCGCACATGGATAAGTAACCACGTACATCCCATCTAATCTAGCAGATGATCTCTGGAAGGTAAAGCATCGTACGTAAACTCCAATGAGGACCAATATAGAAGTTTTGAGCACTTGGTCAGTTTATGAGGGTGGGTATAGGTAATTCTTCGATTACTACCCGACCGCTCGGGTTTAACTTCTTAGTCTGATGAAATCCAGGCTTGTATCTAACTTTTCCTATATGAAATGTCTCCCTTTTCTGGAACCTCGAGATTTTTTTTATAGCTAGGTATTCAGGTATGAGGAGAGAAGTCATTTAGGAAATACACTTGATCATTATCTACCTACATACATAGGCGACCTCTGTGTCTATCTAAGCATCTGGGAAGATTAAAAATCGCATTCTCAAATTCCATGTTCCCGAATGCTTGGGAACCCCAGAAGAAAGTGTCGGGCCTATTGGTAAAAGCTTATTGTTGTACTAGGATCATCCCACGCTAGCTCAATTGTTAAATACAGATGTTGCTTCCTGTTTCATACCGTTTTGGTTGCCAGTAACATGAACGAGGGGGCGGATAGGATCGTCACTCCCCGCTTTAGCTGGGCTGTGCTAAGCTCCGCCTTCGTTTATCAATTGTCAATTCCACGTTATGCATCATTCATCAAACCACTCCGATCATCACCAACTTCCGATGTTATTTTTTCATTCATTGGATTAAATCTGTATTGGTAGCCTTGTCGTCTGCTCATTCTTTTTTTTTTCTTATTGCTTTCATGCTCCCGATTTCAATTCGACTAGCCTTTCGTTTCAATTTTTCTATAGTGTCATCTTGCCGATATTAGCGACGTTACAATTTACTTTTCACGCGCTCGCATGGATGGAAATTTTCTGTTCTGACCCGTCACCTAAAACAACGCCGGGATACACTCCTATTTCCTATTTTCAACATGGCTGACGTTGAGGAGCCCAAGTTTAATTCTCTCGCAGATCGTATCGCAGCTTTGAATCAACAGAAGAATTTCAGTACTCCTCCCAGTTCTGCGAAGCGACCTCCTCCGCCTCCGCCTCCTGGCGCCGGTAAGCCTTCATCCCAGGCGCCGGTGCCAAATGTGAATAGACCAAAACCACCACCGACTCCTAACCTACCTGCTCGGCCACAGAAGCCAAATCCACCAAGTTTACCACAGCGAACGAACACGTCCGGATCGGCTATCGAATCACCCCCTGTCCTACCAGGGCGCGATGCGCCACCACCACTTCCAAATCGCAAGAGCTCCGCTCAACCATCACCTGCTTTACCAGCTCGTAGGCCATCAGCGCAACCACTGCATAGTAGAAGAGGTTCCAATTCGTCCGAAGTGTCCCACGTTTCGACCATTTCGAATCTCTCATTAAATCCTGTATCCTCTCGCACAAGCACAACGTCCACCGAAACGCAGCCTGCGCGAAGAGTACTCGCCCCGGCTTTAGACTATGCGAAACTCCCGCCCCTTCCGCCATCAAGAAAAGAGAGGGAAGCACAGGCAGCTAGGGAAGCTATAGAAAGGGAGCCGACGGAAGTCATCAAAGCACCTCTACTCTCTGCAAGATCCGCTCCGGCAGTACCCCAAGCGCGACCCGGTCTGCCACCAAGGTTACCCTCCAGGCCTAACAACCCACCCGCACACTCACAAGCGGATGAAACCTCCTCTACAAATCCTCGCCGCCTTCCACCGCCTCCCTCCGCATTTGTGCGTCCATCCACTACGTTCAACTCAGGCAGAACACCCAGCGCGCCTAACTCGAGACCCCGCGACGATGCGCCGCCCCCAGTCCCGGTTAGTTCGCGACCAACTTTTTCTCAGATTGATGCGGTTGCCGTTCGTACAAGCACCAACTGTCTAATATGTCGAGATTTCTCGGCCCCAGATAACGTGGCTGCGCAATATCCCAATCATTCTCTTCCAAGACATGATCCAGTCGGTTATCTGGCGAACGTGCTCTGCGGCCCCTTTTCGTCAGCGACTGACAAAGCGAGAGCTATATTCACGTGGTGCCATCACAACATTGCTTACAACGTAGAAGAGTTTTTTGGAAAGTGTATCAAGGGTAGAAACGTAGATGAGACCATATTCCATGGCAAAGCAGTTTGTCAAGGCTATGCGGAAGTCTACCAAGCCATTGCTCAGCGTGCTGGTCTACAATGCATCGTAGTCGGTGGTCATGGGAAAGGTTATGGTTATAAACCTCTCACAAGGGGACAGCCGCCCCCACCGAGGGACGCCTCAGGTCGTATGTATAATTCAAACGTCTCCCTTACATATTTTCCTCCCGATTGCTTGAAAGTTCTCTTTATCTACCTTAAAATTTTCTATTTTGAAGTCAATAACGGCCACTAACATTCCAACTTTCTAAAATAGATGCTTGGAATGCAGTTTGCATAGATAACGGAGAATGGAAGCTGATCGATGCATGTTGGGGTGCCGGCTCGGTTGGCGACCAACAATATCATAAACAGTTCAAGCCTCAGATGTTTTGCTTGAGCAATGATTTGTTTGGACTCAAACACTTTCCCTCAGACGACCGTTATTTCTTCAGAAACGACGGCCGCATCCTAACGTGGGAAGAATATATCGTTGGGCCAACAAGAGGTGAAAAGGCTGAGTTTTACGGCACGGCTTCAGATGAGGGCGTCTCCGAGTTTAATTTCAGCCCTGCTGAGAAACACGTCTCCGTATACAGCGGTGAAGTAGTGCGCTTCCAGTTTTCCAAGGTTTGCGAGCATTGGATTCCTGAGCGGCATGGGAAAGGCAGAAGTTACCTGCTCCTCATGAAGATCCACGGGTTAGATGGTAGGAAAGAGGACTTAGTACCGCTAGAAACAGATGGGTTCTGGTGGTGGACAGATATCCCTGCGAGGGATCTGGGCGCTCCGGGCCAGACAATCTTCCTTTACGCACTCACGACCCTCAATAACAAGGACGCGAGGGGTGTCACCAAAGAGGAGTATTACCGAGCGAAGAACGGCAATGGTTATAGTATGAGCTGGGCCATTTTTGCCAAGTGGGAACTCGTATAAAATAGCATAATGGAGCATGTTTAGGACGAAAGGGCAAGGTTGATGGGCGGTATACCCGGGATATTATAGACATTGTTATATATGACGTTTTCGTGATCTTAGTCAGTGTTAGAGCATTTTCTTTTTTGTTGGTGAAGCCGAGGATTATTCAGAAGACGGGAACAAGCTTCTCAGCTTATATGGAAACATAAAGGAGCTATCGGGTTACAGGTTATATCGAGTCAAGTTAGGTATGTCGGTTACCTACATACTATTAGCTAGTGGACAAGAAGAATACTCCTAAGTGTTCAAACTTGACATACGGGCCTATCCTTGGTGAGATCCCATTTTTGGAACTCTTTCCGCTACCCCAAACATATGTGGTCTAAGGGCTTACCTAGGACGGAGATGCTTTCCCTAGATTTCATAGAACTGATTCATGGTTCAACCCTACGATCTCCTAGATACCTACCTACCACTGGTGAACTTCAGATAATATGACTAACACTCATAGAAGACTCCATATTATAAATGCCCCCTGAAGATTTCCAAGGAGCTGTTAGGGGGCTAGGTAGTTGCCAATCCTCCACTAATATGGTAGAATTGAATTATTCGGTATTAGATTGGCAAGCTGACTAATGAGAATCACAACTCCGAAATTATTGGAATGGATTCTTCACGATTCATTATGCCATAATAATGGTAATCAGAGTCAGTAGCACAGTCACGCAGAGATTATGAATGGGCATCAATATCTATGGATATATGCCGGAGGTCGGGGTTGACTGCCGGCACATTGAGGTGGGCCCGCACGGAGTTCAGCCGGCAACGAAGTGAAAAACACGGATATGGACTCCGAATCAAATATCTGGGGAAACAACATTAAATTTGACGATAGGGTTGTAATTTCTATAGTTCTCTTCAATAGTTTGCTGGAGTGGACTTTCCTCGAAATTGTGGGTATGCCGAGTTCGGGGCGCAGCTCTCAGCTCTGTTAGCCCTATTTTGTTTAGAAGTCGCGTGTCTTGGCGACGTTGAACCTCTTCCTTCCACTTAACTCGACCTCATTTTTCTCCGAATTGAGCGCCTGCTTATGGTCCAACAGAACCAGAAAAACATTTCATAAGTAGAGCATCATTATATCTACTACGCGATTGGCAATGGGGACATCACGTTTGAATTTCCGAGGCGCACTGCTCTTATTAGGTCTTGCTTTCGCAGCCAGTGTCGCAGCTAGGGATAAATCCGAACTCGCGTCGCGTGCCTCCTTGAGCTTGGATGAGCTGGGCGAAAAGCTTCAGGTGAATGCCCCGTAAACGATTATCTAAATATATTCCTAATATTTAATTTTAGACCTGTTCAGTCGTGCAGGACCTTAACGCCGAGAAGCTCCAAAGCGCTTCGGAAACGTCGACCTTGACCTCACAGATCTTCGCTGTCCTATTCCCCGGTAGCCCCGCCGTCAACGCCCTTCTTGCGACACTCTACATATCGGGACCGCCCAACTTTCTCTTAGCATTATGTCCGCCCAATATCGATCCCTCGTCGCTCTCGGTCATGGTCGCATTTGCTGTAGGAGGGTTACTTGGCGACACGCTCTTCCATCTATTACCGGAGATCTTTCTCGGAGAAGATAGCCCCGAACATGTCCGGTTCGTGCTTGTCGAGCCCAATCGTAACCTACTCCTAGGTGTTGCTATCATGATCGGTTTTATGACGTTTGTGGCTATGGATAAGGGTTTACGAATAGCGACGGGCGGCGAAGGGCATGAACATAATCACGGAAACCATTCTCACGATGCACCGACGCAGGCCAAAGCTACTTCCAGCTCCGTAGAAGTCTCGAATGGGGAAGTTTCAAAGCGCAAGAAGGGTGGTAAAAGCACCGTCGAAGTCCCCAAACAAGACGTTGAAAAGGAGATCAGCGCTAGCGTCAAACTAGGAGGCTATCTCAATCTGATGTGAGTCCACAAGCCCTAAAGGACCGGGCTTCGCTTCTAAGATCACTCATTTTCTCTTAGTGCCGATTTCACGCATAATATCACAGATGGGCTTGCTATGTCGGCCTCATTCTATGCATCACCTACCATTGGTGCCACGACCACCGTAGCCGTTTTCTTCCATGAAATTCCTCATGAAGGTGAGTCGATGCTTCTTGGTCGTCTCTAATCGTTAGCGTTTTCAAGCAGCTCATCATTATCTAGTTGGCGATTTTGCTTTGCTCGTGCAGTCTGGTTTCTCGAAAAAGGCTGCGATGGGCGCCCAATTTGTCACAGCCCTTGGTGCTCTCCTAGGAACGCTCATCGGCATTGCTGTGCAAGAGTTTGGTGGCAGTAGCAGCGTCGACGGCAAGGGAATTGGCATGACTGATGGTATATGGGGGACTAGTCTAACGTACGGTGACTTGTTGTTGCCTTTCACCGCCGGAACGTTCCTGTATGTGGGAACTGTAGCCGTTATCCCAGAGCTGTTAGAGACCGGCCCTAACAAGGCTCTAGAGCTTCGAAAGATGCTTGTACAGTTTGCGGCTATCGCATTGGGTGCTGGGATTATGCTTTATATCTCTTGGGATTAATCCATCATATTTGGGGGCATAGATCGGTTGGTCATAGAAGGGCGTGGCATCTCACATTAGACGCGTAAGCTAGATGGACTTATAGAATACACAGGCATACTATGAGAGTCAGATGTCAAGGAAGAAGGAGTACTACGCTTTACCTCTAGTTATCGTCAGTCATAGCCCCGCTATATGTATGGGATAAGTCTGTCTTTTCGCTTCAGACTTCCGTTCACATGCGGAATGTCACTTTCTGGTCACCTACGGTAGCCGTTGGAAGCCGTACATAGTGTAGTGGAGACGTACCCATTGTTTAAAAAATGGTAACATTAAACACGAAATGCCAAGAAGATCTGGCATTGCAACCCGTTCCTGCATCTGCGAGCCCCGTTTCAACTTGATACAAATGGTTCTGGACCTCAGAATTTACATAATATATACATGGTCTATCAGGTCATTTCACGTGGTATCGCAAACATCCGAAATAATCGAGAGATGATAGTATGTCTATCGACGTGGATATGCCCGAGATGATGAAGCGTTGCCCACCAGACATCAGTTGTCAACCCATTGGCAATATACCTGTACATAATAAAAATAAGCTTGTAACAAAGAATCCCTTCATTACGAGGAAATGAGCTAACATAACCAACATACGTATAGACGATATCCACGTTCTCGCTAATTCTTGGTTGGTTGGGTGATTAACAAGGTCACCAGGGGCTACAGGGCTGGATTATTGACCGTGGAAAGCCGAAGTCGGAGTATAAATTACATAAACTTCGATAGACCATAAGCGTTGCTCGACTTCTATTAGGTAGGTCTATAATGTGTACAGTATGATACCGTGTATCGCGCACAGTGACACACTCGTCTACATTTTGCGATCATGTCGACTTCCAGGATCCGTGTGACTCCTCGGCAGCGTGGCAGTATGTCTCGTCCTATAATAAGCCAGTAACTAGGAAGGTTCCCACAGTTGATTCCTTCGCCAGGGAATCGTGGAATCCATACTAGTGCTGCTTTAATTCGCTAATTGTCTCTGGAGTTATGCTGGCAAGCCCTATAGACATATCTAGATTACATCTTCCTATTACCAATTGTTGCCGGTAAGAACATCGACAACCCTCCGTTCTATGCTACCATCTAGAACTATTCTATAAACATCAAGTGTTGGTGGAACAAGTCATTGTTCAAGCGATGATCCAACTATGACTCTTCGATGAGAAATAGAGTGCTATTTTTTCCCAATGGGGTAATTATCACATCCCAAACTTGGATGCGATAGGTCGACGGATTAAGTTTTAGCGAGTGTTAGCGGATGTCAAAAATCTCAGAGCATCGAAGGGCGCGCTTTCCTACTACGTAGTACACTGGTTGGCGGATCTCAGCCCCGGTCAAAGCTGAAGCGGTCAAATTTAGCTTAATAATATTGGGGCCGGGGGCCACATAAGCTAGGTACCTAGCCGTACCAGGGAAGCTACCGGTGATCGTCCCGGAAAGCACTGGCCACACCATTCATATCAGATCCATCCATGAAATTTTTAGCTTCTCCGCCTCTTCTCCGTTTGCAATTCCCGTCACAACCCTCGCCCGAGCACTAGGAGAAAGCCGACAACGGTGCTTTAGTGAGCCGCATGACAGCCAAAGTCAAATAATCGGGGGGTCTGGGGATGATTGTCATTCTGGGGATCTCTTATTCGACCGCACGTGGTACTGCTAAGGTACCTCCAAGCTAATCTAAAATTCGATAGGTAGTCGATGGCGTGTACTTGAAAGGCGCAAAGCTCCAAATGTTCTCGAAGACGCCGAGCGCCATGTCCATATATCCCTTAGCTCCACCGTTTTCACAAGGTTTTACGTACTATTATTGGACACTTCCCTTTGGAGGTAAAGCCTCGAGTTGGCCGCCTTTAGAGGGTCAAGCGTAACCAAAAGGTTTTTTCTTTTCGTAAGTCAACCACCCTCAAACTTGGACCCCAGACCCCTAGGTCCCAAATAAAATAATGCAGACCAACTTGACAAGTTGATCGAGCTTCTGCAATGGCGCGATAACCCCTGCCTTGGGCAACAGATCCGCTTCCATCACGGATGTCAGGCCACCGGGGTCTACATCTTAACATCCAGCAAAAGACACGAAGGGCGGAATGATCCTATTACTCCTTACGTCAGAACGGAGGTCTTTTTATCACAACCATCTTAATAATACTACATCCAAGTCTCAACTTCAATCAAAATTTCTCTTCTTTTCTAGATGACTCAATGACTAGCGTCGAACCGTTTATAGATCGGATACTTGTGGATTCCTTTCTCCCTCGATCTATAAACTATAATATCTATATAAGTCGTTTAATTCCCCATCACCGCCTCTATACATTGGGGGCCACAGCAGGTTATTAACATTATCACGTCCTACCCCTAGCACCGCGAGTACTACGAGCCTTACATACATAATTTTGGCGTCAAGGCTGAATCTAGTGCCACCTTATCCTATAATTATAATTCTGTCGCCGGTGCTGTACTACAGCTGGTTACGGTTATATAAACAGTATACTCATTTCCCTATTCCTGCTCAACCCCGCAGATTAGGATCGCAGGCATCAGCTAGAACTCGAAAAACACACAACCTCCTTATTATCCAGGTATCAAATTATAGTTCCTCTTCCTCCTCGAAATTTTTCGCCGTTCGAGGTTGAGATCTCACATCGAAAATGCCGTCCGCCGCGTCTTCGGAGCACAGCAAGCCTACATCACTAGGCGGCTATGCTCGCAAGTTATCTATTGCTCCCAAGCCTAGCATGACTATTCACATAAACAACCATTATCAATCCAAAGTCTACACCACTGGGTCAGAAGTATCAGGATATGTGGTTATCAACTCCCAGAGCGATGTACGGTTCGACATAATCCAAGTTGTGCTCCTCGGAACCAGCAAAACCCGCATGGACGCCGTCAATATTCCACAGGTGACCTCTCACACATTCTTAAAACTCGTTATGCCTATCCCGGAATCATTCTATCCAGTTCCGCGCATTTTCGAAGCAGGTATAAACCATACAATGCCATTCACCTTCGTCATTCCCGGCACATTAACGCTCAATGCGTGTAACCATGGTGTTGCCAACGACTCTGTTCAAGAGCATCACGTACGGTTACCACCTACTATGGGTTCTTGGGAGAAGGATGATTTTGCACCCAATATGAGTCGCATTCAATATGCGATTAAGGCACGTGCGTACAAGGAGGATATTACTGGCGAGCAAAGCATGAAGGTTATGGAGGCAGTGCAGGAGATCAAAGTTTTGCCTGCAGCCTCAGAAGATGCTCCTTTAAATATCACTAAGCATGACGACTTATATACCATGACGAAGAGCAAGAATCTACGGAAGACGATCATATCACCAAAGTCTGGGAGAGTGTCTGTCACGGCTTCACAACCTGGGCCAGCCATGCTGAGTCCTGATGGACAGACGATGACGCCGATAACTGTACCGCTCGATCTCGAATTTGTACCGGCTTCCAGCGAAGTGCACCCGCCTAAAGTGACTGGCATATCATCGAAGGTCACGGCAATTACCTACTTCAGTCCCGGCGGCATCAACCACTTTCCTAACCTCAGGGACTGGCACCGAGCGTTTGGTGTGGAGAGCCGCGGCTCGTACTCGGGTACGACATCTGTATCTACGGGACGTTTTGAACAAGTCAGATGGACTCGACACCTATCGGCGCAAGCGAGACGAGACTCGGGGTATGATAGCGACGGCCTCACATCATCGGACTCAGATCAAGTCCCCAAAACCGCTCCTAAGAAATCCAAGGGCTCATTGACGTCTCCGATCTACCACACAGCGAATATTCAGGTACCGATTGAGTTACCAGTACACAAGAAGACCTTCGTCCCGACTTTCCATTCCTGCATCACTTCGCGCGTATATCTCCTATGGATAACAGTTACCCTGGTCTCCGGCGGCACCAGTGCTCACGTTACTTTAGGCGTGCCGCTTCAAATCGGCGTCAACTCCGTAGAATCCCTACGTCACTACGCAGAGCTCCCTCCGAGCTTCGAAGAAGCTGAAGGGGTCGACGTAGATGACTACCTGCGCCCGCGGGTCATGAGCGTCCCTTCAGTCGAATTTCACCAGAATGAAGCGCTACCTGGGTATGCAGATCTCGACCACTATAGACGGACTTTGGCTGCTCACTGAGTGGATAGCTATCCGGCGGCATGTTTATTTTGTTTTACGTTTTATTTCCCTTTCCTGGAGAGGCAACTTGCATGGGACTTGATTCTACGTTTATTGAACACGATTTGTTCCGGCGAATATTTGGCCAGCGCGGCGTTTAGGATTAGAGACGATCTGTCTTAACAAAAGAGTATTCAATTCAGAATATGACTGTGTGATCATTACGGGTGGCACCATCTTTATTTCTTGGGATATGGCAATTCAAACGGGTTTGTGACAACTTTTATGGGACGGCTTGATGTTCAACACGCCGTTTTGAATTCGATGCTCAAAGTTATGCATGCACTCTTTTTTTTTTTTTATAATGAAACCTAGTCCGCACTATATTGCTATATCGATGCATGTATTTCCATGTGGTTGAAAATGTTATATTTAAGATTGTTTTATATACCTTGAAACATTTCTACTGGTCTCCCCTTTATATCGGAAGTTTGGAGATCTGAAAATAGTCTCCCACAGGTGACCAATTCCTCACCCTATCAAAATCGGACGCGGCCGCTGGATCAATATTATAAATACCCCCCTGTCTTCTTTTTGAAGCTGCATGTCCTGGTTTCTACACCTCAAAAAGCCTTACATTCGGTATCCCAGTGCATTCTATTGGATAATGTCGAAAAGAAGCCTTACATGTCAGCATTTCACCGCCCCCACGACAAAAAAGCCTAACACTAGGTACCCTTCATTGAACACAGCCGCAACTTCGGTGCTTTTTAAGTTTCGCATCGCACCCTCTCGAGATGTAGGCTCGGCCAGGATTTGTTCTCTTCGATCTGGGTCTATCCCTAAAAGCCAGCCTGGTTAGCCCTCTAGCTTTTCAGCCCCTTATGTCGAAAGCACTTATACTTGCGGGCAAGTTAAAACCGGAAGTCAGGCTCGGGGTGATATTGTCCGAGTTCAGTGAGGCTCTAGATGATAAACATCGGAAACGATTTATTGCCTTGCGTGCCGCCCCGACGGCGGTACCAACGGCTGCGGATGTCATAAGAGTCACTGAAGAGCTGAATAGGCAAGGCGCGGAACTTCACCGAGCATGGCGACCATACTCCACCAGGCTTGGAACATTTCTTAGTCGTCTCCAGTCCTTGGCTAGCGTCGGCGATGTTATCATAGGCGGTTCGCAGAACCTGATTGCTTCCGGTGTCTGGTTCGCCGTCAGAATATGTCTCGAAGTGAGGTCTCCCACATAAATGCTAAGGTCACTAAGGGCCTTGGACACTCAATATATAGCTTTGATAGTATGGCTAATGGCGCATAGACGAGTATAGGGTTCCTAACATACTTCGATAAGATATCCTCCTTATTCATGAAGCTCGGCACATCTTGGTCCATTCATCGAGATTTTGCCCAACTGTTCCCTGGCTCCAATGAACTGCAAGCTTTTTTGCTACAGTACGTAATTAAGGTGGTTGAGTTATGCAAAAACGTTGTTCAATTTCAGAAAAGGTCTACAATATCATAGTTTGCATCCTCACTATTATCTTCTTTCGACAATCGGTTCAATCCGATATTGGAGGAAATAAACCAGTGGGGCCAACTAATTGAACAGAAATCCAATATCCTGGCCTCCAAATGTTCAATTCAGGCCGAGGAGAATGCAGTCGGCCGCTATACCAATCTTATACAACGTCTCCAGCTTATGTCAAGCACAAGGGAAAACATCAACTTCGAGAGAAAACATAAGCTCTTGTTAGCGCTGTCTCCCGACCAGGGGAGATATGAGACATATTGGCGCCGTCAAAGGCGCAAAGGAACGTGCTCTTGGGTTTTCAGCACTACAGCATATCGCTCATGGCAACAAAAGAATTCCTCCTGCATACTATGGCTGAATGGCAGTATCGGAAGTGGAAAGACAGTAACAATGGCCAACATTGTTGGTGATATTCACCTAAAGCAGCCAGCTATCTATTTCTTCTGCATGCCAAAAGACCCTGACTCTCTGAGAGCTGCCAAAATTCTCGGCAGCATAGCTCACCAGTTTTTCAGCAACATCCCGATAAAAAATTCATTTTGGAATTTACTCAATCCCGAGGCAATTACGACGAATACGTCGACATGCGACGGGATTATTGATCTGTTATTGCAAGGGATGGGCCCAAATGAGAAGCACTTCATTGTTCTCGATGGACTTGAAGACTGCAGTGACGAGGAGGCAGAAGACATCACGCGATCGATCCAATCCTTAATGGAAAGCAGGAGAATCATGCTGTGCTCCGCTAGCCGACCTGAATCTAATATCCAGCAAAAGTTCGCCTCCAATATCCAGGAGGGCAATTATATCTCTGTCACAATGAGTAATGAGCAAAGGCTTGGGGAAATCAAGGATTTCATCAACGTTGAGGTTGACCGACGAACACAATCAAGACAACTGGATAGAGAATTAGTAACTCTGATCAAAACGCAGCTGATTGCGGGCGCTCAGGGGATGTCAGTCTTTGGAATTTACCCTTTCTCTACAAGCTACCTGTGCTAATTCGCGTTAGGTTTCTATGGGTCACCTTACAGCTCGAAGCCGTCCTACCGTCTATCTTTCCAACAGCCGTCTCGCCAGTAGATATATGTCGTATTCTGAACAGTTTACCTAAGGATCTTCCAGAGGCATTCGATCAGGCTCTCTCTAGGATTCGAGATAATCGACACGGAAACAATCATTTTAAAATCGTTGCAGTTGCTGATCCGCCCCTCACATTGGATGAATTCAGGGTTGCTCTTACTATCGTCCCTGGAGAAACAATCTGGTCGCCCAGAAGACTCCTTCCGCCTACCCTGGCGGCTGTTCACCTCTGTGGTGGAAATCTTATGGAAGTCGACGAAGAAGACGGGCGAGTTAATTTCGTTCATCATAGCGCATTGGTTCATCTTTTATCTACTCCCACTCATCCGGGTACAGCGCCGTTCCACTTCTCACCCGAAGAAGCCGAGATATATATGGGCTCCGTCTGTGTCACGTATTTGGACTATGAGATATTTGACCATAGACTTGTGACAGGACATAAGATACAAGCAGGTAAAATCGTCGACAGGCTCACGGATGAGTTCGCCTCAACACATCATGTGCCAGACCTAATAAAACGTCACATTACCCGGCACCGCTTCAAAGCATCACCTCATGACGTCGACGTTCTCCGGGTCGCCCGAGATTTACTACATAGTCGTTTCGAAGACGTTGAGCTTTCGAAATGTCTCTTACCGTATGCTTCGTCACATTGGCTAGACCATACCCGACTCTTTAGCGAGGCCATGGAAAAAGGAGTCTGGGCATGCTGGAAGAGGCTGGTAAGTGGCCAGCGAGGACACGCTGCTCCGCCATGGACTCTTCCAGACTCTCACCAAACGATGATTCAGTGGGCCGCAATGAATTCCCACGCAGTTCTATTCCGCTACTGGCTGCATACGGAGAATGTTCAAGCGGCAGACTTGAAGCGACTCATGGAGCTGACCAGTGTAACCCCCGAGGTGTTGTCAAAAATAGGGCCCTATGGACTAGACGATATCTTGGCTCAGTGCATCATACTACGCGTAGTAGACTGGGAGGTCATCAATTATTTCTTAAACGTCGGGGCAAGCCCAACAAAAGCACATCATCAAACGGGCCATTCGCCGATACAACTCCTGATGAGCGGACACGCGACCCCTATTTGGACGATTGAGATGATAGAACCAATGGTTTGGGACTTCATCTGCCACCCGGCAGTTGTTGACTCGTTTCGAGGTCAGAACCTTAATTCATCACTTATAACGGCGATTGGCTGCGAGTGGGATAAAGTAGCCAGGCAGCTTATAAAACTGGGAACAAATATTCTCACCGAATCTTGGACAGACTCGCCTTTAGGAGCAGCAGTTCGAATTGGAAATATAGCTCTAGTGGAAGAACTCATATACCATGGCGCAGATGCCTTTCGATCTTGTTTCGACGGGAAGCCGGTAATCCAGATTGCTCTCGAAGCTGAAAGGGCTGACTTAGTCGAAATTCTCGTGAGGGAACCAGACGTGTTGGATGAAACAAGAATATACGGACTACCGTTATTACATCTAGCAATTTTACAAGGAAACGTCCATATTGTGACCTCCTTGCTGAACGCTGGAGCAAACCCCGAGGAAAAATGCTACCGCCTGAACCGCATCTATCACGCGATATTGTCTCCTCAACCCGCGGTCACTGGCGTGGACAAACATGCTACATCTATGGATTATTATCTCCGTCAAATTAGTACCGAGTTTGATTTTACACAAGGCAAGACACCGCTGATCCTTGCTATTGAAGCAAGAAGGTCGACTATAGTAGAGATACTACTTAGGTCTTGCACTGGAACATCAAGAAACGAGGCGAGGGCCACCGCGCTTCGCCTATTTTTATCCACTAAACCAAAAAGAGAACACCCAACCTTGGTATATGGAAAAGCTGAAGAGGCTGCAATTATCACATCGCTAATCAAGAACATACCCGGCTCCAATATAAGAGTCCGGGAAGCTCTTGAATTTGAGGGAGTCCAACTACTGCATAGCCTTGCCCGATGGGGACACGTCAATGTCAACATTTTGTTAGAATTAGGATTCGAGGCCGACATCCTCAGCAACGATGGACGAACCCCATTGTATGATGCAATTGCGGCTTTTCGCAACCACCAAAACACTGTCCTATTAGACCGGACCGCGGTACCACTTCTTCGTGCCGGGGCCAATCCAAACATCACTGTCAAGGGCATATCGGCAATGGAATTGGCCGTGGATTGCGAAGGCGCCGAAGCTCTCAACGCGCTACTGACCTATGGAGCAGACCCAGCCACTAGATCGGGTAGTGGAAGCACGCTTCTTCACCAAGCGGTGAAACAAGGTCGCATGAGCACAACCGAGACCTTGCTGCGCTATGATACAAGGGACAATGACGTCGGGATTAACGAAGAGGACTCTGAAGGCCGTAGTCCTCTACAAGTTGCCGTTCGACAAGGGCATACCGAGATAGCAAACCTACTCCTCGAGCATTACGCGGTGCTGAAACCAAATTTCTTACAGATGGCAGTTGAGGGAGTAAGGCTCGGAACCAACGACATTCGCCTTGTCAAGATACTATTAAACGCCGGCGCGAAATGCGTCGACGAAAGCGGAGAATCAATTCTGGCTCTGGCTTTCGAGAGAGCGCTCCACGTAGCGAATATGGTGACCGATCCTGTAAACGTGAAACTACGTGGGCTACTGAGGGACATGCTTAGGGTCTGCGAGCTCTTGGTTGATTACGGCGCGGATCCTAATGTTGTTGTCTACCATGAGCCGTGTCTCGTCCATTGCTTGCGACACTGCTGGTGTGGCTTCACATTGAAGCTACTCCGGAAAGGGGCCAACAAGGAACTCGCTCGAGAGTTCCGCCGTCGGGGCGATAGTCTGGCGTTATATCCACATTGCCGCTCGCCGAATACGGACGTTGATTTTAAATGGGAAACATGGTATATTATTACGGTATTACTTTATACCGAATAAAACGAGACTTGACATGTTTAAAAATACAAAAGAATTATACCAATATATATATTTAAAAAAAAGCTTAGTTAAAATCCTTCGATACACATATCTATTTCAGTGGGAAAATGATAATAGGATTCCACGTTGGCTGGATGCCTGGATTTTCAAGATATTTGTGTTTGGAAAAAGATCCCTAATGAAAGCGTTGGCTCCCAGGGGTATCCCGTGATACCCCTGAGCTTCAATCTACCTATACATTAGTGGGGGCGAGGAGCAGAACTGTGACGCCACTTAACATCTTCCCTAAGCTGTACTAGGTAGGGGCTGAGCTTCCTTTGAGTAGCGACAGATCAGGCTTGAGTAAAACGGTAAGAGATGCTGCGGAGGATTAGGGGTCACTAAGCTCTTCGCTGACGAAAAAGGCCAGAGAGTCCATGAATGTCACCCACTAACTTAGGTTAATTATTAAAGAAACAAGTGATCTCTAATTGAACACCTTTTATTCTGGTTCTGATTCTGTGCTCAGACCCGTCCCCCTTTATGCTACGGTCGGCCCCCTAGACATCTAGACAGACTCAAAAATACCCCTGCTTCAAAATCCCATAGATTAAACCACATAGACATATAACAATGCAGTAAATATCTTTGAATGTGTAGGCATATATTCGCTATCGGCTAGTATAACACCATAAATCGCCGTTCGCGGCCGAAAGAACATTTCCTTTCCCTGGTCAAATTGTTCCAACGCGATCCCAATGCGATCCCCAGACTCCTAGCCTCTAAACCCCCGATTCGATAGGCGCGGGTATACGCGACGCATAGTCTTAATCCTCGTCCGTGAAAACCGTACGTAAACCATACACATCCAAGCCCGAATAGGTGACCTTGTACCATCTCGACTACGCCCTTATCCTTTCTTCAATTCTCACGTAGTGTACTCCTTCTGGAGCAACTTGGCAATCGTATTCAACCTGCAAATCCCTAGTTAGCACCGCCATTTCCCCCTTTCGAAAGTAACGCCTCAACAATTAACCGGATTTTATCAACTTACTGGATATTGCTCGTCCCCTCGTAAATAGCGCCGATCTTGCTGTCGCGCCAGTACTTCTCGGCCAGCCCCTCCCTCACAAAGCCCATGCCGCCCATCCACTCGACGGCGAGCCCGCTGACGCGGCCCGCGACCTGCGACGCGTACAGCTTCGCCATGGCCGCGTCCCTCACGAAATCCTCGCCGGCCTCCTTCTTGCGGGCCGCGTTGTACACGAGCGCCCGCGCGGCCGCGATCTCGGTGTACGACTGCGCGATCTGGTGCTGCATGCCCTGGAACTCGCCGACCAGCTTGCCGAACTGCTTGCGGTCGTTCCACACGTACTTGACCGCGTTCTCCCACGCGCCGAGCGCGAGCCCCGTCATCTGCGCCGCGATGCCGATGCGGCCTTCGTTCAGCAGGCCGATGGCGTACTTGTACCCTTCGCCCTTAGCGCCCAGCAGGTTCGCCTTCGGCACCTCGACGTCGTCGAAGTTGAGCGCGCACGTGCTGCTCGCCCTGATGCCGAGCTTCTTCTCCTTCTTCGCGATCGAGAAGCCGGGGGCGTCCTTCTCGACGACGAAGGCGGTGATGCCGCGGTGGCCCTTGCTCGGGTCGAGATTCGCGAAGACGATGAAGAAGCTCGCCTCCATCGAGTTCGTGATCCACATCTTGCCGCCGGAGATGCGGTATCCGTCGGCGGTCTCGACGGCGCGGGTCGCCAGCGCGAAGGCGTCGGATCCCGAGACCGGCTCCGACAGGCAGAAGCTACCGACGGTTTCGGTGGCGAGGCGCGGCAGGAAGCGTCGCTTCAGGTCGGGGCTGCCCCACTTGATGATCGCGGTGTTGACCAGGGTGTTGTGGACGTCGACCATGACGCTCACGCTCGGGTCGACGCGCGCGAGTTCCTCGATGCCGACGATGGCGGCGGTGAAGTTCATGCCCGCGCCGCCGAACTCCTCGGGGATCTCTATCCCCATCAGCCCTTGCTCGAAGAGCTGCTCTACTAGTTCGGGGTCCATGTTCTCGGCCTCGTCCATGTCGCGGACCTTCGGTAGGATGACATCGTTGGCGAATTTCTGGACTGCCTCCTGCATCGCCATCTCTGTCTCGGACATATGTGTTATGGGGGTGGGTGGGATGTCAGTGATGTCAGTCATGCGGCGGGGTGTTGCGGATAAGGCTCTTATTCTAGGTACAAGTTTATCATATTAACAAGAGTCGGTGCGATGGGGAGATTTACTAGAGACTCACTGCTGGGCACCGAATTTCTGCGGCGACCTCCTTAAACATCGTGAGGATAATGAAACTCTAGAAGCTACACTTGAGCCCTGCCGTAAAGCCGGCCGAAGAAATCTTGCGATTGATGACATCGTAGAAGCAGATATTGATAGTTGAAGTTCACAAGCACAATTCACAATCGAGGGGGAACCCTTTTTGAATTATACGACTAGCAGGCAAGGGAGGATGGAGAAGAGAGAAATGGATTACTCGTACACATAAAGGCGAAGGTGAGAATAAGGAACGCGAAGAAGGAAATAAGGCAAGAAAGTGCTCCCCGTTCCAACATTCCCCCGGATTTTGAGCCTGCCCAGACCGCCGAGCGGGTTGGTTCAGCCGAGGATAGCCATTGATGGATGGGCCACGGCCGGTGGCTGGCAAACAATGGATTGGGAATTGGGGGAAGAGCGCTGACGTCGATCAGCTGAATGAACATCTGGGGAGGCGGAAACAGCGAATCAGATCCTTGAGAAAAGTCTCCGCCCGGTCGGATGCCACTACCAATTGTTAAGCATGTGAATTTTAAATGTTCTGATTGAATCTTAAAATTCAAAGGGTACATAGGTACGAGAGACAGAGTGGGGATATGGCCGGGCCGATGTCACCTGACCTTGAATTTTCGAATCTCGTTCAATTGACATTCTCTCGGCGATAGCTTCATATGTGAAGCCTCCTACCGAATCGAACAGCTCGGCTTCAGCAAAGTAGTCGAGTGTGTTCCATAATGGCCGCGCCCATATTAAGATCCCTCTGGCCATCCCTGGCGAGGCGGCCAGCTACGATCCCGTCATCCTTCTCTACATTACCCTCACGATCATTCTCGACGACAGCATCACCGAACGCGACCTTAAATCAAGTCCTACGAGTATGCTCTCCCCTAATATCTTAGATAGCGATTGCGACGGGAAATTAATTAGAAATAAATAGGGATGCCGTAAACCCCAGCGCGCGCGTCACGCCGTCTCTCCCGCCCTATCAGATATGAACTGCCCGCAGCAAAAAGGCGTGTGCTTGAAGGTCGGCATTACGCGACCCAAGAAGCCCAATTCAGGCGAACGCAAGACCGCGCGTATTCGTCTTTCCAGTGGCCGTATGATCTCCGCCTATATCCCCGGCGAGGGCCACAACATCCAGCAGCATTCCGTCGTGCTCGTTCGAGGTGGTAGGAGTCAAGATTGTCCCGGTGTGCGGTATCACTTGGTTCGGGGAGCGTTGGATTTGGTATGTCGATCATGATCCTACTATTCACATAATCAAAAGATCTTTGGTGGACATCTCGGTGCTTTTGCTAACACAAGAATCCGAATAGGCCGGTGTTGCCAATCGCAAGACGAGTCGCAGTAAATACGGAACGAAGAAACCGAAGAAGGCATCAGTGGGCGCATAGAACAGGGCATGAAAGCTCTGGCACGGCATTGGTTTATATAGCGTCCCTAAGAGGATCTTAAATACCCCTAGTTAATAGAGGTTTCAGGGGGGCGTCGGACACGGATCGTACATTTCCACGACGTGATGTAAAATAACTCGGAGCATTTCCATTTCAGATGGTGCCACCATGAACTTGTATCTACAGATGAAAAAGAAAAAGACTCCGATATCATCATTGAATTGATGAATCCATGGACGCCAGCCTCCTTTGCCCCCGTCAATAACCCCCTGTGGTGATGCGTTATGATAGACCGTCATTAAAGAATGATTAGTGTCTACTCTACAATCATTTTTCCTCAACCTGATATTTTTTCTAGTCCTGTTGGTTCTCATAACCTTGCGGCTTCTCCAGCCCGTTGACTTCAAAGTATCTCGAAGTGCCTATAGAATTAGGTTAGCGTCAATGATATGGAAGGGGATAATGCAGGCACGTACAAGAGTATCCTTTCCAGTCAAAGTTCTCCTTAGGATTGCAGTGGCAACGAAGATCCAATCGCGTCTTCTCACCAGTTGGACAATGGGTAAAGGGGACATGGTAGTATGCAATATCGTTGAAGAAATGGACCTCTTCCTTCTTTAACAAAAGAGCAGCGGCAATGGAGTGGACTGGTGCGTCACCCCATCGCTCGTAGAAGAAGCCGCCATCCATGTCAAGTGACTCAAAGAAGTCGATATATGCCTTGGATCGCAACCATTCCAGGTTACCGACCTCGAAGTTAGACCACTAAAAATACATTAGCTGAGCTCAAAATGACGATTGGCATGTTACTTACGAAATGGCAGTGGTTGTAAGTCTCACCGCCATCATCACTCAAGAAGCCCATGGAGTTGCCCTCAGCAATGTGCTCGGGATAATTCTTCATGAATTTCTTGACGCTGTCCCATAGTGTGGGGATGGTCTCGACATATTCGTACAAGCTAAGGACGAAACTGTACTTCTTCTTGTTCTCGGCCATGAAGCGGAAGGGATCATAGTGAATATCACAGAAAAGCTCAATGCTAGGCTCGACTCTCCAGTAGTATTCGTAATTCATCATCAGCGGTTGACGGAAGAAGAAGCCGGACTCGAAGCGGCACATGTGTCGGTAGCTGACGGAGTCGCCGTAGATAATCTTTCGCTGCGCCATATCCTCACGGACCTTGCGCGCTTTGTCCTGGTCGATATGGTCGGGGTATGACCAATGCTCGTGGGGAATTTCGCCATAGTACGTCTTTCCGGAAACGAGAGAGCTGGTGACCTTCTTGAACGTAGCATCGAACGGCTTATCATTCAGGAAGACCCAATCGTAGTTGTATCGGCGATTGAAGCGATCCTCGACTTGACGAATGGAACGAGCAATCTCCCACACATCACTATTGCGAGCAAGACTGACGAAAGTAGCGTTCATACGAGGGCCAGGGGCAGTTCCTAAAAGCTCATCCCATCCTTGGTCAGAGGGCGATAGGGCCATCGGGGCCTCGGCGAGATCCTCGAATTGCTTCGGAGTTCCAGTGGCCGGCTTCGATGTTGAACCCTTAGTGGAACCAGGCGTGCTCTTCGCCGAGTCGTCAGACTTGCCACTCCAACTAGAGGAGACTCCACCAACATCGCCTGCTTGCTTCTCGGGCTTTGTGGATTGTGATGAACCTTTACCGACGCCGAATGTCGAGGGTTTTAGTTGTGGTACTCCATCATATGATGAGTGGGATACGAAATAAAGGACTGCTAGAAACTATTGATATTGAAAATTGGACATTAGTAACTAATACTCAACTGCCTTTTCAAGGACTAATGCGACGTGGTTGGGTTGACTTACGAAGAAGGCGAAGAGAATATATCTCACGATGCGCGCACTGCCGGCGGCCATATTGCGGAATACTTACTGACGGATCTTTCACCGTCAATAAATAATGTTGTAGTAGGGAGGAAAACGGTTGATGTCCCTTAAGAATTAGAAGGTTTCGCCAGCCGGGATGGGGGCGGGGACCTCCAAAGGGGAAAAGTTTCTTTGCGTGTTGTAAGACACAAAGGAGATCATTAGGTCATCACCGGAAATCACAGTATTGTGCCTGACTCGTCGTCGCATACACGAGCCCGGATTCTGACGAGAACGACCAAAGTGAGCGCAAGAAGTGAAGAGGAAATGAGGAAAGGGTATAAAAAAAGAACAACAAGATGGATTAATGGATTAGTATACCCTAGGTAGGTTAGGTAAAAGTAGGATGCCCAGGCGGTTCAGGTGTTGTGAATACGAAGTAGGAGGTACTAGGTTGTGTAGTAGGCGTATAAAAGTAAACGAGGTCCCAAGTGGATTAGGGGTAATGTACGTACTGGTGTACAAGGTAATGTACAAGTACAGGGCTGCAAGCACTACGCTAAATGCTACAATGGCTTGCGAGCATTTTGCAGGGCGTAATTGGATATAATTGGCTTTGAGTTCGAAATGGGAAAACGGAAACGATGGATTTAAAATTTCGACTTGAACGGATCGACGCGTCAGTGTCAAAGTGGGCAGGCCCAACTTCCACTTCTTTCACTTTCAACCCCTGGACTTGTACAAATCTGTACATAAGTACAGCCTGTACAACCTGTACTTCCCCACTCTTTACAATATTAGGTGCATCTAGGCCTGTGTACATGAGTGGGCATTTCCGTATCAGCTTGTTCTTGGGTCTTGGCAACGCCGTACCTGTCCGCCCCGAGCCCGTATCCATATGGATCTCAACTTTTCTAAAATTCCTTATCGATTCGCATTCAATGCTTCAATGCTCTATCGCACGATCTGGCACGTTACGTGGGATACATAAGCTGCTTAGCTGCGTTGCACTTGTGGCCCATCAAGATTAGGAGACGCACGAATGTATATCGAACTATTCAACAAATGGAAGTGATCTGTAGAGGCAGAAGCCTATATGATTACACTTGCTGCGAGCCTGTGATATGCTTCGAGAGTATGTCTCAACAGTTTGAGTAACATCTGAACTCATGAGTTTGCTCGAAACGCTGGCCTTAATGCAGTTTGCCGTGGTCATATTCCTAGGCTCACCCGGCGTTTTGAGGTAGCCTGCATGGGTCATCATTTATTAGGCTTAACTAGGTATTTGACCTGCCCAGTAGAATATGAATGGACTGTAAGTATTTCAGTGTTGGTTCTACAACTCAATGGTTTATTCCATTAACATATAATTATGTACGTATGGTTATCTTCAAGTATTTCTTAACCTATCGTTCTTCCGATGGAGCCGTTTAAAGACTAATGCTGACGTACTTTGCTACGTAGGAGATACGTATGCTTTCAAAAAATGAAGTGATATGTTTTGAATATATTTGTCGTGAGTACATAACTTCTTTCTTACTAGACCTATAGAAGTATTAATTAAAAGTGTTTCAGTTCCGGCTCCGTCGTGCAAGCGTTGGCTACTAGATTAGAAGCAAAGCATTTGCTGTTTCTTAGAAGAAGCACGTGACCAGACTTAAACGCTCTGAAACTTCTTCAATACATAGTACCCAAGAAACATAGGGAGCACGAATGATGTTATCGAACTCCTGGTATTGTAGGAATAATCAGATTCTTGAGAATGTCTTGTTAACGAGTGGAAGTAAGTTTATAAAATATGCAGGCGTGTAATTACGTAAGTTAGACTATAAGAGTGTAGGAGTACCTATGTATGTATCTACTTAGGTACTGCGTACTTTGACGGGATGTATGAATGATGTCACGTGTACTCGGATCGCATCAACATCTAACCGTCGATATGGTCCCCTGTCATTCTATTGATTGGCCCAATGGATCTTTAGGCCGATACCCATCCATGGATAGTATTCTTCAATTCCACCAAATTGCTTGGTGAACAACTTCGTCGCCTCTTGTGTCAAATATCATCCCAACAAGGTTGACGACCTTTTTAACCAAACTTGTATCCGCGTATTTTCTTCGCCTTTATTATTTTATCTTATTATATTCATTTTTCACTGTCGACGCTGGGAGGATCGCAGTGCGTTGTTCGCTTCACTTGACGAAGCTGTAGTTATATTTGTCCAAATATTTCTATCGCATTCCCGAATTCGACCTTTCGCCCCTCCATCCCAGCTGCTTTCACTTTCGCACCATGATCAAGCAAGCCTATTCGCACATGATCTACCAAGTTTTCCAGTTCTCTTAGTTGTGAGTAGAATATTCGAGCTTCTCTAATTCGTGGGACCTTCTTTTCCCTCTCTCAAACACCCAACACACCCGCTCTGCTACATGATCATCCCGCGCCCGCACCCGCACTTGATACAATTTTTGCGCGCTCAGCCCTACCCGGAGCTCCACCTACCTGGGTACTGTACTTGGAAAGCTCCTCCTACTTTGCCTATGCGCTTCTGACCACAATTCTCTTTTCCCTTTTAGCATCGTGATCATCTTCCGAGCACTTCCGCTGTCATCTACCCCCATTTTCTTTTTCCGTTGTCTATACCCGATTTATAGATGCTACGAAGCAACTTTCCTAGTTACTACCGCACTATGACCCTGTATTAACTTGGCCCACTAGTTTCTTTCATCTTAATTCAAGAACCGAGGAATCCGTCCTCTTTTTGTAGTCGGAACATATCCAAAGGTACTACAAAGCTTTCATTCGTCATGTCTTACAACGCGAACTCTTCGCGCCACGACATGTCGGCTCCTGGCTTCGGCCAGTCCCACGATCCGTTCGCCGACCTTTCGCGAAATGCCGACGACATCGACGAAGCGCTAGACTTCGAGGATACGTATGATGGATTAGGCGACCAGTTGGACGAGACAGACGACGCCTTCAATGACGATACTTTTGGTGGTAACTCTGTTGGAGTGTCACATGCGCCAGTGGGCAAAGATTTCGATTTCTTCGGCCAAACTGCCAAAGTTGCGAATGCTATCGAGGAGGAGCACCTGCGCTTCAACCGTCAGCAACCAACTCCGAAGACGGCTCAAGCTTCTTCAACCCAGCACTACGGCCCGGGGTATTCGTACCAGCCTGCACCTGCTCCTAAGCCGGCTAGAAGCGGCTACGAGAAGTACAAGGAGCCTGTACCGGTCTCAGACCTTCAAGTTGACGCTTCGATATGGGGAGTTCAGCCCAAACGATCTGCTGGTCCAGCAATGGTTCAGCCCCAACAGCAAATTCAGCCTCAAGTCCAGCCCCAACCCCAGCAGACAGCGGCACCGACAGGCCGGAAGATGATGAGTCTAGAGGAGGTCGAAGCCGCAATGCGAGCTCAGGCGAAGGTACCTGCTCAGGCACCTGCTCAACCTCAACAGGCGCACCCGCAGCAGCAGTCCACGCATATGGCTGTCTCTGAAACCCAGCTACAATTCCAGCATGGCCATTATTCTCGCCAGGAGTCAGGTGATTATCGTCAACAACAGCCGGACAATCGTCAGCCTCAGGGTTTCTATCCCACTGACAACCACCAAGGTGTTCAGGGTGTGAGCCATGGGCACCCTATCTCTATCTTGCAACGTCCTTCCTCGAAGAACGCCCCTCCTGGAGCACCCGCTGTGCCTAGTCCTCTACCCCAGCAGTCCCAACCGTCTCCAATGGCATTCCCGACTCAGATACTTCAGAATCCCAACCGCCTACCCGGGGACGCTAATAGAATGAATGTGCCGACGCACCCAACTCACCGATCTCAGAATTCGTTCGGCCGCCAGCCCCAGGTTAGCGTGAGCCAGCCTCACCTCTCGCATTTGTCCGAACAGGAGAAGGCGACTTTCCTCGAGGCCGAGGTAAGACGAGCAAAGCGGAACCACAAGATCCATGTTCTGTCGAAGGATAACGGCCTGATGACACCTCAGGACAAAAGTTTCATTACTAGGATCCAACTTCAACAGCTCGTCTCGGCCACCGGTGATCCCAGCGAGCACGGAACCGATGCTGCCCTCACAGAGGATTTCTATTACCAAGTCTTGAGCTCCCTACGAGCTGGCCAGCGCCCAAACCCGAACCAGCCATTGAACAATTTTGCGCAGACGTACCTTTTCCAGACCGGCAATCGCCATGGTGGTATGAGACGTCAAGGACGGGGTCCCGAAAATCACATGCAACGTATGGAACAGCAGGTTCAACGTGCTGTCGAAGCTGCCAAGAATAAGCCCAAGAATAAGCAATTGGTTATTGAAGGCAGTTTGGGAAAGATCTCGTTCAGCAACGCCAAGACCCCTAAGCCTCTCTTAAACATCAAGCGTACCGACAGCGGTGCCGATGCCAACCGACCTACCAGCAGCCATCGTGCACACCCAACTGCAAATGGTACCGACAAGAAGGAGACGTTGAAGAACGTCGAACAGGTCTATCTGACTGTAATGAAGATGGAAGACGTGAACCGCAACATGCCCCAGCCTGCTTCTAATGGCAATCCGGACCCGGACTTCGAGCGACGTGCCGAGCTACAGCAGCAGCTGCAGCAACTGAATGAAGAACTTTGGAACGGGCTTAAGGTACACGAGCCTATCGGTGGCACTTCGACTCATCCCTTCATCGCATTCCTAACCTATCCAAAGGGCAAGAAAGTTATCAGCCGTGTGTTCACTTTCCTCACTCTTGAGCAGCAGACTACTATTCTGACTCTTATCGTTCTTCATCTTGATCAACTCGATGTGGTCCGCGGTGCTGTGGTGCAAACCGGAGAACCTATCAATATCAACGCTGCTACTCGTGAAAACATCGAGCTGTTCAGTTCGTACGTCATGCCAAGTCTTCTTCATCTGCTAGGCAATTCGGAACTTCACATTGTTACTGGTGTGCTTGGTTTGATGACTCAGAACTTGAACTTGGACATCGTATGTCGAACGCGCATTGGTTGCTCGATGTTGACCATGATACTCAGTCGTGCTGAGCTGGCCAAGCAAGCCGGGCAAGCTACTGAGCAGACATGGCAGCAATGGTGAGTACATTGGCAATTATTACATATATATTAATAGCTAACGTTATCTAGGGTCTCCACTTTCAACCAATTCTTTGACGCATTGGAGCCCACGCTCCCCCACATCTTCCCTGGAACTGTAGCGTCCGGAGAGGACATTTACGTGTGGCAGTTCCTGGCAGCCATTGGCATAGGTGCTAGTCTGGAGGAACAGCAACGTCTCGTCCTTGCCGTCAAGGACCGCGTTATGGATACATACAGCCTATCTAAGACTTTACCCCCCGACATGGCGAAGATACGTCTGGACAACGTGAACCTGTTCATGCGATCTATCGGTCTTGACGTCGAATTGTTGGAGTAGGCTTGGACAACAGCAATCCTTGAACACCACCATATCGCACAACAAACGGTGCAATTTACTATTAGCCTATTGGCCTTGAAGACTAGAAGCAAAAGTTGGATGACGTGTCTGGCGCCGCTTCTATGCGCGAAAAACGTCGCAAGATGAAGAGAAAGCTAGGCAAGGGGTGAGAAGGCCATGTCGGAGTTTTGGGACTCTACGTACGGAAAAGGATGGATACGGGTGAAACGGAGTCTCTAAACTCTCGCGAGTTCGCGCGATATCCGTATCCGATTGCTAGGATGAGGCCAAGAAAGGAAAGCTGGCTGGATTCATGGTGGATAGCATTGTGCTACCACAAGTAGTACGTAAAACGTCCACTGTTGCTTAGCTTATTGACATGAGATGAGGCACCTGTTGCCTGATGGATGACCCTATCGTGATACCTGACCCTAACTCTTGCCGTGATAATCGTGTTCTGAACGCTGACGTAACTCTAAAAAGGTAGGCCAAGTCAGTTGTATTGTGGACAATATTTCGACCGCTGCCTTCCAGGTAAGTGGCCGTATGAATTACAATATGTTCCAGAGGAGCACCTCAAAACGCCGAGCCATGCAATATGATCTACCAATCCCTTAGGCTAAATTTCAAGTAGCCCCTATTTTTATTCATTCCTTGAAAGCGACAGATTTACCCCTTATACCCGCAGGTTTCTTCGCAGCCGAAGCCGCGGCCGGGGCAGCGACAGCTTTTCCCTTCCCTTTAGCGGCGCTAGCCGGGGCCTTCTTCACGGCTTGCACGGACCCCTGGTTGAACACCTCGGCCTTGATCTCGACCTCGTCGTCCAGGGGCTTCGCGTCGCCCTGCTGGTTATTGCTCAGGCCGCTCACGGCCTTCAAAAAGTCGTCCTCGGCCCACTGCGCCTTGTACATCTGCTGCTGTTTTTTCTTCTTCCCTTCTTCCGCCTCGTCACCGTTATCCTTCGCAGTCGCTTTCTCCTTACCCTTGCCGACGCCCCCCTCGGCTTTCGCGTTCGAGGCGCCGGGCGCGAGGTTCGGCGGCGGCGCGTCGGCGTACACGAGGCTGCTGGCGAACATGCTCCACGACTTGTCGCTGTCGTCGTGCTCGTACCTGAGCTTCGTCCACGGCTCGGTCTGGACCTTGCGCAGTCGCTCGACCATCGTGTCGACGCTGGCCCCGCCGTCCCCTTGCCCCGCGCTCTTGATCGTCATGTGGATCGCCTTGGCGGCGCCCGCCTGCGGCGTCTGCCCCTCTTTGCTTCCTCCCGCCGCAGCCGGGCCGCCAGCGGCGGCGGACGACGACGGGCCCGCGCCGGAGCCTTCGCGCGGCCGCGAGAGCCGCTCTTGTTCGGCGTAGGCGTCTAGGTGGTGGAGTTGCGGGCGTAGGTGGATTAGGGAGGTGGCGGGGGTGAGATGTAGCTGGTCTGGAGGAGGAATTGTTAATAAATAACGAACTAAGCCGAGAGAACGTTTACATGCAAAACGCAGAATTGGAATAAGTAGTCTTACCTCCTTTGAACACGCCCACCATCCACCGGCAGTTCGTCTCCTTCTCGATCGCGAACTGGCCGCCCAGCGTCTGCGTCCGGATGACCTTGTCCTGGCGCACGGCCTCGCTCCAATCCATCATGCTGATCTCGTGCTGCCAGTCGTTCTGGCGCGCCCCTGCTCCTCCTCCTCCCGCACCACCACCCGCGCCCCGACCCGCTCCGCTACCAGCGGCGGCGCTCCTCGCGGGTACGCCGACGCCGAAGCCGCCGGCCAAGCCGTGGGTTCCCCCGTTCTTGGCGGCGGTGCTGCGCGCCAGGGCGCCGCCCCACCGCATCCCCTTGTCGCGGTCGTAGTCGGCGTGGCCGTGGGCGGCGGGCACGTCGACCTCGACGAAGCCCGACTTCGTCTTCAGCCGCACCTCGCTGAACTGCGGGGACGCGCCGCGCAGCGGCCCTTGCTTGTTCGGGTACTGCAGCACGAGCAGCTTGCGGTTGTCGGCGAGCGGCGCGTTGGTGTATACGTCGTAGGTTGCGACTATGGGGTCGGGGTCGTCGGTTTTGGTGGTGGTGGTGTTATTAGTGGTGTTGGTGTTGGTGACTGGGGTGGAGGCGTTCTTGCTGGCGGAGGGGAGCGAGGGGGTGGTGGAATTGGTGGTTTCGCCTTCGTTGTTGATTTCGGTGGCGCGTGGTTGCGGCTTCGAGGAGCTGGTGTCGATGTCCATTGTCGACATGATGGCTAGTTCGTCCCAATTCGGGGCGGAGGTTTGAGGTTGAAACTTGAGTTTCTAGCTCACTTAATTCGAGTTAAGTCGTAAATGAAAAGGAAGTCGGTCACCTCATTTTACTATTTGGCAACAGTAAATTGACATTGATGCGCCGATGGTACGAAGCTGTGTGGAAAGCTCAAGTGAGAATGACTTTTTTGGCGGGGCACTTGCTTATCGGATATTCTCACCTTATCTAAATCTTGAGGGACTGTACGTATGTACCTAGGTACATAAAATTATGGTTCACTATTTGAGCACAGACCATAGAATTCTGCCGTACAGACCGCCCTAGCGCGTCTGCGAAAGGCATAAATACCTGGCGTCCTCCCGTCATTTCAATTTCTTTTCTTCTTTTCTTCTTCATACTTACCTTGTTCCGCGAACCCCAGCTCAAGCATTGGGGTTCGCAAGGGGGAAGACCTGCATTGCACAGCGCGGAGTCGACCCTCTTCTATTATCCCTCGTGGATCGTAGGGGGCGCAATTTTTGTTCTCAAAACTCGTTTTCATTATGAGCAATGCCTTGCTGCATTGTCATGAGGAAGATGCACTTTGATAGATTAAGTAGGTACATAGGTAATTAATCCACGAAGCTCCATAGGGATAATCATGCATAACGCCTTTGCATTCGTACATCCACAGAAGCATGCAAGCGGCCTTACGAAGTGCTCATTCGCCGCCTTACGGATCATACATGCATTAACCTCGCTAGAACTAGATTAGAAATGAGCGGCATGATCAGAATGCACTAACCCTGCTTTTCCATATCACGAAGTTATTCCCATGCCTCGGTGCAAATCGCAACACCCAAACCTCTGGTACCAAGATATCTAGATAGCCATGAATACCCTCCAACGTGATGAAATCCGCGTTCTGAACATCTTACCAGGAGATACGAGTGCGCCAATCAAATGTGAGCTTCGCATAGCTAGTCTTTCGACGAACCCTAAGTATGAGACGCTTTCGTATGTATGGGGCGACTTCACCGATCTCGTCGACATCGAGCTCGACGGTCGCAACGTCGGTGTGACGAAAAATTTGCATACATTGCTGCGACGCCTGCGTCTAGAGTCCGAGGCTAGGTCGGTGTGGATCGATCAGCTCTGCATAGACCAGAAAAATAACGAAGAAAAGTCGAAACAAGTACGTTTGATGAGGGATATCTACTCCAAGTGCTCATCTGGACTCATCTGGTTTGGAGAGCTACGCGACAACCTGACTTTAGAGGACGCTGCGACTGTTGTCGATTTCTTTCGATATATCGGTGCCTTCTTGAGAACAGGATCCGAGGAAGGGCAATCTAAACCAGTCTTCGCAGAGTCACAAGTCTCGTCTAAGCGTTTCTTGGTGGCTTTAAGGTCCATAAGCTATTATGAATGCCCTTGGTGGCTTCGTATATGGACTGTACAAGAAGCAGTCCTGCCTAAACAATCGACAGTCGTATGGGGTCCCTTTGAAATATCGTGGGACATATTTCTCCTCGGCGCCCGTACCTTCACCTTCACAACTTTTTCAAAGCTCGAGATCGTTTCGAACCTGAGCCCGGAAGAACAGTGGAGCGTCTTCAACATATTCAGACAAGTCAAAGCTTTCGCAAACGCGAACAACTTAAAGCATGATCCTATCAGTGTCATGACCCGTTGGCGCGGTCGCCAGGCTACTGATCCCCGAGACCACGTCTATGCCCTAACTGGCCTTAACGCGCCCGGTTTGTTGCCAAATAGTGAGAAATGTGACTATGGTATCCAGCCTCACGAAGTCTACGAGATAGTCACGAAGGATTTAATCCGATTCTACGGGAACCTGCTGCCAATTTCGATGAACCCACGTCTAGCGCAATCGTACGCAACACGTGGAATCCCCGGCTGGGCCCTAGACCTGAATGCGCCTCGTAATTATTGGACTCCGTGGACGCTTGACCGCAACCTCTACGAGAATTCCAACGCCAATAGAGGCATGACGCCGAGCTTGATCGACCTAAGTGTGGAAAAGGCCCTCGGTCTCGTCGGAACATTTGTAGACGTAGTGAAGATAGCGGATTACGAACAACATTGGATTAAAGATACCCAGGCGATTGCGAAGATAATGCGACGATGGTACTCGCTCGTAGAGCAGAATAATGACACACATAAATGCGAAAGCCAGCAAATGTCAGACGGTGAACGGTCAAGTCGACGGAGGGACTTTGGGTTGCTCATGCTACATAACATCCTAAGAGGAAAGGATTGGGAAATCACTTCGCCAGTAGTCCAAAGTGATATCGATGCAGTATTCGAATACTTTTACACTGGAGAACCGAACCACACAATAGACTCAATCATCGCATCAACAATGCAGCAGAGTTTCTTCATAACAGCGACGGGATTAATGGGCCTTGGTCATCTCGAAGTACAACCTGGCGATGAGATATGGATCTTTAGCATGGGAAAGATACCATTTTCCCTAAGAAAGCGTAAAGATACTCAAGAACCTACAACGAATTACGAGTTCTTCGGGCCATGCTATGTCCAAGGAATCATGCAGGGAGAGTTTCTTGAAGGTGGCCAAGCGAAAGATGAGGAACGAACTATATGGATACACTGAGAACGTCGCAGCAAAATAAGGCCATGGTATGATTATTACTTGGGTAGGTAGGGGGGTGATGTTTAGAAAAGACCTCCCGATTCCTCAGACCGTCCTCAAGTCGTTGTCTTGGCCCCTTTTACATAAACCGAATTTTACTATGGGGTCATAAAAAGGGGCTCAAAGCAATTAACACACAAGTCACTAGGTTCGCAACACAAAACAAGCTACTCCAATAAGGCAAAGAGAATGAAGGGCTCAACTTGGCTCAGAAGACTAAAAAGCTGGTAGAACTATAAAAAAGGTATGTAAAAGGACAATAATGCCAAAATATTTCGACGCGGAGCCGAGTACAAAGAACGGTAAGAATTAAATGTGTCCGACCCCGATCCCCCAGTACGAATGCTGTGTCCGAATCGGCGGACGTCTAATAATAGTTTTCCCCAAGCCGCCAAAACCGTATTAATAAAATGAGCCCGTGTATGTGTATATGAAAAAAAAATCCCATCATATTCGTAAATTCCTCGACCAAGTACCGGTACCTAGGTAGGTAGGTAGCTTAGACTGCGGTGCAGAGAAGCGCCTCGCCGAGGACGGGCAGGACGCAGCACTCGGCGGTCAAGCCATTGGCGGCACAAGCAGAAGTGAAGTCCTCGAGGCTGTTTAGGTCGACGCCGGCTGCTCATAGGTTAGCACATGATTAATCCTATCCTATCACTCGGGGCGGGGGGGTGAAAAAAAGAAACTTACGGCTGGCGCAGGTCAGATCAATGATGCCGTCGACGTCGACTTGGCAGCAGAGAGGCTGGAGCAAGTCAGTAACCGTGGTTCTAAAAAAAGGTTTTAGAAAAAATGGTAGCGGAGTAGGAAAACTTTGGAATCACATACGGTGTTGCCGCCGGGGCAGACCTTGGAAAGGCCACCCTCGGGCTCGGGAGTGGAGCTGGAAGAAGCGTAGCCGGTGGTCGAGGCTGGGGTGCTGGAAGTGGTCGATGGGGTCTCTGCCGGGTACTTGGTGGTTGGGTAGTCTCCCCTCTTGGTCTTGGTGTGGGCCTCTTTGGTCTTTTCGTGGGACTCCTTAGTCTTCTCGTGGGATTCCTTGGTCTTAGAGTGCTCCTCCTTAGTCTTGGTGTGTTCTTCCTTGGTCTTGGTGTGCTTGGTCTTCTTGGTAGGAGCTGGGGTGGAAGTAGTCTCCTGAGAAGTGGTGGTTGTGGTGGTGGTGTAGTGGGTCTCCGGAGTAGCAGAGGGAGTTGTGGTCGAGTAGTGAGTCTCGGGAGTGGAAGTAGGGTACCGCATCACTGGGGTCGAGGTGGTGTAGGTTTCCGGGGTGGAGACCGGGTAGTGAGTCTCGGGAGTAGAGGTGGAGTAGTGGGTTTCGGGAGTAGGAGTAGAAGTAGTGTAATGCGTTTCTAGAGTGGAAGTCGAGTGCTTGGTCTTCTTCTCGGAGGTCGTTGGGTACTGTGCCACCGGAGTAGAGGTAGAGTAGTGGGTCTCCGGGGTAGAAGCAGGGTAGTGAGCTTCTTCAGTGGTAGTCGGGTATTGAGCTTCCGGGGTGGAAGTCTTGTAGTTAGGCTTTGCAACCGGGCTGGCTGTAGCCACTGCCGCGAGGACAACGGGGAGAAGAGTCTTAATCTGCATCTTGATGGTGTTCGATTAAACAGGTATGTAGATAAAAAGATGTATTGTGAAGAGTGAGCGTTGCTTCGGAGGAGAGATGAGAAGAAAAGAAGGGAAGATGCCGATGTGTGTGAGTGAGTGAGTGAGTGAGTGAGGAAGGATGTTATGTCAAAACAATGACGACCAAATGACTTCTTATAATTCACGACGGGAATGGAATTTTCATCGCCAGGTGAAGCTCGGTGATCTAGTCTTGCAACGGCGAGCTGACTACTGCAAGATTGTAGATCTCATTTCAATACTTACGCACCATTTCGCCTCCGCATCCAAAACAAAAACTATGATTCAGCCTTGTAGTTATTGTTTCATTGAAACCTCAACCATCCACACACGGGACTACAAGCTACACGGAAATAAACGTTGTTTACCTAGGTATTCGTGCCACTCGACGAATCGTACTTGAAAAGCAATTTCTAGCAAGAATAAAAGCAACGCATTCTCATACCTCTAGGTAGTAGGTAATTACCTCTAGGTATTTTGGCGAGTAGATTTTAAAAACCATGTCGATTTTACTCTCCCGTGCTCGTATACGCGGCTTATCCAAAAGAAAAGGCGACGATTGATATCAGGCAAGATCGACACAATATTCGTGATGCCGTCAAATACAGTGGTAACTAATAGCCTAGAGGCTGTGTGGCGGGCTAAGCCATTTCCCGGCCATCCACTACTGTTACGAGAAAAGACAAACATTAACGACTAGCTTCAAGCCATGTAGTTGGATACAAAAAGACTAAAGATGTCGTTAACCCAATGAGAGGCTTTACATGTCTCAATATGAAGCTTACATAATAGAGCCAGACTGAAGTCCTAAGACAGTTTTGAGGGTGATCGACAAAATTGCATTCACTGGGTAAAAGGGGAAATTTCCTATTTTGGCAATCGCTTTCTTAATGCAGGCTACCAATGTCGCGGAGTTGACATAGTGTGCGGACTTGCTTTTGTTAGCATGGCTTGACCTCCCTAAAGAGCTGTCCCTGAGAACCCAGGAGCAGGTACGACAAGGATCATGGCTGGGTTTTAGACCCAAGCTGGGTCCTGAGGCTTCTAACAGACGGATGGCGAATACCCGTAATTCAATACTGTATGTGAGACACTATAAATTACTGCATGAAGTTGTCAATTGATGGTCAAATTGGAAGTCTCTGACTTAGCTGGTAGTGCATCTCACAACGGAGATATTTTAGAGGCTACTTAGGTACCTACCTAGATATCCTCCGTATGGTTGAAGGCGGAACAACATTTTGTCAATTTCTTTAATCTTATTTCGAGTACCTAATATCGGCGTAAACGTGTTGAAACGTCTAATGGTTATTCTGTCTGTATAATGTGTTGACCGCTATTGGATTCTCGGGCTGTCGGCATAGGAGAATGCTCGAACTGAACGTGTATGTTGACGTACTTATCTACATAAGACCATCCCATCCATCCATATGCAGGACGGCAGGCTCGTACTTACGAGGGGGGGATGCAATCCTCCAAAGTAATATGCCTCACGGACGGGCCGACCACCTGCAGTATTCCAATTCTCATCACTCCAGCCTTGTCGTTCTCTTCTTCCAGCTGAATGCAACATATCGCTGATTGAACACTACTCTTGTAGATGAGATATGTGATGAGGATCATAGGAAGTTATTAACTTCTGAATAAACAGGTACCTTGTAAGAGAAGAACTCTAGACTCTATTAACATCCTATATTATGAGAACGTGCCACGATGCGCCCAATCGTAATATAGTCGCCAAATCTGTAGATTCAGCGGAAACCCCGTAAATCGAGATGGCTGTGGTGCCACAGATGTCACATAGATGCGGCCTTAGGAAGTAGGCTGCGCTGTCCTGGGGGGTAAAGGGGGGCGGTGGCGTTGTAGATCGATTCGCGAAGACCCCTCACGAAATCTGATAAGGACAATGCCGACTGGAAGCTCGGCTTCTGTAATATAGTCGAATTCTGGTGTCGACAAAACCTGACACAATCTGATAGCAAAGTTGTATGTGTTGGCCCAATAAGAGCCACGCCCCCTCACCGAACCCGGGCACATATGCAGGCTGTGAGAGCCGGAGTGTAATCAACTTTGATAACCTTGCAGTCAATGAACATCAGATTTTGTATAGAATTATCTTATAAGATAGTACGTCTATGTCCAAGTCCAGAGTGAATGTGTGAGATGTCTCTTGCCTAGGTAGCTAGCTCATTGCAGCGTGTTTCGCTATGCCTAGCTCATCCAAAGCTCCACGAATCTCGTCAAGAGAATGGGCGAATCGAAAGCCTCGAATCCTCGAGCTATATATCAATGATGGGCGAACATTGGCTGAAGTCATCGAGGAGATGACGAAAGAAGGCTTCACCGCGACGTGAGTATCCTGTCATGAGCCCAACAGCTTCTTGAGCAACCTGATTAATATTTTGCAAGGAAATCACAATATGAACATAAATTCAGGGTGTGGCGGGAGCGCAAAAACATGAAGCGAGTTGAATGGGCTAAAGCCATCAGAGAACGGGAACAAGGTGGATCAACGGCTCCGTTCATCCTCTCAGGCAGGGAACTTCCTGGCTCTAAGGTTGAGACAGCCCGGCGTCGCTACGCACCCAAAAGACCTCAGGTATCGGAGGAAGAAGGTTTGTGATATAATGAATAGATGTTGCATGATCCTCTCCAAGCTAATTGATATTGCAACGGTGCAGCTCTACGTGGCAATGATGCTGTAGTCCAGGGACATGCAGCACTTCCCATCGCAATCGAAGACGACCATATGTTTATGGAAGAGCTTACATCTGAAGCAACCATGGTAACCGCCGGGTTCGATAATGAAGCTGTTGATATGTCAATCTATGCAGGGATCAACGAGGCCAACCTTGATCAGGACATACAGCTTCTCGAATCGACAGGCGAGACCATTGATATGCTCTCTCACGAAACTCCTGTCGAGTTTAGTTTTCATATGGACAGTATTGATCTTATCAATTCGATCAATTTCGACCTCCCAGCACAGGAAACAGGTAGCCTTCCAACTTTGGAGACTTGTCTACCCTTCAGAAATGATCTCTGGGGCCGTCCACCCACTCTCGATTTTTCGCATGGCGTTGAAACACAGCAAGCTCAAGTGTTTTCTCTAGAAGAATCGTATTTTTCAACAGCGGAAACGACTTTGAATTCCTCGTTACCGGTTGTCGTATCGCCAAATTCTCTGCATGGTCACAGACAAACGTTGCTCAAAAACCAATGGATATCACCATCCTCCGCAACCATTGTAGCCAAGTTCATAAAAGGTAAATCAATACCTATGTATTTCCCTGAAATATTATTTGGGGGACAAAGACCATACAAATGCTAACGTGTCACTTTTTGACAGATGTCTACGGCAATATCTCCCCTACTACCTCCACTCGCCGTGCGATGTTGAATCCCAATTCCAGTCTCGTCTGGCAGTTCTTGGCATGCATGGATCAAAAGCATTCAGGATCTGCCTCAAGGACTGGGGCCTTTCGACTAGCTCTCAACAACCTCTTCTCGGCACAGTTCTTCACCGGAGAAGTACCAGATCTGTTTGCTATTCTACCGAACGACGTTGCTCCCGAGGCTCGTCTCTACGCCAGGCTCATTGCGTCAGTCATCAATGGATTCGCCGACCTTAGGGGAATACGGCGCGCCGATGTCCTGAAATTCCTCAATAGGCACACGGCCATACAATTATTAATGGTTGAGTTTATGTGCTCTAATTCGGGTCCCGTGGCCAGATCTCTCGCCGAGAACATCTTTCAGGCGGCTTTAGAGGCCGACGACGTTGACGTTATCCGATCCCTGCTTGATCATAACGGGTTGATTGATGCAAATGAAACTGTTTGTCACTATCGGGGAGGAAGATGGACACCACTCGAGAAAGCTGCAATATGCAAATCCATCAGAGTCATCAAGCTTCTAATTAGTCGGAAGGTTGACATAAATAAATCCTTTCGAACGAATGATGGTTCAAATGCACTAGAAGCGCTAATCACGAATTTCGAGGATAAGAGATCAACACTCGGTGACGGTTTCTTGGACATAGTTGATGTCTTCTTGGAAGCTAATGCGACGATATCGGCACGTCTCATCGAAAGGGTAGCCGAATACTATACTGACCCCCGTCTGGCAATCCGTCTCGCCAAGCAATTTATTTCCCAAGCACCTTACGAAATCAGTTTTACCCATCCGCTCTTCCAAGCTATCGTTAAGAACCTTGAGGAACGGGCTGTGATAAGCATATTTGGGTTTATCTTAGAAAAGTGCCAGGAATTAGGGGGCGACCTAAGTTTGCACAAATGCGTTAACATTGACGACGCTTTGGAGAAGGCTGTCGAACGTGGACATAAAGAGGTAGTGAGAACGCTACTTCCCTATACGGCATCACCAGAAAAAGCACTTGCAAAGGCAACAAAAGAAAAGGACCAAGCCATAATTGACTTGATCATTCAGACATATCCACTACTGGATGAGTGCGCGAGTAACGCCGGGGCTTTCATCGCTGCTCTTAAGTCCCAAGACGAAGACCGCCTTCACTTCCTAGAAGAAAGAAACCTACTCAATCGTCTCCGAGACAATCCCGTGCTAGGTGATGTATTCGTCGTGGCCCTTGAAGCGGGAAACCTAGACTTTTCAACTAAAATCTTAAACGTCGATCCTGACTTTGAGTTTCTCGATAAAGACCCCGAATCCACTTTGGAGGCTGCCTTTAATGCAGCTTTGGCTAATAATTTTGATGACATTGCTTGGGACATCTTGGCCGTCGCGATCACACGTAGATATATGAGCTACATATCGCTGCTACGAGCCGTGGTAGAAAATAGAAAACCAGACTTCATGAAAGTGATCCTGGAATCTGCCATATATCCAAATAGACACAGTCATCCACCCCACCCTATATCTATCGCACATACAGGACACAGTATTGATTGTCTTGATGACATACGCTACAAGACGAATGGATATTCGTCGATTGTGGAAACCGCTATTGAGTGGGGTGACGACTGTATTTTAAACGATATTTTGCAAGCCCACCCCTCTAACTTTTCTCCCTCATCCAAGCTTTTGAAACTCGCGCTCGAAAAAGGACGCCCAGGTTTAATAATCGATATTATAGAAGCCGGTCCCTTGGAAGACCGCTTTTGGAAGCATTTCGCAGCAGGATATGCGATACAGTGGGAGAATATACCGATGCTCGACAAGCTGATTAATGTTGGCACGGAATTGGACGATTGTTTGCTCGATATAGCTGTGACAAGACGTTCTTCGATGGTCAAGCCCCTCCTGGAACGATACTGGAACATTTACCCACAAGGACGGACTAGATATGGCTGGCTTGCTACAAATCATGCTGTCGAAAAATACTCGGAATCGCCTGGGCTGCTGGATATGCTATTTGCTTCTAAGCTTGTAACTCTGGATATTCTCCAAGGGGACGGGGTGTGCATAACACCTCTTGTCGTGGCAACTAAAAAATGCATACATCGAAACCAAGTGCACAACCCCTTTCCGACCCTTATCAAGAGACTACTTGATGCTGGAAGCAACGTTAACAGCATAGCAGAGCATTTAGATGTCAAGACAACGGCTTTTCTTGAAGCCATCGGGACGCAAGACACGGAACTGGTTAAGCTCTTCATTCAGTACGGCGCCGAGATAGACAAGCCGGCGCGTTCTGGTATACTGTGGACTCCTCTCCAAAAAGCCGCTGGGCTTAACAATCTCGAGATTGTTTGTTTACTCCTAGATAAAGGTGCCGACCCAAACGCACCACCTGCGATGTTCTTTGGAGCTACCGCACTGCAGTTCGCAGCTATGCAGGGCAATTGTGAGATAGCGAGGGTCCTCGTTGAGCATGGGGCTAAGCTAGACACACTCCCAGCACGAGGAAGACTCGGACGTTGGCCCCTTGAAGGAGCGGCTGAAAATGGCCGTCTCGACATGATAAGCTACCTCTGGGAACTGAATGGCGGTCCGTTTGATGATAAACAATGCCAAAAGGCTATTCGGCTTGCAGAACGGAACGGACATCTCGGCTGCAGGGATATGATAAAACTGTTGATGGCTAATGGTTCGTCGAATGGGGGATTAAGCTTGACATGCTAGGAGATTGGGATGGGAGCAGTTGAGGTAAGGACAGGTACAGGTTAGATCACCCTTTCTAATCGCGTTCTAACTTGAGACTAACCCACCTCGATCCAGGTGAAGATGATCCGCCAACGAGGTCGTTGTGACAAACTCAACAAAGCGATCGCCGACGCCCAGTGAACTACTCGGGTTGCCAACTATTCGCAGCATACTGAGCCATGTTAGCAACTTCAACCTGTCTGGGACTACTCGGAGACGCATCTTGAGACCCCTTCATCGCCTATGACGCCTTTCTACGCTAATCTGAGCTGCGGCCCGTATGTATAGCGGGAGGCTCAGTGCGTTATCGGCACGTATATCCCATACGTGGCAAACGCAACTTCGCCCTAGGACTACTAGGCAACCCTTGCCTTTGTCTAAAAGCATGGATTTCTTCTAGTCATTCGCAACACTCGCCATGATTATCTATCCAAGTCGAGGGGGGCTGGAGCGCTGGCCCTTTGGACACATCACATGCAGGACATATCCATCTTTGATTATTCTTTGTCTTTATATAGAGGAAAAGCGATGGAAATGGGAGTTGGCGTGCTAAATGGGTAAGCTCAGGCTGTTAACCCATGATAAGGGGTTCGTTATTGTGGGCGGTGTTACCCCGTCGGTCGGCACCGCGGGCGGGTATACGCAAGGCGGAGGTCATGGAACTCTTTCATCGGCACATGAGTTTTCTTTAACCGATACGTGGTAAGCTAGAGGAGAATAACGTTGTATATGGTGAATGGTTAAATGATTCCTAGAGAAGTTTGGGAAGAGGCTCATCCGTAGTTTTAGATTATGCCATTGGCGACTTTCCTACACATGTTGAGGCTGACTTGGCTATGAGTTCAATGAGACATCTCTCAGTTCAATATTGGCAGGCGGTTTCTCCTGCGCTCTCTATGCTTGATCGATGAGTCAATCGTATCCGCCACCGATCCTCTAAGGTTTATAGTAGAAAACGGCGGTGTCTAGGTACCTCCTTTAGGATGTATATGAACGTTGCGCGCGCGCCGTTTACTCCAAACTCGGCTCGTCTACTGCGGCGCACTACACAGATCGCGAGCGTTTTCAGAATGTAAGAAGTTTGCCTCTTTTACAAGTCAATGTCCATATCTATGTCCAATTTCCTCTCCATCTTTCTCTACTTACTGGCTCTAGCTGACGCAATTCGCCGCCTAAGACTGGGCCGTATAACTACTTCAACCAGGTACGATGTGAACATTGCCGGTCAGCGTCAGACCATGCAGGTACTGACGCCTACGCTGGAAGCGTTGACACCTGGACGCGGTGCATATATAAACGAGGCCGACTTGCACCAACGCGACTTTCAGGGGTCCCTCTACGGCAGCAGTTACGCCAAGCTCAAGGGCATCAAGGAGAAATATGACCGCGACGATTTTTTCTACGTATGGTCCGACAACTTTGGGGAAATAGAAGCTGATGGTAGGCTGTGCCAGGCATATGCAGCACCCGTAAAGACACCCAATAGGGATGTAATTATTCCAGAAAATGAGGAATCAATATTGCACAAGTAGTACATGCACCAATAGGTATTCACAAGACTAGCCTGAGTTAGGTATAGTCAGTGTGGATCGCCTTGTCTTCAGACGAACCGTACAGGCATGAGGTTCATTTTCTGTTCCTTATAACTGAAGCAACGGAACTCCCACCACTTTGCAATATGTTTAAAACCACAAAAATTCTAAACCCGACCAAACTCCAGGTAGCTTTCAAAATTCTAGTTTTCCCGCCCATTTGAACTCTTTTGCGTGACACTCTTCTGTTCTAGCCGTCTGAGAAAAGCAGCAAGAATGGCTTCTACAACGACGACGACGAGTGGGGCTATCCCCGCACTAAAGTTGAACGATGGCAACGAGATGCCCATGGTGCGTTGCTACTAGTAACTCCCAGTCAGGATGTCTCAAAATTGTTAACCGCCAAGCATTGTAGCTTGCCTACGGCTTCGGCACGGCCAATATCTTCGGCAAGGACGATGACATCTCCAAGCTCACAGCCATGGCCATCAAGAATGGATACTATCACCTAGACAGCGCCGAAGGCAAATCTTCCCCCCCCCCCTTGGCCCCCGGAAATGCGGAAAGTGCTTACGTGATCTTTTTCAGCATACGGCAACGAGACCGGGGTCGGCGCCGGCATCAAAGCCTCCGGCGTGCCGCGGGAGAAGCTGTACGTGGTGACGAAGGTGGTCGGGACCAAGGGCCAGGACGTGCGAGCGGCGCTCGCGTCGTCCCTCGCGAAGCTGGGCGTCGACTACCTGGACCTGTACCTCGTGCACATCCCCTTCGGCGCGGGGTCGGCGGCCGAGCTGCAGCGCCTCTGGGCCGAGATGGAGGCCGTCCAGGCCTCCGGCAAGGCGCGCTCGATCGGCGTCTCCAACTTCGAGCAGGCGGACGTCGAGGTCGTCCTGCAGACGGCTAAGACCGTGCCCGCCGTCAACCAGATCGAGTACCACCCCTACCTGCAGCACGGCGACCTGGTCCCGTACCTGCGGAGCAAGAACATCGCCGTCGCCGCCTACTCGGCCCTGACCGCGCTCACGAGCGCGCGGCCCGGCCCCGTCGACGGCACGTACGCCGAGCTCGCGCAGAAGTACGGCGTGGCGGAGGGCGAGGTCGCGCTGCGCTGGGTCCTCGACCAGGATATCGTGGCGATCACTACGAGTAAGAGCGAGGAGAGGCTCCAGGGGTATCTGCGCACGTTACCTAGCTTTAAGCTCACGGACGAGGAGATCAAGCGCATCTCGGAGGTTGGGAAGCAGAAACATTATCAAGGCCCCGGCGAGGCCTACATGAGAGCGAAATATTGCTCCTAGGCCTCTCTAGTGTTGCTAGGAGATATGGGCTTGACTGGGTACTTAGGCGGGTATGTAGGTAAGCCGATATCGATATGACACGTCATTTGAGCAGAAGCCCGGAAGCCACGGATATAATCATATGGGGTGGACGATAGCCGTAACATCCGCCATCCCGCCAATCCATTTTAATATATGTATTTATCCGGTGTAATCGTCCTGGTTAGTCGCATATGCGTATGTATCTAGCTGCCAGTGTTATGATTATAACGATTCAGGTCTGAGATGATAGTCCTATGAAATGGATTTCTTTAAGAAGCATACCTACCGAAACTTAGGGAGTAGCAACATTGAAGTATTCAAAAAGGGGCCACTATTCGCTTGCTTGCATTAAGGACCCCCGCAGATGGGTGTATTACTCAGCAGAATCTATCCTAACAAGGGTCCCCCTAATTGATAAACGGACCAATGAGAGAAGCCAAAGAGCTTAGTTTTTACCCAATTCGGCGGGGGTTAATTAGACCCCTTGGCATTGGCAAACATAGGATTTCGAGTATGTTTGGTCATATTAAACACGAAAAATATCTTACAGGGATAATCCAACTGGGATGGATCTCTCAGGATCTCTCCGCTACGGAAAAGAGCAGGTAGAAAGCAGGTGGCATCAGCTACTAGCGTATGAACGGCTAAATAACATTCTAATCGTTTCCTTTTGGGGCTGTATATGGGTTAAGAATAACCTCAAATGCTACTCTCAATGGACATGTAGAGATTCTCGTCGGTTTCGTCACCCTGAAGACTAGTAACGCAGACTCAAGGTTATGGCAAAGGCATAATGCCCCTCATGGTTATGATCATAATCAGTATTTCTAGACTATTGCCCCATTAATAGCCATGCATGTGAACCAATGGATTCCTCCACCCACTCATTTGTAGGTTGTTTTCGGAACTTGTTCGCTTCCCTCAGAAACTTAAGGAGATATTCGCGCTCCGCCTCTCCCCCGGCCAGATACGACACGCGGACTGGGTCGTTAAACGTCACAGCGCAGAGCGGTCTCAAGGAAAGGCCGTATTGGCAAGTTCGCCAGATCCTGCTACTCCATTCGAAGCATTCCGCTTCTATTGTCGAGTCGTCGAAGCCCCGCATCTTATTTAACTCCTGTCGCATCCGGTTGATCACGATATTAAATGAGTTCACGTTAGCGAAGTGTAGAGCCGTCGTCCCGTTGGGAAATTCGTATCTCGTTCCCAAGGGCGACTCCGTATCTGAGACCTCGTAAATCAGATTGCGCTGAAGAAGGGGCTCTATGGTAGACTCATCGAACCCCCTAAAGTGCGTACTGAGATCGTCGACGACTGCAGAAAGATCCTCAATTTCCTGTTCGTCTCGTAGGTATGATGGTGCGTCCCAGATCTTAGTAAATCGGTTGATGGTATCCGCAAGGTTCATTGCTTGGATGAGCAATTTGGCTACTTCAACAACCCATGGCGTTCGGGTCTTCCACTGATCAAAGAAGTTCATAATGACCTGCGCCCATGCAGGATACGCGTAGAAGTTTTCGATTTTACCCGCTATTACCAGACTGAACTGTGGGCTTAATTAGTTGAGATGACGGCAAACTCTAGGAACATAGGTAAGTTACCATGTAGGCAAAGGCATCAAGCATGAGCTGGGCTCCAAGGTGGTCTCCGTGTTTCGGTGGGCCCCTTTGCATTAGGATAGAGTAGATACCGTTGGAGTGGGATATTTGATTAACACTTCCTGCATAATCAAATATGTACTGCTGAACGATTAGAAGAAAATTCTACCATAAAAAGAGAGAACATTAGTTACTTCGGTGGTCTGGAGATAAATCGTCGCAGCTAGTGTGGCATTCGACGTCTGTTCATGGGTATCGTTGAGAACCTTCTGCAGGCTTTGAAGGGCACGATTGTAAGACGACAGATCAAACAATTCATTTCTATCTGCCCCTTGGCAAAGTTTTATCCATGTGGATAGCAGCAGGTTAGTTGCGTCGAACAAGGCCTCGTTTCCCTCGAGTAGGGGCGGTACGTATCCCAACGTACTGAGCCACGTGCTGAGGCTATACCCCGTCCCCTCGCTAGATTTTAAATACATCACTACCTTACCTCCCAATAAATCGAATCGGGTCCCTGGAAGTTTCTTTGGTATTTGTGGCTTTCGAGTATATATCCTTAGTTTTGAAAATATTGCGCCGCTTGCCATAGTTTTGTTTCTAAGATTCAACAAGCTTGTCTTCGCAGTAGTACTTAACGCTGGTACTGATAGTTCATCTGTTGAATATGCGTCGGTTTCCTCTTGGGATATGTCTCCCCATTGGGTACTTCGTCGAGTGTGCTTCCCGTTGTACACAAACTTGACATGCTTAGAAGGACCCGAACATTTCTTGCCTGCTTTGCTACAGGTTCCACAGATCGGCCAGTTCTCGTCGCACTGCGTATTAAGGCCAGAATGAATTAGCCAATGGCAACGCAATTTGCGGCTAGTTGCGCAGAATCGGAAGTGTAATCCGTTATCGAATAAGTGTGTTGTGACTTAAAGGCTCCAACTCACCTTAGTCTTCCTCCGTCTGCAAAAGTCGCACCTGTTGCTTTTCGGTATGCCAACCATTTTTGCTGTTTCGAGAAATCTCTCGCGATTTCGAACTGTCTCCCGGCACATCTATGTTTTCGTATTCGGACACACACCTCTGTCATTTTTTATATGCTGCGCTCTCGGGCTATGCCCGGAATCACCGTCGTGGTCCTCTTGTGGTCCTCTTCGTGCTTGTGGTCATGTTCGCAGAATGAGCCACAATCTTGTTTATAACTGGCCAATGGTTAGTTCAACTCCTTTTGAATCGAGTTCAGCTAGGACCCATTTCGTCAGCCCTATATCGCATTATCATACCGAAAGTAGTAAAAGCGACTACCGTCAGTATGAGATTCCCGTGTTTGGCCCAGTTGGATGGTACACTACTGCGAGCCCCGTAAAATGCCTTCTTGTAAGCCGACATTATTGTAACACATATTCCGTCAATGATACATGAGTAGCATTTTGTGATATTGCCTTATTTTGTGTGGCTTTTGAAAACACAAGAAGCTGCTCACAAGAGAGATAAGAATGATGAAAAGTTGATGTTACAATGAAAACTGGCCCTTGCAGCCCTTGGCAATGCAGACATCTATTCTTGCTTAGCTAATTAGGGGTATGCAGCTAAACCCCAGAACCCCCTATTCATAGGTACCTGGAGACTTCATAACCATGCAAACTTGACAACCAACAGATTAACCTCTATTCCATATATCTAAAAAACCAAAAAAACACCCATACCCAAAGACCAGGTCATTAGACATTAGCTCGCGTATATTCTAATATCATTGCCCGTTCGGGTACATATCCTTTTTCTCAACATCGTTATTATCTTCTATCGGGACGCCCCGTATCTCGGCATCAGTAGGCTTGTCGTCGTTCGCCTCGCTCTTCCGAGCTTTTTCGAGAGCCCGCTCCGCTTTGAGCTGCTTCCCGGTGTCACCTTGCTTCTTTCCCTTCTCGCGAATCTTGTCGAACGCCTCACGTGTCAGATCTTGCCGGAACATGCGCTCCACCACATCCTTCTTCCGCGTACGCCTCCCGCCGATGCTAATCAAAATCCCCGCTGTAATATTGACCGTGATAGAACAGCTTAGGATCGTCGCCGTCAACGCCATCGGCCGCGTATTATAATCGATGCCCCACGTCGTAGCGCCCAGAGAGATCTGGAGGCACGAGTGAAGGTCCAGCAGTGTCACGATCGCGACCAGCCAATTCAAGGGGAAAGCGTAGTGCGTTTTGGTCTCGTGCGGCTTGTAGAAGGTGTGCGACTTGGCGAATTTGGTCTGGTGGTGCACGAGCCTCGCTTGTTGCTGTGGGGTTAAAACCGAAATCTCGTCCCGTGCCGCCTCGAGGTCTGCGTTCGTCGGCAAATCATTCTTGTCGCGAAGTTTCCCCATGCGCTTCTTCCTGCGCAATTTCCACGTCAACCGGTGATAGTGTGCGATATAGATCATGTGATAGGTATCAACTGCGCGAAATGGCGCCAAGCCATCACCGACGACACCAAAGAGGGCGACTAAGACATAGTCGATGACGTTAATGGCGTAAACCTGTTCTTCGCCAACGTAAATCCAACCAATCAAGAACAGCACCCAAGCCAGGCCGAAAAGGGTGATGAGCGTTGCATATAGCGTCACAAAAAAACCGAGCGGTTTGCTGACGTATTGACCGAATGCCTTCATGCTGCGTTTGAACTTGGACCGCCGTGAATGCAGCATGTGACGCACGTAATCGTTCAGTTCCGCCTTCTCTTCATCGGTCCAACCTTCCAGGAATACGCCATCCGGTAGAACGGCATGTTCGAAGTTGAAATCTTCTTCTTCGATCGGTTCTTCCCGAATGTCAGGTTCCCGAGGCTCCCGAGGTGCCATAGAAAGCTGATATGTCGGGCGTCGGTTGACCCATCTGCCAAGTGATGGTATGAAAAGAGAGTTCTGGATGTTGGTAACATTATTCAACGTGGATACTTCGGGATCTAACGAGCGCGATGATGAGTTTACTTGATCCTAAAATACCCTTTCATTGTTTCACGATATACTCACCAATAACGTCAAGTATGTCGGCCAGATTCTGATCTAGGTTTGTACGCCTATTTGGACCGTGAAAGAGAGCGGTACTGGCCGGTCTCGTATTTTCGGGGATCGGGGGCATACCGGAACCATCGGTTCCTCTGCGAGGGCGTATTATGGCCAAGCCTGGTCGCTGACGACCCCGGCCGGTAGGATCGGAACTAGAACGACGGCGACTGGGTTCTCCATCATCTTGATGTTTGGGTTGCTGCTGTGACTGCTGGTGAGGAGTCTCTGTCGCTGGTCGATGTAAGTCGTACAATTGAGAAGGAGCCTCATCCGACATCCTAGTCTAAGGAAAAATAGCCGCGACGCGGTCCAAAAAGTTTGCTTGCAAGAATCCGGACTTGGTAGTTGACTCGGCACATATTCGATAATGGAGAAGTTCTAGTACGCGCTATGTATCATAGTCTAGGTTCTTATAGTGATGATGTCATTGTTTAACTTCAAGCCAGGGATGGCCAACAGGGGCAAGGATTAAAACTTGAATACCACCCTAAAAAAGCATATCAGTCTTATCTAATGGACAAAAACCCTCTTGTGTCATGCTCCTTTAATTGAATAGGACTTTATAATTGCACTTCTTACATCTCATAGCTGCATTTCTCAATATTAAAATGTTAATCTAATTTATGAAATTGAATCGAGCACTCGACATTTCAAAATTCTAAATCCCATGTCTCACGACACCAACCTGATCCTATTACTATCTCTCAAAACTATTAATCACACTAGTGTCACTTCGTGGACACTATATCATATAGGGATGCGAGGTACGAACATTGCTTGGCAGGACGATTGCTTCGCGGATATTCTCAGTGGTGATGCCCTAACCTCACTAACATCCAGTCGGGATCCTGCTGGCGGCTGACTCCTAAACATATCTATTCTTAGCAGAACGGAATGTTCAATTATGGCGATGTTCTTGACAAGTTCTAATCTGCCTAATATTTAATTCGTCGCCATAGGACCGTCTATCGCATTCGCTCTTCGCGCCCGTCGAGCCAGCTGGTGCAATTTACGCACCGAACCGCCTAGATTAGTTAGACTAACGAACTCCTAACGTATGTCATATGGGCGAAAGCGCGAACCTTCGAACCAATGCGCTTTTTACAGTATCGACATTTAACCGAATGCTTGATAATAGGATCGTGCGACAGGTACTGATACAAACTCGCCAGGCCATAGAGAGCCAGGCCGATGCCTAGGAAATTGACGACTCGGTTGAGGAACCCACTGGCATACATCATGTCAGTCTTCACGGACTTAATGTAGCCACGAGGGGCTTCAATTCGCCATACCCATAAGCTAGAACGATGGCACCGTCGTTCTGTGCCTGGTCTAGAGTGTTATAGCCATCCTCGTTGCTATAGTTCGGCCCTGGTCGTAGCACCGCGAACTTCTCATTCATGTTCCTTCGTAATGGAAGGATGATAGAAATTGGCGGAAGAAGTATGTCGCTTACGAGGGAAGTAGTAAGGGCCGTGAATGATGTCGCTAGGCTATTAAGACCCGTATTAATGGTTCACATCCCCTAAGTCAAGACCTTTTGATACTAACATCATACCAAATGCAATTTCGAGAATGTTGCCAGAGAAAGCGAAGTCGATGAAGCCGGAAAAGATACGCTGTGCTTTTTGTTCACCTTCTTCTAATAAGGTACGGCGCTCCCCTTCCTCCTCGTCACCCCCCTCGTTGAACTCCCACGGACGAGTAGGCATTGCTGGAAGATAGGTAAATATGCAGGAATTTAAGAAGGTATAACATGCAGTTCTCTATAGGATACTTAGGAGGAATGTTGGAGGAGGTTCCAAGGTTCAAATGTTGTTAACCACACGCACGCAACTCAGATTAAAATTACGAAGCTCTCTAATACGGGGTCCTCTCATACTCATCCTACCTGCCTTATCAATTGATCGCCAGCGCCATCCAACTCATGTGCTCTCTCGTGGGGACAGTAGCGACCGTTGAGTTACGGGGGTAGCGTAGAAAGCACCCAATGAGCGGGTAGATGAAACGTAGCTTAAGCAGTCTTATCTAGATTGGTTTAGAGCCTAAAGATGTTGAAACTCCCTATTGGAAGTCTCCATTCAGCTAAACATCTAGGGTGGGACCACGCCGCAATGGCACTTACCAGACAGTAGTGTAGAGACTAAAGCAAGGGTTACATCATTCTTTACCAGATAAACAAAGTCAACAGTATGATAACTAAACTCATACCAATACACTTTGGCTTCAGTTTCATCTAACAACAACTTTCGTGCAGGTAAAAGGACTACACTTATAGTTGAAGATTGTTGTTCTGTCCAGTCATCGCTGTCAAGTCATTTAGTAACACCATGGCTAACGAACTTCTCACCCTCACCCTTTTCACATGCAAATACAAGTATGAGGCTCATAAGCATACCGAATCCCATTCGCTAGACTTGCTAATAAATCTTGTCTCTTTCGACTCACCAATGATAAGGCTAAGTCATTAATAGAAAAATAGTAGTTCGGCACTCTTATGCACTTGGGGTCACGCGATCTAGATACGGTCAAGAACTGCTGACTATGTAACATTCTTCCGGCAGCGTGGTACGTATTCTCTACAGCAATTCAATATTTTTATGCAGTTTTGTTGATCATCATGATCAGGTCCACGAACGACTCTGCGACTTGGCCCCAAAGTAGTTTAGTCTAACCAAGTTGCACCAATCCTTCAACCCCTGACTTTACGACTGTAAGGAAATATATCTAAAACGACTCTCAGCTCGGTGAATACGGAAAAGTCGATGCAATTCGGCCCGGTACGATCAGAATACATCGATATGTCAACGAAATATCCCCTTTCTGCTCCATGTGTAGTAGTGGGAAGCTGTTGGCTGCGATTAGGAATCGTAGCAGTGAAAGCCATTCAGGATCGAAAACTCCGCCGTTTCATTCATACATCACGAGTCTGGAAACGCGGGAGTTGCAAGAAGAATGTCAACCACTAAGAACTTTTTTCATATCATGATAGCCCAACTAGGGGGATCGTCCGATAGAAAATACCCTAAGACAAAGTCACGACCCAGATTACTGACCGAAGCTCATAGCTAGGTATCGTATAAAAAGCGTTCAGTTATTCGTAAACTACTTCCTGCTGTATCTGCGTGGTATCATTTGCTGCTTGCTAATAGGCCGGCTTCTTCAGAGAATCATTAAGATATGAGAAAGTCTCGGGACAAGTTTTACGACATCCTAACCAAAACGCAACTTACAACACCAGCATATCTCAGAGCCTTATGGCTCTTTACATACAGCGACATGAAAAGTATCTTGTTTCCTCACAGTATATTAGGAGTGATAACGGCCTATGCTGCTTGCATGCTTGAGCAGCCTCATTTTCTCATGGAGCAATAGGCTGGCTGTTGTTTACTTCCTGCCAGAGGTGTGATATTTAGACATGGGCTAGTCAAAGACAGAATGAACTTAAAATATTAGTATAGAAAACTGTAGATATTTCACTGATAACAGGTAGTCTAAGCAATAGAAAGAAGCAACGATCATAGAAACAAGAAGCCACCCCCTTAACAATGGTATCATCCGAAGCCAACCCTCGCAAACTCCAGCTTAGTCATAAACCATCCCCCCTCCCCCCTTTTTTTCTCAAAACGTCCTCTCACGCCTCCTAACGCCTCCGCCTAAATATCCCCAACAACCCACGCCCGCTCTCCCCACTCCCCCTCGTCCTCGTCCTCGTCCTCTTCTCACCATCCGCCATTACCACCACTCTCCCCCTATTCCTTCGCGCAATCCAACACGCGAGGCCCCAAAACGCCGTCGCGACGAGCATAACCGCGAACGCGACCCAGCTCACAACCATAAGCTTCGAGCCCTGCACGGCCGAGATGCCCGCCTCGTCCCCGGCATCATTAATCTCCTTAACACCCTTCTTCGAGATCGCCGTCGCGATGGCGCTGGCAAGCGCTAAGGCCAGCGTAGCCAGGGCCGCGAGGACGATGTTGGCGGCGGCGACGGCGGCGTTGATCGGGTTGTTGCTGTTGTTGTGGCGGAGGAGCGCGAGGACCAGGACCGCGATGCAGGAGAGGATGGACAGACCCGAGAAGCCGGCGCCGAGGACGAAGAGCACGAAGGTCGCGAGAAGGAAGCTGTTGAGGTAGTCGATGGCTTCTTGGATCTTGTCCGGGATTGGGATGGAGGAGGCGTTGAGCTTGAGAGGGCCTTGGTCGAGTTCTTTTTGGATTACGGCGGTGAGGTTGAAGTGGACTGGGGGTTTTCGTGTTAGCCTAGGTATGGAATATGCTCGCCCTTCTATTAGGTGGCTAAGGGGGTTAGCTTGGGATAAGGGGGCGGGTGTAAATACCTCCTGGTGATTGCGCCGTGCAGTTCGTCGTATTGTACCAAGCGCCCTGCGAGGTGGCGTTTGGCGCGAAGTTCCCCTCGCATGCGGTCATGACGTGTAAGCTATACCACTGCGAAATGCCTAGTTCCTGTGAGAGCTTGTCGGCGACATCGCCGATAATGTCGTTCAGCTCGTCTGTTATTGCCCCTTCGATATCGTCCCAGATGGAGCTGGTAGACGTAGGTTCCGACCCAGAAGACGTCGAAGTCGGTATGAGATTGTGTCCAAAATCAGACATGTTTATCTAGCATCAAGTTTAGCCTACAGTTTGTTGGATCGTGGTACATAGGTTAATGACGCACGGCAATAAGGTGATAGTCTTCTAGCGCTTGCTGTTGCGATCCGCTGCCGGCGAAAAGTGCTATCATTGCTAAAACGAATCCCGCAATGGATAGGATAAGTGGAACTATCACGGCCAACGGCCGAATACCGCCATTCTTCGTGATGCCCATGTTTCCCTTGTAAAAGTTTAGGATATCGTCGAGGTGTAGTTGTCGTCTCGGCCTAGTCGGCGTAGTGAAGGTAGTAGTAGTATTATATCAACTGATAAAAGGGGGGTAGCTTGCCAAGATTTGGCTATTAGGTAGTTATAGGTAATGAAAGCAGTCTGCGTAAAAAAAAATAAAGGAAGTTTGATGCGAGACCACGTCGCAATGAATATGGGAAGTTTTAACTGTCACATATTAATACGATTGCCCGTCACAGGCGTGGCTGCTATAATATAACAAACCTTGTATACACTCACTAAACAGGTCATAGATGGCTATCAACCATTCGCTATAATTCCGCACTAGATTGTAATACCCTGGAAGACCAGTTCATATTCGTCTCAATTCTGACAATTACCAGATTTTTACCGCTTGCTGGGCATACGCATACGTACGATCTTCCCCTGTCTGGATCATTCCAAGACATGCGAAGACATGATATGTACGTACACTACTGCAAGTCAACGGCATCTGAGTGGGCAAGAAATGCGTCACAAGTTGGTTTTGCCTCCTTTAGTCAATGTCTGCAACGATGATTGGTTCCTGACTAGCATTGCGTCATAAAGGTCCATCTGAAATGACCCCTGCCAAACCGGTTCGGCACCTCTGAGCCAGTAGACCCTAGTCCGTTGTATCGTTGTCGATCGAAACCCGGCAGTCTAAGAAACATAGCCTCCATCAGCGTCTTTCGAGACTAATTGATGGCCATACGGCAATCTTGATTAATTGCTTCTCGAAACGATTTCGTAGACGGGGCGTTTAGAAGCGTTGAAGGTTTAAAGACGCGCAATATAATTAACCCGGCTTTGCATCACTAGAAGAGAGGATAATAGTTTTATTGGAGATTTAGACCCAAGTAGGCTCTAAAGATCTTTTCATTGCAAGGATGCAGACACTTACTATCATTGTTTATCACAGAGGCAGCCAATGGCCACCTAGTCAAATTGTAAATTCGCGGGCCAGCTATTCGATAAGCGATGGGACCCGGGCTTCGCGATGTTACTCGAGAAGCTAGGTTTGGGAGTGCGTAAGTTGCATCTAGAATTGGAGGTGAGCCTTCAAGCATACCTAGACTACATCTCCCCACATCAATTGACTTAGTCGCTGGGTTTTTAAAACCGCCTCGGCGCTCCCCAAAAGGGTATCTTTGTCCACCGTTATCCACCGCCCCTTTCCTGCTCGTTGTGCTCTGATGTGTTTCTCTACTGCTGTCGCGGACTCAATCCAATCTGCAAATCGTGAAATTTGGTCACCAGTTGAATCGTCTGTGAGAGCATAGCCAGAGTAGAGCCTCAGCGTTGTTATCTTTCCCCAGTCGCCCACCCAATCAACAAAATCCACAGTAAAGTCCCCATCAGACTCTTTCATCAGAGTAGGGAACCAATCCCCGCAGCCTGTCAAGTCGAGATATTCAAGGCCATATAAAGCCTTACTAAGGCGCTTCAGGATCAGGATAGCTTCCGACCAGTCGTTATCTAGGTTGTGGCTATAGGGTCCAGTACCGCCATACTGTACACTTCTTCCGGTCACCGGGGATATGACTCTAGCAAGTTTGGCATTCGGTGTCAAGGACGGTTCGGGCCATCCGGATAGATTGAGATGTGTGAGAGTTGGTAGCTTCCCAGCTAACGATAAAAGTTGTTTCCAAGATACGTTAGGCGCGTGCTCCGGATCAATCGCGAGAGATAGTCGCGTCAAGTTCGGCAGCATCTTCACTGGACCCGAAAGAGGCTCTGGGGCGTCCCACGAATCTTTAAGGTTAGGCTGCTCGACTTCAACTTTGGGAGGGAAGAGTAGTTCGTTCAATTCTTTCACCGTTAGCGACTTGCCCACGGACCCCGCTAGGTCTAGGTAGAATACGTCCCCGTTGAGGGAGTTCAGATCAGGCTTGTCCACGTCATATTCAGCCAGCTTCTCGTCGGAAGGACCAGCAAGGACAAGACGCAGATCTTTGACGGATAGTCCAGGTTCGTAGATTTCCGCAACATAGGTCAACAATCCAGTGCGCAAATGGCTAGGAAGTGTATAGAGGTAGAATTGGTTCCAATATCGCTGCTGTTCCCAATCCTGAGCCATTCGTCGGAGAAGTCGGTCTATAAGACTACCCGCATCAGGTGTATAGGCATCTGGCAAACGCCAGTGTTGAATATGCCCTGCATTGCCAGCATTCAGCTCCTTGGGGGCATGTTGCGACAACGCTAGCGATACCCAGCTTCGGGGAGGTGGTGGACCGGGTGGTGCTCGTCGACCATTGGCGTCACGGCGCTGAGGTCTTCGGGGTCGCGGGGCGGGTGTCTCGGGAATTTGGAGGATCTGACGGATCGAAGGGGGTACGGTGGGAGTCGCCGCGATTACGTTGCTCTGAGCGCCATTTTGCCTCAGGCCACTCCGTCGCATATCTGCGAGGAGCTGGTTGACCGAACGTTCATGATGTTCTACACGTTACGCATTAATGCCATGCCGTGGTACGCCTTTTAGTGTAGAAATAATGGTAGTGGGGCATATCTTACCAGTCGTCCGGGACGAAGAAGATAAGGCAAGTGACGGTGGAGCAACTGAAGGCGGCTTTGAATATTTATTATTGTGTCTTTTCTTCGGCATAACAGTTGAGGGTGACGAAACCTATCTCGACTGTTTGCGAAAAGGTGATTTCGTAGAGTTCGCAAAAAAATCAATATGGAACTGAAAGATGATACAATACTAGACATGTGCTGAATAAAGTTGAAGTGGATTTTATGGATGCCTGGGATGAGTCAATGAGAATTTACGTAATGATGTAACTAAAAAAGGAAACCACCATAAGATGCGCTAAACCCGATATTTGATACGCGCCGCACGTTCAGACTTCAAATTCTGCAAGGAGTGCAATAAACTAGGTATGTGTTACTTTATTTTGTTTAAATACCTGCCTTTAGTTATTTGTTAATGCCCGAGCTACTCTAGCATTATTGTGAAATTAACAGAATATCACGTTGTTGAAAGGCATTACATCCCCTCATCGTCCCGCAAGAACGTTCAGAACCCCTCCATCGACCGCAATGATCTCACCATTGACATACTGGTTCTTGGCAAGATACAACACAGTCATTCCCATTTCCTCCTCGCGTCCAGCTCTCATGAGTGGAACATGCCCCTTGTCTTGAATCTTCTCTGGCGGCACATGGCTCTTCTGTCTCTCATCACTACTCTTTGCTGTCACTGCAGTACGCCAAGTTAGCTAGTGTCTAATTGATAACATCGTGAAGGCAGCTTCTGGGTTGAGGGTAATGTTTCATGCTTAGGAAGAGTTGTACTTACTCTCGCTAGGGAAGTACCCCGGTGCTATAGAGTTGACTCTAATCTCAGCCTTCTGGAACTCGGCACTCATGAGCTTCGTCAACTGAATCGTTGCACCTTTGGCGGTATTATAACTGAAATGGCCCTGGGCGTGTCGCATTATGCCGGACATGGATGAAATCGTAATAACGGAGCTAGAGTATGGTTCCAGGGGCCCTTTGGGACGGATGCCGGCTTGTAGAAGAGGGAGGAAGGCCACCGTCGTAAAGTACACCGCGGTGACATTGGTATTGAAGTTGTTGTGCCAATCACCGGGGTCTTCGTTATTCCATAGCTGAGCCTTCAGGTCGTCGGCCTCTTCGTGCTTAGGCTCGGCCTTCGGGCCCGAGATGCCGGCGTTGCAGACGAGGAGATTGATGTACTTCTCCTTTTTGCTGAGATCCACAACTAGCTTCTCTACGTCGTCCTTGTTGGTCACGTCACAAGGACCGATCGGAATGATCTGGCCACCTCCCTTGGTTGGTTGGTGACTTTTGGCTGCATTTTCTAATACTTCTTTTCGACGGCCGGTGATGTATACTTTGGCGCCGTTCGCAGAGAGAGCTTGTGCGGCCATGAGTCCGATACCCGTGCCTCCTCCGGTGATCACGGCCACAAAGCCCTGAACTCCAAAGAGTTTACCCACGTCGAACTGGTGCGTATCAGCCATTTCGAGGGGTGAAATATCTTGCTTCTCTTCGAAAGACAAGATAAATCCGTGCAAATGAGTTGGTGAGTATTGGGAATTTCTCTGGAGGGGAAATCAGACTATTTTACTTCGAAAGGGTTTGATAATAAAAGTAAAACATCAGTGGCAATGAAATCACATACACACAATTAATTGAGCTTATTTTGATTATACGAAAGACGTACCTGCCTATAGATGCACGTTTGGATGAGTGGTGACGTATGATATACCTTACACCACGTGCAACAGGGATCTCGATAGGAAGTAACAAACAACCTTACATTGCCACTGATTTTCAAAGGCAAAATATACATGGATCGACGGATGGCATTTCCTCCAACCACTAATATCAAAGCAGCGGTTTAGGTGATTGCCAGACTGAAATGGCTAGCTTAATTGATATTTATAGTACGAAATAAACATGCGCCTTACTATGTGTACACGGATTGCACTTCCCATGCAATCTCTAAGATTCTACCTATAGCTTGGATGTCATCTTCTGGCCTTGGCTCAGCGCTGCCGTAGCATCTGTGATGAATTCATCCACCACCGCCTTCGCGCTCTTTCGCTCCTTGACAAGCGCGGCGCATTGGCCCATGAGGAACGGTCGGAACTGGTCCATCACATCATCCACGTCCTCATCGCTAGCACCCTTTTCCACACCGGGGATATCGGTGGTGCCGTTCGCGACCTTTTCCAGGTCGTGCTCGTAGGGGAGAATACCCTTAGCTGTCAACTCCTTGATCTCGCTCTGGCGTTCGTTCTCCCAAGTCTCGATATACGGGTTCTTCCGCACTCGCAACGGCCGTCCGGTGAAGATGAGGGTGCGGATGGTGTCGTCGAAGCTAGCAGTCTGGACCGCCTCCTTGTGCGATTCCGGCGCTCCGGCTTCCTCCGTCAGGATGAATCTGGTGCCGACCCACACGGCGCTTGCGCCCATCATCAACGAAGCAGCTAACAGTTGGCCGTTGTGAATGCCACCGGCAGCGACAACTTGGACCTGTTTGCCTGAAACGGGGCTCATCTTTCCCTTGCAGATCTCAACGCAAGCGGGAATCAGGACAGTGGTCGGGACGTGCCCGGTGTGACCGCCACCCTCGCCACCCTGCGCGCAGATAATATCGCAACCGATGTCCAATGCCTTCTGGACATGCTTGGGGTGTCCGACCATGTTCATGTAGTAAATGCCGTGCTTGTGTAATTTGTCGACGACGGCCTTGGGTGGCACACCGACGGCGGAAACGAAGAGTTTGGCACCCGATTCGATGATAACGTCGACCAGATCGTTAAGCTTGCCTTTCGTGTAATCGTAACTGCAATCCCACGGGATTAGCTCAGTGATCTGTTTGGTTGCCACTCACCGAACAAAGGGCGATGTGGTTGGGGATACGAGAACGTACTTTGTTTTCCTGGCGCTGCCACCAACCTGTGGGAGTAACAGGTCAATTCCGAACGGCGCATTCTTGTCATCCAAGTACGACTTGAGCTCGTCGATCTGCTCCTTCAGCATGGCTGGGGTGTATGACACGCCCCCGATGACACCGAGACCTCCGGCATTTGTAACAGCTGCTGCCAACTTGGGGCCAGCGGCAACGTTCATACCAGCCAAGAGGATAGGGTGGTTGATCTTGAATAGATCAGTTATGGGTGTTCGGATCTTCTCTGGATAGTTACATTTGGTTAGTCTACAGGAATCAGCGTGGATTGTCGCAATTGTTACGCACGTGGTGAGGCCATCTTGACTGTCAGACGTAAGCTGAAATTACAAAAACAAGCCGAAGTAACAGAGCAAAGTCGCTTTTCTAACTTGGTTCTACAACTATAATGAAAATAATCAGAACAGATTAAGTAGTAGAATAGTCGGTAAAAGATAGATCAATCCAAGGTAGAAATACAAAGAGGACGGTCTTTGAATGTCGGCAAAATAGTGAGATGTTGGTGGAAATTGGGGTCGTACGGCTCTTGAACCAACGTGTGGACCTAGTTATGGAAAAGCTGGGGAACCGAGGCATCATGAATGCCTAGGCTGGCAATGAACTATCCCCGTCTAGGAATACTGCCTCTTTTAGAACTTGATGGGGTGCATCGATCCCTGAAGGTGGGAATTAAGCCGAGGCTCGTCTCGTTTTGCATGCGGCAGCTCCCCATATACGTATGTTTTGCATCGTGTTAAAAGAAAAGTAATGTCGCCGCAAGTCATTACGCATGAGTTTGTACTATCATTTGTGGTAGCATCGATTTATGTACGTTGAATCTAGTGCCAGCTTTCGCGAATAGTATGATAAATCACAATAAGCCCATATTCATTTGCATACCTATCCATATAACGAGGTAAATCATCTTTATGCCGTCGATATCCTTTAAGAGGATAAATTTCATAAGCCGGAGTTACGTGGTGCCGTAGATAGTGCGTCGGAGATTAGATACGGTACTTAGGTACCTACTTATTGGTAAGGTGGCTCTCAAGGTTTGCTTCAGCAATTTTTCCCGTCAGCTTCAAATTCAAGGTGTAGTAGTAATGAGGCAATTGACTAAGCAGCTCAATCCTTCGTTAAGCTCTCAATGAGTGTTTTCTCATCACAATTTCGAGCATGGAGTTTTACACTTCGCCGTACTCGAGTACCTCCATCTTATATCCATCTAAATACCTCTTCAGCTGATACAATATATTCCCCCCTTTCCTACAATTACAATAATATCATCCTCCAAAGAAAGAAGATGGATCGTCAGATTTCGTCTAGTTCGTCTAAAAAAGCATGTGGTTGCGCGGAGCGTCGTGGTAAGCAGAATGCTTATATCGCTCTAGGGAGCAACCTAGGCGATCGAGTGGCCATGATTGAGCAGGCATGTAAAGAGATGGATTCAAGAGGAATCAAAGTCAAAAGGACGAGCAGCCTGTGGGAGACTGAACCCATGTACGTTCTAGATCAAGATAGATTCGTGAATGGAGCTTGCGAGGTGTGTCTTAGAATCCCCACTCCCCATCGACCCTAAACTGAGTGGTCTTCATTAGGTTGAAACCGATCTAGAGCCATTGTCGTTGCTAGACCAATTGCAAGACATAGAAAAGTCTATGGGAAGGCGGAAACTCATAGATAAGGGTCCTCGGAATATTGACCTAGACATTTTGCTTTATGAAAATGAAAAGGTCGACCATGAGAGACTCAAAATCCCTCATATTGGCATCCCTGAACGTGAATTCGTTCTCCGCCCTCTCGCCGAACTCATACCGCAAAAGTCGATAGATCCTTCTAAGCCGTGGAAATTCATCCAGGACTACCTCAACGAGCTTCCCGCAGCCCCTGAACCGCTTTCAACTCTGACGCCGATATGCGCCTCGGTAGAACCTCTGAATGCCCTCAAGGCAACGCGGAAAACGCAGGTAATGGCCATTCTTAACATAACGCCCGATTCATTCTCGGATGGGGGAGTTCATACCCCTGACTCCTTAAGAGACACAATCATGGCCTATGTCCGAGGGGGCGCCACCATTTTTGATATAGGCGGACAATCTACAGCTCCGGGTACTCTCGAAGTCAGCGCACAAGAAGAAATGGATCGCATCTTGCCTGTCATCGAGCTTATTCGCAGCCTTCCCGAAACGCGAGATGTCGCTATTAGCGTAGACACATATCGAGCCTCAGTTGCCGAAGCAGCCGTCAAGGCTGGCGCAGATATTGTTAACGACGTGTCGGCCGGTCTCTTGGACCCGGAAATGCTTCCTACCATGGCCCGCCTAGGCAAGACGGTGTGCTTAATGCACATGAGGGGAAACCCTAGCACAATGAGCAAGCTAAACGAATATCCGGAGGGAATCATCCCGACCATTGCTCGAGAACTACTCGAGCGAGTCGCGGCCGCCGAAGCAGCGGGTATCCGCCGGTGGCGCATCATCCTCGACCCAGGCCTCGGGTTTGCCAAAGTTGGCGAACAGAACTTACAACTCCTACGACATTTCGACGAGTTACGAACCTGGCCCGGACTAGAGGGTCTGCCTTGGCTCGTAGGGTCTAGCCGTAAGAGCTTCATCGGCAAGGTCACCGGCGTGCCGAAGCCCATGGACCGCGTCTTCGGTACGGCAGCCACTGTTGCCGCAGCGGTACAGGGCGGCGCGGATATAGTGCGCGTCCACGATGTTGTGGAGATGGGGCAGGTAGTCAAGATGGCAGATGCCATCTGGAGATATTAAAGTAACACATTCATTTCATTTTGTGTTACGAGTCCTATGGAAATTTCATGTGCCAAGTGTCATAACCATCCAGCAAATCCCGCCACTTGAATCATTCTTGTAGAGCGTCCAGTTCATCAAATCCCTTTGAAGTCCCTGTCCCATCAAAGTCCCCTTTTCATTAGTCCACCAAGCCCCCATCACCATTACCCAGCGTCATACCAGAATGCACCACTCAAGTAGTGTGCTCAAACTGCAAAATTCCTCCAACTTCCCAGATATATGCTCAAGAATGATAAAGGGCATCCAGTTCAGAAAATCGAGCCTTCGCTACCGCCAGGCTGCGCACCCTTCCACTCCTCGTCGTCGACGACACCAGTCGCCTTGCCCTTGCCCTTCTGCTTAGCCTCGACATCGGCGCGCGCCTGGGCCTTCCACATCTCCACCAGGGCGGCGGCCTTCTGCTTCTTGGTCGACTCGGCGCAGTACTCGAGGTCGGCGTCGGTGACGCGCTCGATCTTCATCTCGACGTCGGAGACGCGGCGGATCCTGGCCACGTTGGAGCGGATCAGGTGCTGGCTGTCGGCGTTGTCCGCGTGCGCGCACTCCTCCACGATGTCGTCCGCCATCCCCAGGATCGCCTCCGCGATGTACGCCGCGTGCATCTCGTCCTCCACGTGCTTGCGCACCTTGTTGACGATGCGCGCGCGCGCCTTCATGAGCGTCTGGCCCACCTGCTCGAGCGCTTTGCCCATTAGCTCCTCGTCGGTCTTCTCCTCGGTCTTCTTCTCCTCAGTCTCCTTCTCGTTGTTCTCTTGTTCCTTCTCGGTGTCCTCTTCCTCACTCTCGGGCAAATTCTCGGTTGCCTGGCCCTCGGGGCCCAAGAGAGGCACACAAGCCTCGTCAGTTGCCTGAGGGCGACGCTCCTTGACAATGGAGAGGCGCTTAGCTGGTCGCATCTCCTGTAGACGGGCGAGACCGCGACGGGCGTTAATGTCGCTATGGTACGCCATATTGGAAGTTCCGGAACGAGGACTCAAAGAGGAACCGCGAAGAGGCCATCGACCCGTGCCCGTGGGGGTCAGGGGACTGACCAGGGCGCTATGGGCGCTGCCGGGGGACACAGGGCTCACGTTCTGGCCATCGTGGAGCTGATTCATGCTGCGCGTCTGGCGTGTCTGGCCGGGAGTGGCCTATTATACAGTCGTTAGCGAACATGTGTCAATAAGATCAAGAACATGCCACGTCGCCATCCCTTCAGGTTAGACAGACACACGAGAATAATCTGTTAGAAGGGAGAAAAGAAAACAAAAGACTACTCACGATGCGCAGACTCTGTCCGCTTATGTCTCTAATCTGCTTCGTGTATAGCTCGGAAGACACGCGAGCATGCGTGGGGATTCCCATGCCAAGCATTCCCTTGCCACCCGCGTCCAGGTCGCCTTCGTCGAAGTACGGAACCATGTACAATTCGCCAGGACGCTTCTTCGTCTTCGTGAGATCCTGCCCGAACTGGGCGTGCTGGGCCTGACGCACATGGTCCAATTCGAAATCGACCCACTTACGTCGAGCCGCCTCGATGGTCTCGGCATTCTTCTTGATGTAGCTCGCTACGGGATCGTTGTTAGGGTTCTGCTGCGGAGCCTTGCTGATCTCCGCCATAGTCACTGACTGCTGCAAGCCGCCGCCGCCGGGCGATTGATCGGGTAAGTCGAAAGTGACGGAGCGAACGTTGGCAGCTGATCTTGCCGAGACGATTCGAGCAGTTCCAACGCGGAGGATGGAAACAGGTCGTGCGGTTCGGATCTGAGCATGTTCGATCTCAGCGTCGTTCTCGGAGTCGGGCAACTGGGCATCGCCATTGGTATGAGCTATCGTGTCGCCATCGGACGCCTCACCGGGGGCAGTATCCCCTTCCACTCGATAGTTTGGTGATTCTACGATGGTACTCTGCGCAGAGTCACTCGACTCCTGGCCTTCTCTAGCAGGAATCGTAATGCTGCCAGTAGGGAACGCGGTTTCATCGCCGCCAGCGGGAGATAGATGGGGATTGTGTGCATTATCCTTGCTCGTACTCTGAGGAAGGATACCAAGAGGAACGTCATCTTCGTTAGGCTCCGAAGCACGTCGGCCTCCGAAAAAGCAGCGAAGAGTTGATAGACAGTTACCCATCTTGCAAGAAATTCGCGTGTTATGAGGTGCTCAGAGAAATAGAGGGAATGGATTAAATCAAATTAGGACTCAGAAAAATGAGCGTGATGTCACAAAAGAAAGTCAGGAGATGAGTAGAAACGAGTGAGTGATGGACTTGAGTAGTCAGGAGTTGACATTCAAGATGTGTTGCAACGTGTGGGAAGATTTGATGAAAATGGGAATTGCGTGATTAGGGTGAGGAAAGGAAACAAAACAACACGCATGAATAGGTAGAAAGGCAGGAAACAAATGTTTTCCGTGTTGCGGCTCGAATGTCTGTCCCTTTCCGTGCGGCTATGAAGCTATCACGACCAAGCGCGGCTTGTTGAGGACCGTCACCATTGTCCCGCCCTTGTTTAGGATGGTGGAAGACATGGTACATACTTTCTACAATGGCCATCTTATTTCGTCTATGGAGCTTTGAACCAGACTCAAGTTCCTTGGGGACTATCGTCAAGGACAGCGATATGCTCAAGACTGCGCTTGTTCGTTCCATCACTGAACCCGACTTGACCGCGCTCGCTTTGCCCCGTCCAGTACCGAGACCTCTTGTCACCCTACAAAGACTCAAAGTCATTAGATACTATTGATAACCTTGGAACTAATAGATTTGGTAGGCTTTTGAATAGTAAGAGCCTCTCCCAGATATACCCAGCTGAAGTGTACGGATTCAGGGGCTATATTCAGGGGTAATATAAGGGGCTACGATCTCAACGTCAACAGGCTCCAAAGGCAATAAGCTATATACTTATATTATTCAAATACGACGAACGTCACTTATAGACTCATTTAAGAAAAGTATGGACACTGGGTTATATTGTTTACCGAGTTGGTATGTAATAGGATGCTAGCTATCTTCTAGGTGGATAGTAGCAATTGCAATATTAATTTGGCATCTAGGCGTCTCTACCTTATTCCTCCTTAGTTGCGATTCTATTCAACACGGCCTAATTGAGGAGATTCGCAATCGTAATAAATCAATTCCCAATGGCTTCAGTTGATGACTTTTGATGATCTCTAGACTACATGGGGATGTATGAGATATTACCTACTCAATATCATTAAGGCAGTTTCGATATAACTCTACATTCCGAGACACCTTAGTTCTACCATATTCTAGTCAACGACAGTTATCATTTAATGTGTACCTATACGTGCCAAATACCAGCTGGTCGGCTTATCTAACAGCCAGTCAACCCTCCACGAGAACAGTTCGAGAACAGTTATCCCGTTCTCACGCTATAGTTACACGACAAACTCTCGGTCTACTGACTACGTCAATAATAATCCTATAGATAGCACCTTTTAGTTCTGCATGAAAAACCCCCCAAATGTGGCTTCGGCGTTCCTGGACGCCAGCATGCGGGCAGAGGTTATACGATCTATGTGCCATAGTAGCACCTAGTCTCACAAGGGTCTTAGCATTTGGAGAACTCAAGATCGATGGCGTTACGGGACTCCGAACGCCTCCCCGCGAAAATCAGTGCCACCTGAAACGCGCATTCTCCCTTCGGCAATCAAGATTTTCCAACGGCCTTTCTTGGCAAAGACTCTTTTTACTGCGGTATGACCGTGAGGCTCTCTCCTTGGCTTTCGCCGTTGTGGCTTTTTCATGCTGGGCGGGGAGGGGGGGCAATAGGATATGCGCGTCGTCGTATATGTCGTACGCTTTAGTCAGCGTACATAGGCTTGACATAGCCTAGTCCCCATGTTTATATCCGTGAGCGAGTTTGAGCCGGACCTCGTCGAGCGCCCTTCGGCGTTAGTGATGTCACCTCCCATGTTTGTCCCCATTAATCGGCGACCGCCAGTCGGCGATGGAGACTTTCGTAGAAAGAAAAAGCCTGTGTGGGCAATATGATAAGGAGTGCCCAGCCACGTAATGATCCATTTCGTAATTGCGCCAGTCCATACTGACTGTGGGGGGTTTTCGTCTTCGGTATGTCTCATGCTTCTCTAACTGCCCCGTAAGGCTGCAAGCCTCTTCGGTAGTACAGTCCAGTATAGGTATGGTGTGTTCATCTAATAGCCATGTCCGTAACCAGGCATTAGATCTTCACTAGAGTGCCAGACCCCATACTGATCTTGTTTCACCTTTAGGAATCAGTGGTGGCTTCACTTAATATCTTGGCGGACATCCATCTGACTAAGTAATTGTCGTCACCTTGCACATGGTGCATCCTCATTCAACATCGTGGTAAAAGCACTGCACATTGCCTTGGAAATTACCTTGATTTCGAATGGAACATGTTGTATACCCAATCAACAAAGTTTCGCACACACCACCCAATCCTATCCGGCCACAGCCTTACGTACCGTACCAATAGGATAGGGGATCGACCTAGCTGCCACATAAAGGGGGTAACCCTTCTAGGCTCCTTCAAGATACGAAGCCTGTTACCTACCTAGCGACTCCTACGCATCCCCGACGTTAATCTCGCGGTCTCGTAGGACTCCCCTATCCTAACGTCCCGAGGCTGCGAGGCAACAGCGCCCAGATGCGGGATCGGCACCCGTCGTCTCTTTCGGAACATATAGCCGGCGGCGTGTGTTACACGCCGTTACACTAGATGCGGATGCTAGATTGCCCCGAGTCTCTGGGTGCGTGTGTATCCAAGTCCCTACCTACGTAGGTACCTAGGTATGTAGGTCGGATGCTCATAGCCCACGGCTCGCGGCATGAATGGACCTAATTAGCAATAATTCGACGTGGCACGAACCCGAGCTGTCGCCTTGCTCAGATCTCCTGATCACCAGGGACAAGGGAATGGGTTCTCTACCCACACGATGGTATCGAGCAAGTCGAGCCTAGTGTTTGGGAACCGGTATTGGTCCGAGTCTGGCGCGGTCATCACATCATTAATAAGTCGAAGCTATAGGCAGGTAGTTATGTATATTATCTGCAAGGACCCATTGGTTGATCCTAACATCATAATATCATGAATAAGCCGACCTGGAACCAGCAACATATCTCACCCATCTAGGTATGTGTGTATCACACCCTGCCTTCAATGGGCCCAGCCTTGCTTGGTGCGATAGCGTGTAGGTAATTTCGCTGAAGAACCTTGGGACTGGGAACGAGATGAAGAATACAACCTTGCTTGAGTCTCTGCAGCAAATCAGAAAACAGAGAATCATAAAAAAGATTTTAAGCCAATTTGCTTCGTGTCACAACTCGTCAGAATGGAAGAAAAAGATTTACTCGGTGTTTATCCGTTGACGTGCGGCCCGGGTCGTTCGTAAACGGCATTCTGATAAATAAAATCGTCAGTGATCCTCTGTTAATCTCACAGGTCACAAAGACCACCAAAAGCAAAGAATCATCCAACAGGTTCTGTAGTACTTCGCGCTTACTCGGCTTGATGTTACCGGCCGATTCCCATATAGGGAATAAAGAAACTTGGGGGGTAGACTCTTCAGTTACACGGGCGTTTGCAGGGTTACACCGCTCGGCTGACGAGGTTTTTGTACCACGTAAGCCCTTTTCACAAGGTAATCCCCCCTAACGTAACCTTAAGGCGGCATCGTGATTTGGTGGGCCACTCGACAGGTGGCCTACCTTTCTTAGAAGCTAAGCAATGTAGACAAGCAGTGTGGATTCCAACACGGCAGGCCTGTTAGATAGGTAAGTTTAAGTGAGCTGACGACAGTCATGGCGGATCCTTCTAGCTGTATTAAAAACTTGGTGCATGGTCGGCAATAAGTTGCACATGGATCGGCAGTTCGCTTGCTACCTGAGGGGAATTCCCTGCTTCGCTTAAGCGACCCTTTCTTGTCCAATGGTACACCAGAAAAATACATCATTGGCCATTTGTTACCAAATGATGCATCCCGTACATCGTTGGGGACGGACAAACGTACAGCGTCTGCGTCGCAAGAAGCGCGGCGCAGTAGTTTGTGTTACTGGCCAAATGTCGTACACAACGACGCAGGAAGATAACCTTCCCGTCCTGTACATGTACGGCGTGGGTTTTCTGTACAACAGCCATCTACCACCTGGCGCACATCAGTAACGCCCCTCTTCAGGCCCACGAGTGACCTGTCATATTTCATTCAAGACGTGAACACAGTGTAAAACTAAGACGGCGACGGAAGGTGGGCGCCCAGAATTCGAAACGACCAGTCATTTTCATCCGTACTCTGGCTGGTAAGTCATGTTTTACAAGTACCGTTGTCTGACTCAGCCATGTCCACACGGGTCCAAGCCGCGACAAGTCGTGGACTCTCAATCGACGCAAGTGGCACGAAGTACTGCGTAGGGCTGAGTAGGAAACGGAAGTAGTGTAACGGAGGGCTGACAATGCACGTCAGGCACATCATCCGTACGTACTGCATAACGTAGAAGGGAAGGATACTCGGGGAAATCGCGTCTGCTTACGGGTGATCCTTAGTTGCGTAAGTGTGTATTGTCGGTGGGTTCAAGCGGGCTGAAGTGACATCACAAGCAAACGGGGCCCCGTAGTCCTGCCGTGGGCGACGCAGGAGGTCTGGTCCGGCTCCTGCTACGGTAACATCGCGTGGCTTGCTGAATGAGAAGCTGTTTGCGAATGGCAGCATGATCCGAGCCTGTCTTCGATATGCTACTACGACCTGGTCAAGCAAGTAGTATGTACAGCCACGGAACCGCGGGGGCAGATACAGCCCCCAACTATTTGGTGCAGCTTCACCGGCTCGCCCTTGCTCGCGTCTGATTGCCGGGTCAACCTTGGCAGTCAATGATGGAAGGGATGCCGCATTGTTTGCCTGCGAGACCAGAGCAGTGAGAACGTAATTGGTGGTTTGCTTAATCATGTTTGTCGTCCTAGAACTAGCATGTACCATCTACAAGCACAGCTGCTTGGTTCGAATTCAAAGGTCCTCAAGTAGCCTAGATACTTGGCGCGGTAAAGAAATAGACCATCTCAAGGAGGGGTCAGATGGTATGGTGGGTAAGATTGAATCTCTCGGCACTTACCGGGCCTCGGCGAAGCAAATAATAGGACTCCCCGCCCTTCTGGAGCCAGTAGAAGCGGTAGGAGGGAAATGAAGGGGCAAGTAAGGAGGGAGTTGGTGAAAAAAACCAGCATTTAGCTTGAGGGAATTTGGGCATGCTCAGCGCGTCAGATATAGTAAGCTTCTCCCGGTGAGAATACACACATTGAACGCCAAGACCGGAAATGCAGGACGATAGCATTCAATGTTCACGCGCTGCGGGAGGGTTGACTTTCATTTTCGCCACTCGAGATCATTTTCCGCCGCGGAAACTCGGAGCTCGATGCGACGCAGCCCAGTGAGGCTAGACCTCGCAAGTCGGATATGAGAAGCATGAATTACCATGGTATATAGAAGCGCGATTGGGCGAATTGGTTGCCTAGCTTCTGTTTTCGGAGCTCTCTCAACCACTCCTTCGTCGAGGGTGGAAGAGAAGACGGATACGCGGCCCCCAACTTAACCAGTCTCGACCAACGGCTGGTTGACAACGTGCGCCAAGGTCATATAGCCATCCCATCATGTTGTGGCGGGTCTGTCACTCATGCATTGGTAGGTTCCGGATCCGCGATGGCGGGTCTTGCTTAGAGTCTTCATCCTTAGCATCGCGAGATTGCGACGATGAGTTGCAGGAAACGCGGACTTCCAATGGGTAACCGCATACACTTACCAATTGGACTTGCGAATTAATGCGAGACGCAATAATTCAGACTTCTCCCCCTCCTCTTTCGACGACCCTGACGACGATCTGTAAAAGAAGAAGATCCACAAAAGCTTAATTGGACCGCGAACCAATTAGCACGAATACAAGTTTTTGTACCGCAGATGTATTCCATCAGGAGGTGTGAGGCAGGGTAAGAATGGAGAAAACCCGCGGGTGGCATCTCACCTGCATGCTATTGTAGAACACCACTCGTATGCAAGGCAATAGTGAGAAGTTACTGCTTATCCCACAGCGCTATTCTCGGCCGTACTGTCCTTTACTGATACCTGGCGTGTCTTTAAATCTGACAGCGACGAAGAAAGAGAAGAAATCGGTTGGACCTTCAACGACACGGCTAAAGTCACAAGGAGCTGACCGATGTTGTTGTCTCAACTGGCACATAAGGATGTTTAGCTTGTTGGAGAACCCAAACTTGACCGGTGAACAAAATCTTGACTAGATTCGTGCACTTGCATTGTGATTCGATGCGACAGGAAACTTATAACCCGCTCGAGCCTAGGTACACGTATACGTAGAGTAGGCATGTATGCTGTAACGAATATGAGAGGGTATACATATGCGAGAGTCAATATTAGAGGTCGGAAGGGGAAGCGCCACGAGTTTCCTGACAGGCATTGTCTAATGACCGGGATAAGTTCAACGATGAAGAATGGAAGAAAGGAAAAAGAAAAGAGAAGAGAGCAAATTAACTCAACTATCTCGGACGCCGAGATCCATGACGTGGTAAGTACCTACCTACCTCTTACCTAAGTCAATGATAGGGCATCCGCTCCTGCCCATTGATCACCAACCTTAATTCTCCAAGGCAGGCTATGTGGGCAAATTGGATGTGGTTATGAAAGTACGATACCGCAGTGCGAATTATTATATCGTACTCCTTAAGTAGGTACCTACGTACTTGCTTCATGTAAATATCTCCGTTTCCGCTTAGGTACCTACTTAGGTAAGTACAAAAAGATTCCGTATTCAACCGTATTTAAATAGCTCTCTACTATTAGGAGGTAATTTAGTGACTAAGCACAGTACCCCCAAGTCGACATCTCGCCTACCCAGATAGGTACACATACCTTGGTATGCAATATATCCAATATACTGCCTAAAAGTAGAAACACTGTTAGGATAAGCTACTGGAGTCGAAAGTCAAAAGTTCTACCAGCTCTAGCCTCTCTAGCGCATGGTCTAGGCAGTCTAGGCAGGTACATTAAGTGTGGGGTTTCCATCTATTAAGTTCCACTGTTAGCTTAACACTGATACCAAGGATCTACCTCAAATCGCGTGCGGATGCTAGGACCCTAGCTCGCCCAGGCTCCAGAACGGCTACCCCTGCTCAGCTAACTTTGTACCACTGCACCGCCTGAACCCCGGCTGAAAGCTGCCGCGACCTTGTGTCTTGTCCGGTCTGCGATGCTCCCTATCGTGGGTGTCATGCTTTTAGTGCAACCTAGCTCCCGTTGTGGGGCGTTGAGGCTTTGTAAGTCCAATTTGAACGACCTCCCAACTTGGAACCTGATCGAGATAAGTAATGACCTGCTAGCCATTAAGTGAATACATAAAGGAAAAAGAAAAATCCATGCCACGCATCTCATCTGTGCCAAGGCCTTCTTCAACCGTTCAACTCCGATGTAGGGATACTCATTGGCTCAGTGCGCGATCCCCCTTCATTGCTGGGTTTGCGACTACCTACCTACCTAAGTAGACCAAGTTCTTTCCCGCGGTTCTAATTAAGGTTTTGCTTCTATTGGTCGTCACTCGTTAGTGGAGTCATGCGTGGGAAAAAAAAAAAGTTGATTTCCTTGCTTCGATGGTTGGGCATGCACTGATCCGCTGTCCCGCAAGACAAGGGATCCTATTGCGGTAGTCGAGAGAAGCAAAATAGAAAAGAAGCTATGTTGTATCTTTCGATCAAGAAGCTACGGGAAGGCAATTCCGAGCGCGTGAGCACTGCCAGTAGGGAGATAGAACGCCTTTGCGCTCTAAGCTGGATCCTGCTCTTCCTCGTTTCACACCAAATACTCTTCTTAGTCGACTCGCGAGGATCGTAAACACACATTCCACCCGAAGCGTCCCTTAAACACATCGAGACAGGAGAAGGCGAGTTGCAACAAGTTAGTCTCACCAGGAGGACTCGGACAACAAGCGAAAGCAGTTGCCGAGTTGGGGAAGATAAAACTCAGACACCCTTATAAACCCGTCTTTCCCAACGCCGCCCATGATTTCTTTTTTCTTTTTTTACGTAGTCTTCGTCAAGTTTCAAGGCAGATGAATGAAAGTCGCTTATCCTTCGTTTGTCGAACCCTCTCGAAAACACCGTTAAAGCATCGCACCAGGGTATCCTTTCCATTATCCCACCAGATAAAGCCCATGTTTTGTAGTATATCCGGCAGCAACCGCCAGGTCGTAGTTCATTCTTCGTATATTTCTCGCCCGTGTTCAGATTTTCCATGCAGACTCTTGCCCAGATATTCTTTCCTCGCCATATCCCATACGCCGCCACCCCCCGCGTCCAGCCCAGAGATACGGAGGGTACCAAAATACCAGAGAAAACAATAAAAATCCTTTTCGTCTTTCGTAGCCTTGTCGGATCAGGTAAAACTCGAGAACAGGTAGCTAAAAGCTACCAACTGAATATGCCATGTATATGGGCCAATGTGTGGCAGGAGTGCATATATTATTTCAATTCCTTCTGCTCTCACCCGGATTGGGGGAGCATTGTCGGCATGGTTGGATAATAGCCGGCAGAAGTCGGTTTTCCCTCGAAACGGCTACAACCTCGAGAGTAGTAGTTTCCGGGCGTATAAAAGAGGCTCGGGAGAGGCCCGTCGTACTCGTGTTTCACCTTCGAAGTCGTCGGATCAACTGCCGCTGGCGCCGAATGCACCAAATTCTCCGGCTCGCTTCGGTGATGGGAAAACATCTCGACTCCTTGTCTCGTATCGGTGCCCTCATAGATTGGCCCAGGATAGTACTGGTATTCCTTCGTGTTGTCGATGGCTTTAGCCTCCTCTGGTGGTATGATCGGATCCATCGGCATTTCGTTGTGGCGCGTGGTGCCGTAATGCCCCGACCGTGGATCGTATCCCCCACTGCTGCCGTACGCATTCGATAACAGCGAAGGTCCACCAGCGCCATAGTCAGAACCTAGAACTTGGGATCCCGAGTAACCTCCCATCCCACTTGATCCGCCGGGCCCGCTACTGGTGCTTCCACGTCGCTCGGTCTGATAGTGTCCAGGAGAACGGCCACGTACGATCATCTTTGCGGATTTGCGCTGCGCGATCTTCATAAATTGCTCCTGCGCCTGATTCCCAACATCGGCATACAGTTCAACAACCAAATGGTAGTATTGTTGCGCCGCGCGCCGCTTGCCATTGTTCGCAGTTGCTTGCTTGAACTGGATCCTTTCAAACGTATGCTCGCTCGGGTACGATCCTTGCGGACTCTGTCCGTAGCCACCTTCATATAAAGGTCTTGAGCCACCGGGTAAATTGTGGTGGTCTTGGTAAAGTAGCGGATGCGGCGGTTGTTGAGGCTGCTTTGGTGTCAATCTCACCTTCTCCGGCTTTTGTACCGGTCCTTTGTCTCTCTTGGGCGTATGCTGCACTAAGTCGATGGTGTGAGAGTCGCTGTCAGATACCACCGCAGAAATGCTCATCGCAAACCCGAACACTTGGTATGATGTCGATGATCCGTTAGGTGCGTACTGCATCGTCGTGTTGGGATAGTACGGTGAAAGGCTATACGAGCAGATGCAAGAGAAGTAATTCCTTCTGTAACATGTCCAATCCCCTTCTGACATGAAGAAGCCCTTGTCGATGGTCCCATGGATATCGATCTTAATGGGCGTCCCCGAGTCACTGTACACCAGCTGACCGTTTGTGGTCATCGGCATCAACGGGGGAATATGCGTTCCCGCTGACTTGCCATACTGACTGGCGTCCATTCTGACCGGACTCGTGAAACTAATGCTTGGGCTTGGAGTTGGCGACAATGGATGACGTCGCAAAGGTGCTGCGAAAGATGGCGATCTCGTGTGCTCCGTTGCTCTTCCGAAGGACGGCCTCGCCCCGGAGTAGAGATCTCTCACGTTGTATGCTGGATTTGGTAACGCAGCCGACCGGTTGGCATGTGCCATGCCCGTAGATGAAGTGCTACTACTACAGCAGTAAGTAGGGTAAGAGCTAGAAGAGTTGGAGGCGGATGTGCTATTACACACGGGGGGCTTGGGATAGGTGTGCAACTTACCCAGAGTTCAAACGCGGTGGCCTGACGTCGATCCCAGAGAAGATCTGTGAGGCTGGAGAATAAAAAGATCCGGTATCAGGGGAGTACCCCGTGGTAGTGTTGTTGAGGAGAGGCGCAGAAAAGCCGCCGAGCACAGAAGGCGGCTGAGGAGGGGTTTCTATTGTTAGAGAAGAAATATTGGAATCTTGGGTATATCTAGAGGGCAAGGCGTTAGCAGGGGTTTTTTTTCTGGCGAATAGAACTTCGTGTGCGAGGCTCCAGACAAGCTAGGTAGCGAGAATTGCTGTATTATCGCACGCATTCCATACAAGACATATCCAGGTGCGACCAGCAAAGGTAGCACTGACAACAACGTTCGCGTACCACAGGGGGGGAGCGGATACAGGATCGGGAACTACAAAAAACCACGCCACATAGCGGCGAACAGCGGAAGAGTCACAGGCTTTTTGTGTAGCTGCAACAGCCACCCATGCACTCTTCGCGCCTATGGCGAGCGAGAGAGATTTACAGGCGGTGCTAGCAGGTGCAGGTCCTAAGGTAGGTAGGTTATCTTGGAGGGGGCACGCTAGCAGGGCGATCGAAGCAGCCTGACCGGCATACCTCCATAACTGCCCAAGTGAGTCGCTGTTTCGTTGAAGAAACGAAATGCGCGTGAAGCACGAGAGAACATGTGGTGATGAGACAAGGCAACGGAATAGAAAAATTAAGGCATTGGTGAAGTGAGACGAGGGGCAATTCTGCTTCGATGACAATCCTTTTCATTTTTTTCTTTTCACTTTTTTTTTGTCCTTGATAATAATAATGGGTAAGGGGACAGCTGCTCACCTCATATCACCAGTAGCCGGTATATCGAGATATTCCAACCCAGGGCAGGAAGGCGGCGATGGCTCAAAGTCCTGCTAGAGGGAGGAAAATGGTCAGTAACGTGAGCTGTGATGGCTGGATATTTTAGCATAGCGGTGACGGGTGTAATTAATAGAAGAGGAGGCCCATTGGGTGTGAGTTGTAGTCATTACCGGGCTTTGGGCATTGCCGGCGGGAAATTGAAAGGGCTCGAGAATATGGTGAGCAGTCCCTGTAGATGATCGGGAAGAATGTTAGCATACGAGATTTGTCTGTACTAAATCGCTAACATGAAAATATTGTTAGGACTTGAGAGGACTTGGGGACTTGAGAACATTGAAAGGCTTGCAAGTAAATGTAATGCAATGGAAGCAGTAAGTATGGAGGTACTTAAGTGTATGCTAGCTGGTTGGGTACATAGGCAGACGGGTTGGTTAGGTAGCTGGCGATGCGTGATGTAAGTAGTGGGTGTGTGTGAGTCGTGTTGAGTTGTGTGAGTGTGAGAGCAAGTGATTAGAATGATGCGTCAGTGAAGGTGGAATGAATGGCACGGTGTTTGCTCCGGCTACTTCCAGTTCAGTGCTGGGAAGGTACCTTGTCATTCCGTGCGTTGCACTGTGGTACCGCTGCCTAGCATGCAAGATACTTAGATGGGCTGACTGGGGAGGTACCTTAGGATCGAAATACTTAAGATAAGTACCTTCCAGGTTATCAGGGCCGCAGGGAAGTGGCTGTCGGGATCCAGAATCAGGGCTATGAGTGAGTTGTGGTAGATACCCTAGGTATAATGTACCCAAGGAAGGCACAGGTTAAAGAGATGGATAGAGAAGGTAGGTAGGAGGATAGGTAGGGGTTTCCTTCCAGGGGGTACCACACTAGAAGACCCGGCGGCGTTTTTTTGTACGACGTAGGAAACCGGGGATGATTAATTCGTTTTCATCCAATGTGACAAGCCCTTTCCGTTGATTTGCAGAGCCAGAGCCATCGAGGCAGCCATTAGAGGGGCAACATTTAAAAAGGGCATCAAAGTACAACGACTTTTTAGTCCATTTCGCTTCCTCGTATTTTCCCTCCTTTTTTTTTGTTTTTTGGTTTTTTTAATGGGGCTATTTTTGTCTCCCTTTCTCTGAAGAACGATTCATAAACTGATGAAGATTGGAAGAAGATAAGGCAATGCTTGCTGCATGTGTTTACTTGGGGATGTGTGTAGGCATAGTGTGGCTTCAAATGTATAGGTATTCAAGGTAGGTGTTAGTATTGGGATGGGTGTGCTTGCGCGCGTTTATGTGTTTGTGTGTGCGCGGGCGCGTATGTGGGCTTGTGCTTGGAGCGCGTGCATATGAATGAGGACATCTTCGAGATTGAACTGACTGACCTTGCGTGGCTTGCTTTCTACTTCGATCTCAAGGTTTCAGCAAGCCTGCTGGAGCTGCTTTGGGACCTTTGTCTCCGACTCCCTTAGCATCGACAATGCATGGCCCATTTCATCCAATTGGCTTTTCTTAATTAAAAGCGCCCTCACACAGATCGGTTCGGCGAAAGCGGTTTTGCTCGACTCTTTTTTCTCTTACGTTTTCCGATGGGAGTCAAGATAGGAAGATATGGGGGAGCAATAAGAAAGTACAAGAAGATGCATGCATGCGTAAATGCAATGGGCGGGTTGTAGAATTATGAATGGAATTAATGAGTGTATGTGCATATCATGATAAATACCTTGGGGTTAAGTTGTTGATTCATTCGATGAGCCTCTCTGTTCGAAGAGAGGCGTGCTTCATTCGGCCGAAAAGTGGCTGACGGTACCAATAGAGCTGGCGACGGGGAATTCGAAGACGGGTCGCGGATTAGCTGTTGCAGCAACGGTCGTTAGTTCCGTATTTCTCTGCAGAGTTGCTTGAAAGAGAGGAAACTGAATGTAACTGAATGTAACGGCTTCGCTCAGAGAGCCAAGCTAAAACGTTTATCCACTAATAAGGCTTTTCCCGTTAAGACTGAACGTCTCCAGGGGCTCAGTTGGATTTGCTCTGAGACCTCGACGGGGTACTTCGAAAGTACCCATATGAAAGAGGCCATCTTAAGTAAGATGATATTTTTCTTATGTTTCCCTTCCCATTTTTACATTTCCACTGTACGTATCGACTATCCAACTTCCGGTCTCGATCGGTAGTGGACAAGTACCATGGTAGATGTTGGTGAGGTAAGTAATTGATGTATGTCAATCTCAAGAGGTAGGGTAGGGGTAGGGAGTGGGCTCGCTGCTTGCAGATGAGAGGTCCAGGGGGCCAGGATGTACACCGACCTTTGGATAGTCCACTGTAACCATCAGTGCCAAGTGATCGATGACTCTGGGAATACATACACCGTCATGCAGCGAATAATAAACCTAGACAGTTTGAATTTTTCTGTCAGCAAGCTTTCACCCCTCGACAAGTAACGAGAACAGCTCGATTAGTAATGAAGGAGTAAAATCACCAGAGAGGGAAATAACATGAAAATAAAATGATAAGTAAAATAGAGAAAATGAATTAATTGTGCAGGTTTAGCCAAGACGTAGAAGCTCCAAGCTTCATCTCGCAGGACCAACAATGCAGAAGATAAATTGAGCCGCGCCGAGTTGCGTTGCGTTGGGCTGAGTAGTGTCGAGTCAAGTCGAATGAGCGTCGAGTACCTAGACACCCAAGTATCGGATTCGTCGATGGGTCGAGCTGAATCAGCCGTATGCTACCTTTCGACACCGGTGAAATCGTCGTCACTCTGTCTGCCTCTTTCTCTGCGCGCCTGCTTCTCCGTACGTAGGTATAGGTATTTCTAGGTCCGCGATCTGCTTGGCGCAGGCCGTTGGTCTCGTCCGAATCGCGATCTCGTGCGTGGCGCCTGCACAATTTCCCGACAAGAGCAGAAAAGAAACTAGGTACCTACTCTCCCTATCGGAAGGGGGCGCTAACATGCGGATATCTATATTCTAAACGAATCGAAGGGAGGCCCTGAAAGTGTGTGTCAGCGCTGCCTTCTTTGCTGCAGACTTTTGGAGCAATCTGATTGATCAACATGGTGGAGGCTAAATGCACACCAACTTGCCTACCGCCATCTTGGGTCGATGGCGCCGTGCCTATCAATCTGGAACAGAGCACGGAGTGGCAGTTGGATGAAACCGTATGGACGCCATTGAATGGTGCCATGGGATACTTCGTGATAATCAGCCTCCAAAAACGTCAACAGCTCGGCATACCTTATTCTCTTATCTGCAGCAAGCCTTGCGTTGTCCCAGAATCAGACTCCGTCCCGTCGCTTTCTAGGCATCGGATTCGTTCAACTGACTTGTAGATATTGCCGGTGGGGGTTTACCCTAGGTTGCCTTTCTTTTTGAGTCGGCGTAAATGAGGTCGTTTAGATCATGCGAGGTCTCTAGGCAAGCGCCAAGCTAGGAGAATATCATGGGTGCGGCAAGGCTCGAGATGGAAGAGAATCTATATACCCTCACGAAGCACGCCTTGAAATTTTGACGAGGTGGCTTCAAATCGTACGATAGCTTATACTGCGTAGACTTAAGGGGGCTTGTAAGAAGAGACAAAAGGGTAGTGCCACAAGGTAGTGCATACGGGTGAGGTCAACTTCTCCAAACTTGCAGCGTGAAATCTCATATATCGGTCTGACTGCGGTGCTTGAAGATTCAGGATTAGGAGGTAGATCTTTGATAGGACTGGCAAATAGGCGAAGTGGGTATTGTCTATTCCCGCTTAGGATTGGGCAAGGTGATAGTAGTAGTAGTGGTAGTGCAAGCTGGGGGACTTTTGAGACAGCGACTATTAGGGTTATGTGAAGATTTTGCGGAGAGCTCGAGGCGCATTCGGTCTTTTTTATTATTAGCGGCTGGCGTGTAGCTCCTCTAATGACCGGCGGGGGGCGCGGTGATGTATGAGCTGGACAAGGTAGTTGGGTGTAGCCCTATGTGCCCAGCCAAAGAATTCAACGGATGAGTAGGTATCTACACGAGATAGGCAGCACAGGCTGTGCCTGACATCAGCGTTGGCATCGAGGTGGAGTGTGTCAAGCGAAGAGGTCAAGTGAAGATTAGACACAAGGCACCTGGGCAACTTAGCTCCATCTTTCCTCCATAACAATCAAGGCAAGAAGCCGTTCGAGTTGCAGGGCTTATGCTTCAAATTGTTTTAGTTCCTCCAGCCTCAACACCAAACAAGCCCTGGGGCGTGGCCACAGACCCCAAATCTGCTCGGTACTGTAATTAGTATTCCTGAAATTAGAACGGCCAGCCTCTTCCTAAAAGGAGTTACGGTATCACCTAAGCTACAGGCCGAAAATTACCTAGGTAGGCTCTGCACTGCTAGTTAGAAAGATAGCTCCGCTCTCCCTTTGCCAGGATTTGCCTCAAATACCCCCCCGACTTGGAAACTTCTTCGAGATCGCAGAAGACAGGACCAAAGTAAGATAGGAGCACCGAGACTCTGGGAACTCTTTGAAGAGGAACTCCGTTCCCCTATGCATCATTTCTGCACGTACCCTGCCGTAGGTCCCTCTACGAGACGCCACAAACACCTTCTGGTAATTGGTAAGGGA